CTAACCCTAACCCTAACCCTAACCCTAACCCTAACCCTAACCCTAACCCTAACCCTAACCCTAACCCTAACCCTAACCCTAACCCTAACCCTAACCTTAACCCTAACCCTAACCCTAAGGGCTAGGCGCACTCTAACAGACTAATTATCTAAGTCTAAAGTTTCATCTTTGAAGATTCGAAATCCGGTCCGATTTTCTGTTTGATTTTGTGGTCAAATTTTGATTCGATTTCTGCTGACGCGCGTTTTTGCCTCGGGCTTGGCTGAGCGCGTTTCGATCATCGGTATTTTGCTTTGCTCTCGGGCTGCCGTACTTTCGCTGCTAACGGCGAAATCGATCACAAGAGCTGGGCGTCAGGCGGAGCGGGATCAGGCCAGGAGGTATGGGCATTGTATCGTTGCCGACGCCCACCTGTTGAAGATACGCGGTCGGAGAAGCAGCCAAAAATATCGTGGCGATGGTTTGGATCGGTGCATTTGGAAGCGAAAGACACCCAAGGAGCGATGCGCATCGGCGCTACGGGTATGCCTCCTTACCATCAACACCGTCCGGGCTCGCGTGAACTTGCGGTATCTCGAGACTATGAGCCCACTCTCGAAGCTCATTGCATGCATTCTTTCGTCACGCTCCGCACAGACAACGCAGATCCGTGAACAGCAAGCTTCTTAAGGCACGGTGGGGAGGGTCTCTGTGCGAGGGGGATCGAACTAGTCCGACCGCCAGTATACGAGTCTACCATCTTGTGATGCCGGCATCGCGAGCAAGGAGTCCGAAACTAGATGCGGGTGAGTAGAACAGGTCTCTCGGAGGACCGAATTCGTAGGACGGCCCTGTCGAAGCTTCGCCATGCTTGTGCAGCAGGAGGACCTTGTCGCAAGCAAGAATGGGCCCGAAGCGGTGCGAGATCATCAGGACCGTAAAGTCGCCGAGGGCCAGTGGATCCTGCATCAGCTCCCTCAAAAGGGCGTCTCCGCTGTCGTCGAGGAATGATGTCGGTTCGTCCAGGACAATCAAGTGGCCCTCGGATCCGATGCGGCTGCGCCCATGACGAGCACGGATGGCTTTGCAGGCAAGGATGAGCTGTGCGAGCGAGAGAAGTTGCCTCTGGCCATTGCTCAGCTCGTCCGCCTGATCCAGAGCCGCATCCAAACCGCCCCACTTGGCAGCCATGGCGTCGAGCCCGACCCGCTTCAGAGCGTCCCACAGCTCGGAGTCGCTGAGCACATCGACGCTGTCGGCAGTGTCCAGCATCATCAAGAGATTCTCCCGCAGCGTGCAGCACGAAACGACCACAGCCTCTTGCGGCAAGACCAGGATCCGTTCGCGCAGAGCCCGCAGGCGCAAGTCGGTTGTGTCGACGCCTTCGATCGAGATGCTTCCGGAAGACAGTGGAACGAAGCGCAAAAGCGCCTGGATGAGCGAAGACTTGCCGCTTCCCGTCCTGCCGACCACGGCCGCCTTTTCTCCTGCCGCAAGCGTGAACGAAAGGTCGCGCAGGACCGTGGTGGAGACATCCAAGTCGGGCAGCGTGTAGCCGACGTTGACGGACTCGACAACCACCTCGGCCCCAATGGCTGACGTGCGCTCCGTGCTCTCGCCTTCGTACGAGCGGGTCCCATCGTCGTTCTCGGCTTCGAGCGTGGCGACCTGCTGCAAGCGTTCGATCGCAACGAGGCACAGCTCGAGCTGAGTCCAGGCTTTCGTGAGCATCGTGATCGCGCTCGTGAGCATCATGAGCTGCGTCAGCCCGACCGCGACCCATCCGACCGTGTCCGAGCCTGCTCCGTGCTTTGCACTGCGCTGGGCGAGGCCGACACTGAGCGAGCAGAATGCCGTGGAGAGGCCAGCGACGATGAGGCCAGAGACGAGAGTGAGCCAACGCATCAGCGAGAGGTTGAGGAAGAAGGCGCGCTGGCTGCGCGAAACGAGAATCTCGTTGAGCTGCGTAAATGCTCGGCCGCCCCCAAAGGCGCGGATGGTGACGATGCCGTCGATCGTCTCGCCGAACAGGGTATACAGAGGCGACTTGGACTCGAGGTCGAGCTTGCGAACTTGTCCGGATGTGCGAAGGTAAAACGACTTGATCGCCCACAGCGTGGGCAGCAGAACGGGCAAGATGAGCAAGAACCAGGGCGATGCCAAGGACAGAAGGATCATACTGCCGAGCACAACGCCCAGATTGGAGGAGACATTGAACAAGGCCTTGGTCATGTCGTTGTCCGATACAAAGAGGTCCTGGCTGAAGCGATTCACAATGGCCCCGCCCGAGGTGTTGAGGAAATACGACAGAGGTGCGGCCAGCGTCGAGCTCAGGATGATCGAGTGCATCCTCCGCGCACAGGCCTGCGCAACGGGTATGAAGAGGTAGTAGACCTGACCTGTGAAAGCCAGCGAGTTGACCGTAACCACTGCCGCGTAACCTCCGATCCAGGCCCACAGGCTTGCGTTGGGCTTACGATCGTTGGCATTCGACCAGAAGTAGAGATAGATGTTGATCGAGGCGAGGGAAGCGGCGGCAAAGATGCTGATGGCGACGTAGACGAGCGCGCGTGCTGTACCGCAGGTGCGGCAGTAGAACTTGAAGGCTTCCCAAGGACGCAGCTGAGTCCGTGGATTGGGTGAAGGGTCCGCATCGCTGGCTTCGCTGCTGTCCTTGCATCCTTGATCGGAGCTGGCGGAAGCACTTTTGAGTGGCAGAGACCTCGAGTAAGGTGGGAAAGTGACGGTCTGATGGCTAGCGTACTGGACGGTGACGTCGGCGACCGTTTCCGCGGTCTCCTTTTTGGAACTGAGGGCAATGTGCACATCTGGCTGGATCCCAAGCGGGAATTTGTGACAAGCGAGGACGACGGTCCTGCCCCCGAGCACCAGTCGGGCGGGAGCCACTGAACTGCCATCTCGACCTTGAGGTTCACGGGCAAGGAGGCGAGTAACGATCTTGGCTGTGGTAGAGGCATCGAGCGCCGCCAACGAGTCGTCGAGCAAAAGGAGTGGGCTGGAGCTGTACAGCGCTCTCGCCAGAGCGACTCTGCTCTTCTGGCCACCGGAGAGCTTGGACCCCTGCGGCCCGACCCGGGTGACATCGCCTTCTGGCATGGCGGCAAAGTCCTGTTCGAGATCGAGACACCACGCCACCGCATCGTAGCGCTCCTGGTCGAGGTCCGAGTGGAAGAGAATGTTGTCGCGGATCGAGGCGTCCTGGAGCCAGGTCGACTGAGCACAGTAGGCAGTTCCGTACGCGGGGCTACGCTCGACGAAGAGCTCGCCCGCAGAACTTCTCAGCTCCCCGAGGAAGGCGAGCAGGAGCGAACTCTTGCCAGTGCCGGTCGCGCCAGTAAGGCATGCGAGTTGGCCCTTGTTGATCGTGAAGTTGAGGTCCGAGATGAGAGCCTTTGTGCCGACTTGTAGGCGGACGCCCTTTGAGACGATGCTCGATGTTTCAGAGACCGACGAAGCGGCAGCATTGGAAGCCTGGGCATTGCCAGACTTGGGATCTAGGCTGCAGCTAAAGGACGATGACGACGTGGTTCGGCCGCGGCTGGCGTCATCCTGACTCGGGACCATCTCGGCTTGCAGAAGAAAATCGCGAATTCCGACAGAGGCGCCGAGAGCTGCCAGGAGCATCGGACCGTACTGTGCGAGCAGGAAGAGCGGGTTGCGGAGCAGGGTGAGGACGGAGATGACGGTAAAGAGCTTGGTGGTGTCGAGCGAGTCTGTTGCGGTGGAATGGCTGTTCTGGGCGATTCCCGAGAATGCGACGAGGGTGAGGAGCGTAGTGTAGTTTTCGAGGTCGTTGGCAGCCACGACGAGCAGAGTGGCGATCCACATGGCGGCGCGAAAGGCGGCGAGTTCGAGGGCACGCAAGGCGGAGAGTCGCTCCGAGATGATGGCGAAGCGGGAAGCCAGTTTGATGGAGGTGATGTTTTTCATGGTGGCTGTGACGAGCTTGACGCGGAGCTGCATGGCCTTTGTCCAGCGGACGACGATGGCGCGCATGCGATTGCTGATGTAGGTGGTGAGGACAATGCTGATGACGGTCATGACCACAGGCACCAGGAAGGCGTACGAGATCTGCTCGTAGGCAAGCCAGAGCGCGATGGCGATCTGGAGCAGGGATGCCCACACTTCGTGGATGAGAACGACGCCGTTGCAGACACGCTCCATGTCGGCGCTGATGAGCGTTGTGGCGCCGCCAGCGCCGGTTGCGAGTGCCGCATCTTGGCGAAGGCGGAGGGACTTTTGATAGATGATGGAGACGAGCGTGCGGCGGATTTTGCAGGCCGAGTCGTCGACGATGGACTGGTAGTGGGCGGTGAGAAGGGCGGTGAGCGCGTAGACGAGTGCATAGGCGGCTACGAGGCCCCAGCCGTGGTAGCTAGGCTCGGAAGAGGAGTGACCGAGGCCCTGAAGATACGAGGTGGTGCGCTCGATGAGGAATGGCTGGGCGAAGGAGACGGCGATGAAGAGGAGCTTGGGTAGCACGGGACGCAAGAGCGTAGTGCGGAAGGTGGCCAGGACGGTCCATGCGAGTGCGTTTGGCCCGGCGCGGGCGGGATCGAGGCGAGACCAACGGCGTTGGAAGGCGTCGGTGTCGGCTTGGACTTGAAGTGGATCGTCTGGCTGTTCGAGATGGTCGATGACGAGTTCTTGGCTTCGACCGCGCCAGACGGTGGGGAGTAGCCAGAGATGAGCGGCGCGGGAAAGGACGCTTGCGGTGATGGCCTGCGATGGCGCAGCACGGGCGGCATGGGTGAGGGGATAAGCGGCAGTGGGGGCGGCGGCGCGAGCGTGCATGGATTGGATGAGGAGGGCGCGCTTGGACAAGCATTCGACAAAGAGACAGGCGAGCAACGCGGCGACGCTGAGAACCGAGAGGGCGAAGGCGGATGTGCTGACGAAAGCCGAGAGGGCGAGCGTGCGAACAAAGGCGGCGTCAAAGATGAGGGCGATTGTGAGAAAGACGACGTTGGTGGTGCTGGGGCGTGGTTGTCGGCGGTATTGGAAGTGTACGGTGGCGACGAGGGCGAGCGCTGCTGCGATTCGGAGCACGAGCGCAGGGATGATAAGGTGACGAATCGAGTGGAGCTGGGCATCGATGTGGGGGGGCAGCAGAAAGACCAAGAGACGAACGAGCGAAGCGAGAGCAAGGAGGGACGGAGCGGCGAGCTTGAGCAGGTAGGTCCTGTCGCGGAAACGAGCTTCCAAGAGGTACTTTGGCTTAAATTGCAGCGACCAAGCCTCGACTGCGCAGAGGGCTACGTAAACGGCTGCAGGCAAGATCTGCAAGATGGCCAGGTGAAATGCCCAGGTAAAGTCTGCGTCGCGGCAGAGCGATGCTGGCGCTGGTGGGAGGATGCTAGCATCCTGGGTGGGGCATAGCGGCATTGAGCTTGCGACGCAGCTGTAGCTGCGAGTATGGCGGCGCGAGCTGGACTTGTAGCTGTACGGGCTTGTGCGTGTGGTACTGGTACAAGGATGCGGAGAGCAAGGCTGTAAAGGGGAGAAAGACGGAGGCGCCGAGAGTACACAGGGCTCGAAGGCTTGGTTATGTATGTACGGTCGGGCAGCGTCTGGCTGGCGCACGACTGTCAACCAGCAGTCAGCAAGGACATGGATGTAGAGAGGGACGTCAGGAGCATGCGCCCGCTGAAGAGGATGGAAGGCGGCGGCGGCGGCAAAAGTCGGGGCGGAGGCTTGGCACGCCTCGTGTGTGTGGTTCGGGAAGGTGGACCCTTGGGGGAAGGGAAAGCGCCAAGACCTTTGTGAAGCAGGCGACCCTGGCTTCTACGGATGTGTTAGCCGAGGGAAGCCTTGTTGCCACAGCAAGTGGGGGCGACGCTTATCTTAAACCAGTCAGGAGCAGGGGCAGAAGCAGGAGCAGGAGCAGCGTTGCTGAGGGCGAGGGCCGGCTGGCGTTGCTCCGAGATTTCATTCTTTTGTGGCGTGGTTCTGGAAGCCGTGGTGAAGCTTTTGACAGCGGCCAACTAATGCGAACACGAGCCTGTGTAGCTGAGCTGCGGCTGCCAAGGTTGCGGCTCTGTGTGTGCCTGGAATCGGGATTTTTTAGCGCGAAAATGCCATGCAGCTTTGGTGCAGCAGGGTGCAGACGGGACGCAGATGCAGACGCCGCTGGCTGCCTCGAGTTTGGCTGTTGCGGAAGAGGCTCGTCCGCTATTCATGCCTGTTGTTGGCTGGCCTGTTGATAGTGGATTTTTGGATGCGCCAAACTGTTAGAGCGCTCAAAATGCATCCGGGCGTACGCGCATTCCGTTGGATTCGGCGCGGCGGAGACTTGGTTTGCGCGACATCTGCAGACGTGCGCGTGCGTCCATGGCCGTCGCGTCCCGACCAGCCGAGCTGCCTCCCAGAAACCCAGCATGGCCAGCGCTGGCCAGCTTCGAGATTTCCTGGGTTGACAGGCTCTTGCAATCCACCGTCCGCCGCCGGCGCAGATGAGAAAGCGAGCTTGAGCGTGCCCATCCGCTCGGTGTGGCCATGCTCACGTCGCACTCCCAGGCGGCGATGCAAGTAGTGCACGCAATGTAAGCAGTGCAAGCGTCGAAATGTGGAACGAGGTGCCTTTCTCACGCAACCACCAGCCCAACCGAGGCGCACTCGACCTCCGCCGGCCGCCCTGACTCATGTCGAACAAGACTTTCAAAGACTGCAGTTGCTGCGCCTCTGCCGGTCTTTCAGGCGCCCTTCCCACTCTGTTGCAGCACACACCGCTCAGAGTACTGTCAATCGATGAAAACGCTGGCAGACTCGCAGGAAAAGCTCAGACAGAATCGTACATAAGTCAATCCGGCTTCGAATATCGCAGCGATAGATGGTCTCGAGATCCTAATCTGCTCCTCTTGCCTGTCAAGCTCTTTCCTCCGCATCTCTCTACCCTGACACTTCTGCATCATGCTTCCTGACAAGCTCGGGCCTTACGTCACGACCGAGTCTCATCCTCTCTCTATCGAGCAGGATGAGAATACGTCCGTATTCATGTCCGCAACCAGCGGTGCAGTCCCTGACATTGTCGTCACAATGGCCAGGCACATGACCCTGTTCGCCAGCCATGTTGCTATCGAACATCACCAAGCCCGCTCCCGCGCTGGACTTGAGCTGCCTCCGTAAGTATCCGAAGCGTGCCTTTGATCGTCGCATCTCTTCCCTAATCACAACCTTATCCCCGTTGCCTGTCCATCCCACCAGCATGACTTTCACCTTCCAGCAAGTGAACGACGCCAGCGACCGCATTGCCCGAGCTATCTTGGACCATGGCGCGCAGCATCCTGTCCTTCTCATCATCTCGTCCAAGCATCCGGCTGCCTATGTTGCCATGCTGGCCGCGCTCAAGCTGGGCCTCGCCTTTGCTCCCATCGATCCCTATTCCACCCCCATCGCCAGACAACTCGCTGTCCTCAAACAAATCCTCGACAACGTCGCCTCGCCCCACATCTCGGCCCCGCTCGTCACCCTCATGGATCGCGAGAATTTCCAAGCCTTCTCCAACCACATGTCGGAGCAGCGTCATTCCGCTCTGCCCCTCAATGTCCTCATCCTAGAGGACCTTCTCGATTCTGCCATCCAGCCAGAGCAGGACACCTTCATCCCCTTCTTCGCCAAACACCTCGACCCAAGCTCGCCAGCCTACATCATCTTCACTTCGGGAAGCACCGGAACGCCCAAGGGAATAGTCATGTCGCGCACGGCCCTCTCGGCTGGCATCCATTCGCTCACCAGACTCGTCCCGCGCTCTTCTCAAGCACCCAACAAGATGATCCAATTCTCTCCCATCCACTTTGACGTTTCACTCCTCGAAATATTCTACTGCTTCGCTCCCTCCTCGATCCACGCAGAGCAGGCTCCATGCACGCTCGTCTCAGCCCCTTACCTCTCCATGCTTCAAGACCTCACCTCTCTCTTCGTCTCGGCTTCGATCACGCATGCTTGCCTCACTCCCACCGTCGCAACGCTCGTCGATCCACACAGATGCCCCTCTCTAGTCTTCCTCGCCTGCAGTGGCGAGGCGGTCCCCGATGCTTTGGTACAGCGCTGGATCAAGGCCTCTCACCTCGGATACAGCGCCACCGAGCTTTGGGGCGGATACGGTCCTAGCGAGACCTTCTTCACCTCGCTCCGCCCGCTCACAGCCTCCTGGATCGACAGCGTCCCGCACCTCTCTCAGCCCAAAGCCACCGCCAGCAAGGTCCTTGGCCCTCCTCTCCCCAGTTGCCACTACGCCGTGCTGCACCCACAGACCAATCGACCGGTCCCCATCGGCCAAGTTGGAGAGCTCTGGGTCGGCGGTCCCCAAGTCATGAATCGATATTTGGGCCAGGATCACCTCACAGCTACCTTGTACCAAAGCTGCTCTTCGTAGTCCAGCGACATGGATCTCCGCTCCTCGGCCACATCAACGCTGAAGGGCCAAAGGTTGCATTCTTGAACACTGAAAGTGAAAGCATTGAGCCCGTCAACAGCTCCAGGATCGATCACATCGCAATTGCGGTCGAGCAAGGCACTGACGTCAGAATCTGTAGGGTCCTGCAGAGGCTGATGGCTTTTCACCGCTTCTTCTGCCATGGGGAGGATGACAACGATCTCGAAGCCGGTTTGACGGTGGAACAAGCAGAGACCGGCATGCGCATGTTTACTCTTCTCTCAAGCAGCGACATGGCGAAGGATAATATGCGTGGCTCTCAATTTGGTCAACGCAATCACCCGTCCGACTTCTACTTTGCCATTGTCGAGCCGAAGGAGGGCAAGAAAGGGCAAGTGTATGACTTCGTACATAGACACGGCGCGAACATTCAACATGTAGCCTTCAAGACGGAGGACATTCTCGCCGACGTCGCTCAAATTCGAGCTCAAGGCGGCTTGAACCTGATCCGTGCCGGTCCAGCAGCCGCCGAGCACAGCCTGGCACTGACAGCATCGTTCCCTGACGCCTTCGAGCAGGTTGTGCGACTTCATCAGGAAGGCATCCTCGTCAATGCGCGCATTCAAGACGGTCGAGAAAAGCCCGAGGTAGCTCTGCTCTCGCAGATCTTCACAGGCCCCGTTCACCCGCAGGCCGAACTGTTCTTTGAGCTCATCCAGAGACAGAACTATCGCGGCTTTGCCTCGGCCGACATCGGGGGGCTCTTTCAAGCAAAGGGTGAGACCGTGTCGTCGCTGTATGTCGACGAAATTCTCGCACCCTTGCGACTTAGGTCCTGGGTGGACGAAAAGGCACGGAACGGCGTCAACGTCGACGTTGTCCATCTCAAATGCATCTCCGAGGATGCCTTGGGCCGATTCCTCGAGCATATCACGAGACCTTTCGATGTCTTCGTTTCCAGCTTCGTGCCCATCACGGAGCGCATTCTCGCTTCTCTACCCTCCACCTCTCTGCCAAAGCTGGTACAGGCTCAAGGTGCTGGCTTCAACCACATCGATCTGGCAGCCTGCCAGCAAAGGAGCATCGCGGTTGCCAACAACGCCGATTGGTGCTCGAAAGAGGTAGCAGAGTACTGTCTCACTGCCATTGTGAATAAGTGGACACAACAGAGCGCCATCGATGTTCGAAACATCGATTGGGAGAGAGACCCGCACACTCTGCAACGACACTCGTTGAGCCAGGCGCACCTTCTTATCGTTGGCTACGGGGGCATCGGAAGCCATCTGGCAGACCTGGCCCAGAGCGTCGGCGTGCAGGTGCACGTCTACGACAACTGCCGCCCCGAGCTCTGCCATGCATCGCTGGAGACATTGCTTGCTCTCGCCGACTTTGTCTCCATTCACGTGCCCCTGACTCGGGAAACGAAAGACTTGTTCGGCGAGAACACGATCGCTTGCATGAAGCCAGGCTCGTGGCTGATCAACACGTCCCGTGGAAACATCGTCAACGAGGAAGCCCTTTTACGTGCGACCAAATCCGGAAAGATCGCTGGGGCTGTATTAGATGTAAGCACCTCAGCATTGACATTCACGACAGATCTGGATTCGCCTTTGGCTCTGACTCTGTCATCGGTTGTTCTTCCTTTCCACTCAGGTTTTCGCGGAAGAGCCTCTTTCCAAGACCTCTCCCTTGCTGACAAGCTCAAACATAACTTGCACGCCGCACGTTGCAGGATTGACTATCGAATCAGAGAAAAGCGCCTGTCGAGGCGTGACTGACAATATCGACTTACTCATCAGCCACGGTGTGGTCCATTGCAAGAACCTGGTCTCTTGCACGAGCCCTCAGACCCCAGCAACGGAAGAACGCTTGTCTAACTCGGCTTCCGACGCAAGCATGCTTAGCTCGCGGGCTAGTTCGCCGTCGACGGCGCTGACAAGCGCGAGCCCCGAAGGTGACACGCGCACAATGCGCGACATCTTTGACTCTGTCAACAAGAAAAGGCTTGAGGAAGGTATCGAGGTCTTCAACCTCTCGGCTGGAATGGTTGAGGTAGAGCCGTGCCCAGAGCTCTTGCAGCAAGCTGCCTTTGCGGTGCTATCTCCCCTTTGCTCGAGCAAGGAGGTGCCCTGGCTGCACATGTACAGGGAACGCAAAGGAGACGCGGTGCTCAGACAAGAGCTCGCCAATCTGCATTCTTCAGGGAGATATGGTCCAAGAAAGCAGAATGTCGATGCAGGCAACGTCCTGATCTGCAGCGGTGTCTCGGCAGCAATCGCGAGTATTTTCGGGGCTTGGCGATCCAACCACGGTAGTCAATACCGCCCTAGAATCGTCCTCTTCGTACCATACTATACATGTGAGTGCCCTAAAGCCTTTTCCCACTCCCATTATGGCGAGTCACAGCTACTGACAGCTTGCTAACCGCTTCTCGACCTATCCCTCCACCTCAGACCACATGGAGATCGCGAACGGAATTTTTGGGAAGGAGGGCTACGAGCTCGTGACCGTTCAGATGAAGATCGACCCACAACTGGGTTGCACCCACGATCGACAGGCGACAGAAGCGATCCTCTCTGACGAACGGGGAGGTGCAGATATCTGCATCATCACCAATCCCCACAATCCTAGCGGCAGCGTACTCAGCGAGGACGACGCTGTGTGGTTCGAGGGTCTCGTGCGCACATACAAACGCACGTGGTTCATCTCGGACGAAATTTACGCGGACATGGTGTATACGCGCCGAGACGGTGTGCATCGATCATTGTGCGTACCCGAGGCCGACAACCTGTTTGTCGCCTATGGGTTTAGCAAGTCGTTGGCGATCGGCAGCTGGCGCATAGCCTACGTTATGCTCCACTCCGAGAGCCTAGATATGATCGCCAAAGAGCACGACCGGCTCTACATCTCTGCGCCCTGGACCCAACACGCGCTCGGCACCTACCTGACGTCAAACATCGACGCATTCAACCGGTTCATCGCCGCCTGGCACGAGAGGCTTTCGCACGACGCTCACATCATAGGCAAAGCTTTGACCCTGGCCTTTGGCTGGAACGTGATCAAGGCAAGCGGCGGCATGTATCTGCTCGTACGACACGACGAGGCAAACGACTGGGACGCGTTCCAAGTAGCTCTGGACAAAAGCGTCGCTGTGGCCCCAGGATGCCTCTTTGGGCTTGAGCACGGATACATTCGCGTGCATCTCGCCTTCAGCCAGGACCAGGCGCGCCGTGTCGCGGCAAAGCTGGCGCCATAGCTCATGTTCACCTTACATCGCAAACCTTGTCCCCTCGCACGAATCAGCACGAGTGCAGGCACGCTGTAGACGGTGTTCCGCTGCCGCGTCAGGCACCTCCTCTTCATGCCTGTGTGTGTAGTCACACCGATAGATGCCTCTTGAATACGAACTATCGCCCACTACTCCAACTTTTCACTGTTTGTGATGAGCTCAAAGGAGACAGGCTTAGCGAGGAAGCTGCATGTCAAGCAGCTTCAGCGCTTCGAATCCAAATGTAGGCAAACTCAAGCGTAAATATGAATGCTAAATCTTATCGCATTGCCACGCTCGGGAATATGGTCTAGTGGTATGACGTCGCTTCCGCATACCTGTGACCTCCAAGTTCGCGGTCCGGAAAAGCGAAGGTCCGGGGTTCGATCCCCTGTGTTTCCATTCCTGTTACTTTTTTTTGGTTTTTTATTTGTTCATTTTGTTTGACCGACCGAGGTGTTGTTTACCTCTGCGGACCAGTAACCAGACACGGCTGCGGGGGCGCACAGAATGCGAGAACCCGGTCATTGTCTTGATTGTGACGGCCCACTTGGTAAGCTCGCGGCGTGCAGCAAAGCAGCTCTCTCGGCCATAGCCGACTGTATTCCAAAAAAGCTCTATTGCATGCTGTGTGTTGCCGCGCTGTGTGTTGCGTGCTGTCAAGCGTGCAGATCGAGTTGAACTAGGATTATACTGACGGTTGGATCGCATCATAGAAGGCGGGGTCGAGTAGCCAAGACCAAAGCTCGCTCGAGTCGCTTCCGTCAAAGGGTGAGATGGCTGGCGGCGGCAGCTGTACTGCATTATCTTGCATCAGCTGTGCTTGCAAGAGCTGGGCGCGCAGCTGCGACACGAGCGGCGGCGTATCAACGCAGCATGCAGCGGTGGTGTCGATAGCGTCGATCATGCGCTCGCCGCAGGAGGTGAGCCAGAGGCCAGCATCGACGCGTGCATGCTCGTATGCGCGGCGGATGCGTTCGATGCACCACATCACACATCCGACGGTGAGGGAACGGAAGGCGCGTACATGAAAGCCAAAGTAGCCGCATTGGGCCGCCTCGGCGGCGATGTGGACGATCTGACTAAAGGCGCGTGTGGTGTTGCTGCGGAGCATGTTGCGCGCCTCGGATACGTCTGCGCTGCCAGCTTCGAGACCAGCAACGCGTGCGTAGGCCTCGAGCGACATGATGGTGTTGTAGTAGAGTATCCGCACGAGGCCTTGCTGTGCGCTCTTGGCCAGATCCGCGTGGGAATGCTGGGCTATCGTCGGGGAAGCTAGCGAGCCAATGTGAGCGCGCTCGTATTCATGCAGACGCTTGAGGAGCGAGATAATTTGTGCAGGAGCGATGCCTTGCTTGCGGTAGGGACCAGTCCAGCAGAGGTGGTGAATTTCTTGGTGGATCTCGCCGAGCGTGAGCAAGCTGTCGTGCCAGTCTCCTAGCAGTGTGCCGCGCGGTGGGCGCTCGAGATCCACTTCGCGCGGATGCAGATATTCGAATGTATCAGGCCGCCAGCAGTTGAAAGCGTAAATATGCCAGAAGAGCAGAGTCTCTCTGGTGGTGGAAGTGTGGCGGTGGAGATTCAAATGTCTAGTGAGACGCACTGGAGCTTCGTGGCTGAATGGATGGAGGTGGAGTGGATCGGGGTTCTTGGGCCAAAAGATGGGAGCGCCTTCGGCGGTGTAAGCGATGCCTTCGAGGATGAGCACGGCTGTGATTCCGTCGAGGCCGTGCGGGAGCATTCCTAGCTTTGCGATTTGCTCTGCGCGCAGTACTATACGACGCTGAAGGTCGAATCGTGCGGGGCGTGTGGTGTGGGCGATGCCGACGGCTGCGACGGCGAGGATGATGAGTGGCGAGATCTCTTCGGCTACGTGATCGGGCGCACAGGAGAAAAGAGGCGCAAAGTATGCGCGGCAACGGCGTCGAAAATCGTGCTGCTCGAGCGAAGGGTTGAGATGGCCTGCGGTGGCAAAGTAGGCATCGATTGTTTCTTGCAGCAGCGGGTAGCTGAGGCCAGGCACATCGAGAAGCCCGGCTGCCGGGATGGCGCCAGTGACGGAAGCAGGTGAGCCGGTCTGTGCTGACGCTGCACTACTTGTGTTTGTGGTTGCTGTCTGGCTGTCAGCCGATCCCACGGCCGAGGCAGACCGAGAAAGGTGTCGGAAGCCGGGTAGATAGAGCTCGTCCGGCAGCGCTGGAGTTGAAGATGCAGCCGGTAGTGAGGACGAGGCTGCGCTAGGAGACGAAGCTTTCGAAGGTATGCTTTGCACTGATTCGTGTCGTCCGCCTCGCGCATCCTGCTCCAATCGACACGGCAGACGCTTGGCTGAGCACCAGGTGCACGAGGTGCCACCAAGCGCCGTGCGATCCGGCAGGTCGCATCGAGCTTTTTTGCGGCGACACTCCTCGCACGATGCTCTAGGCAGGCCTCTTTTGCCCATCGTGAAACTTTCTGACCGGCTCGCCGGAATGGATGTAGCGTTCTGTGGGTGCGTTTGTGTGGAGTGAGGCAAGAAGCGGCCGGGCGGTGGTTGGCATTTGGCCTTGTTGGAAGGGGCCGGCGCTTTCCGAAATCCGAGCCGCGGCTATCCATGTCCAACTCCAGATTTGGCACCAAACCCCGCAGCAGCAAACCGCCGCCAGACCCTGAAAAAATGAAAACGACACAGCCTTCTTGGCAGCGGTAAAAAATATCGCCGGCCGGAGATTCCAGCGCGAAGCTTTCCAGTTGCGCAAACTGCCGGTCAGACAGCCAGCTGTACCAGCAGCAAAGAATGGTGTTCGCCTCCCTGACCACCTCAACTTCATGATGCTGGCTGGTCAAGAGGCATATAAGTGGGCGGTCGAATCAAGATTGACCTCCTCTTTGACCGCCATCAATCACTCAAGCATCTCGTCCAGCCAGCTTTGCTATCGAATTCAAGAATGATGCTCTCTAGCCTCGTCACCCTTGCCCTCGTCCTCGCCGGCTGCCACGCCGCGCCTTCGGGACCCCGTCGCACGGACTCCGAGTCTACGCAGCACCCTCTCGCCTACGCTTCTCTTCCCTACGAGCCCGAGACGGCCGCACGCACCCCACCCTCGCTTCCCGATGGTGATTATGCCTTCAGCTTCAAGCAGCACAAGTGGAACTACAACGGCGCCGGTGTCAACCACATGAGCACGGGCACCTGGTATTCATCGCTCTCTCAAGCCAAGGTCCTCGTCACTGCCAGCACACTCGACTGGGCTTCCAACAACGCCACCCTCGCCGGTGAGCTGACCGGCGCCTACACCTCGTCCCTCTTCGACTATGCCGACGCTTCTGCGGCGTCCAAGGCCAACGTCAAGAACTACTACTTTGCCAGCGACTACACCAAACCCGTCAGTTTAGGCACCTGTAACGCAAACGAGCTTCCCATCGGCGCAGCTCAGGGTCAGCTTCTGCCCCCCGACTTCCTCCGTCAGAATGGCATCTACGCGGGCACCGAGCTCCTGCCCCAGTACGGTCAGGCGGACAAGTGGGTCGCCTTTTTCGGCCAGGGCCTCGCACTCAGCTTCTACTTTGTCACCGCAACTGATGGCCACCAGCGCTGGGTCCGCTACGACCAATACTCACGGGGAGAGCAGACCACCGTCGTCACCGAAATCTTCAACCTGCGCGAGAATGCTCGGTTCAAGGCCGGTCTCTTCAATCCTTGCAAGCCGTAGACAGCAACCAAACGAATCTCTTTCACCAGCCATGACAGCATCTCCGCGTCGGTCTGCCGGTCAGGGCGCAACCCAATAGAATCTTTGAACGTCAACCTCAACAGGACATTCACTCATCGCTCAGCGCTTGTACCTCCAAAAAGTGGAAAAAATTTGTTGCAGCTGCTGTCGCAACAATTGCTGGTGAGGCCCTTCCAGCATATCAAGGGCATTGTGTCCGACTTGAACGGCTGCAGCTTGACGGCACTACCTCAATCGTCGACCCCAAAGAGGATCGTCTGGCTCCCGTGAGCATCTCGCATGGAAGCGGCTCGGCACAACTCGATCAATCGTCAATCTCGGCGCTGCGTACAATTTCTTCGCGAGGGCTTACCAAGATGACGTGAGCATATCGCTTGATGGCGAGTGCTGAACGTGTTCGCCGGGTACTTCGGCAAATGGAGGCTTCTCCACTCGAGAGCGCTAGTGCAGGCCGCAGAGCCGCGATTGAGTTTTAGCCCGCTTTTCAGGTGCTACGGCACGAACGACAGCGGTGAGGATGCAGGCACACTCACGATTGCGGCTACGACGCACGGAGACGGTGGCAAAACACATCCATTGCCACGTTACGATACAAAAACGTGACCACGGAGCTAATTGAATGAGATCCTCCAGCATCGTGGCACTTGGACTTGTGAGAAAAATAGAGTACAGCAGGGGAGCGAAGTCCAGAATGGTGGCTGCACTCTGTCTGAAAACGCAGTGCTGTGCCCGAATCGAAAGCGAAATTGATTGTTGGTAGCCATCTGGTTAGAGGGTGCCTTCTGCCCGTTCACTTGTCGGCACTGCGACGACGCTTCCTGCTGAGGCCGAGCAGGTTGGTCAGAAGGCCCGTCTGGCCGTTCCTCTCGATCTTGGATCCGGGGTACTTGCTGTAAGACTGGGCAATGTTCGAGTTGAAGCTGTCGCAGGGGTTGCCTCCGGCAGTGGCCAGCTTCTTCCAAGGAGCAGTGAGGTACTTTGCGACAAAGTCGAGCGCCTGTCCGGTCACCTTGTAGAGCACGTTGATCTGGGTGGGGACCAGCTCCTCGATACCGATCTGGTAGAGGTAGCAAGCGAGGGCCTGGGGATCCTTGGCCAGGGTTTCAAAGTTGTACAGGCCACCGGTGAGGTTGCCGACATCCACGCCGGTAAAGGTGTTGACCTTGCCAGCGTTACCTCCGACACTGAGAAGACTGGGGTCAATGGCAGCAGCGTGCAGCAGCGTGAGAACGATGTCGTCCAGACCGAACGTGGCGCCGAGCGGACGACGAGTCCAACCGGGCAGCAGCCTCTCGTGGCCGGGGGTGTACTTGAGACCGTTGGCGGTGCGTTCCACGGAGAAGAAGGCGAGAAGGTTCTTCTCGTCGAGGTACAGTCGATTGTAGCCATTCTCGTCGACGGTGTTGTTGGCGGCGAACTCGGCAACGAAGCGCTCAGCTGCGGTCGTCACGACGAGTCCACCGAATGCCGAGTTGAAGAAGAGCGGGTTGGTCTCCACCGACTGATGCCATCGGTTCGACTTGTGCTTAAGCATGAGCTCGGCAGTGTATACGTCCTTGTCCTCGGTCTGGTCGTTGTTACCGAGGTCGAGAAGGTCCTGGAAGTAGGGCAGGTGGACCTGGACATTGTCGTGATTGGCATCGGGCGCGTAGTAGTCTTGACGGACGATCGAAGCATCTCCCTCGTAGATGTTGTGGGCATTGATACCACCGGGGGTGCCGAGGAGGAGATCGGTGACCTGTCCGAGACCCTGGGACTTGTAGGGACCGCCGATGGACCAGGTGAGGTCGAGGATGTTGCCGTTGAACACCACAGCATAGGCATTCAGGGCGAGACCAAGGTCGGCTTCGACACCGAAGACCTTGCCGATGGCATCGACACCCTGGAAAAGGTTGGTCACGCCGTTACGGTTGAGATAGCCATGGTTGGCGAGCAAGTTTAGACCGGGACAGGGACCACGAATATCGTTGGGACCGGGAGGGATGAACTTGTGCTCCTCCGAAGTGAGATCGATGTGCTGCTCTTGCGGATTGAACTTGAAGCTAGCCGGGTTGATGAGAGCATGGAAGGTTCGCTGCTCGAAGCCGGTAGTCTGGCTGTTGTTGGTTGCTCGCTTGATGAGTTCCTGGCCCCCTTTGATCTGGGCGGCCTTTTCGAGGAAGGCAGAATAGTCAACTTTGCTCAGGTCGCCATAGGAAGGGAAGGCAGCGACGCCGGTGAGCAGGACTGAAAGAGCGGGAATGAAAGCTAAGAGCTTCATGACAGGGGACAGGAACGTTGTGAAAGGGGGGAGAGGGATGATGATTCGAGAGACGAAGTTGGCATCGCTATGGGTGCGTTCTTATACCTTTCGCCCAAGTCGTTTGTGTGTCTTGTTTGGACCGTACGTGGTGGATCTTGCTCGAGGGTCATTCGATGCGATTCCAAACACCGTCGGTGCGGCTTCTGCTGGAATTGAGGTGCTCAAGAAGATTTCTTGCGTCGCATCCGCAATACAGCAGGAGGACCGTGGCGTAGGATGGCACCATACTGAAGCGAGTCCGGGTGGGACAGAGTTTCGCTTCTTGGACAAGCGTGAGCGCTGTTGGACGCGAGGATGGCCCCCCCTCCTCTCCCGCTTCGAAGTGACCTGTCGGCTGCGTCAATTAGTGCGACGTCCGTCGGGACGTCGATCTGTCAGAGCGGCGGATGAAAGTGGCAGCCGAATCTTTGGAACGTTTCTAAGAGGCTCGGTTGGACGGACCAACCAGAATCGAAAGATTTGAAGTGGATGGGGTGATAGCGTGGATGCCTGGGGGACGTGCAGTCGACGGTGGCACTTTGATGATCAGGGCTCAGTATGGTCGCGTTGCAGAATGTTGGTGGCTGTATATTGTGATGCATGCATGGAATAACGCCATCCCAGTGACGGTGGCGTGGCGGCTCCAGCTGGCCCAACTTGCGAGATCGCGTGCGAAAGTCGACGAAAGACGCACGCACGTCAAACGTCAAACTAGCGCAGAAAAAATTAATTTATTTAGAATACTGTAACTGTACAGATCAATGATTTGCAGGGTCCAGCCTAGCGTGAGACAGACTGGCCGCCACCGCGGGCCCCCACCGAGGTGGCGACAATCCAAAGATGCGCCGTACGTTTCACAGGGACTCCGCTCTCTCGCGGTGCTCGGGAGCTCATACGCAATGCTTCCGTCCTTTTGAACGCCGGCATTGTGCTTCTTAGCGTATCCGATAATGCGCTGCAAATTACAGCATGCAAGTGGGGGTATGCATCTTGGACAGCGGATCTCGCGGCCCAATCATCTTCCTGCCCGCTCGCTGATTTGCAATCCCTCCGCGTAATCCCCGGCGGTATCCTTGTCGCCCGCTGCTCGTGCTCGCCCTTGACTTGACAGACAAGCAGAGTCCCCTTTCACGGTGAGCAGGAGGACGCTCGGCAATTGATGCCTCATCGACCAAGGCGAAGCACAGAACGACATCCCAACGGGCGGTGAGGCAATGTCTCTACGGATTGCAAAAGCGCGCTTCTTCTCAAACAACGACGAGCGTTCACTCCGGTAGCAACAACCTTTTCGTTGATTCCACGCCACTACGTCCCTCCTCTGGTCATCCCTTCGATTGACTCGAGTCGCTTCCTCAACATAGTCCATCCGACCGAACGCTCGTAGCTGCAACCATGGCGTGTCCAGTCAACCACCCAGCCTTCCATGCTTTGGTCCTCTTGATGGGTGTCTTGATCATGCTGGCCAAGCACATCAAGACCTAGGCTTCTATTATCAAGCCTCGCACATCCTCGCCACCTCGAGTACGAGTATCGCTCACTCGAAATCATGGCCCATCACGAGCAACGGCACGATACCAGCGACATGCATCGATTGCAGGGCTTCGAAATGGAGGCGCGTTCCTCGCAGCTGTTCGAACAACTCGTTGCAAGATCTCTGGGATTTGCCTGAAGCGGATAGGCGCGTAGCAGGATCAAATTGTCCCCGCGTTGCTACTGGATTGTTCGAAAGAGCGAGCTAATCGGTCGAGGTCCTTTCGGTTTTGATAGCGTGACCTCAATGAAGCCTGCACCTGGCCTACCTGGTCCTCGGAGCAGTTTCGCTCGCCTCGACACGCTGCGACTTTGGCGCCCGCGCTTCTGATCATTACGAATCTCATGTTGTTCTCGATGTTGAAATCATCCCGGTCCCGCTAGTGCTACCTTTCTTTCGGGGCCAGGCTCTCACAGCAATCAAGCAAGTTTCGGAGCCATGCAAATTTGAGCGTCTGTTCGAGGGCTGTGTGGGGTTGAGCACTCACAGAGCCTCTGTGAGTTGCCGTTTGTGACCAGATTACCGAATTGACGGGTTTATCTCACGACTTTTGTGTCCAACATTTTTGCCCGAATTGAACGTTGGTATTAAGATTTGGCCATCTGGCGTTGATGACCGATGCGATGAATCTGCTGCCCGATTGTTGAGCTGATCCGGGATTTTGGCCTATGAGGTGCGTTTTTCGGGTCTCGGAAGTGGAGGCGCTCGTGTTGTTCTGAAGGCCTTCCGCAACGTTTGGACGCTTCACCTTCTTCCACCTCGAACAACGCGATCCTACACCACACAGGGAACCGCTCACGATGTCTTCCGCTGGCTCACGCGAAGATTCTCGGGGCGACTCAGCTTCGGCCTCCTCCTCTCGATCGGCTACGCCCGGCCCATCCGTGCCGCCGGCGAGGCGGAGATCGCAGTCCTTCGACACTACCGACTCGGATTCAGACGCGGATTCCGACCCAGAACCAGGCCCTCTTCCGCCCTCCGCACGATCAAAGAGCCCTGATGATAGCGAAGATGATAGTGACGTCGGTCCACCGCCCCCACCTGCGCCTACAAAGGACTCCAAAGGTGCCAATTCAACCGACCGCCCCGATGGCAGATCTGCCAAGCGAGCCCAGGAAGATCGCGACGAAGCCGCTCGGCCACCACCGCAAAAGAGGCAAAAGCCCGCTGTTCTGCCTCACGAGAGCACGTATCTGGGCAACCTGCCCTCGGCGGATCGCTACTTCAAGTCGCTCATGCACAGAGACACGGTCAACTCGGTGACCGTCACACCACGCTCCAACTTTGTCATCACCACCAGTGTCGACGGCTGGGTCAAGTTTTGGAAAAAGTCTTCACTTGCACCTCCGCCCACTTCGGGAGTCTCGAAGCCATCAGAAAGCTCGGTCTCAGCTTCCAACATCTTCAGCGGCTCCTCCGTAGTCGAATCGGTCAAGCAGTACCGCGCACATCTGGCGCCCATCATTGCATGGAGCTGCTCTGCCGATGGTGCCTCCTACGCCACGCTTGATGCAGAGTCCAATGTCAAGGTGTTTGACGTCGACAATTTCGACCTCATTAACATGATCAAGCTTCGGTACAAGGCGCGCACACTCGCCTGGGTCCACCGTCCAGGCAGTGCTCGCACGCTGCTGGCCATCTCGGACGAAGAGTCTTGCAAGATTCGCATCTACGATGCACGAAGCTCTCCATCGTCCATCTCCAACGGCGACGGAGAGGATACAGATCATGCACAGGACGATTCAGCACAGCGATCCACCTCGTCGGCGGTGCACCAGCCCATCTTTACAGCGTCCAACGTGCACCGTTCCCCTGTCCACTTGCTCGCTTTCAATGCGCAGCACAACGTGGTCGTCTCGTGCGACATCACCGGATTCGTCGAATACTGGGTGCCCGAAGAGACGTGCCCGCCACCTTCGCCACTCAAGGTGCCAGGCGTGTTCGAGCTCAAGTCCACCACGGATCTCTTCGAGTTCAAAAAGACAAAGACGGTTCCCACCACACTCACCTTCTCCCGCGACGGTGAAAAGTTTGTCATCTTTTCCGCCCTCGATCGCAAGATCAGGGTGTTTGACTTTCGCACCGCCAAGATCGCGCGCAGATACGACGAGAGCCTCGAGGCGCTCCAAGCGTTGCAAGCGCAGCCGGCGCCGAGCCCCTCGGCACCGGCCCCGGACCAAGCCAACAAAGATGACGCTTCGATGCCAGCTTCGCAGCCGGAGATCAACTTCAAGCTCGATCAGATGGAGTTCGGCCGCCGGTATGCGTTGGAGCGCGAGATCACCGCATCGGGCGCAGCGGGACCGCTGTCCGGGCTGGCGAATGCCAGCTCCGTGTCCATGTGGAACGTCGTGTTTGACGAGTCGGGCCACTTCATCATCTATGCCTCGCTGCATGGGATCAAGTTTGTCAACCTCGTCACGGACCGCGTCGTGCGGCTGCTGGGCAAGGACGAGAGCGTGCGGTTCATGCATCTGGCACTGTTTCAGGGCGCGCCCCAGCGCAAGGTCAGCTCGCTCGCAGCAGCCGCGTCCGAGAACCCGCTGCTGGCCAAGCAAGGTTTGGCAGATCCGACGTTGTTTGCCACCGCATTTGGCAGGGCACGCTTCTACATGTTTACCCGCGTCGATCCGGATGCATTGGGCGATGCGGGCGAGGCGAGCGGAGGCGACCGCGATGTGTTCAACGAAAAGCCGACGCGCGAAGAACAGACGATTGCTGCCGCCACATCTCTCGGCAACAATCGCTCGCGCAACGCCGCCGGCGCAAGTGCCTCGGTCGGCGTCAAGCACTCGACAGCCACCTTGCACACTACGCTCGGCGACATCCACCTCACCCTCTATGCAGATCTGGTCCCCAAAACCTGCAACAACTTCATCGGTCTAGCGAAAAAGGGATACTACAACGACGTGATTTTCCATCGCATCATCAAAAAGTTCATGGTGCAAACCGGCGATCCCCTCGGCGACGGTACGGGCGGCGAGAGTCTCTGGGGCGGCAACTTTGAAGACGAGTTTCACCCGAGCCTGAACCATTCCAAGCCGTTTACACTCAGCATGGCCAATGCAGGTCCCAACACCAACGGCAGCCAGTTCTTCATCACCACCGTCCCCACGCCCTGGCTCGATCGCAAACACACTGTGTTCGGCAAGGTCTCGGCGGGCATGGACGTCGTCAAGCGCATCGAAGACGCCAAAGTCGACAAGAACGACAAACCTCGCCAAGACATCCGCATCATCAACATCTCCCTCCGCTAAACCCCGCACCCCTCAAACTTAATAAAGATCCGTTTCAAGCGCTTGTCGCACATTGCTATGCTGCGTATGATACATTCCGGAGCGACAAAGATTCGTGCCGCCGGGCGCTCAAGAAAGCGTCTTGATGCCGGCGTCGAACGTGCCGAGGAAGACGGCGCCGCCAAGGCCGATCCACATTGTGCGCGGGAGGAAGCCGCTGAAGAGCGTCTTGATACCCTCGGTGCGGCCGATGTGGAGTAGCGTCGGGATGATGTCCGTGTTGACGCCGCGCGGGAGAGACTCGACGGCACTGGCCGCAGCCGCAGCCGCTCCGCCCGGGCCAGCCGAAGCAGAGCGCTTGGTGTGCAGCATGATGCGCGTCTTGACCACGTCGAGCGGCGTGGTGAGACCGGCGGCGATGGCACCGGCAATGCTGCCAGCCAGACCAGCCTGCCACGTGGGGAGGCTGCGTACGAGCTCCTGGTCCGAAAGCGCATGCACGCGCTCCTCGGCCGCGACACCTGAGCCGGAGGCTGCGTTCTTGCTGGCCCTCGACCGTGCCATTTCGAGCTTGAGCCGCTCGTACAGCGGAAACTGGATGCAGGTGAATGGGATCTCTCGACCGACGGTGCTGCCGAAGCCGCGGTAGTAGCCGCGCACGCCTGCTTCCTGGAACACTTTCTTGAACGCCTGCAGCGTGGTGGTGCCCTTGCCGTACGTCATGGTCTGCTGGCGCGACTTGATCACTTCGGTCGGTACGCGGATCAGACACGCCGCCACCTCGGCCATGGATGCCGCCGCCATGTGCACGCCCGCCGGACCAAGTGCGCCTTCGGCGCCAAACACATCGGGCATCCATCGTACCAGCGCCGGCTTCATCGACTCGTACGTGGTGAAAAACACCGAGGCACCGGGGGCCGAGCCCACGGCGGTCGAGGCAAGGCCGCGGTACACGCCGCTGAATCCGCCAGCGGCCCAGAAGCCCTGTGCTGACTGCAGACGAGTCTTGATCGTGTCGATCGGGAAGAAGAGGAGGTCGACCGTCAGACCGGACAAGGCGCCAGCCAGGAGCGCCGAAGTGAAGGCTGGACCTGAGGTTGTGGTGTCTTTGGCCGCAAGCGCCATGTCGCCTTCCTCGAGCACCGATGGGATTGACGAATGGGGAATGCGCGCCTGCGTGCGTGCAAGCTGGTCTTTCGCCGACGCCTTGGACGCGGGTGGCTGGCTCTCAGTCACACCAGGTCGCCCGCTGGCCTGCACGTCCGGCAGATTCTCCAGCGAGACAAACACGGTCGACTTGGACGGCTGCAGCGTGGATATCGGCAACGCCGCGGCACTCGGACGCGGCTGCGACTGAGCGGGGAGCGCGGGAATTGGCGGCGCCGAGCTGTGATCGTTGCGGGCCGACTGCAGCGCACGAAGGTCGGTGTGCGAACGTCTGCCCTTGAGCCTTCGCAGCGTGTCTGCTGCCGCGCTCTTCGATGGCTCCCCGCGCGAGGTCGCGCCAGTCCCTTCCGGCATCTCGGAGATGGACGGGGAGGTCTTGGGCAGCATCGAGCCGAATCGAGAATTGATGGAGCCAAGCGAGGCGTTTGAAGCTGTGCGTCTACGGGTAGGCACGCCAAGGTTTGTCGGATTGGACGACGCCACGGCGTTCAAGGTCTGTTGGCTTGTGGTCGAGATCGAAGGCGCGACCAGGCTGGCACTCGACAACGACGTCACAAGCCCGGGCGCACTGTACATGCTGGTGACACGCGGCCCCTGGACGGGGCCGCCACTGAGCTGCGTGGACGAAGCCGATCGTGCGCGGCCTGAGCCCCGCGATGGAAAGTACCCATCGTCAGCCAGGCTGTTCGGGCTTTGATCATCCGCGGCGGAGCCAGGCGGAAAGAGGAGGGACGGGGTGACGGACACGACGCTGGAAGGCCGCCTCGGCCGGGCGACGCCAAGCGAGAATCCGGAGCGGACACTGTCTGTAGGAGAACCTGGCTCGGACCATCCCGGAGACGGCTTGGCCGAGACGGCAGCGGGTGAGCTGGTGCTGACGGTGCGGCCAAACTTCTGACGGACTGTCTGGGAAGCCGAAGCGGCGGATGTTGGTGTGGCCTTGGATTCTGCTGTTGCCGAAGCAGAGACGACCGCGGCCTGAGCAGCTGCGTATCCGCTAGACAGACGCATGGTCAGGGCGGGACGTGTGTCGGCCTCGATCTTTTTGGTCGTTTCGACGTCCTCAGGTGTAAGGTCACGAAGGCGATCCTTGCTGCTAAGTGCGCCTCCACGCGACGTGGTCGTTTGCGAGATGACAGCGGCTGGTGCGTCTGCACCTCGAGGATGCGGGAGAGAGTGGCGCTGCACATATTCTGACGCCAGCGCCTTGTCGAGACCCTTCTGCGCGCACGTGGTGAGATTGCGGAAGAGCTGGTCGTCGTAGATGCGCCCTGAAGTGTCTTGGGCTCGCGACAGGATGTTCAGGATCTGATCAAGGTCAGGACGATGCGATGCGCCACTCTGCTGCACTTCGGCCACCCTGGTCCAGGCATGTCGGGCTGGCGCGGCATTGTCGGCGTATGGCTCGAGGGCGAAAGCGCGGGTGAGCTGGATCGCGCGGAGAAGAAGCATGTGGCTATGGAGGAGATGCATGGTGGTTGCGAGGCTCTCGTGTTCCTCGGCCTCGTCCGGCCCATTGGAAATGTTTTGTTCGGAGGCGTGGGCTCTTTCGACGGCTTCCAGACGGGCGGTCCACCTCTGAATGGCATCTTCGAGCTCGGTCCAGAGCTCTGGTGCTTGCGACTGTGATGCGGGTGCGGACGTGCGGCTGCGAAGGGGTGATGCGCCCTGTGAATCGGCCAGATGCTCGATGGCGGGGAGGAAGACGGCGTTCTTCTGGCACGGGTCGAAGGCACCCACCTCGGAGCTTAGGAGAGCGCCAACGAGCAGGGATGTAGCCTCGAGGGGCGCTTGCCACACGAGCGAGAGCCGGAGAGACGGAGTAGCTGAAGCGGAGGCTGCCTTGAGCTGAGCGGGAAGTCGGTGCTCGCACAGACGGAGCGTTTGGAAGATCCATGCGATGCTTCGGAGCGTGTCACGGTAGACGAGGGTGACGACGGGGGAGACGCCGCGGGTGACGCCGTAGGCGTAGAGATGGGCGAGGCGTTGAGAAGCGGTTGTGGAGCCGAGCGAGGCGGCACGGAAGAGAAGCAAGATGGCAAGCGGGTAGGCGTGATGCAGAAGCGCGGCCTTGGCCTCCCACTCGAGCTTGGCGAGATCGGTGGTGCGCAGGACGCGATCGCACAAGCCCTCGTGTCGCGACCACCTGGCTTGGGCGTATCCACGCAGACTGGTGCGCTGAGCCGAATGACGCGGCGCCTTGCGTTGGTCGCGTGAGTTGTTGGCGGACAGCTGGGGCTGGCCTCGCGACGGTCGTCCGCCAACAAAGATGTGGTCGATGCTGCGCTTGGTTCTCGTGCCGTCTACGATAGGGTCGTGTTGTGCCGATGATGCATGGGGGACCGTTGCGCTCGAGGACGTCTCGGGTGCGGATTCGTTGTCGGCATCTTGCGGGGTGGAAGCCGGATCCTCTGCCAGACCGAGACCGAACTGAGCGCTCATGTCGCGCACTTTTGCCGCGAGGATGGACTCGTGGACCTGCAGGCTGACCATGGATGTCGACGAGCTCGTCCTTCCGAGAGAGGGTCTATGGTCGGCGTGTATGGAGGTATGACGTGGGAGGAACATGACGAGCGTTCGAGGGCAAAGCGCCGCGCGCCTTGGAGAGCTGCGACGTCGGTGGGCGCAGGGACGTGCGTGCTGTGATATCCACGCAGGGCGGCGGCGGCAGTGGCGGCGTCGAAGGCAGCGTAATGTGATTGGTCGGCGCGTGTCTGGGATGGGATGAAGAAGTCGCGCAAGGTTGTGAGAGCGAGAAGCCGTGCGCAACGATCCGCAAAGCCAACGCGACTTTTGAAAACGGCCAACCGGATTTACGCGCCGGCTCCTCCCAAATTAATCCCTCCGAGCAGCGCATGAAGCGGTGCCGTACGCTGCCGAAGTGATGGATGGGCGTCTGTGCGTTGGCTTCTCTGCGCCAAGCAACGCCACTGGTCGCGTGGCACTGGCACTGGTCTACGGAGCCTTCACAGCACACTCGCGCCTGTGCTCACACAGCAGCAGCACGGCTCGAGTCATGCATCGTACATGGTTGCAACATTGCTCTCACTTGGGCTAGGCCTCGGCCTGGGCAACGCCAAAGAGGCCAGTGAGGTAGCCCTCGTAGTCATACACAGCATCCTCGACCCCCTCGACTTGCACCTGGGGCATGGCGGCTTTGAGATAGTCGATCGAGCCCTGGGGCAGCAGTGCGAGTCGCAGGTCGAGTTCGGTCACATACGGCTTGTCGCCCGCCAAGCCCTGGAACGCCTCGAGCAGCTGATCGGGCGACGTCGTGTCCTCGGTGATCTCGCGCAAAAAGGTGAGGAATGCGTCGTACGAGACGGCGCCAAACGTCTCGCTGAGCTGCAGGTGGATCTGCTCGATGTCGTCCTCGGTGTAGATGATGCCCAGACTGGCGAGCGCTGCCCCCAGCTCCGGCACGGTGAGCGTATTGGAGGCGTCCTTGTCAAAGTAGCGGAAGGTGGACTCGAACTCTTCGAGTTGTGCCGGCGTAAGGTTGGTGTGCTGACGCGAGACGATCTGGTTCTGGATAAAGGCCAGCTTCTTGGAGACGCTCGCTCGCACCAGCTCCCACTCGAACGCGAGATCGCTAAGTGTAAAGATGGTGTGGTCGTTCTCTTCCACCTTGGCGTCGGTACATGCCTGCTCGAGCGCCGAAATGAGCTCGAGTCGGTCTTTGATGGGGTCGAGCTGGGCGAGCAGACTCTTCACCACGCCTTCTTGCCCCTCGAGGTCGCCCTCGAGCGTTGCGATGCCGCCCGCCACCTCGCGCAGTTGTCGCTCGAATGCATTGGCAGCATCGGCAAACTTGATGCGCAGGTTTTCCTTGGCGTTGCGGATCTCGGCGTTGATGGACCGGCTGCGACGCGCCTCGGCTTCGGCCAGCGTGGCCCACGCCGCGTCCAGGTCGGACTGCCTCAGTCCTGGATGCGGCATCCACTCGGGAAGGTGGTACGTCTTTAGCTTAGTCTGAATGTTGCCAAGCAGCGCCGCCAGATCCGTACGCTCTCGCACGAGCTCGCGCTTGACTCCGATCTTGTATTCGTTGAACTCGGTCAGCTGCGCTCGAGCGTCTGCATAGGTGCCTGCGAACTTGGCCGCGACCCATCCCGCTTGAAGGTTGCTCATAGTCTCGACAAGCTGGGTCGAGGCGTCGACGGATTGGTCAGCGCGTGTTCAGAAAACAAGACGGTGCCGGCATCCACTTACCTCGCGTGCCCTCCTTTCATAGTCTTGCTGCATGAGCCAGGCGCCCTGCATGACGTCGGCAAAGGTGGCGACCCTGCGGCTGACCACCTCGGCCTGCTCCATGGAGCTGAAAGCGTGGAAGTATTGGGCGACGTAGGTCATCACACTGCGTTCGTCTGGCTTGGCACGGTCGCACAAGTCTTCGACATCGAGCAGCTGCGGGATGCCCAGATGCTGCTCGGCCACTTGGAAGGCGGTTCGGGTGCAAGCGTGTGGATCCGACTTTGGCAATGCGTCGTAGTTGAGAAGGTCGGGGCGATGGCGATGGATCAGGGCGCACAATGCAAGGCCGTCCTTGAAGGATGTTGTGAAGTTGGTCACCTCTACTTCCTGGTATGGAGCTGTCTTGCGCTGGCACCACAGCAATAGACCCTCTTTGGCAGTGACGCCCTCCTCGCTGTTGACAGAGAAGATCAATTGGCAGACAGATTCCGAGGGAAGGCACGGTAAGGAAAGGCTGTCAGCGCACAGTTTCGGAACGAGTGTGAGCACTGTAAAACGCACCTGATATCCGCGATGGTGAAGCGGAGAATGAGAGTCCAGATCATGCCGAGGATGAGCTTGAGGTTGCCATCGACAATATCCTCGGCACCGACGTTGGTGAGCACGACGCCTCTGCTCTTGATGAATTCGAGCGCGAGGTTGACATTCTCTGCCTTCTGGACGCGCATGCGCGGATTCATGTAGAAGCGGCCGAGGGTGGTGTCGCCCATGATCTCCATGAGCTGCACCAGCTTGACGCCGTCGGAGAGATCAGTCGCTAGTGATCGCATCGGAGCGATCTGTCTCGACTCTAGCTTGGTGTTGAGCCTACGCGAGGAAGAGCCGAGAGGGTTAGCGAATCTCTCATTGCGCCGCCAGGAAGAGAGTGATCAGAGCGCAGAGGCGCAGCTTACCATTTTGTGAATGTCTTTGCCTGCACTTCTTCCCAGCCTCGGTCCTGGTCGGGAAGGCCGACGAGCACGGAAGTTCGCTTGTAAGCCATTTTGGGGGCAAGAGCTGCTTCGGAGGGCGGCCTCTCCCGAGCTGGATGTGATGCAGGAGAAGCGGAGCTGCGTGGGATGTTCCGGCTCTGAACGGTAGCCGGTGGGAAAAGGAGGCGTGCGAAATCCTGAAGCGGTGTTCGGCGACTCCGATGGGATGCGGGAGCGTGAGATGGCGAAGCGGAAGGATGATAAGAGGATTGAGTGGAGGGACAGCGAGAAGGCAGTGCGCAATGCTTCGGCAGAATCTACGCTGCTGTGGAGCGCGTCTGCCCGTCTGTGTTACTTTTTTTTTTTGAGTGGCTCCGCAGGCGGACGCAGCCAGAAGGCTCACGACGGGAGACGGATCTAATCAGCACCACCACTTGCGCGCGCCCATCCAAGACCAACACCTTTTGAGCGTGACTGCGTGTCGGGCTGGACCCGCCGCCTGCTGTGCTGTGTTTTTTTGGTCGATTTTCCTACGAGGCCAACTTGACGCGCGCGTCCAGGCGGCGGCAGCTCGCCGAAGACCCTTGATCTGCAGGCAAAGAGTGTTGGTTGCAGATCGGGGCCACGATGGTGGACACGAGGAGCGCGCCCCCGCCTGGAGGGTCGGTTCATCCTCGACTGCTTTGATCAGAGCTGTAAAGTTGCATGCATGTACGAACGAGGGAAGATCCGCTTCGAGCGTTTCTTCGATGCTAGCCAGAGCGGTGGTGCTGCAGTGTGAGATGAGATCATTTCGGAGCAGCGGAGCAGCCGAAAGACGCCTTGAAGCTCGAAGGTGGGAGCAGCAAAGAAGGCCTGCGGAAGGCACAACGCACGACCTTCTTGTGTGTCTCAGACAGCAGGTGAGCATGCGGCTACGGCGTGCCCACAGCGTGTGCCCACAGGAAGCGTTGCCACATTGCGATTGCGATTCCATCAGACGTGCATGCACGAGATGCGAGCAGCCATGTTCCTACAGCAATTGCGATCCAGCGCCGTTGCAGCGGTTGTGCAAAGCGAGGCGACAGGCGGGCTTGGCAACGGCGGCACGCTGGCCCGGCCCTGGCATCCTCGGATGCGCCGACGGCTGCTGAGCTGCTGCAGGCTCGATTCGGCGCTTCTGCAAATTTAGCGCTTTTCTCACGAGTTGGGCGGTGGGGCGCCACACCACGCTCGGCTCGCCCGCACACGCTCGCATGGTTTGAGCGGCACAACCGTCGTCTCGTTCGAGTCTCCATCATCACGCTCGATACCCCTACTCTCGTCCTTTCAATCATCCGCGCGCCTCCGAGTCAGCAGCACATCCCTACCACCGGCTGGTCCGGTCGATTTTCAAAGGTCCTGCCACCGTTAGTGTCCCCGAGCGCCTAACCCCTTTCTTCGGCATGCTCGCGGTTTAATCCTATCTCGAGGCGTCTATTTGGCGAGCAGCAATGTTCATCTGAACGCAACTTGGTCCAATAGCACACCTTCACCAATCCGATTGGATCACGCGCAAGGATGAAGGCCATCTTTGCCAACTTTGGACGGCGAACCAACGTGGATCGCAAGGATCCGTCGTTCGAGGTCGCCTCCAAGACGCCGCTAGGCACACCGTCCAAAGAGGCGCCCCGCGTTCACGCCATCTATGCTTCCTTGGACACCGCAGCTAGCGCCATTGGAGACGTCCCTTCAACAGCACCGGGCTCGAACCGCTATCGTACCGATCGCCTCCAACACCACAGCGATGCGCATACGGGTCCACCGAATGCATGGTCTGCAAGGCTCTCCGGATCTCTCCGCAGTGCCAGCATTCGCCGCAAGCCGCTTCAAGCGGCCGACACCAACGATGCTTCTGCCAGGTTGAAGCCAGCATCTCGATCGGCACATCCGCCATCGAGCTACAAGATGCCGCACTCCCAACCACTCGATCGAGGTGCCGACAGCCCCGCCCTGCTGAGGAAGACGTCCACGACCAGCAAGCGGAGCGCTCCAAAGCAGGTCTCATCTTCCCTTGCAGACCGTGGCCTTGTCAGCGACAGTCTGGACTTCCCTCACGTCTCGGGGTCCGACCCAAGCGCAAGGTCCGCGGCCCACCTACACGTCGATGTGCCTTCCATGTCCTCTGCAGACTTGGCGGGCCGGCTCGACGAGCTCGCTGTTGCCAACGCCGATGGTCTTCTCACCGACGACGAGTATCGAACGCTGCGACAGGCGGTGTTCGACCGCATGCTCCAGGCCGACAAGCATCTCATGTCTGCGCCTTCGGATCGTGATCTCAGCGGTTCCGGCCTGCCCGACCACGTTCTGGGCAAGCCAGCACCAAGCCCTCCGAATGGATCTGCTCGTCACGCGCACAGCTCATCAGATCATCTCGCGGTCAGCCGCGCAGACTCGATGCGCGGCCAGGCAGAGCGACCGGGCTCTTCCATTCGCAGTGGCCAAAGTGCGACGTCTTCGAGTCTGCAACACGCCTCGAACTTCCTCAAGAAGAGCGTCGGTGCTACCAAGACGCACAACCACAACGGCCCTTCCAGCGGGGGTTTCGACGCGAGTGTAACAAGCGATACGGCTCGCAATGGAACATTGCGGCGCGACTCGGAAGGCAAGTCGTCGCAGTTGTCCAGTGGTGATGGTCACTCGCAGCGTGCCTTGTCGTCGCGCACACAGCGTTCGTCCGGTGCCAAGTCGTCGCGCCTCTCGACGCTGGGACGTCTGAGGGCGGGGAGCCAGTCGAGGCGGATGCACGCCGAGACAGCGGCGCGCGAGCTCGAAGAGGCGTTCTCAGCCGAGAGGACTGCGCGCTCGCTGCGTGCCGTGTCGCTGTACGAGACGGGTGCTTCGGAGCAGTCGGCGATGGGCGGCATTGCACGCGAGAGGTCGCCGACGTCTTTGCGCGCCGAGATGGCGCCGACGACGCTGTTCGGCTTCGAGTATGCGGACAAGTCGTCGGCCGAGATCCAGGCCGAGATCGCGGTGGTGCTGGGCGAGGGTAACCGGATGCTCGACACTTTTGCGGCGCTGGAGCAGACGCTCGTGGCCAAGCACGGTGCGCTGGAGGCTCAGGCGGTGCGCGAGGTGGTGGAGCGGGTGCGCGAGGCTAATCCGCAGGCGTGCGTGCATCGGTTTGAGGCGAGTGCACCTCCGCCTTCATCGTACCGCCAACCGCGCCAGGCGCATGCGTCGTCGAGCGGGCTTGGTGGCGAGGACGGCGGCGCGTCGAACGAGGCGAGGGCGTTGGAAGCTGAGCTCACGAGCAACTACGCGCAACGCGCCGCCGTAGTCAAGCGATACCAAGATCGGCTGGCGTTCCTGCACAGCAAGGCGCGCTCCGCCGCCATGCGTGAAGGCCTCAAGTGAGCGTCGTCGACACTTTGTTCTTCCTTGTAATTGTACAGTACCGTTGTGAGGCTTATACACACACAAACAAAAACGCGCGTGAAGCATGCTCAAGGGAAGGCGGCTGTGCGGACGCGCGGAAGCAGGGATGGCATTGCACGTTTTGCTGCACGAAGACAAGTGGCAGGGGATGGCTCGGCGGTGGTGCGGCGTGAGAAGTTGCATCTAGAAGGTGGAGCGGCTGACCTTTTCGAGGACGGTCTCGTGGCTGACTTCGGAGAAGTCGGTGCCCTGGATTTCGGACGAGATGCCGACGAGCGCCTTCCTGAGAGCGTCTTTGGAGGAGGCGAAGACCATCTTTTGCTTGATCTTGGCGTCGTCGGGCGACCAGGTGAAGAAGCAGATCTTGTTGCGCTTGCCCTCGTCGCCCTTTTCGTACTCAAAGTCGTAGATGGCGTAGCGGCATTCGGCGGGTGGGAGCTCGGCGAGGAAGTCGTCGTAGGAGGACGAGGTGGAGGTCTTGGCCACGACGATCTCGGTGTTTTGGGCGTTGAGCGTGTAGATGATGTACTTGATCTTCTTGCCCAGCTTGAGCTCCTGGAACTGCGCCAGGCACTCTTGCGAAACTGCGACACCGGAGGACTGGCGTAGACGACAAACTTGCAGAGCTTCAGCGGACGCACTCCGCAACAGACGGCGCTGGCTGGACCGCAGTAGGACTCACCATTTCTGAAACGAGGAACACGGATGTGGGGAAGGACGTGTAGAGGTGGATGTGGAAGGAAGGATTGCGACAAGGCTCGGAATGGTGAGCGATAACACGCGGCGGCCGAGCTGGCGAATGCACCGAGGACGTGCGCGCGTCTCCCTCTCTCCCCCCCATCTCTCGCTGTCAGCTGCTCAACTCCACTCTCGCCAGCGTCGATCCGAAGCAACTCTGCACAGAGACCAACACCCACACCCGCGCACTTGTGCAGAGGCTGTGTTGACGACCGACTGCCCTCCGCCTGGACCCCCTCCCCAGTGCACAGCACTGCCCCCGCCGTTGCATCACCGATGGCCCGGCGCCCGCGCCCTTTTGAAGTCCTCATGAGTGGCCTCAATTCAAGCCACCGCTTCAACCAGCAGCGCGCCCAAATTCAAAACAAGAAGAAAGGGGCCAAGCTGGAAATTCAATTTCTTCAAAGTGCGGCCATACTCTAACATGTCGAAGCCACCTCTCACGTGTTAGCTCTCAGAACCCAACACATCTTGCAGAGCTGGCGAAAGGGTGATCGAGATGGGCATCGCGGCGGGTCCGAATTTAGACCACGCGGGCTTCGCTCGGCAAAACACGATCTTCCGACCCAAAATGTGCGAGACCGCTGGCGAGCAGGGAGCGGTTCGGTGCCAGGGCGGGCTTTGATCATGCGCTCTCTTCCCGTCGGCCTCGCTTAGCCACTGGTGCGTTGCAGCGCCAGCGCCAGCTCCCAAAACAATCCCAAAAACAAACAGCACGCGGATCTCCCCTCCCCAGTCAGCCAACCTCCCTGCGCTGTATCCTTCGGTGGCTGGTTTGAGCGGTTCGAGCGCCTGGTGGTGCACTGTATCTTGGCGATGGTGAGTAGAGATCTTGGTTGCCAGATCGAATTGCACGGAGCCGATTTCTTTCGAAAAAGAAATAGAAAAGGAAAAGAAAAGAAAAGAAAAGCGGGACGGGGATCCGAAGCTCAGATCTGGGTGCGGCTCGGAGGAGTGGAAGCGAGCTGTGGCTTGCAGCGGAAAGGCGCCAGTTTGACTGGACTCCGGAGCCACGTTTGGCAATTGATGACTGGCCAGGCAGACGATGCCAATTCGAGCTCCGTCGTTGGCTGTGGTGTTGCATCGGCAGCCGTAGCGGGCATGCACGCCTCGCCTAGCTGGGAAGTGTGACCCACTACACGTGCAGGCGGTTCCAATGCCGTCTGTCGATGCGTCATTAGCCGGCACGCCGCTCGCTTCGTCCAGCATGTCGTTGGCCGGCCAAGTCGATCAATGAAAGTCCACCGTGATGGGTGCGACAGAGTGGCAGCTGGCATCGCCCCTGCTGATGTGCATGTTAGCGAGCACCAAGCAGCTGGGCTCTAGCCTTTATGCCTTGGCAATGATGGCGGCTTGGCCGGCGGGTCAGCTCCGTCATTCCTGCTGTCGTGACACTTTCAAAAGCCAAACCGAACCTGTCATTCCCACTGCATCAACCGAGCGAACTCGAAAATTTCCAGCTCAGACGACGGCCCAAGATACTGCCTCGTTGCTGCCTTGCCATCCCGCTTCCGTCGGAGATTCCGCGATGGTCCGCTGACGTTCTTCGTCGGCGCCCATCCGATCCAAATTGAGCAGCCGCACTGCCCATTCGCGTCGATCAATCTGACCGCTCCTCGCTTCAGCCGGTGTTTGATGCGGCACGGCGTCGTTGCCGTTATCTCTGATGTCAGATTGCCTCGGCGTTCGATAGAACTTGGCGCTGAGGCCCAGGGCCTGCGACGGCATGCAATCGTCGGGGGAGGGGACAAAGTCGGGCACTCACACTTCAAACAAGTCAGAGAGGCAGGTCAGAGAGGCAAACAGTGTCGTCGTGATCATTCGAGCAAAGGACAATTGCGGGGCATTGTTTGTCGTATGTGTAGGACACAGTGCTGCTTTTCTTTCGGTTAGGATTCGGCACTGGGAGCGAGACAGGCGGCGCGGATATGCAATCAGAGTCTCGCTGGCATGAACCAGGATTTTCTGCGCGTGAGACCGGATTTGGCGACCCGCACGACGGGGCTGCAATGTGTGCGTCTTCGCTCATCGTCCTGCACAGCTCAAGATCTCGCAGACGTGTGCACGCGCACACCCATCCATCGGGTTCCTGAGGCCATCGCTGCTGCGACATCTCGTTGGTCAGTGAAGCAATGTGCGTTCTCGCACAAGCCGAACGCACCTGTCGCCCCAGAATCAACTTGTTTCGCTGCCGGAGCCTTCTGCTCCGTGTTATCCCTCGGCCCAAAAAAAACCGGGCCGAGCAGAAAACTCAGCCAGCTGAGTTGCGCCTTCGCTTCCATGGTGGCCCGAACCGCCAGGCTGCCCGGACACAGCATTGCCGTCTGGCTTCTGTGACTTGCACCGCAACTCCGACAGACACCCGACTGCACCTCTTTTCGTTCGGTCAAACTGTGCAGCGAACGGTTGAACATCAACAGTTGGTACGCTCGACCCAAGATCGCAACTGCCGGCCAAAATGAAAGCAGCAAAACATGCCCTAGAAGAGAAAGCCAGCCCAGCACAAAGGGGTGAAAATTCGCTCCTCGATGTCGCCTTGCGCTTTGTTGAGGACACTTGCGATGGTTTCCCTCGTCTCGCTCTTATCGAGCAATCTCACCATGGAAACTGTCACGCTTGTACAGGGCTGCAGCTTGCATGGAGTACAGCTCATGGGTGGTGCCATTGTTTGACGTGGGTGGTACAGTCATGTCTCGTCCTTGACAAGCATGATGCCACGAGACCATGTTGCATTGTATCGCTGCCAAGACCGGCCATGAAAAAGACGCTGCGCGCGAGATTCTTGGAGTGAACACATGCATCATGTAAGGAACGAGCGCGTGGTGGGTAGAGCTGCCTTGCGTCTTGAAGTCGGAGGATCGAATCGAAGAACGCGGTACATCGGCGGCAGTCAACAGCTGTTTCACTTTCAAGTCCTGCGAGGCTGCATGCGAGATTCGCCCCAAGAAGAAAAGAACGCGAAGAAAAGGGAAGGCGAGCGAGGAGAGCAGGAAGAGGATGTTCCGCTGCGCAATTTCAAAGGTGACCGACACCGAGCGAGGCGCCACCAGATGTTGAGCGCGCGGCGGAGCGCGAAGTGCAGCCAAGCAGCGAATGGAAAGGGCGCCGAGAAGTGAAGCGCTGCGACTCGATGCGTCGTCGGCCCCCTGTACCGCAACAGCCGTGGTTCCACTCGCCCGCGCATGAATCGCTGCACCCATCCCTTGGCTTCCATCCTCTCCAGACGGGACCAGCGTGCGTCGGCTGATCCGTGGGCACGTTCTCCTCCCTCCCGTCCGCTTCCTGCGCCCCCAACTCCTACTTTCCCACATTCGGTCCGCATGTGCAATCGGCTCAGCTGACCATCCTCTTTCGAGACAACCACCAGGCTTTGGCGGCATGGGACGTGCCGAGCTCAAAGAGGAAATCCAGCCCAAAAACCAAGCGGAGCTGCGAAGGCTGGCTGCGTGCATGCGCGTTCGACACATGGAGTTGACCGGGCTGTAGCCGAAGAGGGTGCCATGTCGTGTGGCTTGGGATCGACCCACGGAACGCCTCCGTGGCGCGTGATGAGGTGTGCATCGACTGCTGCCAGATGCGAGTGGCAGATGACAGCAGCGCATGAGGTCCGTGTTTTTGCAGGAAGAACTCGAATTGGGCCCCAAACCAAAGCACCAGAGCAGGTGGCTTGCTTGCGCTTCCGCAGAGCCGCGAGCGGACGCGCGCCCCCACCTGCGCTCACCTGCACCTCGCTACATGCATGCGCGCCTGATGCTCTCCGCGTCCTGGTTCCACTAGCTAGGAACGGTGTCGGAGCTCGAATGCACAATTTCCACGTCTCCGCCTAGAGGGTCCCCCTTGCTTTTGCTTTCAGAAAACACGCGCGTCCTCGCAACTGCGAAGACACTAGACCGATTATCGAAGTAGCCCAGCCGTTCTTCGCTGGCACATCGAGCAATTGTGCGCCGCTTGTTGGATATTTTGGGTTTGCCAAACACGCTTCCGTACAAAGCGGAGAGTTGGGTTGGCCGATAAGGCGCTCTCCGAAAGCTTCGTCTTCGGTGCTGGCTCGAATTTGAATTTGCAAGGAAGGGGTGGAGCGGAGCGGAGCATGATTGTGCAGCAGCGGCCCAAGGGCCGGGGTTAACGTGGGCGTTAACTCCTTCGGGAAGGCAAAAGGTTAGCGGTTCGGCAGACAAGGCCGACAAGCGCCGCAAATGATCTCGGACGGGGGCGTGTGCTTGTGGGAGTTGGAAGCGATCCGGTTGGCTTGCCTTGAAGCATGCATGCTCGACGTACAGTCGCCGCGGCCAACGGGGAAACCAGGTTCGATCCGCCCGAAGCTGCACGTCGGACTTGAAATGCTTAGGCTGGATTCGGCAAGCAACTCACAGTCGAATTATCTCTACTGTATCTCGATTCGAGGCGTCGGTCGTCGTGCACGTGCAAAGGACAAGCTGCGGAATCAATCGCTGCAATACGAAACGAATACCACAGACCGACCATCCGGCCAAGTGAGGTTTTGCCAAGCGCCAGAGCAAGGGCAACCAAGGTGCCAGCCAAGCCAGCCAAGCAAAGGGTGGCGTCGGCCTGTCAAGCGAGGCTGCCGATTGGCTTTTGGCAGAGGCGCCAGCCGGGATTCTGCGCGTCCACAAGCTCAAAAATCGCCAAATTTAGAACTCGGCAAGTGCCGCTGATGGATGCACCCGAGCCATCAGAGCGAGGAGGCCATCGCATGAAATCACAAGTTGAGCGGTGTGGCAGCTGCTGCTTCCTTGCCTCACCACCTGACCTTTCTGATCCCGACGGGCGCGTTCGCATGTCTGCCAAGCTCATGCCGATTCCTGTATTTTTTTTTCTCGGGCCCTTTTTTCCTTTTCGCTTTTGGCTCTGGGTGTGCGCTCGGGCTCGTTTGGATGAGAGGGTGTGCGCATCTTGTGCGCGTGCGCAACAGCTGCGGGAACAGGATCGGCTCAACCAATGACTTGAGCTTCCCGTTGGCCCTGCGCATGACCACATTGTGACACTTCTTGCAAGCACGCCATCGGCTCGTCTGTTCATCTCCGCCGAGTAGCGTGGTTCGGGTGCTCGGGAGCAAGTGTGCAAGTGTCTCCCCCGCCTCTCTATCTTTCATCACAGACCGTTGCCCTTGCTCTGTGATGCTTCAGAGGAGCTCGGCGGCGAGTGTGTTTGTGGGTGTTGAGCTTGGCTGCGAGAAAAGTGAGACGGCGCTCGCCTTTGTGCAGCTGCGGATCTAAGAAGTTGGCTCACTTGCAAATTGGCGGGCGGCTTCCACAGCGCATGCCCACCCAAAAGCATGCGGAGGCAGATCCGCAACGCACCCAGGTTTGGGCAGCCGATGTGCTTTGCCCACCGAGCCGTAATGTACCGGCATCGTACCCGCACTCTATTCTTGTTCACCTGCGCCGTCCGAGTCGTGGTCGCTTGCCTTGCTGCCTTGCCTTGCCTTGCCTCGCCTTGCTTCGCCTCGCCTGCACCAGAACCGCGCTTTCGGGTCTTGCAACCTGCACGGCATGATTCGTCGCCTGCCGCACGTTTGCATCTCGCCGCTCATGGCCGCGCAGCTGCCCTTGGCCCCGAACGCATGCGTCTGGCGCCTTGGCTGTCGACGCACCGTATGCATGCTGCTGCGGTCTCTTGTTGGCTTCACGCCCGCTTTGTTTTTGCAGCAGCCGCTTTCTTGCACCGCATCGCATTGCATCGCCGCGCCGTGCCGCATCTTGCCTTGCGACTCACCCCTCGCTTCGCTTCGCCCGGCCGTACCTCGGAATGCGTGTCTCCCCCCTTGCTTCCACGTCCACTGAGGCACAGTGGAAAGGTGGTCGTGCTGCTCATGCTTGTCTTGGACTGTCATGCATCTTTTGACTCTCCGGCCCGCCCGCATTGTGCTTGTCTCGCTTAGTTTGCCTCCAAAGGTCTGGGTCGGCGTTGGTGGTGGTGTGTTCCTGTCTCTCTCTGCCGGGTGCTGGTTGCGCTGCCGCCCTGATCCGCCCAACATCTGCTGTTCCATCTTTAGCATCCGACCCGCTCGCTTCTCGCTTCATACCCGTTCTCGCTCCGTTCATCCCCCTCGAACACTCAGACCCATGCCAAACAAAAGAATCTTGGCTTCCATTCTCCTGCGTCCTCACCCTCTGCATTCGCACCTGTAATGATCTCGTCACCGCCACTATAGCACGTAGCCGCCGCCACACTCCTTACCGATCTCTACACTAGACTCCATCGCTGGCGTCCTCCGTCCCTACCATCATCTCCCTCCACTGCATCCCTTCCTCTTGCTCACTCGTTTCTGCTCCTACTTCCGCACCATCGTTTCGTCACCATTGCGCCTGTCGAGCAGCCATCACAACCTTTCACCACCACCAAAGACGCTTGCTTCCTTTCAGGCCCTTTCTTGTTTCAAGGCGCAACCGCATAGCTGCGTCCGATCGAAGTCCTCGACTTTCTGGTAGAGGCCACCTTCATAGCCGTCATCACAGTTCCGTCGCTCGGATCTACCGCTCTATCACATTATAGCCTCAACGTCAACTCTTTCCAACAGATCGGATCTGCCGAAACCCGACTGCCATGTTTCCCAACCGAGGTCCCGAGCCCGACCGCAGCGCACTCCCACGCATCGCGCATGACGGTGACTATGCGAGGAGCGAGCCGCATGACACGCGTTCATTGCGCGCGCTGCCGCCCAGCGCTGATGCTGCGCGCGAAGAGCGACGACCGGCGACAGCTACCGAACGTCGTTTGACGCCGCCACCTGGCTCCCTCGGCCGCCCGCCGCGCGAGATGGCAGCGCCCCGAGCCGGCTCCTTTGGCCACCCCAACGACGAGGCCTATGCTGCTCCAGGCAGCTCGCGTTACGCGCAACCCGGCGCACCACCCATGCCTTTCAAGCGCGACCCAGAACGCACCTCGCCCGCCTCGGACGAAGGCGCCTGGCGGTCGTTCGATCGCCCTGACCCTCGCTTTGCGCCAAAGGATGCCTACAGCCCGCACATGCCACCAGCGCCTTACGCGCCTCGAGACGATATCCGACCTTCGCCGTGGCAGCGTCCGCTGGAAGAGTTGCACCGTCCTCGTCTGCCTGGTCCTCCGATGGCAATGCGCGACGATCCCTCTTGGAGACCCGTACCACCGGCGTACGACCGTGCTGATGCACATCCGGATGCCCTAGCCCATGCACGTATGCGCGAGGACGAAAGATGGGGCGGCGAAGCTGGCAGTCGACCGTTGCATCCTTACGAGAACAATGGGCAGCCTGCGCATCCGGCCGCCTTCCCCTCTGACCCTCGCGGCGCCCGCCCGCTGGACGTTGAGGCGCTCGACGACCGCCGTGTCCGCAGACGCGGCCCGCCCGGCCCACCTGGCCTGGTCGACGCCGACTACGATGCTCAGCGATATCCACCCGCGCATGCACGACCGTACGGCCCAGGTCCCTACAGTCCTCCCGATTCGCGAAGCCAAAGTGTAGCGCCCGGTCCAGGCGCCATGAGGCCGACCATGATGCACGGCATGGAGCCACCTCGACCCGCGTCTTCGCTCGGCGTCATGAACCGAGGCGGCATGGCGGGAGACGTGCCTGTGGCCGCATCGGCGGTGGGAGCAGCGGGACCGGCGGCTGCCAGCTCGGTCAATGCGAACCGAAGGGTGGCGCATCTGTTGTCCGAGCAGAAGCGCCGAGAGTCGATCAACACGGGCTTTGAGGATCTTCGTCAGGCGATCCCGGTGTGCCGCGATGGGCAAGACAGCAAAGCGACCATCCTCAAGCGAGCGCTCGAGTACATTCGTGAGCTGGAGAGCGTGGTCGAACGACAGCACCGCGGTCCGCTCGAAGCTCACGCGCTCGGAGGCTACAGCAATCGCAGTCCGCCAGACGACAAGGACCACCTGCGCCGCTTCGGACGCCCTGCAGGCGATGGAGAGCGCCGTGCATCTGGCAGCGCACGCCACATGAGCGGCGCTAGCAGCAGCAACAGCGGCGAGGCGGGCAATGGCCCCAGGATCGGCGGGATGCCGTCGAACGCGTTCAACGGGGCGCCAAACGGCTTTGCACCCGCGCATGGACCTGCTCCGTACGGTGCTCGCCCGTATGCCCAGCATGAGTCACCCAACATGGCTGCGGCGCCGATGCATAACGACGCGGCGCACGAGTCGGGCGAGTCGCGCAACTCGGCGGCGAAGCGATGGGCTGAGGATTCGGACGAGGACCAGCGCTCGCCTTCGCGCCGACGCGTATCGGATGGCGACAAGGACGAGGTGGAGCGTTCGCCCGTTGCGCCCCACTACACCATCACGCATCACGGCCGCCGGGCATCGCCGCTCGGGCGTTCGCCGAGCCTGGAGAAGCTGCGCGACTGGCACACGCGGCTCGACAACAAGTCACTCGTCGACTCGGCGGTGCGTGTGTAGGCGTGCTACATCAGAACGGCTCGCTAAAGAGAACGGACACTTCCTATCTTCCTACCTCCCCCTCTGGCAGCGGCCCAACAAGATTCGCTGTCGCTCGAGATCAAGGCTTCCACTTTGTACTATGTTTTCTTCTGTGATATGAGCTGCTAATTTAATCGTGTACACTGTACTTACCACGGCCGCTCCAACCCCCAGCGTGTGTGTTTGGAGTAGAGACAACGACGACGGTCACTGTGACGACGGCGAGAGGCAGGCCTGCGATACGCTCGCAGGCTGGATGTGAAGAGGCGCAGCGGTGGACCCTGCAGGTGGAGGTTTTGGTGGCTTGCAGCAGAGAGGCGCCGCCGATTTTGGATTTTTTGATGCAGCAAAGCGGCAGTGCAGCAGAGGGGCCGTGAGGGGGAGGGACCCTGGGTTGGTGTGGCCCCAGCGCTCGTGCGCGCTTGGACTGAGCCTGCAGCCACACGGCCCGCGCGAGCTTCCCTTTGTACCTCCATCGACGCATCCCTTTCATCTCGGGGCCCCCCTTTCATGGCGGCACGCAACGCTTTGTGAAGCCGCACAGGCTGCGTGTGCATATGCAATCCCACCTGCTACAGACATCTACACACCCCACACATACCTCCACTTGATCGTGACTGTAGCACCGCCTCTCGCGATTCGATATCATGTGGCTCGCACGCATGCCCCAGCTTGGGCTGCTGCTGGCTGCCTTACTGCAGCTCGCAGCTGCAGCGACTCCACAGGCTCCGCTCGCCACCGGAAAGTACTATTACGAGGCGGACGAGGCGGCTTCCGCTCTTCAAGCCGGCCGCACGCGCAGGATCGCCATCATCGGTGCAGGGCCCTCGGGCACATCGGCAGCGTACTATCTCAAGCGCGCACAGGATCGGCTTGCGTCCGGCAACTTCTCCGCCACTACCGAGGCGCTGGACATCACCATCTACGAGCGCGAGAACCGCATCGGTGGCCGCGTCGCCGTCGTCTATCCGCACGACGATGATACGCACGACCCGATCGAGCTCGGCGCAAGCATCTTTGCCGACGTCAACCTCAACCTGCGCCGCGCCGTCAAGCATTTTGCGCTCGAGACAGGTGCGCATATGGGCATGGACGGCCAGATGGGCATCTGGGACGGCCAGCAGTTTCTGTTTGAGGGCGACCAGAGCAGCTGGTGGACGAGCGCCAAGTTCTTTTTAAGGTACGGATACAGCGCCATCACCACCGAAAGCGTCGTCAAGAAGCAGCTCGCCGCGTTCGGCGCGCTCTATAGCCCGAGCTTCCTGCATGCGCGCGGCCAAGCGGAGCGAAATGCGGCTGCGACCGCATCCGGTTATCCGTGGACGTCGATCGAGCGCCTGGCGGATGCGGTGAATGCGTCGGCACTCGCAGCCACGACGGGCATGCAGTTCTTCAAGGAGCGCCGCGTGTCGGAGCTCTTCATCGAGGAGATGGTGGAGGCGGCGACGCGCGTCAACTATGCGCAGGACACGGACCAGATCCACGGCTTTGGCGCGCTGGTCAGCCTCGCCGCCTCGGGCGCCACGGGTGTCAAGAAGGGCAACTACCGCATCTTTGAGGAGTTTGCACGTCGCAGTGGCGCACGCGTGCTCACGGGCGTCCAGGGGCAGGTGACAGGCATCGTGCGGCTCCCCAAACCCACACGCGGCCGACGCGTTGCCAACGACGTGCAGTGGTACGTGGGCGCCAAGAGTGGCGAGGGCGAGGTGTACGATGCGGTGATCATTGCGACCCCGTGGCACAACGCCGACATTACGCTGCTCAACACGCCCGAGCGCGTCAAGGCCAAGCCGTTTGTACACCTGCATGTGACACTGCTCACTACGACGCGCGCCAGTCCAAGGCCCGAGTACTTTGGTCTCGGGTCGCAGGATGTGGTGCCCCGAACGATTCTGACGTCGGACGAGAGCGTGAGGCGCGCACAGGACAAGCACAAGCCTGTGCCTGAGCCTGAGCCCGAGGATCCGGGAACCGAGCCGCCTTCGTTGGGTGGCAAGCTCAAGACGCCCAAGCACGAGTTTTTCTCGCTCAACTACCTGCGTTCCATCGAGCGCAACCTCTCCTCGAACAAGGAAAAGGAGTATGTGGTCAAGATCTTCTCGGCCGCGCCGGTGACGGACTCGATGCTGGATGCGTTATTTGGGAGGGAGACGCTGACGTGGGTGCGCAGACACGAGTGGGACTCGTATCCGTACCTGACCCCGACGGAGCGCTTCCCGGCGGTGCAGATTGATGAGGGGCTGGTGTATCCGAATGCGATGGAGTCGCTCGTATCGACCATGGAGACGTCGACCATCGCGTCGAGGAATGCAGTCGCACTGCTGCTGGAGAAGTGGTACGGCGCCGAATTCGTGCATGGCTCCGAGTGCAGCTTCGAGGAGCTCAAGGATCCCATGGACAATCCCAACTGGGCCGGCTGGGGGTGTGATGCTGCCTGAATCACCGCGCGATATTGGTCGGAATGAAATGCTCACTCGTCTTGCTTCAAGTGTGCAGAGTCTTTGTGTGATCGAAGCAAAGGTGGCGGGCGTCTAGCGACATGTCTGTGAAGGCAAGGTGTGGCGGTGAGAATGCGGTGCCGACGCGCACTGATAGCAGGCGTTTCGGGTGTGTCGTGTGGCGCACCAGCTCGAGCCGCTTTGAGCACGCAGGGCACTCGGCCGCGCAAACTTGAGCCCATTCACCGATTCACATCACAGCGCGGCTCGCAACACGTGTGCGGCGAGTCTGCAGAGCGAAAGAGGGGGGAGACCAATGCCAGACCCGAAGCAAGAAGGTTTGACCGGGCACGCATCGACGGGCTCGCCACTGGCTTTGTGTGGGATGCAACGGGCGAGTGATTGTGAGGTCAACACTTGGCCGCTCGATGGCTGTCAGTGATGCAGTGCAGGATACAAGCGTAACGCTGTGACTTCGCTGTGAGGTGTGTGATGTTTCAGCAGAGCTTGACGCTGGGGGCCACCTTGAGCCCAGGCGAATTGCGGCTTTCCGGTTCGCAACAACGCTCAATATTCTCGCCTTCGTATGCCCTCAGTAGGCTCCTCCCTGTTGGCACTGTGGATGACATCACACGACGTCTTGGAGCTGTATGACTGCATTGCATGGGTATCTACTGTTGCGCAGCCTGCACCACCATAGCGCAGGCATCGAGGCGGTGAATCAAGAAGGCCTCGGTGACGGCACCCAGGCACGTTCCCGCGGACCGGATGTCGCCGCGCACCTCGTCATTCACCGCGGGCATGGCGGCGTGCATCTGCTCGACCTCCTGACGGAACTGGCGCGGACGTTGGGACCACTTGCCCCTGCCCACCACCAGCATGTCGCTGCGAGCGTCCAGCAGCGGCACCACCACGCGCGCCATGGTCGCAATCGGCAACCTCGTCTCGTCCTCCTCCGCCGCGGGTAGCGTGATGAACACCAACCCCGCACGATCCGTCTCGACCTCGCTTCCCCCATCGGCGGCGGCAGTGGCAGGCTCTTCGGGAATCCCTCGCGTCGAAGCGTCGAGTTGGCCGAAGAGGAAGCGCGCATCCACCCGCGCTGCCTCCTGCGCGTAGACCGTCGGCAGATTGATCGAGTGCATGGCGTCGTCGTCCATCGCACCGACCTCCGGCGCGCGTGGCACGTGGGGCTCCACAAGCCGCGCTACATCCGCAACTGCATCGTTGGCAAACGCAACCACCACACCCTGCACACTTCCGCCCGAACTGTGCACGATGCGCCGCACCAGCTCCACCGCCGCCCGATCATCTGCGCCGCCGAAAAAGGGGACTACGATACGACGCACCCCCGCGCGACGCTGCAGGCCGTGCTCGCGCTCGAGCTGCGTCCGTCTCGCCTCGCGCTGCGCCTCGCTGCCATGCTGCGGCGGCAGGGCTGCAACGCGCGTCGTGCTAGGGTCGAGCAGCACACCCGTAGCGCACTGTCGCCTGAGACCCGTAAAGAGGCGTGCGGGGAGAGAGTGTGCGTCGGAGTTCGCCTGCCAGAAGCTCGTGGCTGCATCCTCGTCGTTGAGCGTCTTTGCAAAGGAAAGCCCGCTCGCAGCCGCTGCGGCGCCCAGCCACGACAGCCCGCGGCCGTAGGCATTGTGCGCCTCCCACGTGACCAGCGCCAAGCCGCGCCCGAGCTCCGTCGCTGCGCCCGGGCTGCCGAGTCGACGCTGCGCCTTGGCGTTCTGCTGCGCAATGGTGCGGATCATGTCGCTGCGCGGAACAATGAACGTGTCGGGAGGAACGTCGGTGCTGCTCAAGGGCGCCGAGGATGCACCGGGCGTGGCGACCGTAGTGCTGAGATGGCCGAGCCGGCGCTCGTGCGCGAGCACGCTCGAGGTGGGCACGCGGCAGAGGTGCTGCACCTTTTTGAGCGACTCCATCATCTCGTCGCGCTGGCGCTCGTCCGAGTAGTTGATGAGCTGCATGATGGACGAGGTGGTGTACTCGATCGGCAGCAGACGCAGCAGGTCGACGGCGATCTGGCCGGCAGCGTCGTCCGCATCCGCGCTAGAAGCGGTGGAAGTGCCCGTGAGATTGTGCTGCCCGAGCAGGTCGAGCAGGTACATGAGCGTCTGGATCGCCGGGCTGGGCGAAGCGATGGCGATTGTGATGGGGAAATCGCCCGGCTCGGCGGACTGGTCCTCAGCACCATCTTTCTCTGCGGGCTCGGAGCCGGCTTGCTTCTCGTCGTGCTCGACACTCGCTTGTTCGCCAGCCTGATGCGCCAGGCTGGAAAAGTAGACGTAGCGCGAGAGCGGGCGCACGGACATGGTGGTGCAGAGGAAGCAGATGACGAGCATGGCAAACACCTTTGCGCTCACCACCTCGAGCTGCAGCGCGACGTTGAGGATGATGATCTCGATGATGCCCTTGCTCTGCATCAGACTCGCCACGCACATGGCCTCGCGCCACTTCATCCCCGTCAGCCTTGCACTTGCGGCGGTGGCGCCGAACTTGCTGACGAAGATGCCGACGACGAGCAGCACAATAAGTCCCCAGGTGGTGCCGTCGTTGAGCAGCTTGAAGTTGGTGCTGAGACCGCTGGTGACAAAGTAGAGCGGGAGGAGGACGAGCATGACGAGCGTTTCGATGCTCTCGGTCACCCGGACGGCAAAGTTACCGTGGGGGCAGCAGACGCCGAAGCTGAAGGCGCCTACGATGGGGTGGACGCCCATCGAGTCGGTGTAGAAGGCGCTGACGAGTGCGCCGACGAGTGCGATGACGAGCAGATGTTCGGGTACGCGGTCCTCGGCACCGGGCGACATGTCGAAGCCGCTGCGCACGATGAGGCGGTTCATGAGCGGGCGGAAGACGAACCAGAGCAGCGCAATGTAGGCGGCGGCCGCGAGGAGCTGGTAGAGCGCATCGATCTGCTTGCCTCCCGTGCCCAGCGCCGAGCCGAGCGCGAGCAGCACGTAGCCGATCAGGTCGTTGCACACGCCCGAGGCGATGGTGATGCATCCGAGCCGCGTGCTGAGGATGTTCATCTCGGCCATGATCCTCGAGAGCACCGAGAGCGACGTGACGGCCATGACAGTGCCTACAAAGAGGAAGAAGGTGGTGAACTTGACCGTCTGGTCCGTCTCGACCTGCCAGATGAGCCTTGCGATGCCGACGGCGATGCCAAACGGAATGGCCATGCCGGGGAGCGTGATGAGCAGCACCTTTTGCCAGTACTTTGCCATTAGATCGGTATCCGTCTCGAGCCCGATCAGAAACAGGAAGAGGGACAGACCGATTCCCGCCATGAGCTTGAGCAGTCCGAGCGCCTGGGTGGGCACAATGGTCTCAGTGAAGCCTGGAATGTTGCCGAGCGCAGTGGGACCGAGGAGGATGCCAGCGAGCAGCTCGCCCACGACGGCCGGCTGGCCGATGAGCTTGAAGAGGCGACCGAGCAGCTGGCATAGCAGGATGATGATGATGACCTGCGTGAGAAAGAGCCCGAACCCGTTGGTGGTGAGGATGTAGTTGTTGGGATCAAACACGAGCGGATCCGTATGGCTGAGAAAGCCATAGTTGAATGGCATCTCGGGCGACAAAGGGCGCGCGCCATGGGATGGTCAAGGTGCAAAGGTGTGTGGCATGGATGGTGGTGCGCAAGCAAAGGACGTGGTAGTGCCTGCGCCACCCGACCACGCTGCGGCCAAAAGGTAGAGGCAGGGTGATGAGCAGTCAGGGGCTTGTTCGACAGGTGGCAACGCCCTCAGAGGTGCAGCTGGCACTCTTTTGCCGACGCGGCGCGTGCATGTCTTTTTTCCCTTGCCGAGTGTCACTTTGGCGCCCACCCATGGCCCCACGATGCATGCTCCCCTTTGCGACCCCCACACACGGGCCCACACAAACACCACACCCGCCCATCGGCTCGGCTCACCTTGTCCGTCCCGTTCCACTTTCATTATCAACATCGCCCGCTCGCTCGCTCGCAAGTTCACGTTGGCTGGGAATTCCGCGTCGTCTCGTGCATGTGGCAAAGCTGGTATCGTAGTGTCTACAATGGCAGGACCCGCGCAGAGGCATGGTTCAAACTGGCTGGGAGGGGGGGCAAGGTTGGGGGCAGCGGGCGCGGGTCAAAGGGGAAGGTCGATTCGGATGCGGAGTGAAAGGAGGCCGTGGCGCTCAAGCTTGTGGCGCGGACGCAGGTCTAGGCGCTCGAGGCCTCCTTGTCCACGTCCATCTTGTCCGAGTCGTGTGTCGCGCCGCCTGCCGCCGCCTTGGCATCCTGTCGTGGCGACTCGACCAGTCTGGGCTCGGCGGCGGCGTCGGCGGTCGAAGTCGAGGTGGGCTTCGAGGTGCTCTCGGCTGCACTCTTGTCTTGGCTCGAACCGTCCGACTGGTCGTCGCCGCTGTCGTCCTCGTCGACGACGTGAGCCTCGTAGACCACCTCGCCACCCTCGGAGCGTCCGCCGGGTCGGAAGACGATGCCTGCGCCGCTCAGCGCACCCGCCAGGCCGCCAGGCAAGCGCAGCGACCCCTCTTCGTCGTCGCCAGCGCCGCCAGCGCCTCGTGCGAGGCCTCCGGACAAGAGAGACTGGATGCTGACGGTGCCGTCCATGGCGCCGTCGGCGTCGCGCGCGGCTGGCTGCGTGTTCTTGAACACGGGCGCGACATCGTCGGGCGTCTTGCGTCCATGCTTGGGCACGTCGATGTTGTCCTTGACCCACTTGTACCACTCTTCCTTGGTGCGTCCGTTGAGCAGGGCGACGACGCAGACAGTCATGTTGTCGCATCCGATGCCGCCGGTGTCCGAGTCCGGTGCGAGACAGCGGTCCATGAGATCTTCGCAGATGGCCTGGAGCTCTTTGCCGTTGGCGACGGCTCGTCGGACAATGTCCACGACGTCCTGGCTGCTGAGGCAGTCCCAGATGCCGTCGCAGGCGAGCACGAGGAATTCGTCTTCGGCCTCGACGACCTGCTGCTCGACGACCTCGGGGAAGGCGGTGACGATTTGGCGTTCGACGGGCAGGTCGAAGCTCCTCTTGAACTCAAAGTCGCCGATGGCACGGCTGAGGGCGAGGTTTCCGTTGACACGGCCCCAGCTGACGTAGCCGCCGGCGGCTTCGATGCGCTCGCGCTCCGAGTCGAGCGTGGGCTTGTGGTCGTGGCTCATCTCGATCACGCCTCCTGCGCGCGAGAGGACGCAGCGCGAGTCGCCGGCATTTGCGCAAAAGATGCGCTCGAGACGCTTTGGGTCGTTTTGGGAAGCCTGGATGAACGCCGTGACGGCGGTGCAGCCCGACGGATCGTTGGCGTAGTTGGGATCTGTAGTTCAGAATTCAAAGCGAGGGTGTGAGTGGACGGTGTGTGAGGGGATTGAGATGCGAAGCGTGCCAAATGTGAAAGGAAAGCTTACCAGCCTTGAGATCCTCGTCGAGGTTGATGAAGGCCTTCTGTAGCGCCTGTGTGTATTGGCCGTCTTTGAACTGGTCTTCTTCGATGAGGACGTTGTGCAGCCTGCGACCGCAGTATTGTGCGATGGAAGAGCCTCCGTGACCGTCGTAGACGCCGAAAAAGTTGCCTACGTTTTTGTGAGCTGCGTTGGTGATGTCGAGGATGGTGGCGTGCGAGTCTTCCATGCTGATGCGCCATCCTTGCATCTCGGAGTAGGCGTAGAGGACCGAGTCATTGCCGCCGGAGCCGGTGGTCTTTTCGGTGACGGGCTCGGAGAGAGTCTGACCCATGGTGTAAGGAGGATGCGAGGCGCTCGGATCGAGACGGCCTAGGAAGAGACGAGTAGGGAGATGGACGAGTGTTGAGAGAGATGGCGCAGGCTAAGTTCGGGTGATCCGACGGAAAAAGGATGGCGAGAGCGTGACGAGACGAAGGAAGGGCGCTTTACTGTCACGATCGATTAGCAAAGATGCCGAGCGGGATGGATTCGGAGAAGGCGAAATGTGCTGAGGGCGGATGTGCGGGTCGATGGATGGATGCTTCCGTCAAGCGAGCAGACCACAGCGGGCAGCAGCGATGCAGGGATGGAGGGATGGACGTGCGGCGATGCGGGGAGCGGAGTCGAAGCGAGAATCCCAAAAGAAGAGAATCGAGAAGAAGAGATGGAGGAGGAGGGAAGTGGATGTATGGAGGATGAAGAACGGTGATCAAGACGCTCGACTGATGCAGACGCGGCGGTGGAGACGACGCCCGAGCGAGCGGCAGCGGCAGAGGCAGAGCGCCGATGGAGGTTCATCGGACTTGGCCATCCAGGCAGCAGCTACTGTAGGCAGCAGCCTCGAGCGGCCTAGAGGCAGACGAGCTGCTCCACGGCCGTTTTGGTCTGGCCTCGCCTCTGCTCGCTTGCACTGCGAACAGCTGTTGGGCCGAGCCTTTGTGCGGACGCAGTCGTGCGCGTGTGGGCGCGCGGCGGGCAGCAGGCGGCGTAGTGTAGCTGCGGGCGATTGCGAGAGGCAGCAGCTGAGGTAGCGCAGCTGAGCTGCATCCGTGTGTAATTTTGGGTGATTTGCAGGTCCACCTCCGTGGCTCAGCAGTCAGTCGGCCAGCGCCGCTTTCAGACTCACCTCCCTCTCTCTCTTTGTCTCCCTCTCTCTGTTGGGAAATACAGCCTGCGGAGGCCTAGCTTGAAAAAATGAAATCATCTTCAACCGTGGATGCCGTCGAAACAGACTCCACGCTTCCACGTGAGCGAATGTCTGCAATATCGGGCAATCGGGTCACACCCCAACCACAAACTTACATATCGCAAGACAGCCCCGCAGCTGCAACATGATGACCGGACTGTATTAGCAGAATCAAGACAAGCACAACGACCTAGACCCAGCTGCGCAGCACCAAGGAGCTGTTGAGGAATGGCCAACCGCGTAGGCTGTCCCTCAGGGCCGCGTCTTCATGCTCGGATCAAGACCGATGAACGGCGACGTAAAGCTGACCGGCTTGCCACCCATTCGGCAAGCTTCCGACGCATGCAATCCCCCACTGCAAGCAGCACGGCAGAGCCGGAGAAGCCGAGATGGCTAGCATAGGCAGCCACTCCATCCATATAGGCCATGGTCAAAGGGACCACTCGAAGGCACCCCTGGCTCAACGCTGGACTTCCAATCTGCATTCTCACTTCAACTCGTTGCTAATCGGGCTACGAGGGTCGAGAATACAAATTTTCACTGGGCTCTCCAGCCTAACAGAGAGCGTTTTGCTGCACCGCGAAGAATTGCGCTTCGGCTCGGCCGTTTCGCACTTTTGACTTGATGGGACCGCGTCGAGGTGCAGGCCTAGGCCAGGCCAGGCCAGCGCAGTGCGGTGCGGTGCTGAGTCTCGCTGGGTTGGGCTGCACTGCCGTGGAGAATTCTTTTCGACACCTTGCTGGGCAGCTGGCGTTGCGCTGCGCGTCTGGTGGTGTCGATTCGCAGACGTCGCCGAAGACCATCTTCAATCCACCATCTTCGTCCACCGCAATCTTGCAACAATGGTACGTAGCATTCCCACACGACTAGCGCACACCCACACCGCTCGCCGCTGACCCCACTGACCCCCCTACACTCGTGCTTCCCTTTCGACATTGCAGCGGCCAATCCTTCTCTCGGGTCACGAGCGTTCGCTCACCCAGATCAAGTTCAACCGCGAGGGTGATCTGCTCTTCTCGGTCGCAAAGGACCCCATCATCAACGCCTGGTTCTCTCACAATGGCGAGCGCCTCGGAACCTACGAGGGCCACAACGGTACCGTATGGACCGTCGACGTAGACTCCACATCCACCCTCCTCGTCTCGGGCTCCGCCGACAACCAGATGCGTCTCTGGGAGGTCGCAACGGGCAAGTGCCTCTACGTCTGGGAATTCGCCACCGCAGCCAAGCGCGTCGCCTTCTCCGAGGACTGCACCCAGGTGCTCGTCGTCACCGAGGCGCGCATGGGTCATCGCGGCGCCTTGCGCGTCTTCCGCATCAACCGCGATCCGGCCACCTGGACGCAGCAGTCGGCCGAGCCCACGCGCACCATCACCTTCTCGGGCCCCAAGGCCGTCGTCGCCGCGTTTGCGCCGTGCGACCAGTACATCATCACCGGCCACGAGAACGGCAAGGTGGCGCTCTACTACCACGACGACAAGGAGCCCGAGAGCGGCATCGACGCCGAGCTCGAGGAAAACTCCACCGACGCCCACGCAGGCGAGATGATCTCGGACCTCCAGATGAGCGCAGACCGCACATACTTCGCCACCTCCTCCAGGGACAAGACCGCCAAGCTCATCGACTCCAAGACGCTCCAGGTCATCAAGACCTACGCCACCGAGACGCCCTTGAACTCGGCTTCCATCCACCCCACCAAGCCGTTCGTCATCGTCGGCGGTGGTCAGGACGCCATGAACGTCACCACCACCTCGGCGCGCCAGGGCCGCTTCGAGACGCGCTTCTGGCACAAGGTGTTCGAGGAGGAGTGCGCGCGTCTGCCCGGTCACTTTGGCCCCATCAACACCATCGCCATCCACCCCGCCGGCACCGCGTACGCCTCGGGCGGTGAGGACGGCTACGTGCGTGTCAACTGGTTCGACCCCGGCTTCTTCAACTCGAAGCTCTACGGCGCCGACCTGGAGCTGGCGCTCGAGGACCAATAGACGTCATACACCAGGGGCCTAGCAGTCGGCGGCCGCGATCGCATCTGCACAGCTTCTCGCACACACATCCATCCCCCCCAAAAAGGGAGCATCCCAGGCTCCTACGGCCGAGCATGTGCTTGACAATTTTGTAAAATAGCCATCCCCCTTTTGATTCTCAATCACCGATCTTGCCCATCTTTGCTGTGCGAGGCAGGAACGGAAGCAGAGCAGGCGGGGGGGCAGCAGCGCGGTGCATGCACATCAGCTCGTGGCACACGCAAGTTCGGTATTCAGGATGGGCTGTGGTGACATTACGATGTTGGAGTGGGTATAATGCGGGGGGGTATGCAAGGTGGAATTCAAAGGGAAGCGATTAGAGGGGTTTAGGAGAGCTTGAGGGGGAGGTAGATGCGGATTCGGGCGAAGATTCGCGTGGAGAAGGTTTCTTTCGGATCCAGTTTGCGAACGAAGCTGTTGACGAGCCCGAGATGGAGGATCGTTTCTTTGTCTCCTCTGCCACAGGTGGTGGTGGGGAGAAGGAAGCACGTTTCTTTTCGCTTCGTTGAGGGGTAGGGTTGGTTTTGGTGCCGTTCTCGAGCAGATGCAGTGGCCAGGGTTTTTGAATCGCTTGGGCCATCTCCCAGCGTGCTCGAAGCTCAGCTTCCTTGTGCGAAGAGCGTGTGCTGCGTGTGGATGCGATACTTCGTGGCCGCAGGCTTGTAGCGCTGCTGCTGCTGCTACTGGCAGTGGCGGCCGAAGTAGAGTCGGGTTTGTGCGTGCGAGACATCAGAACAGGCATGATGGAAATCGAGCCCCTTTCCAAGTTGGTCAAGAGATGTAGGAATGGCTTTGATGACAACGAGAAGCCACCTACAATCACCCTCGGTATATATGCTTGCTCTCAACGTAGGGTTTTGAGGTGTCGGCATGAGCCCTGGAGTGTGCCGTGCCATCAAGCTGTCAACATTTGCCTTTACCCGGCTGCAGCGCTTGCAAGGCTTGGCAGTTCGGTAGCCCAGCTCTGCAAGTGAGCCCTGCAAGTCGGTGAGTGGAGGATCCAAGGCTCTGCGAAAATCTCTTGGCATTTTTTTCTACGCTTCTGGCCCGGGCGATCCAGCGCGCGTTGCACAGGGCTTGGCAACCCAACCCAACTCGAGCCTCTTGGCAACCCACTCCGCCAACAGCAGCCGTCCTTCTTGGCACAAAAATATCGAGACCTCTCTCTCTTGGCACATTCCAACCCAATCAATCCCAGCCCTCCCCCTTGCCCTTGTGCCAGAAACAAACTCCGCCTCTCAGCTGCGCACCAAACGGGTCCATCCCGTTTCACACATGCCCATCCCGCCCGCAAGCTCACTAATCCCTCCGCCCAAAAGCTCAGCCCGCACCCTTTCTCTCTCTCTCTCGGCGCCAGATTTCTTGGCTCCGCAGGCCAAGCAACCCTCGAGCCCTTCCGCCACTAGACGCGAGTCACATCGCGCGTACCGCCAGCCTGGGCATCGCTTGGCCTCCCACCTTGGCACGCACCGCACGCGCCGTGTTGCACTTCGAAAAGCTGTCAATTTCCATGGGCGCCAAGAGCGTCTGCATGACAGAGCCTAGCCCGAGCCGAGCGAAGCCGGAAAAGAATCCAAAGAGTGTGTGCGTGTGTGTGTGCCCTTTAGCGCATCGACGCAAACGACGCCGACCACGCCGTAAAGGCAGCCGCATTGTCGTCGCGGAAGTAGAGGTGCTCGGTATCGGTGCGCGCGGTCCACGCCTTCTGGTTGCGCAGGATCATGGCCTGCTGTGCGCCAAAGTTGCGCCCGTCGCGGTCAAAGCTCGAGCGGTGCTGGTGCTCCAGCCCGTCGCTCAGCACGTCCAGATCGCCCATCATGGCGAGCAGCGAGGCGATGGTGCGTGCGTTGGCCGCCTCGCGCACGCGTCGCTGGTTCGAGCGATGCACCACCACCGACCGACGCTTCGCCTGATTCGGACCGTTGAGCGCCTGCACCACCGTATCGATGATGCGTCGCGTCTCGGTAATCACCCGCAGCGCCTGGGCGTAGTTCTTGCGCGAGATGAGCAGCAGCGACCGCGTCATCATCTCGCTCACCAGCACCTCCAGCCGACGTCGCGTCACCGTGGGCTCGGCTACGATCGCCGCGAGCCCGGCCGGACCGCTCGTGAGCGGATCGGGCGAGTGCGTGTCGATCTCGAGCGTGAGGATGCCCGGATTGGCGAGCCGCGAGGTGGTCATGCCCGTCGCCGGATCCTTGAAGCTGAGGTCGGCCTCAAACACGCCGATCTCCTCGACCATCTGCTCGAGGAAGCCCTCGGCGCCGTCCGAGTCTGCCAGGCTCAGATCCTGGATGCCCATGCGCTGCATAAAGTCGTCCGTCGCACTGCCCTGCTCGATCGGCCCCAGCGCCATGCTCTTGCTCTCGCGACGCTGCTGGAGCAGCGTCGGCAGCAGACTCGCCACGTCCAGCTCGAGCTCCACCAGCAGATCCTTGGCCTCGCCAAACTTGAGCTCGCCAATGTCCACGTCCACGTCCTTGCCGCTCGACGAGATGATGGCGCCGGGCAGGCCGGCGATCTTGCGGATGCGGAAGCAGTTGTCGTGCGGCACGCCAATGTGCACCTTGACCTCGGTGAGCGCCACCGACATGGTGGAGCCGAGGCAGCCCGCCAGGCACTCGCGCAGCTGGTACCACTCGCGCACAAACGTGTACGAGCCGCGCGTGTGGTTCGAGATGAGCCACAGCGACGAAGGGTCGTGCGTCTTGCCGTAGCCAAAGCAGTGAATGGCCACGTTGGCCGCCTCGGCGCGCGCCATGACCAGGTCCATCTGGTTGCGCTTGGGTCCATCCGAGGTGTCGTTGACGAGCATCATGCTCGTCACCGCATTCTTGGCCTTGCGACCCAGCACCACGTCCAGGCCGACGTTGACCGCCGTCACCGAGTCGATGCGCTCGCTCGAGCCGCCGAGCTGGCTCAGATCCACGCGGAACGGATCGGCGTCCTGCGTCTCCCACGGCCGCCCGATGTTCTGCACAAACTCCTCGAGCAGCAGTCGACTCGGCTCGCGGTGCGGATTGAGCAGGCCCGTGCGCTTCACCTCGCCCTCGATGCCCACGGTGAAGGCGACGAGCGAGATGCGGTCGTTGGGGCCGAGGCTGTGGATGACAAAGTCGAGCGACGAGCGGATGAGGCGCAGCTTGAGCGCCGCCGACGAGCTGATCGAGCCGCTGACGTGCTCTGGCAGCACCGACGGCACCGAGATCATGAGCACCAGGTCGATCGGCGTGTGAGGCAGCATGCTTGGCGGCGGCAGACGTGGGTCCAGTCCGCCCGAGCTCGACCACTGCTGGTACGACGGGATGGCATCGCTCGAGGCCGAGATGCGTCGTGCGGCTGCGGCGCCGTTGCCGTGCTGGCTATGCTGGCTTGACGAGACATTGGACAGTCGGCGGCTGTTTCGCGACTGCGCGTTGGCCGCCGCCCCTTGCTGCGACCCAGACTTGCCGCTCAGCACGGATGCCGAGCCGCTTGTCACGGCCTGGAAGCCGCCGTTGCGATGCGGGCTCAGGCCAAGGCCGGCACCAGCCTCGCCGGGCGCATGAGCCGGCTTGGCGGCCTCGTCGACCTGGGCAGACGGCATGCCCTGAGCTTGGGTCGCATCAGCCACAGCTGGCTCTGCGATGGGAACAGCGGGCGATGCAGAGGCGGAGGCGTCGGCAGGCTCGATGAGCTCCTGCAACCTGGATCGCCAGACGGACATGGTGCCGGTGTCGCGGAAGCAGAGAACGAATTGGTCGAGGTTCTCGTCGTCCATGGTGATGCTCAAGGTGTGCTCTGCTGCGACCGACGAGTCGAGCACGCGGCGAATGTGGCGAAGGTAGATGCGACCCTTGAGCTTGAGCGCGGGCTTGCCGAGATCCGAGTCGTTGGCGGCGGCGCCGTTGGTGGTTGGGTTGGAGATGAATCGACCGAGGCCCTTGCGCTTCTCTTCGGTGACGCAGAGGAGCGCTTCCTGGAAGAGATAGACGTGGAACTCGCGCACGACCGAGTCCTGGCGGATGTTGAGCAGGTCGTGCAGAACGAGCGGGCCAAAGTGCTCGATCGAGTGGCCCTTCCAGTCGGCGACGCGCTGCTGCAGGTCATCGAGAATGGCGCGTGTGGGATCCAGGGCTGGCAGACCGGCGGGGGTAGCGCCAAAGGAGAAGCCCTGGTCGTTGGGCGACTCGACACGTGCCATGACATTGTGCTTGTCGCCTTGCTCGGTGAATCCGACACGGGCATCGGGCATGGGGCTGCGGCTGCGGCTGCGGTCGTCGGAGGCAGCGTCATTGGCCGAGGCTGGCCAGCCGTTTCCGCTGCGTTTGAGGTCGTCGGAGTTGTCGTCGTCGTCGTCGCGCGCGCCGTTGCTGAGGCTGTCCTCTGCGTACTCGTCCGAGATGGTGTCGAGCGCGTGGTCGCGCGGGTCGTTGGGCGAGCGGCGGCTGGGGACCTCGATGGAAAGGACGGAGACGACGTTGAGCTTGGCTGGCTGCTTGCCGTTGGGCTTGCAGTAGATGGTGGGGAATTCGGGTCTGGCGCGCACGGTGGGCAGGGTGTGCGTGTTGGACGAGGTGGACGAGAAGGAGGCCGAAGAGCTCATGACGTGACGATGTTTGGTGGAGGAGGGCGGGTCGAGCGGGTCGTCGTGGTGGGCGCGCGAGGGTGTGTCGGCGTCGGCGAATGCGACGTCGGCATCGTGCGCCGGCGCTGCGGCTGCGAGGCCATTGATGCCGGCGAGCTTGTGCGACTTGGAGGTGTTTCCTTCGCCGAGTGCGATGGGCTTGCGGCAGACACCACACATGCCGGGCGGGCCTACGCTGTGCCTGGAGGCGGAGCCTGCGGGGCGAAGGCGGCTCGCCGAGTTCTGTGCTGCGAGGAGCGCCTCGGGAGAGCCGTAGATTGCAGTGAAGCAGGCGTTGTGGAGCGCGTGTCCGCAAGTGGGGACGACGTGCGGCTTTTCTCCTGCGAGGCGGTGAGAGAGCGGCTCGAGACAGACAGGGCAGTCGACTTCGACCATCTCTGTGAAGGTTGTGGAAGCGCCGGACATGGAGTTGGAGATGTCGGTGGAGAAGGAGCGCGAGAAGCTCGAGTGGGCATCGCTCGCCTCGGAGATTGACTTGGTCCTGGAGATTGCGGGGCCACGAATGGTATGCTGCGAGGGCTGCGAGCGATGGTGATGCGAATCGACCGATGCAGAGATCGAGTGGATCTGAGCCGAAGGCGCTCGACGATCATTGCGGCTGACGACTTGGATCTGGGGCACTCCGGCGCCCATCATGCGTTCGAGCTTGGACTGCCTGAGTGCGTCTGTGGAGGACATGCCGGAGGCGCTGCGCTTTGTGTGAAGCCCAGCTGGAGCGGCATGGTGGGCAGCGGGATGCTGGGCGGAAAGCGATCGGGTGGAAGCAGCTTGCCGCGAGTTTGAGTAGAGTCCGAGATCGGCAGCGAGCCTCTGGTCGTTTTGACGCTGCAGGAATTGAGAATCGCTTGTAGAAGCCTCCCTTGTAGCAGAAAACTTCTTGGACCTGAGGGATCCGACGTCAAAGAGACCCATGGCGGCGGAAGTGCTATGAAGGGAGGATACGAGGGGTGGGAAGCGAGAGGGAGAGGGGGAGAAGGAGGGGCAAGTTCGGTATCTCGAGCAGTGCGCTTGGCCGGGTCTTGTAGTTTGCTGGGACGAGGAGTTGAGAGGCGAGCTTGTAGACGGCCGAGGCAAGTGTTTGGAACCTGCGTGTAGGGCGATCCAAGCGCTGCTGAAAGCAAGCTAGGCTGTGGCGATGCGCGCTCGGTTCGCGCTCGGTCTATAGCCGTGTGTGCTTGAGCGTAAATAGCCGGTGGCTAGGTATTCGAGAGTCGTGGCGGATATGCGCGCTGCTCGAAATGATACCGCTAGTACGGGACAATGACAGCGCTCGTGCAGAATAATGAAAGCCTGTTGCGGGACGGGTTTGCCGTGTTTGCGTGTGCGAATGGCGAGATGAAGGCTGCGTGCAATCGAATTCGCAGACGCGCCAGCGGTAGTGGGTGCGGGATGGCTTGGTGGCGACCGAGGCGATAGAGATGGAGGAGCGAAGCCAAGCTGCGAGCTGAGTCGGATGCCCGTTTGATGCCTAGCAAGAGTGAGCAAGAAGGCGGTCAAAGGGGGTCAAAGGGTTTGCCAAAGGGGGGATGCGCCGAGGAGGCGAGGCTCAGGGTCAAAGGAGCCGCGAGCGGCGCGTTGCGATGCGGTGCGGTGCGGTGCATGCATGCCCGTCTTCCAGATCTCAGAGATTCGAACGGCATGAGCAGTGTGTTCCGCTCTGCTCTGTTCTGCTCAAGAGTTGGTCTCGCGTCAACGGACGAGCCGACGGGGGTTTGACGACGGACGGCGCTGGACGGCGCTGGGAGAGTGACGGCGCCGGTTGGCCGTCCAGATGCCAATCGGTTGAATCCGACATGCAGGTCAGCACTTTAACTCACGAGGGGCGGCTCTTTTTTTTTTTTTCTGTTTTTTTTTTCTTCTTGGTGGTGTGGTGAGGCGCGGTGCGGGGGTCAAGAGGGCTGCCGCACCTGCATGGAGTGGATGCATGATTTTTTGGGTTGCGCTTGATCCAATCATGGGAACCAAGGCCCCGACGTCAATGCTTGAGCTTGCGCCTGGCAACCGCGCCATATCGGAAGCTCCGACTCACGCGCTTGGTTGCGGAAGGAGACGATGAGGCCGTGTTGGTTGCTGCGTGGCGTGGAGGCCCGAGTGTGATGGGCGCCCGTGTGGCGGCAGCGAAGGAGGTGGCAGCGCAGGTGGCGGGGAGCGCGTTGGATCAACGCGGCCATCGTGGCTGTCGAGATATCCCAGGCAGCCATTCGGTGGTCTTCCGATCCGCTGTCTTGCGATGCAACCACTGCGGCCGCTCTTCCTCCATGGGAGCGAGCCAAGGCCGAAAAGTTCAACATTGCGCACCACGGCAGCTTCGCATGGAAGCCACGTCTGCTCATCCGACAGAAGGCGGAAAGAGCAAAAAAAAAACGCGGCGGACTTGGAAGCGGCTGATCAAATTGCTGCATCGCGGCGCGACGGCGCGACCTTGTTGAGCCCGAGCTGGGAGTCCGACAGCCTTTGACAGTCCTCGACCCGACCAAACCGGCAGGCGTCCAAGATGCAGAGCCACGCGAACCACCAATCTCACCCACTCTGGCCTCTTCCCGCACAGGTACCGCTTTTCCCAGTCTTTCAATCGAGAACAGAATGTATGCGCCTTTGTACGTTTGCGTGTGGCCTATGAAGCGCACCATGGTGGGCCGATGCAAAGCGACTCGGAACCGGAATCGCCCCCTGGCAAGCTTGCAGCCCACTCAAAGCGGCGATCCTTTTTGGCTGGGCTGGGCGCTTGCGAGCAAAAATCACATGCCGCGAGCCCAACCGAGCTTCGCATCGAGTATCCGAGTCGGTTGAGCCGCTTCTTCGACTCTGGCCTTGCCCAGTCGGCTGTATGCGCGCACGCAAATGCACGACCAAGAAAAATCGTCGGCAGATCCGACTGCTTTGATATTCAGCCGGTCCCATCGGATTCGCTCCTTTGCCACAGCAAGGACGATGTCGAGACCACAAAGAGTCTTGTGGCTTTCGGACTCGGACCGGCGCGTACCTTTGGCGTGGATAGCGCGACGGCGAGGCGAATGAGACGCTTCATCAGGCAGTGCAGCGTAGAGTTGAAGCGCCATGCAAGGGGCCGACGCTTTACCGCTTCAGCTGTGGAACACGAGCTCTCGCTTAACTCTCTTTTTGGTCGCCGAGTCGAGCATGCCTGTCATCGTCAGCGCAGCGCCAACTTTTGCTTGACCTCTTTCCGCACATCGTTCCGCACGAGAGGCCGCCCACCGTTGCTGCGACATCGCATTGGCTGGCCAAGCCATCGGAACTGACTCCGGAGGAACCGTTCGGCTCGCCGATCTGGATCTGACTGCGTGCAGCGCTGCATCTTGCCGCCCAAAGGACGGGCACAGCAGCGTGTTTGCCGATGCCAGACCCGATAGGGCAAGCCTCTGCAACTAGATCGGCAGATCGTCGCTCGCTACAATGTGCTCGTCCGACTACAATCAAACGTAAGTCGATTGTCGCGTGATGCGGCACGGCAAACCCGCCGACGCGATTGTAGTTTGACCAACGATGACGTCTGCATAACCGGACCTTCGCATGGCAAGCCCTGTGGAGCTGGCGTCCGGAGCGATCGACGCGGCTTCCCTTTGTACGCGCCTGGTTCACGGAGCTGTGGAAACCCCGAGATCGTAAGCCGCGCCGAGTGCACATGCGGCGCGGGGAAGCAGACACGCGCGCTCTCTCTGATCTTGCCAGCAAGCGCGTACAGTGGTCGACGGACGCGACCCGGCGATCGAGGCCGAGGCGGGCTTAGCTATTGCAGCGTGTGTTGGTCTCTGTCCACACACCGCGCCGTCTCTAAACTCCGGTGGTTGACTGCACTTTACACGCAACGCGTGCTGCGCGCCCCCTGGCACGCGTTTTGCAGTCTTCGCGCGCTTCTCGTCGCGCTTTATGAAATCACAGCTCGGGTTCAGAGCGGCAGAATCGAATTCCACTCGACAGTCACACCCCCGCTCGCTCTCTTCTCACCGAGGTTTTGGCAAAGTCGCGTCGAGAGCCAAATCAGCGCAGCTTTTCAGCTACAGCTGAGCCACCGCGAGCCGAGCGCGTCTGCAACAACGCCAGAGAGCGCGACGTGGAGTTGGTGTAAATGAGCGCGGGCAAAGCGCATCGACGGCTCAGTCAACTCCTCCTTCGCCAGAGCCCACAGCACCAACGACGCGCAGCAGAGCAACACTACACAACAGCCCGCAAAATTTGCCTCAGCACACCGGCGCCCGGACATATATTGCTCCACCGCGTCGTCGCGACTCGCTTCTCCTTCTTCCTCCATCGTCGCCCTCCTCTCCCCTCGACACCTTCCCTTCCTCTTCCATCTTGGACCTCTATACCCCCCTTGGGAACTTCTCTGTTCTCATCTAGCGCTCGCTTCCAGCCTTTGCTGCCCTCGGAGCTACCAAAGCGCGTCGCTTTCGCCACCACCAAACCCACGCGTTGGTGCAACCCCATTCTCCCGGTCAGCCCGCTCCCGCATAGCTGTCTGCGGCACACATCACAACAATGATCTACGTGTACAAGCGAGGTAAGTCTCCTGCTCCCTTTAGCGCATCGTTGCTTTCCCCAAACATCATGCTGACTTGGCGTCGCGCTACGTGTTCTTCCCACAGACGGTCGCAAGGAGGTGGTCAAGTTCGACAAGGTCACCGCCCGCATCTCCAAGCTCTGCTACGGCCTCGACCAGAACTATGTCGACCCCATCGAGATCACCCGCAAGGTCATCGACGGCATCTACGAGGGCGTCACCACCGTCGAACTCGACAACCTCGCCGCAGAGACCGCCGCCTACAAGACCACCACCCACCCCGACTACGCCGTCCTCGCTGCGCGCATCGCCATCAGCAACCTCCACAAGGAGACCAGCAAGAACTTCAGCCAGGTCGTCCAGGCGCTCTACGACTACATCAACCCCAAGAACGGCAGGCACAGCCCCATGATCTCGGACGCAACCTACAAGGTCGTCATGGCGCACAAGGACCAGCTCGACTCGGCCATCATCTACGAGCGCGACTTCCACTACAACTTCTTCGGCTTCAAGACGCTCGAGCGCTCCTACCTCCTCCGCATCAACGGCAAGGTCGCAGAGCGCCCCCAGCACATGCTCATGCGCGTCGCCGTCGGCATCCACGGCGAGGACATCGAGAGCGCCATCGAGACCTACAACCTCATGTCGCAAAAGTACTTTACCCACGCTTCCCCCACCCTCTTCAACGCAGGCACCCCGCACCCGCAGCTCTCGTCGTGCTTCCTCGTCACCATGAAGGACGACTCCATCGACGGCATCTACGACACGCTCAAGACGTGCGCCATGATCTCCAAGACCGCGGGCGGCATCGGTCTCAACATCCACTGCATCCGCGGCACCGGCTCCTACATTGCCGGCACCAACGGCGTCAGCAACGGCATCGTCCCCATGCTCCGTGTCTTCAACAACACCGCACGCTACGTCGACCAGGGCGGCAACAAGCGTCCCGGCGCCTTTGCCATCTACATTGAGCCCTGGCACTCGGACGTCTTTGAGTTCCTCGACCTGCGCAAGAACCACGGCAAGGAGGAGGTGCGTGCCCGCGAGCTCTTCTACGCGCTCTGGGTGCCCGACCTCTTCATGAAGCGCGTCGAGCAGAACGGCGACTGGTCGCTCATGTGCCCCAACGAATGTCCCGGCCTCGCAGACTGCTACGGCGACGAGTTTGAGCGCCTCTACGAGCGCTACGAGGCAGAGGGCCGCTCCAAGCGCACCGTCAAGGCGCAGAAGCTCTGGTACGCCATCCTCGAGTCGCAGACCGAGACCGGCAACCCCTTCATCCTCTACAAGGACGCCGCCAACCGCAAGAGCAACCAGAAGAACCTCGGCACCATCAAGTGCTCCAACCTCTGCACAGAGATCATCGAGTACAGCTCGCCCGACGAGGTCGCCGTCTGCAACCTCGCTTCCATCGCTCTGCCCACCTTCATCGACCCCGTGTCCAAGACTTACGACTTTAAGCGTCTCCACTCGGTCGCCAAGGCCATCTGCAAGAACCTCAACAAGATCATCGACATCAACTACTACCCCGTCGAGGAGGCACGCCGCTCCAACATGCGCCACCGCCCCATTGGCATCGGTGTGCAGGGCCTTGCCGACGCCTTCATGATCATGGGCTACGCCTTCGAGTCGCCCGAGGCGCGCAAGCTCAACGTGCAGATCTTCGAGACCATCTACCACGCCGCGCTCGAGCGCTCGTGCGAGCTGGCGCAGCAGCACGGCACCTACGAGACCTACGCCGGCTCACCCGCCTCCCAGGGCGAGCTCCAGTACGACATGTGGGGCGTCACCCCCTCGGACCTCTGGGACTGGGCCGAGCTCAAGGCCAAGATCGCTCAGCACGGCCTGCGCAACTCGCTGCTCCTCGCACCCATGCCTACGGCCTCCACCTCGCAGATCCTCGGATTCAACGAGTGCTTCGAGCCGTACACGTCCAACATCTACTCGCGCCGCGTGCTCGCCGGCGAGTTCCAGGTGGTCAACCCGTGGCTGCTGCGCGAGCTCGTCGAGCAGGGCCTGTGGAACGACACGATGAAGAACCGCATCATCGCGCACGGCGGCTCGATCCAGAACGTGCCCGGCATCCCCGACCGCATCAAGAAGCTCTACAAGACCGTGTGGGAGATCAGCCAGAAGGCGATCATCGACATGGCCGCCGACCGCGGCGCGTTCATCTGCCAGTCGCAGTCGCTCAACATCCACCTCTCGGCGCCGACGTTCGGCCAGCTCACCTCGATGCACTTTTACGGCTGGAAGAAGGGGCTCAAGACCGGTACCTACTACCTGCGCACCAAGCCCGCCTCCAACGCCATCCAGTTTACGCTCTCCGTCGCCGAGGTCAACGAGGCCAAGGCTGCTGCCAAGCGCACTGGCGCCACGGTCAAGAAGATCGAGGACGCGCCCGTGGCGGCTGTCGAGCCCGTGGCTGTTGCCAAGGTGGTCGCACCGAGTGTCGAGGAGCTTACGTCGGGCGTAGGCAAGCTCGGCATCGACGGCACTGTGACCAAGGACGGACCTGGTATCAGGTCGGCCGAAGAGGTCAAGGCCATCCAGGACGCCAAGGCTGTCGCAGAGGTCGAGAAGCAGAAGACCGAGCAGCTCGAGTCGACCGCCAACGGCGACGTGGACCCTGGCTTCGCCGCAGCCCTCGAGAGGCAAAAGCTTCGCCAGCTCGAGGCGGATCAACTCCTCTGCTCCATTGAGAATAAGGAAGCTTGCCTCATGTGCTCTGGCTAAACGTCTTCCGTGTATCACACCATCTCCATTGCTATCGTTCGTATCTTGTACTTTTAGACCACCAACCACCTTTCTCGGCCACGATATCATGTATTTAGCCTCATTTGCGCGTGCTGCGGACTCGAATTTCAATTTGCCCTTGTCGCCTCCACATACGCGTACTCTGAGTGGAATTTGATTGAGAGCGGGAGTCTGAGAGGTGACATGTGCGGAGGGCTGAAGAGTCACAGTGTGATCTTCGTCGAGGGTGCGAGCCCAGAAGTCAAGTGCGGCGTGCGGAATTCGACAGGAATAGAGTGTTGAAGGAATTTGAGCGGACCGTGCGGGAGTACGCAAAGTGCGGCGCACAGGACTCAACCTTGTGCGTTGGTGCCGTCGTTCAAGCGTGCATGCGCGCGGAGACAACGAAGATGGAGCGGGCAGTGGTGCGGGAGACTGCAGACGCGGATCGAAAGAAGTCTGCGTGAGCCTTGGACATGAACATTGAAAAAAGTGCGAGCGGATCAAGAGTGTGTTCACAGAGAAACAGCGCGCGCATCGAACTCGATGCGACTCTGCGCTGCTGTCAGACATGCGGAGACGACAGGCAGTGAAGCGGGCGGTAGTGCGAAATTCTGAGGCATCGAAGAGAAGGCTGAGAGATGATTTGCGTGACGACGCATGGGCACAATCGCGTTCGGAGGTACTCTGGACGGTTTTGAGACGCGGAATGTATTGGGACTGTTCAACGCCGCTCGCACGCACACAAAAACGGTGTGATCAGACTTTGCTGGCGTCGGAGGGCGGAAGGGGGGCAAGTCGGATGGCGCAGCCGTAGCAGTCGAGGCAGACTCGCCGGGCCGGCAGAGAGGAGACGACTCCGCCGTCGAGCGGGGCGGACCAGTGCAGATGTTGAGTTGCGGTAGGCATTCAAGCGTCGCGGAGCAGCGGCGTGTTGAAAGAGCTCGACCATTGGTCAGCATCCAAGGCAAATGCGGCAAGACGAACCTGGCCAGACGAGCGCTCGAGAGACTACTGGCGGTCAGTGTTGTCGTCGAGCTGCGAGGCAAGGCTCGATTGGTGAAGACCATGGCACGTCCAAGCTGCTAAAGACCGTACTCGCAAAACAGACACGAAACAAGAATTTCAGCGATCAGCGAGACTTTCGCTTGCCCAGAACCTTGCTGTTCGAGGCCTCGCCCTCGCCCTTGCGGTTGTTGCCTTGAGTGTTTGGTGAGTTCTTGCGGATATCCAAGAATTCGTCGCCACCCATCCTATCGTAAGCGAGATCGAGGATCGTGGTCTCGTTTTCTGGGCAGAGAGAGTCGGTGCAATGTAGGTACCGAGGGCGCACGAATTCAAAGTTGACGGTGAATTCTTTGCCCTTGGTCTTGAGCCTCCATACATCCCAGTAGTTTGCGGCCTTGACTTCATCACCCATGCCATCGCAAGTACCAGGTGTGGTCTTGCGACCTCGGCCCTTGCCCACGCAGCACGAGCTTTGAAACCTTTCGTGACCTGTCTGTTGTACGCCAAGATAAAACCGACGTCGCGAAGGAATACGCCCCAAGGAGTCCTTGACCACTGCGTTGAGCAAGTGGGGCGATTTTTCGCGCTGAGCCCCGACCAGATGACGACAGACAAGATTGTACGCCAGCGCCGAATCGAGGCTGCAGCTCAGCAGTCGGCGTATCCGAAGAGGCGAGGAGCCAACGCGCCGCAAGCGCGCCGAGCCCACCGACGACCAGGTGCTCGCCTACGTCCTCCTTGAGTTCCCCTCGCCACCGCATCGCCACGAAGCAGCCCTCGTTGCCTCGTCGGGCAACGTCGAAACCGCAGCGCTCGAGGATCTCAGGGTGCAGCTCGAGACCTCGATGCGCCGGACCTATCGCGGCGACGCCCATCATCGCCTGCCTCGCTTCTCCATCAAGGTCAGCCGCTCGCTCACGCAGGCCGCTACCGGCAAGGCCGCGCCTTACTGGAAGGGCAACCCCGTCGTCCAGTCCAGCGGCACGGGCCACACCCCGCCTCGTCCTCCAGCTCGGCAACATCGCGCCGTTCATCTTCGCCTGCATCCGCCAGCCCGGCTCACGCTCCGACTAGTGCTACTCGCCCGCCGATGACCACGTCGTCGACTTCATTCAGCGTCCAGCTCATGCCCACCACGACACCAACACGATCGTGACCACCACGACATGTTCGCCGGTCCTGAGCCGCCACAGATCCAAGTAGATCGTGGCGGTGACTTCTGCGTCCACACCATCCCATCCGTCTTGGAGAGGAATCCGCACCGACGCGGAAGCATCGCAGCTACAAGCTCACATCGACCAACCCTATTGAAAGGGAGAGGTCGAGCACCAACGCCGTTCCCGCACCGGTACCCAAGTGCGAATTCAACAGGTCCGCAGGTCCGCTCAACTCCAATCGACGACGGAACCTCGCGTCGCTGCCAAATCCTGAAGGTTTCAACAACCCCCCGCCCAGAAACCTCCGAGGAGCGGTTCCGTGGACCCGGGATCAGTCGCCGCCGCGACACGCTACCACCCCGGCCGAGACCGACTTCGGCGACGACAGACCCCCGCCAACGCCTCGACGACTCCTCACCGCCGACTGCCGAGCCCGACAGCGGCAAGGAACCTCCGCCGCCGCCACCGCCGCCTACAGACTCGTTCCGTGACAGCCTCAATTCCGTCAACGACACCGTCAACGACACCGTCAACGACACCGTCATCGACACCGTCAACGACACCGACCCAGAATCGTGTGCCCGCCGCCACCGCGTCCCTTTGCCAAAGCCTCACGTCGTCACGCAATCTCACTCCTGGCCCGTCGCCGTCGCCGCCACACGGAAGCACTGACATGACACTGGAATTTCGACTCAAAGTACGTGGCGGGAATAACGGTGCGTCGTGTCTACACAAGAGTCGTTCTGCGGAGCGTGAGAGTCGTTCTGCGGAGCGTGAGAGTCGTTCTGCGGAGCGTGAGAGTCGTTCTGCGGAGCGGGAGAGTCGTTCTGCGGAGCGGGAGAGTATCAGCGTGCCCACAAGGACGCCCACAGCGCGTAGGCCCAGGCGCCGACGTCCAGACTCGGCAGGCTGTTTGGCCATTCGGGCAGCACAAGCGCGGCGGCGGTTCCTGCGTGGCCGGCGGCGCTCTTAGCAGCCTGCAGCGCGGCGACGCCCGATGCGCGCGTCCAGCCCGCAGGACTCGCTCCGAACCTGCCGTCTGCGACGGCGAACGAGGTGAGCTTGTCCTTGACAGCGCCGCCAACGATGCCCGCAGCCGCCATGAACGCGGCGGGCCCAACAGTGGGATCGCGATTGTCGTCGCCTGGGTCCTCGACGTCGCCCGTGGCAGGCGCAAAGTAGAAGCCGGCCACCAGCACCATGTACGACAAGATGCAGATGGTGCCGCGGTAGTAGTTGGACCTACTCTCGATGTACGTGTACGTGAGCAGGAACACGCTAAAGATGATCGCGATCACGTCCCAGCGCGGGAAGATGAGCGTAAAGCTGCGGTGGATGAGGTTGTCGTCGGCGACGCCGGCATTGTAGTACGCCGAAAAGACGACCATGGCGGGGATCTGGATCAGACACACCTGCAGCGCGTACGCCGAGCCGATCTCCATGGACAGCGCAATGTTGCCGTTGATGGCAAACGACATGGCGTTCATAAACTCGGTCGTGTTGGGCACCAGCGCAAACAGCGTGATACCCAGGAACTTTTCGTCGATGCCCGAGCCGTCGAGCACGACGTCCACCACGTCCACCAAGATCTCGGCGATAATCGCATACAGCACCGTGCAACTCAGCAGCACCGTCAGCGAGGTGCCACGCGACCACGACGGCGCGTCGTGCCCACCATGGCCCTGCGCCTCTTCCTCCTCGTGCATCGACACGTGTTTCTGCGCTGCACCTCCACCAACCGGGTGGCGCAGGTGACCACGCTCGCCGGTAGCCGCCTGCTCATGCTGGTGTTGCTGCTGCATCACATTGTGGAACGCCGAAGCGGTGAGCGCGACGGCACGATCGTACACCTCCTGGCTGAAGTGCTCCGGCAGCTGCAGTGGTCGTGGGCCGTCTTGCGTCGCATCGGTGCCCTGGCGCGTGTGCCCGCCGCCGACACCCTTGACAGTGCCAGACCCCGATGCCGCGCCAGTGCTGACCGCCGACGACTGGCCCGCAGGGCGGTCGCCCGCCTGCGACGTCGGCAGCAGCTGCTGCATGACTGCCGCCGGCACGAGCCGCTTGTAGATGCTAGCGCGCTGCGCCGACGGGAAGTGCGCGAGCGTGGCCTGGTTCGATACCATACCTGCGCCGTGCTGCACCGGCTGCGGATTCTGCCAGATCTGCGACGCATGCGTGCGCAGTGAGAACCACAGCCCGACGCCATACGAGAGCACGAGGATGACGGTGCACGTGTACATCAACCCGCGCACATTCTGCTGGAAGAATGGATCGGTGGCCGGCGGCACATGCTCGTAGAAGCAACGGCGGCAGCTCCACGAGTCGCCGGGTACGTTGCCCGTCGGACAGCCCTCGCACGTCAGCTGGAACGTGCCGTAGATCTGGTAGAACAGCGTGGGCGTCAAGATACCAATGATGGCCATGATGAGCATCGTACTCGTCACGCCGGCCGAGCGCGCATTGAAGCGCTGCTCCTTGCGCCGCGTCGCGCCCGAACACATCGACAGGCCTGGCATGAGCAGCACGCCTGCAAGGATGGATCCGATCAGCGAGCCCTCGACGAGCCGTGCCTTTTCCTGCGTCAGGGCGATGGCGTACAGGATGATCTCGATGATCGAACCAAATGTCGCATTGATGACGGCGCCCATGCCGATCGAACTCTGCGCGCTGATACTCGCGACAGCCATGCCGATGAAGTACGAGAGCGGAATGACACTGCCGAGCGCAAGCATGAAGATGACGCCCTGACCCGAGATGAAGGCGAGGAATCCGTGCTTGATATGGTGATGTTCGACGTAGCGCTCGATGACGAAAAAGTCGAGAATCGTAAAGAAGACGAGCGGAAGCGTGTTGACAAAGAGGATGTTGACGCCACCGACGGTGTACTTGTAGTACTGGCCGCCGACAGCGCGGTAAGTGCACAGCAGGATCTTGCTGCGGCGCTGAAGCGTCACCTTGCCAGCGTTGATCGACTTGGGCCTTGGTGCCGGCTCGCCCGGCTTCAGCGGAAGGAAGAACTTCTTGGCGGCACCGGTGATCTCATTGCCGTCCTCGTCGTGCATCTTCTCGATGCCGGCTGCGGAGCGGAAGTGGAGCGCGAGAGGCCTTGTCGCGAGGTTCCTGAGCAGGACCCAGGTGAGCTTGGCCATGGGAATGGGGAAAACCATGCCCCAGCATGCCAGACAGACAAGGCCCATGAATGGGAAGAGGAAGATACCGTAGAAGATGGCAAAGGCCGTGCGACCACCGAGGCGCTGAGCCGCGCCGACTTCGCTGCCGAACTCGTCCTGCACATAGCCGTACACGCGCTGCTCAGCCTCGATGCGCTCGAGATCGTTCGGTGGCTGGCCACGCTCGGCGTCGAGCATGGTGCCGTAGTCACTCGCCTTGCCCTTGCCTCGAAGCGACGTGTTTTCGTCCTGCTCCTGCTCCGACGTGCGGCTGGATTCGCCATGGTCGGACGCCCGCGGCGTCGATCTGTGCGCCTCTGAGCCGCTCGACGATCCGGCGTCCGCAGAGGCCCGCGCGGTCTCGTCGCCGCGGAGTGTCTCATTCTGGCTGCTGGCCATCTTGTCCCTGGGCGTGGAGAGCACCGAGTCGGGGCGCGAGTTGAAGGGCACCACATGCGCATGGTCATGCGGGAAGCGCGCAGCGACGGGCGTGAAAGAGTTCTCGATCCACTCCGAGTCTGCAGCCTGGTCGGCGTGTTCGGCAAGCGGAGAGACGCGGTCGCCGCTCTCGGGGCTGACTTCGACCTCGACGTACTTGCCAAAGGGCCAGAAGAGGTATCCACCGAGCTCCCAGACGACGCGTGCATACCTGGAGCCGCCGAGGGGGATAAAGTTGATGAGGACGGACGAGACGTAGCAGATGAGCGAGAGCCAGGAGCCAAAGAGGACGGTCCAGAGGATGTTGCCTGGAAGCAGATGGCGCTCGGCGGCGGCGCTGGGGATCGAGTGGAGCGCAATCTCGGCGTTGCGGGTGACGGAACGCGATTTCTTGTAGAGCGCTGGCTTCCAGATGGGCAGACCGAAAGGGTGTTCGATGTTGATGGCGTCCTGACGGTCCTTGAGCGTGTACTCGACGTCGTCGACATCCGCATCATCGTCTTGATCGTCATCGTCATCGTCAGCGTCGATGCCGGCGGCATGTTCATCGTCGTCGAAAGCGTCGTCTTCGTCTTGGTCGTTGTCATCCATGTCATCGCGTCGGCGTCGGTCAGCAAGGCTGGCAATGGTGTCGCGTTCCTCATCGTGGTCAAAGTCGCGGTCGTCCTCGGCGTGGACGCTGCCGGCCATGCTGGAGCCAGCGTCTGTGGAGGCCGGGACGCTGCCTGCCGAGGCGCCGAGACCGGCGAAGAAGTCCTGGTTGGCACCGGCCTGAGGCGCGTACGAGCTCCTGGGACCGACGGTGCTCTGCTGGCCGTGGCTGAGGCTGCTGAACCTATTCTGAGAGCTGTTCTGGGTGGAGCTCGGGCGTCGAATGTGACCATGCGGGGACGGATAGGCGGTGCCAGATGCGAGGCGTGCGCCGATGCCGGTGCCTCCCGGGCTGGCGACGCCAGGCTGCTGCGACATGGGCGAGAGGGCGCCCTGCTGCTGGATGTTAGGGAAGGCGGGAGGGGGCAGCGCGATGGTGGTTGGGCGGCTGGAGCGATCCGGTCGAGGCGAGGGCGAGCTGGGACGCTGGCTAAGGAAGCCGGAGCTGGGCTTGAGGCTGGGTGACAAGACAGCAGGATTGGGCTGACCCTGGCCTTGTCCCTGAGGGTAGGCGACGGACAGCCTGGAACGCTCCTTTTCGGCCTTCTTGCGCATGGCCTTCTCTCGCTGGCGCGCCTTCATTCGACGACGAACGAGTTCCTCGCCGCGGTCGTGGGGCTCGACCTCGTCGTCCTCCTCGTCGAAAGGACCGAAGCGGTCATTGTCGTCGGCATCGAGGTAGTCTTCGTCGGTGCGGTAGCGGCTCTGCCTGCGCGCCTTGCTCGAGTCACGAGTGGTGGCGGAAGGACGACGGGCCTTCTGCGAGCTGGCGGTGGTGATGCCGCTGGCGGTGCGAGTGGCGGCCGACGGCTCGACGAGCAGGCCAGCACGGCCGATGGAGGTGCCTTGGCGGATGGAAGTATCGCCGGAGCGGCCACGACTGGTGGACCTGCGCCACTGGTCGGCGTCATCCTCGGCGCCCGAGCTGTACTCGGAGGCGGACATGGCGGAGACGGTCTCGAGATCGGAGGTGGCGTAGGAGACGGAGCGCTGGGTGTGGGATCCCTGCCTTGCAAACGCCGGACGAGTCTGCGGTGTGCGCAGCGTCTATCGTAGCAGAGAAGACAAAGGGGGAAGGGTCAGTACCTCGATGGGATGGATGGGATCGACGAAGAGGGAGACACTTACGTTGGCCTGGCCGCGTCCGATGGTGGCGTTGTTGTTCGAGTCGTCGTAGGAGCCGATGTTCCTGTCGCTGGCGGATGAGAAGGAGGAAGCGGAAGGTTGGTGGCGCTGAGCGGGAGTGGTCGAGGTCGATGTCGTATCGTGAGCAGGGATGGCGGGACGCAGGGCGGTGTTGGGACGGAGGGTCGAGCCGGTGGGCTTGGAAGCCGAAGGCGGGTTGGAGTGCGAGGTGAGCGGCTGCATCTGGCTCTGCGTGGGAGTGGTGCTGAGCGAGGCGTGTTGCGCGTCATCCGAGTGCTCTGAGCCTGCCTTCGGGCGAGCCGACGAGGCGGCGGTGCGCGACGACGGCGGCACCTCTCCGCGAGGACTGCTCATGGCCGCCGCACGGAGGGTAAACTTTGAGCTTTGCTGGCGCAGCCGGTCCCAAGCCGTGAGTCACGAATTCAATTCGAAGACAGCAGCGAATGATCCGACGTCATGAACGTCTAGCTGCGATGACGGATGTTGCGATGGAAAGGAAAAGGAAAGAGGCGGGATGGTGGAAGTGTGGAGTGAGGTTGGCAGACGAGGACGGATGAGCCGACGTCGGCTCAAAGGGCCGCTGCATCTGTCGGAATGCAGACGCTCACTCCACCGCCCCTCTGCCAGGGGCTCGCGGTGGTGTTGTTCTCCTGCCGAATTCCACGCAGCTGCACAGCAAATCCAACGCTCCATCTGCAGCTAGGGCGGAAAGCCCATTGCGCGATTTTGCAAAGGGGCAGCAGCGGGCGAGAGCCTCATTTCGCAGCGGCGGGCGCGCGCGCGCCTGCCAAATTCCAGCCCTCTAGGGGTCGGGTGCATCCCGAATAGGCGACAACACGCGCCCCGCCCAGCGAGTTGTTTGACCAATCTACCTCGACCTTCCGCCTCGTCACCACACTCTTCCCACAAATCGGCAAGCCATGTGAAGCTCATCTTCACCCCCTTTTGCAATCACACATCTTGAAGTCTCATCGTGAGATTTGAGAATTAGAATCGTGTGACAGTACGGAGAGAGAATGTGCTTCAATGCCGGATGTTGCCGAATCACATCTCTTGGCACGGTTGTGGGCGCTTAGGGTATGAGGACGGCAAAGCTTGGTGGGCACGAGCCATTTCGCCTCCGCCTGCCTTTTCTGGCAATTTTCTGGACGATTTTCGAGTCTTTTATTTTTGCCGAATTTTATTTGTTTTTTGGTCTTGAGCCGGTGATGGCGAAAATTGGACCCTTTCTCCACATTTGACGAGGCGGAAAATTTCCACTTTGGCCATCTCCTTCTCTCTGCCGCCCACGACGTCGTCATTCGCTCTACCACCATCCCCACGACACTTCCACGATGGTCAAGCACTCGAACAAGCTCAAGCGTAAGTCTCCTGTCCAATCTACTGGAATCGTATCCGAAATTGACCCCATTCTGACCGTAATTGTTGCAGGTGCGGACCGTCGAGCACCCGACCCGGGTCTGCAGGTCGACTTTGAACCCACTGCCTCCGCCGCCGACAAGCCCAAGCCGGCCGAACCGTTCAAGCCGTTCCAGCACGCTCAAGCGCAACCCTCGAAGAAGCGCACCGCATCAGCACCCACAGGCAAGGCGGCACGCGACAAGAAACTCAAGGCCATCGAACGCGCCGACAAGACCAACCAAAAGTTCACCGTCAACAAGGCCAAGGCCGAACGCAAGAAGCTCATGAAGAGCTAGATCATACCCTCGACCATACACACACACACGACACACTGCACAACTGTACCATATGGAAGAATCGGACCACATTCGCATTACGACCTGGCACCGCGGCGCTCGGCGATAAACGCCTCGATGCGCGCCTTGAGCTCGGTATCCGGCACGACGTCTTCGATCTTGAGCGGCGAACGGTTGAAGGGATCCGTGGCATCGCTCAGCAGATGCGCCTTGATGGTCGATCGGTCCACGACCGTCTTGGAGCGCGGCAGCAGCACGGGATCCTTCATCACCGTCGCCATGAGCGGGTCGAGGAACTCGTCCGGCACTTCGCCCAGCTCCTCCTCGTCGTCCTGCTCCATCTGCCGCCTCTCCTCCACCTGCGCAATCATGCCCGCCCACGCCTCGAGCTCGGGCGGACTCTTGAGCATGTAGCGCTCCGCGATCGCGCCCGCCTTCTCGAATACCGGCCGCGAGTAGCTGCGTCCATCGCGTGCGATCGCTGCCACAAACTCGCGCTTGGTGCACAGGTTGAGGTACACCGACATGATCATGCGCAGCAGATTGCGCGGCTCAAATCCAACCTTCTTGGGCTGCTGCACCTTGAGGTTCTGGCACTTGGGTCCCGCCATGAGGTCCAAGTTGTAGTCCAGCATCGCCGCAAGACGATCGACGATCTCGGGCGTCATAAAGGCATCCGCCGTCTCGGCAGCAAAGTCGATCAGCAGCCGCAGAAATTCGGTGCCCAGCTGCAGATCCGACTTGATCGTCTGTTCCAGCTGTCGGATGTGTCCCTCACGCTCCTGGCGCTCCTGTGTCGTGCTGCTGCCGGCGGCGGCGGCGCCGTCCTCGCCCTGCTCGCTCTGCTTGGTATGCAGCTCCTGCAGCTTGTCCAGCGCATCGTCCAGCAGGTAGGTGACGTCGTTCATGAGTCGGTTGATGAACACGACGAAATCCGAACTGCCCGCCTGAGCCTGGCGCTGGATCTGCTGCTTGTGCTGCGCATTGCTCCACACCGCCTTGAAGATCTGCGACAGATGGTAGCGCATGTTGAACTTTTCGTAGAACTGCGAGTTGCTGCCCGTATTCTCGGCCTCGATCCAAAAGTTCATCAGCGCAGGCACCAGATGCTGCAGCGCAAGGCCGTGGATGTTGAGCGTATCCGCCAGCACGCCCTGCGTGTGTCGACCCCAGGGGATCACATTATAGAACAAGATCTCGGCGAGCTTGGCCTTGAGGAAAGGGTTTTTGATGTACCAGCCAGAGCTGAGGAAAGTGGTGCAGAACGTCACCAGATCGCTCTTGGCCTGCTCCGTAAGTGGCGCACTGATGCGCGAGACGAATAGCATCACGTCGCACACATCCTCAAAGATGTGCTCCGGCAGCATGCGGAAGCGCTCGGGCACCTCTTGCGGCAGCGGCAGTGCCGCCTGCGGATGCGGATGCTTGGCGTTCGGCTCGGCCACACGGATCAGCCACGTCATGACGAAGCAGTTGAACGTGATGTTGCGCTGCACAAACTCGGGCGCCGCGAGCTGTGCCTGTGCCGCATAGATCTCGCCGTGCAGCTTGTCCACCTCGGCTTTGGCGCGCTTGAGGAATGTCTCGTACTGCGGCGCCTGCGGCAGCGCCGACCACATGGGCCGGTCCGCCTCGGTCTCGGCGATGCGCTTCTTGAAGCGGCCCATCTCCTTCTCCTTGTCGTCGATGCGGCGCACCGCCTTGCCCAGCCCGAGGTTGTTGAGCCGCAAAGCGATGTAGAACACCTCGGTGATGAAGTTGGCCGGCGCAGCGCCCGCTTGTGCCTTTTGAGCCCACTCCTTGGCCTCGGCCTCGGTGGCGTTGATGCGCGTGAGATCGGCAATATCGAAGCGCGTCTGCGTGCGCAGATACTCGAGGTCGATGCGGTCAATCTTGGTCAGCCCGGCGTCCATGAAGGGCTCGGCGAAGCGGAGCAGCATCTCGTACAGGTTGACCATGTAGCCGTCGGTGGCCACGAGCTCCTGGCGCACCTGCATGGCTCCGCGCTTGGCGTTGAGCGCACACGCGCGACCCCAGTACGCCAGCACGCGCTCGCGCGCCTGCGGACTGGCGCGGACGAGCGCGTTAAAGATGCGAAAGTTGAGCGAGTGCACGATCTCCATGGTGCTCTGGATGCTGCGGAAATTGGAGTCCGCCTCTTGCTGGTTCTGCGTAGCGGCGTTGGCAAAGTAGTGCTGCGTGATGCTTGGATAGGCGTCCGGGAACGACGAGAGGCGGAGGATGGGACCAAAGAGCGAGTCGAGCTCGATGCGCGACGCCGTCGTGTTTGCCGGATCGAAGCTGGGCAGGTGCGCGAGCATATTGGCGATGGACTTGATCTCCACAGCCTCGACGATGGCGTTGACGTAGGGCCTCCACTCCAGTCCTACGATGGTGAGGCCCTCAGTGGGCTTGGCGTTGGGTGCGAGTGGATTCGCGCCCTGCTGTGCGCCGGGAATGCGACCGGCGAGGAGCTGGGCGATGACCGACTGGACGTCCTGACTCGCGAACGCCTGGTTGAGCGCAGCTGGGTTGACGCCACCTGCTTGTGTGGACGCAGTCTGCGCTTGCGAGGCGGTGGAGGACGAAGCTGGCGGAACAGGATCGGCGCCTCGATCTCCGTCGCGGATCCTCCTCGTAAGCTCAGCGAAAGCTGGCCCGAGAATGTCATCGAGCCCCTCTCCGTTGCCGAACCTAGCGGCGAGTTCGCTGAGGAAGACGGGCAGGTCGTCTGCGTCGATGGTCTCGAAGCTGGTGGTGAGGTCGGTGGTTGAATGCGCCGAGGCGTCCGAGCTGGAGAAGCCAAAGGTGGACATGGACGACGAGACACGCGTGAGGCTGTCGACAAGCACGAGAGGCGAGAGGGGCGTGCCGTTGGGCTTTGCTGCATTGGGGAACATGTCTGGTGTCTGCAGCACCAGGCCGGCATACGAGACCAGAAGGCCGCGAATCTCTTCGAGCACGCCCAGCGCCTTTTGCTGCTCAGCTACGGGCAGCGCCTTGCGCACGCGGCCCTCCTCTGCCCTCGCCTTTTTCCAGCAAGCTGCCAGATAGTCCCACGAAGTCTGTCCCTTGGGCAGACTGGCGAGGACGGTGATGTGCTGTGCATCGTCGCTCATCACATCCGCATTTGGATCGAGCGAGAGGCGTGCTATGAGGATCTGGTCTGCGATGGCTGCCGTCAGCTGTGGCGGTGCGCCGGACCCCGATTCGGCAGAGAGCTCGTTGGCGAGATCGTTGAGGTACGTCTTTTCGTAGCCGCTTTCTTGCGCCTGCTGTGCGTCGAGCGTGACGTTGAAGATGGACGAGACGGCGGCATGCTGCCACTGATCGAAGGAGATGGGCATGGTTGCGGGAGGCTTGCCACTGCCACGAGGCGGGCTGAGAGTGTAAGTGGGATGCAGCGCTCACTCTGGTCGGTGCTGTTCTTGTCAGAAAGCGTGGAGAGCCGAAGGAATGTGTGGGTGGTGGTGGGGAAGGAGAAAGGGATAGTGGCAGCGTGGAGCTTCGAGCGTCGCAAGCCTTCGCACGGACACTCGGTGGCTCAGCCTTGGAGCCGCAGTCTAACATGCTTTTTTCGCCCTTCGGTGTGGAGGTTCTTCGCGATGTTGCATATGCAACCACTTCTTCTCGAACCACCTCCATCCATAACGAGACATGTCTGCACCACCGGTCGCATCAACATCTGCGCAGCCTCCCGCCGTGCGCAAGGTTGCTTCAGACGCAGGAAGCGACTCGGAGGACGACGACTTTGACCCGGAGCAGTCGGGCTCTCGCTCTCCCAAGGCTAGCCGCAAGCCTCGCCGCGCGCGAGGTTCGGACGACTCCTCGTCAGGAGAAGAGTCGGATGGCGAGGCAGGCCCCGTCACTGCCGAAGCGATCGATGAAGATGAGCTAGAGGCGCTCGAGCGTGATCGGCAGGAGCTCGTGGCTGCGGCTGGTGGCGAGGACCGGCTCGGCAAACGGAGAAGGCTTGCAAAGCACGAACCGGCCGCCGCAGATGCCTCTGCATCGAAGGACAATACGGACGAGCTGAAAGCTAAAGCAGATGCAGAGTGGGAAGCTATGAAAGCGCCCGAAACCACAGACACCGCCGATGCGCCGAACCGTTCTACACCATCGGCGCTGGCGGCAGCGGCGGGCGAGGACATGATCGCGGTTCCAACGACGTTTTCATTTGCAGGCGAAGTGCAGGCATCCACACGCCTCCTTCCGCGCACGCATCCGGACGCCATTGCCTACCTCAGCCAATCTGCATCCAAGTCTCCAGCGCCACCTGTGGCTGCCGCAGCTGCACGACCAGCACCCGGTCCACGACGCAAGAAAACATCGTCGCTCGCCAAGCTCTCGGCCGCTGCGACGGCGAAACCGACCAAGCTGAACACGCTGGAGAAAAGCAAGCTCGACTGGGACAGCTTCAAGCACGACCGCACCGCCATGTCGCAGCAGGAGCGAGACCAGCTGGACGCCCAGACCACGGGCGGATCAAGAGGTTTGGGCGATATGAAGGGCTACCTTGACCGAAGGGACTTTTTGGATCGCGTGCATGAGCGAACGTCCAAGCCGTGAATGCAATGCAGTGCAAAAGCAACCGAGCGGGTATAGGCAAGCCATTGAGAATGCAATTTGCGCAGGAGTGCTCATTGCGGACGAGCCGACAAAATTGTGAAGAGACAGGCGAGTCGAGAGCAGGGCACATCGGTCTTGCTCAAAACGGAACTTTGAGCCAAATCCAACGCTGGCTTCCTCAGTCGACCGGCTCGCAGATGCCACACCTCCCGGTGCATCGGTCCCGGCATCAAAGGGCACTTGGTTCTCCTCATCGGGTCAGCCGTCAGTATGTTCTCCTGCACCGCGTCTGCTTCCTGCCGCCTGACGCCTGGCCACAGTCTTCTACGTCCAAGAAAGCTCACTTAAAGCCCAAAGAACAGCTCAGTCTTGAGGAGTGGCGCCACACACCATACGCTGCATCCCGCACCTCGATGCCAAGGCTGCAGAAAAGCAGCGTTGACTGTCACGCAGTACCGGCCTCATCAAGCACAGCTCTAGGCCCCAATCAGACTTCAGCAAGCACACGTCGTACTGTATGAGATGCAAAAAAGACCATTGCAAGAAAAGGGAAAAGGTACAAATGTGAAAGTAGTGTCCATGCCGCCATCTACAGGCGCAAAGTGGGAATGCAAAGATCTTGGAGAATCGAAAAGGAAAGAGTGTCCATGGTCGCAGCGTCTACTCTGGATGCCAGGTGGGTTTCTTGCGGTCGCCGACACTGCGCAGGTCCTTGCCCTCGGCCGCCAGCTCTTCGCGCAGCAGCGCCGAGGCGCGCGAGCCGCCGCCCGCCTCGTTGGGGCTCTCTCCGTCGGCACCGGACGACTCGCCGCCCATCACGGGCGCAAATTCGGGATTGCGAAGCGCGTTGCGGAAGGCATCGGCCATGCGCGACGCCTCGTCCGATGTGAACGGCTGCTCCTCCGAGTAGCGACTCGAACGCGAGTGGCTCGACATCATGGCCGCACCACCCGCGCCTGCACCTACGCCCGCAGCTCCCGCGGCGGCGGCAGACGGGAACGCACTGCCTCGCTCCTCGGTCTCGAGCATGTGCGAAGTCTCGCCCGCATCGCCCAGGCTGCGTCCGGCCAACGAGCCGGCAGCCGCGGCCATCATGGGCGACGAACTGCGGTGGCTGCCATCGCCGCCCTGGCGCTGCCGGCGTCTACGAAGCGCCGCCATGATAAAGTAGGCCCCAGCCATGGCAGCCACGATGGCGAGGAAGCCGAGCACCGAGATGAGCACGATCGCGTACGTGGGCAATGCCAGACCGTTCGAGTTGCCCGAACCCGAGGAGCCGCCAAGGCGACCGCCGTTGGCCTGCGCTGTAGCGGTGGCAGTGACGGCGGAACCGTTGGGAAGCGTGGCGGTGGTGGTGCCCTGCAGCGTCTCTGTGCCGCTCAGGCCCGACGCGCGAAGCGACGACTCGAGCGCGGCACTCAGGCTGGACTGAAGCGACGAGGCCGCGGCGGCTGCACTGCCCGTTGGTGTCGCTGTAGCGGCCGAGGCTGATGCCGACGCCGCACTGGCAGCGCTGGCGGCACTGGCCTCGCTCGCTGACGATGCCGAGGCGGCCGAGGCGGCGCTGGAGGAGGACGCACGAGCCTGTGCGATCGAGAAGGGCAGCGTGGTCTGAACGGCGGTGAAGGTGGCGAGTCGCGAGGTGGTGCCCGAGAGAGGCTGACCCGAGGCGAGCACGACAAAGTAAAACGGCCACGAGATGTTCTGGTTGGGCTGGATGTTGTTGGCGGCGGAGCGATTCGCCCACCAGCTGTCGTTGGGCTGGAACGAGACGCGACCTGCGCCGTTGTCCTGCGAAGTCCACGATGTCACGAGGCGATCGGTGTCCTGCTGGAAGAGGTAGACGTCTACGAAGCCGCGCTGAGCAAAGAGGGGGTAATTGGCGTTCCAGATGAATTTGGACCACGTATTTTGGGCGACGGTGGTGCCTGCGGTGGGATAGCAGCTGAGGTCCTCGTTTCCGACGTAGCACGTCTCCTGTGCGGCGGTCTGGCGTCGCTGGACGGCACGCTGTACAGGTTGTGCTCGTGGGAGGCGATCGAGACGACGGTCGAGCGGTTGAGCAAGCACATCGCGTTTGATGCGAACGACGTCGTCCATATCGCGTGCCCAGAAGGGGCCCAATATCGTCTCCTCGTCTGCTGCACCTCTTTGGTGTTGTTGAACGCGCTCGCTGAAGTCCTGCGCGCGTACGAGCAGATGTTCGGGCTCTTCGAATGTGCGGCGTGTTGGCGGTGCGGTTGGTTGTGGTGCAGGCGCGGGTGCGGGTGCTGGTGATGGTGAACGCTTTTGGAGGTGGTCAGAGTCGTGTATGAGTGGCTCATCTGCCGAGCGCCGCAGCGTTGATCGGCTGCTTTCGCCGACGAGATGCATGATGTGCTGTCTATAGTGACAAAACGCTCAGATTGGACGAGTCGGTTGAGATGGAGCTGGGGCTGTGTCGGATTGGATATCGAGCGAGGTGGGTCGCTTATTGCGGTGGTGCCATGGACCGGGTGCGGACGATGGGGCGGATGCTGTGCAGCGAGCCGTGAGCTGCCAGAGGGGACGCGGGGCGGTGGTGGAGCCGAGAGGCTTTGGGTATCGAGGAGGGTGGAGAATGGAGGAGGAAGAGGATGGCGGATGGAGACGGAGGGAGCAGTGAGAGAGCGGCACGAATGGTGTGGGACGAATGCAAAGCGAGAGGCAGGCCAGCTGGGAGAGGGTGAGAGAGCGGCTCGAGTTGGGATCAGCGCGGCGCGCGGGAGAGAGGGAATGAAAATGAACAGCAGCAGCAGCAGCGGCAGCAGCGGTGCGGATCGAGACGAGCCCGGCTGGGCGATTTGGCTCACAATTTGGTGCGCACGATTGCACGGCTGCATGAGGGGCCCACCACCTCTGCCTCCTCTGGCTGCCGCTGCTGCATCGCCTCGCTGCAGCGTGTGGCAGTCGTGCATGTCCATTTGCCAAAAAAAATCACACACAGCTGCTCTGTCTCTCTCTCTCTCGCGTTTCAAGCATTCACGACAACCCTTGTGATAATGGCGATTGGTCTCTCTAGCTCGATGGGTTCGGACGAGCCGGTATCGTCGTTGTCGCTGTCGACCTTGAAACTGGCTTCAAGGCAAGTGCAACAAAAAAGGGCAGGCGGAAGATTGCATTTGGGCGCGCGCGGCCAAGCCCTACGGGTCCACGCCGTTGGTTGCATGAATGCGTCGCCACGCCCGCGCGGTGCAAGCGGCTTCTTGGAGCACTTTCTAGCGCCACTCGGACTGCCTCTTGCCAGGCCCCACCAACTCGAGCCTCGTCTCGTCTTTTGCCTCACCTTGCCTAGTCTCTCCCTGCGCTTGGGGCTCGCCACTCGGCTCGACGTCTAGGCGAAAAGGCGAAAGGGGCATGGATGGAGCGAGGTCTAAAAACAGCTGTTCGTTGCCGCGCGCATGTAGGTATCGCCGTGAGATGCAGGCTGCCAAGATGCCATGAAGATACATTTTTATTTTTATTTTGATGGTCGGCTGCTACCTCACTCGGCCATCGACCGATGGGAAGGGGCATGCAAACCTTTCGTCGCGCCATCTCTTGTCCGCGTCTCTTCGCGTGGCTGCCGTTTTTTCTTGTCACCTCGGCTGGCGGTGCATTCCGATCTGCTCGCCTCACCTTTCTTTTTTGGATCGCATTTGTTTTTTTTTCTGCCAGTCTCGGGCATTCCGACGTTCCGAGCCAGCTTTGCACACTCATATAACTTGTTCGTGGCCCACGAGATTTGGCTCAAGGGCGCCACTGTTCCTGATCCACAGCGTCAAAATCTCGTTTTCCATCCGCGTTGCCGTGATAACGGACTGTCGATCGCTGTTGCAGCCCAGCCATCCAACTGACACGTGCAAAAGCCCATCAGATCGCCTTACGGCGCCTCAGCTCACTTGACGTCTTGGCAATACTACAGCCCGCCCGGCCAATTGTTGGTTTCCTTCCTCCCATTGTGTGACTGAGCCGCGGGCAAGCTGGAATACGATGCAGCGCGCTGCCGAGTTGGCACACGCAACCACGCTGCAGCGGGACACTGCTCGAGTTTTGAGGCGGCTGGCCGCACGCCTTTTCTCACCAAGTCTGCCGAACCGGACATGTCGATCATCAGGGTTTTTTATTTTTCTTATCCTGCTAATTTTCGACGTCTCTCACAGCCTTTCTTGGACTGTGTTCACGGCTCTCGCTGTATTGAAGTGAGACAGTGTTTGCTGCTGGGGCTCGTCGGGATGAGGGCACGACGATCAGCAGGTTTGACGCCCATGTGAACATGCTCTCTGCGCATCGTCGCCTTGGGACTCCGCCGGCGCCGCACCGAACCGCCCTTTTTTACGGTCACTGTGCAGCCAACCTGCATGCAACCTGCAGCTTGGATGCAGCTCCGCTCTTTTCTAGCATCACACCATGCGGCAGCGGGAAAGCGGCAGTCGAAGCAAGATCAATCGCGGGCTGCAATGCGGATGTGACGGGCCCTTTGCTTGGGAACATTTGAGTTCGGCTTTGGCCCATGATCGGCACACCCGTGGTGTAATTGGTGTCGGCTGAGATCCGTCGCCCGACCCTCCGCGCTGCCGATCGATACACGCTTCCTCTAGCCCTTGCCCAGCAGACCGAGCTTGTACCGACGACCCTTCCACTCGATGCTTCCTCCCACGCCGTGTTCAAATGCATCGGGATCGATGTCCAGCCCCTCGGCCAGCCGGCTCAACACCAGATTCGACCCAAGCAAGCTCAGGGCCCCGTACCTCTGCACCTCTGTTGAATCGTCGCGCGTTTGCCATCTGCGTCGCGTGGGTTGAGGAGATGGGTGATAGACGTACCCGTTGTTCGGATCCACAACGAGCTTATCGGGTTCAAACGTCTCCTGCAGCGTACCTGCCCAGCGCAGCATCCCGTCGTCGCTGAGCTCCCGAAACACAATCGGCGCATCCTGGCTCCGAATGAGGTTCAGCTCCGGTCCGCATGGCGAGATCCATTCGTAACCTTCGCTGTCGCCGAGCCGGCATGCTTCCGAGTACAGGTCGCTCGCAGCCTGCTCTGTCGTCATGTCGCCGTTGAACGGCGCCTCATCGCTCCATTCCAATGCTAGAGTTGAGGCGGGCGGATGAAGGATATCGTGTCGCGAAATTGTCGAGTTGTCGGCGGACGCCGTGCGGGATGCCGGGTTCGGGCGCACGCGCTTGAAGAAGAAGTCAAGAAAGTCGGTGTTCTTGAAGCAGCTCGTCAGATTCTTGGGCACTGTGTCGTGCAGGAACAGCTGGCCATGCACGTCCACCACGTATCGGTACACCCGAAACCCAGTAGGTGTGGCCTTGGTTGCCTTGTCGAAAGCGGGTGGTGAGGAGCCGAAGTGCCTAGGCTCCGAAGCTAGCCGACGCACATTTGCCTCGTGACCCGCGATCAGAGAGATGGACGCTCGCGATACTGGTCGCAGACAAGCTGCGCTATGTACGATGAGCATCGCAGCCCTCCATACGACAGCTGGCTGCACCTAATGGATCTGATGACCGACCATGCAACGCTGATGGACAGCCGGAAGGTTGGTTGGTGCGTGCGTCTTCGTGCAGGTGGAGGGATGGCTTTTTCACAGCTGTTACACCTATGCGCTAACATCACCGAGCTTTTTTTTTGAAGCGAGCGCATCGGTCGGAATCGGATCCGAGGATGCACGAGATTTTTGAGGCTGCTAAGAAGAACCACCATCTTCTTACTCTTACTCCTCAATCACCACACTGGCACCTCGCTTGATCCAGCGCATTTGCGTCGCATACTCCGCGCACATACCTTTCATCAACCTTTCGGTCACCTCACCCGCTCAGTCTGTTCGCGATGCCGTTGCACGCGGACCTGTGTACGATCCTTCAAAACGCCTCGCGCGCACGCCTGCGTTCGATCCCACTCGCGTCGACCAAGGACAACCTCTCGATCCTCTCTATCCTCCTGCAGCACGGCTTTATCCACAATGTGGTGCGTGGCACCCAGACCGGTCCGAGTCCAACCTCGTACACGGCGGCTAGCCCTGCGGCGCGTCGGCTGTGGGTCGACCTCAAATTCCGTCCCGACGACCGCCCCGTGCTGGAGAAGATGAACGTCGTGTCGAAACCGTCGCGCAAACTCACCATGGACAAGGACGAGCTTCTGAGACTCGCAACGGGAAGGCGAGCCAAGTTCGTAAAGCCCCTCGATATGGGCGAGATCGGCATCGTGGATTGCGGCAAGAACGGATGGTGGGAGGTCCGCGACGCTATTCGTCGGGGGTACGGCGGTGAGGTCGTCGCAAGGGTGTCCTAATGTCACAGCTTCCGTTACCAAAAAAGGCGGGCTTTGTGCAGCATGGAAAGCACACAACGTTCCCGCACATCTCGCCGCCCACTCAGGTTGGAGGCCGCATCATCAGGCCGAGTGCCCAACATACTCTCTCTTCCTACACATTTGTATTTGTATCTGCTACACGTTCATGCATAGTCATACTCACTGTCTCGTGCGTGCTTTGTGAGTGTTGCTTGTCTCCCGCCATCATACGGCATCTCTCAGCGACGCTGGGAAGATGATGTTCGAGGTGTCGTGGTCGTGGTCACGTGTTGCGCCGAGACCACAGTCTAACACGCTGGAGATTTTTCCGCACTGACACAGACCACCATCAGCGTGGCCACTCCACACCGCATCTCTGGACACGCCACGTTTTCTTCTCGACATCGAGCATCTGGGGTCGGCAGTACTGGTCCAGTTTCGATCGCCCATCCATCATCACCGAATCATGTTTGGACTCGGTTCGGCGTTCTACCTCATCCTCTTCATCACCAATGCGCTAGCTGTGCTTTCGGAAGACCGATTCCTTGCAAGAGGTAAGTCCATCCCTCACCCATCCTAGCGTTGTACAGCTTTCCAACTGACTTTGTCCTTGGGGGGTGATAGTGGGGTGGTCATCAAACTCGCTCGCAAACGCACATTCGTTCGATCAGGGCTTTTCGCAAGCCGGGCCGTATGCGCAGAACGATGTCACCGTCAAGGCAAGACTCATCAACCTCATTTCCGCCGTAAGAACACTCATGCGAAGTAAGTTTTCATCCTCCAAGGCGCAGAAAGATTTAGACACTGCTGACACCGTTGTACTGTATCAACAGTCCCATTGGTCGCGATCAACATCGTCGTCGTCATTTACCTCATTATCCTCGGCTAACGCTGGCATCCACCTGCAATCCAAAAACCATTCGATTTCTGCCGAGCCTCATGATGCACAAGAACTTACCTCGACCGATTCACTGCAGAAGTCCAGGCCTGAGCGGCGTTCAGGAAACAGACACGCAGAGTACGCCAACGCAACGACGAATTCCCAGCCGCACACCACAAGATCACACGTACGACTTGGAAGTTGCTAAAACGATCAGATTGCAGAGGGAAAGAGAGATGCAGGACGAGCGAACAAGATGCGAACCGATGACACAAGAAAGGTTGGACGCGGCAGATGCGGAGGCGCTAAACTTGCGGGCAGAGCGAGCGATTAGGGCGCCAGGACCTTTCTGATGCCCAGTCTCTGCGCAGCCGTGAGCGACTCTGGCAGCTGGACGCTCCACTCCACGACGAGGTCGCCCTTGCGTTTGCCGCCCGTCTTGCTGATAGGCATGCCCTCGTTGGCGAGTCTCGTCGTCCTTCCGGGCGTGACCGACGACTTTCCGGGCGCGGGCTGCGGCACGGGCACGTCGATCTTCCTGCCGTCGAGCGTGTCGATCTGCCTTCGCGATCCGGGCGTGCCCGGCTTGGGGGGATCGAGCGCATCGACGAGGTTGAGCGGTATTGTGACGCGCAAATCATCGCCATCGCGTCGGAAGTGCGCGTGCGGCTTCTCGTCCACGATGAACACCACGTCCTGGAACGAGCCGGGCGCCACCTCGTGCCCCGCACCGCCGAAGCGGATCTTGGTGCCTTTCTTCCAGCCGGGCTTCACCTCGACGGTGAGGATCTTGTCCTCCGACCCGCCCGAGGCGAGCTTGCGACCCACCTTGAGCCGCTTGGTCGTGCCCGTGTACAGGTCCTGCAGCGACAGAGGCAGCTGCTTCTCCACATCGCTCGGCTTTTCGGCTGGCGCACCCGCTCCCGCACCACCGCCACCGCCGCCAAAGCTGAAGCCTCCAGGCATGCCGCCACCGGCTTTCTGCCTGGCTCCGCCGGCACCCCCAAACATGTCTTCCATACCTCCCATGCCGCCCATACCTCCCATACCGCCCATACCGCCCATGCCGCCCATTCCACCGCCCATGCCACCGCCAAAGGGGCTGGCGCCTCCAAAGATGCTGGCAAAGATATCGTTGGGGTCGCTAGGCGAGAATCCGCCCATGCCACCCATCCCCGGACCGCCCGAGGTGAACGTGAAGCTCCTGCCTCCTCCGCCGGGGAATCCTCCACCAAACCCGCCCGCTCCTCCCGGGAATCCGCCGAAGCCTGCACCATCGGCGCCTGGTGGTGGTCCACCGCCGGCCTTGAGGCCCTCTTCGCCAAACTGGTCGTAGACGGCGCGCTTGTTCGAGTCGCTGAGCACCTCGAACGCCTCGCCGACCTCCTTAAACTTTTTGTTGGCCGTCTCGACGTTGTCCTTGTTGCGGTCCGGATGCCACTTGAGCGCCGCCTTCTTGTATGCCTTTTTCAGCGTGTCCTCATCGGCGTCCTTGGACACGCCCAGTATCTTGTAATAGTCTTTGCCCATTGTCGTGCTCTGTCGCTGCCTCTTGTGAGGTGGTTCGTCGTGTGCGTGGATGCCCGGAATCTTGAACTAAGATCAACTGCAAAGCGTGTGCCCGCGAGACGATGTCCGAAGCAATAGACGAGCTGATGCGCGACGAAGTTGCCCTGCTACTTCAGAGTGCGCACGTATGTGTGTGCTCGTTTGTGTGATAGAGAGAGGAGGGGAAATGGAGAGTCGTGATGAAAATGAAGGATCGCTCCGACAAGATGATGGGAGATAATGTTGTTGTTGTGAGAGGAAGAAGGCAAAGGTGCCGTCTCGGGAAGGGTTATACTTTCGAGTGCGGGTTCGGAAGCAAGAGCCTGGCGCCTGTGCGTCATGCTGCGGAAGCTCAGCTGCAGGCCGACCGAGTCGACCGAATTCCTCCACATTCGATGCGCCCGCATCTCTCGCCTTCCGCCTCGCTCTCGCAGACTCGAGAAGCTTCGGCTCGCCCGCGCTTCGGCCTGCACCCGAAGTGCTTTATTTTTTTGTTCTAAATTGTTATGCCGAACGTTGTCACCTTGGAAATTATTTGACCGCGACACAACGATGCTCCCTCAACTCGATGCCGCATCCCTCCAAGCCAGAATGCCTCACGACGCACGCAGCAAGCGCAAACAGAAATTGTACGAAAGACTGCTTCTATTGTTCTGCTCGGGTACGAGCGCTCGAGATACATAAAGTACCTTCATAAAAGAGACAGGGTGGAGGGACCCTAGCCGGCAGAGTTGACGGCCGACACGTTGCCCGGCGGAGTGACGGTTGCCGAGGCGTCCGCTGGCACCTGCGTACGCCAGTTGTGGATCGATGAGGCCTTTGGATCCATCATCATCGCCATTGCATTCGGCGTCATGGGCGCCGCGCCCGCAGGCGATCCCATCATCGGCACTGGCATGGTCATCGGCATCGCTTGCGGTGGCATGCCGCCAGCACCGCCGATCTGTGAGCCCGGCGACGCGACGGCAGCTCCGGCCATGCCCATCGACATTCCCATCGGCATCGACATGCCCATCGGAAGGCCCGACGACACAGCAGGCATGCCATCCCACTGCGGTACACCCATCATCGGATTGCCGCCGCCGGGCAGCCCCATGACCGAATGACGTGGATCGGGCATCCCCATGCCACCCATGCCGCCCATGCCGCCCACCATGCCCATGCTGGGCATCGCGCTCATTCGGTTGAACATCATCGACGAGCGAACGTCCAGTCCGGACGGCGAAGCGAAACCCGAGCCAGACGGCGAGTCGCCCGAACGTTGCTGCTGCTCCTTCTCCATCTGCAGCTGTCGAATGAGCGCTGCCTGCTCGGCGATGATCGCCGCCTGCGGATGCACGTATCCCAGAGGTTTGTCGTCCTCGCTGTCGTCGTCGTCATCATCATCGTCGCCGCTGTCGTCCTCCTTCGCGCCAGTCTGGACCTGCTCACCGTCCTCCTCATCGCCGTCACCAGTGCTGACCTGGCGCGCCAACTTGGCAGCTCTTTGCTGCGCCTTTTGAGCCTGGTGCGCCTCCTTCTTGTCCCGCTTCTCCTTCTCCAGCGCCAGGCGCATAGCCGCAAGCGCCGCGTTACCGCCAGGGTGTCGCTGTCCCAACGGCAAATCCTCATCCGAATCGTCGTCCTCTTCCTTGACCTCGGCTCCTGCACCTGCAACCCCCCTTGCGCTGGCAGCACGAAGCGACGAGGCCGACAGCGACGGCACAGCACCGGTTCCATCTCGCGATCCGCTGTCCCGCGTCGATGTGAAGTCCAGGTCGAGCTTGCCACCACCCAACAGCATTGACTGTCGAATTCGCTTCTCCTTGAGCGCAGCCAGCGGCAACTCTTCGTCGGACGAGTCGGCGTTGCCAGATCCATTGGGCTTCAGCGACAGGCCAGCAGCAAGGGAAACTGGACGCGAGGCCACGTTCTTCTTCACCTGCGCGAGCGGAACATCATCGTCGTCACTCGAGTCTTGCTTGCCCTCGCCGTCTTCGTTGTCCGAGGTGATGAGCCACTCCTCGGCAGCCTTTTGCTCGCCCGCCAGGAGCGACGGAGTCATTCGACCGCGTCCGCCCTCTTCGCCTGCGTCGTCAGCGTCGCCGATGTCGAGTGCCAAGACAGGTGGTTCGACTGGCGTGAGGCTACGCTCGGGAACATCAGCGGATTTGCCCAGCTGATCAGTCGCAGCATCGCGCTTCGAGCTGGTCACCGAGATCGCTTCTGCGTTCGAGGCGGCGAGGCTGGCGGTGCTTCCCATTGCCGAAGGGTTGGAGACGTCCAGATTCGCTCGCTGCTTCTTGTTCTTCTTCGTCAGCGTGAACAAAGAGCGCTCCTTCTTCGGTCTAGCCTGAGCCTGGGCCTCGAGCTGTTGCCGGGCGGCTGCTTCCGCCTCCGCCTGAGCTCGGGCCGCCTCGGCCTCTCTCGCCTCCTCTTCCTGTCTCTTGGCCATCTCGCGAGCCCAAACCTGGTCAGCGCCAAAGACGGCCTCCATGCGTTCGCGCGTGTCATTGTAGCCGAGCGGCTTGTCGCGGAAGCTCTTGGCACTCGGCGCAACTGAAGCGCCGTCATCGTAGACCGAGGCGGCTCCAGCTGCTGCGCCGTTGGGACGCTGCGAGGCCGTGTCGTCCTCTCCATCGATCTGGAGCATCGTGGTCTCGCCGCCCTCGAGCTGGACCTGGCCGTAGAAGCGTGCCTTGGACTTGCGCTCGACATTGCGCTCCGTGGCGAGGTCGAGCAAGCTCTTGCCGTACAGCTTGCCGGCTGGCTTGTTGTCGTCGACCCAACGCTTGTCATCGTCGCTTGCCCAGAGGTCCGAGTCGGTGTCAGTCTCGGTTTCGTCCTCTTCGCTGGTGGTGCTGCTGAGATCCAGGTCCTCGTCCGGGCTGAGCTCGTCCACTCCAACTTCTTGGAAGGACTTGCCTTCTCTGAGCGCCTGCTCACGCTTCTCGCGCCGCACTCGTCGCGCTGCTTTCCTCTTGCGTTTGGCCTTGGCGAGCCGCTTGGCAGCACGCTTGGCGGATCGGCCCTGCTTCTTGATGTCGGCGAGTGGTTTGTCGTCATCGTCCGAGTCGTCGGCCTTGTCCGGGTTGAGCATGTCGTCGACACGCGTACCCGCTTCCCAGCCCCAACCTTCGCGCTCGTCGTCATGTTGGACAAGATGATTGCGGAAGAGCGCGGTCGTGGGCACGGCGGCACGGCGACCAACACCTCGGGGTGCCGCTGCCGGCACCTGAACAGTTCTGCCGACTTCGACAGCCTTGAGACGGGCGGACACCTGCTCGCTCTTCTTGTTCTTGGGTTTGGCGACAAACATGGGCTGAGGGCCGCTGGCGCTGTGCACGACAAGGCTACGCATGGGCGGCAGGCCGCCGCGGACGTCGTGCAAAACGAAACCATCGGGCACGTGGAGGCTCTGACGCTTGTCCTCGTGGGCAGCCGGGAGTGGCGCGTTCGATGGCTCCGCGAGTCGAAGCTTGGGTGCGAACTCGGTGCCTTGCAACGGCTGGGGCATCACAAGCGTCTTTGGCATCCGAGCGACAAGGCCACGCGGCTTGAGTGGTCCTCGTCGTGGCGGGCTGATGTAGTCGTCGTCGACGTCACCCTCTTCTTCCTCTTGGGCGTCGGCCGTATCGGCTGCCATCTTGGCGGCAGGCTCAGCCGCGTACATGTCCGAGAGGTTCGGTGCTGTTTCAGTCTCGCCAATGTCGACGGCCTGATCGACAGGTGCGACGGTAGCCGAGAGGATTTCGGCGTCCGATTCGGCGTCGCCTTCATCGCCATCTCGATGCGAGGCGCTCTTCTGCTTTGCTGGCTTGCCTTTGGCGTCCATCATCATGCTCAAACGGAACCACTTCTTGCGCGGTTTGCCCCAATTGGCGGACGAAAGGTCGGGGGCGACGGGGCCGCCCAGCTGGATCTCGAAGTTCTCGCCACCAGTCTTGGCAAGGTCTTGAGCCAGAGCCGAAAAGTCGTACGAGATTGGCCTCGGTTTTGCCTTGCGCAGCTGGCCGAACTCGTCCTGGTCCAAATGTGCATCTTGGATCAGCTCCTCTTCGGCCAGGAGATCGCGGTTGATGCCAAGATGCGAGGGGAAAGTGGAGTTGCGTGCGACCGCCTGCAGCTGTCTGGTCGTGAGACTGTTGAAATCGATGGCTGGAGAAGTGCCTCTGCCTGCCGCAATGTCGAGCATGCTGGCATCGGGCACGGGACCAAGCGTGGGGCTTGCGGCCTGCAAAGCGGCAGCGAAAGGACTGGGACCGAGTCCGAGGTCATGCTCGGCGAACAGATCTTGAGACCAACTGCGACTTGGACCTTTTGCATGCCCCAGATGCGACGGCGCGATGGGCTGGGATCCTCTTTGAGGCAAAGCCGAAGAGGACTCCAGCTGGTCGGAAGCTGTAGCAGTCTGACCGTGTGGGTTGAACATGGGACCTCCGAGGAAGGAGTTGCGCCTAGATTGGCTTCGCGAGTAGGAGCCAACGCCGACCATGTCGATGTCTGCGGCGATGCTGTCCTGGGCAGGAATTTCCGATTCGGCCGCTTCAGGATTCTGCGGAATTGGAATAGCCTGGCTGGGAGCGGGAGGCAATGAACGGGGTGCCTGGGCGGCGTTTGCATCGTTTTGCGCAAGCGATGGTTCTTGTTCAACGCATTCGCTCACTTGAGTTGTTCCGGTGGTGGTCAGCGCCGAGGGAGCGTCGATGCCGTTGATCGGTTCCACCGGCCCAGTTGCACCGAGGAAGGCGGATGAAGCATTGGATTCGGCGCGGGAAGACGGACGAGGTGGGTGAATGATGGATGCCGCAAGGCCACCTGCAGCTTCATCGCCATGCTCATGCGATGCATTGGCGCCGTCCGCGGCCGGCGGAAGCTGATCCTGGCTGAGAATCTCAGAAGCTTCGCGGAGGGATGCGCGCTTGTTGTTGTGGGAGGAAGCGATGATGTGCTCGACGACCTGGTCTTTGGTGGCAGTGGGACCGGGACCACTCCATTCCGACGGCGGGAGGTTCTCCTGACGCTCTCGGTAGAGTTTGATCTTTGCGAGCAACTCCAACTTGGCGTCTGCGGTGGCAGGTGGATTGGAGGTGGCGACCGGAGCGGTGCCGATGTCCGAGCTGGCACGCTTTGGATCTGTGGTGTGGTTGGGTGGAAAGCGAACGGCATCCAAGGATTTGCGTGTGGGTATTGAGTGAGCAGCCGCGTTGTCGAGCGACGGACTTGCTGCGACGCCTCCAGTGAGGCTTTGTGTGCGAGTGTGCTGTCCAGCAGCCAGTCGGTCTCGTTCCTCTCTGCTCAGGAACTTGTCGATGCCCCATTCGCTCAGGACTTCTGCATCGGAGAGCGCATCGTCGTCGCGGGCAACATCGAGGACGCTGCCAGGGCGAGAGCCAATTCTGGACGTACGGCCCAGGACCGAGGTGGCAGCGTTGGAGAAGATGCTTTCTGCGCGACTGCGAGGTCGTTCTGTGATAGCAAGAGCCGAGGCATTGCTTCCTGCACGGCTGCGAGCCCTCTTCTCGGTAGGGAGTGCGACGCCAAGAAAGTCGACGCTCGGACGGCGACCGTCGTCGCTAGGCTCGAGAAGACGCGAAAGGCCGGTGGCAGCGCTCCATGTGCGGACATGACGCTTTACGGCCAGGCTGGCGCCCTCTCTGTAGGGAGCAAAGATGGCACTTTGGCTTGCGAGTGCGGGCTCGGGAGGAGGTGGTGGACGGAGATCATCATCGGGACGCTGGGGGTGGGAGATGTGCCAGAACTGAGCCTTTTCGAGGATGCGATCGTTGTCTGCCTCGATCAGGGCGGCTGCGAGCTGGAGGCGGGCGTTGACACGCTTGGTGATCTTGGGCTGCGGAGCCTGCGTCGGCTCGGCCGAATCTTGGAGCGATGGCTGCTGGGAGGCTGTGACGACGGCAGCATCCGAAGCAGAGGCCTCGGGTACCTGGACCGCTTCGGCAGCAGACTGGTAGAGCTCCTCTGCGGCTCGGTCAAAGCCCATGTGCTCCTGCTGGGCGCGCTCGAACGCGGGAAAGGCGATGGAGCTCATGCCTGATGTCGGAACGCTGCCACGCCGGATCGATTCGAGGAGATGGCGAGAGCGCGGGTATGGCGCAGCGTCGCAAGCTGAGTGGGATCGTGCTACACGGCGATCAGAGCGCGGTCATGGCAGTAAAACAGCTCGAGCCAGGATTGCTGTTGCCGGCCGTGGGTGATGGTGGAAAGGTGGGGTTTGCTGCAACGATGCGTCTTCGGCGACAAAGACGACAAAGTGTTGGTGTAGAGCCACGTCGACTGGGGCTTTGCATGCACTCAATGTGTCCAGGGGCAGGCACCGAGCGTGTGTGAGTGTGTGTGTGTGTGCCTCTGTCTCTGAAACACATCAGCCTGCAGACCCCTTTTGCTGCTCGCTGGCTGCCTGACAGCGACTGTGCGTGGGATTTTGTCGGATTTTCCACCAGCCAGCCGTTGTTTGCCCAGCTGCTGCTGCCCCGATCGGCGCTCCGAGAAACGCGATGCGAGGACCCCCAAGCGAAGGATGCGACTTTTTGGAACTCCGCGCGCCAGGCGAAATCAGCCGGTGTTGGACTCACAGATCGCCGCCCAGTGGGCTTCCCAACAGCGCGTAAGTTGGTGGCTCGGGCGTGGGCGTGGGCGTGTCGCTGGCAGCCCAACCAAACTTCGTCGTGCCTGGCCAGCGCCTATTTCGGGACCAACTCTGGCCGCCTCGCATGGCTGAGCGTCAGCAGCTTTGGCGTTTCGAAGAGGTGGTGCGCTGTTGAGCTTCGTCTTTAACCTGCTTTTGTTGCCGTGCAAATCCGCTGCTATGGCTTGCATGCTGTCTATAGGCTGGACATGACATCAACGGTGCATTCGAGGCGATGCTTCGCACAGCCTTCCATGCTTTGCTGCAATCCGCAGCGGAGAAGCGGCGACTTGGACGCCAAGTCGTGACGAAGCTCCACCAACGATCTTACATCGATTGACCAAGCGAAATTGACTCAGCTCGGAACACGGAAGAACAACCAAACCTCCACTTTGTCAGGGTCCAGCCCGCGTCACGGTGATTCTGAGCGGACACCATCTCTGACCAGTCCTCCCATCGGCGCGCTGCAGTCGCACGATGTGACCATGCCTTCTCACAACAGCGCTGGACCCAAGATGAAACGTCTCCGCTCACTGACCTCCAGAGCTCGAAGCTCTGAACCGTCGAGCATCAACTCGGAGGCCTCGTCACTGCTGTCCAGCCTGCCGCAGCACTTTGCAACAGCTTACGTCTACATCGACAACACCCCTTCTGGAAGCACGCGATCCCCCAGATTTGAAGAGTCAGAGGGGCTTCGAAGAAGCTCGCGCTGCCGAAAGGAGAGACTCTCCCAACTCGAACGCATATCCGAGGATGAGAACCAATCGGATCGAAAGACTCGATCTGCTGATCGTTCCGGGCTTTCAACTTCATCGTCACGGAGGGCAGGTCCATCGAGTCCGCGAAAGAGGATCAAAAGAACTCGCGACGATCCCAACTCGGAAGCTGGCAGCATCTACGCTCACCTTAAAGGCTTGCCGGATCTGTTTGCCGTTGACAACGACATCATGTTCTGCGGCATCAATCCGGGCGTCAAGTCGTCCCACTCTGGACATCACTTTGCGCACCGCTCGAACCACTTCTACCCGTCCTTGCATCTGTCCGGAATCACACAGCAGAGGATGAAGCCGGAGCAGGATGTCGACTTTCCCACGCTGCGTCCCATGTCGCTCGGGCTCACCAACCTGGCTGGCAGGCCCACCGCCGAGGGCAGCGAGCTGCTCCCAAGCGAGCTCATCGCCGGCGTTCCCGTGCTGCTCGAAAAAGTGCAAGTGTGGAGACCAAGGACGGTTTGCTTTGTCGGCAAAGGCATATCCGAAGCGTTCGTGAAAGGACTCAAGCAAGCCGGTGCTATTCCCTCTGCTCGACGCGAGTCAAAGCAACGCTCCGGAGCCAAGGCCGAGGCGCAAGATCAGGATACGCTTGGGCACACCGTCTTGGACATACAGATTCCGGCTGAGGTCTTGCGCGCAGACTCCGGTGGCGCGAAGCCGTCTAGCCAGCGCAAGCCTGCCCCTGGTAGTCCAAAAGCCAAGCGACTGCACTACACCAAGGACAGCGCCAAGGATGATTCCGGCTATGGACTTCTGCCCATTTGCGTCTCCCACGCCAAGCGAACTGACCGGCCTCTACGACTCGACGAGGTGACGCTGTTTTTTGTCTCGCCTTCGAGTTCGGCGCGCGTCACGACTCACTTTCTCGACGACAAAGCACGCATCCTCTCGGGCCTGCGTGTGCTCGTTGAGCACTTGAAGTCAGCACCAGCTAGTGTCGTTGGTCGCAAATACGACACGATGAAGGACGAGCCTGGACAGGCTCAGCAAGAGCCATCGGAAGGGGCGTCGACAAAGAGGGTTGAGTTGCAGATGGTTGATCTGACTGCCTTTGGCCTCAGAGTCGGAGGCATCAAGCCCGAAGTGAAGCAGGAATCTCCTTCCTTTTCCTAATCACAAGGTCTTCCGACCAGTGCACTAGCGTGAAAGTGTAGGACAAACAACGTGCTCCTGCCAGGAGCGTTTCATGCACGCCGAGCTGTCACAGATGCATGCTTTGCATGCTTACAGCGGCATCGAGTCTGTGTGCAGCCTACGAATTAAAAGAAAAACTCAAAGTTACGAGTCAGCCAATGGGCGCGTTATCGATTTCTGCTTCTTCACCAAGTGTCACTCAGTCGGGTCCTCGGAGCACACCGTCCGAATACGGTAGCGGGACAGTCATCAATCACAGCGCCGGGACACCGCCGGGAAACCCTGCAGCTGTGCCCGTCGCGTCACAACATGAGAAACAGGCCACACGATGGCACGTTGTGAGGCCTTCATTTGTCCGGCTTTCATTTGGCAAAGCGGTGGGGACGTTGCTGGTCATTTGGGTATCGCGAGCCAGCAGTCAAGGCTGTGCTGACCGGCGCACATCGACGGGACAATGCTCGTGTATCGCGTATGGCGACATCGATCGATGAATAGGCCGTATCGATAGAAGGGCAAGTTCACAGAGATGGCAGCCATCACACAATGTCACCTGCAGATTCATCTTCGAGGTGACGGCCTAGAACACGCCGAGGAGAGCTCAACAAGCTCAGCTTTCAGCGGAATGGCGGATCGCGGCAGCTGCTGCCCTTTCCATAGTTATCCTCCAACGGGTAGCTGAGTGGTGAGATCAGCAAACCAGGACCCTGCCGCTCGGCAGGAAATTTTTGGCGTGAATCTTTCCTCGGATCCTCCGAAGCACCCGCGGCTGGCGGCGTGTGCTTTCTCCAGCTCCTGCGTGGGTGCACAGTAACCGGTAGACGCTCACAGTCGATTGATGCGATAGCGTAACGCATTCCTCTGGAATTGCCCGTCTGCTTGATTGAGAGCAACATCCTTCGGAATCTACTGGATGTTGCGGGCGTGCCGAGAACTTTAATCGCCGAGCGGAAATCGCCGCTCGCACATCACAGCCGCCAGCAATGCCAGATCGATTTGCTCTCCTTGTTGGCACCAACTCAAGCTTGTCTCTAGAGCTTGTCCAATGCAACGCAAGCAGCTGGTCAACGCTTTGGAGGCGATGCTCCCACCCACAAGGTGCAACCAGTGTCGATCGAGCCTCGACAGACACGCCGCGCCGGACAAGCTCACACGAGACTCAAAATTGTAACCGAGCTCGGCTCAGCCGTGTCACACACTAACGCACACGCACACCCACACCCACACGCACACGAAGGGGCGTACCGAACAGTTGGAAGGTGGGTTTGTCCAACGTGGGAAAGGCAAGCCGAAAGTACACACCTTTGTTCCCAAGCTGAGCCAAACGCTTGAGGCTGATCCGTATCGTGAGTCTTGCTCGGTCGCTGGGCCATGGAGACATCCGACGGTCAAGTTCTCGCGTGCGGGCAAGGACGTGGCTGGTGGCAAACGATGCTGAGCAAAACGATTCGGTGCTAAGCTACGCCAGGGTTCATCCGAGAATTTGGCCGTGGTCGGGGCCTTACAAAATCGACGCGTTTGGCCGACCGGGTGCGGATACGGATACGGCGGCGGCTCTTGGCTGCATGTTCAAAAAGCTGCTGCCCACCGCTGCTTCTGTGATGACGTGAACGAGATCAGTCTGCGTCGCTGCGTAGGGCTGTACCGTATCGTGCCGCCCAACATCCTTTCTTCGGAAAATTTTCGATTTTCGTCGAGAATTTTTAGGCAGCGAGCGCGTGGGTGGAGCGAACTTTATCCTCGTTGTCCTTGGCTGGACGGATGCGTGGGCGCGCGGGTGCGGTTGGAGCGTGCGTTATCCTGCAGGATCTGCCGAATCAGTGCGCGCCGACGTCCCACGCTCAGCAGCAGCAGCAGCAGCATCATTATTTGCAGCAGCAGCCGGCAGCAATAACGCGTTGCAGCACATGCAGCAGGCGGATGGCAGATGCAGGGTTGGAAGCGGCCGATAACGTTGCAGCCAAAGATTCGCCCAGTTTTGCGATTTTGCCGTCGTCTTGGCCGGCGACCGTCAATTGTGTCTCTGCCTTGGCTTGCTGGCTGCCGGTGCCGACTCAATAATGCGAGCCGCTGCCAGACGGACCCAACATCCGCGTTGCTGAGCCACACGAACCCCATCGGCCACCTTGTACCCTGACTTCCTGACTCGCCTTGCACATTCTCGCTCGTATCGTCGCACCTCAGCCATCAGCCATCATCCATCCTAGCCACACTGCGACCGCCCGCGACTCAAACTCAAAGGCGTCCAGTAGCTTGTGGCTCGTCATCCACTCTCGCCTATCGGAGCTTCGCCGCGATCAAATTTGACCACCACCTCCACCTTGCTGCGGCTGGATTCCGATCGCAGCTCATCATCGGATCGCTCCGACAGCACCTGACCCCCATCGACAGACAACAGCAGCGCACACAACCTCGCAGCCAGCGCACTACATCCCCGGCCCTCACACCTTGACCCCTCGAGGCGGGCGTCCTTGTCTCACCAGCGCTCTGCCGATCCGGCCACCATGTTCAGCTCCATCGTTCACCATCCTTGCGAGATCTCGCTCCACCTGGTCTCGCAAGACATCTTTGTCCATCCTCCGCCCCCCAACACCGAAATTCCCGGCGATGACAAGACCCTTCGTGGCCTCGTCGAGATCAAGTGCCCCAGCGAACGCCACATCCAGGGCGTCCGAGTCGTCCTCCAGGGCGTTCAGACGCTCGCCATTCCAGAGAATGCTTCGGCCTCCGCCTCCTCCATCCGATGGGAGGAAAAGGTCATCACGGAAAAGACGGTCGAGATCATGAACGACGGTACCCCTGGCGCCATCAACGTCCGTCCCTCGCGCTCCAAGGGCAAGGAGAAGGAGAAACAGCCCAACTGCAACGTCTCTGAGGGCCTCCATCTCGAAAAGGGCATCCACGGCTTCGAGTTCGCCTTCATCATTCCTGCCTCCACCGCTCCCTTTGAGCGTAGCAAGCACGGTCGCGTTCGCTACATCCTGACCGCCACCGCCCTTGGCGCCGGCCGTGCACGCAACAACATCTCCACATGGAAGGAGATCTTCATCATTCTTCACGTCAACTCCGACGGCGGTCCCGCCCCCCTCGACATCCAGTACCACGACGTTCACGAGGCGCTCGGCCCGCTTTCCGTCTCATTGACCTCGGCGTCCCTGACCGTAGGAGGCACAGCCAATCTGAATCTCTACCATCCCGATCCACCCGCGGGACTCAACGTGCACGTCGTGCGCGTCTTCCTCGAGCAGACCTTCGAGCTCTACAGCGAGGTACGCAAGGGCTGGCTCAAGCTGCCCACCGAGAAGCTCCGACTGTGGGAGAAGGGCTATATGCCCTACAAGACCAAGCAGCACACCGATGCCGTCGGTCCCGAAGACTCGATCTGGATCGGCGACATGGAGCACGGCGCCGCTGGTCGCCCCGGTCGTGGTGCCGGAAACGGACCGGCCAACCTTTCCCCCTTTGGCCTGCCCCTAAACGGATCGGCGTCGGCACCAGTGACACCCATGGAACCCGCCACGCCCATGCATCTCGAGAATGGTTACAGGATCAAGTCGGTCGTGCGCCTGCCGGACGACAACATCCTCCGTCCCAGCACCGTCCGAGGCTCGCGTGCCGAGATCCGCGTGAGCCACGAGATGGGCGCCGAGGTCTTTTTCTCGCGCAAGGACGTTCTGGACACGCGCGAAGACAGCGATAGCTTTGGCAAGCCAAAGGTGCAGGTCTTTTCCATGCGCAGGGCCACCACCATCCCTTCGTGCTGCTGCACGTTTGACACCATCCACCTGCCTCCCTACTCGCTCGAGTCGCCCTCCAGCTCCAGGCCTTCTTCGCCCACACCGCCGTCATCGCTGCGCAACTCGCATCCCGAGCTGGAACACTGGAAGCGCACCACCACGCTCAACAACCTGCTACCCGGCTCGCGAGGCAGCTCAGCTTTCAACTCGGCCGCCAACTCCCGAGCAGGCTCGCGTGCTGGCTCGCGCGACACCTCACCCACACGACACGGCTTTGCATCGCACTTTGGCACCTCGGGACGAAAGAGCCGCAACTCGAGTCCGACTCGCAACAACCGCGGAAGGTCGGGTAACGGTTTAAGCAGCATCGGGCTGCACGCGCTCACGCCTGCATCGGCCGGCCACATCGACCAAAACGGCAGCCACCGCAATCACGGCTACTCGACGCCGCGCTCGCTGCCGGACAACGTGCCGTGGGCGGTCAGCTATCTTCCGGATCGAACGGGCACCTCGCACGACACGTGCAACTGCGGTCGCACCACCGAGGAGCTGACTGAAGCAGAGCAGCGTCTGCTCGAGGGCGTACCCACCGCTCCGGGCGCATGGGTCGAGAATACGGATGCCAACGTGCCGCCGCCGCCGTGGGCGCCTCCGTCGCGCGCCAGCAGCCCGGTCTCGGGATGGCATTATGGCCCTGGATCGGCACGCGAGGGCTTCCGTCCGCGAGGCAAGCTCGCTGAACTCGAAACGCCGTATGGCAGTCCATCGGCATAACGTCGGAGCTGAATCAAAGCTCCAAAACAACCACCCCCACTCATTCTGGTCTCGACTCGGTCTCGCATCGTTCTCGTAATCTCCTTGCAATCAGCCGCACAACGCACATGCCATGTTCCCTATTCGATAATCAAGTGTACTTGTACTAGCGACGCATGCACAGGTGGGAGGACTTCGAGTGGGAATGAAGCTAGCCCGAGACGTCGGTGGTGATGGTTTTCAGAATTTGGTATTCGGCCATTCCATGGATGGAGCCTTCTTTTCCGTATCCGCTCTCTTTGACTCCTCCGAAGGGCGACTCGCATGCGCTGAGCATGCCGGTGTTGATTCCGATCATGCCCGTTTCGATGGCGGACGACATACGGGCTGCGATGCGCAGGTCGTTGGTGTAGACGTACGCACCCAGGCCCACGTCCGAGTCGTTGGCAAGCTCAACCGCTTCCTGCTCGGTCGAGAATTTTCGGATGGCTGCAACGGGGCCGAAGGTTTCTTCCGAGCAGATTTGCATGTCGTCCTTGAGACCCGTGAGGATGGTGGGTGGGTAGAAGAATCCGCCCTCGGTGGGGAGGGAATCGGGAGGAGGAGGACCGTAGTACAGCTGTGCGCCTTTGGAGAGAGCATCTGCCACGTGCGATCGACACTTTTCAACGGCACGATCGGTGATCAGAGGCCCCAGGAGGGTCGAGGGATCTTCGCCATCGCCCTGTTTGTACGTCTTGATCTTGGCCGCTAGGCGCGAGAGGAACTCGTCGTGGATACCGGATTGAACCAGGATGCGGTTGGCGGCCACACAGGTCTGTCCCGACGTACGCAGCTTGGCGAGAAGCACGCCGGTGATGGCCTTGTCCAGGTCGGCATCATCCATCACGATGACGGGCGAATTACCGCCCAGTTCCATACTGAGCTTCTTGAGTGTGCCGGCGCTCTGGGCTGCGATGAGCTTGCCCACACGTGTGGAACCGGTGAGCGAAACCTTGCGCACATGCTTGTGCTCGCAAATCGCCTTGCCCACTTCGGCCACGTTGTCGAGCGTGGTCACCACATTGACGCATCCATCCGGATAGCCTGCTCGCTTTACGAGCTCTGCAAACGCCAGTGTGCTCAGGGGCGTTTCTCCCGCAGGCTTGACCACGCACGTGCATCCTGCTGCGAGTGCAGGGCCGATCTTCCTCGTCGCCATGGCCAGCGGCAAGTTCCACGGCAGCAAGCACGCCACCACTCCAATCGGCTGCCGAATGGTGTGCACGCGCATCGCAGGGTTGGCTGCCGAGATCGTCTCGCCCTGTGCACCCGTTTCGGCCATGTTGGCAAACCACGCCAAGAAGCTCGCGGCGTACTTGACCTCGGCTTCGGCCTCGGCGCGTGTCTTGCCGTTCTCGCGCACGATGAGCGTGGCCAGATCGTCGATGTTGGCGAGGGTGAGGTCGTTGAGCTTCCGAAGCATGTCGGAGCGCTGGCGCGCGGTGGTGTTCTTGAACTCGTTGAATGTGGCGTGGCACGAGGCTACGGCGTCGTCCACATCCTGCGCGTTACATTCGGGGATCGATGCTACCACCACGCTGCGATCGCCCGGGTAGACGACATCGAATCGCTTGCCCGAGTGCGAGTCGACACGCGATGAGCCGATCACGCACTGGGTGATGAAGAGCGATGGGTCTTTGAGACGCGAGGTCTCGGATTTGCTTCCATTGGTGTTGGCCGACATTGTGCTCGTATGGTGTTGCGATTGTGGTGTGATGGACGTGGCGGTTGGATGGTGGCAAGAACGGCAAAGTCGCGGGCCTCGGCGCAGCTCCATGAGGGGGGCTGCACCGATTCAGTCGCGGCTGTGCCTCCGCACGAGGTGGTTGACCCGTGCATCATGGTCAGGTTGGCTTCGCATCGGCGACCCACCGACGTCACGAGGATAACGCCGATGCAGGTGGAGCGGACGCGGGGTAAGTCCGCCTCCGTCGCTGCGCAATTACGCGGGCAATCGACCTAACACAATCTGGCAGCAATCATGGATCTGAATCGCGTCGGATTAGAAATCAGCTCGATCGGCGATGGCGAATTCGGAAGCGAGCGTTCAAGTGCGAACCGTCGCATTTGGCGCGCTCACCAACAGCGCTGCTCTCATACGCCGAGCCAACTCCTCTCATCGTCCATCCCTCCGCTTTCCATCAACCTAGGGCCACATACGCAGCCATGTCGCTCGCACGCACGATCAACTACATCCGAAAGGAGGGCATCAAGAAGTTTTGGCGCGACCTTAACTACATCGGTGACGCCAAGTCCGGCCGTCTCGTCGGAATCGACAGGTAAGCCTTACGCCAGCTAATCTCGCCTCTGCCAGCATCTCGACCAACCCACAGCTGTACTGATCCGTGTCTGTTTTGTGGCCGAATAGGAATGGCAACAAGTTCTACGAGAACCACGACGAGTTCCCGCTGAGGCACCGATGGGTCGACTATGCGGCAGACAACGAGTTTAACGCTTCGCAGGTCGACCCGCTCTGGCACTCGTGGCTGCACCACATCCGCCAGAAGCCGCCGCATGAGGACGCAGGCATCCAAAAGATGACCCAGGCCTGGATGACTGTACGTTCCCCAACCTCTTCGTTTTCACCGTCGGATGGCATAAAGCTAACGTTGACTTTTGCACGGTGTAGCCTCCTCGCGAGAACATCACTGGCACACGCGGTGGCTTCAAGACGTACAACACCACCAAGCCAAAGATCGTAAGCACCATCTTCTCGTCCGCTTGTGCATCGGGCCACAAAGCTTACGTTGCTTCTTGTTTTGCTGCTGCCAGTCCGCATGGGAGCCCAAGGTCGCCGAGCGAGGATAGACACCCAACGCCCTCAATCTGTATCCAGCACCTGATCGCCAATCCATTCTTGCAACCAGTTCGTCCTGTCCACACGCCCGATCGATCAGCACGCGGTCCTCGTTCCGCGGCCATGAGTCACTGATCCACCGCTGCTCTGACACTCGGCACACCCGCAACCTTGCGCTTCACACCCAGTGGCACACCGAGGGACACGCCACTTGGAGCACAAATACATATTTCAGATCAAAGGAAAGAGTAGAAGGTACACTGGTATCGTTGTGGCCGCCTCGTCGCACTACATGCGGGCAAGCGCACGCAGCAGATCCGTCGTTTCGCTCTCATCGGGCTCGACGAACGTGCTCGCACTGACATCGGCCACGCTCTGATCCGGTGCGCTCGGCCTGGACTCTGCGCCCGTCGTGCTGATCGACCGCGACTCGCGCACGCCGCTGAGCAGAGCCTCGAGCCGCTCGCTGCTGCCGTGGCCGCCGTCGTTAGTATCGGTGGCCGCTTTGCGTCTGCCACGTTTCGCGCTCGACGACGATGTGCCTGCCAGCGCGCTGCTGCTGCTCGTGCGGTCGCGCAGTGCCTGCGCCGCATGCGCAGACACCGTCCGCACATACCGACTCGCGAGCGACTCGAGCTGCGCAAACTGATGCGACCTCGATCGCAGCAGATCCACATTGAACTCGACGTCGGCCCAGCGTGGGTCGTGCTCGGTGCCCTGTAGCTGCTCGTTGTCGTCGTCGGCGCCGCGCGCTTGCGCCGCTCTGGACGCACGCCCCTTGGTGCGCGATTTGGCCTTGGGCGCATCCGCCGCATCCTCGGCCTCGAGCTTCTGCAGCCACTCCATGGCCGCCTCGGCATCGCGCAGCTGTTGCAGCCCGGCTTCGTCCAGATCGTGCCGATCCCATGCAATCACGTCGCCCGACTCCGCAGCACCCTCGTCGTCGACCAGCGCCTCGAGCCGGCTCGTCTCGGCCTCGTAGTCTTCGAGCCGCGTGAGCTCTTTGCTCCACGCCAGCGACTCGTTGCGCATCGCCTCGACGATCGCCGAGAGCTGCGCCGACGCCTTGCGATTCGACTCGTTGCGTGGATGCGGTGTTTGACGCTTGCCCTCCTTCTGAGAAGTTGTAAACAGGTTCTGGTCAGCTATCGTTCTCTCGTCGTGCTCGACAGAGATCGGCACACTTACCTCGTCAGTCGCGCCCATCCAGCTGATGCCGAAAACACCGTCATTGAGGTCCGTCAAGAGCTGCTGGAGCACCGAGTCGAACTCGCCACTGCGGGAGCGGATGAGCTTGAGCTCTGCTTCGCTGAACATGGGCAGCTCGTCCGCCTCCTTTGCCTTTCCCTTGGCCTTTTTGGCTGCGTCACGCGAGCGCACGGGCAGCTCGGCCTTGCCCCTCGCAATGTCGAGCGAGCGTTTGAGGATCCAGCCGACAAGGTGCTTCATGCGCACCACGGGAGGAAGCTGGTCGCTGCAGTGTCGGAAGAGCTCGTGGTCCGGCACGTCCTCGTGTGGATACGCCGCTGTGCCGTCGCGCAAGGACGAGACGCGCCGTTGCCCCTTGAGGTTGAGGCTGCTGCGGCGCGACTGCTCGGCTGCCTCGCGTCCCGTGGGGCGGCGAGGTTGCTTTTCGAGACCGGCGCGGAAGGCTTGGTTTCTGCGGATGATGGGTGTCTCGCCTCCCGCTGCATCCGGTAGCGGCTCGAAGACGGTGCGGCTCGAGGAAGGTACGGATGCGCCGTTGCGGGAAAGCTGAGCACGGGCGGCGGCACTACCCACAGCTGCTGATGAGGATGAAGCGGCGGGGCCGTTGCGTCGGGCAGGCTCGCGGCTAAAGACAAAGTCGTCGTCGGATTCCTCGCCGAGTGCTAGAGGGAGAAGGGCAAGGTCGGAGTCAGCGACGGGAGTCGACAGGCGCGGGGAAGAAGGCTGCATGTCTGCCTCAGACTTACTTTGTCGGAGCTTGCGCTTGGCTTTCGGCGGCTCATCGCGTCTGCTGCTTGCCTGTTTGACCTTGCGCGCAGCAGCGTCCACCTCTTCTCTACTCCTTTTGGACGTGGAAGATTTGATGGGTTGGAAGGCACCCATGCTCATGTCCATACGGCGGGTGTCATCAGCAGCGAAGGAGCTGTCCATGACATCTTCGAATCTGCGTTCCTTTCTATCTGTCTTTTGCTTGGCAGCGTTGCGTGCGGCGACGGTGGGAATCACGCCAGAGGATGCGGCTGATGATCGAGTGGAGGAAGAGGTAGCGGCGGTGGAGGAGCCGGAGGTTTTGCGTTTGGACGAGCTCGGCTGCGCGTCCGCCGACGAGGCGGATGAGCTGAGCCGTGTCGATCTACGTGCTGTTGCGGGCATGCTGATTCAGGCGAGCACGGAGGAGGTGAGGATGGGGTGTGGACGGGTGACGCGCGGCATCTGGGGTGCAGAAAGTGGATGCGAGAGACGATGCCGTGATCTTGACTGCTGGTCCGATCGTCGGTGGATGATCGAGGGTATCGACGATAGCTAGCGACGACGCCTCGAGGCGCTAGTCCGATCGCGCGCGTTCCGGTTGCGGTGCTCGAAGCACAAGATTGAGCAGCTTTCCAGAATGTGACGTGCCGGGATGCGTGGGAAGCAGCGGTCGGGCGGGTCGTGGGAACGCCTCGATCGAGTGGAAATGTCCGCAGTCGTGGATGCGAAGCAGACGGATGTGCCGATACGGAGGACTCCAAGCGCGTGGTGCTCGCAGATCAAGCCGCGCAGATGGAGGTCGGAAGGGCGTTGCAGATGGGCGGCGGATGTCCCGTCGCGTGATTGCATGGTCGAACGGGCCCGCGAGGCACGTCGAGGTGGAAAAGCGTGTTTTGGCTGCGTGCACCTTGCCGAGCGCCCCAGACGCGCCTCACTCCGGAAATCGAGCATCGAAAATAATTTACAGTGTGCAGACATGCGGCCTGACACTAAGCTCCAAAAAATTGCTGAGCTTCCCGCTGCCCGCTCACCAAGCGCCTTCGAAGCGGCTACCAGAGGCTGCTTCTGTTGCTCGCCTCTTGCACGTCTTGGCGATCTGATGAGCGGTGTGGCCTGCATCTAAGAAATCGAGTCCTTACGAGCGGGTTCAGTCGATCATGAAGGAAACCATAGAGACAGTGGAGCCAAGGACTGGCCAGGTGGGGGAGACATTTTGACGTCGAGCGGGCTTGCATGAGAGCGTCATGCGTCAGACCAATCCGTCGCCTTTCTCATCAATGTCGCTTCCATTGCAAGCTGGCCCGCATACCACACATCCTGCAGCATTGGGCTCATTCAGTCGCTGTGATCTGCATGCTACGCTATTTGCATTCGCATTCGAACAGGTCGGTCCGTGCTGCCCCAATCGCACCATGCGGAACGGCTTCCGGCGTTCCTGGACGAGGAGATGCGGTGGTGTCGCAGCGATCGTCAAGGCGCGCTTGTGTCTGTCTCACTGGCGGACCTGAGTGGCGATGATGGGGAACAGAGGAGCGGTCAAATGGCCTGGCGGGCGAGCGCATCGCTGCTGCCTCGTTGCTGCTGCATCCACCGAAAGCAGGCATGAATCCCGGAAGTCGCAGGCCGGCGAATGGCTTTGTGCCCGGTCTGGGCTTCATTTTCGAAATCGGTTGGCGGAGGGCAGCACAGCGCAGGGCCACTGGAGAGCGAAGAGGAGGGCGATTCTACAAATTTCGCGATCATGGCGAGCGCGTAGTCGGTGCACTGGCCCCTGATCCACGCCAATCGCTGACGAGCCTGGTTGCCGAGCCGCTCTCTTCTCCGCGCCTTGTCTCAGCGGAAAGCGTGGATGCAGGCCAGCTCGAGTCGAATCCGCCAGCCGTCGTGCCGTGGTGCTGCCATTGTTGCTGTCCGTGGACCCTCGCTCTGCTCCACACCCTTCCTCCTCCATCCCCGCGAGGCACGCTCCTTTGTCCTCCTCAGCGCGCGCTCATTCGTCGCTCGTGGTGGATCTTGCACGCTTCGCTACACCTCAATCGCGTCGCATCCATCGCGCGACTCGCATACAGGCGTCCATCGCCCTCGCCAAGACGCGGACTTCTAGGACTGCACCTGTCGCCGTCGTACGCTCATGACCCTGACGCGGATGGACCTCTCGCCATCATTCATGACTGTGATCGACTGAAGCGCATGACCTCTGGATACACTCACCAACAGCGGCCTCGCTCCATCTCGTGATGACCGCCGTCGACACCACCGTCGCACAAGCCGGCTTGGCGAACGGCAAAGCACGCGCCCATGGACACCCTGTATCTGGCTCGTCCGGGTCTCAAGCAACTTCCAAACACCCAGCGGAACAAACCGATGGATTCCCCGACCCTCTACTTTCAGATGCATCCAGCCCCTCGAGCTCGCTCAAAGCCATCTCATCGGGCGATTCGACCGGCAAAGGCAAACAGGCGGCCACAGACTCGGCCACACCGTACCTTGACTCTGACTTTCACAAGGCGACATCCTCCCTGACGCCCATCGATGAGTCTCCGACCGACGCAGCATTCTCGTATTCGTATCAAGACTCGTATCGATCGTCAGCGAACGTCTACGCGCACCAGTCCTCCAGTTACCGCACGCCCGACCATGTCCGCATCGACTCGCCCGACACGGACGAGGTTCCTTACTCGCCCACGACGTATCCACCCATCAGTGAAGAGGATTCGGAAGCCAAGCGCGTGCAGCAGAATCTGGAGCGTTGGGCGGCCGAGGAGCGCCAGAGGCGCAAGGCGCAGCGCTCCTCCAAGCTTCTCGCCAACCGCAACTCGGTCGCCGCGGGCACAGGCGGACTTGCACAACGGCTTTCGATCCTGCGTACCTCTGCACAGACCAACAACAACAACCTGGGTGCTGGTCCTTCGTCGGAGCGGCTCGCCGACGGACCTGGAGCGAGTCCGAGCATGTCGTACGACCCGCGGCTCGGCGCTGCGGACCGACGCGGGTCGGGATCTTCGTCAGCGGCAGCTGCGCAGGGCTTGCATCGGTCTGCAAGCTCGTCGTCGTTCGACAGCTCTCAGTCCCTCGGCTCGCTCACCTCGGATGATCATCGTCCCAATCGACGGCTGCCGCCCATCGGCTCCCGCGTCTCGTCGGCGACGCACGCCAGGAACACGAGCTCGGGCAGCGGCAGCTCGTCGAAGGGACTCGGTACCACGGCGAACGGCAGTGCGCGCAATCCCTTCCGCGATCCTTCGGATGGAGGCGCGCCAGAAGTGACGCTCGAGAAAAGAGCATCGCTCAAGCCCCAACCCACAGCCTCGCGCCCGATCGTCATCGTCGGCCGCGCCTCGAGCATCCAGCGCAGAGCGCTGGAATCGGGCTACAACTCGAAAGGCAAGGGCAAAGGGCGCTCGATGCCAACCATCGTCGCCACCGATACCGAAGCTGAAGCCGAGGCCGAGGCCGAGATGGGCCGCGTCTCGTCGCGCGTTGACGATGAAAATCCGTTCGCTTCCGTTGAAGATCGCCAGCCTCGTGCCAGGACCGAGTCCTCCACGATGATCCACGAAGGAGGCTTGGACGAGGAGGTCGCCCTCGAGATGGCCGGCAGAGCTCAAGCCGAGCTGACCAGTGGCGACATTGGCGAGTCGAGCTTGAGCACGGACCAGCCGATTCGCCCGCCGCCCGGCAGGACGTCGACAAGCAGCTCAAAGTTCCGCGAACTCGGCATCACCGAGGGCGACGACTGGATAGAGACTATGGGCAGGAGCCTGAGCAAGGATTGGAGCCGCAAGATGCGCATCGCGCCGCACGCGGATGGCGATGAAACTGCACACGAGCAGAGGAAGCCGTGGTGGACCGAGCTGCTGTGCGGATGCAGCCGCGACGAGGACGATGATGAACAGGTAAGTCAATCCTTTGACACGAGGCACCGCGAAGACTCGACGACTGACACGTTTCGACCTGCATCACAAACTCTGATGCGCCGCGATCTCTCTTCATCAGGCTGGACGAACCAATCCCATGGAGTAGCCGCCGTACAAGCATCTTCACTGCAACTGCAATATAGGATCTAACTTCCCGCTTCCGTCCTCAATAAGTGTGACGAGACGGCATCCAGGGCCGAGGCCGCTCCAAGATGGCGCCGAGCCGCGTCAAAGCAGCTGAAAAAGAGGCATCCGCTGTGGCTCCCACGCGTGACTGCGCCGGTGGAGGGTTCTTTTGGGGCGCTCAGCGCAGTCGCCCGCGCACGGATGGGCCGAAACAGCAATGCTTCATTCGGAACGTCCGATCTTGAGCGAATCTGCGCACCCCGGCGAGAAAGCTGTGCCCTCTAGTGGCCCGCAAACGCGGTCGCTCAGTCTGGGCGCGAAGAATGCAGCCAAGTCAGCACAGTCTTTCAGCACGACCTGTTGAGGAGGCAAACTAGAGGGGGGAAGGGGCGAGAGGAAGAAGGCCAGCAGCATAAGGCTTCGCCTTGAACATTGACCCTAACCCTTCCCGCTCTCTAACGATGTCTGGACGCTTACAGAACGTCGAACAAGTCATACACAGCATGCCGAAGCGAACTCGCTCCTCGAGAAAGCCTCGGCCGCGTCGCCGTCGCCAGGCTCCGCCCACGATCGTCCCCCTTTCCGCGAGCGAGGATGACGACACGCAGGACGAGGCCCCCATCCAGCGACGCCGGTCGCCACCATTGATGGACGTGGACGCGGAGAGCTCGGATGGCTCGATCGTCGAGATCGAGCAGGAGCTCAGCCTCACGGCTCGCGTCGAAGACGAGGAGGAGGACGGCAACGGTCTCTTCGACGAGGCTGTCGGTGTGAATGCCGGAGACTCTGCCCACGGCCGGGCTGATCGCCTGGATGATGACGAGGAAGACATAGTCAAAGACCAGCAGGACTATCTGGGCGATATCGAGGAGCCGAGTGGAAGCTACGATTCAGAAGAGGAAGAGGAAGGCGTCGTGTGCGATGGCATTCCCAGCGACGAACACGCCGACGCGGACGACGAGAACGAGCTCGAGCTCGTTGACGAAGAGGACGATAACGATGCCGTCTTGCAGCGCATGGCGAGTCAGGTCGTCGCCGCTGCGGCAAGCTCAGACGGTGAGCGTTGCACCCGAAAGGCCAATACCCGCTCCGAGCTTTCACGAGGCGGCCGTCACGCCGAGCTCGAGAAAACCATCGCATGGCTTCTCGACCCGGTCAAGCGCCTCGAGGTTCGAGATAAGCAGTTCGCTGACTTCGTCGACCCCAAGTTCCGAATTACGAGCGATGTGCCAAAGAGCACCGGCAAGCTCTTTTTGCGCAGGAGGGCCGAGAAGTTTGTTCTTCTGGTAAGTACACCACCGCTCAGTGCTCTTGGGCCATCAGAGACTGACATGCTTGTTGCGCTCTTCGTCAGTACAATCAATATCGCATCGTCGCAAACCTTCCCGAGGTCGATGAGCACCTCCTGAGGGTGTTCGAGCTCTTCATCACCGACCTCATGAATTGCTTCGACCATCCGAAGGAGGTGCCCGGATGGAACCCCTTCGCGGCTTTCGCCGACCTGGTCGAGGCGGGCGCGGTCGTCCGCACGCCGGAAGCTGTCCGCGCCTGCAGTCGTCTCACTCTGGGCGCCGACTGGTCCAAGTTCACTGACGCCGACCGGGCGCGTGTGGGCGCCGAGCTTACCGCGCGGCTCACGCTCCTCCACCATTGGAGGATGGCCGAGATCAACGATCTGTTGGTCTCGTGGGACGGTAAACTCGAAAGCCTTTCCACCTGCGGCCTGTGTGGGACCGACGCCTGGGAGATCTACCTCCTGACAGTGCCGCTCGCGCTGCTTGAGCACGGCACCAAGTACATCGACAAGGAGACCCCGAGCGACACCTCCTCCGGCTCTGAGCACAGCGCCGAAGACGACAGTGACAACGATCTCGACGATCTCGACGAGGACCAGCACGAGCAGCGTTCAGAAGCGTCTGAACGCGACGACGACTTCAACTTAGATCCGATGCTGAACTACGTTCCGCAAGTCTTTCGCGATCTGGAAGAACCCCCTCGGCCGCCTACGCGTGGAATGGCTCTGAGCCAGAATCTGCTCAAGAACTACGGTCCCAACGCACACCTGTTGCGAGTGGTATCGCTGGACGAGTTTGGCTCGGCCGAACAAGAAAACGCTCAGTTCAAGGTGTGTCCGGACTGCGGCTTCCGCTTCGACGGCGGCACGATCAATCCGTCGTCGAAGTTTTGGCGCACCATCGAGCGCGCCATCCGCGTCGCGCGCGAGCAGATCAGTGCGGTCCAAGAGTTCATCGAGCTTCCTCGAGCATAGTCGCATCGTCGTGCCACCGGTTCACTCGTTCAAGTCTCATCGCCAATGCCACTTGTTGATCATCGCTCGTGTCGTCTGTGAGCTTGGTGCCACACCACGGACCAAGTTGAAGGTGTTGATGATGTTGCATTGCGACAAGCAGACCCAGCAAAGTCAATACACAGGGTTAGGAGACGTCGACAAAAGAGCATTGTAGAGACCACCGACAAGGGAAGCCGACTAACGGCCGAGGAAGGGATCTTGTGAGTAGTCCTGGTACAGCGGCCGTGCAAGCGAGTTGACAGTGACCTTCTTGTCCATCTCGATGTCTTCGATCAGTGCGTCCATCGAGTCGTAGTTGTACTCTGGACGCACGTAGCCGAGTACGACGACGCGGATCTCGAGGCCGTAAAAGTCGGAGGCGAACTCGTGCAGGATGTGGACCTCGGCGGTCTTGTGCGTGTTCTTGTAGAAGGGATTCCAGCCGACGCTCATGACCATGGGGAAGACCTGCGAATCTTCGGGACGCAGATGGACGCGTTTGGTCTTCCTCCTGCGTGCGAGACTGCTCGACGAGGAAGAGGTGGATGCGGTTGCGCCGTGGAAGGAACCGGCGGAGGCAGCGTTGGAAGCGCCATTGCTGAGTTCGGAGCGGCTGACTTCTGCCTCCTTGTCCGCGCGAGGGTCTGCTGATGTTGTGGCGGCGCCGAGCACGGAAGCCGGGCTAGGCTGGCCGCGGCTATTCTGTCGAGGGCGGGCAAGGCCGCCGTCGAGGAAGCCCTCGCCCATGTCGCCGATGGGGCTGGCGCCGAGCACCACCTCGTTGTCGTCGTCGTCGTCGAAATCGGCGCTAGATGATGCTGTTTGGGCGTGTGACGAGCCAGGAATATCGACGTCCTCGGAGTCGGTGAGCGAAGGATCGTCAGGATCTTGGGGCAGGACGCGAGCGAAACCAAAGTAGACGCCGGTGCGGGTGAGAGAAGAGCCTGGACCGACGACCTTGGACGGCAAGTTTGCTGTTAAGAAGAAAGCAGAGGGCGTGGGTCAGCTTCACTGTGTCCATGGTGGGTGGACAAAGACGGTGGAAGGGAGTTGACGTACCTGTTGGGCATCCGAGGTCCTTGGAGCCACGGCCGAAGCCCTTTTCGACCTGGCCGCGGAGGTAAATGGGATAGGGACGCTCTGGTGCATGTGGACCGCAGACCTCGGGACGACGGTTGGGTGTGGTGGGCGCCTTTGGCGCTTGTGATGAGGCCGAGTCGGACATGCTGGCAACGTAGCGCGGATACGAGGTGCGGGATGCGAGATGCGGGCCGACGGTGTGGTCAGCTATGCGTGAGAGAGGATCACCAGCGGGATGGCGCAGGTAGGATTGCGAAGTCCTGGTCGCGAGCAGGCGAGGGGCGCTGCAGGATGTTGTCGAGAAGGTCGATACGATGATGCGCGACAGGAATGACTGCCGAGGACGAGCGCAGCTGGATGTTGTCGGAAGTGGGGATGCGCGAGTCAAGAGAGACGACGAGGTATGAGGACGCTATGATCGCCGTGGTGTGACCACTCGCGAGGTTGTCGGCACCGTTGTGGGTATGCGCTGGAAGATGAGTGAGAGAAGGAAGCGTCTATGCGGACGTTAGACGGCGATGAATGCAGGGACAAAAGTGGAAGAGAGAAAGCCTGAGCCGGGATTGCGGTTTGCGACAATGGCGTCGAGGCAGAGCGAATCGGAAGCTGCCAGATAGGGCCGAGTGGATCGAGTTGAAGTTGGGTGTGAGAGGGTGAGAGCGGGCGTGAGGATGAGCGTGAGCGTGAGCGTGAGTGTGAGTGTGAGTGTGAGTGTGCTTCCACGGGGCCGCCATCGGGCTTCCGTCCACTGTCGAACAAAATGGGTGGTCGTGGGTGCGGCCACTCGGTGTCAGAGCGCGGGCAATTTGGCTGAGCCAGCAGTAGTGAGTCGAGAGTGGCTGCGTTGGTCCAGGCGCCGCTTCGGAATTGGAATAGGGTGGGGCATATTTCGAGGCAATTCCCACTCGTCGGTGTGCGGCGCAGAAGGATCAGAGTTGGAGGCCTCGGAAAGCCCCGCGGCTGGTGTGCTGCATGCTGCCGATACTCCCTCGACGATACTCCCTCGACTGGCGCTGATGTTCCGACAGTGCAGACGAGCGGTACCGCATCGGATGGCGGCCGACCGGTGGGGGCTGTGCGGCTGGGATGCGCAGGAAGCTCGAAACGATCGACGCTGCCGCTCTCTGCCATGCTGCCACCTGCCACGCCTGCAAGCCCGTTCGGATGTCCGCCGCCAGGACGCACGAATCAGAGCCGCCGTTTGGCGCTCAGTACCGTCGAGTCTATCTGCAACTCCTTGCGGGGTCACACGCAGCAGCCGCAAAAGCGCCGTAGACTGCCGACCAGCTGCTGTCCGCACGCGTCCATGCCTCTGATCGCTCAGCATCGGATGGCTTCCGCAGTGTGACTTTGCGGTGCAACGCATACAGTAACTCAGCCTGCATGGTCCAGGTGCTTCGCTACATCGGTCGCGTGCACTGCGCGCCGAGCATCAGCACCCCGGCGTCGAGTGCCGAGCGTGTCAAGCGCACGAGGATCAAAGTTCGACTCGCTTCGATGGTGCGTTGCAGTTGCTTGCAGCGGAGTCCTTGGGTGACTTGGAGCGGATCGCCGGCCCTCTACGCGTCTTACGAGAGCGGCGTCTCAGCACGCGCACCCGCGGCGTCTTTTTTCCGGTGCCTTCTTCCGCCCAGCACACCAGTCGCAACGCACCGAGGCTTTTCATTCGCAGCATGTCCGAGCGCACGCTTTGACGGGCAGTCCGACGTGGCCCATCCACGCTTCGACGCGTCTCCGCCATCGGCTGCTGCTCCGCACAGCCTTGCATGCGCCCAGCATGCATCGTGGTGCAGAGCCGAGGAGGCCTGGCCTCTGAGCGCGGAGCGAGCCCGATCCCAGATCGAATCGCTGCTCGCCAGTTGCAACGCGCAAGGGCGCAGCTGCGGATAGAATCGCGCCCAGCCGAGACAAGACCGCTTCGCCCCAAAAAGTCTCGACCCCGTCCCCTACGAGCATAGTGAGCCAGTGTGCCACTCTCACCAACAGTCCCTGATCCCTTTTCCACGCTCATACTCAGACGCCAGCTGGTGCAATCTCGGAAGATCAGCATCCGTTGTCACGTTAAGCACCCTCGAACGATGCGGCCAGAGCGCTAAACTCACATTGGCAGCGGAGATTCGGCGGAGTTGCATTCAATCAGCCGAACGAAAATCCTTGGCACAGCCGCCCACCATGACCCCTTCCCCAGCCGCTCTTGTCTGCATCTCACCATGTCGTATCAGCCGCCGCGCCGATGGCGGCCCGATCCGACGATCAGCTGCCGACGATCAGCTGCTGGTTTCGCACTCGCCGCAAGCTCGGCGAGTTCGTCCGTTCAACCCGAATCGCAAGCCATCCAAGATCCATCGGCCGGCTTCGCGGATCGATGCAAAGCGTGTACGATTCGATCATAGTGCCCTCAGCCTGCCGGACGTGTAACACCAATCTCCGCCGCATTCTGTCGAGGTCATGGCTGAGATGCTCCTGCCCAGGAAAGAGCGCCTTTCGCCCAAACCTCACAAAAACGCAGATTCGGAGATGAGCGTGTGATATCGGGACCCTCTTTGATTGGCTGCGTCCGATAAACCAGATCAGAGCTGGCAGGCGTCACGTGCAGCCAAAATGGGATTTGGTCGGCGAATGTCCGTGCAAGCGATGCTGCAGCAGGAAGAAAGCAGGCGTCCACCAAAGTGACTCACTCGCACGCACTCTGCCTTACAGCCAAGGGTCTGTTCTCGCCCGCGGCACTCTGGCTTCTCCACACTTCATCGCTTCCACCATCTTCGACCCTCCTCCAACGCCATCCCTCACCATCATGAAGTACCTCAGCACAAGAGGTGGCTCTGAACGCCTCACATTCGAGCAGTCCGTGCTCACCGGTCTCGCCCCCAACGGCGGTCTCTTTATCCCAGCACAGGTGCCTCAGCTCCCCGCCAACTGGCAGACAGAGTGGGCCAACCTCTCCTTCCCCGAACTCTCGCACCGTGTGCTTTCCCTCTACATCCCCGAGGACCCGGAACAGGGAGGCATCCCATCCGCGGACCTGCAGCGCGTCATCAACAAGTCCTACGCCACCTTCCGACACAACGACACCACTCCGCTCGTCCGTCTCGACGACAAGGACTGGTGCCTCGAGCTCTGGCACGGTCCCACTTTTGCATTCAAGGATGTTGCGCTCCAGCTGCTCGGCAACCTCTTCGAGTACTTCCTTCAGCGCAGGAACGAGGGCAAGCCCGACGACCAGCGCGAGAAGCTCACCATCGTTGGCGCCACCAGCGGTGACACGGGCAGTGCTGCCATCCAGGGTGTCAGGTCCAAGGAGGACATCTCCATCTTCATCCTCTTCCCCCACGGTCGCGTCAGCCCCATCCAGGAGGCGCAGATGACGACCGTGCTCGACGACAACGTGCACAACGTCTCGGTCGAGGGCACCTTTGACGACTGCCAGGACGTCGTCAAGGCGCTCTTCTCCGACGCCGAATTCAACGCCAAGCACCGTCTCGGCGCCGTCAACTCGATCAACTGGGCGCGCATCCTCGCACAGATCGTCTACTACTTCTCCGCCTACTTCAGCTTCCGCAAGCAGCTCGGACTCAAGGACTCCGAGCCCACCCCCGCCGACCTCGAGTTCGTCGTCCCCACCGGCAACTTCGGCGACATCCTCGCAGGCTACTATGCCAAGCGCATGGGTCTTCCCGTCTCGCGACTCGTCGTGGCTACCAACGAGAACGATATCCTTCAGCGATTCTGGGCCACCGGCCGCTACGAGAAGTCGAGCGCTCCCGCCTCGACTTCTGCCGCCTCGTCCGCACAGACCGAGCCCGCACAAGGCTCGTCGGACGGTGCGCAGCAGGGCGGTGTCCGTGCCACCCTGTCGCCGGCCATGGACATTCTCGTCTCGTCCAACTTTGAGCGTCTGCTGTGGTACATCGCATACGAGTCGCAGGCCGACGCCAACGCCAGCGCGTCGCAGCTCGAAAAGGAGGAGGCGGCGGGTCAGCAGCTCGCGTCGTGGATGCAGTCGTTGAAGACCGAGGGCAGGCTCGTGGTCGACGACAAGCAGCTCAGCATCGCCCGCCGCGACTTTGCCGCCGAGCGCGTCTCGGATGGCGAGATCCGCGACACGGTGCTCGAGTACTTTACCCGAAAGCCCACGGCCGCCTACCCATCCGGCTCGTACCTTGTCGACCCGCATACCGCCGTCGGTTTCAAGGCAGCTGCCAACGTTGTCGGCAAGGACGGCAGCAAGCCTCACCAGATCGTGCTGTCCACTGCGCATCCCGCCAAGTTCGCCGAGGCCGTTACGTCGAGTTTGGAGTCCGCGGGCGCCGAGTTCGACTTTGAACGCGACGTCCTCCCCAAGGAGATGGTCGGCCTGCTCGAGAAGCAGAGGAGGGTCATCGACGTCAAGCCAGAGGGCAAGCCGGGCGTCGACGGCCTCATCACCGCCGTCAAGCGCGTCGTCGAGGCAGAGGCCGATGTGGTCAAGGCCCGCACACACGCGCCCAACACCGCCAGCGTATAGTCGTGAGCTCTTGCCAAGCCAAGTTGAATGCATAGATTTCATAGTCTTTCTCGCCATGTCTGAAATGTTCTCGTCCTCCTGGCGGCCTCAAGTGTTGATGCTTGAGCAGATGCAAGTCACTTGAAGCGAATCTTGGCGAGTGTAGATCGAGGGGTTGCCAGTAGGATCAAGGTGGGGATTGAGGTGGGGCTTGGTGATTATGTGATCCTGACACGCCTTGCTGCGGGGCCTGCCCTTTTTTCGCCTGGCCATTTTTTGCTTTCTTCTCGCTCGGACAAAAAGCTAGAAGAGAGAGAAGAACAAACGAAGCTGCCGCTCCCTTTCCTTCCCACCACATCATCATCGGCTGTACGCTGCCTTGTGTTGCAAGGAATCGCACCATCAAGATCGACTTGCATCTATCCGACTGCCACTTCGCTGTTCAACCGTCCGCCGACCGTGCTTCTTGCATTGTTCCCGTTCGAGTACCATCCCCGACACCATTACTTCGAACCCCCATCAACACGACTTGTTCCCATCTCGCCCTTTCCGCCAGTCTGGTCTGAGCCGTCTGAGTATTCCCACTCCTCTTCTGCACCTTCCTTGCCCTTCCCATCCCGCGCTCTCGCTCTTGCGAGGCGCTGGCTCTTTCGAAGCCCCATAACCTGGCCTCTCTGCACCTGCCCTCGGGCGGCGCAGATCGCAGGCCGATAGGTTAATGATTTGATTCAGTGGGGTCAAAAAGTAAGCCTAGACCAAATCGTAAGTCGGCAATATTAATGGTCGTGTGTCGACTAGGTTACAAGCCCATAGGTCGGCGCACACTACCCAATTGCTGCACATCCTCCCCGTTTTAGCCCCCGAATCGTTCTAACCGAAAGTAGGGGAAACGCTCACATGATACCGCCAAAAGGCATGCATAAGATCAATTCATTCATTGCGCAGATCTGTAAGCGTCCGACGTCGGAGTGTCTCGTGGCGTCTCAGTAAGCGAATTCGTTCAAGGGCCAGCACAGACGCACACGCACGATTGACGAATAGGGACAGTGTTGAAAGGCACGAACAAGAAAGGAAAGGGGATGAGAGTGAAGGTGAAGAGAAGGTGCCGATCGAAAGAGTGATATCGGACAAACAAGAAGGAGAGTTGTATGGAGAGAGAGCAGGTAAGAATCAAATGCGGGACTGGGAGGTCAACCAGTGCCGCTGAATGTCATAGTTGCACCAGCAGCGGTGCCGATTGTGCCGAGGGCCTTTGCCATGCCGCCCTTCTTCTTGGCCGCTCCTTCAGCCCCTTCAGCCACTGCGTCGCCTCCCTCGCTGATGGCTTGGAGCTCAGCGGCTCTGGAGCGTTCGGCTGCAAGGACCTCTTGAGCGCTCGATGTGCCAGCGGTGCCTGTAAGCCCACGGACGGACGCCGAACCCGCTCCGCTCCTACCAGCGAGCTCCTCGAGAAGAACGGGGTTCACTGCCCTTCCTGAAGCGCCGATGTCCGAGATCATGGCAGGTCGGGCGGCATTGAGTCCGTTGGATTGGGGTCGGAAGCCAAACTCGGCAACTTCGCGCTCCGCCGTCGCCGAAGTGCGTGCCAGACCGCCTGCGCCAGCTTCGGCCGCAGCAGCGCCGCCACGAGCAAGGCCACCAGCACTGCCCGATGCGCGGGACAGACCGCCAAGGCCACCGCTGGATCCACGCAGCGCACCAGCAGCACTCGTCTCAGCTTCGGCAAGCACACCGCTCTTGGACAGAAGAGAGGCAGCAGCGGTTTCGGCTTCCACCGCCTCGACTGCAACCGCGAGTCGTCGCTCGAGATGCGCTTGCTCGTGGACGGCGCGCTTCTTCAGAACCGCTCCGCCATCACCAGCCATGGCTGAACCGGCAGCTGCCGCGACGCTACCCGTGCCACCGGTACCGACGGTACCGTCAACCGTTCCGGCATAGGCTGGAGCTTGGCTCTGTCCGGCATAGACAGAAGCGGAGGCACCGGCAGAGATAGCATTGGCGCCGACTGAAGCAGGAGTGCCGCCAGCGACACCCGCTCCGATCAGCGCGTCCTGATCACCGCCACCGCCGACCTGACCGCGTCGCTTGGCCTCGAGGAATTCGGTGTACAGCTCGCCGCCCGGGATCATGGGTCCGCGTGTGTCCGCATTCGGCGTCACAAACGGCACTGGCTTGCTTTTCTGCTTGTTCGCAACAAACAGGTTACCGAACAGTGTGCCGAACATCATCGTCGTTCCGCCGATCGCGAGCGCGCTGCCGAAGCCGCCGCGCTTGGAGAGCGAGCGCGACTCAAGCTTGGTGGCATCGACATCAGCCGCAGACAGGGAGTCTCGCTTCTTGAGCACACTGCCACCACTGCCACTCGATGACTGGACACCCGCAGCGGCGTTGAGCTCAGCACTGACAGCCGACGTGTCGGGCTGACTCTGCACACCGGAACCGGCATACGAAGAGCTGTACTGCGTGGTAGGAGCCAGAGCACTGCCGTCAGCTCCAGCACTCGAGTACTGAGGAGTCTGAGGAAAGACAACCCCGTCGCCCGAAGGAGGGTAAGCCATACCACTGGCGGCTCCCATGCCCTGAGGACTAGCGGAGGGGTCACCACCGGCGATGCCCTGAGCCTGCATCTGGGCCTCTTGCTTCTCGGCAGCCTCCTTCTTCTTCTTGTTGCGTTCCTCTTCGCGGTTCTGCGGGAAGGCTGTCATGGACTGCGCATATCCAAGAAGGATTCCGATTCCCGCCAGTGGCAGTGCCGATCCCCAACCGCGCTTATCGAGTCCAGCAGCGTCCTCGTGGCTTCCGGCAAGGGCATTGCCAGCCACGCTGCGTCTGCGCAGAACCGGCTCGCCGCTCGCAGCGACGGCCTCAGCACCGCTCGCGCCATCTGCAGCAGCAGCCTCGCTCTGCGCAGTCATGGCGGCAGCCTGCTGCTGCTGCTGCTGCAAGGCAGCCTGGTTTTGCCTCTGCTGCTCCGCCTGGAGCCGAGCAAGATACTCACGGTATCCAGGCATGGCATTGACGGCGAGCTGACCGGGATGGCGACCCGGAACGCCCACAGCACCGTACGTCGGAGTGGTGTCCAAGTCCTCGAGGATCTGTCGATCGCGCGGATTCTCGGTGCGGTACCTTGCGTGAGTGACGCCGTTGAAGAGAAGGGGGATCACGCTTCCCGCAACCACGCCTCCGGCAAGCTTACCGGCCGGTCCACCGGTGAAGAGGAATCGCTTCTCGAGTCGCTTTGACGACGCGCCCTCGGACTGGCTGACCCTGGAAATTCGCTCCTCGATCCAGTCTCGCTTGCGCAGCACCGGCTGGGCACCATCAGCAGAGGGTGAAGTTGCACCATCGGCACTGGTGTAGCCAGTGTTGTATACGGGCTGTTGTTGGACATAATTGGTGTCGGGGAAGACGTATCCGGACGAAGACATGCCATTCTGGCTCGAAATCGGCGGGTTGCTGCCAGGAGTGCTAGCATCCGAAGCCGAACGGAGAACACTCGAAAGGTCCGCGTTAGGTTGCACGGCGGTCGCTGCCAAGGGGTCCTTGGGCTTGAGGATGTTGGGGTCGTACGGATCGAAAGGAGGCTTGATGGCATCCTTGTCCTCATTGCCTCTGACGGCAGAAGGCAACCCAGGCGAGAGAGCAGCTCCCAGCCCCATACCGACCAGGGCAGAGACCCAGAAGCGCTTCGACAGGTCTTGGGCGCCATGAACCGAGGTTGGGGGAGCCTGAGAAACTCGACGCTTGACCATGCGCTTTTGCTTGTTGCTGGTGTTCGCCGACTTGTCGCCCGGCTTGTCGCTGACTTGCATCTTGGATCCTCCGGCAGAGTCCTTGTCCGGATCCTTCGGCTCGGGCAAGAGTACATATTGGTGGCCGTCCCAGCGGGCAGCAGTGTCCAGCAACGTCGGTGGCGATGGGGGGGAGCTGAACTGGCTGGAAGCTAGCGTGGTCGTCTTGACGGCGAACATAAGATTGAAAACGTTGAGGACCGCAGCGGACAGGCCGATCACACCACTGACCCTCTGTCGTTGCGGGAGCGTAAGTGGACATCAGAGTGGAGTTCACGTCAATGGTCGGAAAGCAGAACAGCGTCGACTCAGAGTGCACATACCGTGATGGTGGGGAATTTGGTGGGCTTTGAGCCATACTTGGCGACGTGGACGGAATCTTCAATCTCGATTTCGTGCTGCCTCGATCTTTCCTTGTCGCGCAGCTTCTTCTCCATCTCCTCGACTTTGTTGCGCAGACGCAGCTCGTGGTCTGCCATCGCAGTCTCAGCGCCCCTGCCTCTTTCCGCGAAGAACGCTGCTTCCTCTGCTACTCGATCAAAGGGCGCCAGCTCGCGCTTGCTGCCCTTGTGCGATTTGTGGTGGCGACGCTTCGACCGATCCTCGCGATCATGTTTCGATCGATGTTTCGAACGCTTGCTCGAGCTTTGATCGCGATTGTGCTGAGCAGGTGCATTGCTGATCGACTCCGGAGCCGCCTGAGCTGTGAACGCCAGGCAAGCCAGGCAGAAGAGAAAGAGCAGTGCGACCCGCATGACGAGTTTCCCGACCGCCTTGGATGACTACAGCAACGATTCGGGATACAAGTTTGGGAGGCCAGCCTCGTAATGATCGCGTGAGTATCTCTGCTCCGTTGAATGGTCGATGAGAACGTCGCTGTAGGGAGCGTGCACCTCAATAAAAGATGATGGTCGAAAAGAAACGAAAACAGCGGGGCCAAATGGACGAGCAGCAGCCGACCTGCGTGATGTGTGGGTCCTTATGAGCTCCTTGTGCATTAAGAGGCAAAGTCAAGCCATCGACTCAGGTACAGTGCATGACATTGAAGTACCGCATTACGGTCCGCAGCACGAAACCCATCTGCTGCAGAGATGAAGTCGAGGGCTGCTCGGCTGAAAGGAAGCACAACCTTGATACTGCAAGGCAAACAGACTGCATCCGTGAACAGCGAGCCCATTGCCATCACACGATCTCATAACGTTGTGGGTTTTGAACAGAGAGTGTCGCTCTCGGGCTTGATCCACCACTCAGGGACCTTACCGTACACGGGTCGCCTGGTTAGCTACAATTACTTGATTGCAAGTTTCACTGCTGGGCTGTAGCTGGAGCTACACCAGCATCAGAAGAGGGTCGTCATCAGATCAATCAGCTATGCCCGAACAAAAACGCAAGGGAGATGCAAGAGCGGTGGGAGGAATTCCGGATTGTAGAAATGAAATGGCGACGCCGCAGGTGCACTCGCCTGTGGTCGACCCACCACTCTCATAAGTCACATCCGAGCGCCCCGCCTCAATCTGGAACCCCACTCTCTGAGCGCCTCCATTTGTCGCCTGCTTCACTTCGCCTATGCAGTGATCACTAGGCTCAGTTGAGTTTGGTCCGAACGGTCGTGCTAGGACCCATAGCGAGGCAATCGGACGTCTGCGTCTGCGCACGTCCTCTACGCTTCCGCTGGCGCCGCCCACCTTGGCGTCCGAGCGCTGGCCACGTCGGTGTTGATTTCGCCTTAAGAGCCCTATCGTAGATAGGAGCTTGCAGATCTGCCCCTTGCCGGTTCGTGTCCAGAGGAGGGACGTCGGCGACTCCCTGGAATGGAGGTAATCAAAGGGTCAGCGGTCAGTGCCGGTTCAGTACAAGAGAGAGAGCCAGATCAGCAGACGTCAGGACAGGTTCGGATCCCCGCCAACTATACCCCAAAAGAGTTCACTCAGGAAGCACCTTACTTCTCGCCTTCATCCGCTCGGGCCTTGACCACTCTTCTTCCCGGGTCTTTCCTTCTTCTTCCTTCTCCCCTTCCCTCTCCTTTCCCTTCTCCCCCTTCCATCACGACAGCCAGTCTTTTGGCGTTCGACAGCATGTCGCAGATGGCACGCGTGATGAGGCTGGCGCTGGTCGCCATGCTCTTCGTTGTGGTCCTGACCTCTAGTCAAGTTTCAGCCGATCGGGTAGCTCACCAGCCTCGCAATGCTCATCCAGGCCTGCGCAAGGCCATGTTTGGGAGGCGTTCCACCATGATGCCAGACCCATCCGACCCGGACTGTCCTGAAGGAGAAGAAAATGGACCAGCTCATCTCCAGGAGGTAGCCCAAAGGCTGGCCGACACATCGGAGAAGGATGGAGGCAAGGAGGAGACCTACGATGCGGTGGTACCCGGTCCTCAGGGCGAAACGCATGTCGACGTCCGTGCTCGATCTGAGGTGGGCAAGAGCGGCTCGCACCGCTCTTGGTCGTGGTCGTCATCGACCCATTCGTCTTCGCACTCGTCCTCGTCCTCCAGCTCCAGCTCCAGCTCGAGCTCTAGCTCCAGCACCTCGTCTGACATGCCTCTGGACGCCTCGAATGGTCATCCGAGTGGACATCACGCCGCCTCGGCGGGCGAGCAACACCACCAGTCCCACAGCGGCCAGAGCAAGAAGGAACCAGCAATGCAAATGGAGGTTCGCTCCCCTCCTCGTCCCCGTGCCCGTCCCCAAGAGGTAGAGGGTAAAGAGACGGTGGTGCACGCCTCGCACAGCCGTCATACTAGTGACACTACCAAGTCTGTCTCGACCTCGGAAGACGATGGAGACGGCAAGGTCAAGAAGCACAAGACCGAGACCAAGACGCACGACTCTTCGTCGTCGTCGTCGTACAAGAGCTTCACCAACGTCTTCCACTACGTCATCAGTGGAGACATGCAGCATTCTGGCAACGGGGCTCCGTTCGCCGACGGCCACATTGAGTGGAGCCACACGCCTGTGGATGCCGCTGCTCTGGCCATCGAAGCGCAGATTGGCCGTCCGATTCTGCGTCCTGCCCGGGCCAACGTCTGCAACCGTCGCTTCCCATGGAAAGGCAAGCAGTACACTGCCGTGGACAGAGACCAGCGATTCGACGATCCTTGGCCGAGAGAGGCGCTCGACGAGGTCTCGAAGGCTGCGCTCGATCTGCACAACCAGGAGCGTGCTCGTTACGGGCTGGTGCCGCTGCAGTGGAACGCCGAGCTGGCCAACATGGCGGCCTGCTGGGCCGACCTCAAGGCGTACGGCCACTCGGAGGACCACTACTGCGCTTCGGGCGAGAACATCGCCATGGGTGCTGGCGACACTTGCTACGGCAACCCGCTCCAGGGCATGAAGAATGCCATCATGTCGTTCCTCGACGAGGACCGCAACTGGGCGCGCGAAGCGCACCTGGCGGACGACGACGGCCACTGGACGCAGATCGTGTGGAAGGACACGCGCTTTGTCGGCTGTGCAGTGTCTCAGCGAAAGGGTCTTGCGCAGAGCTACAGCCACTCGGACGGTGCTACGATGTACGTCGTGTGCGAGTACTATCCGTCCGGCAACGTGCAGGGCCAGTTCGAGCACCAGGTGCCGCGTGTCAAGCCTCTGCCCCGACTTCGATCCCAGTGCTCGGCCAACGAGGTGCACACCAGGCGCTAAGCTGTTTGCGCTCAGTATCCAACTTTTCCAACCCGGAGTCGAGCGGCTGGCGACGTGCTTTGTGTCCACTGCACCTCTTCGGCCCCACTTGTCACCTTCAAGCCTCTTTCTTTTGCTTCTACCTTTGTCCGTTTCAGTTTATTCTTTTCCACAACTTTCTCTTTGTCCAGTTCAGTTATATTTGCAAGCATCTCTTCCCGAATTCGTCGGCTTCCACGCTCATTGTTCTTCCAAGCCGTTCACCAGCATACCCGCGCGCTTCGCCCTGCGTTGTGCCATTTGTCCCACCTGTCGTGGTTGCTGTTCTTCTTCCTTGGATGCGTCTGGCACGAATCCAATCAATTTCTTTTCGACTTGAGACTTGAGCGTATTCGAGTGTGCTTGTGAAGATGCCGAAGCTGTCTGGTTGCGGCGTGGGTGCGAAGTCGCCATGTCGCCGCAGATACCGTCATGAACGGGAGCCATAGTGTATATAATGGCAATACTAGTGTATATAATGGCAATACCCGGGTATATTTTCAACAAGTTCCATCCCGGCTAGCTCAGTCGGTAGAGCGTCAGACTCTTATTCAAGGGTTTCCGAGCTTCGCTTGGTATCTGAATGTCGTGGGTTCGAGCCCCACGTTGGGAGATTTCTTTTTGCACATTTTTGGCAAACACTCTTTTTTTGCCACTGTTTCTGGCTATTCTTTTTTGAAAGGGACGGCCAGTGAATTTTTCTTTGCTCGTGTCTGGCCTCTGCGCGTGGCGGCGTGTTGGACCTCCACAGGGCCGATTTTGACGCGCCTTTTGCATGCCGAGGTCGGAAAAAATGGACCCTGACATGAGGGCCACGAGTCCATGTCGTGTCCGAGAAGCAACGCCGAGCCTGTCTCCCTACCGCTCCTATCGACCCTAACGACCACGACTGGCAGCATCATCAGAACGACCTCTCGAGAGCGCGCAGAGTCTGCTCACCTTGGACTCTGCCTCGACTCCGGATCAAGGCTTGTGGTTCGCGTTGCTGCGCCGCCGAACCAGCGCCACCGCCACTGATGCGACGCGACGAGCCACATCCTTGGTCTCGCTTGGGTACCCGATCTCACTGCCTCTAGGGCGTCTAGGCCGGCGGAGGTGGCGTACAACGACGCGCACAACCTATCGCAATGCGCGCCTCTCCGGTCTGCGGCGGCATTCGCGGCATCTTTCCGCTCATCCGCAGCCTGGTGCCACAAGCCATCTCGCCACCCTTCGCGCTCTCGTCACTGCGGGGACTGCGTCTCGCCATCGACGCGACACTGCTCGTGCAGCGACTGCACTTTGCCGACGACCCGCATCCGGCCCGCCATGTGGTCGGATTCTACCGCCTCGTGACGTCGCTGCGCCAGCACGGCATTGTGCCGATCATGGTGTTCGACCACCCGCACAAGAGGCTGGCGCTCAAGGACCGCGAGCAGCTCAAGCGCAAGCACAAGCGCGAGCTCGATCGCGTCCGCAGCAGGCTCGAGCAAGAACGCCATGGAAGGCTGCAGGAGCTGCAGAGCCATCTTGATGCCATCGCGTCGCTGGCCGAAGACGAACGTCGCCAGGTCGGCGAGCTGCTCGACCAGTGGCAATCCCAGAGTGCGCCTACGCAACAGCCGTCGGTGCTGCACAAGCCCGAATTGCCGGTGGAAGCCTCGCGTCCCCAGACGGTCGCATACAGCATGCATGCCAACTATGTGCAGCTCGAACAGAGTTTAAGCACGGGCGCCAGCAGCCAGTCCAGGGGCCAGAGGCTGCTTGCCCAGGCCGAAAAGCAGGTGTACCAGACCATCACTGCGCAGCTCATCTCGGGCGAGGCGGTGCAACCGCCTCCGGCACTGAGCGTGCCTGATATCTCGACCACCATCGACACACTACCGCCACCATCGCTTTCGTCGCTGAATGCCATGCATCACTCGCTGAGCAAGACGTACGATCGCGCCACGTCGCCGCTGTCGGCGTCCATCTACCAGGACTGTGCGGCGCTGTGCTCGCTCATGCAGACAGCTGTGTTCTGGACGGGCGACGGCACGCGCACAGGTGGCGGGCGGATCCACGAGGCCGAAGCGTACGCGGCCTCGCTCGTGCGCGCTGGGTTTGCCGACCTGGTAGCGAGCGAGGACAGCGACGTGTTGCTGTACGAGGCGCCGCTGCTGCGCGGTCTCATGGGCGGCGTACGCAGCCCGGGCGTGCTCGGCCAGGCGGCCAGGGGAAAGCTCGAAGTGGTCTGTGGCACGCGTGTCCGCCGTGGCCTTTTCCCACGGGAAGAGGTGGACCGACTCGTCCAGATGCACTCGCAGGGAGAGGCAGAGGCAGAGGAGGTGGCGTATGATCGGACGACGCGCGCATTGATGCTCGACTTTGCGCTGTTGTGCGGGACGGATTTCAACCGGACTGTACCCGGGATCGGGCCCAAGACGGCATTGCGGCTGCTGAAGGAACACGGCTCGATCGGAACGATACTGCGCAAGGAGGCCAAGTTTGGGCCACCGGATGCACTGAGCGTGCGCGAGTACGAGACCGAGCTGCGTCAGGCACGCAGTGTATTCCTCCAGCCACCCAAGGTCCGTGCTGCGGCGCGCAGCATTCTGGGCACTGCGGCATTTGAGGCCGCCACGCAGATCGCCGCGCAGCCAACCACGCCCCAAGTGGATCGACTCATCGCTGGTGGCGAGCCCGCCACTGCGCGCACGGAAGACAAAGTGGTGGTCGAGGATGCGGCGATGGGTGATGGCGAAGCGGTCGACTGTACTGCCGAACCAACGGCGGCTGAGGTACTCGACTCCATCTCCACACCGGGCGTGATCGAGGCCTCACCGAGCACATCGGTCGAGCCTTCCAGTGTGAGGTTCGATCGACAGGCGGTGCACGACTTTCTGCGCTCGCGCGGCGTGTTTCGTTCCTCGCTACCCGACTCGCACGACCTCGACTACGCAGACCCGCCTGCGCGCGAACAAGAGTGGCGCGACCTACTCGACCTCGAACTCGGCCTCGCCAGTCCATCCCCACCCGCCACTCCGGCTCAGTTTGATGCAGATACGCATGCTGATCTGGCACTGGCCACGCTTGGCGCCGACTTCTTTGGCGAACGCAACGCCGTCGCGTGCTGGAATCCTCACATGGAACGCCATGTGCGCGCCGAAACCACCGCTCATCCCCGCCATCCTCCGTCGTGAAATTCCCCGCCACTCTCCTGTATCGACATGTAATGTAGCCCTACCGTGTGCTGAACGTCAGAATGAAAACAACACCCGCAACGCAGGCCTTGCTGGGACTGGGATTGAGACTGAGAGCAACAAAAGATTCGTGGTGATTGCACGGCCAAAAAATGATTTCTGCCGGGTTCGAACCGGCGACCTCCTCCGTAAGCCCTAACGATCCGAGATCGGAATTGTTAAGGAGACGCGCTAACCAACTGCGCCAAGAAACCGATGTGTAACCATTGTCAGGTTGCATTCAGATAGGCTTAGGCTCAGATCGCACCACAATAGCTGCACGACTCCGCGAATTTGGACGAGGCTCGACGGTGAGGTTAAAGCATTTAATCGGCGGCAAATGCTGCAACAGCGAAGCGCATGCTTCAGAGACACTGGCGCGTCATCACGGCAGAAGATTGGCCACCAACGTGTTACTGCGAGGTTGGCCTTACCTCTTGAGCAGCATTGAGAGTTGGTCTCGAAACTGACTCGCAGGCTGGTGCGATGACGGTCGAGAGGGGAGAGTTTCCAAAAAGAAAAAGACGAAAAAAAAGAACGAAACGTCTCCCAATAGGGGGCTCGAACCCCTGACATTCAGATCACATACAGATCATACGAGTGCATTCTCGTAGACTTTCACGTATAAAAGTCTGACGCTCTACCGACTGAGCTAATCGGGATGGAGTTGTCTCATCTAGCCCTACATGTTGGGCGAATGCATTATATACACCAGACGTTTTGCAGCAATTTTCCGGGGACATCTTATCGCTCTCTCGTTCACAGAATGACACACAGCTGCGAACATGTGCACAGTGAGACGCTGTATGACGATGCACCATCAGCGCAGAGCTAGAATGATACGAAAGTGCGAGCTCGAGTGGAAGCAGAATTGATGGATGAGTGGCAGCGTGGACGAGGGCGGTCGTGGCTCAGTTCGAGGTTGAAAGACGGCTGAATGGGTTGGGGACTCGACGAAGTAGCAGACCAGCCACGAAGCCGGTCACCTGTCAAGGCGGGCTGCAAGAAACGAAACAGGAGCGACTGAGCAAGCAAGAAGCAACAGAAGCGTTGGCGTAAGACTGGCAATACGCGGGGCAAAGGAAAGGAGACCACTCAAAACGGCCAATCCACACCTTTGGGAACCAGATAAGTTGTTGCGATGAGCACAGGCTGAGAAGGAGGGGATATACATGAGGAAGCCGAGCTGCTCTACGTTGTGAAATGCCTGGACGATGCAAAATCACGCCGTTGCGCGAGCTCTAGGCATCGTAGCGAGGGAGATTGTGCACGCGCGCAGTCGGGCTGCAGCCGACCAAATAGACCGCGGTCGAGGAAACTAAGACAGGAAAAGGCAGGTGATGGAAGTCTAGGCCTTCTGCTGGAGCTGAAGATTCCTGTGAAGTTCGGTCTTTACGTCGACGACGCGATCGAGGAGCTTGGAGATGACCTGGTCGCGGTTGGCTTCAAACGCCTTGTTGAGTTCGCCGAGCCTCTCTTCGGTCTCCTTGTCGACGGTGGTCTGGGACGAGTTGGTGGATCCCTCGTGCTGCCATCGCAATCAAACGCAAAAGCAAGACAGAAAAAAAGGTCAATATGAATCGCGGAAGAGGGTGATGAGAGGCATAACTCACCTGCTTTTGGAAGTCGGCAAACTCCTTCTCCTTGTTCGCCTTGAGCTGCTCAATCTCTTTGGAAGCCTCGTTGCGGGCGTCCTTGAGCTTCTGAGTGCGGTCTGTAGAAAGGTAAAGGTGACGCTCGAGTCAGGATGAGACCAGGAGACTGGACGAGTGCGAGATGAGAACATACAAGTGCGCGCCTTCTGGACGATCTTGGCGGCCTCCTTCTCGGCCTCGAGGAGGGTCTGAATGCCCTGGGATTGTTGAGCGGCCTGTGATTCAACAAGACACATGAAAGCGGAAGCAGGTTGGGCGAAGAGTGACAAGTAGATGGAAAGTCAGATGTCAAAGTCGTGGCATTGCTGTGTAGTCGCTGATTGGGCTGGATACTCACCATGATGCAGGAGCGAGTGTGGTCGGATGCAGTCGAGACGGATGGCGAGGCGAGGCGATGCAGACGGCGAGTGGGTGGCGGTCGAGAGGTGTCGGGATGAGGCCGAGACGATTTGGTTTGGACAGAGAGGCAGCACACGGGTGGAGGAGATGAGGCGAGAAATGCAGTGAGCCAGGGGCGAGTGAGCGCAGGCTGAGCCGCACCGGCACTTGGCGCGTGCGACCGTGCGTTGCGATCCCCGATTCTTAGAGTTGACATCCCCGATCCCGACTCGAGTGATACCGAGTCGCTCAACTTTTCTTGGACCGATTTGTTGTTCCCACGGCGCATGAGCTTGTTTGCAAGCTCATCATGGATCGGATGTCGGTGACGGTGCGCAGTGTCAAAGAGCAGTTGCCAAGCTGAAGTGTGAGATGGAGAGGCAGCAGCGGCGATCCGAGCAAGCACGGCAGCGTCACACGACGGAGAGTGGGAATATTTGGCGAAAAGGCCCACAAAGACCACCGCACCCGCGTCCAATCGAGCGGAGCGCAGTCAAAGCCGAAAGAGAAAGAGAGAGGAGCAGCAGCAGCGGCGGCGGCGGCGGCAACAAATTCAGAATCTCGTCGACCCAACACCGGATTCCCAACGGCCCGTCAACCGCCAAAGGTCGTCCTTCTTTCCCTCCATCATCTTGCTTCTTTGCACCCTACCTCGCTCGCTGCCACACGCAGCACCAACACAGAGCACATCGCGCCCTCTCGCGCTTGTCTCGAGGCTGCTGGCACTCTCACAGCTTCGGTGCTCCGGTCACCTCCACCACTCTTGGCATCTTGGCCGCAGGTGTACGAGCTCACCCTTTCCGCCATCGTCTATGCCATCGACCCGTCCCTCGATTCCGATACGACTCGCATGACTCCGGCACGTCCCACTGCTACAATTCGTAACCGCCTGTCAGCCTCAGGTGCCCTCTCCATCGTCGCCGCCTGACCATCCAACCCAATCTCCCGAGCGCCATCGACGCGCGCACACCTCAGCGCATCATGGCCGCGCCGGCAAACACCGACGCGCTAGGCCTGCTCAGCGCAGCGCTCAACTCGCACGACAAGCAGCAAGAGGCGCGCCATCTCTCCGAGCTCTACAACCTCCTCAAGGCTCAGCCCGGCAACGTCCCCATCCTCCTCCCCTCCCTCATCTCGCTGCTTCCCAAGGCGAGCACATCGCTCCGAACATGGATCGCCCAGGTCATGGATCTCGCCTTCTGTAGGCCCTCGCTCTCCCAGGACACAAAAGCCACCCTCGCATCGCATGCACCGGACGCCATCCTCCTGCTCATCAAGGACCGCGATCCGCGTCTCACAAAGATCGCAGCGCAGTGCTTCGCCAGCATGTACCCCGTCCTCTTCCGCCTCGTCTGCAACGAACGTGCCAAGTCCTCACTCTGGCAGACGGTCCAGGCCATCAAGGTTCAAGTCGTACACCTCTTCGACAACGGCAGCCTCGGCACCAAACTCGCCGTCATCAAGTGCTACCAGCGCATCGTACAAGTCCAGTCCCGCGGCTCCACAGATCCAAGAGCACAGCTCAAAAACGACGTCAGCCTCAGCATCGTCCCTTCCAACCATCCCTTGCTCAACGTCGCCGCGCTTGAAGAGGAGAGCAACCGCCTCTTCACCCAGACCGTCACCCTCATCTTCACAAGCGACGTCGTCGACCTCATCATGGCCTCCGTCAACTCGCTCACCGTACTCGCAAAGTCGCGCCCACAGCTCGGCTCCGTCATCCTACGCGCCATGGCAACCTGGACGCCCGCCAGCCTCAACAACCTCTCCCACACGCAGGTGCGCAACGTCGAAAAGACCGTCCGCATCTTCTACCTCCACTTTGTCCGCAACCAGCTCGCCGGTCCAGAGTCCAGCTCGCTCCAAAAGGCGCTCGAGACACAACAGCGTCGCATGGAGGAGGCCGCAAAGGCCTACCAGGCCGAGAGGGAGGCAGAGGCAAGGCGTAAGCGCGAACGCATCGACGAAGAGCTCCAAGCACCAAAGAAGGTCAAACTCGAACATCCACAACAGCCCGGCGCCCCGTCCTCTTCCGCCGCACACGACGGCGACCGCGCCGCCGGAGAGGCCTTCCGCAATGCATCCGTGCGCACCACTGGTGGTGTCGAGCGCAATCCGTTAGCAGCTTTCGATGTCAAGACGCTCCCCATCACGCTCGTCATCGACCTCATCATCGCCAACTTGGAGGCGCTCTCCGAGCAAGATTTGCACGCCGCCATCACCAACATGCGCGCTAATCTCCCGCCAGACGCATCCACCTCTGCGCAATCTGAAACCACCCCACAACGCGCACCGGGCCCTGCACCGGGACCACCACCGCCACGCCCAGCGACCACCAGTGACTCGGCTCAACTTAACGGAAATGCTGCCGCCCCGCTTGTCAAGCTCGAGCACGATCAGGAAAGCACAGTGCAGGATCCGCTGCAGATGGACATGGCCGAAGAGGATCTCGACTTGTTGGAAGCTTCGGGTCGAGACAGAGCCAGAGCCGAGTCCGCCAACGGCCAAGACGACCATGACGAAGAGCTATCCATGGCGGTCATTGAGAACTTTGCGCTTGCACCACCCGAGTATCTCTCCCTTGGCGAGTCGGATGCGCTCATCAAGGATACCGTCGCAAAGATCTGCGAGCTCGGATCGTCGACATCAGCCCTCGCCGCTTCCTCGCCTTCGAGTACCGGCGCACACGCTCTTTGGTCTTCGCTCGTCATCCGTCTGGCCACTCGCGGCTTTGCCGAGCCGCCAGGCGCTTCCGATGAAGCGTCCGCCGGCACGGCGCCAGAGACCAAGGTGGTCGGCGGCGTCGCCCCCACCCGCACGCTCGCCACACAGGCCGACATTATTCGCGCGCTCATGCTCGAGTTTGTCAGGGCCGACGTGGCGCGCCGCACGCGCTTTGCGGTCAACTGGATGGCGGAAGAGTGGTTCTGCGACCGCGTGCGTCGCAAGCAAGCTGGCTCGGACACGACCATCAAGGACCAGTACCCGATCTGGCTCGAGAAGCTCGTGCATGCCTGGATCCCCACCATCGATGCCAAGGACCGCTCGCTCGCCAAGTTCCTCGCCGACCTGCCCGAGATCGCGCCGGCCGTGCTCGACCTCGTCGCCGAGCTCAGCAAGGACAAGCTCAAGATGATCGCCGGCATGTCGACGTTGCAGGACATCTGCATGTCCAGGCCTGCGCTGCGCGACCAGGCGGCCGATAAGCTGCTCCAGCTCACCCGGACGAGCGAGCGCACCACGAGGGCCAAGGCGATCATTGCGATCAAGCAGTGCGCCACCACCAACAGCGCGCTTGAGGCGACTATCCTCGCGTTTGCGCGCAGCAACCTCGACATCCTCACCGACACGCCGCAGCCGCCCGAAGCGGCGCCGGAAGCCAAACCCGAGGCGGACGCGGTGAATGGTGACGAGCCTGGTACCGCCCAAGCCAACGGTAGCGTCAAGGCTGAGGAGGGTGTGAATGCAGCCGAGCACGAGGGCGAGGCGGTGGTGGAGGAAGAGTCGACGCATCCCAGGGATGGCGAGGACGTGCTGCGGTTTGTGGAGCTGCCGTTTTCGCTGTGCACCAAGATCCCCGAGATGCTCGACGAGATCTTTGCGGCGTATCCGCGCACGCCCAAATTCGTGCAGGCGGCGATTGAGGAGCACATTGTGAACCTCATCCGCGCGTTGGGCCCCAACCATCCGCGTCTACTTACGCTGCTGCGCAACTTTCCCGAGGGAGCGGACTCGCTCGCGCTGTGCATTCTCAAGACGCTCACGGAGAAGAATCGGGCGCCGGCGTTGGTGGAGGTGGTGAAGGAGCTGGTGGATACGCGCGATGTGGATCCGCGCTTCCTGGTGCCGGTCATGGCGGATCTGGACAAGGCCGAGATCATGAAGCGTCTTCCCAAAGTGGTGACCATCCTGGCCTCTCGAGCTCCCGAAGACCGGGCGCTTATCAAGTCGGTATTTCAGAGCATTGTTCAGATGCCACCGCAAGGGTTTGGCTCCGTCTCGAGCAACTTGCCTCGGGTTCGGCAGACGGAGCTGCTTACGCCCGTGGAGCTTATGGGGCTATTGCATCGAGCCGAGCGCGAAATCGGGCTCAAAAACACTGTCGCGGCGATTCAGATCTGTTTTGGCATGACAGACGTCTATCGCTCCGAGGTGCTTGCAGCGGTGCTGAACCAGATTTCAGAGGACCAGAATTTGCCCATGCTGTTCATGCGCACGGTGATTATGGCCGTCTCGACGTACAAGTCGCTCTCGGGCTATGTGGCACGCAATCTGCTTTCGCGATTGATCACCAAGAAGATCTGGCAAAACCCACCGTTGTGGGATGGATTCATTCTGTGTGCCAAGCAGACGGCACCGAGCTCGTTTGGCGCATTGATCCAGCTACCCAGGGACCAGCTTAGGGAGGTTGTTAGCAGACAACCCGACCTAAGGACGGGGTTGGTCGAGTATCTGACAGCCAAGGCGGGGGGCAACCGCGCGAGGTTGGCGACGTTTATGGACATGCTTGGTCCGGATCCTGAGGATCCAGCCAGTGCAGCAGATGCGGCTACAGCATAGTGCAGAATGCATTCATTGATTTATCTTGCTCACAATGTCTGTTCTCGATGAGAGTCGGTGTTCTGGCGGTGCTTCAGTGCGAGCGGTGGGGACGGTCTGCGATCTGGTAGAAGCCCTGCGAGTGTGCATTCGCTACACGAGGCGGTGCCAACACTGCGCAGATGCAGTCGAGAATGCCAAAGTGCGCACGCTGGGAGTTTCATGCTAGGCTTGAGACACGCCCTGCAAGAGCAGCCAAGGGACTGCCGCGGCAGGACTCCAAGTGGCTCACCGAATCCACCGACGCGATCCAGCTCCACCAAAGCAAAGCCGCATCACGTCTACCCACCTGTGCGCACTTGCCTCCCTTCTCCAATTCCTCAATGCCTGCATGCCACAATCAAGCCCATTCATCAAGACACTGCACAACCACACGCCACCACGCTCCGATCGTGCCCTCGATCTTCACCCACACCTCTATTCACCCGCCAACATCCGATCTCATAAACAACCATCATCATGTCTAGCTCCAATCCATCGCCATCGCAAATGTACTCACTTTACACATGGCTTCCTTTGAAACGATCACCGATCGCAGGAGCATACACTTCTGCACCCCACACAAAGTAGAAACCTCGACACAAAAGTGCATTCCAGACCGCCGAGGCAGCGACTCAAGGACAAACCAGAATCAGTACAGCCTGAACGCCAAAGGACCTCACCCCTCCTCTCAAAGAAAAGACCACACGATCCCACGAGTCTGTACATCCGCACCACACAAAAGCAGAAACCTTGACATAAAGAGATGCATTCCAAACCGCCTAGCACTGACTTGCTAACAAATCAAGGGTTGTAGGGCCTGAACGCCGAGGGCGCGGGCATGAAGCCCTCGGTGGGGGCGGTGAGGTACGAGACGAGGTTGCCATCGGCCGTGTTGTACGGCGCGACGTTGCCCCACCATCCGTCCGAGGCAAAGTCGCTCTGCTTGCCCTTGGGGAAGATGAGGCAGAAGAAGATGATGACGGCCGAGATGGCAGTGCCCGTATCCATGGCGGCACCCAGGACGTAGTTGTAGCGCGTCCACCAGCCGGTGCGGTACTTCTTGACGAGGTAGTTGAGCACGAAACCGCACATGGCCCAGGCGGTGAAGTTGATACCCGTCGCAGGAGGCATGAGACCCGTACCGGTGAAGATGACGGGCGAGTTGACCTTGCGCATGAACGAGCGCGGGAACTTCTTGGTGAGACCCCAAACGATGACGGGGAAGATGGCGCCGACCAGGAACATCCACAACAGCTTGCCGTACTGCTTACCGGGCGAGAATACGGCGGCGGGACCAATGAGACCCCAGATCTGCGAGGCGGTACCGAAGACAATGAGGTATTGGCAAGTGAAGTTGTCCGAGGCTTCGGGCGTGCAGACGTTCTCGATGTTGGAGAACACCCAGGACTGCACACCAAGCACGACAAACGACGAGACGACGATGGCGGTGACCTGCGCCACGAACATGTCCTTGGGCGGCACCTTCATGTAGTGGCCGAGCTTCATGTCGGCGGTGAACGAGAGACCCTGGTAGACGGCCATGTAGCAGAACACCTTGAACATCATCATGCCCGTAGCCGAGCCAGGGTGCATGTAGCCGATGATGAACTCCGAGATGACGTTGAGGCCGACCTCGACGTTGGAGATGGCATACACGACACCGACGGGCAGCATGAAGAAGGCGCCGATGATGAGCGAGATGATGAAGGCCCACACGGGGAAGTCGGTGTTGTAGCCGGCGGTGCAGCCGACACCCATGCCGAAGCAGATGAGGAAGAGGGCGGCGTACCAGAGCTTGGGCACCTCGGGGTACCTCTGCATGAGACGCGCATGGACGTCGCGCTCGTCGTTGATCGAGGTGGTGAACTGGCGGTAGATCTGCTTGCCGTGGAAGAGGGCGACGTGGACGATGATGGCGGTGATCGAGGCGAACGAGAGCGCAAACGAAATGGCGTACGTGACCGAGAAGTACTGCTCCGAGTAGGCGTTGTAGCCGGCGGGGTCAAAGTGGAGGTGGTCCGGGGTGGTGACCTTGGCAGTCTTGAACTTCTTGCCGAAGCGGTCGTAGACAGCCGAGGTGGAGAAGGGGAGGTAGGCGAAGTTCCAGACGTTCTTGTAGTAGAGGATGGGGCCGATGATGCAGTAGCACACGACGAAACCGCCGAGCACGTTGGCCTGAGCCCACCAGGGGGTGTAGATGGGGTTGTTGTTGTACGAGTACTGGTTCCAGTCGGTGGTGAGCGGGATGAGACCGAGACCCTGCTGGGTGCCGAGCATCTGGTTGAGCGGCACGTTGTCTGGCGCGATGAGGCAGAACCAGTTACCGACGGACATGAGCGCAAAGAGGTAGCCGGGCACAAAGTACCAGGCAAAGGCACCTGCGCAGGCGATCATGAAGAACTTGTACCTCGACATGTGGTTGGAGCCGGTGTCGACCTGACGGTGGAGGGCGGTGAAGAGCGCCGTGTTACCCAGGTTGGCAGGCCAGATCATGGCAGCGGGCCAAACGAGCCAGCGGCGGAAGAAACCGGCCATGGAGAAGCCGATGAGCTGGGAGCTGAGCGTGAGCAGGATGATGTAGCCGAAACCCCAGTCGAAGCCGTAGGTAATGCGCTGGACAGCGGACACGTTGGATGCGTAGGCACGCTGGTAAGTCACGTTCGCCATGACGGTGATGACGGTGTGTTCCTTGACGTTGAAGGGGCCGGGGTTGAGGGTGAAGCTGCCGAGGGGAGTCTTGAAGACCTTGGTGGGGAGGACCTTGGCCATGAAGACGCCCATGGGGTATGCGAGCAGCTGTGCGACGAACGAGGTGATGGTGACGGTGGGGTATCGGTAGCTGAGAAGCTGGTTAACACCGGGAATGATGATGGTGAAGAGCATGCCGAGGACCCAGGTACGGAAGGTCATGACGGGCATGGTGGGGTCGTCTACGTTGGAGACGGCGGCGCGGACCTCGGGGTAGGGCGAGTCCTCCTCGAGCTCCTCCTCGATCTGGGCCTCGGCCTTGTAGTCGCCCTGCTCGATGACGCGCTCGATGGCGTCGATCTTCTCGGTCTCCATGTTGGGGTCGTTGAGGCGGTGGTCGATGAAGTCGGTGCGGAGGTGCTTCTCGACGTTGGTGATCTCGGGCATGGAGGGGTTGGCGAGGTCCTCCTTGGAGGAGTCCTTCTGGTCGGAGCTGCCATGGCTCGACGTCCTGGCGATGCCGATCTCGTTGACCATCTTGAGTATCACTAGCCCGGAGGACGCTCACGGGTTGCGGATAGGAGGAGGAGAAGGGGAATGGTTGGGGGAGGAAAGGGACGAGCGCTCGTCGGAACTGAGGATTATATGGGACTGTGGCGACCAGTGGAAAGGAGTCGGCGGCGATGCGATGCGATAGGCTCCAGGCTCGACACCGGAGGAGGATGAGCCGACGAGGTGTGGTGGGGACGTGAGCGAGAGAGCGGGTTGAGCCGATGTTCCTGACGCGCGAGAAGCGGTGGGGTGGGAAGCCAAACCCAAAGCCACAGTGGCGAGACGCTCTTGAAACGGGAAGGCGGTCGAAGCGAAGCTCGAAGTCGTGCGTGGGCCCACCAGAGATTACAGCCGACGTTCTGATTTGATAGAGAGCGAGAGAGTGTGCGGGGAGGGTGGCAGCAAGGGCGAGGATGAGGTTCGGACAGGGTCGAGCCGAAGCATGACTTGGACTTGTCCAGCTTGGCCAAAAGTGCAGAGGAGATTGAATTTCATTTCAACGCGACTGGAAAATGTCACTGTCAGACGACCGTCGCGACAGGCCCGTCACGCGAATTGCGGCGACTACACTGGCGAGATGCCTGGAAAAGATAAAGCGGCCTAAGCGAGAGACACTGCAGCAGCACAGCTGGGCAGCCTGGCAGCAGCGGCGGCCAGGATGCGGCGCCTCGCCTGCAGCGTCGGACGAGCCGACGGGTCGAGACGCACCGCACTCTTCGCCGCTTTGCCGCTCGTCGGACTGAGCCGCGGTCTGCACGGCATCAGCGGCAGTGGCCTTTCGTAGAAACTCCGACGATTTTCAAGCTGCTGCTGCTGCTGCTGCTTGGGTCCCCCCGCACATTGGCCGTCCTGCAGAGAAATGCAGCTGGTGGCGAGCAGCTGCAGCTGCAGCGCACCTGTGCCGTCGCGGAGCGGCGTCGTCCGGTGACGCCTGCGCCTTTTGCATCTCTCGCATCCTGATTCGCTGCCACCTCGACCAAAGTTGCAAAAGGGTGCATCCTTTCGAGCCGCAGGCTCACGACATCCAATCATGATCGAGCTCACCACAGTCAGGCTGCGCTGTCAGCGGCCCATTCAAACTTTGATTGGCTTTGTGCTTGCCGGCACCGGCGGTCCGGTGGGCGGAGAAGACGTGTGGACATGACTCGGCATGTCTGTTCAATGCCAATCCCCACCGAACGAGGCTTTGAGATGGCGAAAGTGGGATGGCGTCGGTCAGATGATAACGAGTGGATCTCATGCTGTCGATAGCATGCGCCTTCGCTCTTGACGGTTGTGTCGGATTCATCCGACACGGCAGTGGCGGCAAAGGACCGTAGAGGCTTGCTGGTGCGGTCCTACAGGCACGACTTTGGGAATCGCAGTAGCGTGGGCGAGACGGTGAAGTCACGAGCCGAGCTCGTCTGGATAAAGCCTCTTCTGCTGCCCCACCGTGGCAGGAAAGGCCGGCTTGACCAATTCCGCTCTGCCTTTTTTTTTTTGCAAGCATGAATTCCTGCAGGCGACCGGAACAAGGTCGCCCGATATCCACCTCCTCCCTCTCTCTCCATCGCACATCCGTCTTTGCTCTGTTCTGCACAGCGATAGGTTCCTGGTCTCGCCATCGCCTGCGTACCTTGCACTATCAGTTGCGACGAGGTTTTAGCTTATCGCTGCTTTGCCATCCATGCAACCCGTTGCAACCGAGTCCGAACCTCCTCCGCACAACGATGCCTGCCAGGTGTGCCTGGAATCCCGGTGGCGATCTCGATGGGTCAGATGATTGCCTCGAGGTGAATCGCCAGCCGAACTCAACTGTCGCCCCGTTGCAATTGGTGCTTTCCTCTGTTCGCCGTCCCCCGCCCAATTCGCCGATTTCGCCACTTCGTGCCGACTAGCCGCCCGTGTTCTTTTGTTTCGGCGGGAATCTCTGCTCGGACGGCAAACACTGGTGCACTGCCCCCGCGGCGGCCCCACCGGCGGGAAAGAAAGGCGAGGTGCGGGCGGAATTAAGCCAGTTCAAACTGCGATCCGCGCCTCTCGCTGGATTTCTTTTTCTTCCGAGATGCCCCCTCCGCCGGCTCGTCCGACTTCCCTGGCAGAATGTGAGGAGAGCATGCAGGGCTGCAGGTGTTGCGCTGCGCTTTCGCGCGGACCAGATGCGGCCGGCGCATGGCGTGTGCGAAATCCGAGCTTCGACCACCTGCACGCAGTCCCTCACATCGCGGCTTTTCCGTACCCACCCGCGCTGACCTGCCTCTCGCCATCCTCGCCACCCGGTGCGGTAAGCTCGACCTCACGTCGCGTAAACGTCCATACATGTGGTTGGGGTCGGCACCAGGTTGGAGTTGCTGATTCCTGATTGGTCGCCACCCACACCAAGGGTCCAGGCTGCTGCGAAGACTCTGGCTCGCCTGCACGCGTGTCACTTAGGGCTCGAGTGGGTGGCAAAGCTTGGCGTTCATGAGATGAGGCGATGGAAGCAACTGTTGCTGCAGACCTGCTTCTGTGCGGCAGACCACGGTCAATCCCTCACGTGCTGCCTCCAATCTCGGAGCGGACCCAACCAGCCATGCCCCGATACACAAGCAGCTTTTATTCGGATGATCTGCAATCTGAGACCTACATTGCTGCGCCGGGCGCTGCATTTCCTTGTGTAGTCTTGAGCGAGTGGGCGAGGTCGAGCGTGCTTCTGCCGTCCTTTCTCGGAGGCACCTGCGCCTTAGACTGAGGAGTGAGCATCAGGGCGGGTGTGGTGCGCTTGACCCTCGTGTGCTGGTGCGGCTTGTGGCTTGCAGCGGGCAACAAGACCTTCTCAAAGAACGCGCCTAGCTGAGCGTGGTCACTGGCGCGCATCAGCAGCGACACGTATCCATCGGGCCTGATCACCACCATCGTACCGTACTGCGTTGCAACTCCGTACTTTTCGTATGCACGCCCGTGACCCTGGTGGTAGGTGGTGTCGTCGACAAACACCTTGTGGTAGTCCTGCGATGTGTTATACCTCCCATCCGCCGTCTTGCGGTGGTGCTTGGTAGTGTGCGGACGCAGCGCGGGGTGGAAGTCGGCCAGCTCGCACTCGGCACGCGGTGTGGCGGCAACCGTGAGCACCTCGATGACCGAATCAACATCTTGCTCGGCTGGAGTGAATCGAGGCAAGAGGTCGCTCGAGAGGTAGTCGCCCAGTTGCTGCATCTCGCGCGCGCAGATGGACTCGCGAACGTCGCCACAAAAGTAGACGACTCGCCATCGACCGTCGGAGAGGATCCAGTCGGCAAGCTCGTACGGCAGCGCCGTGGCATGACACACCACCTGCGCCGTGTTGAATCGCTTCCCGACATCGATACGTGTCTCCCCCGCGTCTTCTGCTGACAGACTCGGATCACTCGCCACCCCGTCTGCAGGGGCAACCACCGCAGCATGGGCAACAACCTCACCACCATCAACAGTAGTCTTGCTGCTGCTTTCCGGTTTGACTGTGAGCAGGGACCGCTGGTAATCGACCGAGAGCCCAGAGGCAAACCTGTTCCCCTTGAGAAAGGCGTCCTGGAACTCGGCCATCGAGATGCCTGCTGCATCAGCCTCGTCCTTGGCCGGCTTGCCGCTAAAGAGCCTGCTGAACCTGTGGTCAAAGGTGATGAGGTCCTGTGCGATCTGCTTGCGCTCCATCTCGTACGTCGCCAGTACGCTTCGGGGCGAGACACCCTTGACGGCAGCTGCCACCTTCCACGCCAGGTTGTACGTGTCCTGCATGGAGGTGTTCATGCCCTGACCCGCCTTGGGCGAGTGCGTATGGCAGGCGTCTCCTGCGATAAACACACGATCGTGCAGCGCGAATCGGTCCGCCGTACGCTGCCCGATCACGTACGCCGTCCACCAGTCCAAATCGCCCTCGCCAATGTCGAGCGTGTACGGCGCGATGATCGCCTTGGCCGTGGCGAGGATCATCTCGGGCGTGATGCTGTGCCTGTCCACGCCGCGGTTGAGTTCCGAGACCTGGATGTAGAATCGCACCAGCCCGTCTTCGCGCGGAATGATCATCATGCTGCCCGAGTCGACCGAGTGGATTGCACACCGATTGCGCACGTCCGGGAAGTTGGTGATGGGCACGGCATCAAGTACGCCCCAGATGAACGACGTCTGGTCGCCCTCCATCTTGCTGCCCATCTGACGCCGTGTCCAGGAGTGGGCGCCGTCGCACCCGATCACGTACTTGGCATGGATGCGTTCGCGATCGCCCGTCCCCGCCGCGCCTGAAGGTGTATCGTCCGGAGCAAGTGAAGAGCGGAAGAGACCGTTGGGCACGCTGTTGCCCATCTGCGTGGGTGTGGCTTCTTCTTCGGACAGCTTGCGCACCTCGACTGTTACAGGATAGGCTTCAGGATTGTCTACGGAGGCCTTGTCGATGCTGAGCGACTCGGGCAGCACTGCACGCTCTACGGCGAGTTTGCCATCCGAGTGGCGATGGATACTGTCGAGAAAAGACTTTTCAATGCGACCCTGGTGCAGCACACACTGCTGCCATCGCGAAATGCCCGGGATGGTATCAGGCACACTACCTGTGCGCTGCAGCTTTCCGTCGGCGCCAGGATTCCAGAAGCGCATCTCGATCATGCGGTTGCTCTGGCGCCAGATGTCCTCGCCCAGCCCGAAGCTGTGCAGGATCTCGAGCGTGCGGCACTGCAGCCCGTCGGCCTGGCCCGTAAAAATCTTGTCGCTGCGCTTGTCGATGATGCGCACTGATGCGCCGAGGCCTTGCACCGCAAGCCAGTTGGCTGCCATCAACCCAGCGGGTCCTGCACCGATGATGAGCACGTCGCAGTGCGACTCCTTGATCGAGGTCGTCGCATCGCCATTGTTTGCACCTGCGGGATGCACCATGTTGCCGTTCTACAAGCTGGCGGTTTGGTGCCTGAGTGAGGTCAGGAGGAAGGAGCTGCTACTTATGTGTCCAAGTGGAGTGCTGTCTGTCTGTGCGCGGCTTCGAAGCAGCTGTCGGACCCTACTTGGCCGAAATGCGGGGTAACTTAAGCAGAGGGCCAAACTCCGCTGTATCTCCGAGTGGCATTTTTTGGCGCTGAATGTTTAACCGTACGATACAACAGCGGTGGCCAATTTTCGGATCTCGGCTTCGAACGCGCGCGGACCCTCGCCGGAGCGGCGTGGCCGAAATGTAACGGACCCTGCAGTGTGAGCGCGCCGGCTCCTCCGACCATCTTCGCACGCCTCCTTTCCTTCATTCTCACGCCCAGTTCGGCGCTGCTGCCAGCATCAACCGTAGAAAGAGGATCGCAAGCATGCCGACTTCTGCGCGTAAGGAGCGTCACTCTTCGGACGACGACCTCGAGGCCGAGTCGCTCATTCTGCACCGGCTCTCCACCGACGCTTCGGGCTCGTCGCGCATTCAGACGGCGGGCGGCACCACGGCTGCACCTCGCGTCACCGATGCCTACGATGACCTCGACGACGAGTACGAAGTGAAGCGCAAGGAGCTCGACTCGATGCCGGCGCGCGGCGTGCTCGAGGGCTCCAACAACTCGACGCGCATCGACAAGACGGGTCGCCCGGCGTGGTTTCGCGGAATGCTCGATGGCGACGTGCCCCTGCCTGGCCTCAACGGCCGCGGAGCAGGAATGTCGGCGTCCATGGCGCAGCGCAGCCGCAAGAAGCGCGCGCGCTGCATGCGCTTGGCAATGCTCGGCGCGGGCGGATTGCTCGTCCTCGGCGCATTTGCCTTTGCTCTCGGGCCCAAACTGGGCGTATCGCCGTCGAGAATCTACGACTACATGGGCGACAAGTGGTATGGCGACAGCGGCGTGATCCCGTTCGAGTTCAACAAGCCCGTCGGCTACCCTGGCTTCTACACCACCGGTGTTCCGCCCAACTTTGCCGAGCACATGACACGCACAGCGCCAGCACCTAGCCAAACCATCGGCTCGGCACCCATGCAGACGTTCGTCCCCGGATTTCAAGACGCCAACTTTAAGCCGTTCGAGCACATGGGTCCGCTCACGCCGTACGTGTCCTCGTCGGGGTGGGGGGTCGACGATGTCAAGTATGCAGGCACGCCCACGGCGGCAGGCAAGACGTGCGAGCTGGTGCAGGCGCACATGCTCCATCGCCACGGCGCACGCTATCCCACCGCTGGCGGCCCACCGGATGTGCTGCGCGACTTCCTGCGCCAAAATCCGCAGCTGCGCTTCTCGGGTAGCCTGGCGTTTCTCAACAGCTACAAGTTCGGCGTGGGCGAGGAGCTGCTCACACCCGTCGGACGCGGCCAGCTGTACGACTCGGGCGTCAACGCTGCGCTGCTGTACGGCAAGCTCGTTGCCGACGATTTTGCCGAGAAGGATGCGCGCGGCAAGCCAAAGACGCTCTTCGCACGCGCCGGAAGCCAGCAGCGCATTGTCGATTCCGGCCTGGCGTGGCTCAATGGCTTCTTTGGAGCCAACTGGACCGCATCGACGAGTTTCGAGATCCAGATCGAAGAGCCCGGGTACAACACCACCACCGCGCCCGAGTTTGCATGTCCTGCGTGGAATCACGCTGGCAGTGCACCTGGTGGGGAGATGATGAGTCGGTGGGCAGCGAGTTATCTGCAAGATGCCATGCTTCGGCTCGGACACGATTTTGGCGGTGCCACGCTCAATTCGACGCTGCTCATGGGCATGCAGCAGATGTGCTCCTACGACACGGTGGCGTTTGGTGCGAGCGACTTTTGCGCGCTCTTTACGCGCCAGGAGTGGCTCGACTACGAGTACGCCTGGGACCTCAAATTTATGAACACCAACGGCGCCACCTCGCCGCTGGGCAAGGCGTACGGATTGGGGTGGGTCAATGAGCTGATTGCGCGATTGGAGGCCAAACCTTGGGATGCATCCCTGCAAACTTCGGAAAACTCGACGCTCAATGCGGATCCAACAACGTTCCCCGTAGATCGTCGGTTCTACGTCGACTTTACGCACGACTCTACCATCACTTCTGTCCTCGCCGCTTTGGCCCTCCCGCACTTTAACGAGGTGCTCAAAGTGCCCGATGGCGGGAACAAGCTCGATGACACGCGCAACTTCAAGACGAGCAAAGTCGTGCCGTTTGCAGCACGGCTCGTACTTGAGGTGTGGCAGTGCGCCGATGAGGTCAGTGTGCGCATGAAGCTCAACGACGCCGTGGTGCCGCTCAGCCAATACACACAGTGCTCCCCACGTCCCGACGGCATGTGTGCCAAGAAGGACTTCCTCACCGCGCTTGCTCAGCGTAACCTCCAGTCCGAATGGCAAAAGTGCCAAGCCTGACCCCCTCACACGCGATCATAATCTTTAGAAGTGCATTTCGTTCCCCAGCTCTGTGTGCCTGTGTGCATGTGATTGCTGGATCCTAAGCGTCGTTCGGAACAACGCCACGCATGCGCTCGCTGAGTCTTCGCTCGCGCTCCTTGCCCTCGTGCATCCTCGCCCTGCGCTGCTCCTCGCTTTTCTCATCAATCATGCCCCTGCTCACGCCCACCTTGAACAAGAACCTCCTGAGCGCCTCTGCAATATCCGCCGGCAACGGCTCCTTGCCCAACAGATCCACCGCCAACGCATAGAACGCGCCACTATGCTCGGTAAACACCCTCTCCCCCTCTGCATCGTCAAACGTGCAAATCCCGCCAAAGATCTCCGCCACCACGGGCGACCATGCGGCAATATTCCTCCCCTGCGTCTCGGGATCCAGCGGCAAAAACGCACCCACAATGTCGTACCCGAGCGGCACGAGTTTGTCGCGAATCTCCGCTTGGAGCGCAACGTGCTCTGCGCGCGGATCGGCGTGCATGCGCACCAGAATATGCACCAACGTCGCTGCCGACGACGACTCCTGCTTGAGCAGGTTCGGTAGCTGCTTCATGAACCCCACCTTCCACAGTGCGACGCGCAGCTCCTTGTCCGCGTTGAAGCGGCGCGAAAAGTCGTACGACTCCTCGAGCGCCCCCGCCAGCCGCAGCAGCTGAGCGCCAGGCATCGTGCGGTACACCTCTTCGTTCTGCAGCAGCTCGTGCGTCGTCTCGATCAACAGCAGCTGCAGCACGCACTTGACGATGATCTGCTTGAACGCCCGACGCCGCTCCGTGCCCGACATGGCTGTCGGCTGCACCGCCGCCGCCGCCGGAGCCTGCAGCTGCTGCGGGGGCGTGTCTTCGGCCGCATCACCAGCCACCGCCTCGCTCGGAAGCTGCGCCGTGCCGGCACCCGGAGAAATCGGCTCCGGCTGCTGCGCCCCGTTGGCACCACCCGCGGCCGTAGGCGACTCGGCGGAGCCATCCGCCCTCAGCACGGGGTCGAAGAGCTGGTGCGCCGTGGTGGTGCGGAAGAGCTGGAGGAAGGTATCCACCACCAAGCCCCAGCGCTCGAGGCTGAGCTTGCGCACGTTCTTCTCGAGCAGCTGCTGGAGGCAGCTCGTGCCGATGCGCGCCAGCGTGTCGTTCTCCTGGCAGATGCACGCGCACAGCAGATCCAACAACCCGGGCAGCAGCCGCTCCAGAATCTCAAAGTAGAACGTCCACAGATCCACCAGGTTGCGCAGCGCCTGGATGAGCGTCGTGCTGAGCCAGACGCTCATGTCTTCGTGCGATGAGAAGCGCGTCACATCGTGGCGCGAGCGCAGCACCGCAAAGATGGGGAACAGGATCTCCTGGCACACCGTGTCCCAAAAGTCCGGGCGGAACGAACGGCCGTACTGCTTGAGGATGGAGAAGAGGCTGTCGAGCGCCACGCGGCGCACCTCGAGATCGTCGCCCGTCATGATGATGTCGTGGAAGGCAAACAGCACGGGGAACCAGAAGCGCACCATGGGGTCGTCCGACATGGGCGTGCTCGCTGCCGGTCCCGGATCGCCACCCTCTTCGATCGGACACTCCTTGGCGCTCAGCATCGACGCCACCAGTCCGCGCAGCAGCTCCGTCGCCTGCAGACTGATCTTCTGCTTGCTGGCCTTGGCAAAGTGGGTGGCGCAGATGCACAGGTCGGCAAACGAGCCGTTCACAATGATCGCCCCGAGATGCTTGGCGTTGAGCTGGCGCACCAGATCAAACGCATACGCAGACACGCGCTCCGACGGCGCCACGGACGCAGCGCCAAACACGCCGAACATGGTCCTCCACCCCGACCGGATGTTGTCGACGCGCGACTGGATCATCTGCTCGAGACACTGGAGCACCATCTCCTTGGCCTCGAGGTTGCGGTTGCGCTGCATTGTGACCTCAAACGGCTTGAGGAAGTCCTTCTGGAACTTGAAGTGCGGCAGCTCCTCCTTTTCGAGGAAGCGCATCGCCAGCTGGCGCAGCGAGTCCAGTCCAAACGCCGACACGTGCACGTTCGGATGGCAGCACACCATGTTGAAGTGCTCGCCCAGGATCGCCCAGATGTTCGACCACTCCATCCGGATGCGCCCCATGTTGTAGTACGAGATCTCCACCAGCTTCTGCAGCGAGAACAGCCGCGGATTCTCCGTCAGACCCGACGATTGGATCTCCTCCCACGACACGTCCGACAGCGCCTGCACAAAGTCGACAATCGCCGTACCCGACAGCGAGGCGCTCGACGAAAAGACCATGTCGGCCGCCACCGTCACCTCGGACGACGCGCCAGCCTGCACCACTTCGCTGTTGGGCATCGAAGCCTGCCTCGCCCTGCCATTGGCACCGGCGGCGCTAGCCGCACTTGCGCCGCCCCTTCGACCGAGCTCGGGCAGCTGCCTGCCGTCGAGTCCGCCGCTGATGAGCTGGAAGCGCTCGAGCTGGCTGACGCACGTGAGCACCTCCCTCCAGCTGCCCTTGAGGTAGTTGCCCTCGCTGTGTGCCACGCCCAGCAGCGTCTTGATCGCCTCGACGTTCTTGCTCTTCATCTCGCCCAGATTGTTGAGGAAGGTGAACTTGGCGAGCGTGGTGACAAACGCGTTGCGCTCCAGCTCGAGTCCAAAGAGCGAGACGATCTTGATGGCGTCGCGGAAGCCCTCGAGGCACTTTTCGACCACCTCGGCATCGTCCGACTCCTGCAGCGGCCCCGAGATGCCCGCGAGGAAGGGCATCCAGGCGACCTCGAACATGGGCTTGACGTGCTCAAAGTGCGAGGCGGAGAAGAACTGCTCGGCGGCGGCACGCTGCTGCGGGCCGATGCGGCGCTGGGCGCGCACCATGGTGCGGAAGAGCGCCTCGGTCTTGTTGGCCATGCCCTCGGACTGGAGTACGTATGCCTCGCGCTGCAGGTCGCGCCCCACGGTGGCGATGGCGTTGGCCAGGCCCGACGACGGCGCGACGGGCGTCGGGGCGGCCACCTCGTCCTTCATCTTGATCTCGTGGTTCTGGATCTCGTCGTACACGGAGCGCAGGTACTCGTCCGGGAGGCTCTTGCCGTCGTCGATGCCCGAGTTGTTCTTGACAAAGTCGTTGAGCGTCATGCGGTGCTTGACCTGCGGATTGTGCGCATCGGTGTTGAGCATGATGACCGAGTAGGCAAAGACGTAGGCGGTATCGGCATTGGCAAACGCAGTGGGGTTGCCGTGCACGAAGCGCTCGGCGAACTTGAGCATGTAGCGATCGATCTTCTGCGACTCTCCCGGCAGTCGGAAGGCCTGGAGGAATCGTCGGAGCGCATCGGTGAATCCGAGGCCCTCAAAGTTCATCATGTCGACGAAGGCGTGCATGATGGCGTTGCTCTCGGGCGTGCCTTCGCCCAGGAACTCACCGATCTGCGCCTTGCTGAGGCCGTCGGCGTAGAGGAGGAAGCGCGCAATGTCGGCGGGCTCGCGCGAGCGGATGAAGCCGTTCTTGACGAGGTCGTCGATGCCGCGCTTGGGCTTGAAGTTGAACTTGCGGATGCCCTCGAGCAGGATGGTCTTGCGCTGCTTGGCGTTCTCGAAGCGGCTCGGGTCGTCTTGGGGCTCGGGCGTCTGGCCGCGGCTGATTTCGGAGCCGGCGCCGGCAGTGAGACCCGACGAGGGCTGTGCGGCGATGGCGGGGCTGGGATGGCCGTTGGTCTCCATGAGGTTCTCGCTGTCGACAGTGATGGTCTCGTTGCCGATGCGAATGTCTTCGCTCTGGCGTGGCGAGGCGGTGGTATCGCCAGGATGGCCGTGAAGGTCTTGGCTCGCCGCTTCGGACGCCACCGAGGCCCGGCTGGACCAGATGACGAGCGAGCGCAGCACGGAGCAAAGGCAGTCGAGGCTCTGTCGCTTGAGCCTGGCTTCAACCGACTGGTTGGCACCAGAACTCGACATGACAGAGTCGTGAGAGACGTCGCCAGCGGCTGCTGTGCTCAGAGACGGCGGAATGGCGGGGCCGGAGCCGGATGTCCTTGGCAATGCCGACCCGGCGGCCGTCGATGACAAGGCATCCTTGTCGGCTTTGGCGTCGGCGTTGGGCGAGACGTGGGCCTGGGAGATCTTGGAGATGACGTTCATGAGACGCTCGTAGATGTTGTCGAGCGCGGTGCGGTCGCAGTCGTAGTTGAGGTAGATCTCGACGAGCGCCTGCGGATCCTGGCAGAGACGGATGAATACGCCGAGCAGGATGGACTTTTGCTTTGGGGTGGATGTGCGCATCTCGAGGATGGGGAGGAAGATCTCGTTGAGCAGCACCTCGATCTCCTTTTTGAGTTTGGTGCGCATGCCGTCGAGGATGAGCCAGAAGATCTCGCAGCTGATTTCAAAGACCTGGTTGACGCTGCTGACGGCGTTGCGGCTGAGGCTGAGGCAGAGATACTGCTTGACGGCCTGTACGAACTGGGTCTGCTCGCCGGTGGTGGTGCTGTGGATGATGACGGTGGGGTCGGTGAAGATGGCCATGTGGGACTGGATGATGGTGAGGATGAGGTGGAGGGAGAGCAGCTTGGAGCGCATGGCGTGGGACTTGAGGTCGCGCTCGCTCTCTGCGCCCAAGGGCTTCATGGTGAGTTTGCAGAGCGCGCGAAGCACGAGGAAGGCGTCCTTGACAAAGAGCTCGGCGGTGCTCATGTTGGCAAGGCTGCCTGCGTTGTCGCGCTCCGATGCGCCTTCGAAGGACTTGCGGTTCTCGAAAGTCTTGAGGGTGATCTTTTCGTCTTGGGGCTGAGCGGCCTCGTTTGGATGGGTGTCGCTGCTGTCGCCGCCATTTACGCGTGGCTGTGTGATGTCGGTGGTGCTGTCAGAAGCCGAGATGGCGCCCGAGCCCGAGGGTGCGCCTCGAGGCACGCGGGCAAAGACGTGGTGGACCATCTGTGTGAGACTGCCCTGAGCGATGGCCTGGTTGGCGGGGGACTTGCTCATGAGGAAGATGTTGTAGACGGTGCGGACGGCCTTGAGCAGGCTGGACTGGTGGACGTGGACGACGGTGGAGAGGACCGAGGCGAGAAGAGCCTTGATGATCTGGAGGCCCACCTTGTCGTCGAGGCTTTCATGGTAGCAGTCGCAGACGGTCTCTGTGACGAGGTCGGCGAGGGTCTGAGGCGGCTGACCGGCGGCGATGGTGGCGCTCGCAACCTGTACGGGATCGTCCTCTGCGAAGAAGGCGTAGCTGACGAGTTTGCTGATGCAGTCGAGGCTGGTGATGGTGAGGTTGTTGCTGCGCGTCCTGCATGCGAGGCGGAGAGGCTCGAAGACGACGCGTGGATCGAGCACGGGCGGATCTTGGTCTGCTGAATGCGCCGAGGCGGTGAATGCGGCGGCAGCCTTGACCATGTCGAGGGCGAGCTGTGCGGCCTGCTTGAGCTCCTTGTCCTTCTTTGCCTCTTTGGAGCTGGCGAGGGACTCGAGCGCCGAGATGACAAAGACGGCGCTGCCCTTGTTGAGACTTTTCAAACTGGAGCGGGAGTGGACGGTGGTTGCGGCGGTGGCGGTTGTGGATACGGAGGATGAGCGGCGCGACTGGGCGAGGCTGGCGCGAGAGCTGGTAGCATCCGGGCGTGTCTGCTGAGATGCGGCGTCGTTGGGGCCAGTGACTGAAGAGGATGCTGTCGTTGTTGTTGCGGGTGCGGATTCGACGACAGGTTGGCTGGCATCATCTTGAGGCGAAGGGTCCTTGGTGGGAGGCGCTGGAGCTTCTGGTGTTGCGGTAGAGGCCGGTTCGGCTTGCGCGTGGGTGGTAGTGTCTTGGACTGCGTCCACGGCGACAGGCTGGGACTCGGGCACATTTGGCTTTTCGTCGGATGAAGCCGGCTGCGATACTGGATCTTGTGGTGCCTGTGAGATTGTGATGTCGGGGGCCTCGCCCGTCGTCGTGGGCGCGTCCGCTTCTGTTGTGTCTGTCAAGGAGATTTGCTCAGCCTCGGCAGGGAGTGCGTTGCTGGCATCTTCGGTGGTAGACAACGAGGACTCAGGCTGCTCTGTTTGCTCTGGAACTGCAGGCTCGGAAGGGGTGGTTGCGGCTTCCTGCTCGTGCGAAGAGGGTTGAGGATGTACGACAAGGCTGGTGCCTGCGGAAGGGAGGTTGGGTTTGGAGGACGCTGGTGCGTCTTGTCCATCGTGGTCCGCCATGGCGATGTTGCGACTACTTCTGAGTAGAGGCGCAGGATGCCAAAATGCGAAGAGTAAGAAGGTGGTGGTGGCCGGAAGCGTGGAAGATTGACGGCGTGCATTTGCAATCGGGATCGATGGCGCCCCGAACACGCGGCTCGAATATGCAACACCCGCCGAGCCATTCCGCCGAGCCATTCCGCCGAGCCATTCCGCCGAGCCCAGCCGGCCGGCGCAGACGAGGCATCCAACGTGGCGCCCACAGCCTCACTGCAGCCGCGCACGAGCCCGAGCCAATTTATGCCGGACGGGAATGCTTTTGAGCGGCCCATCGTCCGATCTAACATCACTCGACTTTTTCACCCCATCTTGCTTCTGCTCCATCTTGCCGCAACTGTCACAGGAGCATGAGGTGGGAGAGGGTATAGCTTGCAAATATCAAGAAAAGAGACAACGGGAATGAGGGAAGAACAGCATCACGCCTCGCCGAGGATGGCGTCGTTGAGCTCGACGAGCGGGGCGAGTTCTCGAGGCTCTACGAGGTGGAACTCGGTGATGAAGAGCAAAAAGTGGCGGTAGGAGGTGTTGAGGTGGGCCTCGATGCTCAACGCACACACCTGGGCAAAGTGGTGGTTGTAGATGTGCGCATACACGCGGAAGAGGCGTCGTAGGATCGACTTGACCACGGCAGCAAAGTTGTTGGGGAAAGCGACGCCCACTTTGCTGGGGAAGAGCGACTCGTCGTCGAGCTGCGACTGCACCCAGTTCATGAGGCAGTCGACGTATTCGGGCGCAGACATCTTGGTGGGGCGTCGGTAGAGTGCCGAATTGGCGTCCTGCCAGTGGTACTCGAAGCGCGATCCGGCGCACATGACCGGACATTCCGACGGCGTGCAGAACTCGGTGATGGTGCCGTAGAGCATGTTGATGTGGTTGAAAAAGTCGACCGTGTTGACGGCGAACCACTCGTTGAGGTCCTCACCCTCGGGCAGCACCACCGCCAGTCGCAGGTTGCCGCTCCCCAGCGTAGCCTCGGCATACCGCTTGAGCTGATACTGCTTGGTGCCCTCGGGGATGTTGCGCTTGGGCTTGAACGTGCGCGTCTTGGAGAGTCCAAAGAAGGATGACATGGCGGAGTCGAGTCGAGTGGGTTGTGGGAAGCGTCCGTTGAGGTCGTTGGAGAACAGCAAGAGCAAGAGGAGCGAGGTGATAGCGGCAAGTCAGGCCGAGCTCAGGGGCGTTGTTTTGGTGGAGATCAACACCCAACCAACACACGCGGCCCTCGCCCACGCGCACTCCACCTCTTGGCTGCTGTCATGAACTTGGATTGCAATTTCCGGTGCCAATTTCAACGAGCGCGCGGACCCCTGTTTTGCTCGCGTTTCCGCCTTAACATTGGGTCACCAATTTCAGATCCCCGATGTGGCCCAATTCCTGGCTTCATGTCGCCGATCAGCTCCAGCTGGGGCTGGTGGGGCGAGGGCGCACTCGCTCCGAATGGCACTGCAGAGAGGTGAAATGCACGGCAGAGATGCATGAGAGAAGGCCAACAACGCTCCTCGGCAAGTCGGCTGCACAAGTTGACAGCGCTGCACAGTTGCCCCCTGCCCCTCCATGCTTTGGCGTGCCCACCAATGTGATGTTGCACAACCCACAGGGCGGCGGGATGCTGCAGAACTGCGGAAGCGGATCGACAAGTTAGGCTCAGTGCCGTGCCGTGCCGTGCAGTGCCGTGCAGTGCGGTTCAGAGTTGCCCTTGGCCCAGATGGAGCCGCAGGATTTCCGTCCCAGGCGCAGTCAGTGGTCCCCTTTTTTTTCGCCGCCGTCCATGCCGAAGCCGAACTCTGGGCGAAGCTGTCAAGCCGCTTTTGAGACTCCGCTCGTTTCGGCTCGTTGCTGCTGCGCATCGCTGCGCTTCTCGACATCTCGCCCTCGCCCTCGCCCTCCCTCCTAAGAGACGCCTCCGTTGCCATGCGTTCGATCGGCTCTCCCTCGTACCGCTTCTCGCGCGCTTCGATTCCTGCGCCCGCAACCTCCGAACAGAGAATGAGGACACCCTCGGATCTGTCGCATCTCCGCCGCTTTGCGGACACCAAGGCTCCGCTCCCAATGCCTTCATTATGCCAAGGCACTCGCTCCGAACCGCCCTGCATATGCGTGAGCCTCTGGTCCTGCATGAAAGCAGGTGACGCGATCACCTAGAGTGGGGCAACCCAATCCATGAGAAAACTTCTGCTCCTCAGCCTCCTTTTGCACCACAGAAAGCGATTTATATAGAGCCCTCACTCCGACGACCTCTTCTGCTCCCTTTCCCTCACCCGAACAAAGTCCTCCAAACTCTGCTTACTTCCATCATCCCACGCATCCTTCGTAGCATTCCTTGCTTCTCGTAACCTCTCTTACACCCCATGTTTGCACCCCGTATCGCCCTTCGCACAGCTATGGTCAACACCCCGCTCCTTGCCCGCGCCTTCTCCATCTCTGCCAACCCCTTCGTGTCCCCTACGCTACACCAGCCTTGAATCCAACTGGATCCTGGCTGAATACTCCCCCAAGCAAACAGCCAGGTCGATTCCAACGTCTCCCTTGCTTACCTTTCTTTTGAATTCTTCACCGTTGCGCCCATCGCCATGCTCAACATCGGCGCCACCGAAGTCGCCGTGCTTCCGCGCCACGGTCACAGCGACCAGGCTGATGTGGACAACTGCCTCAAATCGGACTCGAAGCTCAGCTCTCCTTCCATCCAAGCCGGCAGTGATGGAGACATGCCTCGCCATGCCGACCCTGAGGCCTCTGTCCTGGAACAAGCAGCGCCTTCCCGTTTGATGCGCGCCAAGCATGCGCTGGCCAGCTCGCCATTCGGTCGTCTCTTTGGCATGAGGACCGCGCTCGACCATACCAAAAAGGCGGCTGCTCTCGCAAAGGAAGAGGCGGTCCTCACTGCCCTCGCCCACTGGTCGACCCGGCCCTTGCAGGAGTCCTTCGCCGACCTCTCCAGCTCTCCTCAAGGCATCGATACCAAAGCTGCTGCGAACAGGCTGAAACTCGACGGCCCCAACCAGGTCGCCAGCTCTCAGAAGCAGCCCTGGTGGAGACTCCTGATCAGCAACATTGTCAACCCTTTCAACGTCATCCTCACCATCCTCGCCGTCGTCGCCATCTCCACTGATGACCACTCCACCTTCGCCATCCTCATGCTCATGGTCGTGCTCAGCGTCTCGCTCCGCTTCATCCAGGAACACAAGTCCGCCAACAAGGTCTATGCCCTCAAGTCGCTCATCGACAGCTCCTGCCTCGTCCTCGGCAGGGACTCAGGCGAAGAACGGAAGCCCGTCAAGCTCGATCGATCTCAGCTGGTTGTTGGCGATGTGGTCCGCGTGGCCACCGGCTCTGTCGTCCCTGCAGACTGCATCGTCATTGCGTCCAAGATGCTCACTGTCTCCCAGAGCTCCTTGAACGGCGAAGGCCTGCCCGTGGAAAAGTATGCCCTGGACACCACTTCTACCGCCACCATCTCCGCTGCTCTCGACTCCACGGGCACGTCGGCCACCATGGATCGACCCAACCTCCTCTTCATGGGCACCCACGTCGTCTCTGGTCATGCGGATGCACTCGTCGTCGCCACGGGCGACCGTACCTACGTCGGCACCGTCGCACGTGTCTCGGACGACTCGCAGGTGCAGAACGACTTCCAACGCGGCATCTCGCACATCTCGATGCTTCTGCTGGCGTTCATGTTGGTCATGGCTCCCACCGTGCTTGTCATCGACGGCTTTGTCACCAAGGACTGGAAGAACGCCGCCATCTTCTGCCTTTCCGTCGCCGTTGGTCTCGTTCCAGAGATGCTACCCATGGTCACTACCGCCAACCTCGCTCGCGGCGCCATCCTTGTTGCAAAGAAAAAGGCGATCGTCAAGAAGCTAGATGCGGTCCAGCTGTTGGGTGCCATCGATGTGCTGTGCAGCGACAAAACGGGTACCCTCACCGAGGACCATGTTACCGTCGCTTCGACCTGCGCTCCGGACGGCAAGATCTGCGATGCGCCGGTACACCTCGCCTACCTCAACGCCAAGCTGCAGACGTCCGAGTTTATCAACAACATCGACAATGCCATCCTGTCGCACGTGGAAGACTCGCCGCTCGCGACTCGGCTGCTGGAGGGCAAGACCAAGGTGGCCGATGTTCCCTTTGACTTCTACCGCCGCGTTGTGTCGGTGGTCTACAGCGACGAACAGGGGGATGCGGACAAGCTGCATCTGGTGTGCAAGGGTGCTGCCGAAGAGGTGGTTCGTCGATGCACCCACGTTCGTCTTGGCTCGGCGTTGGACAAGATCGACGTGGATGCATGCACTGCTCGCATTGATGCCATTGCCAAGCGCGGCGAGCGCGTGATTGCGGTTGCGTCGCGACGCGTCGCTCGCTCGCTGGTGATCAACGGTGTCGCGACACCCGAGCTGGAAGCCGAGATGGTCCTCGAGGGGTTCGTATCGATCCTGGACCCGCCGAAGCCCGATGCGAAGAATGCGATTGCGCAGCTGCGCGAGCTGGGCTTGCAGACTAAAGTGCTCACGGGCGATGCGCTGCCCACGGCTCGACGGGTGTGCGAGATCCTCAATCTGATTCCCGGGACCCCAGGAGCAAGCGAGCTCTGCATCACCGGTGTTGAGCTATCGCAGCTGGGGCCGGTTGCATTTGCACGTGCCGTGGAGCACAAGGTGGTATTTGCCAAGCTCACGCCGATCCAGAAGCTCGAGGTGGTGCGAGCACTTCGTGCGCAGGGCCACCAGGTTGCTTTTCTTGGCGATGGCGTCAACGATGGTCCGGCCCTGCGGGGGGCTAGTTGCGGGATCTCGGTCAACACCGGGTGCGACATTGCAAAGGATGCAGCCGACGTTATTCTCACCCAGAAGAACCTCGATGTGATTCGGGATGCGGTGATCGTCGGACGTGTGTCGTTCATCAACACGCTCAAGTACATCAAGATGGCGGCCTCGTCCAACTTTGGCAATGTCTTTTCCGTCACGGTTGCTGCGTCGTGGCTGCCCTTTCTGCCGATGAGTCCAACGCAGTTGCTGACGCAGAACCTGCTGTACGACATTTCCCAGGCCTCGATTCCGTGGGACAATGTGGACGAGGAGATGATCCGGGCTCCAGTTAGTTGGTCCACGAAGAGCATGCTCAGGTTCATGCTGTGCATCGGACCGCTTTCGTCGCCATTTGACATTCTTACGTTCGTTGTCAACTGGTTCTACTTTGGTCTGCGCAACGCCAACGATGCTGATCAGGTGGCGAGGTTTCAGACGCACTGGTTTCTCGAGGGTTGTCTGACCCAGGTGGCTATCGTTCACGTGCTGCGCACCGCCAAGTTTCCCTTTGCCCAGAGCCGTGCCAGCTGGATGGTGTGTCTCACCACCGCCCTCATCGCTGCGGTCTCGATGGTCGCCCCGTACCTGCCGTTCCTCCGAAACGCCCTGCAGATGACCTTGCCAGACCCTATGTTTTATGCTTTCCTCTTCCCCTACCTCGTGGCGTATGTCCTCATCGTCCAGGTAGCAAAGGTGGTCTACCTCCGCTTCAACCGCATCTGGCTCTGACTCAACGCACTGTCTTTTCAGCGTCGTAAAGAGCTTTTCAAAGCGGCCGCCTCAACGTAGCCGCGCTCGTTCAATTGCTGGGATCGTGGCTTCCGCCGTCTTTCAGCTCCCCTAGACTCGTGTCCCCCTTCTTTCCGTTCGCGTTCCCAAAGACCCCCCAGCTCCCGTTTTCACACCCTTGCCCGTAGAAAAAAAAGTGTCCGAAAAAAGAAATTGAAAAAAATCCCCCCGAAAATGATCCTGGCACCAGATCGTCTGAATCGGCCCTCAAGGCGGCATCGGGAGCCGATGGGACTTTCCATTCGATTTTTCGGCCCACCAGCAAGGCGGATCGGCTTTTGCCGGGCTATCGAGATGGGATCAAGCTCCGTTCGCACACACCAGCACTCGCCACACTCCGAGCCATCTTACCAAGACAAAACGAATGCAGATTACTGACGAACGGAACGGGAAACACTGTACAAAAGGACGAACTGTTCTATAGAAGCCTGTCTTGGGGCTCACTTCTTGTTGGATCTTGCGGTGGGGTTCCACTTTTCGAACTTGATGAACTCGCGGAAGTGGCAGAAGATGGACATGAAGCTGACGATGCTGTAGTAGAAGGGCGCCAAGAGACCGAATGCGATGATGCCGAGCGGGTGCGTGAAGTTGGAGCGGTTCTTGAGTGTGATGCAGATGGTGACGAAGAGGCAGATGAGGTTGATGCCGAGGGCCCACATGGCGATCGCAAAGCCGCCAAAGTTGGTGAACCAGGCTTTGAGGCCTTCGTGCGGCAAGGCGAGAACGAGCGAGCTGAGGAGGATGAAGAGAAGCTGCGTGTTGATGTAGAAGTACGCCTCGCGGTAGACGAGGAGTTGGAAGAGACCGAGGCGGGAGCGCCAACCGTTGTCGTCAGAGTAGGCACCTCGACGAACGGCGGGTAGGGCGTGGCGGAAGGCAACCTGCGTCCAGCCTTGCGCCCATCGCATGCGCTGCTTTGTAAGCGCAGGCGCGGTTTCGGGAGCCAGTTCGTACGAGAGCACCTTGAGGTCGTATTCGATGCGTGCACCCGAGATGATGGCTCGCATGGAGCTGTCGATATCCTCGGTCAGCATGTGCTTCTGCATCCCGAGCGTCTTGAGCAACGAGGCGTTCCAGTGTCCATTGGATCCACCGAAGAATCCGTACCCCTGCACCTCGGCACGTCCGCTGTGCATCACGCCGTAGATCATGTCGAACTCGGCAGCCACAAGCGGGGTCAACCACGTCTCGTCGTAGTTGTATACGCAGCATCGACCCTGAATGATATCAATACCACCCTGCAAGAATCGTCGAGCCACCCAACGCAGTGCGTTCGGATCCGGGTAGTGGTCCGTGTCGTAGAGCGTGATGATATCGCACTTGAAGTCGAGCGAGAGGTAGTGGTTGATGTTGTCCGCCTTGGACGTCGAGTTGGGCACCTTGATCACGCGCAGTCGGGCGTGCGACTTTTCGAGCTCGCGCAACTCGCTCTCCACCGGCTCGATCGGCTTGGGCGTGTTGTAGACCAGATTGATCATGAGCTTGTCGGCGGGATAGTTGATCTCGCGCAGTGCGTAGCGCAGCTGACGCATGATAATGTCCTTTTCGTTGGGCAGGTAGGCCACCAGAACCACGTCGATCCTCGGCCACTGCTTACCGCCCTCGGTCTCGCCCCATCCCTCCTTGGCTGCCTTGCGGAACGCCCGGCGCGCCTTGACAGAGGGACGCACCGACTGCAGCGCCTCGGTCGATACCGAAAGCGCCGTGAGCGTCTGCAGCACCAGGTAGATGTAGAACAGCACCGCCTGCAGGATCGGCGGGATCACAATGTAGAAGAAGAAGCTGATCACGCAGTAGCTCGCCAGCAGGATCATCGGCGTCCACCCGTACACGAAGGCGGACAGCTTGGCCATCTGGCCGCCCATGCCGACCGACGAACCCATCGTGGTGAATGCGACCGGCGCGAAAGACGTTGAGCAGAGGTGTAGTGCGGTGGAGGTCTTGCGATAGTGATAGGAGGAGTTTGAGGTGGTCACCAGCAACGAGGGTATACTTTGTCGTAGGAAGGATGGAAAGGAGGCAATGCAAACGACCAAGGATGTTCCAAAATGTTGCTGCACGGGGTGCAGGGGTTCCCAACAGCAATCTGCAGCCCGGAAGAGTGCCGAGCTAGTGATTTCCTATTCGCCCTAGCAGCCCAAAGTGGAGTTCGCCCCATCCGAAGGCGGAGCGGGCGATTGAAAGCAGATGCGGGCACAGACCTCACACACAGCTCTAAGCGGGCAATCATGAGGCAGCACAATCGTCCTCTCTCATCAGTGCCTGTGCGCCAGAGACACGCCAGACGGCTGCCGGCGAATACATGCAAAACAAGAATAGGGACACAGCTTGAAACTGTGTTGCAAACCGTTCGCCATGCAAAGGCCAGTCTCGCGAATGCAGTGCTTGCGTCAACCGATATACGGTCTTGTCGAGAGCCAAAGCGAGATTTTTTTTTTTGGCTCTGACGCCAGGGGCGGCGCTCGATGTGAGCACAAGCACGAGCACCGACCCGAGCGGCTCAGGCGAACCCTTTTTCGTTTGGCCGGGCGGGGCATCTGGCACACTTTGGCAGGCGGGGCGTGAAGGCAGGGCGCGGGCGTCGTGCTGCGAGATGAGCCAGATCAGCCCACCGATTCCGCCTCCGCCTCTGGCGCCGCTTGAGCCCAAAAAAAGGGTGGTGGGCAACGACGCCGAACGGCGAGACAACAAACACGGATGTGACACAGGTGTGCTTGTGTTTCAACGCGTGGAAGCACAGCATCGGACTCCTTCGTACTGTATTGACGGGAGGGGGTGGGCCAGCAGATGGGCTGCCATCGGATGGCGGCAGCCGACGCAGGCATTGGTCACCTATGTCTCGCCAAATCGCCTTCTCGGAAGTCCTCGGTGCGGCTCGTTTGCATGCCGATACCCAGAATCCATATCCATAAACAAATAAAATTTTAAGCTCACGCGGCAAGCGTAAGTCTAAGCGCGTCGATCGAAAGACGCTGCCAAGTCGACGCTCGCCTTGAGCTGCGTCGGTACAATGGGCTAGGTGAAGAGCAGACGCGTCATGATCTGCGTCGGTGTCAATGGCATGCGCACGCTGCGTCAGTCGTTCGAAACAGATTAAAAATAAAAATAGTCGACGGGTCTTTGCGGTATCCGAGACACTCTGCAACGCCATGAGGTTCGAGCAAACCGCTGAGCCGCCAGCACCCGGGACTGTCGAGCATCGGCCCACGAGCATGCAGCGCTTTCATTCTCTTGCATGCGGTGACTGAATCGATCTCACTGTGCTTTGTAGACGTCAAAAATAGGTGAGGTGGGTGCGAAGGCGCCCCTGCAACGTGAACAGCCTAAGCAGGTGCACAGCTGCACAGCTCAGCACGCCCTCTTTGCCGATGCCTGGCGGTGCAGTCGAGTGAACTCACCCTGGAAACCGTCAGGCCCCCTCGTGCTCTGTGCGGCGCATTGCCGGACTTCGGTTGCTTTCGCAGCAAGGTCCTTCGGAGCGGACAGCCTTGAGCGGGGCTCTCTGTGAAACTCAGTGCCGTCATGTCGCTGTCGTGAGCCTGCCAACCGTACTGCCACAACGGCAGTGTATAGCCATCTGACTGGCAGCCCAGTCTCTCCCGCCCTCTCAATATTGAACTCCCCCGACTGTGCTGGGCTCCACCGTCGGCATCTTTCAATCGTCCCTTGACTAGCCGCGCTCCCCCAACGTTTGGACCGCCTGAAACACCTTCGGCCATCTAGTGTCGCGTAGACACGCTCGACTCTTGCACAACCTTGGCCCGTCCCGAGGTCAGACCTTGTATCGGCAAGTTCTTCTCTTGCCCGTTCGAGACAACGAAACCTCGCTCACCAGTGGCCTTGCCCACATCAGTGCCTCCACTCCAGAAAGATTCCTGCGTTCCACACCGCTCCTGCCAAGTCCTCCGCTGTCGTTGCCCACGCTTGCAGCCGTCTTTCTCGTTGCATCTTCCATCCTTGGATTCGTGGACCAACAAACGTTCTTGCTTCATCTCTTCATCCATCATCCCATCCCGCCACTCAACGCAAGATTTCCATCACACCCCATCTCTGGCGCACACCTCATCTCGGATCGGGTCACTCAGGCGCATCGACGGGTCGGTCTCGGCGCAGTATAGCAGCATGGTCGTCTTGCCAAGAAGCGTACCAGCAACGCTGGTAGCCTCGGTGCTTGTCTTGGCCGCATCTACCCTGCCAGCTGCCCAGGCCGCATGCGAGTGTGGCTACAGAGATCCACTCACAGATGCGGTGTGGACAGACCGAGCCATCACCTACTTCAACGAGTCCGGCCTCAACGATGTCGTGACCAACCCCGCCGTGTCTCCGCGCATGTACGGCGGCGATACTGCCGGAGAGACGGGCGACGGACAGCAGGCATGGTCGCTCGTTGGCAACCTGCTCAACAAGTGGGAGAACAGCTTCGACGCCACATACCGCAGCGCCGTGAGCTACAACAACACTTTCCTCGACGACAATGCCTTGGCGCTCCAGGTTTCGCCTGCCGAGCTCACACACCGCATTGTCAACGGCTCTCAAATTGTCACCCGCAGGCGCGACATCCTCTACGGCTCCTTCCGTGCCCAAGTGGAGCCTGCCGTCTCGCGAGGTCGCGGTGCGGCGTTCAAGTTCAGCGCCGCCTACAACGACTCCGAGACGGTCAACATTGGCATCTTTACATCCGACGACCCTGCCAATTCGACGCTGCAATGGTCGTACTCTACCTATGGCCAGGGCGACGAGCCCGTCAAGCTCAACGTCTCGTCGCTCGGAACCGAGGACTACCTCGAGCACCGCTTCGACTGGCAGCCCGAGATGATCCAGTGGCGCAATGCAGCCTCCAACGAGAGCGCCAACTTCCACTCGGTGCAGAAGGGCGTCAACGCCACGCGCATCCCGCTCACGCCCATGCCGATCAGCTTCCAGGCGTGGGCCAACGGAGAACACTCGCAGTCGCAGGGCCCGCCGCTTCGCCAGCCGCTGCTGACGCACGTGCGCTACGCGCGCTTCTTCTTCAACTCGAGCCTCGAAGAGCGCCAGTCGCAGTTCGACTCTCAGTGCTCCGCAGTTGCCTCGAACGCCGACGCCATCTGCAGCACCGACGACTTTACGCTGCGTGACAGCACGGCCTTCGACCTGGCTGCGCTCAACAAGATCAAGCCTGCCAAGAAGCCGTTCCATGCGCCGCTGTACGCTGTCATTGTCATCTCGATCGCTTCGGGCATCTTTATCATGACCATCGCTCACGGTCTCGTCGTGCGCTCCATCAAGGCCAAGGACAAGAAGCGCGCTGCCGCCGTCGCTGCGCAGGAAAAGGCACGAGAGGCTTCGAGTGCCGCCTCTACCACGTCGTCGGACGAGCGATCGTTTGGATTCGTGCCGCCCCCTGCCATCGCATCGCTGGCCACGAGCGGCTCGTTCAGCGACACGCCGCCGCACACCCCCGTGGACGCCGAGAGCATCGATGACAAGGCGCACCTCTTCGGCGCCTCTTCCACTGGCACGCCCGGCACGATTAGCCCGATCAACGGCGCATCAACCCTTGCCACTCAGCCTGTTCAGCTGTGGACCTCACCTGATCTGGTGTACGGTTCTGACTCGGACTCGGACGATTCCAGCGATGAAGACGACAACTCGGATGCGCGCTCGTACAGCAGCGTCTTGGAGCTCGAGGCGGCGCCCAAGGGACTTCTTCCTCGCTACGGCTCCGTGACCAGCCTCAAGGCACCCGGCGCACTCAGCGGGACCGCCACGCCGGTGCTCGCAGGCGGCGCCGACACGCCGAGGTGGATCGAAGACATGAAGCGCGCCCAGGCGCTTCCGTACGTGGCGCCTGGCTTCGCTGCGGATCAGCGCTCCTCGGTCTACTCGCACAGCTTGTCGGGTCACAAGGACGTCCCGAGTGGAAGCACCAGTCAAGATGGCAACTACGACGAGGTGGAGCTGGTAGGAGACGAACACGATGCCAAGGGCTACTCGCACTCGCGCGAGTCGTCGTACTCTGGCTACCCGCCCGTGGCCTCGAGCGTAGGTCACTCGACGCACATGACGCACGACCAGCTGCTGGGCATGCAGCATCTGCGCAACGGCTCGTTCTCGTCCGAACGCAGCGGACTGGCACCTGCGTCGATGTACGACTTCCAGCACGAAGGCACTTCGCGGGCCGGCTCGATTTACGAGGGCTACGGCTCCGAGGCGCACGAGGCGTTCCAGCGTCCGCAGATCATCCAGTGGCAGCAGCGAGACCTGAACGCTGCCGACGGCGAGGTGGGTGCGCTTGCCAAGCCCGAGCTGGGAGATGCTGTGGGACGCAAGGCTCGCGACGGCACCAAGGGCACGGTCAAGCCGCCCGAGTCGATGGTGCAGGCGTGTGTGCGTCGCGTGAACGAGCTGCTCTTCATCAAGGGCACGACGCAGCTCACCTCGACGGGCGCGCGTAGGATCGACTACCTGGACGGCATGCGAGGATTTGCGTGCTTCCTGGTGTCGTTCCACCACTTTATGCTCATCTACTACTTTGGCATCACCACGCCCAATGCGCCGCACCACTATCCGCGCTTCGAGTTCTGGTTCCGCTCGCTCATCGGTCCGATCGTCGTCAACCAAGGTTTGAAGCTGGGCATCTTCTTCATGCTGCCCTCGCGTACGATGACCAACCGATACTTGCTCAAGGGTGGCCTGCAGAGTATGGCGGATGCGACGGTGCGACGTATCCCGCGTCTGGCGCTGCCGGTGGCGGGAGCGGTGCTGGCCAACTACATGCTGATGGACATCGGTGCGTTCAAGTGGGTGCCGCGACTGGCGTCGAGGACGTGGTCGACGTGGTCGTACTGGCAGAACTTTGACAACGTCATGGTTTTCCTCGATGCATTCATCTCGCTGTGGTGGTCGTCTCCGCCCGTGCAGCCTGCGCTGGTGACGGGCTATGCCACGGGTGTGTTGTGGACGATCCCGGTGATCGTGCAGGGTACGTGGACGTGCATGATCTGCGCGCTGATTGCGCACGAGATCAAGAACGCCTACAAGCGCTTCTCGTTCTACGCGCTGTGCATCGGGCTCAGCTGGTACGCCAACACTTGGGATCTCTTCTTCATGGCCGGTCTGGTGGTGGCGGATCTGGACAGCAAGCTCAACTACCAGGCTCGGGCCAAGAAGGGCTTCCCCATCGTTCCAGGCTTCTTGCGACGTGCGCTGCACCTGCCCGAAAAGGTGGACAAGCTGCGTGTGCATGGTCAGGTGTTTGCCTGGGTGCTCTTCCTGGCCGCCTGGACGCAGCAGTACCTCTCGCAGATCCCGACCTCGCCGGGAGTGGGATTCGACAACAAGGAGTACGAGCTGCATCCGGACTGGTCGCGCGAGCAGCCGCATGCGTGGTTGGAAAACACGAGCATCAGCTACACGGATCCGCGCGTGGCGTCGTGGGTGCTGTCGTTTTCGTTCTTCCTGCTGACGGATCTGTCGGATCTGCTGCGCGCCTTCTTCAGGCTGCGTGTGTGGTCGTACATCGGTCGCCACGCGTTTGCCGTCTTCCTGATGCACGGTGTGGTGTGGTGGACGTGGTCCGCATGGCTCTGCCTCACCATGCTGGCGGCTGGTGCGCCGTACTGGGCGACGATCCTGGTCGTGTTCGTGACGTCGTATGCGATGCTCATGCTCGTCTGCGAGTGCTTCACTGCAACGTTCGACTACTGGGGCGGCCTCATCTCCAAGGCCGTCTGGCGCGCCACCTCGGGTGGTCTGGGCAGGAAGGACTAAGGTTGCCAAAAGTGCTCGTTTCGTCACCGTCTCGGTTCTCTCTCCGTCTATCTCTCTTTCGTTAATTCTCTAGCTTCGCATCGTTTTCGCACTACTTAGATCACATACGCTCTCTCATTCGTAACATTGGACATCTGCTGTAGCTTGCTTGCGCGTTTGCGTTTGCGTTTGCGTTTGCGTTTCTTTCTTGTTTTGTCGGTAGGGGATGGAAGGATCCTCGACTCCGGGATGTCATGGAGAGGAAGGCCTCATTCCATACCAGCCGGGTCGTGTTGCTTCGCATCGTTTCGCTCGCACTGAGATCACGTACGCTCTCTCATTAGTTACATCGAACATCAGTGTCGTTGCTTCGAGCATCGGTGTGGGCGTGCTTGCCTGCTTTCGCCACTTAGATTGCATACAATCTCTCGTTCGTGACATCGGACATTCGTGACTGCTTGCTTGCTTGCTCGCGCTTAGATCACATACGCTCTCTGGTTGGTGACATTGAACGTCTGCTACTGCTTGCTTGCTGGTGGTGTGTGGGCAGCAAGCGACTCGAGGGGATGTGGGGCCGAAATTTTCTATTTGTTAGACCGAACGATCATTTTTTTGGATGTGAGATCTCGAATCCATTCCGGCACAGAGCGGCGCGTGGCTTCGACCGGGAGCGCAACGTGGAGGCTTTCGAGGCTTTCGGTTGCCGGCCGAAGATGCACGCACCGGAGCCTCCTCGGAGCTGAGCACAGACCCTCGCACCGTCCTGCTCGCTCACCACCGTCCCACTCTCCACCACACCTCGACAACACAGGCTTGACTCTCAGCCACTTCTACGCGCTCGTTACAAAGCTGGCAGACTGCGGTGCAACGCCACTACAAGACCTAGAATGCGCTGACGCGATCCCGGCAACATCGTCGTCCTCACCATGGCCCCTTCGAGTCGACGCTGGGCTGTTCGCAGCAGAGCACTGCTCGCACTGCTGGTCGCAGGCTGCGTCATCTCTGTGCTGCAATCTGCGCACGCCGAACAGGTTCCCCTTGTGCTGACAACAGACTCCGCGGCTGCATCACCTAGCACGAGCGACGCCGCCACCGCCAACTACACGCCACAGCAGGCATACGAGGAAGCACTCCGTCTCCTTCGCGGTACCATCAGGATCAAGCCGCTACGCACAAAGGTTGGCAAGAGTGCGCCAACGCAGTCCAATGCTGCCGAGGCTTCAAGCTCATCGGGCTCGGCCGGCTCGTCTGATGCGGCGGCATCCATCTCTACCTCGCTGCGACGATGGATTCAGGAGATCTTTGATGCCGCTACGGATTCGATCTCTGATACGAGCCCAGCCAAAATCCAAAGCAGGATCCAAGGTGTCAGCTCATCCAAAGGCGACGGCGCGCATCGCTGGCAGGGTCCTCCGCTCGGCGCGTCACAGTACGAATCGCAATGGCCCAGTGCTCGCACGCTCACGCTCTGGCCCGACTGGGAGACGCTGCCAGAAGGCACGGCGCCCATCAGCCCTTCCGAGAGCGTATGGGAGAGCATCATGTTTGGACCCTTCGTCGGCGGGTCCAAGGCGCCTTCTGACCTCGGCCTGTCCGAATCGTCGTCCTCCGCCCACGGTGAGGATCAACAGGCCGGCAGTCCAGATCGCAGCCAGGCAGTCGCACTTCTGACCCGCGCGGGTTGGGGTCGTGAAAGCGTCGACTGGGAATACGAAGCCTATTCGCCTGCTGCTCGCGACGCATCCGGCTTGCTCCGATCGACTGCTGGCGGAGAGACGACACCTGCACTAGCCGACGCACTCTGGGTGCTTGCCGAGCATTCGCTGTGGGGCACGCATGGCAGCCGTCCCAACCTCGCTCGTGCGCGTGCATGCTACCAGCGTCTGGTGGATTGGGGCCACGACCGTAGCGGTCTGTCTGCCGCAGGCAACGCCAGCGCGCACGCGCGTCTGGCCTTCCTCGAGGGCAGTGGCTGGGAGTCGACGGTACGCGGCGACTGGAAGCCGCTCTCGGACCAGCTCGGCTCGTGGTCGACGTTCACGGCGTCTCCGTCTGCCGACGACGTGCGAGCAGCCTGGAAGCGCAGACGTGAGCTCTTCGCCCAGCTCAAGCAGGACGATGGTCAGCGACAGGCCAAAGCCGTGCTGCACTATACGCTCGCTGCCAATGCAGGTCATGCACCCTCCCAGATGGCGCTCGGCTTCCGCTACAAGGCGGGCATCGGCGTCGCACCCTCGTGCTGGGCCGCGCTGGATCTGTACGAGAAGGCGGCCCTCGACACGTACACGCGCTTTCAGCAGGGTCCACCTGGCGGACTCACTCTCCCCTACACCAAGATCCGCGTCTCGGACCTGGACGGCGGCGCGTACGGACCAGGAGCGTCGGTCGCCTCGACTGGGTATGCCGCCATGAAGCCGGCGGTGCAGGCGGCGCTGAATCGCCAGCCCGGCTCGGCACGCGACCCGTCGGCGCTGGAAGACTTGCTCGAGTACCACGTGTATCTTGCCGAGCACGGCGACGTCAAGAGCATGCTCACCATCGCGCAGGTGTACTACCACGGCAGCATCTACTCGTCGGGCGATGCGGCGGGTGCGGTGCGTCGCGACTACCGGCGCGCGCTCCAGTGGCTCTTGCGCGTGGCCAAGGAGGTGTGGCCGCGCAAGGCGGGCGATGTGGGTCGAGGCGGGCCCACGGGCTACACGGCCAAGCCAGGCGACAAGGGCGAGGATGTGCAGCTCAAGGCGGACGACGGCCTGCTCGCGCACGCCGGCACGGCGGCGGGCCTGATCGGCAAGATGTATCTGCGCGGCGAGGGGGTCAAGCAGGACTTTGCACGCGCCTGGGTGTGGTTCTCGCGCGGCCAGACCACGGGAGACGCCGAGTCGTACAACGGCCTCGGCGTCATGCTGCGCGACGGTCTGGGCACGCCCGTCGACATGGCCACCGCCGTATCGTACTTTGAGGCAGCCGCCAAGGTGCGCCACAGCGGCGCCAACGTGAACCTCGCCAAGATCCACATGGACATGGACGATGTGGACAGCGCGATCAAGAGCCTCACGCTGGCCGTGTTTGGCGAGAGCCGGTTTGAGGCGGTGTATCTGCTGGCGAGGATCAATGCGCAGATGGCGCGCAAGGCGCAGTCGAACGAGCAGTGCCGCGCGGCGCTGGCGGGGTACAAGGAGACGGCGGAGCGGGGCGATTGGTCGACGCGCATCTCGCACAAGGCTGAGCACGCGTGGCGTCGCGGGGAGCGGCAAAAGGCGCTGCTGAGCTGGGCGCTGGCGGGCGATATGGGCTACGAGTCGGCGCAGAACAACGTGGCGTACCTGCTGGACCGGGCGCACTCGCGCACGCGCCTGCTCGAGCTGCATCCTTCGCCCGACGAGCGCGCCAACTTTACGGATCGGCTGGCGCTGGTGCACTGGACGCGGTCTGCGGCGCAGGCGAATGTGGATGCGATGGTCAAGATGGGCGACTACTACTTCCACGGCATCGGGACGGGCAATCCGGGCCAGCCGGCGTACGAGAAGGCTGCGGCGTGCTACTCTGCCGCTGCGGACCGCGGAGTGTCGGCGCTTGCCTACTGGAACCTGGGCTGGATGTACGAGAATGGCATCGGGGTCGTGAGGCAGGACTTTCACCTGGCCAAGCGGTACTACGACATGGCGGTGGAGACCAACGACGAGGCGTACCTGCCCGTGGCGTTGAGTCTGGTCAAGCTGCACATCCGCGCGCTGTGGGCGGCAGCATTCCGATCAGACTCGAGCCAGAGCGCCATCTCGCTTCTCTCATCGTACACGTCGACGGAACGTTCGAATGCAGCGTATACCGAGGCGGACGAGCATGCAGCAGCGACACAAAGACAGGCCGAGGAAAAGCAGCACCGCATCGCCCAAGAGCAAGGGGGCGGATACGGCGATCCGAACGAGCCCGAGACATGGGCCGCCAGGGACGACGAGACGGACGAGGATCTAGACGACATGATCGAGTCCGGCCTGCTCATCCTGGCGCTGGGTGCACTCGCGTATCTTGCCTACATGCGCCAGAACGTCCAGCTGCAGCTGCAGCGCGAGCGGCGTCAACAGACAGACGACCAGCCGCCCCAGCCTCCCGACGACGCAGACCACGGTGGCGCGCAAGCCGAACCGCGAGCGCATCAGCCGAATCCATGGGCCCCGCTCGGCGACGAGCCCAATGCCGCCGCCAACTTGATAGCCGGGCTGTAGATGCACATGCGAGCATGCGAGCATATTTTGCTACTCATGCCCTGGCCTCGATCTAACAAACTCGAAATTTGACCACCTTGCGAGAGCCGCATGGATATGTGTGGAGGAAGGCGTGGGAGAGCAGTGTGGTGCCGGCCTCGAGCAGCAGCTGAGCTTTTGGTGGACCCTGGCAGGAATTTTTTCAGGCCGCCTCCCAAAATTCTTGGAAAAGCGCAACACTCGGGAGTCGGAGGGAGCGGTCAAAGCAGCCAAGTGAGAAGGCAAAGGAGCCGCGCAAAAATTTCGCAGCGCCACTCCGAGACAGCTGAGAAGTCCACTCGACCGGTCCCACCTTCTTCACCACACCACCATATTCCCCCTTTGCTAACTGCCCATCATGGCGACTGCATCGGCTGCCCAGTCGGGCAAGTCCAAGAAGCTCTCGCGAGAGCAGCAGCGTCGCAAGGCCGACAAGAAGGCGGGCAAGATCCGCAAGGTCCAGCTCGACGCCAGCGGCAGCCTCGCGAGTGCCAAGCAGAAGACGCTCAAGCAGATCAACAAGAACGCCGAAAAGGTCACCACGCGCTTTCGATACGCATCCTTCAACCAGCGCCTCCAGGATGTTCATCTCGCACCCGCCGCGATCAGCGCCAGCACCAGCTATCGACCCTACGCAGGCCTCGATGCTCCCCTCGCCTCGTCCTCTTCCTCGGCATCGGCCGCGCGTCTGCAGCCCATAGATGCGCTCGACGAAGAGCTGCTCGACATCGACGACCAAGATGCTTCCTCCTCGCTGCATGCTCGCACCTCGGTTTCGCACGCTCTCCAGGCGTGGACCGACCTCAACCTCTCCAACGCATTCGTCGACCTCTACCGCCAGCTCAACCCCATCGTGCAGTCGCTGCCCCAGCTCATCCACCATCGCTCGTCCATCGCCAGCATCCTCGCAGCAGCACTCTCATCGCCCAGCCAGTGGCTCGCTTGGGATGCAGCACTCGACCTCCTCCCAAGACTCGCAAAGGATCTCGGCTCCGAGTTCCTCCCCATCTACCCGTCCATGCTCAAGAGCGCCGTCCACGTCACCACCACCACCAAGGACACCACCAACGGAGACGAACGCGCCGCCGCCAACCTCGTCGAGCGCGCATTCCAGTCGTCCGCATGGATCCTCAAGGCCGTCAGCCCCTTCATCGTCAGCAAAGAAAAGGGTGCGCCAGTCCAGGACGATGCACTCAACGAGAGCGCTGATGGTGGCGACATTGTCATGGTTGAAGAGGACGTCGAAGAAGACGAGGTCGACGAGAGGACGCAGCGCCTCATCGACACGTGGACCGTCATCCGCCCCTACCTCGGCTGGAAGCGCATCGATGTGAAGGAAGCACATCCGTCAGCTCCCCATGCAGAAGAAGAAGAAAGCGACGATGAGGACACCGAGGCGCAGGAGCCAGAGAAGGACGACGATGCCACTGCAGACAAGGCTGCTCAAGCCGACGAGACGTTCAGAAACACCAACGTGCATCGCATCTCGCCCTTCACCCGACGATTCGCCTCCGAGGCATTCGCCCATCTGCTCCGCAAGACGCGCGGTCGACAGCTGCACAACATCACCTCGCTCATCGTCTCGGACCTCGAGACCATGCTCCACGACGAGGACCGCCACATCCACTTCCGCAGACAGCCGTCTCGCCGACCCTCGGTGCGCTTCTCCAGGGGCATTGCCGGCATCTGGGTCGAGGGCTGCAAGTCGCTCGACCGTCGTCTGCACTCCAAGTGCACCTCGCTGCTCAGCGTGCTCCTCCGCCCGTCACGTGCGGCCCCCAACGCGTCGGTGGCAAAGTACCGCCATCTCACCCGCCTCATCCTTGGTCGTCTCACCATTACGGCGCTCAACCACCACTGCAACGCCAACCACTTTGCACCCGTGCTCGAGTTTGTCTCGGGCCTCGTCGAGACCAATCACGCACGCTTGCTCGAGCAGAACGACGGAGCGCAGCATGTTGCGCACCTCACCGAGTCCGTCGAGTGGCTGGCGTGCGCCGTGGGTGTGCGCAAGGGAACACGCGTCGCAGATGCAGCCAAGCCGGCGCTCTTCGCTCTCCTCCTCCAGCTCTCCGGCTCGTTCCTCCACGACGCAGTCCAGTCGCCACACGGCGCGGCGCTCCAGACCTCCATGGTCTCGCTGCTCGCTTTGGCGCTGCCCATCGGTCGCCTTCAGGACCTGCTCGGTCCCGGCATCAAGATCATCGACGCCCTCGCGCCCGTGCCCTCGGTCGCCAAGGCAAAGCACGGCATCGAGCAGCGTCAGGCGCTCTGGCCCGAGTTCAGCGCGCTCGTCGAAGCCCTGGCTCAGCCGGCGCTCGAGTGGTCCGGCTTCAAGCAGTTCGCTCTGCCCTCCGTGCTCACCTCGACCGCCGAGACGCTCGCCTCCACATCCACCTCGTCGCACAGCAAGGACCAGGCATTCAGCCTGCTCGAGAGACTCGAGAAGCTCGGCCAGCTCGACGACATTCGCACCGCCCCCGCGACCCCTGCGCTTGTCCGCTGGTCCAAGCATGTCGCTGCCGCCATCGAGGAGCGTCTCGCCGAGCTCGTCGAGCGCTTCTGCACCCCAGCAAACGCAGGTGCTTCCAGGGCCAAGCTGGCAAAGTCGAGCGTGCTGGCAGATCAGGTCTCGCTCGAGCCGCTCGTGCCAGCGCTGCGTCTGTCGACCGTTCCGAGGACCGCATCACCTGCCGGCTTCGGCACCAAGATCGCCGAGCTCCTTCTCGACGGCCTCCTCTCCGATCGGTTCTGGGCTCCGCTCGACGAGGTGCGTGCGAGCTTCGACAAGCATATCGTCAACCCTGCCTTGCTCGTCGGGCTGGCTTGCGAGAGTCTCGCCATCCTGCAAGAGCGCAGCGCCGCCAAGGACTTTGAAGCCACAGCCAAGATGATCAAGGACCGCATCGAGGTGGAGCGCGTCGTGCGTTGTGCCTCGTGGCACCGGGGTGCCATGCAAGGTCTCAGCAAGTACCTCGCCTCGTGTCCTGCGCGAACCCGACCCGCGCTGCCGGAGCTCGCAGATGTGCTCGAACCTCTGTCCGAGGCCATCATGTCGTCGGACCCCGTGATCCGTCTGGCGGCGCTCGAGATTCTCGCCCTCGTCGAGACACAGCAGCTGGGCGGCTCGACGGGCTTCATCGACAAGCTCGTCGAGGTCGAGCGCACGCCCCTCTCGGTCGCCTCGATCCGCGATCGCAACGTGCGCTTGCGAAGCGTCGGCCGAGACCTCGGACGCACCGTTGCAGCGTACAAGCCTGCCGACGTGGCAAAGTTCGCCGAGCGCGACGCTCTGGTCATGCGCTACGTGCTCGCCAATCTCAAGATCAACCTGCGACCAGTCTGGGGCGAGGCCATCAAGGCGCTTACGGACATCGTCGATTCTGGCCAACGCGAGCTGGAGAATGCGCTGTTTGGCATTGCGATCACCGAGCTCGAGGCCGGTCGACAGCTGGACAGCGCCGAGATCCGCGCGGTGCCAGAGGCGTGGACGAAACGAAGCGGCGAGGAGGACGACGATGCACCTGGCTCGGTGGACGCTGATGAGGTCGAGCCGGACCGTGTGCTGCGCGACGAAAGTGACGTTGCGGGCATCGACGACGACAAGCAGTTCCAAGACGGCATCCTGCTCGAAAGGCGCAAGGCCGTCCGAAGCTGCATCGAGCACGCGCGCACCGGCGCGGGCCGAAGCGATGGCGCCACGCCCGCGACTAGCACCGCCAAGCTCACCACGACTCTGCAGGCCTGTGTCGAGGCGCAGCGCCCGGACGCCCGGCTGGATCTGGTCAATTACCGTCACCAGATCCTCAAGCTCTTTTGCGAGATCGCGCTCACCGTCGAGCGCAACAACGCGCGCTTCGTGCACATCTTCTTCCGCGACGCCGGACCGCGCAACCACGCAGGTGTGCTTCTCTCGCCGCTCGACGACGAAGCTGACGATGACGACGATGAAGCTGCCGAGGTCGGAGAAGCCGCCAAGAAGGAGCACAAGCCGATCGATCCGGCCGCCATGACCCTGGGCAAGAAGGACCGCCAGGCGCAGCTTACAGCGTATCTCGAGGTGCTGGGCAAGCTCAAGAATCCCAAGGCCCTCTCGCGCTCGACGGAGCTGCATACGTACCTGCTCAGCCTGTGCGCCACTGCCGAGGTGTCGGTGCAGAAGCTGGCGCTCGAGGCGATCCTCACCTGGAAGGACGAGGCGGTTCTGCCGTATGCAAGCAAGCTCAAGGACTTGCTCGAGACGGCCAACTTTAGGGACACGCTCACCACCTTTACGCTTTCGTCCGATACGAACGTCGTGCAGCCGTACCATCGTCCGGTGCTGATGCCGCTCGTCATCAGGCTGCTCTTCGGCGCGCTGCTGTCGAGGCGCGGCAATCGCACCAGCGGTGCGGGACAGAGGTCCCGAAGGGGTGCCGTGCTCGGTGCTCTTGCCGACGTGGGCTCGGAAGAGCTCATGACGCTCGTCGACCTCATGCTCGCGCCGTTCGGAGACCAGGCGACGAAACCAGTGGCAGAGGGCGAGATGTTTGCGTTTGTCTCGCAGCCGCCCGTCACCTCGACGCGCCGCCAGGTGGGATACCTCACGCTGCTCGGCGAGGTGGTCAAGCAGATCGGCGCCAATCTGCTGCCGTACTGGGATCGCCTCATTGGCGTCTCTCTCAACCTCACCTTCCACGCGCACAAGGCCGTCGTGCAGGTGCACAGCGAGAGCAACGAGGGTGTCGCTGCGGAGGTGGCCAAGCCGCTGACGGCTCGCACCTCGCGTGCGCGTCTCGTGCGACAGGCAGGTTACAAGCGCCTGTGCGACTTCTTCGGCAAAGCGCAGCTGGCCGCTGCGTTCCACTGGCATCGCTACCTGCCCGCCATCTTCGCCGAGCTCATCTCTCCCAGGCTCGAGGCGCTGCGCGTCGAGTCGAGCCAGAGCCCGTCGGCGCTGCTGGAGCTGTTCCACGTGTGGTCGGGCCAGACCGAGACGATCCCGCTGCTGGGTACGTACGATGCCAACGTGCTGCCGAGCACGTTTGCCATCCTCGCGGCTCCCAACGTCAAGCCGTCTGCGATCGGCAACGTGCTCGACATCGCCGAACGTGTGCTGGCAGCGGCCTCGGCCGAGACGGATGCAATGGACGTCAGCCAAGATGGCGAGCGCGTGCCCTTGGTCGACCTGCTCGTGCGACCGCATGCGTCGGTGTTCCTCAGCAGCGTCACGCCGCTTATCGAGCAGGCCTCGTCGGCGACTGGGCCTGCAGCTGCTGCCATGGGCCGCGACGACTTGCTGCGTCGCCAGATCTCGCTGCTCGCAGCGCTGTCGCCCTTCGTCACGGAGCCGGCGGACGCAAGCCACCTCGTCACGCTGCTGAGCCCCATGATGCGCAAGTCGAACTTCCTCGTGCCCGAGCGCACCAAGACGGAGCTGCTGGCCATCTTTGAGCGTCTGCTCTCGCTCATCCCCGAGTTCCAGGACAAGCACTCGGACATGTTCCGCAGCACGTTGGGCATGCTCAGCGGACTCTTCTCGCTGCTGCGCTTTGCCGAGTCGCGCAAGACGCTCAGCGCCGCCTTCAACCGGTGCGCCGAGGTGGATCCCGAACTGAGCCGCGTCGCGCAGTGGTGCACGCAGCTCAACGCGCTCAGCAGGAGGAGGGTCGAGGAGCGCGATTTCGATCAGCTCTTTGCGGCCTTTGACTCGATCAACGCGGCGGAGACGCACATCACGCACAAGGAGTGGCAGCCGCTCGTGCACAACTTCCTCTTCCTCATCCTCGACCCCGAGGAGCTGTCGATCCGCAGCAACGCCAACGCCTCGCTTGTCAAGTTCATCGGTCAGACCGCCGCCGAGTGCAGCAATGGCGCGGATGCCGACGCCGAGCTTATGCAGGTCTTCCTGCAGTCCGTCTGGCCTGGATTGAAGAAGGCGGTGCGCAACCGCTCGGAGCTGGTACGAAGGGACGTTCTTGCCGTCATCTCGTCGGCAGCAGAGAACCTGCCTGGCTGCGACGTCATGGCTGAGCTCTCCGGTCTGCTGGGCGGTGGCGATGCCGAGGTCAACTTCTTCAACAACATCCACCACATCCAGCTGCACCGCCGCACGCGCGCCGTCAAGCGGCTGCCCGAACAGGCGGCCAAGGGCGGCATGAAGAGCCGCACGATCAGCGACATCCTCGCACCCGTGCTGGGCCACTTCCTCCTGCCGGGTTCGGTCGAGCTCAACGACCACAACCTCGTCACCGAGGTGATCACCAGCCTCGGTCTGCTCGCAGGCCAGCTCAACTGGGGCCCGTACAATGCGCTGCTGTGGCAGTACCTGCGCCTCGCCAACAAGAAGGGCTCGGCCGAGCGCATCATGGTGCGCGCCGCCATGGCGATCCTGGACAACTTCCACTTTGGCATGGAGGAGGAGACGATCCTCGAGGAGGACGACGAAGAGGCCGACGGCGATGTGGATGCAGACGACGAGGATGCGGACAAGGCTGCTGCCGCCGAGGAGAGGCAGGGCAAGGAGGCCGAACGCGTCAAGATCCTCGATGCCGTGACGACGCGCCTGCTCCCTCGCCTCATGGCGTATCTCGAGCAGAAGGACGAGACGGAAGACTCTACGCGGCTGCCGATCGCTGTGGGTGTGGTGCGCGTCGCCCAGTGTCTGCCCGTCAAGCAGCGCCAGGCGCAGATCTCGAAGCTGCTCAAGACGCTCTCGAACGTTTTCCGAGCCAAGGCGCAGGACACGCGCGACCTGGCGCGCGAGACGGCGTGCAAGGTCATGTCGACGCTCGGCGCGCGCTTCCTGCCCGAGTTGCTGCGCGAGATGCGGCGTGCGCTCATGCGCGGTCCGCAAAAGGCGGTGCTGGCGTTTACGGTGCACTCGGTGCTGACGCATCTGATGACGAGCAAGGACGAGCCGCTCACCTCGCTCGACCAGGGCGCCAAGGAGATCATCGAGATCGCGGTGGAGGACATCTTTGGCGCCACCGCCGACGACCGCGAGTCGATCGGGAGCAAGACGACCTACCGCGAGGTGAAGCACAGCAAGAGCATGGATACCTTTGAGCAGGTCGCGCGCATCGTCACGCCCAACCGCATGGCGGACGTGCTGCAGCCGCTGCGCGACATCCTGCAGCAGACCGAGATGCCCAAGATGGTGCGTCAGGTCGAGGAGTGTCTGCGCCGCATCGCGAGCGGCATCCCGGCCAATCCGCAGTTCGATGCGAACCGCTTCCTGGCGCTGTGCGCGACGCTCGTCAAGCGCGATGCGGTCTTCCTGCAGGCGCGCAAGCCCGAGGCCAGGGCGGCGTCGCGCCACAAGTCGTCGACGCTGTACAACTATGCCGTCTTCCTCAAGCGCAAGGATGTCGAGGAGGGCGCGATGGCGGGCAAGGACCACTACTCGCGCAATGCGCACAAGTTTGTCGCGTTCGGCCTCGAGATGCTCGTCACCTCGCTGCGCCGCGAGCGCTTCGACTTCCAGGACGACGAGGTGCTGGCCAAGCTCAACGGCATGGTCAACATCGTGGGCGAGGCGGCGTATGCCAATGAGTCGTCGGTGCTCGAGCTCGCACTGCGCGCCATCGCGCAGATCGTCAAGGCCCCCGTCTCGCGCGTGGACAAGGCGCTGCCCGTGTTCATCAAGCAGATCTTCGGCATCATCCACCAGTACGGCTCGCCGCAGTCGCAGATCGTCCAGACCGCCTTCCGCACGCTCACGGCGATCCTGCGCGAGTGCAAGAACGCCTCGCTGTCCGAGACGCACCTGAGCGGCCTGCTCAAGCTCATCGCCCCGGACCTCGAGGAGCCCGCGGTGCAGAGCACGCTGTTCGGGCTTCTGCGAGCCATTGTCAGCCGCAGACTCGTCGTGTCCGAGGTGTACGACACCATGGACAAGGTGGCCGAGATGATGGTGACCAACCAGAGCGAGAGCGTGCGCGATCTGTGCCGCTCGACGTATCTCCAGTTTCTGCTCGACTATCCGCAGGGCAAGCAGAGGCTTCGCAACCAGATCGGCTTCCTCGCCAAGAATCTGGCGTACGAGCACGAGTCCGGACGCCTGTCGGTGCTCGAGATCACCACGGCCATTCTGAACAAGTTTGGCGACGAGCTGCTGCAGGAGTATGCCGAGATGCTGTTTGTGGCGCTCGCCATGGTGGTGGCCAACGACACCAGCACCAAGTGCCGCGAAAAGGCGGCGGGCTTGATCGGCGTGCTGGTGCGCGCCATGACCGAGGCGCAGCAGGACAAGACTTCGCTCATGGTGGATGCATGGGCGCGTTCGGAGGGCAAGCCGGAACTCGCACGTGTGGGCGTACAGATCTACGGGCTGCTGCTCGAAGCCCTCCCGGACGGCGCCGCCTCGTGGGCGCCCAAAGCCCTGGACGTGGTGACGAAAGTGCTCGTCGAGTGTGCGGACGATCTGGAGGCGATCGAGAACAGCGAGGGCGCACTTGCCGGTGTGGAGCTCGACTGGCAGTTGCCGTACCACTCTTTGCAGACGCTCGGCCGGGTCGCTTCACTGGGGGCGCGCGACCGCACGGCGGGCACCGCCAACGACGCGGTGCGGAGGCTGCTGTTGTTCCCGCACAAGTGGGTGCGCATCGCGGCATCGCGGTTGTTGGGAGGCCTGTATGCGCAGCGCGAGCCTGCGGCGCCGGCCATGGTGGCGGTGCAGCAGGATCCCGTGGCGAGTCTGCCGGCGCTGGTGGATGCGGCCAAGAAGTCGTGTCTGCAGCTGCGCTCGGATCGGCTCGACGAGACGCTGGCACTGCAGGTGGTCAAGAACCTCGTGTGGATCGGTCGGTCCTTTGCGCTCTTCCCTGTCGACCGTCCACAGCTCTCCCAGCCAGAGCCCACCGAGTCCGGTGAAGACAAGCAAGACCCCGCCGAAGATGACGAGGAGGAGGAGGAGGATGGTGAGGGTAGTGACAGTGGCGAGGAGACGGAGGAGGATGAGGCGGTTGTGGAGGGTGCCAAGCGACGCGAAGCGGCAATGGATGCGCCAACAGCCATCGCGGCCGATCCGCTACGATGGTTGGTTGCGCGGCTCTCGTTCCAAGCGCGCCTCTCGCTCGCGCAGTCCAAGAGCGAGACATGGACGATTGCACCCGCATCGATCCTGCGCTTCTTCGCAGCGCTCTCTGCCTCTCTCGACCCGTCCCTACTTCCCCACATCCTCTCGCTGCTGCTCTCGCCGATCATTCGGCTCGTCGAATCGCCCGCCACCGCCAACGGAGCCGGGGGCGGGGACGAGCTCAAGGCGCTGGCGATCGAGGTGCAGACGCATCTCCAGTCGCTCGTGGACATGGCCGTGTTCAACAGGACCTACTCGACGCTCAAGCGCAAACAGCAGGCCAAGCGCGAACAGCGCAAGACCGATAGGCTCATGCGAGGTATCAATGACCCGCAGCTTCAGGCGAGGAGGAACGAGGTGAGGAATAGGAAGAACCACGCGGCGAGGAAGAGGAGGAACCAAAGCAATCTCGATAAAAGAGAGGCAGGTGGAAGCGGCAAGACCAAGCGCGCCAGAAGGACCTGATCCCCCCCACCGGAAAGACCTGTCTACCTTTCAAATCAACGCAACTGACTTGTGCTTCAGAGAGTGTTCATTCGGACGGCGAGAGAAAGTGTAAGAATGCATATTGCGCGAGAGGAAACAGGTGCGGGTCCGTGTGACTAGGGAGCGGTCCAGACGAAGGTCGACAGACCCTGTTGAACCGGGATGGTGGTGCGGCGGCCATCTGAAGAGACTACGACGTTCTTTGTATCCTTGCAGGTGTTGGCGATGACCAGCCCCACACGGCGAGTAGGCTGGGCGTTGTTATTCGACGTGGATGCGTTCTGGAGCGCTGTGCCCGCGGTGGGAGCAGCATATGCAAGCCAGTTGAGGCACTGCCAGTCGTTGCGGTTGAGCGAGTACTGCGTGCCCTGCTGTGCGCTCACGCGGTAAGCCTGACCGCCTCCGACATTGGTCAAGTCGGTGGAGGCAGCCGAGAAGTGGGCAGTGAGGTAGATCTGCTCGTTGTACGAGACGTACGGGTTGGCAGGCTTCTGTTGCGAAGAGAGGACGAGCGAGCCGGTGCACGAGGTGCAGTAGGCGCTCTCGAGATGCGGACCATAGCCGCGGTCGAGCGCGAGGTTCCACTGGACGATGGATCGGGCGTTTTGCGAGCCCACGGGCCAGTAGACGTTGTTCAGCCAACCCTGCATGCCCGACCATCGGTTGGAGGGGTTACCAGTGCCAGTGCACTCGGTCATGTGCAGGTCCTTGCTCACGCCGTTGCGCAGTGCGCCTTCGAACTGGGCCATCTCGGCTGGATCGCCGCGGTAGCAGTGGAAGGCAATCGCATCGACGGCAGACGAGTTGCCGTTGACAATGTCCGCGGCCCTCTGCCAGCCCGAGTAGTTGTCATCGTGACCCCACACCTGGATGCTGCCAAGACCACGGCTTTGCAGCTGGGAACGCAGCTCCTGCGCAAGCTGCACCTGCTGCGACGAGTTGAGACCCATGGACGGATACGAGGCGATATGCGATGGCTCGTTCTGCAGCGTCATCGCCCACGGCCTCACGCCGGCGTTGCTCCACGCCTGCGCCGCCTGGGCGTAGTACTGCGCCAGAACCGGAATGAAGCCGTCGCGAAGCGATCCTCCGTTCATGGTGTTGTTCGACTTCATGAACGGCGGCGGGCTCCACGGCGTAAGGATGACCTTGAGTCCCGGGTTGCGCTTCTTGGCATCCACCAGCACGGGGAGAGTGTACATGGACGACTGCGTTCCGTCGACGCTAAACGAAGAAAGGAGCGAGGCGGCGTTGTTGAGCTCGTTTGCGGCCGCTGCAAAGTCCGGGGGCTGGGCGATGTACGAGTATTCCTGCATGACGGAGAAGTCGGAAGCGCCCAAGGTGGCGCGCGTAATACCAACACCCGTGGCGTTGTTGAACATGAAGTCCATCACACGAGAGTAGAGACCCTGCTCGCGCTGCTTGAGCCGTGTGAGGAGGTAAGCGGAACTATCGGTCATGGCGCCGCCGAATCCGTCGATAGCCTGGAATCGCTGCGCGGTGTTGATGACAATGTCAACGCCTGTGCTATCGGCTCGGTAGTTGCCGAGCTGTGTGGTTGAGGCGGTCCAGTTGAAGTTCGTGCCGTTCGAAGGCGCGGTGTACCAGTAGCCATCTGTAAGGAGGGAGGAGCGGCTGCCCGAGATGGTTTGAGGGACGTAGTCGGTCGAGGGGTTTGAATCCTCCTTTTCCTCGCCGAGCGTGAGGCCGAGCGCCAGGCCAAGGATCAATGCGAGCAGCACGATTAGCACTGCTGCGATGAGCAGAATCTTGCGAGTGCGCGATTGAGAGCTCCACCAAGCTGCGACCTTGTTTTTGGGCTTGCCATGCTGGCTTGAATGCGGTGCCGACGTGGGCAGCATCGGCGACGCTTGCCCACTCGTAAGCGGCTTGTCTGCGTAGGATGCGGATTCTCCGCGTGAGTGACCGCTGCCAAACAATGGCATGGTTGCGTTCGATGTAGCGAGAGTCTAGTTGGCTTGGTCGATTTGTGAGAAGCGGTCTGGTTTGAATATCAGAATCGCTCTTGAGCCAGGTAAATATGGTGTTCAGGAAAAGAAGGGCGTCGAATGATCTTCCAGGGGTGATGGAGATGAACGAGGATGGACGGCGGGAGGGGATCGTTCTTCGGAGCGACAAAGCGTTGGCTTTCTGGGCGGAGTTCCGAGCTCGGAATCAAGTCTGGCGGGAATACGAGCCCGGAAGCTGCATGAACCCTTACAACCACGGCGAAAAGTGACCACTCAGCGCAGGGATCGCCTAGAAAAAAAAAGCACCGAGCGAGCCGATGGAGCCCACCGTCACGTTCAATCTCTTGGCTCCTCCCACCTTGAGCCAGGACCGACCTCCACCTCGGCCGCTTGTACAGATGTGATAAGGCGAAACTTGCTCCTCTTGGCGTGTAAGAGACCATGTGGTGCCAGACAAGCCGGTGGTGTCGCTCCGAACATGTCTCGCCAGCCTGCTACCTCGTATGATATTGTCAAGCAACCGTTACTCCGCGGGGTCATCCAATCTCCCGCCAAGCTCGCTCGCTGTTCAGACCTGTGTAGGCTGTGTCTTGTCAATCTCTCAGAAAACCCCGCGAGCCTATCGCACAAAAGCCGAACCTTCGGCACTCGTTTCCAGAGTTAGCTGTGCACGTCCGGTAGTCCGACGGACAAGGCTCTGTTGAGCGGCAAGCGAGTGTGCTCGGAGCTTTAAAGTCTCACCAAGCCCACGGCGACCCAAGCCGGCACAGTCGTGCTCGATCTGATTGCATCGCATCGATCGATCCGCTCCGACGAGGTCAAAGGTCAGGCCGCGATGAGAACATGATCTCACAGTTTGAGGCTCCTACAGGCGAGCCTCTGAGGCTTGCTGTCGGCTGAGGAGCAGGGCGACGACGTTTCAATTCGATTGCGCGACCAGAGGGCGCGCGAAGCTCTTGTGGTCGTTCACCTTGTGACCCTGGAGCATGAGGAAGGATCCTGCCGGCGCCAAGCAAGGAGGCCCCAATGCGAAGAACGGACGGAGTTGCGGCGCTGCGTCGAAGCGAGTTCGCCTCTCACGCGCTCGAAGACCAGTTTTTGCATGATTTTTGTTTGATTTTCATTTATTTATTTTCGGCTGCGCGGCAGGATGGCCGGCCGCGTGTGTGACAGCTGGGCCGACGCCGCCCGACTCACCCAGAAAATCCGTTTTCGTGGGCCTTGCGTCGACCTAAGCCGGCTTGCAGCGGCCAGTTGCGTCATAATTTGCTTCTTGCATTTTTTTCTTCATTCGCAGCCGCCTGCCTCTTTTCCTGCAGCAGACCCACATGGACTCACTGGCGCTCGCTTGGGCTTCGCAACGAGAGTGTCTCGTGTATGGCCGCCTGCCCACGCTGTGATGGAGACAGTGTTTGCTCGTCTCACCGACGGACACGGTCGGTGAGATCAGATGCAGATCTCCGAGACACTCGCTGCCGCTGCTCGGCCACCAACTCACGCGCAACGTCGCCCACACGCAACCCACGCTTTTGGGCGCAAAAAATAATAGCTGCACGCACGAACCGGTGACATCGACCCTGCCCGGCAATGAGACAAGTCCGTGTTAAAAAAAGGAAACTCAGTATGCCGCTGCGGTGTGGTCTGCGAAGGGTCGGTCTCTGGCACCCCTCGCACCCCTCGAAACCGTCCGAATCAGTGTTACACTCTGCAGACACTAGGTTGTGCTCCTCTCGGTGCCGGTCAGAACGGCTGTGCAGACCTGAATTCGAGGTCTCGGATCTCTCAGCACGCTTCCGCCCTGCAGTGGTCTCTTGGTTGCAAGTCTTTCGAGCCGCCCTGTGCCGACGCTTGCAACACTGTGCGAAGCGAGTGCCTCTGGCCCGCACTGTCCTGCAACTCCACTTGCAGAAGAAGGACAGTGGTCGACTTTGTCCTCCACAGGCGCGATCCTCCTTGTGCTGCGCAGCAAAGTGTTCACACTACTACCACCATCCTTGACAGCATAGCGACAAGATGGCGTCCAAGTACTCGCTCTCCGCCGAGCTGCCCGCGACGCGCAAGTCGCTGCGCCGCGGCAACACTCAGACTCAGTACGACCACCAACTCGGAGTTCTGCGCGAACAGGCGTCAAACAACCAGCCTGCAGAAGAGAAGATCTCGGTTACGCCACACGATGCTTGGGCTCAGCCAACGCCTCCTGCACCCGCCGCAGCGCGAGGCGGCCTCAACACCGCCGACGCCATGGTGAGACGTGACCTCTCTCTGCGTCGCGGCGTCAGCAGAGGCAAGGGCAAGGGCGCCGCCGCCGCCGGCGAGGAGACGGCGCTCAAGTCCGAATTCGACTCGTCCGACGTGACCTACGACGAGCGCGGCTACCTCGTGCTCAAGGGCGCCGACCGCTACGGTCTCACCAGCTCCGCCTTCTCCACCGACAAGACCAATGACGAGGGCCGCAAGCGCACCAACCGCTTTGCGTATCTCGAGGGGCTGCGCGGCGTGCTTGGGCTCCAGGTGCTCATCTGGACCTTCTTCCGCATCTTTGCACCCGCCATCGTGGCCGATCGCGACGTCGACGGCGTCTACCCCGCCGCGTTCGTCGCAGCTGCACCTACCTGGCAGACGGTGCTCCGAAAGGCGCTTTCGCCCCTCCTCTTCGACGGCGAGCTGCAGGCGGCCATGTTTGTCATCCTCACTGGCCGTGCCTCGCTGCAGACGTACATCGAGCGCCGTGTTGCCACGGGTCTGGCCGGCCCGGCGTTCAAGCGACCTTTCCGCTTCCTCATCCCCATGGCCGTCACGCTTGCCCTCGTGTCGCTCGTGATTGGCGTCAACGGCTTCCGCTACGCATCCGAAATGTCGAGCGCGCTGCAGAACCAGCACGCCACGCCTCCGGTCCAGTGGGGCTCGGCGCTCGAGTACTTCAACTCGCTCCTCTTCTTCTTCTCGTCGCCGCTCTACTTCAAGACGGCGCGGGCGACCACGTTCATCCCGCCGTCGGGCACCCTGTGGATCATCCCCGTCATCTTCCAGCAGACGTACGTGCTCATCATCCTCGCGTTTGCGCTGCCGTACACCATCATGCGCTACAAGAACCTCGGCATGATCCTGCTCATCCTCACCACCGCCTGGGTCGGTCGTTGGTCGTGGTACACGCTCACGGGCCTGCTGCTCGCCGAGTGGTCCACGGTCTACCTCCAGCTGCTCCCCGCAAAGGGTATCCCGCTCAACCGCCAGGGAACTCGATTCGTCCCCACGTGGGTGCCCGGTGTGGCGTTTGCACTGCTCGGTACCATGTTCAAGTACCTCTGGATCGCAGCAGTGCCGGCCAAGGCGAACAACGACATCATTGCCCACGTAGACGGCAACACGGGCAGGCTCAACTACGGCGTCGACCCGTCGCAGGTGGCGTTCCCGCGCTACGACAACTGGCTCTTGGCTACGGGCGTGCTGTATCTGATCGAGATCTCGCCGCGAGCGCAAAAGGTGCTCGGCAACCGTGTCTTTGTGCACATCGGCAGGTGGGCCTTCTCGATCGCCCTCATCTCGGGCACACTCATGCTTAGTCTCGGCAGCTTCGTTTGGCACCACCTCACGGCCAGCACCGCCCAGGGCGGCCTGGCGTGGACCAGCGAGGCAGGCATCCTGGGTGTGCTCTTTGTCATTCTCATCCCCGCAAGCTGCTTGCTCGCCGAGGCCTACTCGCGCGCTGTCGACGACTCGGCGCTCTGGCTCGCCAACTGGATGTTTAAGTGGATCCGCGTCTAGTTCTCGTATCTTGTCTTGTCCTTGTTGTCTTTCTAGATTCGTTGTTTGTCGCATTTTAATCTCGTTCTCTGTGAAGCTCCCGCGGCGGGTTATCGTGACTCAAACTTTGAGCGGGCTTCGATTGGTGAGCACCCCAGAGACCCACGCTGCGCTTGCCGTCGGCACCACACCCACACATGGCGTTCTAGTGCAATCCAAGCCGCGTAAAGCTATCCGAAGCTGCCTGTCAGTGAATTGCTCTACACGACGAGATTACCGAGTGCAGCCACTTGTGACTGTGGGTGGGTTCCCGGCTTCATTTGGCTCGGTGTCTGCATCCGGGGCCCTCTCATTACGTGCACGCCCGCATATGGCGTACGACCCACCTAATCAACGCCCCACGCGGCCCTTGATACTGTGCTGGCGTGCACCCACTCAGGGGTCTCAAAGCATGCATCTCCTGCTCGGGCCTCACTCACTTGGTTGGCATCAGCTCGCACTCATACAGCTTGTAGATCGACCTCTTCACTACTGCAATCTCTCGCATTCGTGACACTCCTTCCGATCGCAGACGATTGTCTGCCGTCTGGCGCCTGCACTGCCAACATCCAACCGTCCACCGTCGCAGACTCCAACGTATGCACCGCCAGCTTCTACCTCTTCCTCTTTAGTGTGAGGTGGGGACTCTCGCTGCCTCATTACAGAAGAAGAAGGACATCATTCAGTGCAGTGTGAAGGCAAGGAAATTGGCGACGTAGTCCTCGACTTTACCACTCTAGTATAGGGCGACAGCTCGCGTTGCCTCACGAAGGCACTGAACGGGCACTGTGATGCGCTGTGTAAAGGCAAGCCATTCAGCGCATCACCTCCGCGCTCATCGTACGAGACACCTGTGCACGACCTTTTTCCTGCCCGAGCTCTAACCTGGTCTTGGCTACGATGCATAACACGCCGTGTCAGTGATCATGAGTTGTACGTTCATGCAGAGTCCCACATGTGAAAGCGACGAACAAAATCGAGTGCAACGATAGCATACGAATTGAAATAGAGTACCGTAGAGCCCCCATCTAGCTCTGTGTCATTCATAGCGCACGCACAGCCCCTCCTTGACCATTAGGCGCACAGCGCCGCACTCCATCCCACCAACAAAGCAGGTACATACTGCCTTTGCAGTTCCCCAGCAACCTGGGCAGGCGTGGTGGCTCCCAGCCCGTCGGGCGGGATGCACGCCCCGCTCCGCTGCCGTTGCGGGCTCAGCGTGGTGGTCTCTGGACCGCCCCTCTGCCCCACGGACCCACAGCGCGACGCCGTGGGCGTCTCTTGCTCGCTACTGTGGTAGGGGGCCACACCATACACGGCCTGCCAAAACATCATGTCAAGTCAAGTCAGGTCAAGACCATCTGCGATCATTGAGTGTCAACATTTTTACCGAATGTGGATTGTGCAGTGCTGTGTCAAGGCAAGTCAATCAGCGCAGTGAGTAGTCGGGAGCGCTTGGCTCGAGCCGATCCAAAGATGGCTGTATCGGGAACTATTTCAAACCGATCGGTGATTGGCACAGCGCCGTTCAGCCAAGTTTGCTTCGCCGCAGAGCCTCAAGCCGGCTGGCTCATCGGAAGCAAGCTCATGATCAAGTGCAAAAGCACACAAGCAACGCTCAATGAGGAGCACAGTCAAGCCCTTGAAGCCAGTCAGTCAGAAGAATGAGGATAGAGTTATTGTCCAGCGCAGTGAGCACGCAGCGTGTGTCGAGAGAATAAATGGGATGGCTACTGGCAACGACCTCGAACACCAAGAATGAACAAACACGTGAAGGAAACGCTGACTAGCACGACTGAGGGATGGGGAATGGGGACGGGGAGGATCAAGACCAAATACAATATGCAAAATGAGAGCAGGGACGAGTGGGTCAAACAACGACAAGGGTGCGAGCGAGAGCAAGGAGCGGAACGGATGCTATGCAAGAAACGTCGACCGACCTCATGCAGCAGCCACGGGCGAGACGGGCGAAAAGATGCTCTCCTTGGCCTCCTCGTCGTTCTTGGCGTTGTTGTTGGCGTTGACGGCCGAGAGCGAGGTGACGAGCGTGGAGCGCAGCTGGCTCTGGGCATCCAACTTGGCAGCCTCGCGTGCGGCTTCGTCGCGAAGCAGTCGTCGTAGAATCTTACCCGAGGGCGACTTGGGGATGGTGGCGACCCACTCGATGCCTCCTCGGATCTTCTTGTGTGCGGCGACGAGCTTCTCCATGTGGGTGCGCACGCGCTTCTCGAGCTCCATGCACTCGTCGGGCTTGTTGAGCAGCGCGAGATCGCGCGGCACAATGCAGGCGCGCGGCACCTCGGTCATCTGGGCAGGGCACCAAACACCAAAGACGGCAACGTCGGCGACCTCGGGATGGCTGGTAATGACGGCCTCGAGCTCGGCGGGCGAGACCTGGAAGCCCTTGAACTTGATGAGGTCCTTGATGCGGTCCACGATGAAGATCTCGGTGTTGCGCATGACGGCGACGTCGCCCGTCTTGAACCAGCCGTCCTCGGTGAAGGCGTCACGGGTGGCGTCCTCGTTGTCGAGGTAGCCCTTCATGATGGTGGGGCCACGCAGCCAGACCTCGCCAGGGTTGCCCTCGCGGCCCTGCTCCTGACCGACATCGTGGCCCTCCTCCGAGACAAGGCGGACCTCGACACCAGGCGCAATGCGACCAGCAGCGCCCTTGGAGTTGGGGAGCTCCTTGGGACCCGAGCAGATGACCGAGGGAAGGGACTCGGTGAGGCCGTAGCCGTTGAGCACCGCCATGCCCGGGTAGCGCTTCTCGAGCAGCTCGAAGAGCTCAGCCGAGAGAGGAGCGGCGCCGCACTGAACGCACTTGAGGCTCGTCATGTTGTACTTTTCCGGAACGGGGCTCTTGGCGAGCTGGAGGAGGACGGGCGGGACGACGAGCGATGCGGTGGCGCGGTACTCCTGGATCTTCTCGCAGAAGAGGTCGAGGTTGAACTTGGGCAGGATGACGATCTTCATGCCGAGGTAGAAGGGGTGGTGCATGAGCTTGATGAGACCAAAGATGTGGTAGAAGGGCAGGAAGCCGACCTGGACGTCCTTCTGGCCAAAGTAGTCGTCGTGGGTGGCGACAAGGGCCATGACACTGTGGATGACGTTGGAGTGGGTGATCTCGACACCCTTGGCGGAGCCCGAGGTGCCGGAAGAGAACATGATGAAGGCAGTCTCCTTGGCGGGGTCCTCGACGCGATACGACTCGAGCTCGTTGTCGGTGAGCTGTGCGCGGAGGTCGGGTTCGCCATGAGCGCCGGTGACGAGCTCGTCGGCGTCGTCAAACATGAAGAGACCGTCGGTGGCGGCAGAGGAGGTTGCCGAGACGGAGAGGCGGCCCATGGCGGCCTTGGCCTGCTCCCAAGCAGCACGAGCGTTGTCCTGGCACGAGGGGTGGGCGAGGACGACGTCGACCGAGGCCTGCTCCAGCGACTTGGCGAGCTCGCCGACAGTCAGGGCTGGGTTGACCGGAGCAGTGACCAGACCGGCCACCTCGGCGGCAAAGACAAAGATCGGGTACATGGTGTGGTTGGGCGAGATGACACCAACGCGCTGACGGGGCTGGAGGCCGAGCTTGTGCCTCAGCGTCCACGCCAAGCGGCGCGCTTCACGCACAACCTGACCATGTCTGTCGTCGGACAACGATCAGACGTAGCAACCATCGAGATATGTTGGCGGCATCGTTCGATATCGTTCATCCGAAAATGAAAGCGCCGAACGAGGTATCGATCGGGAATCATCGGGGTCGTGATCAATGGCATCGGGTCGAAAAAACGAGGGTCCAGATGATGAAGGGAGAGCGAAAATGAAAAAAGTGAGGATTGGAGTCAGCATGCAGCTCGATCCTGCCGCGCGAATTCCCAGCTGGAAACGTGGAAACGATGAAGCGTTGGTGGCTAGTCTCGTGAGAATGGCTGCGGGCTTCCGACATCGCGTGGCTTTCCGTTGGCCAGGAAGCTTTGCGAGGACAGGCAGATGCTGCTTTTCCGACGTCACTCGCGCATGCAAAATTGCAAGCGGAGGTTGAAAAGCCAAGACGAGGGTGCACTGAAGGCGGGCGCAGTGTGGAGGACGAGCGAGGGTCTGAAACGATGGTGACGATCCCTCTGCGATCCTCGCTTGGAAAGCCACAGAGGAGCGAGCGAGCGTCGCCGGACCTCCGCCCGAAAAAAAATCCCTCGAAAATTGAGTGGAGCTTTGAGAGGCGAGCGAGCGAGCGCTAACTGAGGTTGAAAATTGGACTCGCAGATCGGCACGCGTTCTTTTTTCGCCCATCAGACGCGCGCCGTGGGAGCGGTGAGCGGCCGTGGCGCAAAGTGCATCTGAGCCCGTGCAGCGATCCGCGAGGGAGGGATCGACAGACGGTCTCACCGATCGCAAAGCTGAAGGCTGGCCGGCATCGGCTACGTATCTGCGCTTGGCGCCAACTCGCTCGTCCGTCCACTCGACACCAAACGTGCCGTGCCATCTTTGTGCGCGGACAACACGAGGCTGACAACGGCTCGCTGCCGGTCCCGCTCGCCATGAGTGCATCGTCGTCAGCGGGCAGGGAATGCAGGCGGTGGACCACCAGACACGACTGCTCCGCCGTGTTTGACAAGCGGCGCGCAGAGCCGTTGTTTGCGGCGTACAGACCGCGGCAGGGGCGTACCAGCCGCTCTCTCTCTGTGGCTTGGAACGCAGCGTCCTACATGCCAAAGGGCACAGAGGCGGTGGGAAAATTGCCGGGAAAAGAAATTCGCAAAAAAAGCCCGATTCGACTTCGACTTGGCCGTGTGCCGGCGCGCTCGCTGCTCTGCTCTGCCGCGCAGGGCTTGGACTGCCTCGAGCGGCTCGTAGGCCAAAGTGAGGTAACCCTTCCCACGATCTGAGCTGCCCCGTCTGGCGGGAGTCTGTCATGTCCTCCCACCGTTGGAGCGCTGAAGGCGACCAGGAGCACTGACGAGTGATCTTCGCCCTTGACGGCTGCTGCCTCTCTGCATGCAAGGTTGGCACAAGCCGTCCCTGCATGTTTGGCGCCCGTTGGGTGCCGTAGGTAGACCAGCGTCCAACAGGGTCCCGCCACGGCTCGTGGCCACGATGGCGCAGAGAAGATACAGTTGCAGATACAGCGAGAGGCACTGGCGTCGCAACAAGCCAGGCTCGAAAGACTCGATGCGAGCTGCGACGCCAAAAGGCAACGATCTGGGGCTGAGGCTGAATTCGTGAAAATCCCCTCGTACGACGGGATATTCAAGGTCCGCCGCCCGCATTCCTTCCTGTCCACCGCCTGCTCAAGGCAGAGCGGTTGTGGAGGATGCGGTCCAGAGGGTCCCTCACTGGCGAGTCTAGCCGCCTCGCGGCCGTGTGCCCATTGTGCCCGTCATCGAGCCGCGAGATTCACGGTCCGATACACCGAACGCCGTGGAGCAAGGCGCAGCCAATAGGGTCGTGATTCCGCCAAAGCCAGGGTGCTACCCCCGACTCGAGAATCTCTGGCCGTATTAGAGGACAAGACCACGATCGCGTGCGTGCGGATCAATGCCAAGTGCCATGGCACCACCCAGCGCGCATGTGGCGCACCATAGCAACGAGCGGCACAAAGCCTCTCGTCGATGGTGCAAAGCAAGCACCATGAGCGGGTGTGAACGAAGGGAAGGGAGAAGCCAACGGACCACGAAACAAAAGACCACCGAGCCACATCGAATGCGAGGCCTGGAGCGGAGCATGTACTTACGTGAATTGCTTGCCGTCCTGGCGGACGAACTGCACCTTGTCGGCGAGCGACGACTCGGATTCGGAGCTGACATAGTCAAAGATGTTCGAGTAGCTTGCCTTGGGCAGAGGCGGGTAGATCGAGGTGAGGATTTGAGGAGCCATGGTGATCACGCTGCTGCGATGGCGCGACGACGTGCGAAAGAGAGGGGTTTGCGTCTGCTTGCGGGCGGTGCCGAGAAAGACTTTGCGGCTGTCGAGTCGAGCCTGGCGTTGCTATGCTGTCGCTGAGTGCAAGCTTGTGCTCGGGAGGAGGGTCCGTTCAGCGCGAGAACAGATTCTTGTCCGATGAGGCTGCGATCGCTGAATGCAAAGGCAGGGATAGATAGACAAGCGAGCTGCGAATGACGGATGGGGATGGAGATGGAGAGGGGGAAGGGATGGGGAGGGGAGGATGGTGGCAGGGAAGGGCTATTGAATATATGGACCCAGTCGTGGCTGCGGGCACACGATGCAGGCCCACCAGGTACGGCAGGCAGGCCAGCTAGGCGAGGACGGCGGGGGTGCGGCGAGATGGGCGTGGACGTGAGCCTTCGAAAGAGCCGATGCGGCGGGAGCACAGAGCAGTGCCCTAAAAATTGCGGTAGGAACGAACGTCTTGGCCGCTGCAAACTGCCGAAACCTGCTGTGTGAGACCCGAACCCTGCGCGGATACGGTATCCGGCCCGCACGGCGACTGCGTCTTGCCCTGAGCCAGGTCCATACACTCTAGCCGCACTGCATCAGACTATGTGGCACCGAAAAAGGAGGTGCCAACGGAGATGAAGTTGAAACAGCTCATCAGATAGAACCGATAGGCACCAAGGGCGTCAGACCGTGGGCAGGCGACATTGGCCATCCGAACCAGCAATTCGGCAAAGCCAGCCGGGAACAAGCGCAAGCTATGCACCTGTTGTCGCCATGCTGTGACACAATCGCAACTCTGCGCTTTCGATAGCTTGTCAATGGATGTGTCTAGCCCAGCTTCGTCCTACGGCTTGCGGTGCACAGCGGCCGAATCGACGGCCGATAGGCAAACAAATCCACCTGTTTCAGAGCCACCAGGCCGCTTTCAGATGGGCGGCCTTTCCGTGGCCATTGTGATGCAAGCTGAGTGGATCGCGAGGACTGTTTTTTTGAAATTTTAGTATTTATTTTTATTTTTGGGCACGGGTTTCCCGAGGCAGGGACCTGGTGATGAGCACGCCGGCCGGATCGCTTGCGTCAAGCGAGCGCGATGCAATGTGGCTCAGCGGCGCAAGCCGTGTGGCTTTTCCGAAGGATGCGAGGAGGTGCGCCTACCTTGGTCTTGGGTCAGTACGTAGCCAGCTCAGAACTCGATTTCGGCTGCTCCTTGTGCGCATCGTTCGAGTCCTAGAAAAGCAGAGATGCAGGAAAAGAGAATGAAAAACAGATTGCTATTCCCGTCGGCCGGGCGGTGTTGGCGGCAGCGGGGCTGTGGCCGACATCTTGTTCCGCGGGGCGTCGCCTGCCCCTGTGACCGCACTGCATGAGTTGGAGACTGCAATTGGCACGCGCCCGCCAATGCCGACTTTTGCTATTGTTCAGGCTGCTGCGGATCTGTTTGTACTGCCGTGTGATGCCAGGCGGCGTGCAGCTGCAGTCCTCTTTTCCTGGATCTTTCTATACAGTTTGAGTTGGCGCTCGTCGGCAGCTCGAGTGCAGCGGGCAAGGTCGTGAGTTAGCCATCCAGTTTTGGCTCTGACCGGCAGTCGCAGGGCTCATGAGGATCGGCACTGCAGCGTCCGACCTCTCGCTTGCCATTTCTCTTTCGTCACCTTCCAAACAGTCTTCTTACCCTCGGCTAAACGGAAGGAGAGTGTTCATTTCCCCCTCTTCCGAGTGTCGGCCGAAGGCTGTTAGGTTAAAATTCGGGCGTCCACCTGCCTGCCTTCGGCTACTGACGATCTAGGCGGATGGTCGTCGGAATCCAGCGCAGGCTTGCGTCGCCCCTGCAGCGGCTGACATTGGCCGAGGTCAGAGCTTGGATATCGTCTGATCGTCTTCCAACGGTGCGCGCGATGTTTGGCGCGAGCGCGCATGATTGTAGGTAGCCATCGCAGTATATTCCCAATCGGTATGGCGAAGCGGTCACCACCTCAAAGAGCATGCGCCAAGTCGGCTTGCGGCAAACGAAACTCTGGTGGCATGCGGATCTCGACTAGCGATACGCACAGGCGCAGATCCGAGATGCGACCAACGGCTGAGGCTGGCCTTTCCAGATAGTCCAAATCTCAGCATCAGCCGCAGTGACAAACAGTTTCACACATGATTCGCACGAACATCGTGGTGCATGCTTGGCGTCGGCTCCGCCAGCAAGCCCACATGTCGCTGCTTTCGTGAGTGCGAGCTCAGATGGCCGAAGCTTGGAAGTGCGTGAACGCTTCTGCAACTCATGAGAATCGGTGAGACACGGGAAAGCTCGCCAGAACTCAATCCGATGCTCCGCTGAAACCCAGGCTTCAACTGTAGAAAACATCAACACAGTACTCTATCGATGTTGCGCTTATCACACCACGACGGGGAAAGGATGCTGATTGTGTTCCGCTTTCCGATGGTTCTCATGTGACACGAGCTAAAGCTGTCCGCCTTACCTCGCCTTCTAAGACAGAGTGGCGCTTCGCTTCATAGACGAAGTGCTAGTCGGAAAGCGGATCGAAAGGTATGCAGGGACACCGGAAATGTTCAAGCCGATGCTCCGAACTACGTCCATCTTGGTGTCCCACGACGTTTTCTGACCCGAAAGCCGACGGATTTTGAGACACGAGCATGTTTGAAGGCTGCCGTGCCAAGAGCACCGGATGGCACCGACTGGAACGAACCCCGGAGCTGAGACACAAATTGAGCGCTGCAGCGACAATGAAGCCGGCAGAGGGGCCGACGACCGTGCCGTCCGAGGCACGACGGCACACATTGAGCCGTACCCAGCTCTGTTGGTGGGCATCCGAGTGGGAGATTGGAGCAATTGCATTTTAGCTGCGGGAGGTACAATGGACTGGGCAGATGCTGCATCGTCATCAGCCTAGCGAAGCTCGTCGATGCAGCAGCGCAGCGAGTCTAGGCCTGAACTCGAGCTCTAACTCGCTGCTTTGCTCTTTGCATGCTTCTTTCGCCGGACAGGAAGAAGTTCTTGTACACTCAGCCCGGCAGCAGACACCTGAAACAAGAATGTTCTGATTCTTTGAATTGAAACGCCGCCCATTAGACTCAAGAGCAGCTCCCATGCTTGACGCGGTGCTTTGCTTCCATGGGAACGGTTCGCCTGACAGAGCTGGCGCTGCGCACAACAGATCCGGTGCGACACTTGGAATCCGGACGACGATGACGCTTGCAAAGCCGAGCGTAAGTTTCTGAGAGCCGCCTGGGCCGATCTCGAGAACCATAGCCTAGCGAAAAGTCACACCATTGCCCTCGTGCTTGGCTGGCCCTGGCCTAAACGGGCACGCGGATGAGCGGTGATCGCCCTACCAGTAAGCGAGCCAAGGCGACCTTTCTGTCGCGCCGCCGTGCACAAGCCCAACTTTCATGCGCAAAAGAACCCAGGAATTTTCTGTTTGCTAGTCTCACACACCTTTTTTTGCCCTTCCAAAAATCGTAAAGCGTACGCATCGACGTCACCGCGTGTTGCAAGATGGCGATGAGTTGGCGCGCGCGACTGCTTGGACAGATCGGAGGCTGAAATTAGAGCGCAGGCGCCGGCAAACCTCTCTGCGAGAGAAAAGAAGATTGCTCACCGCGCTTCCCTCGAGCGAGGTGATGATGCTGAGCGTCAGGCCTCGACTTTGCGCAGGAAAGCCGCTCCGACTCTCCGAAAGCTCCTTGCGTGTGCAGAGGTGCGGCACAGTATGGCCTGACTAGAGTCAACCTTCTGCAGGTGGTACAATTACTGCACAGAAGCTGCGAGCGAGCGCTGCAGACAATGGCGCGGCATCGGGTTTTGAGCATGGGGCGCTAGGCGTTCGGCGGCAGGCGGCCTCCGGGCGCAGGCGTACAGCGCAGTAGCGACACCGGCAAGATGCAAGATCTGCACGTCGCGGCACTCGAATATTGGCTTGGGGCTGCAGGCTGCAGGGGTCGATTCTCGAATGTTTGCGGCAGCCGCCTGCTGCACCTCTGGGCTGGAAAAATTTAATGTGCTCGCTAGTCCAAAGCGCGGTACTGAAAATCGCCTTTCTTTTCTTTTCATTTGGCTGTCGAGTCGATCCGTGCGTCCCGGATCATCGCGATCTGGGGCATTGTTCTCGGGAGGGCCCATGAAAATCCAGCTTTCCCCGTTCGCTAGCCCTGCGCCTCGCTCTTGAGTGCCTTATCCGGCGGAGCCTGATCTCGTGCCGAAGTGAACCCAGGCGAACAGATCGCTTTCCCGCTCCCCCACTTCATTGCCTGACGCCACGCATAGGAGTGAAGGAAGATTCCCACAGACCGTCATTGGGGAAAGTGCGTCGTGGATTGGACCCTTTTGTGCGCTCTAAAGATGGAACTGCCCAGCACAAAAGATCGGTCGGACATCGGTCGGACTTGCAATTCCCACTCATTTGGCGAGCTCTAAATGTCTCACCTTTGCACCAAACTTTTTCAATCTTTTCGCTTTTCTTTCGGATTTTTGGTGACCAAACTTGAGACTTTTGGCATCGAGATTAAACAGTTGCATCGCCCGATCAAAGATGCAGGTGAGCATCTTTCGTCACAGCACGCCCGCGTTTCTAAACTTGGACCGTCTGCTGCCTTGCCTTTTTCCCGCACAGCCTCGACCGGCAGCCTCGTGTGGTCAGGCTCGTATGGTCAACGGCGTGGGTTGTAACAACGAGGTCCGTCCGGCAATGTATGGTTGCTCCGGATTCTGTGTCCAGCGTGCCTCGACTCTAATTTGAGCTCGCTCGCCGACCAACTTGCGGTACATCGCAAAAGTCTGCCATCAGCACCACGCGGATGTGTGACACCGACCTGCATAGCCTGACGCTGCAACATCGAGATCGAGATCGATGCAAGATGAGAGTGAGATTGCAGAACGAGGGTGGCCCCGCCATCTGGCGCGCTACAGTAGCCTGCGTCACAGTCGCGTGGCAGCAACGAGGCCTTGGCGACACAAACTTGTTTCGCCCTATGTTTGCTTGGCGCGCTGCACGCGCAAGAGCGATGCCCCATGACGCGGATGTCGCTGCACCCTAGGGTTGCAAACTTGCGCCGACCCAAACTTTCAGAGGCCGGCAAACATGTTTCGGGCAAAGGTTTTTGCCGGGGCAAGAAATGCACAAGAGAGACACAAAAATCGGCAAACAGAACGGTCTTGCCTCTTTTCACGCAATCACGCAAAGGCGACACCTTTTTGTTTGCGGGCGCGTCAGTAACGGCAATCCTGGGTGAGCCTCCGCAGCAAGGACGTCAGCCAGCCCGGATCTGCAGCCGAGTCAATATGCCGCATGGCCATCTCGACTCGGCTCGTCTGCTGCCGATCTGCTTGGAAAGCATCGGTCGCAGGCGGACGATGCTCCGGCCCCCCCCCCCTTTGCACAGAAGTAGAGGAATGCCGAGCCCCTACAGCATCCGCACAGCATGCACGGAGCACGGCTTTCTTGCGCAGACGCTTGATCCTCGGTCCCGCTCAACCGCACTGACTCGCCTGTCTCCTTTCGGCTCGACGACGATGCCCCTTGCTCCCGACTGGTCGGTCAGGGCAGGGCCGAAGGGCAAGCGAATATCATGAGACATAGTTACCACGCTATACCATTGTGTAACAGGTGCTTTTGTTTTCAAGTCGATATCACAACTCGGTCGTTCAGGTAGCAAGCCGTCGGCCTTCTCGGCGGAGGACCTCCGAGATACTCTGGCTTTTCATGTGAGAAGAACTCGCCAGCCGCTGCTCCGGGAGCAAGGCGTTTGACCCTGGCTGTGAGTCTCGGCCTGTGGATTACGCTGCACGCTCGCTTCGACCCTGTTTGCAGGCGGCCTTTCCAGCGTTGCCCCGTCCTCCGCTTTGCCCGTTCGAGTGCGGCGTTTCCGCGCGCGCGCTCTCTTATAATACTCTCAGCCTGTTCTCACTGTGCGGGATCTAGACCTCTTTGCAGAAATCTATCGGCGGGACAAGTGATGTGAGATGCCGTCAGACAGCAACGGCAGCTGCAAGTTCCCAGCCGTTGAGCGGGTCGAGCTCGCCCAATGTGCGTCAGGACAATGACCTGGCTGTACCAGCGTGACTGCACAGCTTCTTCTTTTTTTAATGGATTTATTTGTGTCTCAGCTAAAAATTGAGTTTACCGCAAGTCCGGTGGGGCTCAGTCACCCGGGTGCACGGCACTAAGCTGCACTGCACCCTTCGTGCATGCTTGGCTGCGTTGCAGAGACGGCGTCCGCCTTAGTCCATTGCGCCGGCGTGCATGCGGGCGCTCCTTGCCAGCGGCGCCTCTCTAGGAAGGCAGCGTGAACGTTGACCTGCATCGCCTGATTTGCTCTCGGCCTCGCCATCTTTCGCCGCCTTTTCCAGCCGACATGGATACAGGACAGCCGGCTCGCTGGCCACGAGTCTCGCCTCGTCGCCTCGGTTCTCCCAAAGCACTGGAAATCGAGGTGATCTCAAGCCGTGAGACATCCCGCAGGCAGCAAGTCATTGCGATCGCATTTGTGTCTTGCTCCCCTGACGTGTGTGTAAGGCCGCAGCCAGTCCTTCTGCCGGTCCTGCTGCTGCTGCTCGTAGCGACTCCCCTCGAAACCGTGCCGACTATTTCCAGCACTGTTTCGCATCGTTTCCTAATGTGCTACTGAGCCACGCAGGTCTCAACGCATTGCTGAGTCGCGCCTCTGCCGACGTCCTCCCCCTCAACCTTGGCCCACCTGCTAGAACTCAAGCACGCACCTCTTGAACGCCGTAAGGTCATAGCGCCTCTACCACGCTCATCACGATCGTCTGACGCAGCCGGGTCAGGCCCCTTGACACTTCCTACGGCACAGCTGTGCACGGTCTCGCAGGATCTGGCATGAATTGAGCTGCACGACGCCGCTCAATCTGCTAATTTCAGCCTCGCTTCCTCCTCCTTGCCTTCGCTGCACGCTGCCTCCCTGGCAACCGCCTCCCCTCAACTCCGTACCGTGATCTCATCGTTTCATGCCAGCATAGCCACCACCACCAACACCCTCGTTCTCTTTGCCTAAAAGCTTATCGGTTCTCGCGGATTCGCTGCCAGTCCTCCCACAGTTCAATCTTTCAACCTCGTGGATCGACAAACTTTTCTCGTGTTGCCATCAAATCGCTCGGTTGTACTTCTGATCTGCATCCGCTCGGACCGTCGTGCATGTCATTTGGCCTCGACGCAAGCACCATCTCATTTGGTAAAGGGACACCTCCCCACCACATCCTCGGCACGCTTTCTTCGTCCGACCGCACTGCATTGCAACCATGTCGGCATCACAGACTAGACAGGCGACTGCCCTGGACCCCCGCAGTGGAGTTCACTCCTTTCATGCGATCCCAACTGCTTCGACACGGATGATCGCACAAGCTTCCGGTGGAGCCTCTCAACTCCTTCCTTCCTTTCCATCACGTTCCCCCGCATCCAATCTTCCAACATCCTTGCAATCCTCTCACTCCAATCACCAATCCGAACCGTCCTCTATAGCACCTGGACGTACAGCCTTAGAGTTCGACAGCTACGCTTCGTTCTTCGACGGCTTCGCATCACACAAGTCCCACGGATCAGACGACGACCACGTACAAGACTCGGACGTCACAGACGCTACGGACCGTGCTGGCACTTTCAGCCTCTTCGGTACTTACGACGACGAGGACCTCCAAGATCTACGCGCGCTCAGCTTCACCAACTCGATCAGGATGAATCTCGAAGCTCTCAGCCGCAGTGGTGCGGACCACTACGCACTCAATGCCGACGGCTACGAGGACCCCAACCTGCACTACGGCTCCAAGTCGGTCGAAGACACGTCCGACGCCCGCTGGATGCAGAACTCGTATGCACAGCTCATCTCCCAACTGTCCAACACACAAGTAGGAGCTGGTCGCCTCTCGCACGATCGAGAGCGCTCGCCAGATGAGCGATACTATGAAGGCGAACCTCGTTACTATCAGGGCCACGACTACCAGGAGTCGCTCACACAGCGCACCAACTCCTCGAAAGACACGCCGCCCACGGCTAGCCTGGCTTCTGGCAGAAGCTCGAGCGATGCCAACGACGACGATCTCAGGACGCCTCCTGAGCCCAGCTACGATGCTTTCGAGCCGTCCATGGAGCCGGCTCACTACCATCCTAGCCCTGCGCATCAGGAGCATCGACCGCCTCTGTTCGTGCAGCCAGCTCGACCATCTGCTTCGCCCTCCTCTGCCTTGCCGATGGCCGGCCAGACCGCTTCAAATGTTGGTGCTCAAGCTCCTCAACTCGGTTCGCCATTCCAGCCGTCGCAGCGCCAGGCACAGCAGCCGACTCGGTCTCTGCAGCGTCAGGAGCTCCAGCAGGTTTTTTCGCGCTACGAGATCAGTGATGACTCGGCGCTCGAGATGCTGAGCGACGATGCTGAGGCACAGAGACGTGCAGCTGGCAAGGCGAGGATGATGCCGGGTCAGTATGCCGAGTCGAACAGCGCCACCGCAGTCACTTCTCCGGCGCAGTCGGCTCTTGGCCACGCCAGGCGCAGGTCGTCGAACATGACCGTGTTCGACCCCAGCAAGCCCTTCACACGCCTCGGACCGCAAGACATTGCCTTCAGCGCAGCTAATCTGTAAGTGACAACGCACAACGACGCCCGAGGTGGGATGGCGACGCCCCAGGTGGGCTGGCCATGTGGACCCATCATGTGGAAAACTTGGATATTTTTGGCCGCCTGCCACGCGTCACAAGAACACCTTCACCGCCACATCATGCGTGACGCCGAAACTGACGCCAACTTGCCCTCTCACCTCTTTTTTTTTTTCAATCCAAAAAATCTTGTGATTTTGACACAGCCCGGAGCGCCGACTGACCGCAGACGACTGCGCCGACATCATTGTGTCGCGCCATCCCACACTGTGTGATGCTCCCCTGCGCGAGTTTGGCGAGGACGGTCAGCCGCTGCCTCCGACCAAGAAGCAGGAGACAAGCGAGGAAGAGCGCGCGGCACGCAAGCAGGCGCTGAGTGTCAAGTTCTGCGCCAAGCAGCGCCTCTCGCTCATCAAGGCTATGATTCTGATGGAGTCGCGCTCCGCCTCCTGGAAGCGCGTCGGGCCATTCAATGCGGCCAACGCCAACAATGCCACGGGTGTCGATCCGATCGACGCCCCTGGTGCTTCGTCGCACGGAGAGCAGGGCGTAAGTCGTCTGCCTCCCATGCCGAGCCCATGGTCCATCGAGATCCGCCACGAGCAGCTCGACGTGGCTCAGATCAAGGGCAAGTCCAAGAAGTCGATCGAGCTCGCCTCGCTGCGCACCAATGCTCTTTGCACAAAGTGCGAGGGTTCCAAGCTAGGCGCCTGCCTCACTTGCAAGGCCGAGCAAGCCGACGAGTGCTTCTGGTGCTCGGGTACGGGCCGCGAAAAGACGCGCGCCCAGGCATGGTGTCGTCGCTGCCAGGGTGCCGGTGTGCTCAAGTGCAACACCTGCCACGGTTCGCTCAAGTCGGACTGCCGATCGTGCGAGGGAACGGGCACGGGAGAGTACGGCTTCTTCGTCGACGTCACGGTCAAGCGAGTAGAGATGCCCGCTGTGCCCCTGGCCACGCTCTTCCCTCAGCTCGACAGCGCATCTGCTTCGTTCCAGCCCAGCTACGACGAGGTCAGGGCAGCCGCGAAGCTTGCTCTGTGGGACTCGATCACCAAGCTGACCGAGGCGAGGCACCACGCCGTTGCTACCAAAGGCGGCAAGTCCAAGAGCAAGGATATGGTCCCCGTCATGGCCGCGTGCGTATGGGAGAATTCCACGTCGCATGTGGTTTCCGTTGATGTTCCACTGGCAGCCAAGTTCAAGAAGGGCGCATCGCCCGCCCTACGACCCGAAGGCCTGCAGAGGAAGATTCCGACGCAGAGGAGGTTCTTCACCGTTCCCACCGACGCTGATCTTTGCTCGGTCGAGCTTTCGGAGGAGGAGGTCAAGAAGATCGTGCACGATTCGATCGGCGACCACGCCATCAGTGGACGCGGACCTTCACCCACCCTTCCTGACTCGCGCGGTTCTTCGGGCTACGCCCTTGGCAGCCCGTACGGCTCTGCTACGCCATCGCCACCGATGAGCCTGTCCGGCTCGTCGTCCGCTTCGCTCGCCACACCGGACGAGGGCGCCGGCATGTCGGGCTACTCGACCCCTTCCAGGGTCCCGAGCCCGCGCTCGGACCTGCCTCCGGCCAAGCCAGCCGCCAAGGAGTTTGTGCATCGCCCCAGCCCACTCTCTCAACTCGCCGCGACCACGCCCGCAGGCTCGGCGTTCTCGGTCCAGACGGACGCAGCAAGGCTGAACAACAATCAGGGCAACGGCTCGCCTCGCTCTTCTCCCGAGCACTCCCCCGAGGGGAGCTCCGGACCAAAGCCCAGGAGGCCCTCTGCAGGCCAGATTCTGAGCAAGAAGCTCAGCTCCAACATCCTCAACAAGCTCAGCGCCCACAGGGGCTCGGTCTGATCGCGGCCAAGTCGCCCTCTCCTTCTGCTGCTTCTCTTCCTTCCACCGCGTCTCTTGCGGATCAGCATCAGTACCCACCCGTTCACATAGATCATAGTTTTGTCGCTCGCTTTTCATTGTCCCTCCTGCATTCAGTTCAACATCGTACCGTCCGTAATCTCAGCAACCTCTTCATAGAACCCTTGTCTCTCGTCGCGCTGGCTCACCAGTTCAGCGTTGCAAGTGAGCACGGCAGCGGGACTGTGAAGGTGCGAAAAAGTTTTGGCTTCAACTTGGCACACTCTAACATGTCAAATCTTTTCCCTGGGTGTAAGACCGAATTCCGAGAAATGGTTGAAAAAGTGCGAGCGGCGGTGGAGAAAAAGTTTCCTCTCGGATTCTCAGGCGAGGTGGGCGAGCTTGAAGGCATTAGGCATTGGACCGCGCTCACATTCACCCTTGCATAGCACCTCATCAGCAGCCGTCTTGATCCGCCTTCTACAAGACCGCGTTGCTTTTGACGACACTTCAAGCCCCAAGATGGATCTCTTTGCTGATGCCGGCGATTCGTCGGGCGCCCAGGTGGACATCCGCACCAAGCCTGAGGAATCGCTCAACCACTTTACCGTCAACAAAGACTTTGCCGAGCGCTACCTGCACAACAAGCAGCGTGCCGAGCTGCACCAGCTCGAGGCCAAGTACGGCAAAGATGCGCTGTCGGATGGCAGCGATGACGACAGCGAGACGGACAGCGAGAGCGACGTGACCGAAGATGAGGACGGCGACCAGATCAACGCCAACGTCGACGCCGCCATCTTCCGCACTCTCCAGCGCATCCGAAACAAGGACGCCGCACTCTACGACTCCAAGACGGACATCTTTGAGCAGGAGGCAAAGGCAGCAGAGGAAGCCGCGCGCCGTTCGGGGGCTGCTGCATCGACATCCAAAGTCTCGAGCACGACAAAGAAGAGCAAGAAGCTCACGCTGCAGGACTACCAGCGCCAGCGCGTGCAGGAGCTCATCGAGACTTCGGAGAATCCTGCCGAGGCACTTGCGGATGCCACCACAAGCGACCGCGCGAAGGGCCTTCAGGACGACGACGATGATGACAAGATGCCGTTTGCACAGGAGCAAGAGGAGCTCCGCAAGCAGGTGTCGCAAGCTTTCCATGCAAATGTGGACGAAGCCGATGATCTGTTCGTCAAACGCTCCGAGGCAGAGGGAAGCAACGGCGGCTCGTATCGCGATGCGGTGATCGCCTCCCTAGGACCTGATGCCAGCGAGGACATGGTGCGCGAGGCCATCCGACGCAATCGCGAGACCGAGTCGTCCGAGGCCGTCGCATCTACCAGCACCGACCCCAACGAGCAGAAGGCAAACGAAGACTTTCTGCTCAACTACATTCTCAACCGTGGCTGGATCGACAAGTCGGCAGAGGAGAGGCCGGCTAAGCCACGTTTGTCCAAGTCGCTCCTCAAGTCTAAATCTACCGATGCGACAGAGGACGACAAGCAGGACGACGATGAGGCAGCAGGCGACGGCGCAACGTCCTCGAACGCATATGGGCGCGATTGGGAGGCCGAGGCTGCCGAACTCGAGTCGGAAGCTTCGTTCGACTCGATGGCCGACGCGTTCGAGACGGCCTACAACTTCCGATTCGAGCAGGGCGCCGAATCGCTGACGATCCCGACCTACTCGCGAACGTCCAAGGACTCGGCGCGACGCACGGACAACACACGCAAGCGCAAGCGAGAAGAGCGCGCGGAGCGCAAGGAGGAGGAGAAGCGACACAAGATGCAGGAGCTCGCGCGGCTCAAGAACCTCAAGCGCCAGGAGATCGTGGACAAGCTCAAGAAGCTGCGCGAGGTGACTGGGTCGAGCGTCGAGGATCTGCAGGGTCTCGACCTCGAGGGTGACTTTGACCCGGACGCGCACGACAAGGCCATGCAGAAGGCGTTTGGCGATGGCTACTACGAGGGCGAGGACGGCGACGAGAAGCCAACCTGGGACGACGACATCGACATTGACGACATCATTGAGGAGCACGAAGCTGCCACGGCCCCGGCCAAGAAGGGCAAGAAGGCGAAACCCGCGCACGACGCCGACGAGGACGACGAGGGACGCATCGAGATGGATGCCGACTTCCTCGACGGAGACGACGGTGGGGAGCAGGGAGCGGCTGGATCCAAAGAGGCAGCTATCCGCGCACGCCTGGCGGACAAGAAGCTGAGCAAGAAGGACCGCAAGAAGCTCAAGAAGAAGCTCAAGGCGGCGCTGTCCAAGGGCTCGTCTGCACCAGCCGACGGCTCGGACTCGGAAGCCGACGGTGTCGACGAGTCCATCATGGACGCCGACCGAGCCGGACCGTCATCGATGCCGACGTCTGCAGAGGACAAGAAGAAGATGGCCAAGGACATGATTGATTCGTACTACAACCTCGACTACGAAGACATGATTGGCGACCTGCCCACGCGCTTCAAGTACGCCCAGGTGGCACCTGCCGACTACGGCATGTCGGCCGTCGACATCTTGCTCGCCGACGACGAGCAGCTCAACCAGGTGGTGGGACTCAAGAACCTCCAGCCCTATCGTCGCGGCAAGAACCGTCCGATCGACCTGGGCAAGCGTCTGGGCACGTTCCGAAAGGAGGTCTACGGAAACACCTCCAAGACGCCCGACGGTGCCGACAAGCCGCAGAAGAAACGTCTGGGCAAGAAGGAGCGCAACCGTCTCAAGGCCGCCGAGTCCGAGCCAACCAAAGACGCCTAGTTGCACCAGTACGATTCGTCATCATCAGCATTGCAATGCAGGTTTTACATTCTTTTTCATCCCTGTTCCCGTCTAGACCTGCTAGGCATGTGTGTTTGTGCGATGGATGCTTACGCGCGCAGCGAGACGGTGGCGGGCAGCGGGTCAAGCACGTTGAGGACGCCGATCCAGCGCTGTGGATCCGGACGCGGCATGGGACCTGCCGAGGAGACGTCGAAGCGGTCGAGGAAGAGCAAGCAGAAGGCCTTGATCTCCGCCACTGCCCAGTAGCGACCGGGACACACGCGCATGCCGAATCCAAACGGCGTCCAGGTGCGCACCGTCTCGCCACCGATCTTGAACGGAGCCGGACGTCGGTCTGTCTCGAAGCGCGTCTCGTCAAACGGCTCAAGAGCGCCGTTATACTTGATGCCCTTGCCCTGTTGCTCGGGCCACCACTGCGGGTTGTGCTGGCTGTCGTGGACGTTCCAAAAGAGGAGCTGGAGCACGTCGCCCTGCTTGAGCTGCATGGGCACGATGGTGTTGTTGGGGCCGAGGGTGCGAACGACAGCGTCCTGCAGGCAGAAGCGCGGCACGTTCTGCGCACTGTACACGCGCAGGACTTCGTTGACAATGTTATCCAGCAACGGCAGGTTGTCGCCCTTGAGCAGGTCCGGGTTGGCAGCGATCTCGCCGACGGTCTTGGGCGCGCCAGTCGACTTCCTGAAGGTGTCGATCTCGGTGCGGAGACGCTGGACCATGTTGGGCTGCTGAAGGAGGAGGCTGATGATCCAGGCGCCCGAAAGAGGCGACTGGGTGGATCCGAGCCAGGTGGTGCGCACACAGATGGCGACGGCATCGCGGTGCGAGACGCCATGCTTTTGCTCGAGGTCGGCCATGAGTTCGCGCACCTGGAGCGAGCACTCGGACAGATGCTCGTCGATCTGCTGGAGCACAATGTTGAAGAAGCTGTCCCGCGCGGTGAGCGCTTCGGGAGGAGGGCAGCCGCGGGAGAAGGCGTTGAGCTCGGCGTCCCAGATGCAGAACGAGGCATACTGACCCTCGGGGAACGACTTTGTGAAGAGCGCCTCGACGGTGGACTGGAAGAAGCACACGCGGAGCTGCTGGAAGAGGTCGGAGGTGGCGCCGGGCTGCATGCGCTCGAATTGCCTCTGGACGGCGTCGACGAAACGCTGCTGGAGCGACGCGAGGCGGGAGCCGGAGAAGAGGTGCGACGAGTGCTTGACGTTGATCCCGCCACCCTCGCGAGCGAGCCAGTTGCCGGTTGTTTCCGAGATGCCCCACATGGGAGCGGCAAAGATGTGGAGCGGGCCGATGTCGAAGTGTTCGGGCTGCTCGATGACATCCTTGAGGGCGAGTGCGTCGCCGACGTAGACGCCCGAGCCACCCGTCGGCTCCACCATGCGGAAGACGTTGCCGTAGCGTTTGCGGCGAGCCAGCCAGTTGTCGCGCACGTTGCCCTGGTCCGGCACGCCCGTTTCTGGCGATTCATCGACGAGTGGCGGGCGCTGCAGCGATGCCGTGTCGGTGATGCCGCGCGATTTCTGCTTGAAGAGCAGCAGCACGACTGCGACTGCAGCAGCCACGGCTGCAATCCAGACGGAGGTGCCGTCGATCCGCAAGTCAATCATGGTAGGAAGCTGGCCGACCGCGATGGTGGTGTGGGAAAGGAAAAGATGTAGAGAGATAAGGCAGCGTTGGGAGAGGCGCTGTCGGAAGGATTCCGAAGCTCGCCCCTAGGCCTTTATCGGATCTGCCTCCTCAAGCCACTCTTGAGGCTCTGCAAAGGCGGAACTGCGAGATGCTTCCGGGCGGAGTTTGCGTTGCGTCCAGCGGGAAGCGCCGCTTTGACGCTGCGTCTTTTGCCTTGGCGCTGTACGGAAGCTTGATTCCCGACAGCCTTCGGGTTGCCACCGCCGGTGCTTGTCTTCCGGACGCACGGATGGTGCGGACGCGGTCTTGCCTCCGCCCAAGCGCCAGATCCAAGCGCTCCTCCTGCTTCCGCCCGCACTTTTCTGCGGCTGCACGCGCTTATTTAGCGACCAGGCAACTCTGTCTCAGGCTCGCCCTGACTATTTTTATTTTATTGTGCCTTTCGGCTAGCGGACTAGCGCCCACATGTACAGCCAATCGTAGGCTCACCATTTTCCAAGCTTGCGGATCCCTTTGATGGCCGGGTCGACCGACGTGGGAAAGTCATCCATCCATGGTGCGGATTCATGTTCGTCAGCTTAGACGGGAGCCGACGACAGCAGAAGCCAGCTGCTTGGCATACATGACAACAATGAGCCGCACATGCGCAATTCACTTCCTCATGAAGAATGAATTGACTGCAGTCGGGGCAGATCTAGGTTGCAGCGCAGATGGGATCTGCGTGCAATCTTGAAGCAGCAGAAGAGGCGCCGGGCGCCCCGAGAGATTTGAGTTGAATGCTCTTCATTTGTCTGCAGCTGGACGCGTCAAGCAGAGCCAGGCTGGCTGCTCCGCCATGGAAGGGCCCCTCGGGATTCGGCGTCCGGGTCTCGGAACACGAATCGGCAGGCCACTCCAAATTCGCGGCTGACCACGGCCAGACGCTGCCAAATTTCTTCTTCTTCTGCTGCCCCGAAGAAAAAAGAAGCTGGACCCTTCCGCTGCTCGTTGGCTATGTGGAGATCGGCCGGCCGGAGCGTCTGATCGTCGTCCTCCATCTTTGACCCCAGCTTCCATCCTCACCAGCGCTGCACTGCAGTTTTTCCCCAAACCTCGAGTAGCTGGCGCATCCTTGCGGTGGGCACAGAGTACTGCTAGCATGGCCGCCAATCGCGCCCAGCTCACGCTGAGGTTGCAACCTCTTCTTGCTACTCAGCACGCTCCACGCTTGGCTCTTGCTCGTACAAGCAGACGCCATGCCTCGTCATCGATTGTTCGCCAGTCAGATTACAAGTTCGATGACAGGAAAGCACCGCCGCCTCTCAGCAGTAGGAGGTCCTCCTTGTCGTCCTCCTCGCCGTCTTCCTCGCCGTCCTCTCCTGCCATCGACAAGACGTTCGTCCGCGGCGACGACACCAAAGCAAGGACCGTCTTCATCCGCCCAAAGGACGGCAACCATCTCGTCTCTGTCGTCCACACCCTCTCCCTCCTCGCTCAGCTCGCATCCAAATTTGGCCCGATTCAAAGCTTCCACTTCCCCCGCGAACCTAGCTCGCAGCGCCTTCTCGGCTACGGTAGTGTCACCTTCTTGGATCGAGAGAGCTTGCGCAAGGCACTCGCCAATGATGGCATCCACACTGTCGTACTTCCGCCCGTCCTTCCGTCAAGAGCGCCTCGAACCTATCTCTCGGACGAGGAGCACGAGCGTATCGTGGGCACAGCGCCTTTGATCAGCTGCGACGCTCCTTCCAAGCATGGATCGGCGTCTCAGACTCACCACTCGTCACGCTCCCTTCAGAACCCGTCCGCCTTGCGACCAGGCTGGACCGACATCGCTCCTCTCGTGAACATGGAAGCAGCTTTGTCGCCGCGCTACTATGTCGACGAGTCCAGGGCAACAGCAGAAACGCCAGAAGATGCCGTCATCGCCCACGACGCCTCCTTCTACCTCTCCACTTCCTCGGTGTCGGTCGAGATCAAGATGGAGCACAGGATCACCGCCTTGGCTAGTCGACCCGGCGCTCGAGCCGATCGCAGAAGCGAAGAATTGCGCAGGAATGTCCGTGCAGCTTTGCACCAGTTCGGCGGCTTCAACGACACCTTCAAAAACACTTTCAAAAGGTCGGAACACGAGGCTGAAGGAGGGTTCGGTGAAGGACACTTCGATCTAGAAGGGCTCAACGATCATCGGCACGGTCGCACCCGCAACTCTGGCTCTGCAGCAAGCGGTCATTCTCATGCTGGCTCTCGATCCGGCCCTGCATGGAACAGGCGCCCAGATTCTAGAATGCAGCGTGGTGGTCACGAAACAAGATCGCTCTCCACTTCCGCCACTGCGTTCAACAGCGAGATGTTCAAGGCCAAGCGCAAGGCAGAGTGGCAGCGCAATCGACACTCGAACTTCATCGACCAGCTCTACCTCCGCGTCACCGGCGGCAAAGGCGGCGACGGCTGCGTCTCTTTCCACCGCGAAAAGTACGTCCAGTTCGGCCCGCCATCGGGAGGCAACGGCGGCTCGGGCGGCTCCATCTACATCCGTGCCGTGGAAGGACCCACGACGCTCGCGCGCATCTCGCGTCGCTTTCGCGGCGCAGACGGTCCGCATGGACAAGGCAGCTTCTTGCACGGCAAGAAAGTCGAGGATAAGGTCGTCGAGGTGCCTGTTGGAACTGTGGTCACGGCGACTCGGCGCCTACGCATCCCCGAGGAAGTCGAGGCCGAGACGTACTATCAGGACCTGCTCAGGCGTGCGGCTAAGGCCAAGTGGGATCCAACCGGTCTGGTAGCAAAGGAGGACATCGTGCTTGCCGCCGAACACGAGGAGCGCAGCCGTCTCGCGAGATTGCAGCCACCCGTGGAAGCGGACCAGCAGGCAGTCAGCCAGACCGAGGTGTCCGAGCTCGATTCGACCGAAGACGGAGCAGCGTCCGGCGCGGAGAAAGCCAACGAAGCTGAAGAGGAGATCGATGGAGAGGACCTGCTTGATCCTGAAGACGCGCGTCAGTTGCAGCTGCTACGTGACCGCGTCTGGCGCCACTATCCTCGGGCGGAGGAGACCTACTACCGACGCAACGAGTTTCGAGCCGCCGAGATGCGCCTGGCGATCGATCGCCGTCGCCGCCGCCGATACCAGGCACAGGCTCAGGCTGCGCTCGCTGCTGCGGCTCACACCGTCGCATCGTCTTCTATCGCGGCCGATCAGTCTTCCGCCGCATCGGTCACTCCATACGAGGATGAGGAGCCGCTCGAGCAGCCCTGGCGCATCGACCTCGACGAGCCCACGCCCGCCGACTCACCGGGCATCCTGCTCGCTGCAGGAGGCCGAGGCGGCTTGGGCAACCCCACGTTTCTGTCGTCTGCGAACCGCTCACCCAAGTTCGCCACCAAGGGCGAATGGGGAGAGGCGCTCGAGGTGATGCTGGAGCTCAAGCGGCCTTCGGACATCGGGCTTGTGGGTCTGCCCAATGCGGGCAAGTCGACCATCCTTCGATCCATCTCGGCGTCCAAGGCGCAGGTGGGCCACTGGCGCTTCACTACGCTCTCGCCCAACCTGGGCGTGGTGCGTCTGGGACAAGACGGCAGTGTCATGGGTGTCGACGATTCCGAGGTGCAGGAGGGTTACGGACACGACCGGGACGGCAGTGCGACTGATGCGGACATGCCGTCGGATGCCGAGGAGTTCCGACTGGTGCTTTCGGACATTCCCGGTCTCATCGATGGCGCGGCTGACAACCGCGGCCTTGGCCATACGTTCCTGCGACACATTGAGCGATGCTCGATCCTGGCGTATGTACTGGACCTCACCGAGCCCGAGCCGTGGAAAGACCTGGGCGTGCTGCACAACGAGCTGGCTTCGTATCGCTCCGACTTGCCAGCCAAGGCTCGGCTGGTGATCATCAACAAGGCGGACCAGTTCACGACGCCCGACGAGATCGAGGCTGCCAAGACCAAGATCGACCGCATCCGACGCCAGGTCAACGAGATCTGGGAGGATCAGCAGGCGCTGAGGACGGGCGAGGTCAATCAGGGCGCCGAGCGTGCTCCCATGAAGGTGCTCACGCTTTCGGCCAAGAAGAAGCAGGGAACACAGGGGTTGGCCAAGACACTGGTTGAGCTGCTCAGGGAAGCTCGAAGCGAGGCGCAACAGGATGTCGAGTCAGCTGAATAGGCACCACACAGGATCACTCGGCGTGTTGTACAACAATTGCTTTTCCGGGGATGCAGAACCTTGTAGAGACAGTGAGAGTGAAGCAAACAGCTGTGATGGATGGGACGGGGTGCGGGTGCTCAACCTGTGGGGGTAAGGGAGCTAGCTCCGCGAGAGGGTTCGCGGGATGTGGGAGTGTTGGAGATGCTTAGCACTTGAAGCCGTTGGGCCTCTTGGTGGGGTCCTTGGGGATCCAACCGTACTGGAGGCCCTTTTGGTAGCTCCAGTCCTCTGCGGCCTTGGGTTCGGTCTTCCAGGTCCACATGAGCCAACCGATGCCGGCCTCATACGAGTCGACCTGGGACTCCCACATGGTGCCGAGGAGGCGCTTGTAGTTGTCGGAGAAGCCGGAGGCGTCGCCGGTCTTTGGGCCGCACGAGTTGATCTTGCCCTTGCTGCCGGTGAAGGTGCCATCGTACCTGGCACCACGACCACGGCCGTTGAGACCCTGGGCACAGTCGGTAAAGGCGGGGGTCCACTCGCCAAGCAGCTGGTAGTGCACCTTGTTGGCGGCGGCGATCTTGGGCTTGAGCGAGCAGTAGTAGCCGGTGCGGTCCTTGCTCGAGAGGCGCAGCGAGTTGTCGTCAAAGATGGTGTAGATGTGCGAGTCGACCGAGACGGCCTCGTACTGGGGCGGGAGCAGCTTGTCGTTCCAGTAGTTGGACCAGGCGGGCGACATGAATTCGTCGCCGATGACGACGAGCAGCGGAGACTCGGCGGCGTTGCGACCGTTGGGGTAGCGCACCACCTCGTAGCCGCGCTTGTAGAAGTCGAGCACGACGTTTTGGTCGGTGACGGGCTCGTTGAGCAGCTCAATGGCAGTCACCGAGTTGGCGTACTTGGCCTGGGAGAACTCGCGCGACATGGTCTGGAGCACGTTGAGCGTGCGCTGCACGTTGGTGGCGTTGCCTGCCCAGGCGTTGACACCTCGCCTGCCTCCGTGGTCGAAGCCGTTCTGGTTGCCCGGCGCAGCGTGCAGGTCGACGAGCACCTTGAGGTTGTACTTGCCAGCCCAAACTGCGGCCTGCTTGAGCAGGTCCCACTGGTTGAGCTTGAGGAAAGGCTCGCCGGAGCCCACCTCAAAGGCCCAGTAGCCGATGGGGATGCGGACGTGGTTGAGACCGGCGGCGGCCATCTGCCTGAAGTCGTCCTCGCTGACAAACGAGTTGAGGTGGTTCTGCAGGATGGAGACGGCCTTGTTGCGCGGCTGGAGCGAGCCAAAGGTCCACTCGTCGATGATCTTGGGGTTGCCCGTCTGACCGTAGATGCTGGGCGTGATGAAGTTTTCGACGACGAGCCAACCGCCGAGCGAGACACCGCGCACCTTGCGGTTGCCATTCTGGTAGGGGAAGCGAAGAGCGGGCAGCGCACGCTTGTCGAAAGAGTCGGCGGCGCGCTCGATGTTGTTGATGGTGCGGCGGTGGCGCTTCATGAGCTTGGAGACGGGCGATGCGGTGAGCACGTCGGTGACCTTGTCCATGATCTGGGTGGCGATGAGCTTGGGCGCAACATCCGAGGCACCGCGAGAGTTGGCGGTGGTGACCGGGATCTTGACCTTCTGGTCGCTGGCATTGCCGCTTTCGTTGGTGATGGCACCTGCCACAGCAGAGCCTGCCAGCAGCGCGCCGGCGAAGAGCGTCGAAAACTTCATCTGTACAGAGCCGAGGCCAAAGGAGCGTGTCGAAGAACCACGATCGGGAAGGGAACGGGAACCGGGGAAGGGGAAGCAACAAGCGGAGGGGAGAGGATGATGGGGAAAAGGAAGGCGGAGTGGCTCAAGCAGGCAAGGTTCGTATATATCAGTCAAGCCCAGCGAAGACTGTTGAAAAAGCATCAGGCGGAGAGGGGCTCTACAGGGTCATGCATGCCGAGAGGCGGCCAGAGCGTTGGGCGGGAGCAGAGTGGAAGACACGATGAGCCCGGGACAAAAGGACGACAAACAGCATCAGGGCGGACCTTGCATGGAAGATGCATTGGAACGCTTGGTAAACAGGAGTGCGGAGTGGGGGCATTGGAAAAGGTACAGGAGCACACGGGAGGAGGAGCAGCATTCCTTGGGGAATGTGGCGTGTATGCAGGCCAGCTGTCTCGTCCCTCTACCGCTTGGCATGAATTGGTGTTGGCGCTGTCAGGCTACGTGCAGGAGGCCCTCACAGCTCGGAGGTCCAAGTTGTACACAGGACGGTGCGATGCACGCTCGAGCCGCTGTGCTTTGAGGTGCACATGGTCTACCTAGGCCGACGGGCGTCAGAGCGTTGTCAGGGCGGCGGAATGACGGGGAGAGAAAGATCGACAGGTCGGCGTTGCAGATCTGTGCAGCTCAACTCAGGCGGGGCATTGGCTGAAAACGAGAGGGGCACGTCTCAAGGCCATCCGACCAAATATTAGGTGCATTCGCCAGCGGCACACCTTCAACTCCGCTCGGGGCGCGACACGAGTTTGCCAGCCGGGCTCTGCTGATCGGCAACGCACAGCGTCTTCTGGTCAAAGTCGGGCAAGTGCTACATCGGATGGAAGCATCACGAAACGCCGTCGACGCCACCGTTGAAGGCGCGAGCGAGGCGCGGGAAGGCTCGCGTCGAGGGAGGCGGAGCAGCGGGATGGAATAGGTCACTCGAGAGTTGGAATGTCGGAGCGGCCCAGCCTCACCACGCCCAGCCACGCCCAGCCACGCCTAGCCGATCCGAGTGTGGGGCACTTCCGGCCGCTCAACTGCAACGCCCTGGTATCGCGGATTCATGCTCAGCATTCCGAATGCAATGTGGATGGACAGCATGACTTTTGCATCGGATCTGCCAAGGCGACAAGCCAAGGCGACCAGAAGGGTGTCGCCGCGTTTCAAGCAAACGCGCGGCGAAACCAACACATCAACACCCTCTCCACGCTCGGCTCAGCCGGGCAGCAGCACCGCGTTGCTGTGCGCTGCTGCGCGTTCGAATTTCAAGCCGGAATGCCCAGAGACGCGCGTGCCAGTCTCCGTGCCGCCTCCGGAGCATCCCTGCAGCTGGCTTTCCCGTGCGAGAGAATAAATCCCCCCAGCCACTCTCCGCGACGCGACTCAGCGAGCGAGCGTCTGAGCGTCTGGGCGCCGAGCGGCTGTCGGGCTCTCTCGCCCCACGCGACATCTGCGAGGCAGGCGGCGCAAAGCGAGTGTGCGCAGGCGGCCGAGCGAGTCTCGGAAGTCGCGACTGGAAGCGGGCGACTTCCGACTCGTCCCCCGACGCGCTCTCCTCGCCCAAACGCTCATTCTTGCGCTCGCCATCCGTTCTTCTTGCCGCTGGCCCTCCCTAGCAACGCTGCCGCCGTCTTCATTCTCGCGGCACCGCACTTCCGCTCTTTGTCGCTCCTTAGCCGCCTCGCCTCGACATACTGGACACTCGCTTCTTGACGCAACTCGTCCGCCTACACAGGTCACTCCTTCTCCCTGGCTGCAGCTCAACAACACCAACACCACCACACTGGCTCGGTTTCGCTGCGCTCGTCGGACTACCGGCCCACCGCATATTTCACAAACATGTCCAAATCCAGCAAAGTAGAACTGCCACAGTGGGGCAGGGTGCTCGTCACCGGCGGCATCGACTGGCCAACCCTCGGCCGCAAGGCCACCAAGAACGGACCTCCACTTAGCGTCAACCCAGACCAGTAAGCAGCCTCTCTCCTTCCTCCTCTCTCCGCACATCAAGCTCAAAATGACTGAATCTCGTTCGCCTCCTCGTTCGATTTCGCAGCCCGGACTTGCCAGCGCCGCACATCCTGCGTTCGGTCTCCAATGTGCGCATGAAGCGCATCTTTTCATCCCACTCCTCCTGCCACGCCGTCTTGTTGTCCGTCGATGGCGACGTATACATCATCGGCCGCAACGAGCATGGGCAGTGCGGTCTTCCCATCCGCCCCGTCCCCGGATCCTCCAAGCCCTCGGGCGTAGCCGTCTGGGACGCCTACATGCTCGACGCAGCCACCGATTTTTCGCCAGCGCTACCATCCGGCCCCAAGGGGCACATTGTCGCAGCCGCGTGCGGCAGATCACACACGCTCCTCATTACCGCAGGCGGCTCCGTCTACTCGGCCGGTCTCAACACCTCGGGCCAGTGCGGCCATCCAGAGTCGCAGACCGTGCCCCTCTTTACGCGCATCGAGACGGGCGCGTTCATCAAGGAGCGCGATCCCGTCGTCGCTGCGTCGTGCGGTCTCACCTTCTCCATGCTCCTCACCCAGTCCGGCAAGCTCTACACCATGGGCTCGTCCGAAAAGGGCCAGCTCGGCAACGGCCGAACCGGCGAGCACTTCACTTCCAACAACCGCCTTGCATTCAACACGTTTTCCGAGCCCTTCCTGGTCAAGCAGCTCGCGGACAAGAACATCACCAGCATCGCGTGTGGGCAGCAGCACTCCATCGCTCTCGACGACCAGGGCTACGTCTACGTCTGGGGCTTTGGCGGCTACGGCCGTCTCGGCCTTGGCTCGCAGCAGGACCAGTTGACGCCCACCTTGGTGCCGCAGTTTGCGCGTGAAAACGTGCTGATGCGCGCAAAGTCCATCTACGCCGGTCCCACCAACTCGGCCGTTGTCGACGGCCAGAGCATGTTCTGGATCGCGGGCAAGTGGAAGACCTCCGGCGACGGTTCCGCAGGCCAGGGCTTCATGACGTTCAAGTACCTTCCGGACATGATGGGCGTCAAGGTCACCAACTCGGGCCTCGGCGGCGTCACGCTCCTCTGTACCGCCATCGAGGAGGCTTCGCTGCAGGGCGAGCACGGCGCGACGATGAACATCTGCTGGGGTCAGAACGCCAACTGTGGCGAGCTCGGTCTGGGCGAGGGCAAGCCACGGTCGGCCACCAAGCCGCTTCGGTGCGAGACGCTCGACGGCATCGCCATCCTCGACATTGCGGCGGCGCAGAACACCACATTCTACCTGGCGCGCAACATGGGCGAGCGCTACGGCGAGCTGCCACGCTGGCCCGAGGTGGTGCCAAGCCAGGAGGTGTGCATGGTCTGCGGGCGCGAGGAGGGCGAGGGCGGCGAGGACAATGCGCTGCTCGAGTGCGAAAAGTGCGAAAACCCCTGGCACCTCCACTGCCTCTCGCCCAAGCTCTCCGAGATCCCCGAAGGCGAATGGCACTGCCCCAACTGTCAGCCACCCACCGCTGCGAGCAAGTCCAACTCCAACGGCAAGCGCGCCAACGCCGACTCGGACGACGAAGAAGACGCAGCTCCCACCAACGCCAAGAAGCGCAGGTCCTGAACATCGATTCTGAGAAAGTTTAAACGAAACGGAATTCCCCACAGACTCCCTCCCGACATCCTCTTCACTCGCATGTAACACTACCCCCCCCCCCCCTCCTCGTCCGAAGCACGCGTTCGCACGCATCCATCCCACCCGTCTCGCGCTACGGCTGGAAATGTACTTTTGTTGTCTTGCCTGTTCCAGCCACCGAGACCTGTGATGAAAGGACGTTGCAGACGAGGGGCATGAATGGAAGCCCGATGCTTGAACCGATTTGTCCATCGGCGATTTTCAGGTGCCGGTCCGCCGAGCAGACCGAGATTGCGGCAGCCAGGCGCAATCTAAATTCAGCCTCGCTGGAGCCTAGCCATTGTCGAGTGTGACATGAGAATGGCAGTCCATCTCGAAACGAGCCAAGCCACAGGGTGCAAAGAACTGCATTTGCTTCTTTTCTTTTTTGTTCCCTTTTTGCATCGAATATTTTCGACTCATTTTTGGATCGGCGTTTTGGAACTCAGCTGAGGCCCCACCGCGTGGCCACGCTAAAAAAGCACTTACCGCTCGCACACTTTCTACTTCCGGATGGAAATATTAATAACAACGCCGGTCCAGCCGCTCGCCCCGCCCCACCTTATCGCTGGTCTGGGCCAAACTGACAGTACTTGAGTGTGCTACCTCGTTACATCTTTGCAGGAATCTCAAATCGATGAACGAATGCCGTCAAGAGACGAGATGGATTGCGTCTGGGGAGGCGTTGTGGGCCGGAATATACGAGCCGAGGCTGCGACGTCTGGCTTTCGTTTTTTTGACGTGAGGTGATGTGGCTCGGTTGCAGCCGAGTCGCAGGCGTGGTGGGCCCCACGCCAAGGCACCACCGCATCATCTTGCCTCGTTCGCCGCATTTTGCACTTGACCGATGATCGCCCTGTCAGGGTCCGACCGGCTCGCTCCCTCGCTGTTTGCTATTCCGCGGTGCAGCTGATCCGCCCTGCAGCCACCTGGCAGGGTTGCGTGGCAAGCTAAGCGATAAAACACTGTGAGCGGTTCCTGATCCTCGCCGGTCGCTCTCAAGTCTGGCCATCACGGCCTTGAAGCAATCTCCGACTTGACACTCCGCAGTCCATTCGCCCTTCCTTGCCCTTTCCGGTGATATTTTCCCAGCACACACACACACATACACATGCTCACCCTCTGCATGTCTTGCCCATTCACCTGCAGCGACCATTTACCTGGTCCCCATCACGGTCAACACGGCGACTCAAGCCTGCTCGTTTCCGTCACAATGACCCTCGCTATGCTTGGCATCGGGCAGTGTTCGTACACCGCCATTCCGCCATCCGCATTCTTCGCCCTCGCCTGGAACGAAACCTTCTGATGAGCCACTTCTTCGCCGCCCTTCAGGCTGAGACTCATTTTTTGTACGTGATGGCGCATGAAAACACCGGCCGTTTCTGGTGGGCTGCGCCTCCGCCACTATTGTCCCATGTCTCGAAGCTTTGTAGCCAAAGTGAGCGCGTCTGATGACCGAGTCGATGCTCTGGGGGCTCGCTTGCATGTGATCTTGTGGTACCCTGACTTCCAGATGCGCCTGGAGCCGTCGGAACAGCTTTCAGGCGAGACTGTACCACTGGACTCTTGTTCGCTGCGGCGACCCCATTCTTTCCATATAAGCAGAGCGTTTCTTGCTTTCGAAAGCCCTAGGACTTCCCTTTCGTCCCATACCTACTCAGCCCTCTGCGACCACCTTTCCCGACCTCTCGGACGGTGATAGTCAGTAGAAGGCAAAGGCTGCAACAAGTATTTTTCTGTCGAGCACTCAGTTGATCGCCTCGGCCCGTCCAGCAGCCTTTCATCGCCAAAAATGGATCCAACTGCTCCAACGCAGGGTGCATCAGCCCCCAACGATACCTCTTCGTCGCAAGCACAGCCTACTTCGCCCAGTGCTCGCCAGTCTAGGATTCGTCAGAGCGCTTCGGAATCTTCGACACCCATCAACTTTGCCCGTCCTCTCTTTTCCCGTTCGCAAGGGGAATCCGAAGATGCTGATTACTTCGGCTCAAGTACGGGGGTTGACGATGCCGACGAGGCGAATTGGAGGGACGAGCCCTCGATGAGCGGCTCGGATCGCCGTGCGCTCCATGCCTCGTTCTCCTCCGATCACTTCTCCCGCCCTTCCACCCCGCTCAAGATCCGCAGAAGGGGCATGATCAACGACAAGAAGCTCACCATCAGCGTCGGCACGTCGTCGTCCAAGTCGAGTTCAGGAAGACGTGTGGCGTCCGACTCTGCCACCTCGGCTTCGAGCGAGCTTCCTGCCAGGCCAGCGGCAGCTGCACTTGCGCTATCGCACCGATCCGCGAAACGCACTATGGACAGCTCGGACTCCAACATGTCAATGCTGTCGCCAAGGAGTAGACCTGCAAGTCCAAGGAAGAATTCTTCTCCCAGAGAGGAAGGTACGAGTCCTGGAGGTGGTATCCGGCGGTACATGCCGTTCACCCCGGTCAAGAAGAGTCCGTTGGCGGACAAGGGCAACAGCCCTACTGCGGCTTCGACGACGCCGAGCTCGAGCTCGATGCCTTCGTCCGCGGCGGGAAGCTCCAACAGCGGACGCTCGGACAAGCCGCTCATCTCAGGGCCGCGCTACGGCTTCAATCCGGACTTTCAGCTGGGCTCGTCTGACTGCAAGGCGACTGGCTCCAAGTTGTCGCCGAAATCCTCGTCGCCCACTTCTGTGCGTCAGGGAGGCTCGCCTGCCAAGCCGTCGCCTACCTACTCGGGCTCGTCCGTTGGTGGAGTCAAATCCATGCTCTACTCGAACCAGCGCAATCCTCCTCTGCCACTGAGCCCGCGAGCACCGATGTACTCGCAGCGCTCGCCAGGAGCGGCTGCTTCCAGGCAGCAGAGCGAGCCACGTACGCCTCGTACGCCCAAAACCCCGCGCACGCCACGAACGCCGCTCACGGCACGACTGCCCAACACACCGCACTCGGCGAGACCGGGCGTGCATACGGGCGGCTCGTACCAGGGTGTGCTGCTCACCACCATCACGCGTGCGCCTTCCGATCCGCGCGTACCAACCGAGGGACCGCTCACCGAGTCCAGCACACAAGCCTCGGCGCGTAAAGGCAGGAACCGAAGCGCGAGCATCGCCACGGATATCCTCACATTTGTTCGCGGCGGTGCAGCCGAGGTCGTTCCCAGGCTCGAGCTGCGCGTCTTGGAGAGGCAGCGTCAGTCACAGCTGTATAGTCTCGACACCAACCACGTCGAGGCCGAAGATAAGCGAGCCAAGAGACACTCGGTTGCTGCTGTCCAGCCGGCGCAAGCTCGTGGCAGTGCCCCCGTAGGTGATGTGGACGGCGACGAGGACGACGTTTCGCCGCGTTCGAGTTCGTTTGCTCGGTCTGCGGCCCTGTCCAAGCTCACGGGCAAGCGAGCCTCCACGGCGAGCGCCAGGATGGTCCGTCGCACAAGCGAGGCGCCTAGTATCGGCTCGCGCGTAGGCTACCGCCCGCACTACAAGGAGAGGCGTCTGACGGCTGCTACTACTGCCTCGCGTGTCTCGGGTGTCTCGGATCGTTCGCGTCGCTCGGCTCGCTCCAATCTGTCCAGGAGAGTGTCGATGCCGGTAGCGACAGTGGCAAGTCTCAAGTCGAAACAACCGAACCGCCGTCTTTCGCTGGCGCCGTCGTCGATGCGCGGTCGTCGTGATAGCAGCATGCAGCCCGACAACAGCGACAGTGAGGACGAATCCGACCTCCTCGCCGAGCTCGACAATCACGTCAACAACGTCGCTGATGCAAAGCGTTGGATTTTGGGATACCGCACGCAGTATGACGTGACGGGACCACTCGCTATGGGCAGGGACGTGGTGGAGGATGGACGTGCGGTGTCGGCCATGAGAAGGCCTACGTATGCCGCCTCCGTCTTCCAGCAGGCTAGGCTCATGGAGGCCGAGCGCAAGGCTGGCGCAGCACTCGTGTCGTCGTCGGCGCTCGACGTCGCCAACGCATCCGCCGCCAACCTGCACGTGCCAGGCACACCGTTTCCCTTCGGCCTTCCTCCACGCACGCCTGGCTTCCCCAAGACGCCCCTCACTGCTTTCCCCACCGACGCACAGCTTGCAGGCGAGGCCGATCCTTCTGCTGGTCCCCAGGTTCTGGATGCTCCGGAAGAGCCGAGCTGGAGCGACAAGACAAAGTACTGGCTCAAGGCGCCATTCCGCTTCGTCGCGCGGCAGATCGACCCCAAGTATGTGCTGACCATGATGGATCCGCGCGAAATCATCTTGCCCATCACGGTGCGCAAGGTGGCGCTGTGGATCGTGTACGGCGGGCTGATCGCCATGCTGGTCCTGCTCGACCACTACTATCACTGGTGGGCCAAGTTCGATCATGCTGTGCACGGCAAGAACCTGGCGATCATGGGTGTATTGTACGGCTTTGAGCCGGCGATGATCCTGGTCATCATGCTCGTGGCTCGGGTGCCCGATGCGCGCGTTGTACCTGATCGCACTGTGCTTGTTCCCCGCGCGCGCGACAGAACCGACGGCGAGTCGGACGCAGATTCGCGCTCAAGCATGAGCAGCGACGAGTCGGTCGATGACGCGCAGCTTGCGACGCAGATGCACTCGACCATCATCGAAGAGGAGCATACCGAGTCCGAGGAGGAACAGGGACAGGACAACGAGAGTGGCATCATCGACCGGGATGGCCATGCTGCTGTGAGACGTGCGTCGGGCCTGCTCAAGCCACCAATGCGCCGAATGTCGACCAGGTTCACCGGGAACTCGGGCGGATCTGCAGGCGGTGCCGAGAGGAGGGGCAGCGAAGGCACGACAGCGTCTGGACTTGCGGTGCCCAGGACGCCCATGTTCGACCCGCGCAACAGGAGGAGCACGATCATCCTGCACGAGCCGCTCAACGTGGGTGGTTTTGTGGATGAGAGCGAGTCGCGACGCCCGAGCGCGGCTTCGGTACAGCACCAGATCGCGCTGGCTAGGAGTGTGAGCCGCGACTCACGACGCGCATCGTACTTCAGCATCGTGGCAGCTGCCGCTGGTTCGCGACTGGGCGCGGCGTCGCCTTCCCCTGCCCATGAAGCAGGAGTCGTCGGCGACATGAACGAAAAGAAAGACGACGCAGACGACGAGAAGAAGGAGGCGCAGCTTAGCGACGTGAAAGGAGACGGCGAGGTTCGCGTTGCGATGGACGGAGTGTCGCACCCGTCGCTCACCGAGTCGACTGGGCTGATCATACCGTGCCACAATGCGGACGTCGAGGTGCTCAAGGCGGTGCTGTTTGCGGCGCTGGTGCATTTCGAGCCGTGGCAGATCTTCATTGTGGATAACGGCAACACGAAGTCGCCGCCGACGGACATGGAAGGCGCGATCCGATCGCAACCGATGTTCTCGCGCGTCAACTACATCTGGCTGCCGGTGGGCAACAAGAACATCGCGCAGTTTGTGGGCGCCAAGGCGGCGGCCAAGCTGGATCTGGACTACGTGCTAACGATCGACGACGACGTAATCATCCCGGCCAATTTTGCTGCGCCGATGCACATTATCTCGCCGACGGTGACGGCGGTATGCTATCCGATCACGGCGGTGGACCACAAGGGTGACCGACCGCTGTTTGTCGGGTGGCAGGATGTGGAGTACAAGATGTCGGCGCTGGCCAAGATGGCCGAATCGAAGCTGTGCGGCGTGCTATTCCCGCATGGAGCGGCGAGTTTCTGGAGGCGCGAGACGATGATCGAGGTGCTGCGCCGACACGATCTAATCTACTTTGCCGACGACGTCAAGATGGGATTGGAGCTGCAGGCGCTCGGGCAGCGCATGGGTATCGATGCGAGCATTTCGTTCGAGACGGTGGCGCCCGAGACCTTCCTGGGTCCGCCGGTGAATGGTACGGGTAACTACTACCACCAGCGCGTGCGCTCGTGGGAGATGGCGCGCCACACGCTCTACTGGCAGTTCTCCAAGCGCTTCCTGTTTTCGCTCAACGGCGCACGCACGCCGGTGGCGATCGGATGGCAAAAGTTCACGCAGTTCTACAACTCGATCACCAACTTTATCGACTGGATCCGCCTGCCCATGTTCGTGCTGCTGGGCGGTTCGGGCCAGTTTTGGCTGCGCAGCTTTGCGTTCATCCTCTTCCTGCCCGTGCTGCCGCTGCTGCCGTACCGATTCATCAAGACGCGCAATCGCCCGGACCTGCACCCGCACATGCTCGACATGCTCACGTTTGGCGTGTACAAGCTGTTGTACAGCGTGGTGTGCATCCTGGGCGGTCTGCGCTCGATGCTCGTCTTCTTCCCCAACCACTCGCACAAGCCGAACCTGATCGAGATGGAGAAGAAGGGCGATGCGAGGTGCATCTGGCTGCGCGACGACTTCATGGCCAACAGCGGAGGCCAGGGCGATCTTCGCGACGAGCCACAGCAGATCCTAGTCGACGAAGAGGTGTTGGAGGCTGCAGCGGTCGACGAGCAGGAGCAGGAGCAGGACAGCGCCGTCGTGGCTGCACTGCCGGAGCATGCGCCGCAAGCGCAAGAGATGCAGGAGGTTGCAGTAGTCAATGTCGCCCTGCCGTCGCGAAGCCGCGAGGAGCTACCCACTGTACACGAGAACCACTAGACATGCACTGAATGACACTCACACGCATGTCAAGTGGCCGAGGTATGAAGCTGTGGGGGTGGCAAAGTCAGATTGAATCGGGAGATGAAGACCAGCGCGGATCATGAGCAGGCTCAGCGGTTCAAGGTGGGAACGGCAGATGTGCTGCAGCTGCGCTAGCCTGTTTGAAATTTGAATTTTCGGCTGGTGAGCACTTGGCCGGGCTGTATGCCGGCTTCCGGCTTGAATGCAATCGAGCTGTCAAAAGGTGCACGCGAAGCGGCTGCAGTCATGCACGCTTCGCCGAGACCCCGAGCCGATGGGGCAGCATACAGCCGCATCACCGAGCCAAGCGCTCTGTCGCCAGCCAAAAGCCACCGCCGAGTATGGCTGCATCCGAAAACTCCGACCCTACCAAGCCTTCTTGCTTTAAACCACTTGTGAGGCGGCTCGGCCACTCGATTGATCAGCTGCATACAATCTTGGCTGCCTGACCCCGACGATCCCTCACGTGGGTGGCGGCAGAAGAGCAGCAGCAAGCGCATTGATGGAGCTCGCCGAGCTGCACGTCGAAGATCATCTTACCGTCTGCACTGGACATCTCAATTTGCAGATCGTTCCGCTCCCCATGCTTTCCCGCCTTGCCTTACCTCTGAAGGTGGCGCTCTACGAAGGGTTGGGCTTGCCAAGGAACTCGATGCGCCAGCGCAAGCTCGAGTGCTCCGGAGTTTCTGTGAACGCAGCGTGGAGTGGGATGCGCCTGGCTCGGTGTTTCGCGTGGCTTCTCCGGGTCTGCTTAGACCCTGCATGGTGCGATCCATGGACGGTGCAGCCTCGCAGCGTGGGATAGGAGTCTCAGCCTCGCCAAGCCATGCCATCCTCCGTATACGCGCCCGGAAGCCAGCACGCCACGCCAATGATGCCCTCGGACTTGCCGGCAGCCCCATGCGATTTCGGCAGCATCGCGGCTGTCGCAAGCCACCGGAGCAGGTGCGGCTTGGCAGCACTGTATGCGTCAAATCTCCGCACCCGTTCTCGGCACTTTGATGCTCGCCATTATCGCCGTCGCCTCCCTTCGCTCAACCTCCCTTCGCTCAAGACATCGGATGAGGCCCGAAAGAGTATAAAGATGAGTAGGGCGCCGGTCGCGTTCCGAATCTCGTCCCCATCTGCTTCCCCCTCTCCCTCCCCCTTCCCTTTCCTTCCCTTGGCGTGTTATCACCCCTGGCGTGTTCTCACCCCTGACGACCGCATCCTTGCCGCATTCGACGGCCGACAGCCACCACACTCGTTTTGTCTCCCACGCTCATTTCAACACGGTCTCCAGGATCCGCATATATACAGCAGTCACCGGCACACGTTCCGAATAGACCGCCCAAGTCAGCATGGTCAATCTCGCACTTAAGCTGAGCGTCGTCGTTCAGACGGCGCTCCTCCTACTTGCGCTGCAGCACGCCACCACTCCCGCAAACGCCTTCTTCGGACGCGGTCGTCCCGCAGGCTTCAACTCGACCGATATCGTGTCGCGCTACGCCGACGTGGAGACTTCCGATCCTGTCATACAGCGCGCCGCCAACGCACAGCCTTCTAGCAAAGGTGCTCAGACTTACGAGAACAACGAGGACGGCAACGATGATGACGATGACGACGAATACGACGTGCTCGAGATCATCACCTCGTTCGAACCCGAACAGGATGAGGCCGTCGGGGCTGGCAAGATGCGCAAGCGTGGCGGACCTACCCCGTGTCCCGCACAGCACACGCAGCGCCAGCGTCGCTCGCTCCAGACTCCTCTCCCACACCACAAGCGCGAGTCCGAGCCCGAGACTTACCACGAGGAAGAAGAGGTCACCAAGACCATTCATCAGACTGTCAACCGCAGATGCACTCAGAACGCTCGTCGCGCACCGCAGCCTACGCCTCAGACCAAGCCCAAGCAGCTCAAGAAGCGCTACGTGTCCAACTTTCAGCCTCCCGCCGGATACCGCTACTCGTGGGGAATTGACGGCTCTCGTGTCTCTTACGGTACCTTTACAGGTCAATACCTCAGCCGCACCACGATCTTTGGCGCTTCCGCTGTTGGCCAGAGCGAGGTCGACACCTGCAGCGCACGATGCGAAAATACAAACGGTTGCGGCTTCTTCCACCCCGTCCAGATGAACGGCGGCTCCGAAGGCGCCGTCATCTGTGTTCTATACACCGTCAAACAGTCCAAGTCCGCGGCCACTTGGACTGGCGGAGCGGGAAGCGCAGGCGGCTCCGTCGCCTTTTCTTACGGCTTTACGCGCAATGCTGGTGCCGCCGCCGGCGTCGCCAACTTCCAAGCTCCCTCGGGCTACCTCTTCTCGTGGGGCATTGAAGGAGCGCGTGTCTCCTACGGCACTTCTACCGGCCAGTACATCAGTCGATCCACCATCGTCGGCGCCACTGTCGTGGGTCAGAACGAGGTCGCCACGTGCAGTGCTAGATGTAACGATGCCAAGGGATGTGGATTCTTCCATCCCATCCAGATGAGCGGAGGCTCTGCAGGCGCCGTCATTTGCGCTCTCTACACCGTCGAGCAGCCCAAGTCGGCCGCGACCTGGACCAAGGGCGCCGGAAGCGCAGGTGGTGACGTCAAGCTCTCGTACGGCCTGATTCGCAACGCTGGTCCTTCTCCCGGCAACCCAGCCGCTACCACGTCGGTAAAGACTACTTCCACCACGGCCAAAACTACTTCCACCACGCCCAAGCCCACAACCAGCTCGACGTCCAGCCGTGCAACCACCACCTCGACGTCGTCTACCCCGAAGACAACCACTTCGTCCTCCAGTCCGGTTCCTACCACCTCGTCCACCTCGACTAGGAGCTCCACTTCTTCCACTTCGACGAGGAGCTCCACTTCGTCCACCACATCCACCTCAACGAGGAGCTCCACTTCGTCCACATCCACGAGGACGTCCATTTCAACCACGTCGACCACGAGCTCTACTTCCTCGTCCAAGACGACGTCCTCCACCTCCTCCTCGTCTTCTTCGACCACATCGTCGTCTACCTCGTCATCTACCTCCAGCACCGTCACGCCGACACCCACGCCCAAGGTCTACTCGCTCATGGCCAACTACAAGGGCGCCAACTTCTACGACAACATGTACTTCTTCACCTTCAAGGACCCGACCAACGGCATGGTCGACTATGTCGGACGCAACGAGGCTTCTTCGCTCGGATTGGTCAAGACGACCAGCGGCGGTCAGGTGTACATGGGCTATGCCACCACGCGTATCTACCCTCCCACTCCCACTACTACCTCAACGACGGCTTCGAGCACCTCGACGTCGTCTTCGAGCACTTCGACTTCGGCCAGCTCCTCCACTTCTACCCGCGCTGCAGGCAGACGTGCCATCTCCACTTCGTCGTCGTCTTCCTCGGCCTCGACCTCGACATCGTCCTCGTCTTCGAGTGCCAGCTCTTCGGCCGGATCGTTCGGTGCCCAGGCAGTGACGACGAGCTCGTCGATCTCTGGCTCCAGCTCCACGTCCAGCAGCACGAGCAGTGCGGCGGCAACGTCGAGTGCGGCACCCATCCCGTACATGAAGTCGGTGCGTGTCTCTTCGTACGACACGTTCACCACCGGTGTATTTATCCTCGATGCCTCGCACATGCCCGTCGGATGCGGTGTGTGGCCTGCGTGGTGGACGGTGCCCACCAACCCGGCTGGCGGCTGGCCCAACGGTGGCGAGATCGACATTGTCGAGGGCATCTCGTTCACGTCGCAGAACACGTACTCGGTGCACACGGTGCCCGGCTGCCGCGTCAATGCGACCACCAACTCGCAGATGGGCCAGTACCAGCTGACCAACATCACCATGGCGACCAACTGCGCGTCGGCCGAGACGGGCAACCAGGGGTGTGGCGTGCAGTCGTCGTTGCGCAACGACTACGGCGTGGGCTACAACAACAATGGCGGCGGTATTCATGCGATGGTGTGGGATAAGGACGAGGGCATCAAGGCGTGGTTCTTCCCGCGCTCGGCGACGCCGGCTGACATCACTGCCGGCACGCCCGACCCCACCGGCTGGGGAACGCCGCAGGGAAGCTGGCCGGCCCAGAGCTGCGATCCCACCACGTTCTTCTTCAACCACGTGAGCGTGTTCAGCAACACCATCTGCGGCGATTGGGCGGGCGACAAGACGCTCTGGAACAACGCGTGGAACGGCCAGGCACAGAGCTGTGCCCAGATGACCGGCTACCCCACGTGCCAGAGCTACGTACAGTCCAAGGACGTCGACTTCTCCCAGGCTTATTGGCTCATCAACTCGGTCAAGATCTACCAGACCGAGCGAACTTCTTAAGCGCGCCGTCGTGCGCATATGATATCTGGTCGGGAACACGGAGTAGAGGCTGGACCCTCTTGCTCCCCGTCGTTACCACCAGATCGGTTTTGGCTCCCGCGTCACGGTGCTTTCTCTTCTCGCTTTGTATCATAGAGCTTCCCGCTTGCGACATTGAATTGTTTTGCGTTCACACACAGCCTGGGCACTGCATGCGCTGGAACGATCATTCTTTGATGTCCTCGTCCTTGGTGTCGGACTTTGCGTGGACGATGTCGATGTCGAGGTGGTCGAAGGAGCCGGAGTCTGGGCTGTGGTCTTGCACTCTTCCTTTCTCTACACTGCCCGTGCTGATGTGGTCGTGCTCGTGTTCGGGCCAAATGTATGCCTCGTCAGGATACACGGCTTCATCGAGGATCGACTCTTGCGGGAGGGGCCAAATGTACTTGCACAGTACGCCGTAGGTGAGTGCAGCGACGGTGATGCCAAAGTACCAGTTGAAGCGATAGATGGGTACGTCGAGATTGACTGCTGGATTGATGGCGTTGATGAAGCCGGGTAGATTGGGGACGAAGGCGACCAGGAACGCGATGTAGGCGCGGGGGTTGATGCCCCATTTGCCGTAGCTGTAGATGCCGTCCGGGTGGACGTAGAGCTGACGAATATCGAGCTTACCACGACGCAGGATGTAGTAGTCGACCAACCCGATGGCCGAGATGGGCGATAGCCAGCTGCCGTATGCGCCGAGGAAGTTGATGAATCCCTGAGCCGAGTTGACGAGGTTCCACGGGGTGAGCGCCACGGCAAGCACAGCTGCCAGTGCACAGCCGCGTCGAATGTCGATAAACGCCGGACAGACCGACATTGCATCCGTGGCAAACGAGATGGCATTGGCGCTGATCTGGACTCCGATGGTGGCGATGAGAAAGATCAGGGCGCCGAAAAACGTCCATGCGCGACTCTGCCACAGCGAGATGAGTTTAGCTGGATCCCATGCTGCCTCTCCATACAGTGTGAGTGCAGCATCGGCTGCAAAGAACCCACACGCACACGGGATCGTGCCCGTAATAGGCAGCAGCAACACCTGCTGCCACGTCCCCTTGGCTGTCTTGGAGAACCTCGAGAAATCGGCGATGTTGACCGCCACTGTGCAGTAGATCGTCGTTGCTGCATTGAGTGCGACTATGATCGGCCAGGCACCTGCAGTCACTGGTCCACGCACAAGCTCTCCACCCCCACCCGTCTTGACGAGCGCCCAGATACCAATGGCGATGAAAGCAGGTGGACAAACAATCGCCTTGAACCTGAAGAAATGCTTGAGCTTGGCGACGGGGATCATGGTGATGGGCGTCTGGACGAGCCAGTAGATGAAGAAGCACAGCAGACCGCGCGAGGTGATGTTGGCCGAATCGGGCAGATGGTTAGGCATGTTGGCAAAGCGCGGCGAGAGTGAGATGAGCAACTGCTCGGTAAGACTGCCTCCCGTCAAGGTGAGGATACTGAGCCACATGAGTGCCAGGAAGGCACGTGCGGCGACGGGGAATCGCGAGCCATAGATGCCCCAGGGTGCGCGGTTGATCACGGGGAACGCTACGTGGTAGGTGGCGCCAATGACGCCTGCAGCCCACATGACAAGACCGACAAAGAGGAAGCCGAAGAAGACGGCCGGAATGGCTGCGCGCGCCGTGACACCCGTGGCTGCCATCGAGGCACCGAGCTGCCAGGTGGCGGGCGCAAACTGGTCCGAGATCCAGTACGAGATCCAGTCGACAGCGCGCCACGTGCGCTTGGACGGAGGTACGGGCTTGAGGTCATGATTGTCCAGCGCCGTCTCTTGCGAGAGCCTGAGCCGAAAAGAGCCCTTCTTAGGCAGCGAGAGCTTCATCTTGGAGCTATCGCGAACGAGGCTGAAGAGATGTGACGGGGTGCAGTGGACCCGTGGTAGAATGATGGCGACCTTTTGTACTGTGCCTTATCGCTCCATTCAGGTCAGCGAGAGTCGCGGCGCCACTGCACCCCACCGAGAATCCACGTGGCTAGTGTCGAGCTGGCTCTGCGTGGCTTTGATGCAGATAAGCGCCGCCGGAGCGTGGCAATCGATTGCGGGGACGGGCAGTGGCAGATAAGTTACGCGAGCGTCGGCCAACTCGGCGCAATTCGGACCTTGGCTGGCCCCGAGAGCGGGGCGAGGCAGCGAGGCGATGTCACCGGCGTTGGAGACGCTGACAGAACGGCTGGCTTGGTGGACGCATGAACCTTGACGAGTCCGAGTCGAGATAAGCTGAGCTTTAGCCGAGATGCGAGCTAATCTTGCGTGTGAGCTCGGAGGTGACACATGCTCCCAGCATGCCCGCGCCGAGGCAGTCGATGCTCGTCCACGAAAGCAGCGGCGGCTATGTGAGGTATGCGATCGAAGACGGCCTGGCGTGCGAACGAGCCGCGGAGCGCGACGAGCGACGCTGGCACGTCAAGAGGAAGCGGACCATGGGCACGCTACTTGACGTGGGCTGGCAGACGCGAGGTTGTCTTTCGCGATCTCATGACAGCTTGTGTAACACGCTATGTATTTGCAATAGTGAGCCCGTTCCGCATCGAAGGCAAGATGGCCGAGTGGTCTAAGGCGTAGCATTAAGGAAGATATCCTGAGTATTCAGGAAGTGACCTGCTATCTTCGGGCGTGGGTTCGAATCCCACTCTTGTCACCATTCTTTTTTTCCATTCTTTTTTTTTGCAGAATTTCTGGGTGCTTATTTTTCCATTTTGGGAAGATCTGGGGTAAGAATGAACCATTTGATCGCCTTTCTCAGCGTGTCCATGCTGAATGACAATGGATTCTCCGAGATCCACATGCTCGATTCTGAGATGCTGCTTCGACCGGTATATGAGCAGCGTGTCCTGAGCTCGCGGGCGGGTGAGAGCAGGGTCGTGGGGAGGATGTGTGCACGAGCACGATCTTCTCGGGAGGACACACGGGCCAACGCGTCGGGAGGCTTGTGCGGAAGGAAGCCCGATTCGGCGAAATTGGAGCCGCAAATGCCGATCGGAAAAAGGGCGCGTCAGGTCGAGCTCGAGCCAGGCACAAGACGACGTTGGTGCGTTTCGGAAGATGGCGTCCGCGGAGGCACTGCACCAGTGACGCACGACACACCGACCGACGTTCCGCATACAGCGGGGGAAGAGAGGAGAAGCCGCACTTCTTCTTGTGCTTACTCGCCATCCTCACCCTCCCTAGCACCCTCCATCCTCAAGTCTCGGTGTTCTTCGCGTCCTCATCAAAAAGGATGCCGTCCAAACGAAAGGCGTCCACGCCCAAGAAGGCGGCGCCCGCCCCTTCGGCCCCCGCTGCAAACGGCACGCGCGCTGCAATGCCCGCCGTGAGCACCGTCAATGGTCAGCCTCTCCCGGCTGGGTCGCGCGCCGCAGCCACCGCCGCAGACCTTCGTAGGTATGCCGATGCCAGGCGTGCTCGTCAGATCGACCCGCTCAACTACGAGCGCACGCCCAAGTCCGGGCTGCTTGTGCTCGTCGTCCTCGGTCTGTTTTCGCTCCTCGGCTCCATCACGCTCTACCTGCACTACAAGCTTCCCACCCCGCGTGGCCCCACGACCATTCTCGCTGCCGGTGTCACGCCTGCCGATGCGGCCGCCTACCACCCAGCTGTGCCTGGTGTCGTCCCTGCCAACGCTGCTGCTGGGTCGGCCAACGGCAAGTTCTACGAACTCTTCTCGGAAGCCAATGCGGTGGGCGTCATGCACCACCTTTCCGTCGATGTAGGCTACCGCATCGTCGGCACCAAGGAGCACGTCGAGGCCGAGAACTGGCTCGAGGACGTGCTCCGCCGCTACGAGGGATCGCACGACACCGGCACGCCAGACGCGCCCGGCCGCACCCACGTCGAGGTCTTCAAGCAGATCGGCGACGGCGCCCACCGCTTCGATTTCATGTCGAGCACCGTGTGGAAGCGATACTACTCCATGTCCAACCTCGTGGTTCGCATCTCGGACGGAACCGAGGAGAGCAAGGCCAACAGCCTCCTCCTCAACGCTCACCTCGACAGCACGCTCCCCAGCCCCGGCGGTGCCGATGACGGTGTCGGCGTCGCCATCCTCCTCGAGGCACTCCGTGTGCTCACCCTGCCCAACACGGGTCGCAGGCTGTACAACTCGGTGGTGCTGCTCTTCAATGACGGCGAGGAGTCGCTCCAGGACGCCAGCCACCTCTACATCACCCAGCACAACCAGACCAACACCGGCGTCAAGGCCGTCGTCAACCTCGAGGCTTGCGGCACAAGCGGACCCGAGCTGCTCTTCCAGGCCACCAGCCAGGAGATGATCGAGGCCTACTCGCACGTGCCCCACCCCTTCGGCACGGTGTTGGCCAACGACGTCTTCTCCACCGGTCTCATCCTCTCCGACACCGACTTCCGCCAGTTTGTCGAGTACGGCGACAAGCTCACCGGCCTCGACATGGCACTCGTCGGCAACTCGTACTTCTACCACACGCGCAAGGACATCCCCAAGTACCTCGAGCCCGGTGCGACGCAGCACTTTGGTGAGAACACGCTGGCGATCATCGAGCATCTGTGCCTCAAGAACGGCAGCGTCGAGCTGCTGCGCAACATCGAGCCGTACCAGTCGCGCCACACGCTGCCCATCTACTTTTCCATCGCGGGTCGCTACTTTGTCATGCTGCAGAACAAGGCGTTCAAGAGCATCGTCATGGGACTCTCGGCGTTCATCAACTTCCAGCTCTCGTCGACGGTGCGCACGGAGGCCAACATCGGCGCGCTCAACCTCACCATCCTCAGCGCCGTGGCGGCGATCGTGTCGGTGATCGGCGCGGCGCTCGGCGCCAACTTGGTGGCGGTCATCATGACGCGCGTGCTCGGCAAGGGCATGTCGTGGTACTCGCACGAATTCTTCCCCATGCTCCTGTACGGGCCTCCCGCCATCGCCGGCGTGCTCGTGGTGCAGCTACTCACCGCCAAGCTCATCAAGCCGCACAAGCGACCGTACCTTGAGCGTGCGAGTCTGTCGGGTCTCGGCATCTTTTTCAACATCGGTTTGCTCGGTCTCAACGCGTTCGGCATCGGCAGCGCGTACCTGATGATGCTCGCCTCGATCACGTTTACGGTGGTGGTGACGATCAACGACTTTGTGCTCATCGGGGTGGGACAGATCGAGGAGAAGCTCGTGGCGCCGGACAACCGCGTGTCGGCGTACGTGTATCCGCTCATGGCGCTCATCCCGGGCATCGTGGGCGTGGAGGGCATGGCGAGCTTCCTGGACCTGTTTGTGCCGCTCACGGGCCGCATGGGCGAGATCTCGCCTGCGGACCACATCATCGCCTCGATCGTCGCTGGACTCTCGTTCCTCAGCTTCCCCTTTGCCATCCCGCTCGCCCACCGATACACGGCCGAGAACCTCAAAAAGACCATCGTGGCGCTGCTCGCGCTCACGGCGGCGGTGATGGCCGTGTTTGCCAGCCCGGGCTGGAAGCCGTTCGACTCGGCGCACCCCAAGCGGCTGTTTGTGCACCAGGTCGAGAACATCACGTCGGGCGAGTGGTTCATGAATGTGGGTGCGGCCGACCCGGCGCCTGGATTCGGCGAGCTCGCTAACGAGCTGCAGTCGTACCTGGGCGTCGCGAGCGAGAGCCGCGCGGAGCTGCAGGTGATGAACGACTACAACTCGGACTTTGACATTCTGTACCCCGTGTCGGCGTTCCTCACGCCGTACAAGTTCCAACTGCCCTCGCCCGCAGCGGGTTTCGCCACCAAGTACGCCGCTCCGGCACCCGAGGCGAACCACTTTACCGTACGCGCCGCCAACGAGGTGATCGACCTCGAGGCGGGCACGCGCAGCCTCACGCTCGAGATGAGCCACCCGGGCGTCATCTGGAGCGTCGTGGCGTTTGATGCCGACATCTTGAGCTGGAACCTGCCCAGCGAGCCTCCCAAGGGCCACCAGCGCCACCACCTCAAGAGCGTCGCGCGCCACGGCATCTACGAGTGGTCGGTCGACCTCGTGCTCCGCCTCGAGGGCGATGCGCTCGAGGCGGCCAAGAAGCGCTCTGGCGCAGCAGCGCGCTTCAAGAAGGCCGTCACGGGCGGCGATACCGAAGGCAAGCTCATCCGCACCGTCGCCGACGCGCCCGTCGACAAGGACGCGTCGAGGCTCTGGATCGACGCCTCCGGTCTGGTGGCCGACGAGATGTACCCGCAGCACAAGCACGTTGCTGCCGCCGACCGCCCGGCCATGAACACGTTTGTCAAGATGGACGACTACATGCTCCAGAAGCACCCGGAGATTGACGTCATGATGCTCACCGTCGTCGCGGGTGTCTTTGAAGCCTAGACGCATAGACTACTACCGCAGCGTGCCTCCCACTTAGCTCTTGTACATAGATGCCTACATCGCCGATCTGCGCTGTTCAAGTTGTAACATCGGTGGGGTTTTGCCAATTTGAGTGTGGCGAGGTGCCGAGAAAAAAAAAGGGCGGGGGCGAAATTTCGCTCGGCTCCTCCACACCCGCGGCCGACTGAGGAGGATCTTCTCGTAGAGCAGCAAGGCTGGGGCTGAGCATTCCGACCACCACCACGACGACATTCCCCAGCCAAGATGGTGCACAAAGATCCCGAGGGCTACATTTCGGCATCGGACTCGGGCTCCGAGTTCGACGACCAGGACAACGACTTTGGCGACTGGAGGTCGGACGACAGCAATCCGCCCGCCCCCACGCTCGCGCTGTTTGCGGATGCGAAGGGCGAGCGCGCCTCGTTCAAGACGCCGCTCGAGGCGCTCGCCGACGCCAAGAAGCAGGGGTGCGATCTGGCGGCGCTCGTAGCGCGCCTGAAGCTCGACACGCTCCAGGCGATTCGGCTCATCAACCACATCCGCCGCAACAAGCTTTCGGTGGAGCAGGTGAACGGCGTGCAGGCGGACGATGCGCTGCTCTCGGACGATGCCGAGCTCAAACCCGTGCCTGGCTTCGAGGACGATGGACTTCTTCAGCTCGACTTTGACCTGATCGCTGTGGATGCGACCGCCGATGCGTCTGGAAGCAGTGGTGGAGCGTCCAAGGAGCAGGAGAGGATTCGCGAGCTGGAGGAGCAGCTGGCGACGGCTCGTGCGGCGTTTGACGAGCTGCGCACCATCCATGCGTCGTCGATGGGCATTTCGGGAAGCGATCTCGCCGAGTCGTCCGGTACGCGGCTGTCGGCGGACCAGCAGTCGCAGCTCGCCACGTCGGCGCTGCAGGGTGCGCGCACCAGGCGCGGCGCCAACGACGCCGAAGACGACGTGCTGTACTTTGACTCGTACTCGACCAACTCGATCCACCAGACGATGATCACCGACACGGCGCGCACGCTCTCGTATGCGCAATTTCTGCTCAGCCCCGCCAACGCGCATCTGCTGCGTGGCAAGACGGTCATGGACGTCGGATGCGGTACGGGCATTCTGTCGCTCTTTGCGGCGCGCGCAGGGGCCAAGCACGTGATCGCCATCGACGCCTCGGCGATCGTCGAGCGGGCGCAGCAGAACGTCGAGGCCAACGGATTCGGTCATGTGGTCAAGGTGCACCGCGGCAAGCTGGAGGATCTGGAGCAGGAGCTCAAGCCGTGGGAGGGCAAGGTGGATGTGCTGGTGAGCGAGTGGATGGGCTACTTTTTGCTGTACGAAAACATGCTCCCCAGCGTGCTGGTTGCGCGCGACCGCTATCTGAATGCGCAGACGGGCGTGCTGGCGCCCAACAGGATGACGATGCATCTGGCAGCATTCAGCAGCCCCGCGCTGCTGCAGACCAAGCTGCGATTCTGGGACAGCGTACACGGCTTTGACATGTCGGCCATGACCACGGGTCTGCTCGACGAGGCGTTTGTGGACGTGCTCGATGCAGAAGAGGTCGTGTCGGACTCGTGCATCTTTGCAGATCTTGATTTGCCCTCGCTGCCCGCACGCCAGCCGGAGCCCGAATCGGAATTCCGCTTGACCGTGCAGAAGGATGCCGAAGAGGTGCACGGCTTCATCTCGTGGTTCGACACCTTCTTCTTCCCCACGGCGCGCGTGGCCGCGGGCGCCTCGACCGACTGCCCTGCCTTTACGCTCACCGAAAAGGATGTGGCAGGTATCGAGCTCAAGAAGAACGAAACCACCCCAGCCACCCAGGGCGACAGTAAGGGTCAGCTGGTCACCTTCTCCACATCGCCGTACAGCAAGGAGACGCACTGGCAACAGACGCTGTTTGTGCTCAAGCAGCCCATCACCAACGTGCGCGCGGGCGACACCATCTCGGGCCGCATCGTGGTGCGCCAGGACCAAAAGCACTCTCGCCAGCTCGAAGTCGACCTGCACTACCTCCACACCTCGCCCTCGTCAGCCGCCACGGACGGCAAGAAGAAGGTGCAACCCATGCTGGTGCAGGCCTACATGGTTCGCTGATCCCCCCCATACACACTGGTCAAGTCAAAAAGACGTGCAATAGAATTCTTTTCTTCGCGTTTCCCGATACGAATGCTGCGAGTGTAGGTTTAGAGTTCGAGTTTGGCGTTCGAGTTGGAGTTGATGCCGTGCTTCCAGACATGCTCGAAGCTCGCGCGCACGGTGGCGAGGATCTCGACCACGGTTGCATAGCCCTCCTGCCTCGCGGTGTGGTAGAGCTGCACGACGGCGGTCGAGAGCGGGTCGGGCGTATCCATGGTCCAATACCAAATGATCTCCCACGTAGCCAGCGCCACGATGCCCATGAAGAGCGTCATACCCGCCAGCATGAGGATGAAGAACTTCATCATCTCGTCCCTGTCCTTCTTGTCGAGCGCCTTCTTCTCGTCCTCGGTCATCAGGTCCCTTGGATCCAACGCGGAGCGCTTTGCGGCCTCGATGGCCTCCTTGGCGTCCATGGAGGTGGGGTCTCTGCCCTCGAGTTTGGCGTGCTTCATGATGAGAGCCTGGGTCTTGCGTTTTTCGCTCCACTGCTTGAGGCCGTCGGCACGCACGTCGTCCGCCCCGCCCTCGCTGGCGACAAAGCCCGGATAGTAGGTCTCGCACCACTGCTCGATGCGCGCGAGCTCGACGCACCAGCGCGCAAAGTTGGGGTCGGCGGGCGTAAGGCGTGCGTGGATCTTGCGCGCATACGCCAGGAAGGTGTACGCCACATCGCGCGGATTGACCGCCTTGAGGATGAGCCCGACCGCGACACCCTTGCGGATCTTGATGTTCTTCTTGAACACGTCCGGATTGTTGAACATGAGCTCGATCGTGGCGATGGCCATGACCTGGGGGATGGCGCAAAAGTTGAACACCGACTGCTCCTTGAGCAGCGCGAGGTAGTCGAGTGCCGAGGTGGCGTGCGACATGGCATCGAGCAGCATGGAAGAGAGCACGTACATGCTGCGACGGCCGAGCTCCGAATCGGCGGGCTTGTACTTGCCGCTTCCCGGCTTGGTCTCGACGATGCCGCTGGCGACGTCGGGCTGCGAGGCGAAGCGCGCATAGTCGTCGGCCCAGCACTGCTTGGGCCAGAAGAAGCGGCCCTCTTCGCAGTCCTCTGCGTAGTCGCGGATGATGTTGGTCTTTTGGAGGAAGAGGCCCATATGATTAGAAAGCTCGAGCTGGTGACCGAGCCAGGGGCGTTCGAGCTTGCTCTCGCTAAACAGACGCGAGAGGCCCTCGCCGACGAGGCCGGCGACAAAGTGGCAGTAGAGGTCAAAGTGCTTCCAGGTGCTGACGCTGAGGGGAGCCTTGGCGCTGAGCTCGATGTAACTCGCCATGCCTGCGCCCATTTTTGCGGTGATGTCGGAGATAACGGTGCGGTATCCGTGGTCGAGCAGCTGGTACTCTGCAATGACCTTGTCGAACTCGACGAGCAGCTGGCGGTCCTTCTCGTTGGGCCCGGACTCGGTGAAGTTCCATCCGGGCTGTTCGAGGTACTTGTAGAAGTCGACGAGGAGCGGCACCTTTTTGTGGGCGGGGATGGTCATGTCGTCCTCGATGGTGTCGAGCGCGCGGAGGACGAGGTAGAAGAGGCAGATGACGCGCGAGAGCTCGCCCTTGAGCTCCTTGATGACGGCGGCGAACGAGCGCGAGGTGAGGTCGAGGAAGGTCCAGCACTGTCGCATGCGCTCGCGATCCCAGCCGGACTCGACCGGATTCGCCTTGATGTCGTTGAGCGGGTCGCGCCAGACCTTGTATCCGATCATGGCGCGCAGCTCGGACGGGTGGGTGATACCCAGCAGCACGTATTGTAGCAGACCCATGGTGAGCGAGTGTGTGCCGAGAAGGGAGGGAGGAAGATGGTGGTCGGGTCAATGGTGCAGCAGACGACGACGACGTGCGGAGAAGAAGGAGAACGACAGGCCGAGCGGTCGAAGTGGGGCCATCATGTGCGGAGAGTGGTCCCTGGCTTGGGCCAGCGTGGAGAAAGAGACAGAGCGCGAGTCGCCCCACGCTGAGTCTGCTGCTGCTGCCGCTGCTGCTGCTCTCTGGCTGAGGCTGTTGGAGCGCGCGTTGGCAGCGTCCGGGCACCGCGCCTCGAGCAGATCTTCTCAACAAAAAATCGGCCTCCAAAAATGAAGCCAACAGCGGCTGTTACCGACACACGCGCGTGACGCCGGCCAAATCCACACGCACCGCCGACTCTGAGCGGAGATCTCTCTGAACCAACTTTATTGGTCGAAGCCGCAGCCTCAGCCTCGCCCGCACGCCTGCCTCGCTGCTGCGTCGCTTTGCCTCGATCGGCATCGGGCACTCGCTTCGCTCTCAATGCTGATCCAGCATGCCTTTGCTCTTCGGCCCTCCCGACACTCTCACACACTCTACCCACACGACTCAGCCTCTCTGATACGCAATCGATTACGCCTTGTTCCTCTTCAGATGCGTATCGATCCACTGCTTGGCCGTGAGTGTGCAGTTGAGCGCGGCATCGAGCGGCGCGAGTCCAAAGTCGAGCCGATTCTCTTCCGCGTGGTCGCCTTGGCCGTGCTGGTGCAGCGAGAGCGAGGCGAGGCCGAGGTAGGTGTGCAGCAGGTCCGGGTGGTCGCCTGGGATCTTGCTCACGCCACCTACACGGCTCTGAGCTGACAGCACGTATCCAGCGTCGGCGGGGGCGTCGACAAGCTCGTGTGCCGAAAGCAACGACAGCGCAGCGCCGTTCCAGAACGAGTAGCAGACATCTGGTGGAAGCTTGCTCGGCCGGCCCTGGAAGCCGCCCACCAGATTCGCCTCGTCGTCGTCATCGCTCTCGGCTTGGGTGTCCTGCTTTGAGGATGCGGTCGGCGGCGGATTGACTTGACGATGCGTCAACCATGCGATTGCTTGGTCGCTTGGCCACGCGGCACCTCGCTCGACGCGCGATAGGAGGTGGAGCGCAGCGACGCAGCAGTACGTCATGCCCGCGTGTGCTTCCTGCGTCGCACTGGCGCCGAATCCGCCATCGTACCTCTGACAGCGCCTCAAAAACGCCGTCGCGGTCGGGATGTTGATGCGCGAAAAGTCGCCCAGCATCGCGCACACCGCCACTGCGCAGTAGGCGAACCTCGGATCCGTATCCACCTCCCTAGCCTCTCTACCACTCGGTGGTAGTTCGGCTGCGAATCCGCCTCCCTCGCTCTGGAGCGCCGCAATATAGCTGAGCAGCGCGGTGCGATCGAGGCGCGCATAGTCGTCGCGCAGGATGGCGAGGACCAGCAGTGCCGAGTAGGTCATAGCGACATTCGCGGTGCCCACTCGTCCGGCGGCGGGCGTGGTGAAGGGGGTGCTTGGTGAGCCGCGGAATCCGCCCTCGGGCGCCTGTTGGTCGTACACCCAGTCGATGAGCTCGCGTGCCTCGTCGAGCGGAACCTTGTGCGTGGCATGTAGTAGGTCGAGGCCGGCGAGTGCAAAGTAGCCGAGCGTCATGCGCTGGTCGTCGGCCGAAGTGTACGGCGCAGGAAGCATGCGTAGGCATCGCAGCAGGAACGACACGTGCTTCGAAGCCGTCAGCTCCTCAAATTGTCCCTGTGGGGGCGAGCGCGATGTGCCTGTTTCATCGGACATGGCGGATTGAGGATTGAAGAAGAACAACACCGAAGTGACACCGAACCCTGCGCATGTCTCTGCTGGGGGCGGGATTCGGAACTCGGCGGCGCGAAGGGGCGATTTTTTGGGGCCGGAAATATCTCGCCCAACGTCGTTTCTTCCTACCACTCTTGGCGGCCATCATGTCGGGGCGTCGTTGGTTTGCTCCGTCGGCGATCCCGCCCATCCTGCTGCTTACCTTTGTCACGTCGTTCGCCTTCAACCATGCACTCATCACCACCGAGCGTCGACACCAGTTGCGCACCCACCGTATCCGCATCGCACTGCTCCAGGACACTATCGCATTCAACACCCTCCGGCTCTACCAACTCCAACCCGCGTCACAATCGCTTCTAGCACGGCTGTTCAAACGACCAAGTGAAGGGGGGCAGCTGGATGCGGAGGAGCTCGACTCGCTCGTGCGCAGGTGGAGAGCCGTAGGCGTCAACCCCTTCGACCAAGGCCTACTGCCTGCCTCCTATAGACCGCATTCGCACAGCACCGACGAGGCGAGAGTGGGGCCAAAGGAGGTAGCTTGGTCCGAGATTTTGCTTGGAAGCCCAGAGAAACGCACCTCGCTCACACAGCGTTGGCAGCAAGTCACTGCCGGTATCAGAGAATCCTTCTCCCACCCAGGCTCAACACAATCACATCCAGACTCATCAGACGACGACAAGGAGCTCGAAGAACTAGGTCGTCTCTGGTCATCTATCTCCAAGCAGTAATCCTCTATACCCCCTACACTCTCTGCAACGGAAGGCTGTTGATTTGTGCATTGGGAATCATGCCGCACGTAGAGCCACGGCGCGTTGCGCAAGCGTAGCCTGCTTGACGCCCGACTCGGCCTTGAGCGGCGTAGCGAACAGTGCCAAGCTGCGGTCTTCGTTGAGGTACACGCTAATCGGCACCGTCTCGTCGTCCTTCTTCTGGCTGCTTTGCTCCCACACCAACGCGGTCAGGCCGAGGTTGGTGACGGCGCCGTCGTTGAGTCGGATGCGCGATGCTTGGCTGTCCCACTCGGCGCCCTGAAGCTTGAGTCCACGCAGGGCAAACTTGCCCACCTCCAGCCCGGCCTTGGCGTCGTTGAGTAGCAGACGCAGCGAGAGGTTCTCGAGCGACACGCGCGATGCATGTGCCACACTCTGCCGCGTCGCCGTCAGATACGCACCGGGCGAGAAGAGCAGCCCGAGCACCACTTCGACCATCTCGTACCCCGCCGTGCCAGAACCGCCCAGCTCGGCCGACTCGCGCGTGATGCGCTCCAGCTGGTCCAGCCGCGCGCGCAGGTCGACGATCCACTCGGACAACGCCATCGACTTGGGCACCGCGTATCGACGCCACGCCGCAGGTACGACCGCTTTCGGAAGGTCCGTGAGCAAAGTTCGGTTGTGGTTCGTCTGTCGCGCGGTGCCTTCGCACACCGCCACCACCTCTTCCAGATCCGCCCGCACCACAGATAGCAGCGAAGAGCCCGTGCGGTTCTCGCGCGCCCAGAAGCGGTACAGCGGATCCTGCACCGCCCCCGCCTCGGCACGCACCGCCGAAACCGAAGTCGGCAGCAGCGAAAGCCAGTGCACCGCATTCGCGCGCAACGCCTTCATCCACCCCGGCTGCGCAGACGCCGACGCACCGCCAACCACCCCCGCCGCATCCTTGCTTGCACTGCCCTTGTCCACCGCCACCACCTTTTCGTCGTCATCGTCGTCCGCAAGCTGCTTCATCCGCACAAGCTTGTTCAGCAGCCCCGTACCCTGCGCTGCCGCAATCACCTTTTCGGCACTCGGCGGCAGCGCGAGCCACTGCGGCGGCTGTTGCTCCGGCAGCGCCTGCACCCAGCCGATGAACGTCTCCATCTTGGTGCCCTCGGGTGCGACGAGCGGCTGTTTGGCATCGCTGACCAGCTCGAAGCCGACATCGTACGCGCGTGCGCAGAAGAGGCCGTCGACAAACGAGTCGAGCAGCGTCTGGTCCGGCGCATTGTCGATCTTGCCGCCGTACACGCTCTGCTTGAGCAGCGAGCGGATGGCGTCCCAGGGCAGCTGTTGCGGGTCGACGTTGGCGCGGCCCTTGGCCACCTGCGTCACCCAGCCCTCGATGATGTCGAGGGCCGCCTCGGCGTCCGAGTCGTTGAACTCGAACGGCTTGGACCAGCCCAGCGGCGTGTAGCGCAGGCGCTCCGTCAGCGTGGCGTGGAAGAAGGCGAGCAGCAGGTAGAGGCGCGGCGTCTCGGCGGGTCCACGCTGCAACCGCGCGGGTGCGATGCTCTTGAGGCTGTCGAGCATGCTCGCGCGGATGCCCGGCGGCGGCTCGTTCATGAGGATGCGCGAGGCGCGCAGGAAGTTGACCGGGATCGAGGGCGATGTCTCGCATGTGAGGAAGAGGCGGAAGTTGCGGTTCGGATTGAGCGCATGCATCTTCTTCTCGAGCTGCGACAGCCAGCTCGGCGCCAGGTGCACGTTCTTGAGCAGCACCCAGTTGCCCGTGCGCGCCGCCGACGTGATGGCGTGATCGGCAAGCGCAAAGCCCTCCTGCGAGCCCATGGCCACCGACGTGCATCGCGCGTTGACCAGCTTGACCAGGTGGTCCACGCGGAAGCTGGCATCGTAGCCCGGCACGGAGCACAGCGCGATGGGAGTGCTGGCGTCCGTCTCGTCGGCTACGATCCTACCCAGGTCGTAGCCCGGGTCGCCCAGCACGTCCTGGCCAAAGACGCGCGAGCTGAATGCCGCCATGGCCTGAACGATCCGATCGGGCCGCAGGCACTTGACGACGAGCATCTTGCGCACCTCGTCCTTGATATCGCTGTCTGCCTCTTCGGTCGGCCAGAAGACGGGCACTTCGGTCTCGGGGCTGTTGGAGCCGAGGAAGGCGAGCCACTGTGGAGCGTTGGCCTCCATGTGGTCCTCGATGGTGCGGAAGAAGGCGAGACGCTTGAATGCCTGGACGCGTGCCAGCTGTTCTTCGTCGAGCATGGCCTCGATCTCACCATCGCCGCTGCGCTGCGTGGTGGTGGCACCGGCTGCCATGCCGCCTTCGAGCAGAAACTCGTATTCGTCGCTGTCGAGCGTGTCGGCATGGCCCTCTTCGCGCGCCTTGATCTGAGCGAGCAGCATGGCGAGCATGACGTGATCGTGGTGCGCAAGCGCCTTGCTGGTCCTGTGGAAGACGACGAGGAAGAGATCGCGCATGAGGATGTCGAGACGCTGCTTGGGATCCGAGACGCCGGCGAGGTGCGGGTTGCGGCGCAGGACAAAGTCGAAGATGTCGAGGAAGAAGCGCAGGGAGAACTGGTAAAAGTGCGAGATGAGGTGGAGCTGGTCGAGCACAAAGAAGACCGAGCTGCACGCCTTGGCGAGCGGCACGTACTCGGCAGTGACCTGGTCGACCTCGTGCATGATGGCGTCGGTCTCCTCGACCTTGGAGGTGACTTCGGCAGCTTCCTTTTTGAGCGTCTCGAGGGTGTCGATGACCTTGTCGTCGTCGAGAATGTTGCCTTCGGACTCGTTGAGCGCGGTGAGGAGCGAGCGCTCGAGGTGGCGGAGGCGCAGGCGGAACTCGCCCTGGAGCTTCATCAGGTCGGTTCGCTTGCGGTCGGTGTCTGGGCGTTCGACCTTGAGCACCTGGTCGAGCGACTGGCTCTGGAGGCTGCTGCGCGTCATGGTGAAGTTGACAAAGGTGACGCGGCTGCAGATGTCGGGCGAGAACTCGACGGAGGGGTCGCGTGTGGAGAGGAACATGTTGAAGGAGGGCGAAAAGTCGATGTCCTGACTGCCGAGGCGGATGAGCACACGGCCGCCCGTACGGCGGAGCTCCTTGTTGAGGACAGGATTGAGGATGGGGTCGAGGTATTCGACGTCCTGGATGAGGAGAGGGTTTCCGAAGCGCAACGAGCTCTCGAGCGCCTTGAGGAAAGCCTCGTCGAGGAAGCTGGTGGTGGTGAGCTTCTGCTGCTTGTACTCGTTGAGGAGGAATTGGACGGCCTGGCCCGAGGGGTCGATGACGAGCGGATAGCGGTTCCAGCGCTTGAGCATGATGGCGTTCTCGGTGCAGAGGGTGTCTGCGGGGAGCGACCTTGCCTGCCACTCGAGACGCTCGTCTGCGGTGGAGAGGTAGTCGGCAAAGGAGAGTTCGGGCTTGAACTTGATCTCTGCGTGGCGGAGGTGGTCCGACCAGTAGGCCCACATGGACTCGCGATACTGCTGGTCGAAGAAACCGGCGTAGGCGAGCATGGCTGCGGAGAGGAGGGCGTCGCCGATGATGGTGCTCATGTGGTCGTCAAAGGTGCGGCTGCCTTCCTCCCATCGGTGCTTTTCGGACGAGAGGCTGTCGAGGAGCTGCATGGAGCGCGAGACGCGATTCTGGACGCGCTCCATCTCGGACTTGATGGCCTGTGTCTCGCTGATGAGCGCGGCGTACTCGTCCTTGTAGGTGGCGATGCTGTTTTCGAGCTCTGCGATCATGTCGACGATCTCGGTTGCCTGCGCCTTTGTGTCTTCTGCCTGGTGTTCGAGCGACTGCACCTCGTCGCGGAGGGGGCCGACCTTGTCGAGGATCTCGGAGAAGCGGACCTGTGCGATGACCCACTTGGCGAGGGGACCGCATGCCTTACTGGCGCGGTCGATGGTCTCAAAGTTGTACTCGGGCTTGGAGAGGTAGTCGCGATTCATCTTTGCGCGGATCTGGGGCGTCATCTGGCGGTCGGTGTCAAAGTTGACGATGCTGGCGATGAAGTCGTCCCTGCGGATGATGGCCTGTACGGTCTTCCAGCTTTCGATCTTGTGACCGAGGATGATGCAGACGGACTCCATTGCGTTTTTGACGGGGAGCGGAGGATTGCCCATGGAGCGGACTTCGGTGAGGTGCTGCTTCTTGATGTTGCTGACGGCGGCCTGTGCGTCCTGTACGGCGGGTTCTGCGTGGGCGAGGTCAGCCATGACGACGTTTCTGCGCTCGCTGATCTGGGTCTCTTGGTTTGCGAGGGCGGCCTGGATCTGTATGGATGCGGCGCGCTTTTGCTCGGCCTGCTGCTGGTCCTTGACCATGCTCTGGAGCTTGTGGTTCGCCTGTTGGTTCTTTGCCTCGAGCTGGGTGCGCTTTACGGCGAGGCTCTTTTGGAGCTCTTCGACCTGGTCTACGGTGGAGCGGAGCTTGTCGAGGCCGACGAGGAGGAAGCGCTGCTGGTCCTCGAGCTCGTCGCGCTTCTGGTTGGAGACCTGGACGTAGTACTCGATGAAGCTGAGAAAGTGGCGGGGCGACTGGTGGAAGCGGCGACCCTGACGGCGGCGGAGGCGCTCTGCAAAGGTGTATACGGAGAAGTGGATGAAGACGAGCGCCTCGACGACGAGTTGGCGGTCGGGTCCGAGGTCGAGGGTGTTTGTGAGTTCGGAGGCGACGGTGCGACATGCGTCTGGCGACCAGTCACCTGGCGCCTTTCTTGCGCCATCGACGTGGACGACGTCCATGTTGGGCGTGAGAGCGTTGCGATGGCCGAGGCTATGGACGTCAGAAGGCAAGACCGGACGCGCTGCCGAAAGTGTTGCTCTGCTGGGCTCAGCGCGCGGCCACGCAGCTGCTCAGCCGCCTCTTTCAGGGCAGTCAGTCAGTCGCAGCGCGTGAGGCGGATTCGCAAAGTGTTGGACTGGGCGTGAGCGTGCGCGAAAAGGTACATTTGTTCGGTAGCTATCGGCCTAACAAATGAGACTACAAATCCGTTCCAATCACGTGTATCGAGCGAGCCAGTCCGAAAAAGTTAGCCTCGGCGGCGGCGGGTTGGCTGCCCTGAAAAGGCGGCAGCAACGGCCGGAAGAAGTGGCCTTCTTCTCGCTGCGGCTGCTGCTGGGCTGCGATCTGGTGCTGCATGGACGCGTGCAGCTGCCTTTTCTCTCTCCCTCTCTCTCTCTCTCACCCTCACCCTCGCCCTCGACCTCGCCCTTTGTCACACACGTCTGCTTGCTACTTGCGTGTGCCCATCTCCGCCCCTCGTCGGATCCTTTTTCTTTCGTCCTCCTTCCGCGTCATCGGCCAGCGTCGGCCTGCTCATCTGGAACAGCATCCTCGGAACCGGCTTCCTTTGCATCGTGGCATAGCGCGGCGTCACGCATTCACTGTCCATCACCACCACAGCAGCCATGTCGGAACCATCAGCAGTGCCCGTGCCTGCGGGAGAGGCCACTACGCAGTGGGCCTACCGTGCGCAAAAGTCGATCGGCCTCAACACCGGCTCGCCCTCCTACTCGTCCGTCAACGGCTTCGACCAGGTACAGGGCGCCACGCGCGTCTTCCAGTACAGCCCCGACGGCTCCACCTTTGCCGCTGCCATGGACGACTTCACCCGCCTCGTAGACACCCGCAACGCCTCCACCTCGTCCGTCAAGCGCGACCTCCCCGTGCCCAAGGTGGTCGACCTCCAGTTTTCGCCCAAGGGCGGCTTCCTCTCCACATGGGAGCGACCCTCCAAGCTCCAAGACGGCTCCAACGCACGCAACCTCAAGATCTGGGACACCGAGTCCGGCGAGGCCGTCGCCACGTTCGAGCGAAAGTCGCAGAACGACTGCTTCTTCCAGTTCTCCGCCAACGAGGAGTACTGCGTACGACAGGTCTCCACCGAGCTCCAGATCTACGAGGCGCGCCACATTGCAGACAAGGGCGTCGTCGGCAGATTGCGCCTCGAGGGCATCACCTCCTTCGACCTCGGCCCGGGCGACAAGCCCAGCATCGCCGTCTTTTGCGGCGAGAAGAAGGGCGCCCCCGCCTCGGTGCGCGTCTACTCGCTCGCCTCGCTCATCCCCTCGCCCGAAACGCCCCCGGCGCCCGTGTCGCAAAAGACCTTCTTCAAGGCAGACAAGATCCAGATCAAGTGGAACAAGGCCGGATCCGCCCTCCTCTTTATGACCTCCACCGACCACGACAAGACGGGCAAGTCGTACTACGGCGAGACCAACCTCTACCTCATGTCGGTGCGCGGCGACTTCGACTGCCGCGTCGGCCTCGACAAGGAAGGCCCCATCCACGATTTCGAGTGGAACCCCAACTCGAAGGAGTTTATCGTCATCTACGGATACATGCCTGCCAAGGCGGTGCTCTTTAGCCACCGCGTCAACGTGATCGCCGAGCTCGGCACGCAGCCGCGCAACTTTGTCGCCTTCAACCCGCACGGTCGCCTCTTCTGCCTCGCTGGCTTCGGCAACCTTTCGGGCACGGTGGACATTTGGGATCGCGACAACCTGGGCAAGGGCAAGATCTTTTCCATGGATGCGAGCAACAGCTCCGTGTGCCAGTGGTCGCCCGACGGCCACTTCCTGCTTACGGCGACGCTCAGCCCGCGTCTGCGCGTCGAGAACGGCGTCAAGATCTGGCACTGCACCGGCGACCTCATCCACGTCGACATGATCGACGAGCTCTACCAGGCTGGCTGGCGACCAGGCTCCAATGCGGGGCTCAAGCCCTTCCCTGCGCAGTTCCCCGCCGCGCCCTCGCCCTCGCCTGCTGCTGCAGCGTACCTCGCCACCAAGGCGGCCACCAAGCGTCCTACGGGTGCCTACCGTCCACCGGGCGCACGTGGGCAGAACACGCCGGACATCTTTAAGCGCATCGACGAAGGCGGTTCCGGCGCCTCGACGCCCGAGAATGGAACCTACCAGGCGCCCGGTACGGGCAACCGCAAACGCGCGATTCCCGGTGCGGCCGGTGCACCGCGCAACGCCAACACCAAGGACAAGGACAAGAAGAAGGGAACCAAGCAGCAGGGCAAGAACGGTGCGGCTGCGGCGGCGGTCGAGGTGGTGCCGGAGCCGGCAGTGTCCGGTGCGGCCGAGGTGGGCGGCAACACGGGTGCGGCGAATCTGGAAAAGCGCGTGCGCAACCTCAACAAGAAGCTCAAGGCCATCGAAGAGCTCAAGCTGCGCCAGGCGGGCGGAGAAAAGTTGGAGGCCATGCAGCTGGCAAAGATCGCGGCCGAGGACGAGGTGCGCAACGAACTCGCCACGCTCGAGTAAAACCCCACTGTACACAATTTTTACACGGATGCTTTTTGCACGTCGATCTCTCTTGCCATTGGGGTTGGTTTGTGTGAGCAAGTGATTGTGGGTAGGGGAAAAACGATTTACTCGCCGTCGAGGGGGTAGGTGGGTTTGGTGTCGTTGACCTGAATTCCTCCTCTGCGCTGGAGGTCGTTGTCGGGGTAAGCGTTTTGCCAGCCACCCTCTGCGGTGGGAACAGCCAGCCAGAGTCTGTACAGGTGTCGTCGGGGTGCAGGGGGGGCTGGATCTTTGTACTCGGTCCTGGCGTGCAGCACATGCACGTCGCTTACGAACTGGACATCTCCCACATCCAGCACCATATGCAGGCTGAGCTGCTTCGCTGTATCCTCGAGCACCTGCATAGCCTCCTTTTGCTCGTCGCTGAGAGGTGGGATATGACCGGCATCGACGTGACGCTGGATGCTCTTGAGGTAGTACGGATCGTAGGTCAGAATCAGCCTGTTTTCAGGCTGACCTTGTCGCAGATGGACAATGGGTCGAGTGACCCAACCGTTCTGGTCCGAGTTGACTTCGCCCTTGCGATCAAAGTGCCAGATGTTGCTCGCTAGCAATTCGGCCACGTCGGGACGATGTTCCTGGAGGTGGTTCCATACGGCGTGCGAAGAGACAATGTCCGACTCTCCACCTTCGACCGCCTTGTGCAGACACAGCAGCCCCACAATACCGCCGGACGAGTCGGTGTGGAAAAACTGCCTCGCGTTGGTACGGTAGATCCGAACCTTGTCAATCGCCGTAGGGTCTTCACCCAGATCCTTGACGTGACCCAACACATGGCCGTATCGATTCTGCGACACAATGTTACCCAAATAGCTACCCAACCCAAGGTACGCAATTGCGCTAAGTCGGTTTCCCCACCGCTTGGTAGGAAGCCCCTTGAACAGGTAGAACCCATGGCCTTCGACGAGACGCTGTCGCAGCTGCGTCAGAGTTGCAATGAGGTCCGAGGGAAGGGGAAAGGTGGATCGTTCGATCTCGCCCAGCTCGCGGCCGGACTCGAGCCAGAGCTGAGCGGCGGCTTCGAGCTGTGCGATCTGTCGCTCGGTGAAGGTGTGCACCCACTTGGACCGGTTGTCGGCGCCGGTGTACGATGCGGCATCCCACACGGTAGGACCGCTAATGCGACGCGGCAGCGACGAGTAGGGCGTGAGCAGCGAGGGGATGGCGTCGTGCTGGCCCGAGGTGAGCTCTTGGATCGACGACTTGAGCGAGCGCTGCGCCTCGATCTGCGACGCCGAGAAGCCGCCCGAACCATCGCTATCGCCAGCGCCCGACCCAGTGGGCGCCGAAAAGTGGCCAGATCCAGCAGGAAGTGTCGACAACATTGTAAACCCACGGTGATGTGTGTGTGGAAGAAGACGTAGAAGGAGGGCAGAGGTCCGGTTTTTATGTGGAAGGACTGGAAGAGAGCACGTCACCGGAACGGAAGAAGTCGCTTCGGCTCACATAGCACCCACACGGCGGTGACGTTGGTCATGGCTCGCACGGCGCTGTTGCGGCTATACATCACCGACGAGAGCGAAAGCGAGAGCGGGGCTGGGTTGGTGCGCCATCGTGCAAGAGGGATGGCGTGCTCCAAGTCGGCACTGCCTGACAGCCGCGCCCGCCTTTTTGCCCCGCATCAGCCGCAGCCTCAATCGCGTGCTTCGCTTGGGCCTCGATTGCTAAGCATGACCAGATCCAGCCCTCCGCACTGTCTGCTTTGGACGCTCTGACACTTGTGCGGATTTCTTTTCGAAAGATAAGGTTGGACGTCGGCAGCCCGGCTGTTCGGCGCTCGGCTGCGCATGGATCACCTCTTCCCTCAAGAGCTCCGCGCACTTCTCCTCTCGACCTATTGCTCCAACCACAACGATGAAGAAGCTGCTGGTGGACGTGCACTCGCACATCTACACCGCGCGGCTGGTGTCGCTGTTGCGCTCGCGCAGCGTCAATCCGCGCATCCACCGCGAGTCGAGCGATGGCACCGAGAAGCTCGCCATCCTTCCGCAAGAGGTCGCCGGAGGACGCACGGTGGGCCCGCAGTACTGGGACGTGCGCAACAAGGTGTCATTCATGCAGCGGCATGCGATCGACGTGAGCATCGTGTCGCTCGCCAATCCGTGGCTCGACTGGATGGACGCCAAGCAGGCGGTGACTTCGGCACGAGAGTGCAATGCCGATCTGGAAGAGTACTGCCACCAAGCTACGCAGCTCTTCGAAGACGCAAAGGGGTCGAGTATCCAACCGGAGAGGAGGATGAGGGCGTTTGGGATCCTGCCTCTTGCGGAGGGCGTCGAGGTGGACGAGGTGGTCAAGTGTTTGGACGCGATCAAGGCGGCGCCGAGTTTGTGTGGCGCCATTCTGGGATCGCGCGGCCTGGGGAGGGGGCTTGACGATCCGAGGCTCGAACCCGTGTGGGAGAAAGCGGCCGAGCTCGGGCTGGTGTTGTTCTTGCATCCCCACTATGGTCTGGGCTCGGATGCCTCGCAGCCAGACGGTCTGTGGGGCCAACAGGATAATGGACACGTGCTTCCGCTGGCGTTGGGCTTCCCGTTCGAGACGGCGGCAGCTACGACGAGGCTCATCCTAGCCGGCGTGTTTGACCGACACCCTCAACTGCGCCTGCTAGTCGCACACTCTGGTGGCGCGCTGCCGATCCTCTCATCGCGGCTCGCAAGCTGTGTGGCGCACGATCCGCACGTGTGCAACCGACTCGAGCACGACCCGCGCTACTACCTCGGCAAGCTGTACTACGACGCAGTGGCCTACGGACCCGAGGAGCTCGAAGGCGTCGCCAAGATCATCGGGCGTGCGCAGAGGTACGGCCCTCGTGCGGCTAGCGCCGACGTCAAGCTGGGCATTGCGAGGATGCACTTTGGAACCGACCATCCGTTCTTCCCTCCCACGCGCCACGACGGCACGGTCATCACCGACGACCAGACCGAAATCTGGCGCTCCGTCTCGGAAAACGTCGAGGCGATCGACAGCGTCAGCTCGTGGTCTGACGCCGACAAGCACGCCGTGCTCGGTCTCAACGCAGTCTCGCTCTTTGGCCTTTGAATCACACTGACATTGCTAGCCATACCGCACCTGCTGTGTGTCGGAGGAGTCGTCGGCGGGTTTGAACCAGTCTTCGCTCGCACGCATCGTGGCGGTGTCGGCGTAATTGAGGGTGACGCTCTGCAGGTTCGAGTAGGCATTGAGTGCCTCGATGCCATTCTCCCTTCCAATGCCGGATGGGTTGGCACCGAGCCCGATGGCGGAGGCGGTGCCCGAGGGGGAGACGGCGCCCCAGGGACTCGAAGGGTCGTTGCGATGGTGCGTGTTGAGCCACACGATGCCCGCGTTGATGGACGGCACAAGCCGGTGGAAGCGCGCATGGTCCTGCGTCCACACACTTGCGCCGAGCCCGAAGCGGCTATCGTTGGCCAGCTCGACGGCATGCGCATCATCGCGGAACGGGACCACGCACACCACCGGCCCAAACGCCTCGTCTTGCCACATGGCACTGCTCCGCAATGCACCCTCCTCGGCTCCATCGGTAGGAGCGAGGATGGTGGGCGGGTAGAATGCACCGCCGCTTAAGTCGTGGCCGTCAAACCCAGCCCCAGTGGGGATTTGACCGCCCGTAAGGCACCGCCATGGGCCTGAAACAGCCGACTGGACGGAGGAGTGCAGCTTGTCGACGTGCGTGCGGCTGATGAGCGAGCCGAGCAGTGTGGCTGGATTCTGCGGATCGCCCATGCGCTTGGCAATGGCGTCGGCGCGCCGAGCGAACGCAGCGAGGAACGCGTCAAAGATGCGCTCGTGCACGATGACCCGTGTGGCGGAGACACACGTCTGACCGCTCGCCACGAACGCGGCAAACGATGCGCCATTCACCGCCACATCGACAGGGCAATCGTCCATGGCGACCAGTGGCGCCTTGCCGCCCAGCTCAGTAGTGATGGGCACAAGCCTCCTACCTGCATGCTCTGAAAGGAGCGTGCCCACCCTCGTTCCGCCGGTAAAGTCGATCTTGCGAACTCTGTCGTCTTCCACCAGCAACTTGGCTGTCTCGGCCGCGCCGGGGAGGATCTGCACCACGCCATCGGGGATTCCTGCTGCCTGAACCATGGGTCCGAGCTGAAGCACTGTGAGCGGCGCAACTTCACTGGGCTTGATGATGACGCTGTTGCCCGCGGCCAGGGCGGCAGCGAGCTTCTTGACTGCGATGAGCAGCGGGTGGTTGAACGGCGTGATCTGCAGCACGACGCCGAGCGGGCGGCGGGATTTGTAGCCGAGGAGTTGGCCGCGGAGCGGGAGGATGCTGCGCTCACCGACGCGGATGAGCGCGGCGTAGTAGTCGAACCACTCGTAGAGGCGCGCGAGCTGGGCGCGGAATTCGCGGATGCATCGACCTGTCTGCTGCGACTCGAGCAACGCCAGCTCGGGCGCGCGTTCGCGCAGGATCCCCGCAAGGCGACTCAGCGCTTCCGAGCGAAAGTGCACCGCATCCGGCGAAGACCACGCCCCAAGCCCGGAGTCGAAGGCAGTGTGTGCGCTGGAGAGTGCGGTCGAGACTTGCGTGGGCGTGGGGATGGAGATGCTCCCGATGCGTGTGCCGCGCGCCGGGTCGTGGATCGGAAGCAACCGAGAGGAGCTGCGGTCGAAGCGGCCGTTGATCCATGCGTGGCCTTCGAGCGTGGACGTCGACGAGCGTCGGATGAAGCGACACGCTCCCAACGGTGCAGCAGCAAAGCGTGCTGAAGAGGCCAGCTGGAGGCGAGTGCGCAGCGACATGGTGAGAGTGCGGACGAAAGGCCGCAAGTCGGATGTGCCGTCCACCTCTTGCTCACGGTCCAGCTCAGCCTTGAAGTATCGGCCGGCTTCCGTTGCTTCAATGCGTTGTTGGGAGCGAAGGGTGATGGCGTGGAAGCAAAGCAAAAGGCAGGCTGCCCTGTGCGCAAAGCCGCGCGTTCGGATGTTCGGGAGGCCCGAGATAACGCTTAAAAATCGCTTCCCTGCCGCCGCCCCTCGCCAAAAAATGCTGGACCCTTGAAGAAGAAGAAGCCTCGAAGGCGCGCGATGCCTTCGACCCGCAGGCATGGCAGCTTGCTGAGTGGTGTGCGGCTCAGTTATCCGCACCGATGCAGCGCGATGCAGTGCCAAGGCTGAGCAATTGAATTGCCAATCGGTGGACGAGAGATGCGTGACACTATCTGACCGTCGGAGACAGGGAGCGGATTCGTGTGTGTGTGTGTGTGTGTGTGTGCGGGGAGCTCTCCCTGAAAAGAACGCGGGGAGAGCCTTGGTCGCGTGCCCAAGGTCCGTCTTCAATACGACGACCGCAGCTTGCCCTTCTACCGCCGCCACCACAGCTTGCCGTGACTACAGCAACCATGATTTCGCGCAGCATCGCACCGCTCGTGCGCTCGGCGCTGTCCATCCGCCCCACCCCAGCGATGGCTGCGTCTACGTCCACGTCGGCTCTGCGTTCACTCTCTGGCGCGTCTCGACCTACCAACTTTACGCCGAGGCGAAGGCCACTTTGCGACCGTACACTCCTGCAGCCAAACGCATGCACATTCGTGCATCGCCGCGCGCTGGCGACGCATAGCACCTCCACGCCGCCATCGTTCGTCATCCCCGTGATCGACTTTTCGGCATTCGTGCGCGCGGATGCCACGCCTGCCGAGCGCGAACGCACCTCGCACGAGCTCACGCATGCGTTCAAATCGTCTGGCTTCGCGTACCTCCGCAACCACGGCATCGCGCGCGACCAGATCGACGCGACCTTTGCCATGTCGGCACGCTTCTTCGAGCTGCCCATCGACAAGAAGGACGCGCTGGCATGGAAGGATCCGCGTTCCAACCGCGGCTACGTCGCCGAGGGCCGCGAGCGCGTCACCCAGGCCACGTCGGCGGAAGAGATCGCCGCACTCCGCCAGCAGGCGCCCGACTACAAGGAGTCGCTCGAGATCGGCAACGACCACGACGCCGTCTGGAAGAACGAATGGCCGACCGAATCGGACGTGCCTCGGTTCAAAGACACGATGCTCGCGTTTCAGACGGCCGCACACGAGCTCCACCTCAAGGTCATGCAGTCCATCGCCATCGGTCTCGGCCTCGCACCGGGCTTCTTCGAGGACAAGTGCAACGAGGAGTGGCACACGCTGCGTCTGCTCCACTATCCCAGCGTGCGCGCAGACAAGCTCAAGGTAGACGGTTCGGCGCGCGCGGGAGAGCACAGCGACTACGGCTCCATCACTTTGCTGTTTCAGGATGGCGTCGGCGGGCTCGAGGCCAAGAACCCGCACACGGGCGTGTATCATGCAGCTGATCCGATTGAGGATACGGTCGTGGTCAACGTGGGTGATCTGCTCGCAAGATGGTCGAATGACCAGCTCAGGTCCACGCTGCATAGGGTCAAGGCTCCACAGGCTGCCGATCCCAACGCAGAGTTTACGCCCACGCGATACTCGATCGCCTTCTTCTGCAACCCCAACGAGAACCAGCTCATCGAATCGCTGCCTGTATTTGGCTCCGACAGCCAGCGCAAGTACGAGCCCATTAGTAAGTCGCATGCCGCTTATGGCGAGCAATTCAGAGCGAACCAAGCTGACCTTGCTGTTCGCCCTCGCCTCTTGCTTTCGACAGTGACCAAGGACTACCTCGCCAAGCGCCTGAGCGAGACGTATGCATAGTCGTCGGCGTGTGTTCTGTTTTGCAATCGCATCGTTTTGTTGAATGTGCAACTGAGATTGCATTGCGTTGACAAGATGAAGAGAAAGGGGAAAAAGCGAGAAGAGGACGGAATGTGCCAACCACCGACCCACTTGCGTGCTCGAGGCATGCAAGTGCGGGTGCTAAGACATTGGATCGCGGACCTACCTGGCGACGGCCGCCCCCTGCTAGAGACGACCGACGATTGCCAGGCAAACGGTGCGAGGGCCCAGCAAACGGAAAAGATCGGGCCCCCTGAAGTCGCGAGTTGCTCTTGACCGCCATTGACGCTCACCTCGTGGCCATGGAAACGCTTTGGGACGAACGGCTTGACACCATCCGCCCCAGGCCGAGGGAGCAACACTAGGCGGTCGTAAGTTTGCTGCACGAGGAAAAGAAGCAAGGCGTTGCACGCGGCCGGCGCTTGTTCTTATGGCCCAGCTGATCCTCGAAAGGCTGCGGCACGAAAAACTTGCTGCTGCGCGAAAAATCCTTCATCACGTGGACTCAAAGCTTCGGAAAAAAAAGGCAGAAAGTGTGAGATCGAAGGCATGCTGTGAGCTCGAGCTCGGGCGCTGCGGTGTCCTGTGCGCGCGAGCATGCCAGCCAGGGTCCAACGGTCCAAATGCCTGATTTCACGCAGCTGCTGCCTCCACCTGCTGAGCCCTTTGGCGCCTTGCATGCGCTTATCCTACGAACCGCTCCCACCGCTCCTACGACCATCATCAGCATCCGCCGCTAACACTGCTTCAGCAACAGCTGCCCGCTTGCGAGATGGACCTCAACTCGCCATTCGCCGATCCGGATCGGCCCGAGCCGCTGCCACCGCCATCCAGCAGCCTCAAATCCTCTATCTTTGAACACTCGCGCATCGTCCACCCATCCCACAGCGTCCATACAAGCTACGCTCGCCCGCGGCCAGACAACATCCGCGAAGAGTCGTCCCACCAGGATATCGCAGCGAGCTCTGCCTCGGTGGGTCAGGACACCACGATTCGGTCCAACACGCTTCGAACTCCATCTCAAGCAGGTGCTGTTGAAGGGCAAGACGATGACGACGAGCAGGATCCCGAGGACCTGCTCTCGGATGAAGAGATCGGACTCTTGGCTGGCGAGATACGTCCCTCCTCGTCGTCGCTTCTGCCCAAAAGCATGAGTCGCAGTTCGCGGCGAACACGAACAGGAACACGCACACGCACACGCACTGCATCTTCGCCGTCGCGCTCGCGCGCCTCTGCACTGGGCGGCCTGAGCGCCAAGCAAAAGGCATTATGGATGTGGGCCAACGTGGACAACATGGATGCGTTTCTGCAAGAGGTATACGCCTACTACGTCGGGCGCGGCGCCATCTGCATTGCGCTCTCGCGCTCGCTCAATCTGCTCACGGTGGCGTTTGTCATCTCGTTTTCGACGTTTCTGTTCGGATGCATCGACTACTCGGCCATCCGGCACAACGGCCAGCTGGGCGATGTGATTGTGGGCCACTGTGTCGCGGGCTTCTCTCCACTGACGACGATGGTGGTGGTGGTGCTGGTGGCGGCATTCGGGTGGCAGGTGGTGCAGTTTGCGCTGGGCCTGTCGAGGCTCGCTGCGATGCACCGCTTCTACGAACAGCTGTTGGGCATTCCAGATGCCGACGTGCAGTCGATCGCGTGGCACGAGGTGGTGAACCGCATCTCGGCGCTGCGCGAGCAGCATCCCAACACCTCGCTCAGCTCGGCCGACGAGATGGAGCTGGGCGAGCGCACGGGCGCCTCGGTGCGGCCGCCGCGCGAGCAGCGGCTGGACGCACACGACGTGGCGAATCGGCTGATGCGCCAGGAGAACTACCTGATCGCGCTGTTCAACGAGAACATCCTGGATCTGTCGGTGCCTGGGCTGCGCAACCGCAGTCCTGCGCTCACACGCAGCCTCGAGTGGAACCTCAACTTTTGCCTGCTCGGGTTTCTGTTTGACGCCAACGGCCAGGTGCGCACGCAGTTTGTGTCGGAGCGGTATAGGGCGGATCTGATCGAGGGGCTTCGACGGCGGTTCGTGTTCATGGCGGTGGTGAACGCGATCTTTGCGCCGTTCATCGTGGTGTACGTGCTGGTGTACTCGTTCTTCCGCTACTTTGAAGAGTACCATCAGGATCCGAGCAATCTGGGGTCGCGCCAGTATACGCAGTATGCGCGGTGGAAGTTTCGCGAGTTCAACGAGCTGCCGCATCTGTTTCGACGGCGGTGCCATGCGTCGTATGCGCCGGCGCACAAGTACATCGACCAGTTCCCCAAGGAGAAGACGGCCATCGTGGCGCGCTTTGTGGCGTTTGTGGCGGGCTCGTTTACGGCGGTGCTGATTCTGGCGTCGGTGATTGATCCGGATCTGTTTTTGCACTTCGACATTACGCCGCAGCGCAATGTGCTGTTCTACATTGGCGTGTTTGGGGCGATTCTGGCGGTGGCGCGCGGGATGATTCCGGACGAGCATCTGGTGTTCGAGCCCGAGACGATGCTGCGCGAGGTGATCCAACACACGCACTATCTGCCGCCGGACTGGAAGGGGCGTTTCCATTCGGCCGAGGTGCATCGCGAGTTCGGACAGCTGTATACGCTCAAGATCCTCATCTTTGTGCAGGAGGTGCTGAGCGTGGTGACGACGCCGTTTGTGCTGTGGCTCTCGCTGCCCGGCTGTGCACCGGACGTGATCGACTTCTTCCGCAAGTACACCATCCACGTCGATGGCGTCGGGCACGTATGCTCGTTTGCCGTATTCGACTTTGCGCGCCAGCCGACGGCGAGCACCATGGGTGGAGCAGCGGCAAGGGGGATGCGAAGCGGATCCAACGAGCGACCGCAGCAAAGGAAGATGCGCAACGGCATGCGCGAGGGCAAGATGGAACAGAGCATCCTGGGGTTCAAGGCCAACCATCCGGACTGGGACCCCGTGCAGGCGAGCGTGGCCGATGTGAACGCACACGATCCACACGAGGCGCGCCGACATACGTATGGCGACGGTAGCGGCAAGGCGCATCCTCCTCCGACCACAGCCACAGCCGAGAGCCGAGGAGCCAAGGTCAAGGATCTGCTGGATCACATTTATCGCGGAAGAGGTGCGGCTGCAGGCAGTCGATGGTGAATCTGCAATGCCATATTACATGGATTTCCATCGATCCGGTGTGGCTGTGGATATTGAGCATGCTGTGACAACGGCGTCAAGATGAAGCGAAGACGGCTGTTGAGAAGCGTCGACGCGAGCCAAAGAAAGCGCGTTTATTTAATTGCCTGCGACCGGATGCTGTGCTGTGCTGCCGGCTCCGTTGGCGGATGGAAGCAGCAGCAGCAGCTTTGGCTCAAGACTGGCTCAGGATGGCTCAGTTGAATTTCCGCACGTCGGATTCGCATGGCAGCAGCGCGAGGCAGGGAGAGCGAGAGAGTGGAATCGCGCCTGGAAATTGGCTGGAAATCGCCTCGAGTCGAGTCGGGTCGAGCGCGTTGAGCAGCATCAGCAGCCGCAGAGAGAGAGAGAGAGAGGGGAGACGGCCTCAGCTCGGCCCAGTTGGTGTTCTCAAAGCGCCAGCTGATCCGGCCGTCGTCGCCATCCACTCTCACTCCCTCACATCCTTCTTGCCTCGCCCAGCGATCGTCTTCTTTTCTTCTTCTCTCCAGTCGCGTTTCGTTTCTCGGCCTTTCGTCTCGTCTTCCATCTCGGCCCGCATTCACGCACGCGCACGCGCACATCTAGACACGCTTCGCTTTCCCCACACTCCAACTCGCGCGTCGTGCCTTCCCACATCCAGTCCGCATCCCGAATCGCGCTTAAGGCATCGCTGGAAAGGACATCGACACATTCTTGTCGCCAGACGCTCGCTGGCGCGCCATGGATCCCAACATGTTCGGCAACAACTTTGCCGGCATGTTCGGCCAGCAACAGCAGCAGCCGCAGCCCACAGGCGCCGGCATGGATGCATCCAATCCGGGCATGGGTGGCATCAACCCCGCCATGTTCGCAGGCATCGACATCTCCACCTTGCAGAACAATCCACAGCTTGCCGCCATGCTCTTGCAGCAACAGCAGCAACAGCAGCAGCAGCAGCCGTCGCAGCCCAACACTCCGCAACAGGCGCGATTCAACCCGGCCATGTTCAATCCGGCCATGATGGGCATCGATCCAAACAACCCAGGCGCTGCAGGCATCAACCTCCAGGCTCTCCAACGCGCCGCTGCGGCTGGCGGTAACAATCCCATGGCCTCGTTCAACCCGCAGATGCTCTTACAACAGCAGCAGCAACAACAACAGCATCAGCAACAGCAGCAGCGTCAGGGCACCCCGCAACAACAACAGCAGCAACCTCAGCAGCAGTCAGGCGCACAGCCTTCGCGGTGGCCGCCACAACAGCAGCCGCAGATGCAGCAGATGCAACAGCAGCAACAACAGCAGCAGCAGCAACAAATGCAGATGCAGCAGAACTTGCTCGCTCAGCTACAGAACGGCGGCTCCAACATGTTCGGCAACTTTGGTCAGATGGGCCAGATGCAGCAGCAGCCGCAGCCCCAGCAACAACAACAACAGCAGCAGCAGCCGCAGCAGCAGCAACAACAGCCACAACAGCAGCAAGGGCAGTTCGGCGCGGGCCAGATCAACCCTGCTGCGTTCGGCCTCAACCCGCAAGCCATGGCGCTCTTCCAGCAGAACCCCATGCAAGCCATGCAGGCCATGCAAGCTTTCGGTCAGCTCAACCCTGGCGCCTTCCCTCCGGGCGCTCTCAACCAGCTCATGATGCAACAACAGCAACAACAGCTGCAGCAACAGCAGCAGGCTCAGGCCGGTGCTTCCTCTCAGCCCGGTCAGAACCCGTCCATGTTCCAGTTTGCGCCCAACGGCAACATGCCTGGTATACTTGATCCTTCCGCGCTCAAGCTCGCGCAACAGCAACCCAACATGTTTGGTGGTGCAGGCGCGCAGGCGCCCGGTGCTTCGCCGGTGCGTCCCAACTCGGCGATCCAGCAGCAGCAGCAGCAGCACACACCAAACGGTCTTCCCTCCTATCTGCAATCCGGCAACATGAACCCAATGCAGCCCGGCCAGTCGTCACCCGCGCCATCCCATCAGCAACCTGGAACGCCGCAGCAGTCTGCATCCAACGGCGCCGTGCCTTCCACGCCCACCACCGCCTCCAAGCCCAAACCGCCACGGAAAAAGTCGGAGAAGAAGACTACGGCCAAGGCGTCGCAGAACCAGACGCCCGTCATGCAGCCCGCCAACGTGCCCGGCACCGCCAGCATGCAGCCTTCGCCAAGCGCATCGTCGATAGCGGGCATCCAGGGCGCATCGCTGCCCGGAAGCGCTTTCGAACGCTCGCGCAGCCACACGCGATCGCCGAGCGTGTCCTTGGGCGGCCAGGGCACGCCATCACAGATGCACGCTCTGCCACCGGGCGTCCAGGGTATGCCGCCGCAGCAGCCGCAGCCACCCCTGCAGCAGCCGCAGATGGGCATGCCAGGCCAGCCCGGCCCTCCGCAGCCACAGCAGGTGGTGCCGCCCAACTGGACGCCGAGCCTCAACCCGCAGCAGCAGCAGGCCGTGCTCTCGCGCGCACTTGCGCTCGCCAAGGCTCAGGAAGGCTCGGGCCTCACTCCCGTGCACACGCTCATGCAGATGGGCTACCTCTTCTTGAAGGCCTCGAGCTTGCCCGGCGGATCGCATCCGGCCATGATGCCCAACGGCGGAATGGTGCTGACGATCAACGAGGCGCGCGGATTAGGTCTCATTCCACAGCAACAGGGTGCGCAGCAGCAGCGTCAGCCTTCACTGCCAGGCATGCCTCCACAGCCAGGTCAGCAGCAGGGTCAGCAGCAGCCGCAGCAAGGGCAGCAACCGCAGCAGCCCGGCTTTGGTGCGCCTGGCATGACGCCTCAGCAGCAACAGCAGCAGCATCATCAGCAGCAAATGCTCATGATGCAACAGCAGCAGCAACAGCAGATGCAGCAACAACAGCAGCAACAGCAGCAAATGCAGCAAATGCAGCAACAACAGCAGCAGCAGCAGCAACCGCCTCTGGGTGCTCCACAGCTAGCACACGGCCAACGGCCCACCACGCCTGCCGGCCAGCTCGCCTCGCCGTCAAGCATTCGTGCGCCGTCGCCCATGGGCCCGTCGGGCGCAACAGCGAGCCCTGGTATGACCAACAAGCCGCGCCCGCGTCAGTCGAGTCTGGCACTCAGCGCCTCGGGTCGTCCCGACTCACGCTCGGGCCCCGTGCCTCCCAACTTCCAGCAAGCAGGTCCGCAAGGCTTGATGGCGCCTCCGCCAGCGCCGGGTCAGATGCCGCCAGGCATGCCTCCAGGTATGGGCATGCCGCCAGGAATGATGCCGGGTGGTCCAGGCAGCCAGATGCCGCCAGGCTTCCCAGGCAGCGGCCCGCCTCAGATGGCTCCTGATGCCAAGCAGCAAGCCAGACGTCCGTCCATGGCGCAAGAGAATCCGCCGATGGCAGGCATCCCGGACAACAGGAGGCCGTCCATGGCAGACGCTCGCGGCGTGCCCGGCCCTGTGTTGGACAGCGTTGCAGCAACCACACCGGACCCCGCCGTGCTGGCGGCAGCCAGCGCCGCTACAGCACAGCCATCCGCGCAGTCGCAGCTCATCGGCAGCTTTGGCGCAGGCGCGGCAACGCCCAAATCCCGCAAAGGATCGCAAGTCGCGACGGGTGAGGCACCGGCTGGCCCGAACGCCGAGGCGGTCGCGACGCCACCCGGTGCATCCAGGGCTGGCGAGCCGCCCGCGCTTCCGGATGTGTCTGCGATGACCGGCAAACCCACGACGCTGGCCGGGCCTCCTCCTCCTTTCGTTCAAAGCGTGCCCTCGAATCTCACGAGCCAGCCCATGCTTGTAGGAGGGCCTGCACCCAAGGAGTCTGCAGTCGGAACGTCCGTCAACCACTTCAACACGCGCGTCACCAAGCTGGATGAGCGCATGCGACCGCAGCGCGCCGCGGACGGCAAGGACGAAGCCGCCTCGGCCGACGACGAAGTGTGGACGCAGCTCACGGCCGAGCAGGAGGAGGAGCTGGTGGGCATCATGAAGCGCGACCTCGAGTACGAGAAGCTCTCGCGCGCGCAGCAGCAGCAGATGGAGCAGTCGCTCAAGGACCACATCGACAGCGTGCGCCCGCCGAGGAGAAAGGCCACCGACGGCACGATCACCAAGCCCAAGCCGCTGGCGTGGTGGGAGCGGCCCGAGGAGGAGGATACGTCGGGTCTGTCGCGCGACGTGTTCAAGCCGTTCGGCGTGCTGTTCCCCAACCAGAAGCGCGCCGAGCTCGATCAGGGCCAGCGCGGCGCACGGCCGCACATTCCGCTCAAGCGCTCGCTCATGGAGTCGGTGTCGCAGCAGGGCGAGGATCTGGTGCCCATCCGACTCGAGATCGACCACGAGCACTGGAAGCTGCGCGACACGTTTACGTGGAATGCGCAGGACGCGCACATCAACGTCGAGGCGTTTGCACAGTCGATCTGCGAAGACATTGGGCTGCCGACGAGCGTGTTTGTGCCGCAGATCAAGGAGCAGATCACCATGCAGATCCTAGACCACCAGACGACGAGCGCGTTCAAGGCCAGGCCCACGTTCGACTTTATGGGCGATGGCAAGGAGGGTCAGGGCGCGCTCGAGGACGACGACGTGCGTTGGTGGTCCAAGTGGCGTCGCAGGGTGGAATCGTTGCCGTTTGGCAAGCCGAGTGCGGGTGCGCAGAACGGCGATGGCGGCGACGGCGGTGACGGCGATGTGGTGATGCGCGTGGGCGAGAGTAGCGAGGACGACGATGCGCAGTCGGAGCCTGCCGAGATCGTGGACACGACGCCGGCGGAAGAGCTGCGCATGATGATCAAGCTCGACATTACGGTGGGCAGCATGAACCTCATCGACCAGTTCGAGTGGGACGCCAACGAGTCGGATCCGTCGGCGGCCGAGAAGTTCGCCGAGACGTTTGCGGCGGACCTGGGGCTGTCGGGCGAGTTCAAGACGGCGATCGCGCATTCGATCCGCGAGCAGGTGTCGGTGCACGTCAAGTCGCTGGCGCTGACGGGCCACACGTTTGACGGCAAGCCCATCGCGGACGAGGAGCTGCGTGCGGCGTTCCTGGGGCCCGTGAGCAAGGCGAATGTGTCGCGCAACGAGCTCGAGTCGTACAACTTTACGCCGCGGCTGCTGCAGCTCACCGAGTCGGAGATCGAGCGGCTGGACCGCGAGCGCGAGCGCGAGGCGAGGCGCAAGCGCCGCCAGACGCGCGGACGGCGCGGCATTAATCTGCCGGACCGCGATCCGCAAAAGACGCAGCGCACGCCGGCGGTGTACGGCATCCAGACGGCGCAGACCGACGCGGCGTCGGCGCTGCAGAATGCCAACGGGCTCAGCGACCGATACGGCGGCATGTCGACGCGCCGCGCGGCGGCGGCGGCGGCCAACGCGTCCATCGCGCCATCGCAGGCCAACGAGCTGGGCACACCCACACCCGGTCCGGACGCACTGGGGCTGCCGGAGCGCAAGAAGCCCAAGGTGAACCACCATGCGATCCACTTTGACTTCCCCGGCGGATTTGGACGCAAATCGGATCCCGGTGGACCGAAGTTCGCGCCGGCGTATGCGGAGGAGGAGGCCAAGAAGCGCGCGCGCTCGCCCGAAAACCAGGCGACGGGCGCGCAGGCGGAGAAGGCGGCGCCGAAGCTGGTGTCGCTGTCGTATGCGCAGCGCAACAATGTGCGACCGGAGGATCTGGAGCGCCAGCATCCCAACTTCCACGACGGCATGTGGCACTGCTCCAACTGCGGCATCCCGGGCACGCTGGCGCCGGGCCGAAGGAAGGGGCCGTTGGGCGACAAGTCGCTGTGCGGACCGTGCGGCAAGTACTACCACCGCCACCGCAAGGTGATCATGCTCGAGTACACGCGCGATCCGGTGGTGCACATGAAGCAGCAGCAGGCGCTGAACCGCAAGATGGGCGTGTCGAATCCGCTCATCGACACGGCGCTGCTGAATGCGCTGGGCGAGCAGGAGGACTCGACGGAGCCGACGAGTGCGGCGGACACGCCCAAGCCCGATGGTGGGGCGGGTGCGGGCGACGAGGCGGGTGGGGTGGATGGAAATGGCCCCAGAAGGCGAGGAAGGCCGCCGGCGTCGTCGAGGGGCGTTAGTAGGGGCGATGGGGGCGAGAGGTCGGACGAGGAGGATCTGCCGTTCGAGATGGTGGGTAGTCCGGACGACACCGACTCGTCGTCGCGCTCGAGCAGTGTCGAGCCGACGGCACGCGCGAGGAAGTCGGCGTCGCAGCCGGTGGGTGGTGACGAGGCGGCGCCGGCGCGGCGGACGGCGGCGGAGAACGCGCGCGAGAAGGTGTCGGCGTCGTACGCTGCCGCCGAGAGCGCGACGGCGACCGAGGCTGAGGCGGCGACTGCGGCTGCAGAGCCAGCAGGTGGCGGTGGTGCGGCAGTCGATGCGGGCGTTGCGGTCAAGGCCGAAGCTGACGATGCGGGCGACCATGGCGGCGTGGCAGCGACGTCGGCGCCCGTAGCAGCGGTGCCAGCAGCGGTGCCAGCGCTGGCAGGTTCTCCCGGAGCGACGGGGACGCCTGTGCTGTCGTCCGTGTCGCCGCGCATGGGAGCGGTGGCGGGCGCGACGCCGCCCGAGTGGCTGACGCAGTCGGCCGAGGCGCTCAAGGCGCGCTATCCGAACGACCGCTTCGAGATCCAGCAGCGACCGCGGCCGGCGGGGGTGGCTGCGCCGCCGCAGCCCGAATGGCGAGTGCGCTGCCTCGACTGCCCCGGCAAGCTGTACACCCCGGGCCCGGGCGAGAGCCTGACGAACTTTGAGATTCATTTGCGCAACCGGCTGCATCGCGCCAACGTCAACAAGCGCGTCTACGGCAATGCGGGCCCGGCTGGCGCGTCGCCGGGGGGCCAGGCAAGTCCCACCGCTCCGGCTAAGAGTCCTAAGCCAGCATCAGCAGCGGCAGAGTAGATTGTATTTTTGTGGGGGGTTATTGTATCTGTTATTCTCGTACATTGTGCTGTGATTGTGACTGTGCCGTGGGATGTGGGGAAGGCAAGAGAGAGGATGGGGAAGAGGTGTGTTAGAGTGAAGAGCGGGTGGACCGTCAAAGCCGTGCGTTCCGGTCCGAGCGAGGACGCGGTGCGGCGCAACTGTTTTTCGGCTCCCCCGCCTTTTGGCTGGAGTCTCCGCACTTTTCCCCCGTTTGGAGCGACGGGTCCGTCCTACCGGCTCCCAAGATGCTCCGGCTGAGAGGGAGTGCGCTTCTTCTTCTCCCCCTACCAAGCGCATCTGTCTCTCGTGCTTCTTGCCTCCATCTTCTCTCCCGCAACCGCTCTCTTTCCTCAATTTTTCCTCCTCTAAGCTTCAACGTCATCCTGCAAAACTGGCTATTTGGCTTGGGGCGATGTTGCGTACGACTCAGCTGGTTCTGCGACCGCGCGTGGCGGTGCGTCGGGGTGCGGCGCTTGCCACGGCTGCGCTTGCATCTGCGCGGATGGTGCCGGTTGTACGACAGCTGCACGTGCGTCGCGAGCCCATTGCTCCCTCGATCACGGTGCGTCGGGCCTCAACGGTGGCATCCCCCCCGACGGGTCTTAAGCCTCTGCCAGCCAAGATCCTCATCGCGAACCGTGGCGAGATCGCGTGTCGGATCATGCGCACCTGTCGTCGACTGGGCATCTCCACCGTCGCGGTGTTCTCGGAAGCCGATGCCAAGGCGCAGCACGTAAGGCTGGCGGACGAGGCTTACTGTATCGGCCCGGCGGCGTCGGCCGAATCGTACCTGCGCCAGGATAAGATCCTCGCCGTAGCGCAGCGCACGGGCGCGACCATGATCCACCCGGGCTACGGCTTTCTCTCTGAAAACGCCGCTTTCGCAGCCCTTCTCGAACAGAGCAACGTCACCTTCATGGGTCCTCCGGCGAGTGCTATCGACGCTATGGGATCCAAGAGCGCAAGCAAGGAGATCATGCTCGCCGCCGGCGTCCCCTGCGTACCTGGCTACCACGGCTCCAATCAAGACCCGACGTTCCTGGCGCAAGAGGCCGAAAAGATCGGATACCCCGTCCTCATCAAGGCCGTCAAGGGTGGTGGCGGTAAAGGCATGAAGATCGCCGACACCCCGGCCGAGTTTGGGGACGCACTGGAGTCGGCCCAGCGAGAGGCGGCCAAGTCGTTTGGCGATCCGACGGTGCTGATTGAAAAGTACCTCACTGCACCGAGGCATGTAGAGGTGCAGGTGTTTGCCGACAAGCACGGCAATGCGGTGTACATTTCGGAGCGCGACTGCTCGGTTCAACGTCGACACCAAAAGATCATCGAGGAAGCGCCAGCCCCGCATCTCGCCGAGGAGCTTCGTCGTGAACTCGGCGAAAAGGCTGTTGCGGCGGCAAAGGCGGTAGGCTATGTGGGCGCCGGAACGGTCGAGTTCATCTTGGACGCCAAGAGGCCCGAGAACTTTTACTTTATGGAGATGAACACGCGGCTGCAGGTGGAGCACCCGGTCACCGAGATGGTCTCGGGCCTCGACCTGGTCGAGTGGCAGCTCGAGGTGGCAGCAGGCAACAGACTTCCGCTGCTGCAGGAGGAGCTCAAGATCGAGGGCCATGCGTTCGAAGCGCGCATCTACGCCGAAAATACAGATGCCAACTTCCTCCCCGACACCGGTCGATTGGTCCACGTCGCGCTGCCGTCCACCTCGACACTCACGCACTCCAACACCGCGCTTGCACCCCGAAGCGGTGGGGTTGTGGGTTCAGAGGGCCAGGCCGAGGCGGTGGTAAGGGTGGATACCGGTTTTGTCAGTGGCGACGAGATCTCGGTGCACTACGACCCCATGATCGCCAAGCTCATCGTCAAGGGTCGTGACCGCACCGAGGCACTACGCATCATGGCCAACGCGCTCAACCAGTACCAAGTGGTGGGACCGTCGACGAACATTCAGTTTCTCAAGAACCTCGTGCGCCACCCCAAGTTCATCGAGGGCCAAGTGGAGACGGGCTTCATCGCCAAGCACGGCGAGACGGGCCTGTTTGGCGACCCGTACACGTCCGAGGTGCAGCTGCAGGAGGCGGTGGCCCAGGGCGCAATTTGGCTCTACCAGCGCGATGCCGCCGCTGCCCTGAGGGGGGGTGAGGCGGCAGAGGGTAAGGCGAGTATCTGGACCAACCCCGCGTTTCGTCCTGCCCAAACCCGCCGCTTCGAGCTCCAGCACAAAACACTCGGCCCCCTGCGTGTGTCGGTGACTCCAGTCGACGATGCTTTTGACGTCAAAGTCGAGGCCAAGCAGGCAACGGAGGAGTTCAAGGGGTTGAGGACCACGGGTGTTACGACCGTGGAGGCGACCAGGACGGGCTTGACCACGTTTATGCCCACGGGCGTGGTGACGTCGTTCAGCATCGTAGCTCCCGGTTGGTTTGCAAAGATCTCGGAAGCGGCTGCAGGGCCCGTGGGCGATGCACTCGCCAGTCCGATGCCCAGCAAGATCGTAGACTGCAAGGTCAAAGCGGGGCAGCAGGTCAAGAAGGGCGAGACGCTCGTGATTCTCGAGGCCATGAAGACCGAAATCGCCCTCAAGGCGCCCAGGGATGCAGTGATCAAGAGCATCAGTGGCAAGTGCAAGCCCGGCGCTCTCGTGCCCGAGGCTACTACACTCGTCACCTTCGAGTCCGAGTAACACCCCCTCCCCCCTCCCCCTCTCCTTTCCGACAATCGGTGTTACAATGTGCAATTCAGGTTTCCCAATGCGATCACAATGAAGAGTCGAAAGTGCGCTGGATTTCAGACGCGGTACCTCTTGGTGCTTCCCTTTTCGAACAGCGTTCTGACGATGTACACCTGTGCGGCGCTGATGCCGACCATGGTGGCGCTTTCCACCACCGAGTACCAGAAGATCTTGGACTGGGTGCTCTTGACGGTGTTGAAGTTGCGATTCTCCCTCACCCTAAAGTACCTCTGGGTGCGCGTGATCTGCGTCAACTTATCGTTGAGATTCGAAATGCCCTCCTCCAACGGGGCCGAATGTTCCTTGAGCAGCTTCGCCGGCGTGATGGGGAGGTCGAGACGCGGTTCGGACTCGACGGTGATGTCGAAGTCAATCAGTTTTTCCGCCACCGTGCTCATGGCGTTTTCAAAGCAGAACGTGTACTCGCCCACCGTGTTGCCGGTAAAGATGATGTCGAGCTGGCGCTCCTTGTGGCCCGAAATGATGAGCTTGTTGTCCGGGTCGTGCACGGTGTAGTCGATATCGAAATGGCCGCCGGATTGCACCGCAAAGTAGAAGCCGACTTTCTCGCCTGCAGCGTCGACCCATGCGTAGAAGCAGGAACGCTCGTGTGGTTCGACGAGCGTCGTGAGTGCCGCTCCTGATACGGAGGGTGTAAGGGAGAGCAGAAGGAGGGCACATAGGGCAAAGAGCAGCCCGCTCCAGGCTGGTGGTGGTGACGCCATTGTTCAAGGTTGAGGGTTGACGCTGGTAATGCGGGTATCGAGAGGTCGTGCGACACCGCTGGGAGGTGGGGGTCGTGATGCAAAATGCGCGCACAATCAACACCGACTTTGAGGGTTGTGGCTGGTGCTGTGTCGTATGTCGTGCGCTTAACTTCGAGACAGCTAGGAACCGATGGAAGCAGTTGATGGTGGTGTGTTGTGTGGGATTGTGAGTCCGAGCGGCGCTTCCAGCTCATCCCCATCGCTGGCAGCCCACCTTCCTTCCGCACGACAAACCCCCCCCCCTCCGCCCTAACATCCATTAAAATTTCCCCCGCTTTACTCCACCTTGGCCTCTGGTGCTCTGCTCGTCTTTGGTGAGACGCCACCATCATGTCTGCGCCCTACAAGCCCACTGCCGCAGAGGCGTCGAGTTCAGGCGCCTCTTCGTATCTCTCCAACTCCTCCCCGCGCTCCGGAACCGGTGCCGGTGGGGCAGAGCGTGATCCGAGTCAGCCGCGCGACTTTGTGCAGGTCATGTCGCACAAGACGCCCAGCAAGTACACGGACCCCTGCGCACACGCCGCCAAGCTCTCGATGAAGTGCCTCGACGACAATGCCTACGACCGCTCCAAGTGCGCCGACGCCTTTAACCAGTACAGAGAGTGCAAAAAGGCCTGGATCAATCAGCGCAGGACCGACAGACTCAACAACCGCCCAGGCGCTTTCGACTAGCCCCATCCACTATCCCCAACTCGTTGCAATGTCACAAACCCTGTATCGCAAGTTCAAGCATGTGTGGTGGATAAAAGTACATTTCGAAGGTGTGAGAATGATGCGGGGGAAAGAGGGGGTAATAGCTAGTCGTCTTCCTTCTTGCGTTTGGTGGCGGTCTTTCCACCTGGTGTTGCAGCGGGCGTGGCTGCGGCGTCGGCGTTCTTGCGCTTCAGCTTGGGTCCTGTCGCAGGTGCCTTTCCGCCCGTCGGCTTTGTAGGCGTCACCACTGCCGCATCGCCCTTGGCCTTCAAACTGGGCGTAGCACTTCTCTCCTTCTCCTTGGCCCTGTCGTCCTTATCCTTCTTCTTCTTCTCCTTCGCAGGAGTGGCATCCTTCTCCTTGTCCTTCTTCTTCTTGACAGCAGTCGAGGGTTCTTCGATCTTCTTGGGCGGTTCTTCCTCTTCAAACGCCTCGTTCGCCTTCAGCTCCAAGCTCTTTGCGTACGTCGCCGAGGAGAGCGAAAAGATCCGGTCCTCAAGCGGGATCTCTGCTGCAGCGGCGTTGCCTCGAGCCGTGCTGGTGGAGGCGTTCTTGAGGTACGATTCGAACCCTTTTACGATGTTCCCGCCCGAGGTAGAGGTGGATTGGAGATACGAGCCCTCGAACAGGTAGATCTGGGATTCGAGGTCGATGAGCGATCGGTCGATCAGTCGCTTGTTGGCTAGACCCGTGCGGAGGGCCAGCTTCGTGGAGGTGTAGCGTTGGTTGGCCTCTTCCAGGCTCGTAGGCAGCGTCGAGGTGGATGCAGAGCCTGTGGGCGCAGAGGTGGACGCGTTGCTGGACCCAGCAGTGGGTCCTGTGGCTGTAGGTGCCATGACGGTCAAGGGCAGTGGTGGTGCGTGGCCAAAGTGGCTTTGCAGCGGGCGAGGTGCATTTGGAGAGACGCGTTGGCAACCGTCCGACTTCCGCATTTTGCCCCGCCTCGAAATCGCCCCAACAACCATAACTTAGCTGGCCCTCACCAGTCACACCTACGTTATGTGCTCACATCGCCGAACACCACACTCAGCAAGTGCTATCGATCGATTGCACAGCTCGATCTAGTAAAACGGGGAATTAGGCGCACAGCGCTCTGGATCGTTTCCCGCGCGACGCTCGAGTGTGCCTTAGCATCAGCCACACACTTCCGCCCACGGCGAGCGCAACGCTGGTAAATAGAAACGCCTTCTGCGCAGCGTCGGGCATGAGAAACACCCACGCCGTCAGCAGCTCCGAGCCGCCGATGGTGGTGAGCGTCGAGATCATCGCGCCCAGCCGCTCCCACCGAACCCTGCTCACCGTCGGGCTCGTCGCACGTGTAGCTTGTCGCTCGGCGTCCAGGACCGTGTAGATCTGCAGCAGCGCGAGCGGCAGCTGCGGCGTGCTGCCTACGCACGTCACCACCGTCGCCGCATAGATCATCCACACCCCGCCGTCGCCTGTGGGCACGAGGATGCTCGCCACCACAGCGAGCGCGAGGCCGACAATCGTGATGGCCAGACACGCCGTCAACAGCGCAGGCACCCACCACACCCTCCGCCTCCACCTCTGCAACACCCCACGCCTGCCCCCTCGTGCACACTCTGCCGCCGGTTTGGTCGCGAGCATGCTGCACACCACTGCCGAGATGCCGCCGCTGACACCGCCGACGAGCGCGGGCAAGCCAGGCAGCGCAGGCACGCGCTTGAGCGCCGGGTCGAGGTAGTCGTCCGCCACTTCGGTGCCCTGCAGAAGCCGCGGCGACTTGAGCGGCTCGATGAGCGAGACCACGGCGAGCTGGATGATGACTGTGTTGGACACGATGAGCACGCCGCAGATGAACGTCTCGCGCGACGAGGTGCCGGCACTGATGAGGTCGAACGCCGCCTCGTGCACGCCCATGCCGCCGTACACCAACACCATGATGCGCCGCAGCACCGCTGACACCCACAGGCCGAAGCCAGTGTGCACCTTGGTGAGCGACTGCATGTTGAAGCCCGCCGTCGAGCCCCCGCCCGAACCGCGCGTGAGGATTGAGACGCCCGCCAGCGGCGTGGAAAAGCGACGCAGGCTCGCCAGCCACGTGCTCTCTTTCTTGTCGTCCGTTTCTTCCGACGCCATGTCTCGGTGAGTGTCTTGCACGCGATCATCGCTGGCGACTTCAATGTCTGGACGGTGGTCCTGCGTTTTTGCGGAGACGGTCGGAACGCCATCGTGTTTGAGCGAGACGTCGGCTAGTTCGTAGCCTTGTTGATTCAGTTGCGGACCCGGTGCTGCGGCATCCTGTCTCGACCATGTGAGCTCAACCGAGTTGTAGACGTGTTGTTGTGGTCGCCAGCGCCGCGAGAGATGCAGAAGCAGGACGATGAGCGGCGCCAGCGCCACAATGAAGAGACCCTCGAGCAGGAAGAGGGTGCGGAAGCCTTGAGAGGGACCTGAGCCGGTGCCGTCGAAAGACACGCCGTACTGCTGAAGCAGTGTGGCCAGCTGATAGCCAGCAAACACCGAGCAGGAAGCGAAGGCGCTGCCGAGGCCGTAGATGCTGCCGAAGAGCACGATCGAGAAGCCCGCAGCGGGAGGGCGAGGACGGCAAGAACTGCAGCCATGTCCATCATAACTTTGGTCGTCGGAAGCTGGGAACAGCTCGACGGCCTGAGTGACGAGGCCGAGCGCGCTGCAGACGACGATGCCCGCTGCCATGCGGGTAAAGATGACGCCTACGACCGAAGTGCCGACAAACGCCGTGAGCAGAGTCATTGTGCCGACCACGAGCACGGTCAATCCGAGCACGACGTTGAGACCATCGACGACGCGGGCGGCTCGAAGTCTGCCGACGAGCAGCACAAACTGAAGGATGAGCAAGGGACCGGCAAAGAGCATGAGAGGCAGGAGGTAGGCGGACTGAAGAAACGTCCATTGCAGCTTGTTGGCATTGAGCACGTCGTCGGAAGGCTGCGTCCACTGGTCCAGGGGCACGTCCACTTCACTGTGCACCAGATGGACGAACTCGAGGTTCGACATGTCGGCGGTGACGACGCCGACGACGAGTGCGAGCGGGAGGAGGATGGTGAAGAATTGACCGAGCTGATGCCTGCATCTTGCTGCTCGGCTCGCATTGCCGGGGGGTGAGCATGGAACAAGGCAATCTGAAGGCGCCGAGTCTATGGCGGGACAGTCTGGCTGGCGGTGTTTGGTATGGCAGCTGGGTGACGCTGCAGCGTCGTAGTAGGTAGGAGGCTGTATTGGACAGATTGCGTCTTGGTCGTGAAGAGCTGCTGCGGCTAGGATGCTGTCCTTGCTGCTGCTCTCTGTGGAAGCCATGGCTCTGGTCAGGAGAGGCGAGTGCCCAGACTGGTGCGTTGAGCAGTGTCAAGCCGCGTCACATTGGATGCAGACTCGGAAGCGCGACAAGAGGCATGTGGTGGAGAAGGAGGAGGAGGAAGAGGAAGAGGAAGAGGAGGAAGGCTGGCTAAGATCACAGGCGTAGCGGAGGGGGATCTAGGCGGATGAGCTCGCCGATGGAAGAGAGAAAGGATGGCCGAAGCAAGTCACACCGACGAAATGAGATGCGGCGGTCGAGAGGCAGAGGCAAGCCGACGCCCATCGCACTGCGGCTTATCGGTCAGTCTCAAAAGACGAGGGCAACGTCGAAGGGGGCATTTGTTGCAGATCCCATGCCTTGGCTTGGTTGTGTGGGGTAGAGGTGCGTGTTTCGCATAGACATGCGGCTTCGGTGCAGCCGCATTTTGCAGTTCCGACAGCGCGCGTTGATGCTCCGACGTCTTTGAGGGGGAAAAGGCATTCGCGACGGAAAGCGCCGGACAGCACAGCCTTGTGGGCGCAGTCCATCACAATGAAGGCGAGCTAGAGGGCGTTATGATACCAGTAGCATGCATTCGAGATTCAACCGTTCTCGCAGATCACCGAGCATGCACCGTCGGCTTGGCAAGCGAGAGAGCGTAAGTGCATCGAGAAGTGCCAAAATGCGACCGCGTGGAGGAGAACTTAGGGTGCAGCCCACGCGACAGCACTGCGCTAAAAGCTGCATGCATGATCCTTCTTGTCGCCGCCAACGCGTGGGAAATGTTGGGCTGATGAGCCCACGCCCCGAAGCTCGAACCTCCTCCCTTCATAATGAAGTGCTCGATGTGACGATGCTCGATTCCTGCCAAGCGTGGGTCAAGCGTGGATTAGAGAGGTCGGGAGTGCCGTGCGGAGTGGCGAGGAGCAGGTCCCGAGCCACATGACCCCCTGTCGGCGCTGCCGAGAGAAGCTGGCGGCGGCTCAATTCCGACGGCCATTTTCGTGGCCGATTTTCGGAAGTTGCCGTTTTGGCCCGCTTCTCAGCATAACTTCCGCCGCCGCCGCTACGGTGCCCATGCTCTCGTACTGTAACCTCCGAAGCCATCATCGCAGTCCACACGCCCACAATCGCTTGGTCATTGTTTCGCATCGCCTCCGATCTCGTAGCTGAGCTTTGACCGCATGATACTGCTGGAATTTTCGCACAGCAGTGCATGGCCAGCCACACAAGATCGAATGCAGACTAGGCGTGGATCAGGAGTAGTGTGAGTCGCAAGAGCCGAGCTGATGCAGAGTGGCAGTGGTACGGAGGGCGAAAGCTATCGATGGTGCCCCTTTTTGCTGGCATCACGTAGCTTGGACCATCCGTATTCGCCGCTGACGACATGACTGAGTTGCCGAGAGCCTCAAGGGGCCCGATGAAACGCCGTGGACCGCGCGGATCGTAACGAAAGCCGGCTCCACCGTCGAGGATCTTTTGTGTGTCGCTACCTATTCCGTGCTTGATGCGGTCGAATTGATTGAGCTGGGTGGAGAACCTGCAGCCGGCCATTCGTCTGACAGCGGCGATACGAGCAGCGTGCTGTTGAGCGACACCGTGGCCAGTCCGCTGTGTTGGTTGAACAGCTTGTTCGGGCTGAGCAGCAGCAGCACCGAGATGGCCAGCGCGAGTGCATGCAGCAGCAGCAGAAGCCATGCCACGATGCGATCCTTCCCGGTCACCACCGACGACTTTCGAATCGCCGACAGCATCGTGCGATTAAAGAGGAGAAATCTTGCAGAACGTCGACTCAGAGGCAGAAGGAGCTACCGACCCACTCGCGGGCCTCTTATACTTGACCTCGGAGCAGTCCGACTTGCCAACGAGTCGCAACTGCGTATTAAAGTGGCCATTGACAGGACAACAAAGGCAGAAGAAGAAAGGGAGTGGCCCCACCACGCGTCACCACACGTTTCCCTTTGTCCCGGCCCTCACCAACACGTCAATATCGCAATGCTCCGTCTTTTGCGATACAGTCCCTTTGTGCGTCGCGAACGGATACTGCAACGCATGCCGGATATGCAGCCGCCAGCTCATTACGAATGTCCCTTTGTGTCCATGCAGGCTTGCGCCTTGCGCCCTCCCTTTGTCCGCAAGCCCTGCCTGGACAGCCAGCTCTGTTGCACGATGTATAAGTACGGCCGCACGTTCCTGATCCCCAAATCCAGACCCGCTCAAAGCGTAGCTCGTCTCACTTGGTTCCACCATGACTTCCGTATCTGCAAGTGGCATGCCTTCGTCCAATGCCACGTCAGCCAATGCGACCAGTCAAGCCTCGCCGTACGTAGGAACGTCGCCCACCATCCCGTCGACATCGCTCATGGTCAGCAACACCAGCGACACCGCACTCAGCCTCGTCACGTTTGGACCGCTGTCTGCGTGCGTCTCGATCCCTTGTCTCGACAACGCGGCTGCACCGGTGCTGTCCAACTCGACGGTGGTTGCGCAGCAGCAACTTGATGCGTGGCTCGGCAAGCTGCCCACCACGACGTGGTGTACGACAATGGCATGGACGCTGAGACCCGACTACTCGGATCCCCTGAATGCGCTCGCACGGTTTCAAGACCAGATCAACCAGCTCTTTCCCGCGCAAAACTCGACGTTTGCGGGGAGGATGCTCGAGGCTCAACCGGCTGGCAATGCGAGCTTTTTCCAGCCGTCAAGCGGGGCGGGGTTGCTGCTTGCGCCCATTAGCGGACCGAGGATGATGCCGACCAGTTTGCCCGTCTGGATGGGTGCGGTGATGGCGGGTGTTGTGCTGGTGCACCTCGTCGCATTGCTGCTGCATGTTGGCGCCGAGATCACAGTCCTCTTCCCCTCGATCGCGGCCAGATCCAATCCTCTCGCGGAGTCTCTGCCAATGCAGAACGAGAGCACAGCGACGCTCGTCGAACCAAAAATCGCTCCTGAAGACGGTAAAGTCGATCCGCCCGGATACACGGCCCCAGTAGTCCAGCAAGCTGCAGTCGCGGGAGGGGATGGGCAGGTGCCGGTGGCACGCGCGTGTCGCAGTGCAAAGCGCGTTTGCGTACCGCTACTGCTTCTGGCGGCACTTGGGATGGTCGGCATCGCCGTGGTGCTCAACTCGAAGTTCGCCCAGGGACCGGTAGGCGTTGCTTCCTCAGTTGTGGCTGCTTCTACGGCGCCAATGTCGACAAGTGCGGCCAGTACGAGCGCGAGTAGTGTCTCGGTGACCAGCAGTGTTGCTGAGGCGACGAGCAGCGTTCGACGAGTCAGTCATGCTAGCAATGCCACGTCGGCAGATTCGACGGCTCTGCCAACAGGCACGCTTTCCATGACACGGCTCATTCGTCGTCAGACCGACTTCTTCCCCCCCTCCCCATCCCGCTCGAGCTCGTCCGAATCACTCGCGCCGACTTCGACCTCTACACCGTCCACGTTGGTGACGAGTCTGGCTACACCGACATCCTCAAGCGCTGTTCAGAGCAGCTCGTTCTCATCGCCCACGCCGACTTCATCTCTATCGACACAGAGTATCTCTCCCGCAGCAACACCAGCGCCTGTAGCGAGCACGACCGATGTGCCGAATGAGGGGAGGCAGTTGCTGGTGATGGAGCGGGGCAGCTCGATGCACCGCGTCTGGTGGATCGTGATGCTCGACTTGGTGCTCTGGTTCGTTCAGCGTCGCCGCACCCGTTCGCAGCACGCTCTAGATAAGGCCCACGCCACTCTTCTCCCGCGTCCGCAATAGATGCAATGACAGCCCCTCGTGATCCTCATCTTCCGTGTGTATCCGCAGCATGAAAGCAGAAGCACGAACAAGGGCAAGTGAAAGGAGATCATATTTGCATGTGCCAGACAGACAGGCGTAGAGCTTCTTTAGCTCAGTTGGTACGAGCGTCCGACTGAAGAATTCAGTTTCACCAGTCGCCACTGCGAGCAGTGGATATACGGTATCGGGAGGTCACCTGTTCGACCCAGGTAAGGAGCATCTCTTTTTTTGCTTTTTTACAATATATTTATTTCAGTCCCGAACCACGCTGTCCTTGCTATGAGGCTGTGAAGGTCTTGCAACAATACACCGACGAAGCAGCACCTTAGCAGCTTCTCACCTTGCAATGGGAACAGATGGGTGGGTGGACGAGCATATCGCAATCTGGAATCGCTCATACGCAGGGGGGCAGCGCCAGTTGACGTTGGGTGGCTGGCATTTCAAGAGTAGTTGAAGCTTGGGTTACAGGTGCTCGAAGATGCTAGGTAGATTTCCGCAGCGGCAGTGGCTGCTCTCGGGTCAAGCGTAGCGTAGCGTGCATCGAGCGCAGAGAGTGGCGTGGGGAGGAGAGAAGGTGTCTATGCTGGCAACTCGAACTTTTCGCCCTTCATGACCTTGGTAAAGTAGACTACGAACGCAAAGCAGGATGTGAGTACGGATCGCTAAGCGGACTGGAGAGAATGGGGGTTTGGTCGACGTACCGTAGAAAAAGTCGAGGTAGAGACCGGTCTGAACGAGGCCGGAGAGGATCGAGATCGGGTCGACCTCGTTGCTCGCAATGTATCTGCAATCACCAAGCGCATAAGTACGTGTACCACGATGGTCAGATGGTTTGGGGAGCTTACCTGTAGAGCCAGTTTGGGATGTAGAGCGCGCGGTACGCTCCGAGTGCAAAGATGTAGTGCGTCGTAATAGCTTCTGCCTCTCCTGTCCTCTGGAGCATGAACAGCTGGGGCAAAATCGCCACTGCCTCGAGATAGATACTGAACGTCCACAAGATCTCGACAAAGTCGAACCTATAATGGAACAGCAATGCGAGTACAAAGCAAGGGCCCATGAGGTATTCGAGTTTGATCGTGTCGATGGCGGGATCGTGCGTGGGCCTAAACTTGACCTTCATCAAGTAGAGCACATACACACTGGAGCCGATGAAGAAGAGCTTCATGAGGAAGCGGTAGAGCGAGTTTTCGTGGAAGAGGTCCATATACCTCGTGACGAAGACGACCGTGTAGAGCAGCTGCGTCTTGAACGAGATGCCGCGACACGATTTGGAGAGCTGCATCTTGTGCAGCAGGATAAAGATCGATGCTAGATGGGCAAAGTCGCCTGCAAGCCGAAAGATGTTCATGGTGACAATAGTTGTCTCGCGAGGAGGTGAAGGTGAGAGAAGGTAAGGTGGAGGGGAAGGGGAAGGGGGGGGAGATGATGGTGTTGGTGCAAGTAACACAACGTGACGCAAGGCGAGAAGGAGTTGCAGACCAAGGATCCGCACGAGAAGCATGAGGGCGCGTCGAGCGCATTCCAACGCCGCGTGCCATTCTCCGCCGCCAGCTCATCCGTGCCACACGCCGCCGCCGCTTCGCACCGGATCGCACCATGCATTCACGTGCGAATATCGGGCTTTTGAATCGGGTCGATCTCTGTACCGCTTCCCCAACTCATCGAACGGCTCTTTCGAGTGCATGCTGTTGATTGCAGAGGTTATCGCCAGATGAGAGGTGCGGGTAGTGCATCCTCCTGCGGCTGCCATCGAGTCACCTTCACATGCTCGGCATCCGATACAAAGCCGTCCGTACAAACCAGCCTGTCCTTGTCGCCCCCGCCGGCGTGCAAGTCGTAGCCGGCACAGCGAAAGTACTCGACCATGGGCAGCGTCGAATCGTACGTGAGGTCGATGTGCGTTCCGCCTGCGTACATGCCTGCTGTGATGGGGCCCAGGCGTGTCTGTGCGAACGTCTCGCCGTCGTTGGGCTGGCCAGTTAGCGCAGGATCGCGCGTGGGGCGGATCACCACCACATCCACTGCATCCTTGGGTAGCCTCAAAGCGGACGAGAGCGGGGCGGGGATGAATGCCGACTCGAGCCGGTCCGTCAGCATCGCATTCAGATACAAGAAGGGTCCCTCCAAAACCAGCTCCGCGTTCTGTACAAGTTCGAAGGACGAGGTTTTCGGTGAGTATTGCTGGATACCGCTGGGAGGAGGGTGGAGGGTGAGCGTGGCTTGCGTCCAGCGGGTGGCGTTGAGGGCGGCGGCGGCTTTGAACCGGTCGATGCCCGTGTGGCGTGCGCGCATCGCGGGGGTGTCTGCATCGTGTAGGATAGCGGCGTGCAGTGCGTGCGATGTAACCAGGTGCGCAACGATCTGCTGGCTCCCGAGGTCAACGTGCATGAGAGGGAGATCCACACATCCTTGCGTACCCGACCGAAGAGAGGCCGCGAGAGACTTGACGCTCCGGAGCATCACATCCACCACGCTCGCATCCAGTTCGGCGGTTGAGTGGGCGGCGGCGACGCGGTGCTGCACATCCTGCGTCCAGTGCTCCGGGTACAGCGCGGCAAACAGCGCATTCGCGGTTCCGGCTGGTACCACCGCAAGTCGAACTTGAACCGACCCAAGCGCGGAAGAGAGCAAGATACCGTTGAGGATCTCGTGTGTTGTGCCGTCGCCGCCGACCAGGATGATGTCGAGAGGCGTGGTGGGGTGCAGAGAGGTGTGCGTGTGGATGAGCGTCCGGCCGATACGAACACCGTCCCCGGCACTTGTGGTGCGGTGGACCCGAAGCTCATCTGCGCCCAAGAGAGGGACAAGGTGCGTCGTGTACACCGACTCCGCCAGCCCGGACCCAGCAGCCGGGTTCAGTACCACCTCCACCATCGTATCGTCCACAAAGGTGTTCGAGGTGCACAGTCAAGAGTGCCATGCGCAGTCAGGGTCCAACCACCCTCTCTCGCTTCCGCCCCGTGCGCGCGCACGCCATGCTCGGCAATTTTTCACAAACTCAACCTGAGCAACGGATAGACTGGATTGCACTTGGACTCTAGCGCACAGGCTCGGTAGTCGCCGCGGCCTCGACAAACTCGTTGGCCTCATCGCGGCTGATGCTGCGGATGCTGCTCACCTTGTTGGCGTCGAAGAGCACGCCGTAGTGCTTGCTCGCCACCTGCACCATCTCGGGCCGGAAGGTGGTGGTGATGAACTGCGCATTGTGCGCCAGCTCGCGGATCATGTTGGCCACCGCCGTGCGATACAGCGCATCCAGATTGGCGTCGATCTCGTCAAACAGGTAGAACGGCGCCGGATCGCACTTTTGGATGGCAAACACCGTCGCCAGCGCCACGAGCGACTTTTGCCCGCCCGAAAGCTGCTGGATCCGCAGGCCTTCGTCGTGCTTCGAGTTGAACGAGACCTTGATCGCCACACCCGTGTAGTTCTCCACCTGGCCCGCGCTCGGCTCGTCGTCGCTGTCGCCCTCGGCAGCGCCGCCGGTGGTGAGGTCGGCGCGACGCTGCATGATGAGCCGCCCGCGTCCGGCGGGGACGAGCTTTTCAAAGACCTCTTCAAAGTACTTGCTCACCTGCTTGAACGTGCGCTCGATCGCCTCGTCCTTGCGCTGGTCGAGCACGTCGATGAGCTCCTGGATGCTCTCGGCGCTCTGCTCGAGCTCGGCGCGGCGCTCGAGCAGCTGGTCGCGCTGCTTGGTGAACGAGTTGTACTGCTCCACCGCCTTCTTGTTGACGTGCGAGAACTTCTTGAGCGCCTCGTTGACCTTGTGCAGCGCCTTGAGCAGCCGGTCCGAGCTCGTGTTGGTGTACTTTTCGAACGCCTCCTCCGGCAGCACGCCCAGGTCGCGGATGTCCTGGTTGCACCGATCCCGCTGCTCCACCAGCCGCGACCGCTTGCTCAGGTACCGCTCCACGTTCTTCTGCTGCCGCGCGATGCTGCGTGCATCCTCCGCCTGCTCTGCCTTCGTCTTGTCGTATCCCGCCTGCGTGTCTTGGATCGATTGCGTGAGTCGGTCCAGTTCGGCCTCGACCGATTTGATCCGCTTCTCGCGCTCCGAGATCCTGCGTCGAAGCGCGTCGATCTCGCGCCGACGTGCCGATACGTCCTGGCCAGACACGGCGCCGGCGTCGTCGCCGCCGAGCGACTCGCCGAGCGCCTCGAGCTGCGCACCCAGCTCGTCGTGGCGCCGACGCAGGTTCTCGTACAGGTCGATCTCGAGCATCGAGCGTCGCTGGCTGAGCTCGGCGAGCGCGGTGGTCTTGTCCGCCAGCGCACGCTTCTGCGCGTCCTCCTGCGCATGCAGCGTCTCGAGCTGCGCCGACTCCTGTGGCGTCAACCCGGCGGACATGGGAGTGCGCACCTCCTCTTCCAGCGCCGCGCGCTTGGTCTGCGCCGCCTTGAGCTCGAGTGTCTGGTCCGCCTCGCGCCGCTCGATGCTCTGCAGCCGCTGTGCGAGGTTGTCGGCCTCGGTGCGGGCCCACTGCAGCTCCTCGGTGAGCGGCGCGCGCGAGTTGCGCGCCTCGTCGCGCCGATGCTGGAGCGCATACATGTCGCTCATGAGCGCGGTGATCTCCTGCTCGATCTCGCCCAGCCTGCGCTGCACCTCGGCCTGCTTGGCCGTGTCCGCCTCGCTCTGCGCCTTCCACTTGCGCACGTCGTTGACCGCATCCAGCCGGCTGCGCCGCGGATCCTGGTAGCCTCCCGAAAGCGCACCCTTGCGCTCCACCTTGTCGCCATCGAGCGTCACGGCGTTGACGCCGTGGCTGCGCACGTACGCCGCAGCGATCTCGAGGTTGGGGCAGATGATGCTCCTGCCAAAGATCTGCTGCATCGCCGGTGCGAGCGCACGCTCGAAGTGCATCTTCTTGACCATCAGGATGGCATCCTGCGTGGCCGGGAAGTCGGTCTCCTTGGGATGCAGCCGGTTGAGCGGCATAAACGTCACGCGCCCGCTCTTCTCGCGGTTCATCACCTCGAGCAGCTTGCTCGCCGTCTCGTCCGTATCCACCACCACGTGGAAGAGCGACGCGCCCGCCACCACCTCGACGGCGGTCTTGTACTTGTCGTCGACCGTAAACAGCTGGTACACGGGACCCTTGACGTTGTCCTGCAGGCCGAGGCTCGCCGCGATCTTGTCCACCGCCGAGAGACCCTGGACGGTGGCCTTGTCCATCATGCCGACGAGCTTGCGCTGCGCGTTGGAGAGCTCGTTGGCCGCAAACGCGAGCGACGAGCGCAGCGACTCCTCCTCCTTCCACAGGTCCTTGCGCAGCTCCGAGAGCTCATCGCGGCGGTCGCGCTTGGCGGCGTACTCGGTGGCGAGCTGCTGCACCGTATCCTTGCGGCTCTCGAGATTTTCCTCGATCTCGGTCACCTTGCGCAGTGCGGCGGTGCGGCGCTCGGTGGCCTGGGTGCGCTCGCGTGCGGTGTCGTCGATGCGCGTCTGCTGCGAGCGCAGGAAGTGGTCGAGCTCGGCCATCTGGGTGCGCAGGTATTCGTCGCGCTCTTGCTGCGTGCGGAACTGCGCCGAGCGGCCCTGCTTGGAGTAGAGCGCCGAGACGCGCGCCGTTGTGTCCTGGAGCGCCGCACGCAGCTGCTCTGCCTCGGATTGCACGCCGGCGAGCGTGGGCTGGAGCTGGTCGAGCTGCGATTGCTTGGACTGGATCTCGGCGCGGATTCGGGCGAGTTGGGCTTCGAGGGCGGTGCGGCGGTCGGCGCGCTTCTCGCCCACCTCCTCGAGCTCCTCGACGAGCGACTCGATCTGTGCGAGGTGCTTTGCGACGTCTCTGCGCTCGAGCTCGAGCTGCGTCTTTTCGAGCGTGCGCTGCTCGATCGACTGGCCCGTGGCGGCGAGCTCGGCCTCGAGGCGCGCGAGGCGCTTCTCGCGCTCGTTGAACTCGGCCCTGCGCACGTTGGACGCGTCGAGGTCGCGTCTGCGCTCGTCCTCGAGCTTGTCGAGCAGCTCTGCGCATTCGGTGAGCTCGCGCTGGTGGAGGCTGTACTCGATGCACCTGCGCTCGCGGTCGCGCTCGTAGTACTCGCGCAGCTCCTCCTTTTCGTCGTCGAGCTCGCGCAGGCGGTTTTCGATGTACTCGAGCAGGTCGTCGATCTTGGAGCGCTTGGCGGTGGTGTCCTCCATGATCTTGATCGACTCTGCGCGGCGCTGTTCGTAGACGCGCGTTCCTGCGACCTCTTTGAGCAGGCCGAGGCGTTCGTGGTCCTTGGCATTGGTGAGGTGAGTGATCCTGCCCTGAGGCACGATGTAGTACGGATTGCTGCGCGAGAAGCCGGCGGACTCGAGGAGGTTGGCGACGTCCGCCTTGGAGGCCGACTTGCGATCGATGCTGTACTCGTCCTTTTTGAGGCCGATGGTCCTGCGCAGCACGACCTCGGTGCCGTTGGTGGGGAAGCGATTGTCGGAGTTGTCGAAGACGATCTCTACAAACGCCGAGAGCGTGGCCGAGGTGGAGCTGGAGCTGTCGTGGAGGAGCGACTGGCGCTCCTCGCGCGACATGGACGTGTAGGCGTCCGAAAGCACAAAGCGGATGGCGGAGAAGAAGTTGGACTTGCCCGAGCCATTGCGACCGACGACGACATTGTGGTGCGGCGAAAAGGGCTCGACGGCGGTCTGGTCGCGATACGACTTGAAGCCCTGGATGGTGAGCGTCTTGATGTACATGGTGGGGGTGGCGATTCAACGCACGCTCGAGGCGTGACCTCGGTCGACGCAGTTGGTGGTGGTTGCGAGCACTTGTGGCGGCTGTACTGGGTATAATTTAGCAGAGGAATGCGTGCGGTGGAGAGAGAGAGAGACGATGGGAGGAAGGGAGGCGAAGAGGGCCCTATTTCGAACGGGAAAGAGCAACACTTTCGCTGCTGCTGCTGCTGCGCATCTGCCACTTTGCTTTGACTCAAAAGGCGACTCTCTGCAGAACGCGCGCGCTTCTGCCCAAAAATGCGCAGACGGGGCGGCGTAAAGTGGAAACGCGACGCGCCGCGCCGACTCTCGGCTGAGGCGCGACTCCACACCCACTCTCTCTCTCTCACGCACTACTCGCGCCCAGCCGAACTGCACGGCGTGTGGATGAGCTGCGCCTGTTAGTTTGCTCATCAATCACGGAATGACAACGTCGACATGCGAATAAGAACAAGACAAGGCATTGCTAGAGCTACGGATCTACGGGGCGGCTAGTCCAACTCCATGCCGGTGGACTGATTCTTGCCGGTCTTTCGTGCGCGCGCGGCCTCCTTCTTTCTCTTCTTCTTGTCGGCAGCGGCCCTGATGGCGGTTTGGTCGCTCTTGGGAGTCCCAGCCTGCTGGACGAGTCTCTGCGCGAGCGGCAATCCACCCAGCCTCTTTCCGAGCACGGTGTTCTTGCCCGTAGCCGCGATGGCGCGAGCCTTGGCTTCGTCGCGCGCCTTCTTCTTTGCTTCTTCGGCACGCAGCTTCTGCGCCTGAGCCGGCGTGAGCAGTCGATTGGCCAGCGGCTCCGGAATGCGCTCAGCCAGCGGCCTCGCCTTCACCTCTGGCTTCTTAGCTGGAACTGGAGTCTTTGTACCCGCCGCAGGGGTGGTGGGTTGGTTGGATTTTTTCGCGCGGGGTTCGAGGAGTTCGGCCGCTTTGGCACGCGATCGCATGCTAGCTGGAGCGGTCGGGATGGCTGCAGCTACCGCCGCCGCCGGTGCGGGCGTGTACGGCAAAGGTGCAGGAGCAGCAATGTGGTTGGGCGCCTTTTCACGAGGACGTTGCGCAACCGCCTGCGCCGTAGCACGTTGAAACTGCGCCACAGCATCGCGTGCCACCTCGGGCTTCTTGATCGAAACCTGCAGAATCCTCCCATCCGCCAAAGCGCCGTGGAACTTTTCCACCGCAGTCTCGGCATCTTGACGCTGGTCAAACGCCACCTCGAACGAGACGGTCGGATGGTTCGCCGAGGGCGCAGGCCGTTGTTTCACCTCCTCGACGCGGCCGAATGAGGAGAATGTTAATCGTACGTCTTCGGTGGATGTACCCACTACGAGGTTGGAGACGATGATCCAGGTGGGACCACTGGAACCTCGGATGGAAAGCTCGGGTGGAGGATACGACATGCCGGCTTGAGGCGCGGTCGTTGGGGCAGGAGCTGCTTCGTGGGTGTCGCGTGGAGTTGCGGCCGAGGGTCGAGGACGGGTGTCGCGTGCATAGGGATCGCTACGACGAGAGGCTCGAGACGCACCCTTTCGTCCTGACCCGCGTCGGGCATCGCGCATAGGTACGTCCATATCGTTCCAATCACTCGAGTGATCTAAGCTCCCAGTGCTAGTGGGAAGCAGTGTTGGTCGGTGGTGTTGAGGCAAAGACCGACAGTTCGCTTCCCCGTGCAGAACGGGACGCGTCTCTCTCTTCCTGCCCTTTGTCCGTGCGAAGTGGAAATGCGCTTCCAAAATCGGCCCAACTCCACCCTTCCACCCTGAGCGCGTCTGCCTTCGGAGCCGAACAAATCCCCCCCCCCCCCCCNCACACCATCGACAACCCTCACCTGCCTCTGCCTCAATCCTTGACCTCACACGCCCACTTGCCGCGCGCATTGCATGTCGATGTGAGAGTGGTCATGATTCTTGGTATCGTATCGGCATGAAAATATTCGTTGGTACAAAACAATACAATCTCGGTAGCCCACAGTGTGCGGGCTCAAGGCTTGCCGGAAAGCGCCCCGTTGAAGCGCGACAAGTCCTTGCCCGCTAATATGAACGCGGCCATGCCCACGAACACCACGCCTGCCGCCGCCAGCGTCTGTGGACCCACCACATTTACGTGGCGGCTCGACTCTCCCGTCCCTGCACCCGCCGCTGCCGCCGCTGCGTGGCGAAGCTGACGCGACCGAGGATGCGAGCCTTCGTGCTTGGCGTGGTCGATTTCCAAAGCTTCGCCGCGACAAGTGTCGGCGCCGAGCTCGGGCGTGGTGACCTCAGTGGATGTGGATGGCCGTGTGGATGTGGAATCGGCAACGCTGCGTACTGACTGGCTCGTCGACATGGCATCCTCGTCCGGGCTTCGGCGTGACAGACGCGCGCGAGTCGCTGCATCCCACTCATCCTCCTCGTCGTGCTCCCGACCGCCAGCGCCCAGCATGAGACCCGCAGAGGTGCTGCCGTACAGCAACGTGCGCAGCGCGCTGTTCACGTGGCGTTTTCGACGGCCGTGGCCTCGCTTGCTGCGGCCTGCGCTCGCATCCGATGCCACCGCAGCCTGAGAAGCCGACGACGATGACGCGGACGCTGCGGTGTCGAGGTTCGATGCGGACGCGGCCGAGCCGATGCTGTCGGTGTCTTCGGCGTGCGCGTCCAGCTCGGTGTTCAGCTCGTCCTCCATGCGGCGGTTCGCCTCGTCCCACGCACGCACCACCTGGCGCAGCTCGTCGCGCTCCGTCTGCAGGCCCTCGCGCTCCTTGCGCCAGCTCTCGTCGAACTCGGTGCGGAACTCGGTCCACCTGCTCTCGAAGCCGTTGAGCAGCGCGGCCGTCGACTGCTGCGAGGCGTCGTTGGCGCTCGTCATGCTGGCCGTCTTGTGCTCCACCTCCCTTTCGAGCGTGTGCACGCGCTGCTCGAGCGTCTTGACCGTATCGGTGACCTGCGCGTGCTGCTCCTGCAGGCCGCGACTCAGCGAGAGTGCCTGCTCGAGCTGCGACGCCAGCTGCTCGAGACGTGCAGACAGAGCCTCGTTCTGCGCGCGCAGCTCCAGATCGCGCTCGCCGTTCTGCTTGGCGAGGTTGTGCTGCGTGAGTGCAGACGAGTCGTCCGTATGCGTGCCAGGCTGAGCGTCGGTCGTGGACAGGGCGGTGGCAGCGTCTGCCTCGCTTGCTGGCGACACCTCGGGCGCGCGTGCAGGCTCGAGGTCAGCGGCATCTTGCGAGGTGAGATGGGCGGGCATGTCGGGCGGGGCGCGCGGACCCACGTGTTGGAGCGAGCGTACGTCGGACGCATCGTCGCCACCGCCAGCGTCCATGGTGACCGTCTCGACGCTTGCTACGCTGGCGCCGTCGTCAAGGTCGTCGTGATCGACTTGGCGGCCGAAGGGTGGCGCGGCACGGATGGTGCCGAATCCGTTGAGGTGGTGACGCGAGGCAGACGACGAGGCGACGGCGTCCATTTCGCGCTTGGCCTCTTCCATTTGCAGCTTGATGGTGCTCACTTCGCGCTTGATCGAGTCGTGCTCCGAGAAGATGGATTCGAGGCTGCGGATCTTGTCGACGTGCGCGGCGAGCGAATTCTGGGTCTCGGAGAGTTGCGCCTGGAGCGCCGAGATGGTGGCCGAGTGTGCTTCGTTGGCGGCGTGGGTTTCGGCATCCTTGGCGCGCTGTTGCTCTTCGTCCTGCTGCTGTTGTTGTTGCTGTTGCTGCTGCTGCTGCTGCTGCTGCTGCGCGTTGACGGCGCCGGGAAGGGGTGGAACCATGTGAGGGTATGGTGCTGAGGCGAGAGGAGGGGGACCGCCGCCGAGTGTTTCGTGGATGTCGTGCATGGTGGTGGTGAGGCTGCCGAGATCGTTCCATGTGTCTTTGCTCCTCTGAAGCTCGCTCTGTAGCTTGGAGAGGACGTGATCGAAGCTGAAGCCGGCCTTGGATCTGCGCAGGCCGCCCTCTGCGCCTGGGCCGACGCCGTTGCTGCCGAGGGGCCCGCCGTGCATGCCGCCGCGATAGAGGCTTGCAAAATCGTGACGGAGGCTGAGCGCGTCTTCTGCGGTGAGGACGAGGTAGACGCGGCAGGCGACCTTGTGATGGATGATGGTCTTGTTGTCGTCGCCGACGATGTCGATGCCGAATTCGACCATGTCTTCGTTGTGGAGCTCAAACACGTCGGACTCCTGCGCTTCTGGCGAGAGGCGCTCGCCGTTTATAAAGGTGCCGTTGGAGGATTTGACGTCCTTGATGTAGACCTTGCCGTTCTGGCTCCAGACTTCGGCGTGCATGCGGGAGAGCACCTTGGAGTCAAAGTAGCCGTTGGTGGGATTTGGGACCGTTTTTGCGTTTGTCTGACGACCGACCTTGATGCGGTTGTTGGGACCGGGCGGGGCGAGGCTGATCTGCTTGGGCGCAAAGGTGTCGTTGAGCGGATGGAGGTGGAGGGCGGGGTAGACGAGGCCCTGAGCGTTTGCGGCAGCCTCTGCGGACGAGTAGCCTGGCGGATTGGGCGACTTGAGGGCGGCGCCGTTGGGAAGCGAGTTGGACGCAGCGGCAGCGGCTGAAGAAGGGCCGGGCGCGACGCCAAAGTTGGAGGGTGCGTTGGCCATGGGGGTGCCGCCCATCATGGATGACTGCATGTTGGGCCGATGGATGCGCGGTGGGCGAGGGTATGAGCCGAGAGATGCGGGACGGATCTGTTGTTGACAAGTGCGGAAGACCGGAACGCGTGCTAAGAAACAGGTGCGGCAAAGACGTGGATGCGACGAGACTGGAGAAGCGGGAAGATGGAGGCACGAAGGAGACGAGGAGGAAAGATGCACAGGAAGGGGGACGGGGATGATGGGATGGAGAGAGAGAGGGGGAGAGAGAGAGAGAGAGAGGGATGGGGATGGCCTTGGAGGCTGATTGTGAGATCCGGCCGACGAGACGGCTGCTGCCAATCCGCACCGAAACGCAGCGCACCCGCTGCAGTGGAATTCGACTCGCCTTGACTGCGCTTCAGCAGCTTCACCGTGCGCGATGGGCCTTTTTTTTGATCGAATTGGAAGCGGCGCTTTTGGCTGTTGTTGTGCTGGGGCTTGGCTGTTTGCAATTTGTTAGATTCAGGTTCAATCCTTCTCCACACCCGAGCTCGTCGCGCGTCGAGGCGAAGAGAGACACGCCAACAACACAGCTCAGGGGCCCGAAGCGATGGCACGGGCAGGTGTCGCGCGATCGCCGTCAAAGCCAACACGGGACCAGATCGATCGGGCGCCCAATCCAGTTGCTGTAGCTAGACCGGCCAACACGACACTGCCCAAAAGCATGGGCGTCAAGCGAGGGTCGAAGCGAGGCGCTCCTCACAGCCGCTGCAGCCACCGCAACTCTCTTTCGGGATGCGCCGACCGAGATCCCACGGTCACTTTGGAGGCAGAGCCACTGCAGACCGAATGCAGCTCACGAGCGCCGACCAGGACATCCCAGTCCGACCGGATCGCCCGTCGGTTGAGCTTGAGACAAAAGAGCAGCGGAATTGGCGCTGCAGTCCGAATCTCCGCCGGTGTTGGACGCGCAAATGCCTTTTGTTCACGGCGAAAGATCATCGGAAGTGTGCCGATCGATGATCGATTGGAGAAAGCCTAAAGCCAGCCAAGTAGTGTGATCACAGTGCCGAGTGTGACCTTGCAATGAGCTGAATGGATGCAGCTCGTGTGGACCATGTGCGGACGAATGTGCCGACGAATGTGCGGTTGGGATGGTCGATGCGTTGCGGCTGCGCCTGGGCGTCGTGGCAAACGCCGTCGGGGTGCAGTGCAGTCGAGTGCATTTCGAGGTGCATTTCGAGGTGCATCTCAAGTGCAGACCCTGGCAGCCTCGGCTTTTTGCCTTGCTCGCCTCTCGACGCCCTCGCACGGCTCTTTGCAACCGTATGCGAGCATAGCAGCTTCCACCGCCGCCGCCGCTGCGCCCTTTGTCGTCGTGCTGGGCTCCGTGCATTCAAGGCTCTTGCTCTTGTTCCTTCCCTCCCAACACCATCATCCTCGCGCGCACACACACACCCTTCCAGCGGCTTTGAATACATGGCCCGCGCTCCCAACACATGAAATCCTGCGAGGGCCTCTGACCCCCCCCAACCGTGGTCCCACCAACCCAACACATGCAGGCTGCTGCCACCCCTAGCTTGCACGGCGCATCATCGCCCACGCCAACAATGGCTGCAGCAGAGCCTTCCTCCTCATCCTGCTCCTCCTCCCACCATCACGAGCCCAGCATGTCCACCGCCACCGAGCTCGCTCTCCCCTTCATGGCCAACCACCATCGCGCAAACAACCCAGACGACCCTAAGCTCCGCGCAAATCCCAGCTTCAAGTCGCGCAGGTCATCCCTCCTGGCAAACGTTCTCAAGCCAAAGTCCAACAAACCTGACGCTGCCAGGCCCACATCCTCCAGTCGCTCTTTATCCTCCGCCCACCCACATCGCGGCACCACGGCACATCCAAAGGTGGGCGACGCGCAAGACCAGCGCACACCCCTGCATCCATCTGCCACTGGCCAAAAGTCTCGCCCACCCCAGCAGCTCCAGTCCGCCGCCCCTCCGCCTCGGCCCGACTCGACCCCACCCAACACCTCGGCCGGCTCACACAGCAACACCGCCTCCTCCTCGGATACGCTCTTTGAATCCCTCCTCTCCCTCGATGCTGCGCTACCCAAATTCGCAACCCAACACACACAAGAGCCGTCGCACGACTCGGCCGTCTCAACACAGCATCCCTCACTTGACTCCAACAACCCCAGCCATGACGACACGATAGCCACACCATCAAGCGCAGTCACCACCTCCGCATCCGAGCCGGTCCCGTCCGGCGCCTCAGTCGACCCCGCATCCCAGCCCATCTCCCTGCCGCAGTCTTCCTCGGTCTTCGTCACTTCACCCCAGCGATTCTCGAGTCTGGGTCGTCGGTCCGCCGCACGTCTCACCTTGAATCCTTCCCTTCTCCCCTCCTCCCTCCAAATGCCACGAGCGCTCGCTCGCGACATCAACCAAGAGCTCGAATCACCCAAATCGCCTTCCGATGCACTCCCGACCACTCCTCGCAACGAGCGCAGGATGAGCATGCTCGACTTCCTCGCCACAGACTCGCCCACCCACAACTCCACCACCCACCTCGCCGTCCAGCCTGCCCCCGCCAGCCTCTCCGCCGAGCATCTGCCCGCTTCCATGCCCTTGATGCAGGCCAGCCATCAGTTCAGCCTCGGCGCCTCGGCCTCCTCATCCTCCTCCTACGCTCCATCCTCCTCGCGTCACACAAAGGTAGACCTCTGCCAAAACGTCTCGGTCAGCGTAGAGCCCCTCGTCGATCGCCTCACCATGTTTGGTTCCATGCAGTCCAGCTCCAACTATTCCCTCGCGGGCACCGTCGTCGTCGAGGTGCCCAAGCTCGACGTCCCTCGCGTCTCGGCCGCAGCCGCCATCAGCCCCGACGGCTCCGTCTCCGACCACCCTGCCATCCACGTCGAAGCGCTCACCCTCCGCTTCATCGGCTACTCGGTCTATGTAGACGCAACCGGCAGATACAACGCCATCAAGCTCGCAGAAATATCCCAAGAACTTCTACAACCACAAGGATGCACCTGCCCCGTGCCCTTGGTCGAGCACGCCGACGCTTCCCCTTCGCACACCGACGCTGCTTCACCGACGGTCAAATACGAGACCGAATTCGACCTCTCCATCCCCGGCTGGCTTCCCGCCTCTCAGCGCTCACGCTTTGGCGCCACTTTCTACTGCGTGCAGGCATCCGCCACCGTTCAAGGCAAAGCCGTCGTCTCCGCCCTCGCCGCCTTTGGTCGCAGACCATCCGACGGCCAATCCCAGAGCATCAACACCGCCACATCGCTCGAAGCAGAGCAGCGCGAGCCCATCGCCGCCGCCAGCGCTGTGGAGCGCAAGGAATCCATCCAGTCTGCCTCCACCACCGCGCGGCCCAAATCCAAGGGCACCTGGCTCAACAAGAGAGCAAAGCAGCTACAGCTCAGGTCCTCCAAAAAGTCTTCCCCCTCCGAGGCAGAACTCACCAGCTCCGTTGCAGTCGGCCGCCGAGGCTCCGGATCCAAGGACGTCGTTTCAGCTTCGGCATCGGGCGAGCGCGATCCTCTCTTCACCAAGACTAGCGAAGCTTCCAACCAGACTCTGCCTGATGGCCAGCATCTGCTCAAAAGCGAGTGCATCAGCATCTTGGTACGCCGCTGCAGAGACGTCGTCCCCGTCCCTGTCGCCAGACTCGCTCGACTCGCCACCGCCGGCGACGTCGCATCCGCCGAAGATGCGCCACCACACTCGCTCTCACAGAGCATGCTCGCCCTCGCCGCCCTGCAAGAGGCGCCTGCCACCTCCAATGCCGGTCTAGCCCCCACAACACCAGCGCCGACGCACGAGAGGCCCAACCTGCCTGCTTCCGTCTCTGCTCCAACCATAATTGCGCCGCTCTCGAACCCTCGGCAGCCGCTCGACGTTCCAAATGCAAACGGCACCAACGCTGCGACTGTCGCCGGTGAGCCGACCACGGCACTGACCTTAGCGCCATCTCCGAGGATCGACGCTCATCCTGCACGCATGGGCCTGCACGATGCTCCGTCTACTGCGCAGAGCTCAGCGATTCTCGACGCCGAGAGGGAGTCGAGGTCCATCCTTCCGCCCGCACCCAGTGCATTCGAAGCGCCTCGTGATCCAGCCAAACTGGCAGCAGCAACGGGAGGCATGACGCCCTCGGCTACGCTGCCCAACTTGCCTTCCTCCAGAAGCCGTGCTTCCTCGCTGCTCGACTCGCGCTTCGGCAATGCCAACTCGCCCCCGCGCACCTCGTCCAGATCCGCCTCGGTCGGCCGCACCTCGGTGCCCATGCGTCATTTCGTGCATCGTCCAACGCTGCATCTGCCGCCTACTCTCGGCGCCACGCCAGACAACGAAGCCGACGGCAGCCTCGTCTTTTCCCTCACCCTCTCCCTGCCTTCACACGTTCACGTCGCCGGTCCCAAGGCCGACGTGCTTAGCTTTGGCGTTCAGATCGAGGCAGGCCGAACACCAGGCTGGGAGGCGCTTCGCAAGTGCGGCGGCCTGCGCCTCAAGGACATGGAGCTCGTCTGTCTCCAGACCGAGCGCCACAGCTCCATGCCTTCGCGCTCCTTCGTACACACTTTCCCCGTGCCGCCGCCGCCCAATCGCGTCGAGGCAGCCGACTTACCCGTTGTCACTGCTTCGCGCAGATCGACTGCCGCATCGTCGCCTGCACAAGCAGCAGCCGAGAAGCAACTCCGCGCAAGTTACGACCGTTCGCTCGTCCTCGGCCATATCTCCCTTGCCAATCAAGGCAAGGCGCCACATCCGATCGAGCACAACGTGGAGCGTGTCCGTACGACGATTGTAGGTCCGCCACCCTTTGTGCTCCGCAAACGAGCCGGCGACGATCCCGAACGAGATGCGGCTGATTCCTCCCGCAAAGGCAAGGCGATGGCCACCAGCAGGGTGAACTCAACCTCCGCTGCAGGGCCCAACGGCACCACGCGAAGCCCACAGCAGAATAGTCCCGCGGGCTCCGGTACAAACACGCCGGATGGACACTCGCAGAGCGCCGGTATGAGTTCGCTGAGGGCTGCATTCGCTCCGAATGCGCTTGCCACCACGTCGCGCTCACGCGGAAGCGTGATGCAGCCGGCGCCGAGGGCCTTGGCGCGCTCCAACAACTCGAGCAGCTCTTCGCTCCGAGCCGCCTTCCAAGGCACTGATGGGTCAGGTGCGATGCAGCCTGCGCCACGCTCCGGCACAGCGGGGCCGTCCTCGTCCAACGCTGCAGCGCCTCGGAGCCGAAGACCGATTCCCTTTGAAATGGACCTGACGAGCGGTCCGGCAGGCCCAGAAGCGGAAAACGGCACTGCTCGTGCCGACGGCACCACCCGTGGAGAGATCACGGAAATGGAGTCCGAGACTCCGATCGTGCCGCCAGCCTGGACGCGCGAGCGTGAGCCTGGAGCATCATCAACTTTGGCTGCGAGGCCCACAATCACATCGACCGTCTCTACGCGCTCTGACACTCAGTCGGCGCCGCGAAGGAGTCGCTTTGAGACCGCCATCACGCGGTTGTCGACGTTTGCAAGCTCCATGCTCGAGCAACCGGCCGAGTCTTTGGGCGGTGGTTCGGGTCAGGATGTGCGAGGTGGCAGCCGCAGCGCGCCTCGAGAGCGGACGGAAGGAGCGGCTGCCAGCCTGCGCGCGTCGTATGCATTCGCTGGCGATGACGGACAAGGCGTGGACCTGAACAAAGGCCGAGTGCGCATGACGATCAATCTTCCTCTCGTGTCCAACGACATCGAAGCAGCACGCAAGGCGGGCAGTGCGCAGCTCATCCCCGACTTTGAGAGCCCCTACGTTCGCGTGCGCCACAAGCTCAAGGTCAAGCTTGGATTTGGGATGAAGTCGAACGTCGCCACCGGCCCAGATGGCGAGGACTGGGTGCAGGCGCTGGTCATGTGCGTCCCCGTGCGATTCACCGAGGCACCGCCCAGAGAGGTGCAGGAGCAGTTTGGACCGGTGAACGGGTTGGCAGGCACGCCGCGGGCGGCAAGATCAGGCTCGCAGAGTGCGCCAGATCGAGGCAGGGATGCTGCCGACACTGTGACCGCTTCGACTGGAGCAATTACAGGAGACGATGCAACGGCGGCTCAGTCTGCCTCTGGGGCGGCGCCTCCGTTCGTGGAGCCCCTTCTGCCTGCGTACGCACAACTGTTCCGAGAGGACGGCTCGCGTCTGGCCGACGAGGGCGAAGATCTGCCACGCTATCCAGGCCGGATGTCGGTGGTTGGTGAGATCGACGAGGATCTCGGCAGCGGCGCTCCGGCCGCGGAGAGCGAACACGGTGGCGCGATCGCCCACGCCGAGCGTGCCGGTCATTCGCTTTCGACGGTGGATGAAGACCATGCGTCGAGCCCGCGTAGATCGTCTGACGAGATGAACGAGCTCGCACAGGCTAGCACCGAAGTGTCACCGCACGCGACTCTGGGTTCAGTGCCGGATGCAGGCATTTCTGCGTCGAGATCGATGCAGCTGAGCTCGGTGCCTACGCCTATGGACCGCACGACGAGCCTGCCTGGGCACCGCATGCTGACACGCACGATCTCGACGGGAGTGTTTGGGCTGCGCACTTCGCCATCGCATCCGTCGCTGCCGGGTGCGAGCCAGAGCGCGACGGCGTCGACGTTCAAAGAGGCGGCCGGCAAGGCACGCGTGGGCTCGTCTGCATTCGACCCGCTGCCTGGGCGTCCGGGCATGCGGCGGCGCTCGGCCACGACGGCGTCGCTCATGACGTTTAGCCGCATCACGCCCGCCGAAGTGCTGGACGAGGCGCTGGTGACGAATGCGCTCGACGATGAAGAGGACCGCATGGACCCGCTGCAGCCTGCACACACTCTCAACGGCGTCGGAGGGCGTAGGGGCCGAGAGACGCTCAGCTCCGGTCAGGACGACGATGGAGACGACGGCGAGCTAGATGTCGACGATGATGACGAGGAGGAGGATGCGGAGGTGGTGCACGAGATGGACCTGCATTCGGACGAGGTCGATAGCGGCGTGGACAGCAGCGATCGCGGCCACCACGACGCGCAGCTCAGCGGCAGCGGCAGCGAGATTGATCACGATGCCGAGATTGGCCGGGCGTTGTAAAGATTCGAATGCGAGGACGTCGTTCACACCGCCGTCAAGTTTGATTAGCTCTAGCATGTATTCGCAGATCAAACGTACACATGGTTTTGCATATTCGGCTCGATGAAGGGCAAGGTGACCGAATGAATGAATCATGTTTCCCCGCCCCAACGGCGATCGCGAACGATGGGGAGGTACGAACGTGCCAAAGACGGAGAAGGATCAGGAGAAGTGGTGCTGGTGGTGATTGCAACGCTCTGCATCGGAAGGCGATATGAGACCCATTTGCGAAGGGACTCTTCATCCTGACGCAGATCCAAACACAGCATGCGCTCAATACTAGCCACTGCATGCATGTCAAACCTCGCTCACCACTTGACTGTGGCCAGGCGAGCGTCGTACTCGATCTCGAGGCATGCTTACGCACACAATCGATGCAATAGACGCCTCCGATGCCCAAGCAAGCCCCGCGGCGACTCGTTGCACTCTCACTTGACGAATTGCTAAGCTTAGGGGCCATTGGGCATTCTGAGACAACTAGGCGCCACAGCGGCAAATCTACCGATCCAAAACCTTCAGCCCCTTGCGCTTCTGGTGTGTTGTGGAGGCTCGCCTCCACTCGGCCGTTGCGATTGTTCCGCACCGGGTGTGATCCGGTCCGACTCATTGTGCTGAGGGATCGAGGTGCAGGTTGATCGACCTGTCCAACATAACCTCGTCACCGTTCGCACGCATAAGTGAGTACTGCTGCTGCGACAAAAAGTTGCCAGTCGGGCGAATGGATGACTGGCACTCCTTCCGACGCTCGTCGACGAAAAGGAGATGAAGATGCGGTTACAGAGGAGCGGAGAGATATGGGCGGCTGCGACGCGGCTATCAGAGACGGATGCGAAGGGGACTCTTCACAACGACGCAGATCCAAGCTCATCACAGGCATTTGCACATCACTTGTACGTGCAGCTGGACTTGGCACAGTCGGTCCGACGAGAGTGCAAGCTGGGTGAAGGGATGAACGACACCTTCTCACCGCGATGACAGGAGCGAACGATGAGGAGGTATGAAAGCTGCAGAAGGGGAAAGAGTGATTTGCGGGCCTGGCCGACTCTAGCCGAGTCCAGACTGACATGCACTGCGGACAGTCTCTTGGTCGCTTATTTTGGCTCTGATGTCAGTTTAGTGCACATCCGTGTGGCAGCTGTCTTGAGCTGGACTGCTCATGTTTATGAACAGCGCCTCCTCAGCTCCGCCTCCTTGCACTCGAGCGTATTCGAAGAGCCGTACGAAGCAACAGCAGGTGTTGGCGTGGGCTGCAACGCTCTGCGTCGGGAGTGGCTGTGAGAGACGTATGCAGAGCACTTCGTATCGACGCAGATCATCACCATAGCGTGCCTTTGAATGCATATATTGAAACAGCCGCTCGCGATGGAAGTGCGAGTTGGGTGAATGGATGACTGACACTACTCGAGATGAATTCGCCAACGACGAGGAGGTATCAACTTGCGGAAGCAGAGGAGAGAAGAGACTTGGGGTGGGCTGCAACTCTCGGCGCCACAAGTGGCTGTGGGATAGAGAATCTTACGTGTACCGACGCAGAAAGCCCGTTTGTACCTTTTATGTGAGGGGTTTGGTAATGCGGCAGCTTCGACCTCATCGTGCCAGCCAGTCAGGCGCCATGATTGTCAAGCACAGATGGAACTGCGGCTCGATTCATGGCGACAACCCTCACAAGCTCCGAGCGAGTCCTCAAGAGCGACGACTTGCCCCCTTTTCCAAGGCAAGGCAATGACGGAGGTGGTCCCGACGACATGAAAGCGCACAGACTAGACGAGGACACGACGAGGATGAGTAGGTATAGGACGTGGCTGAGTTGGTACGATTCAGGTCGCACGTATGCAAGTACACAGAAGACTTGGTGCAACGAGGCATAGACGCTCAAAACAAGGTAGCAAGCATTCGCGCCTGAATTGTACACATGCCCAATGGACGAGGAAGCGAGATCGTCGTGCAACGACGAGACTGGTGGCAACATTCCGGCTGCATCTACGAGCTTGATGGCGTGCAGACCATGATGCATGTTTATGAGCTGCCAAAGTGGCGCTGTGGGGCGCAATATGAGCCGCCAAGCCTCGACCCTCCCCGATCCTCTCCCATGCATGCAATCACGACAGCGTAGGTGGGGTCCAGTGGGGTCCTGTTGGCAGCTTGTGGGCTGCTTCCCGCTGTGCAACCGCTTTCCAGCTGGTGCTTTAGGCCGAGACCGCTTTCCTCGCCGTATAAAAGAACGGCTCGGAACTTGTAGTGTCAATGTCTCCAACCACGTCTTGATCCCATACACCTCTTGATCGCTGACACTGTTCGTGCTCAACAATGTTGCTCAAGCAGATTCTTCTTGGCCTAGGGATGTGTGCGGGTCTGGCTGCGGCTGGCGAGCCTGACGCCACGCCAATGACCGTCAACAACGCCGAGTACGAGCGACACTGTGGAGCTAACAGTGACGCCAACTATCCGTGCTTCACCTTCGTCGGTGGCGACCTCAGAGATGTTCGTGCCCAGATGTATGGTGATGGTGCCGCATCTGGCATCAATGACCCGACGACCAACTTCCTGGTCAAGGACGATCAGATGCGAGGTAAGTATTTCACTTTGCTCACAGAGGTGGCTTGTTCGGCGTGCCGACCGTTTGTGGCCGCTTCATGGCTTGTGTCACAGACTTTACCACTACGGACCCCAACAAGAGCTTCTCGATCTATTGGTTCGCTTTCGACGTGTCTGTCCTGTACGAACCCGTCGATACGTCCAAGGCATGCTACAGGATCAAGATCAATTCGATCGGCAATGGCAGGATCTGGATCAATGACGGCTTGAACAATGGAGAGGATATCGATCTTGACTCGAGGGACTCTTCTATGGGTGTCCACGAGTTTTGCTCCAAGTGGCTCCGTCTTCATGTCGGCGACGACAAGTAGCCTTTCGAGTCGCCTGCCGTCTTTTCTCCAACTCGCGTAGCTTTGATGTTGTTGTTGATCGTAGCGTGCGACTTGCTATGCGCGCTTTGCCAATATGATCATGGTTCATCGTCCATTGCTTCTTCCTTGACTGGGATCATCTGTGCCATCGATGGTCTGACTCGGCCTCATCGGTTGCAAATCCCATCCAATCCGGTACGATTGATCGACGAGATCGAGCTGGATAGACTTGGTGTCTTTGAGAATGTACGCGTGAAAAGACGAACCGCCCCTGCACGAGACAGCGTCGATCGCAACTGATTCGAAGCATCGTGGCGGCCAAGAACGTCACGCAGCTGCTCATCACGCTCAGCTACTTTCTAAAGCTATGCTCAAGCATCTGCGCTGTTCATGCTAAATAATGGACATGGCTCTGCAAAGTTGAGAGGTCGATTCAGTGCGACAAGGTTGTTCTGTGCAACAAAAAAGACGCATAGACAAAGAGCAGACCCATGAACGCATGCGAAGGTGGCGATGGGTTGGGATGGTGGTAGTGGGAAGATGGTCCAAGCGCGCTGCGACGCGGGGGCGATTTTTTCTTGGCGCGTTTTGGAGAGGTTTGTGGAGAAAGAGTGCTGGGCCGAGGTTGGCGCTGCAACACCATCACCAGACAGCATCGACTGCATCGAGCAACGACAGCAGCAGCCCCAACCCACCCCCAGCGCTAAGTGCATCGCCAGCAACTCGCGCGGCGTAGTCCTCGGCCCTTAGAGTCGCATCAACACTTTCGCAGCAAACGCCTCCCCGACCACTTGGACCGCCTTGGACAACGGCAGTGGTGCTCAGCGATGTACCTGTTCGACCTGGCGACGACGGGGGCGATCTCGTTTGGCGACTTTGTGTCGAGTGCGGAGCTGGTATCGCAAGTTGCGGAAGCAACTCAGCTGCGTGCGCGCGTCCGTGCGGTTCTCAAAGAGCACCGTGCCGGCTCCTCCACGACGCCCGCCACATCCAGCAGCAAAGATGACCTTCGCACGGGCACCGATGCGGAAGCCATCCCGGCGTCGGACTGGATGCGGATCGTGACGGCGCTGGAGGAGTATCTGCCGTCGGTGGTGGGGGTGTTCAACTGCGTGCAGACAGACGATCTGCTGCTTCGGTACGAGCCGGTGTTTTCGTGGCGCACGAGTATCTCGTCGACGCGCTTCCGTGGGCCGCAACGCGTCGAGCTGGCCGGACTGCACTATGAGCTGGCGTGGGTGCTGGTGACGTATGCGCTGGCACTGGCGAATTTTGCCGCCGCTACGGTGCATGGGTTGGGTGCATTCGAAAGAGATCGGAGTCTTAGTGCGGAGGATAGGAGGGCGAAGGATGAACGGCTAAGGTGGGGGGCGGATACGCTGTGCAGGGCGAGTGGGGTGCTGGTGTATGTGTCCGAAGAGCTGTTGCCGCAATGGCGCGATGCAGCGGGGGTGGTGGATATCCCACCCGACCTGACGGGCGAAGCAACGCTGGCGTTGAGCAAGATCTGTATGGCCCAAGCGCAGGCTCTGGCGATCCGCAAGCTCGTCTCGCCCAGCGTGGGGAGTGCGGTGGATACGGTCACGCCGGGACCGCCATTGCCAAAGTCGCACCCGAGCGTAAGCCTGCTTGCCAAGCTGCATCTGCATGTGGTCGAGGAGCTGGAGAGTGCACTGGGATTGCTCAAGACGGTCAAGGATCGCGGAAGTAATAGGGCGGGGAGGAGGGATGCGGTGGGACTCAGTGCGAACCACGAGCATGAACTGGCGCGGCGCGTGTCGGCGACCAACGAAGACCTCGTGCCCGCTGCGGAGAAGAAGAAGCTGTTTGGCAAGCTGCGTCTGGGCAAAGACAAGCCGAAGGACGATGCACCCTCGGCAGCGACGGCGGGAGGCGGGGTGGATTTGGATGTTTCGTCGTCGCTGCTGGCGCATGTGAGGTCGAGCTTGACGCTGCACCGCGCGCTGGCGTACAAGTGGCTCGGCATCGATGCGGGCGAAAACTCCAACCGCGTCGGCGAAGCCATGGCGCTGCTGACGCTCTCGTCGTCGCTTCTTTCGCCTTCTTCGGGGTTGTTGAAACGCAAGCAGGAGAGGGTGGGCGTGGAGGCGGCGACTGTGGAGCACTGGTTGCGCGCCTATCGTCAACTCAACGATACGGTGGCGTTCCAACCAGTACCACCGGTGGGCGAGGTGCAAAACAAGGTGCCCGCAGGCCGAGCTGCGCTGGCGAGCAAAAAGTTCACGCTGCCCACGCCGCGCTTCGGCCCCGGAAGCCCAGGCTACACCGGGCGCGGGTTCGACAGCGAGGCGCTGCATGCGCTTGATGCCGACCACCCGGCGCGCGCCAATCTTGTGGGTCTCACCACCCAACCCGACCACACATACGCAGGTCATGGTGCCTACTACTGACGCGCCGAAATGCCAATGATGTCATTGAAAGAGGGTGCGGGTTCAGCGAGCGCGAGATTGCGCCTTCATGCGCGCGAGAAAGTCGGCCGCCCCAGCAGGAGCTGGCTTGGGAACGGGGTCGGGGACGGCGGGGAGCAGTGTGGTTTTCGCCAGTCGACTGGTTCGTGCAGGAGCGGGAGCGAGGTTCGTGCGGTCCCCCAGGGCGGGTTTGGCCGGCGAGAGGCGCGCCGCGACGAGTTCGGACGGATTGGATGACGAACGCACCATCCCGTCCGGTGCGGTTGAGGGCGTCCCCAGCCCCAGCACGGGATTTTTGGTGCGCCGAACAGGTGTGAAGGAAGACGGCCGTGCCGAGGGCGAGGGAGCATACACGGCACGTACCTCCTCCACTGCCACCGCCTCGGTCTCGTCCACCTTGCGCTTCACCCCAACTGCCTTCGATGCGGAGGGAGTGACTGCCACCGACGCAGAGGTAACAGCGCTCTTGTCCGCGCGTGTTTTCCACCTGGACAGCTCCTCCTCGGCGTGCTTGGTCTGAGCGTGTGCAGCCACGAGCTGCTTCTTGGCATCGTCGAGGCGTGCACTCAACTTGGTATAGCGCGTGGCGTACTTTTTGGTCTCCTTGAGTGCGTCCAGGATCTTGGAATCGGCCTCCTCGATCTCGTCCGCCTTTCGGCCCAGTTCCTCCTCGAGCTCGTCGATGCGCGTGCGCAGGTAGCTCGTCTCCTCCTCGGCCTTGTGCAGCCTCTCCTCGAGCTCTGCATCGGGCCTTGCATCCGCAGCGGCTTCGAGCTCGGCGGCTCGACGTTGGGCAGCGGCGTACTGTGCGTTGAGCAGCTCCTCGGTCGACCGGGCCGCGGCGAGGTCCGACTTGAAGCGCAGCAGCACTTCTTCTTGCGCAGCCACGCGCTGCAGCGCAGAGTCGAGCTCAGAGCGGAGGGTGGAGAGCGCGGCGGGGGTGATGAGTTCGGGGCGGGAGCGTTCGGCTTCTTCCTGCAGCTCGGCGAGCTCTTCTTTGAGCGTCCAGTACTCGGCGTTGCGCGCGTGCATCGCCGCATCGCGTGCGGCCAAGACCGCCTCGAGCTCGGTGTGCTTGCTGACGAGTGCGGCCAGTTCGGATGCCGTGGTCTGTTGGAGGTCCAGTGCAGAGTCGCGTGCAGCGTGCGAGGCCGACAACTCCTCCTCGAGGTGTGCGATGCGTTCAGAGAGTGTGGCGAGTTGGGTGCGGTCGGATTCGTGCGTGGCGAGCTGCGATTCGAGCTGCTCGAGACGCTCGGCGTCGGCGGAGGCGCTCTCGCGATGCTCGGCAAGCGCCAGCTGCACCTCATCGAGCTCGAGCGCCAGGGACGCGGTCTTGTCCGTCGCTTTGCGCAGAGAGGTGCGCAGCGAAACCAGCTCGTCCGACTGGGCTTCCAGCTCGGACGTCCGTGCCTCTGCGGTTTGTAGCGCAGCTTCGAGCTCGGCGATGCGCCCATCTTGAGTGGTGGAAAGCGTGGCTTGCGCCGAGGCGTCGGCGTGCTCGGGTGCAGTGACGGTCGCAAGCGAGGCGATATGCTCCTCGAGCTGCGCCACGCGCGCGCGCGCCGTGTCAAGAGCAGCACTGAGCTCTTGCACCTGCTGCGTCTGCGCCGTGTCGAGAGCGACCTGTGCTTCGGCATCAGCATGCTCTGTCGGCGCAGTGGGTGCGGGCAGCGAGGCAACGTGCAACTCAAGCTGCCTGACGCGGTTCTGCAAATCGGTGCGTTGTGCTTCGAGCTCGGCCAGGCTGTCTTCGAGCTCCTCCACGGTGGTTTCGGCGAGGGTCTGGTTGGTGCGTGTGCGCTTGAGGTCGTTCTCGGCCGTCGAGAGCTGGCGCTGCAGGTGTCCGATCTGCTCGTTGCGGCGCAGCACGCGCGCCTCGAGCTCGTCGACCTTGTCGCGCAGGCCCGCCACCGCATCCTCCTCCTGCGCCTCGCTTTGCGCTGCGGAGGTCTCGGTCGCCTCGTTCGTCTCACTGCGCCTCTCCTCGTCGCTCGAACTGGGACGGAGTAGCGCTAGGGATGCGGACATGTCGCGGGCGTACTCGGACCACTGTGCATGCATGTCGGCGCTCGTCGTCTCGTCGCGCTCGAGCAGGGCGACGATGCGCGTCTGCCTGTCGAGCACGCGCTGCAGCGCGCTTACCTGCGCTGTGTGCAGCTCGATCGCGTGCAGCCGCTGCCGCTTGTCGGCGAGCTCGCGTAGGATGGCGCCCACTTCGTCGGCGCGTGTGCGGCGCTCCGCCAGCTCTTGCTCCAGCGCATCCATGTGCGCGATCCTTGCCTCGGCAGAGGAGAGCTTGGTTTCCAGGTCGCCGCTGCGTGTTCGCTCGGCTTCGAGCTGCTCTTCCAGCTCGTGAATGCGCTCGCTTGTCGCCTCGTTCGAAGTGTCCATCGTAGAGATCCTGACTTTGGCCGCCGTAAGCTCGGCGTCGAGCTCGGCGCTACGGTGTTGTTCCGACTGCAGTTGCTGTGTGAGCTGTTCCAGCTGGTCGTGCATCGCCTCTGCGGCGGTCAGGTTGGCTTCGAGCTCGCCGCTGCGTTGTTGTTCGGCTTGCAGTTGCTGTGTGAGCTCGTGTGTGGAGGTGGATGCCGCTGCGGCCTGAGCGTTGTGCAGCTCGGTTCGAAGCTGTGCGATCGTTGCTTGTTGCCGTTCGGCGTGCGTGTGGGCTTCCACCGCAGCAAAGGTCGCTTTGCGTGCATGCTCCTCCCACGCACTCCTGAGGGTCTCTACGTCGTCGAGTAGATCGTTGCCGAACGCGCGTGCGACGGTGTGCTTCCCATTCGGCGTCGTCAGATGTGTCACCCCCGGCGAGACGAACGAGCGCTCCGGATCGTGGACCAGGCTCTGGTCGAGTGTAAAGTACCTCTCGTCGTCGAAAGAGGCAGACTCCTGCGATGTGGATGGGTCGTGTGCAGAGATGTGCGTGGCAAGACGGTGGATGAGTCGACGTGCCCCCTTCACCTCGGCTGCGTAGTTGGGCGATGCATCAAACGACATCGACGTCGAAGCTAACACCGATTCCCCCTGCGACTCGGCCAGCCTTGATTGCGGCTGCTGAGAGATAGTGGAGCGAAGAGCTTCGAGCTGTCGTTCGAGCTCGAGGTTCTTGCGTTCGACGTGGTCGAGCTCTTCTGTGAGGCCGAAGTTTTCGAGCTCGAGCACCTGCAGCTTGTCACGCGCCTGTGCGGGGTCGGAATCGTCAATGGGCAGCATGCTGATGCGACGTGAGCGTACGGGCGGTGTAGATGAGTCGCCCATATTTGCAATGCGATGCGATGCGACGAGGTGATGGTGTGCAGGACAGCCGCATCTGATGGTGGAGGAAGAGCCGTATGCGGTTCGAGGCCAAAAAGCCTCCACACTCGGGCGCGGGGCGGAAAACAACACCTCCGCCTTCTCGGCCAAAATTCCCATCCGGCGCAGCGTGTTTGTCGTCACGTGCCATCCCCACCGCCTCCACCACCACAATCTAACACATTTGCATCTTCGCTGCCGCCGAACCATCCTCACTCTGCACAGTCATTCAGGATGTCGAGAGCAAACAAGACCTGGCATTGTTCATTTTGTATACGTGCGCGCGGCGTGGCCTCACTGGCCAGACGCCTTGGCGATGGTGGTGTCGTACTTGCGGATGAGGTCGGCGGAGCCCTCGGTCTGGGAAAAGGCAAAGCCGCGCGTGCGGCGCATCCTCTGCACGGCGCGCACCTTGCGGATGGCCTTCTGGAACTGGTCCATGCGCGGGCGGTAGTCCTGCAGATTGTACTTCTGCACCTCCTGCACAATGTGGTACGAGTCCGGGCGGTAGGTGCGCTTCCAGTACTTCCAGCCAAAGTCGCGCACCAGACAGATCGTCGGCACCACCAGCATGGCGAGCCAGAAGCCCGAGAAGCCGTACAGCCGCGGCACGATGCCGTCGTACTCCTTGCTGAAGCCGAGCCGCGGCGCAACGAGCGCATAGATCGCCAGGAAAGCCACCGTGAATAGCAGCGAACCCGGGATGGCGGCGAAGGTGTACTTGGTCCACACGTCCGAGATGAGCGCCGCCTTGCCCAGCACCGTGACGAGGACGACCATGAATAGTGTGGTGCCCCAGATCCACGAGTAGCTCGCATAGCCATCCGAAAGCTGGGGCGAGCCCCAGAAGATGATCGTGACAAAGAGGTACGTGACGAGGCTGTGGAAGAAGGCGTTGGCGGTCCAGCCCCAGAAGCGACGCTTGTCAAAGTACACCTGGCCGTACAGCTGCGGATACCGATCCAGCATGCGCGCCGACAGGAACTGGTCAAAGATGCCGATCACCAGCGGCGGCAGAACCGTAAAGATCACGTTGTAGAACGACAGCGTCCACGACTCGAACGCCACCTGGCCCGAAAACGAGTTCTGGAACGAGTACCAGAAGAGCGTCATGTACAGCGTGATGTTCTTGTAGAAGCTGTACAGGATCATCTTGCTCAGCCGCGCGTACGACCAGCTGCCGTGCACGAGCAGCAGCTTGCGCAGGTAGCGGAACTGCGAAATCGCCACGTCCGCCGAGCGCGCCGCCTGCAGACCCTCGACTCCGCTGATGCCCACGCCGACGTGCGCCGCCTGGATCATCGACACGTCGTTCGCACCATCCCCGATCGCCAGCAGCAGCGACGACATGTTCTTCTTGACCAGCTTCACCACCAGCGCCTTCTGCAGCGGCGACACGCGGCAGCAGATCACCGCCTTGCACAGCACCGCCAGCTCCAAGAACACCTTGGCCAGCTCCTTTTCCAGCGCAAACGACAGCGACTTGCCGTCGATCACCAGCGCCATCTCCTCCTGCTCCACGCCCGCCGTGCTGCGCTGGTTCTTGATCGCCTGCAGCCGCTTGTTGAGCACCTCGGCCGTGTCGTGCAGATTCTCCTCGTTGATGATCACCAGATTCATCGACTCGGAGATCAGCCGGCACGACAGCCCAATGTTGATCGCCGTCTCCTGCCGGTCGCCCGTGAGCACCCAGATCTTGATCCCCGCCGACTGCAGCGTGTGGATGGTGTCCGGCACGCCCTCCTGCAGCTTGTCCTCGATCGCCGTGGCGCCGAGCAGAAACAAATTCTGCTCGATCATCTCGGCCGCCTTGTCGAGCGCCTCGCTGCGGTTCTGGATCGTCGCCGCCGCCTGGTCGTAGATCTTGGACCACTGGCGGTACTCCTGCTCGCTCAACTCGCGCATGGCGATGCACAGCGTGCGCAGCCCTTCGGTGGCATAGTCTTCGAGGTGGATCATGGTCTGCTCGGTGAACGGCTGGTTGTCGCTCAGCCGCGCCAGGATCACCGTGTCGGCGCCCTTGCAGTACAGCTTGATCTTGCCGTCCGGACCGCGCACCACCGTCGACATGCGCTTGCGCGTCGAGTTGAACTCGCATACGTTGAGGATCTCCCACTCGCGCTCGACGCCGCGCGTGTTGACGAATACGGAGCGCGGCTTGCGCGTGGTGAACTGGTAGCCGAGGCTCTCTGCGCCCGCCACGAGTGCCGCCTCGTCCGGGCTGCTGGCCTGGAAGATGACCTTGTCGCCCTTGCGCTCGGGGATCACCGTGTGGCACACGGCGAGCAGTGTGAGGAACTCGTCGATGATGGCGCTGCTGCCGTCGTCGGGCGTGCGGCCGTCCATGATGGCGCGCAGCTCGTGCCACGTGCGCTGGCCGCCGATCTCGCGGCCGTCCGGTCCGATCTCGCCCGTGCCCTGCTTGCTCTCGTCGATGACGTCCGTAAAAGAGATGCCGCCGATGCTGGCCTGCTTGAACTCCATCTCGTTGCGCGTGAGCGTGCCCGTCTTGTCCGAAAAGATGTAGTCGATCTGGCCGAGCTCCTCGACGAGGCTGCTGGTGCGGCACAGCGCGGGCGTGTCGGTGGGCGCGTAGTACATGTCGAGGTCCGAGTTGATGAGCGTCGCCTGCTGATACTTGACCACCTCGATGGTGACGATGAGCGAGATGGGGATGAGGTTGTTGTATGCAATCACAAACGTGAGGATGTCCTCGATAAACTGGCGCGCACGACCCTTGGCCTCGTCGTCGAGCAAGAGGTACTGCATGCGCGACGCGTAGGCGGTGTTGCGCACGATGGCGCCGATGGACGAGGCGACCGAGAGCGCGAGCAGCAGGATGAAGAGGAGCAGGATCTGCACGTTGACCTGCTTCTCGACCGCGGTGCGCTTGATGGGGGTGGCGGTGGCGTTGCGCATGAGCTTGGTCTCGTGGCCGGTGAAGACGACGAGGCCGTACACCCACGGCGTATTGCGCAGCTGTGCGCCACGGAGCAGCAGCTGCTCGGGGCTGAGCGGAGCCTTGCGCATGGGCGTGCCGCTAAAGCCGGGCGTGGAGCTGAGCTGGATGTTGAGCGTGGCATCAAACGTGTAGAGGCTGTTGTTGGGCTGCTCGGACACCATGTTGCCGCGCAGCGTGGACGCGGCGCTGGACGAGGTGAGCTTGGCGGTGTCGGGCGAGGCCTGCTTGATCTTGAGGTTGGTCTCGCCGTCGAGATTGGCGGTCTCGATGTAGCACAGGCCCTCGGGCTCGGAGCTCGAGAGGAGCACGAGGTCGGCGGGGAAGAACTCGTTGTTCTCAACGCGGATGATGTCGCCGACGCGGATGTGCCTCCATCTGCGCGGTTCGAAGGCGCCGGTGCCCGGGTCGAGCACGTGGGATATGCGCGCGTTGAGCTCCGAGTCGGACTGGTGCCGCTTGATGTCCTCCTTGATCTCCTTGAACGCCGAGGCGAGCAGCACGAGCGCGAGCGGCACGATGGTCGTCCAGCGGTTGGTGGGCGAGACGCCGGGGATCTGCTGGATGCACGCGGTGAAGAGGAAGAAGACGTTGGCGTACTTGCTGAACTGCTCGACGAGGAACTTGGGGATGAAGGTGACCACGTTGTACTTGGAGGTGCTGACGTAGTTGTCGAGGAAGTCGCTCTTGTCGTTGGCGAGCGGGTCGTTGAGGTGGACGATGCGGTCGCCGTCGCGCTTCTCCTGCTGGCGCCTGCGTCGGAAGACGGTGTCGACGTCGGCCTTGAGCTGGCGCATGCTCCGCCTTACGCCGTCCATGATGCCGTCGCGCGGCGGTCGGCGACTTGTGCCCGAGGTGCGTCCTGCGCCTCCGATGCGCGAGCGGCGCGCGCCGCCATCCATGCCGCGACCCGCAGCTGCACGCGAGGAGGAGGAGGAGTAGGGAAGATAGGACGGATCGTCTCCCGGCAAGATCTCGTCGTCGGCCTCGATGCTCTTGAAGCTGTGACCGGCAGCATACGCATCGGCGAACGGCCCCTCGGACTGGTAGCCGCCGTGTTCGTAGCCTGCGGGTGTCTGTGCTGCTCCCGCCAAAGGCAGGCCGGACTCCATACTGGCGTGCATATGTTGTCCGAACCCAGGCCTGGGCGCATCGAGCCCCATGGTGGTATCGTTCTGGTCGAACGAGGCGGTCGACGTGGCGAAAGGATCTGCATCGTAGCGCGACGATGCCGGAGGATAAGCCTGCTTTCTAGAGGGAGCGCTGCCGAAGTTGTCAAAGTCGTCGCCCATAAGATCCGGGTCGTCTGCGTCGACGAGCACATGCGATGGGGCGCCACGCGGCGCGGCGAAGCTGTCGTGGGACTCGTCAAAGTCGGCGAACGGATCGCGGGTGGCGGCATTGGCGCGTGCGGGCTGGCCTGACGGCCGGACAAAGTCGTCAAAGTCGTCCATTGTGGCTAGCACTGCGAGTGCGCATCGAGTGCGTTGCTGCCGGGATGACGTTGGGTGGGGGAGGGTGTGAGAAGGAAAGGGTGATGGAGGGGGGTGGGTGAGCTGTGCAGCGCTGCCAAGCTGAGACACACAAAGCTGCAAAGCTGTGCCGGCGCGCGCGATTCTAGTAGTTAGATCGCAACTTCCCAACAAACTGTCAAAAAATTCAGCTTCGGGAGTCGGAAGACTCTGCGGGAGGCAGCTCCACTACTTTCTGTGTCGTGCCTCTCATCATGGTTGGCTTGGAACAGCAACACATCCACGTCATGGCAGACGACACCGACAGCCCCGCCGGGCCGTCAACGATCTCGGCGCCGACTGCTGGGCCGAGCACGTCCCCGCGCTCCAAACGTGCCGTATCGCCCGTTGCGGAAGAAGCGCACGCCTCGTCCAGCGACACACGACCTCGGCGCTCATGCACGCCGGAACGCGCACCATCTCGCGACTCTGATCCGCCTGCAGCGAAACGAGCTCGCCCATCCGATGGCGAGGATCGCAAACGCGACCGGCGCATGTTTGGACTGCTCACCTCGACGCTGACGCAATTCAAGCGGGAGTCGCAATCCACGCGCGCGGCGACACTCGCCTCGAACCGCGCCTCGATCGACGCACGTCTGGCCAGCAAGCTTCAACATACGTCGGCAGTAGCGGACGAGCTGGAGCGGAAAAAGACGCTGCTATGGCAAGCTCGAGAGCTGGCCGAACGCATCGCAGAACAAGATGCACAGCGCGCAACGCTGCGCAAGATGAAACGAAGACAAGCGAGTTTCCTCTTCACCTCCATCCCAAACCCAAGCCGCGCTGATAAGGCAAGACTCGCAGCGAACATCCCAACGTCTCAACCTCCGGGCGAGAGAGATTGGCCAGTCTACTTTCTGCCTGGGAAGACTTTGCCCGATCAGGAAGATGCCCTGAATGCTCAGGAGGATGGTGTGGATGACCAGATCGAAGAGCAGGACGATGCGTGGGTGGTGAAACGACACACCCTCCTCACCCGCCTCAATGACCTCAAATCCCAACTACGCAGCATGTAGCAATACACACCATACAAGGGCAGGGAGTAGAGGTATGATTCAGTCGCTGGTGGAGGTTAATACGGTTTGGGCTGCGGGAATCCAAACGGCTGCTGCTGCTGAGTCTGCTGGTGCGAGTCGGGTTGTGGGGCGCCACCCACGTGCGGGTTGGGCATGGCAAACCCGCCTGCGCCAGGCACAAAGCCACCCGAGCCAGGCGGCGGCGCGTAGCTCGAGTTGCCCGCGGCGGGGATGTCGCGCGAACCGTACGCGTCCGGGTACGGCGGCGGCGCGCTGCTGGGCGCCGAGCCGTACGGCTGGTAGCCTGGCTGCGAGTAGCCGCCCGGCTGGGGGTATCCGCCTCCCGGCTGTGGGTATCCGCCGCCCGCCTGAGGATATCCGGATCCAGGCTGAGGGTACCCGGAACCGGGTTGTGGGTATCCACTTTGCTGAGGCTGGGGGTATCCACCGGCCTGTTGCGGCTGTGGGTATCCTCCGCCGTGCTGAGGGTATCCAGGCTGCTGCGGGTACGCGCCTTGTTGCGGCTGCTGCGGGTATCCAGGCTGGTGGCTGTAGCCGCTCAGCCCATCATCGACCTGCGGGGGGAGCGCACCGCCTGCGCTGGGCACGGGCGTGGCGCCCTGCAATGCTGCATCCCTGTCCCTCCTAAACGCATCCATCTGCGCGCGGAACGTGGCCTCCTTGTGCGCCTTGGCCTGCGCCTTTTTCTCGCGCCTTCGCTTGGCGCTGCGGTTCCAGCTGGAGATCTTTTCGTTCTCGTCGCTGGCGTCGTACGAGGTGTCGATGGGGCCGAGCAGCAGCTTGAGGCAGTACAGCTCCTGCGTCAGCTCCACGCCCGTGCTCGCCTTGACCTGGCGAGACTCGACTTGGATGTCGGAACATACATCCACCAAATCGCCCACGTCCGGGTCGTTGTCGATCGAGTCCAGCCACTCCTGTGCCTCGCGATCGTTGCCCACCGCAGCGATCTGGAACGAGATTGCGTCCTCGCCGTAGCGGGTAGAGGCGAGTGTGCGCTTGGCGTGTTGGAGGACGCGGACGATCTTTTGGTTGGCCTCGCCCGAGCCGGTAGGACGACCGTCGGTGATGACGAGCACGAGCGCAGGCTTGGCCAGACGCCCCTGTTGGGCGGGCTGCAGCACGAGCGGTTCGAGGATCTTGGACTCGAGCGACGAGCCCATGGGGGTGGAACGGCCGTCGTACGCACAGCGCGACGTGAGCTGGTCGGCTTCCTGCACGTTGTGGATGCGCTGGTGCACGGGCGCGTTCATCCACGCCACCTCCATGCCGTCCGGATCGAAGCGCGCAGCAGCATCAGCGGCGCGCTTGAGGATCCCCGCCAGGGCATCGCGTCGTCGAGTGCCCTCGGACCGCATGGACGCCGAGTCGTCGAGCAGGAACATCACGTCGAACAGCGCGAGCTTGACGAGATCCTGCGCGAGGTAGGGGGGCAGCTGCCACGAGTCGGCGCACTGCGCGAGCGCGCCGGAGCTGGCGAGGTGGTGGGCAATGCGCGAGACGTCCGCGAATGTGTAGAACGGGTAGAGGTACTGGTCCATGACGCACGTCGCGAGCAGGTTGGCAATATGCCTCCAATCGCGCAGCGAGTCCCAGGTGAGATTGGGATTGTTCGCCGACGGCGGTGGCGCGGCAGCCGCGTTGTGGTGAGCATACGCAGCTCCAGCAGCTGCAACGGCTGCACCGCCCAGAGCTGCCCCACCCAACGAGGCGGCATGCGAGTGGTTCGACGAAGACATGGCAGATTGATGTGCAGGAGCAGGGGCGAGATGATGCGGTTGCTGGTGTTTCTTGGATGCCTTGTAGAGCATCAATGCGGTGATTCCGACGGCGAGACCTGCCACTATAAGTTTTTTGTTGAAGCCCATCTCGCTCGCGCGGATGTTTGCAGTCACAGTGTGGGGGCAGTGTTGGAAGTGGTGGCAATGAAAAGCATGCGTCGCAGCCGGCTTTTTTATAATACTGTGCGCACGGCCGTCGCCTTCTCCTCAGCTAGGGTAAAAGACGTCACGCGGCATCCTCGTCCTCAGCTCCAAAAAAAGGCGGTGCAGCACGGACCCTCTGAGGTCTCAGGAACGGCTGTGTTGCTGTGCTGCGTCGTCTAGACCGCGTCCGGATTTTAGCGCCTTTTCTGGCCTCCCGATGCGGCATCGGGCGAGGCTGTGTGCATGAACATCGCCAGCCTTGGGCCGCGGCTGTGTTGGCGACACTGCCTCTCTCACCGCGCCTCACTTGCACGTCTATCGACACGTGCGATGTCGACTGATGTCATGAATGTTGGGTTGTGTTTGCATTGCGTTGGTGGCGAGAATGATGAAAGGATTGGTGCAGAGTGAGCTTTGGCACACGGCTCACAGCCCATAGCGGTCGGCGAGCCTCTGGACGATGACGGGCGGGAACTGCGCCTTCTGCACGTCCCACTGCGGCCCGCTCATGTCGCGGAAGCCGGTGAGGATCTTGCGGAACATGTCGTTGAGCTCGGCGCTCGGGGTGGACCATCGTACGACGGCGTTGCAAAAGTAGACGAACCCCTTGGCGGCGCCGTTGGGATTCACCTGGATCATCTCGCACAGGCCACGGAAGGCCGAGTCCTTTTCGTCGTTGTCCTTGATGTCCCACAGCGCCTGGCACCACGACTCGATAAAGACGTCCAGATGCGGCGCCACCAGCTGCGGCTGCACCAGTCCCAGTCGTCCGATCGTCACCGCCGCATTCTCCGAGAGCGACTTGACCGACTTGGTCGAGAGCAGCACAGGCACCAGCCGCTTGATCAGCTCGTCCACCCACTGCGTCAACTCGGCATCCGCGCCGTACTGGAGCGCGATCTCGCCCACCGCCCACGCCGCATTGTTGCACACCGACACATTCTCCATCTTGGGCTCGGGCTCGATCTGGCGGATGAGCTCGGGCATGAGCGCGGGCAGATACGGCTTGAGCAGGTCGAAGCACGAGATGGCCAGATCGCCCAGCAGCGCATACGCCGACTGGCGCACCGGCGCCTCGACGTTGGTGATGCAGTGGCCCAGCAGCGGCAGCAGCGACGGCTGCGATCCCGCCACCAGATCGCGCACCGCCGTATTGAGCCCCTGCGTCAGTCCGCTCAGCAAGTCGAGCGCCACAATGATAAAGGTGCGGTCGGGAACATCCTGCTCCACCGCCGGCTTCTGCGCCTCGGCCTCGGCCGCCGCCAGATTGTCATGCACGATGCCCACGCATCGCTGGAACACCGGCGGCGAGTACGGCAGGAAGCCAGGACCCACGGCGATCGTCACGGACGACATGCACTCGAGCAGCGGGATCAGGTCCGGATCCGTATCGTGCAGCCCTTGCCACTTTGCGATCAATGGCGGCATCACAATCTCGACGTACTCGGGCCGATTCAACGCCGAACCTACCGAGTCGGCCAGCGTCCCCAAGGCATCGTACAGGATGAGCAGATTCTTCTGCTGGTACTTGTCAAACGCGTATACGAGCGTCTTGAGCACCGGCTCCAGGAACGGTTCCAAGTTGCGTCCCGCCTCCTCCTCAAGCGTGGCGAACGCGCTGCAGCCGGCCTCCTGGACGCGCTTGTTGTTGTCGAGCACCATGCTCAGCAGGCCCTCCATGGCAGGCACGAAGAACTGCTGCTGGTGCTCGGGCGTCTCGGCGGCGACGCACCAGCTCGAGTATCGGCCGAGCGTCCAGCAGGTGATGGAGCGCACGAGCGGCTTCGAGTCCTTGAGGCTGTTGATCAAAAACGGCACGAGCGTGGGCAGATGCGGTTGGATGCCGGCGATGCAGCCCTCGGCAATGGCGCCGAGCGCCAGGATGCCGCACTCGCGCTGGAGCCAGTCGTCGCTGAACAGACGCTCCTTGAGGTAGGGCAGCAGGATCTCGAGCAGCTCGTCGCCGAAGTTGACCGCCATGACGTCGAGCGCGGCGGCGGAACACTTGCGCAGATTCCAGTCCGAGATGCCGTCGTCGTCTTCGTCATCGTCGTCGTCGTCGTCGAAATCGTCCTCGTCGTCGTCCTGCGCCTCGATGGCGGCACGCGACTTGCCCGTCGCCGCCGCACCGCCGTTGGCCGCGGCGGCGGCGGCGTCGTCGAGGTGCTCGTTCCTGTGCGCGCCGCCGCCGCCGTAGTGGCGCGGCTTGATGTCCTCGGCACGGTCGGGCACGGCGGCATCGTCCTCGTCGCCGCCGAGCATGAGCAGGTCGAGCTCGTTGTACACCATGCCCTTGAGCAGCACGGGCGCCACCTTGGCGAGGTAGGGGCGCAGCTTGTCCTTGAGCGAGGGCTCTTCGGCGAACTGGAGCCAGAACTCGCACGCCTCGAGCGAGACGTCGTCGTCCTTGTCCTGGGTGGAGTAGAGCATGTATTCGACCACGTTGTCCATCTCGGGGATGAGCTTATCTGGCCTGACGCCGAGGATGAGCACGAGCGCCTGGCAGACGTATCTGCGCACGTTGGCGCTCTCGTCACTGGCGCGCTTGAAGAGCGCGGCGAGGAAGGCGTCGATGTGCGCCTGGAGCGCGGTGGAGCCGATCTGGACGAACTGGTTGAGGCAGTTGAGCGCATGCATGCGCAGGCGCGAGTCGGCGTGCTGGGTGGCGTTGATGAAGTTGGGGATGAGGATGTCGATGGGCTTGACGCCGTTGATCTCGCACAGCTCGAGCTCGCGCGGGATGTCTTCGCAGATCTTTGCGAGCGAGCTGAAGGCGCCCTCTGCCTCGTCTGTGTTTTGGGAGCCCATGAGTTCGCCGAGCTTGGAGAGGCCTTCTGGCCAGCCCTGCGGCGTGAGGATGGTCATGAGCATCGAGACGACCTGGGTGGCTGTGCGGCGGAGCATGTCCTCGGGCAGGCTGAGCGCGGGGATGATGGCCTGCTTGACGTACTCGAACGACTCGGGCGAGATGAGGTCGTGGTGGAAGAGGATGTGGTTCTTGAGGATGAGGCCGGCGACGGAGCGCGTTGCGAGGTCTTCGGTGGTGAGCGAGGTGAGGGTGAAGACGCAGTAGTTGGCATAGTCGGGGATCTGGCTGACCGCATCGAGGCGCTGTTGGAACAAACACGGCAGGAGGTTAGCGGGGATCTGCATTGAGGATGGGAAGCGTGCGCAAGTGTACGTACCTGGGCGATTCTCTCTTGGACGTCCATCTGTGGGCTTTGCGAGTCGCGGAAGAGCTGCACGAGCTCTGCGAGCCCGTCTTGGGACGGTTGCCAGGTTGATGTCATGCTGGCGAGGATGTGAGGGTATGGACCAGTCGAACGGAGCGCGTTTGGGTTTGCGGGGCGGGAGGGGGGCAGCGCGAGGGTGAACGGGCGTGCCTCCGGTCGGTCGTGAGAGGGTGCCACGGAAGAGACGAAAGGCAAAGCTACGAGTCGACTCCGGTCGGAAACACGCTAGTCGTCACCACGGATGCAAGTGAGCGATAAGCTGGTGGGCGCTTGGAGAAGACACAAGGAAGAGGAGCCAGCGCGGATGATCAAGCGCGCAAGACTGTCAAGGCAGGTGCGATGCGCTGTGTTGCTTGACGTGATGGTTGGCGTGTCGATGCAGAGATGGGGAGGGCTGCTGTCTACCTCGATGCTGTGGTCAAACGAAGGCGGTTCGGGTTGATGCAGATGCGGAAACGGAAACGGAAAGCGTCGTGCGTACGTGTGCAAGGAGGTGTGGTTGGGGGGATGCGCTGCGATTCGTCCACGTCCAGGGCGGTGAGTGAGGAGCAGGTCGAAGGTGAAGGAATCCCTGAGCGACGTCTTGCACCGTGTTGACTGGACGTCGACGAGCGTAGAGGAGAAGGAGAAGATGAAGTGGTGGTCGTGAATGGGATGGCGATGATCGAGAAGCGAGCCTGAGCGGGATTTTTTTGGCGAATTGGGAAGATTGGCAGCTTGCGAAAAAGTGAGAGAGAGAGAGAGAGCGGCGGGGGTGTGTTGCGTGTCACACGCTTGTCTGCCTCTCTCTCTGCCTCGAAATCGACTTTTTTTGGAATTCCCGCCCAAAGCGCGATCGGGATCTGTCTCTTTCTCTCCCTCTTTGGCGGCTTCGTGCTGGCAATTGAGCGGCACTGGCGGCACCCGTCCAGCTGCGGGGTCGAGGCGCGCACTGTTCGTACGATAAATTGGGCTCTTCATATGGCTCGCCCCAAAGACCGCACAATCACTCACACACACACAAACACACAAACACACAAACAATAGCGACGGCAGCGACGGCAGCAAGGGGCGAACGACAAATGTACAGTGCGACAGACAGTGATCTTGCGCAGGTATAGGAAAAAAGGTAAGGGCGCGAGCGGCAAGCTTTCACTCCTTGTGGTCCGAGTCGGTCGACGATTTTGCGGCTGGTGCGGCTGCTGTTGACGGCGTTGTGGGTGCTGGTGCCGCGGCCGTGGAGGCATCTGCATCGGCTACCATCGTACTGAGGTCCTGCACAGACTCGCTCGCCGTCACCATGGTCTCGTCTCCCTGGTGCGCCGACGCATTGGGCGACACGGAGCCGCTGACCTTCCTCGCACCCGCCTCGCCAGCATGCGCCAGATTGCCACCCAAGCTGCGCGGTGGATTGCCGCACCTGTCCTTGCCGTACGAGATCTTGACGTTCTGGTAGTCCGGATGGCTCTTCATGCCCTCGATGCACTTGATGGCCGACTGGATGTTGGTAAAGTTGGCAAAGGCGCAGTTCTTCTCGCGCAGCGAGTTGACCGTCTCGATCTCGCCGTACTGCGAAAAGTCGCTCCGGATCTTGTCATCGGTGAGCACGTCCGGATCGTCAATGTTGCCAATGTACACGTTCCGCGATCCGCCCGCCTGCACCGCAAACTGAATCGCCGCACTCAGCGGGCCCGAATGCTTGCCCCACCCGATCTTGAGCCGTCGATTGTGGATCATGATGCCCGAATACGACGCCAGGTGGTAGAATGCCAGCGCCGCATTCGGATCCACAAACGTCACAAAGGCAATGTGCTTCTCGGGGATGAATCGGATGTTCTGCAGGATGCCACCGCGGATGTGGTTGCAGATCTCGGCCGTGGTGGTTTCGGGATGGATGTTGCCCAGGTAGATCGTGCGGTTGCCCAGCTGCTCGAGCGCAGCCGCGTTGGCGCCCATCATGGCCGCCGCAGGTCCAAACACCGAGCTCGCCGCCGAGCGCGCGTTTTCAGGCCCGCTGGCTGCAGGCACGGGCAGCTGGCCGCCAAAGTTGTTGGCCGCCGCAAACGCCGCCGCCGGGTATCCGAGCGAGGCTGCCGCCGCCAGTCCCATGGCCGCCGCCTGGTTGTTGTGCGCCTGGTTCTGCTGCTGGCTCTTGGGCACGTACGCGCATCGGTCCTTGCCGTACGACACGCGCTTGCCCGCCCACGCCGGCTCGGTGGGCAGCGTAGCCACCACCTTGATCGCCGTCTGGATCGAGAGAAAGTGGACGAAGCCGATGTTCTTGTCGCGCACGATCTTGACCTGGTCGATGGGCCCAAAGCGCGACAGATCGTCGCGCAGCGACTGCTCCGAGGCGCTGTCGTCGAGTTGGCCGACGTAGACGTTGCGCGAAGCCTGGTTCTGCTGCACCGCCATGAGCACGGCCGGGTGGCACTGCGACGGCTTGCCCCAGCCGATCTTGAGCTCCTGGTTGTGCAGCGACACCTTTTTGACGCACGCGTCGGCGTGGAAGGCGGTGGCGGTGGAGCCGTCGAGGAAGGAGATGAACGCACAGTTCTTTTCGGGCAGGATGCGCACGTTTTCGATGGGCCCAAACTTGACCAGGTTGAGCAGCTCGTCCACCGATGCGTCGGCGGGCAGGTTGCCCACGTACACGGTGCGGTTGAGCGGGTTGATCTGGCGCGGCATGGCCGAGAGCACGCCGACGTTGGGCACAAAGCCGGGCGTGGCGCCAAAGTTGGCGCCAAAGTTGGGGAACATGGTTGCGGCTGGATTCAAGCCGTTCGCACCGGAGAGCAGGAAGGGAGCGGCGGCGGCAGCAGCAGCAGCAGCAGCCGCATCGAAAGGCTGGCCATTTTGTGCGCCGATGAGGTTGGCGTGACCGAGGTTGCCCGAGAAGGAGCGTGTGCCGTTGGTGCCGTTGCCTGGTGGCTGCAGACCGGGCACGGCGGGGAAAGGCTGAGGTTGAGGCTGCGGGCCGGTGGTGGCGCCGTTGGCGAGGAATGGAGGCTGAGCAGCTGCGCCCGTCGGAAAGTTGGCAAAGTTGTGCTGGGCGAGGCTGGGGATGTTGCCTTCCGAGACGAAGCGCGCTTTCTTGGCGGCGGCAGCGGCAGCGGCAGCGGCAGCAGCGGCGGCGTCGGGCATCTGAGGATTGGGGATGGCGCCGAGATGACCGAGGCCAGCGTGCGCGTCGTATGATTGGGAGGGGGCGCGCTTCATCATCTGGAGCGGATCGAGCGCAAAGCCGGACGCAGGCGGCGTCGAGTTGGACGGTGCGGAGGACGGGTAGCCGTTGGAGGCAAAGGCGTTGGCAGCAGGTAAAGCGTTCTCGTCGTGCATGGCCGTATGTGCGAGGAGTGCAAAGGAGCGTGAGGCTGCAGCCAAGGCAGCGGAGCTAGGATGACCGGGGCCCTGTGGTCGAGTGGTCGAGTGTGGGGAGGGCGCAAATCAAGCCAAGAGACCGAAGCAAAAGGCGAGAAGAAAGGCGACGGCGTATTCACAAAAGGGAACAGCGATGAAGTGTAAGAAAAACGAATAGCCTTGTCGAGCTGTGGATGCGCGCGAACAAGTGAGTGAACAAAGAAGAAGGGTCGGAGACGATGGATGGGGAGGAAGGCGTCAGGAAGGATGAACGGAATGCGTCGCTGCGTGTGTGTGTCTGAGTGTCTGAGTGAGAGTGTGGGCAGCAGCGTGTGTGTGTGCAAACACTGCCACTTTGCGGGACGGCGCGCAGCAACACCACCAACGGCCACGGCACAGACAGACGTGTTGGCAACCACCGCTGCGGCCGTGCGGCCGTGCGAGAGGCCGACGAAACGCAGTGTGCAGTGCCGCGCCTTGGCCTGGCCGGCAGAGTGTGTGTGCCTTTGTGTGCCTTTGTGTGCCTTTGTCCAGCCGAGGCGCGGCTCGTTCGTCCAAGTTGGGCGCGTCTTCTCTCTCTGTGTCTGGCGACTCTCCGGCGAGACACACGCCAAATGCATGCACTCAACGCACGGCCGCACCGACGCACCGACATCGCGTCCTTCTCCTTGCACACGCCATGCACCTGCCTGCTTTCGAAGCGCATTTCTTCCGCCAACTTAATAGCAGATCGCAATAAACGCAGCTCCGTCAAGTTATAAATCGGGAGATCGCCTCCCCCCGCACTGCTTTCGCCAAATTTGCATGTGATTGTGGCAAGCTCCCCACTCCCACCAAACACACACACACACACACACGCAGACTGCCATGCCAGCAGCCACGGCAAGAAAGTTCCTCGGAAATGCTTTTGGGGTTCGAATTAGCGAGAGATGAGCATGGCAAGCTGATTGGGACGGGCTTGGGGGACGCTACACGGTGCGGGTGCGCAACATCTACTCGTCGGAGCGCGTGTCGTTGAGGCTGAACTCGCCCGTCTTGGCAGCCTCGATGTAGCTCTTGACCTTTTCGTAGATCGTGAACACCACCGCCTGACCGGGAGCCACACGCGCCACACGCGGCGTGATGCCCTTCCAGAAGGCACTGGCGCCCTCCTGTGCAAACATGTCCTTGGCCACCTTGACCACACGGCTCACCGCCGTCTCGCCCTCCACCTTGGACGCGCGCTGGATTCGCGTCTTGATCGTGTCGATGGGCGCATTGGAGAAGGGGCCGAGCGCTCCCGAGATGAGGCCGATCAGCGCGGTTTCGTACGAGGGCAGCTCCGACGTGCCGTGCACGCGCTGTGCAAGACCCTTGAGCTCCTGGTAGGCGGTGAAGTTGGCGGCCTGGTTGGTAGCCTGACGCGCCGCCGTGAGCGCCACACCGCGGTAGAGCGTCATGAAGCCCTCTTCGCGGATGATCGTGTAGAGTGCATGTGCAGCGTTGCGGTAGCGCGGCACTTCCAGGGGATCGGCAAGCGAGTGCTGCTGTGCTTGCAGTCGGATCTTGACCACCTCCATCGGGTTGACCACCGCCACGGCCTCCGTCGTACCGGCGCCCAGACCGGCGAGGAATACGCCGCGTGCCGACGTCTTGCCAGTGTCCTTGTCGGCGAGCGCAGCCTTGTACTGCTCAAAACTCATAAAGCGGATCGCCATCTTGGGTACAATGCCCGCAACCACCGCTCCGAGACCCTTGTACAGTCCGAGCGGCGTCTCGCGCTTGATGATGTGCGCACCCGTAGCGATGAATCCTCGCGGCTTTTCGCCAGCCTTCTTGCCCCGGCGCGACAGCTGCATGCGCACCTTGATCGTGTCCAGCGCTGCAATCGTTCAGGGAGACAAAATGTCAGCCACAAAGGTCATTCGGAGGTCAACGTCCAAAGCCGTACTTACGATGACAGGTGCATGCTTCCGCAAAGCCGGCAATACCACCGGCGATGAGGTGGGTGGACGGCGCCACCTTGGGCTTGTTGTCCTTGGCAGCCATGGTTGCTTGTGTAGGAAGTGTGAGCGGTTCTGGTGTGGCTTCCGGGTGCTAGGAGAATGCTTGCAGCTGCGAACAACGTGTGGATCCTTTTGGGTGTAAGAAGCGCTGAGATGATGGAAGGGAGAGAAAGGCGTTCAGCTCGTGCGACCCGCAGTCTTGTCCGGCCTCGAACGCAAGGCCCATTTAAGACCCGCTGAAAGGACGAGGGCAGCGCTGGTGCAACCGGCCTCGTCCACGCTCGGCCATCCGGTTCGCGGCCAACTTGGGCCAAACGCGGACGTGAATCGCGGAGTCACTGCGAGGCAGCCTCGAGGCAGCGGAGGCCCGCACACACACGCTTGCCCGCAGAGGCCGAAAGCAGGCGGGGCGCGCGGGGGCTCGCGGGGCCTGGCTCACACTGTCGGTCGGGCCACGGAAGCTTCCAAGAGCCGTTTGACCGGCTGGATTCGGCTTGAAAGTGGAGCAGCGGCTTGCATCGCCGGGGTCCAAGCCTGAGAATTTCCACAAAAAAGGCGGGGAGCCAAAGGGGGCCCAAAGGCGCATTCAAGCTAGCTCCCGCTACTGAAGCGCTAGGCTGCCGTCTTTCTCCTCGCCTCCCCGATCGGCGTCGAATGCGGAGACACCCTCTGCCCGCCCCTTGAGACCGGTTGATCTTTTTGGTTTTCCTCGCAGCTCACAGTGAGGTCGGTCCTTTGACATGCTCCGGCTTGGGCAGCTTGGGCGGAGCGCACACGGTTCGAACTTGCCAGTCGTGACCGGTGCCGGGACCGCTGAAAGGCAGTGGCCGATCCATGTCGTCGATCCGGACCATGCGCGCAGCCGGCGTGCGTCATCTAGATACGCAGGTGAAGGCGCAAGCTAGGCGTGACTCGCGTCGGCTTGGCGCACAGCATGTAGGAGCCGGCATGGATGGACGAGCTTGTCCCGGTCAATTTTTGGCGTACGATCCTCCACATGGTGGATCGGCACAGACACGCTAACAACCACACCCGATCCGACTGGCCCAGAGGGGTGTGCATCTTGCTTTCACGAGCCCCTTAGCCCCGTCCAGACCCCATCGTCCATTCCCGCTACCCAGCCGCCCTACGATCGTCCCTTCCCTTGGCTCAGTCTCGAGACAGACAAAGCTATGATAAAAGCTCGTCAATGAGCAAATCGACAAGAATCAAGTGTCGACCACGTAGGCTCGGTCAAAGGGAATGGACGGATAGGTCGGATGCATACGCGGAAAAAGCCTTGAGGTGGAGAGGAGCGTGTTGCTCCGGTATAGCCCTGGAGCGCGGCGGCGTTGGTCCGCTTTGTCCGAGACGCATCCCGGCCGAATTCCAACCAAAACCAGAGAGTGGAATATCGGCGATTAAGCCAGTCACCATCGAGCTAAATCGGGTCAAATCCTCGTCCAAGGTCATGCAGGCGTAGATGCTCGCATCGGAGCTAGAATTCGTGCCGATTCGCTGCCAAGGCGCTGCGCAGGAGAGAGTTGGACGAGTATCATAGCTGGAGTATCATTCGCCACGGCCTTTGACGAGCATGCCTTTGAACCCACCATGCAGCGTTCGTTGGAAGGGGGCGACAGGGTCAATCGCAATCGCTGCAAATGGACGAGAGAGCCCCTGAGCGGAATCGACGCCGACGATCCGCTTTCATCTCTGTTACGCGCGCACCCCCACTTGTCGGCATCGTTGCGGGGGCGCGGCCCGGATCGTCACTGACAGAGACAGGCACGGACAGGCCGACGGAGAGGGCAGGGGCGATGGCAGAGTCACGCAACGATCGATGGGGACAGTGAGCATCTGGCGCGAGAGTGAGAGTGAGGCTCAGGCGTTAGATGCGGTGGCCGGGTTGCGTGACCTTGCGGCGCTCAAAGCCGCGCCTTCAAACAGGGGTCGAGTCGAGCTCGAGCTCGAGCGAGGAGCAGCAGCACCAGCAGCAGCAGCTCGCGCCATCCCAAAGCGGAAAGTCGTCGGCGCCTCCACACAGTCTCCAGAAGAGAGCGATTGACCCTCGCCCAGCCAGGCCATGCGCGATGATCCGTGTGGAGTTGAAATGGCGCGCTCCGCTTGGAAAAAGCAGGCCGCGCGCCTCGTCTTTTGCGGCAGCACACCAGTCTCGCATCGAATGCGGCCAATCCAAATCTGCAGCTCAGCACAGCTCTGCACGGCTCAGCTTAGCCACGATAAGCGCAACCTCAGACGCACAGGCACTCCACCCCAGCTCGGCTCAGCCGATGACTAGGGTCTCGCTCTCCCTCGCCCTCTCTCACTGCACTCCGCCACTGCCTCCGCTCACAAGAGCTGACCGCAACTGACCCCAACAGATAGCAGCGCCGCGCATCAGCCAACGGACCCTGGCTTGGTCGCTCTCTCTCTCTCTCTCTCTCTCTCTCTCTCTCTCAAAGGCCACTCCTCCTCCACGCTCGCCATCGCCTCCTCTCCTCCCACCTCCATCGTCGCTGCCATCCGCCTCCATCCCCGTCGTCGGTAGCTTCACTTCACTCGCACCCTCCCCTCTCCATATCACACTTCCACCAGCGCACTCGTCTTTGACGCCCACATCCTTCTCCTAGCATCCATTTTCTCCTCTAAGTCTATCTCTCTCTCTCTCACTTCACAGACCCAATCATGTACACGAAGCGATACCTCGGCCTCCTGGCCCTCGCTCTGAGCCTCCCGCTCGCCGCGCTCGCCGCTCCCGCTCACCAGCCCTTCGTGCCCGGTTCGAGCGCCAACGCATACTCCCCCTCGACTCAGTTTGCGCCCCTCACCGCAAACCCTGACCTCGAGACCATCCCGGGCGCCTACATGGTCGTCCTCAAGGATGGCGTCAGCTCCGCAGACTTCTTTGCCCACCAGGGCCTCATCTCGTCCGCTCAGCTCTCGGCAAACGGCTTCCACGGCGAGGATGCGGAAGGCATCCGCCACGTCTACGACCTCGAGGGCCACCTCCAGGGCTACGCCGGCAAGTTCACCGATGACGTCCTCGACTACATTCGCGCACAGCCCGAGGTCGAGTACGTCGAGATGGACTCGCGCGTCTCGATCGAGGTCATGCCTCAGGCCGAGGACAAGACCTGGGACGTTCAGTACGACGCCGACCTCGGCCAGGCCGCCCTCTCGGTCATGAACACGGACAAGGTCGGCGCCTATGACATTGAGAAGGGCGCCCCCTGGGGTCTCGCCCGCATCTCGCACCGCAAGCGCCTCGGCCTCAGCACCTTCAACAAGTACGTCTACCAGGGCGACGGCGGTGAGGGCGTCACCGCCTACATCATCGACACCGGCATCAACATCAACCACGTCGAGTTCGAGGGTCGCGCTCGCTGGGGCAAGACCATGCCCCAGAACGACGTCGACGAGGACGGCAACGGTCACGGCACCCACTGCGCCGGTACCATCGGCTCGCGCAAGTACGGCGTAGCAAAGAAGGCCGACCTCGTCGCCGTCAAGGTGCTCGGCTCCGGCGGCTCCGGCTCCATGTCGGACGTCACCGGCGGCGTCCTCTGGGCCGTCGACGACGCCAAGAAGCTCACCGCACAGTTCCGCGCCAACCCGCGCTCGGCGGCGGCCAAGAAGCACAAGGGCTTCGTCGCCAACATGTCGCTCGGCGGCGGCAAGTCGATCACGCTCGACAAGGCCGTCAACGGCGCCGTCACCGCAGGCATGCACTTTGGCGTCGCCGCAGGCAACGAGAACCAGGACGCCTGCAACGTCTCGCCCGCCGGCGCATCCAACCCCGTCACCGTCGGCGCCTCCACCGTCCAGGACGAGCGCGCCTACTTCTCCAACAAGGGCAAGTGCGTCGACATCTTTGCGCCCGGCCTCAACATCCTCTCCACCTGGAACACGGGCAACACCTCGGTCAACACCATCTCGGGCACCTCGATGGCCAGCCCGCACATTGTCGGCCTGCTCGCCTATCTGCTCTCGATCTACGGCACCGCCGACTTCAAGCTGCTCGCTGGCGGCCAGGCGGACCACCTCTCGATCGCCGCCGTCGAGGACTCGCTCGCCTCGAAGCTCTCGAGCGTGCTTCCCATCCCCGCCATGGCGCTCGACCTGGTGAGCAGCGTCGCCGGCTACTTTGCCGGTGCCGATGCCGCCAAGCCCGACATTGACGGCGTGCTGTCGCCCACCGAGCTCAAGAAGGCGCTCATCAAGCTCGCCTCGCCTGGCGTCCTCACGGGCCTCGACGCGGACACGGTCAACAAGCTCGCCTTCAACAACGCCACCTCGTCGGCCTGACGATCTTCTTCGCTGCTCCGCTTTCCCTTTCCCGTCCAAGAGCCCAGCTCCACAGTCTCTGCCTGCATTTCGGTTCTGCATGACATTGTGTTCGCCCATCCTGTCTTCTCGTTTCGCGTCCCCGTTTCCCTTGGCCTCGTACACATGCTGTTTTCCCTGTTTTCCTCGCAATCGTTCCCGTTTCTCACCGTGTCTTTGGGCCGATCCTCACTGGGTCTTCGGACTGTGTCTGTGCGTGTCTGCGATGAATGAAGTGAGTGGGACTGCTGTGGTGGCTCTTCATCTGGGCCGCATTCAAAGCCGTGCATGGCTGCGCGTCGTTGCGTCACGTTTTGGTTGGGGCCAGCACGCACTCAGGCTCAGCACGGGGCATTCAGAATCCGCAACGGGGGAAGATGCATTGTTGAGCATTGATACAGGTGTGTGGAGTGGGGCGGACTAGTCGTCGTCCCAGTTTGGGTTTGCTTTGGGAGCCTTGATGCCTGCGGGTTTGGACATGATGATCGAGTCGACCGAGAGCACCGAGATGGCAGCGCCCGTGGCGTATCGTAGGGCCCAGGACTTTGCGGCGAGGACGTCCAAGACCTGGTTGGCGGTGGTGGGCATGGTGCCGTCGGTCTCGTTTTCGATGTCGACGCCGACGTCGGCGCCAGTGGAGTCGACGTGCTTGGCGTAGAGGCGCGAGACGATTTCTGTTGCGTCCAGACCTGCGTTCTCGGCGAGCGTTCTTGGGATCACCTCGAGTGCCTCGCCGAACTTTTTGATCGAGTGCTGGTTCAGGCCGGGCGTCTTTTCGCCCAGATCAACAATGCGCTTGGCGAGCTCGAGCTCGGTGGCTCCTGCACCGGGTACGAGGCGTGGATCGCGCGTGAGCGACTTGATCACATTCACGCCGTCGTCGATCGCACGCTCGACATCGTCGAGAAGGTTCGAGGTGGCACCGCGCAGGACAATGGTGCACATCTTGGGCTTGGCTTTACCGCCCGGCTGTCCGTCCTCCTGCTTGAACACGGTGACGCGATCGCCACCGATCTCGGTGGTCTCGATCGAATCGATCCATCCCGCTTCTTCGGGCAAAGGAGCTCCCAATCGTGCCAAAGGTGTGGCGCCCAACAGACGACAGAGACGACGCAGCTCGAATTTGGAGAGGATCTTGATGACGAGGATGCCAAAGCGGTTGAGGTAGTGCTGTGCCAGCTCGCCCACCTGCGACTGTGTGACCACCACGGTGACGCCCGAATCGGCGATCTCCTTAAAGTACTTTTCCAGCTGCTGCTCCTCGCCGCGCGAAAAGCTCGAGAGCTCGTCGGCGTTGTTGAGCAGCACGGTGCCCTTGGTCTCGGTCTGGGTGATGTCCATGCCGCACGTGTAGACGCCCACCTTGGCCGCCTTGGCCTTCTTGATCACGCCCTCGGGCTCGCGGCCGAAGACCATGCCGCGCACCACCTTGGACTGCGACAGGCTGCCGCCCATGATCTTGACGACACGCACGTTGTCCACGCTGAAATCGGCCAGACCGTTCTTGGCGTTTTGCGGCAGGACCATCGAGACGGCCTCTGCGACGAGCGGTGCAAGCAGGTCCTCGTGGCCGTACTGCTTGGACGCCAGACACGGCTTGAGCGCGAGTGCAAGGCTCTGGGGCGTGGGAGGCGTGGAAAGCGTGGCGACGGAAAGCTGCTCGAGTTCGGCGAGACACTTGTCGCGCGCGATCTCGTAGCCCTGCAAGATCTCGGACGGATGGAGACCCATGGTGATGAGGTACTCTGCCTTCTTGAGCAGCTCGCCGGCAAAGATGAGCACGAGGTTGGTGGCGTCGCCCATCTCGGCCTCCTGCTGCTGGCTGGCCATGACGAGCAGCTTTGCGGCCGGGTGGACCACGTCGAGCTCGCGAATGATGGTGGCGGCATCCGAAGTGACAAAGAGCCTCTCGAGGTGGTTGATGACCATCTTGTTGCGGCCATTGGGACCGAACGAGGTGCGCACGATCTCCGAGAGCTCGTTGACCGCCTGGATGTTGCGCAAGACCGCCTCCTCGATGCCCTGGAAGTGCTTGTAGCCCTCCTTGAACAGGTTGGGCCCGCCCGCGCGCGGAACCTTGAGCGACATGTTGTATAGTGGTTGGGTGGTGGGTGGTGTGCACGATCCAAGAAGAAAGGATTGGCTCGCGCGCCAAAGGCGGTGCGCAACACTCACTCTCTCCATCAATCGAACACTCCAACGCGAGCACTCCAGCAGAAGAGAGCGCTTTTGGTTGCTCTTTGCCTCTAAAAATCTCAACACTCGTTGCTCAGCCACAGAAATTGCAAGGCCGGCGCGCGATTTCTGACCAACACCTCTCTCTGCGCCTAACAGCACACTGCTCAGCTGCCATGCCGCGCGCCGCGTTGTTCTTCTTCCGCCTTCGATCGTGCATTTTTGCCAGAATTATCGTGTGCAAATGACAAGGCGTAACATTGCGAACCTATCGCTCTCGTTTGACATCACCACATTCAGCTGCTCCTCACATCCATTCGTAACAAGGCGTCGATAATTTTTCGAACAATCGCGATTAGGCCATCGTCGAGCCGCCTACACGGTAGCCCGCTGTGCGTTGGCCTCATTCTGCACGGCGTACCGCCACAAGGTAGCGTAGTTGGCCGGAGTGCAGCCCGGGATCGACTTGAGCGCGGCCTGTACGGATCCAAAAGGGAAGTCAGCACGGCACCTCTCAATCAAACGACGCGGCCACGCGCACTTACCAACGACGTCGGTTGCAGAAGCTGCAGCTTCTCGCGCAGCTGCGAGTTGAGCCCGGGCACGCTGCCAAAGTTGAAGCCGTCCGGAAAGCGGAGCTGCGTCTCGGTGTTGAATGCCTCGATCTCCTGGGCCTGGCGCTCGAGGTGCGGCATGTACCTCGCCTCGATCTCGACGCGGTCCAGAGCCGTCTCCCCAAGTCCTTTTAGCTCGGAGATGATTGGGACCAGGTCGCGGATACCGAGTCGTGGCTGTCGTAGCATGTCGAGTCCGCTCCGCTCGTGCGAGTCGCTTGAACAGTGGAAGCCCGCCTTGATCCAGGCATGTGCACTCATTCGCTTGCCCTTCAGCAGCTCCATCGCATACTCCATGTCTGCCTGCATCGTGCAGAATCGACGCCATCTTGCATCCGACACCGCGCCCGCATGAGCAGCGTGCAGCAGCGGCGTGAGGCGCGAATCGGCATTGTCCGCGCGCAGCGTCATCCGATACTCGCTGCGCGAGCTGAACATCCGATACGGCTCCTCAACACCCTGCATCACAAGATCGTCGATCATGGTCCCAACGTACCCGTCCGAACGACCCACTTGCAGCACGCTGCGACCCGTGGCTTTGAATCCGGCATTGAGACCGGCAATGCAGCCTTGCGCTGCAGCTTCTTCGTAGCCCGTAGTGCCGTTGATCTGGCCAGCCATCCACAGACCCGTGATCCTCTTGGTCTCGAGACTGTGCCGCAGCTCGCGTGGATCCACATGATCGTATTCCACGCCGTAGCCGGGACGGATCATCACCGCCTCCTCCAGGCCCGGGATGGTCCGCAGCATCGCCTCTTGCAGATCAGCCGGCAGCGTACAAGAAAGTCCATTCGGGTACAAAATACCGCCGTCAGCCGTTCCAGGTCGGCCTTCAGGTTCGAGCCACACCGGATGGCTGTCCTTGTCCGCGAACCGGATCACCTTGGACTCGATCGACGGGCAGTATCGTGGGCCGCGCACCGTTTCCTTGATGTGGATCGACTGGTCCAGATTCTGCCGCACGAGCTCGTGCGTGGCGTCGACAGTACGTGTACCCCAGCATGCGACCTGCGCCCCTGGATCCATGTCGGGCGCGTCGTGCAGAAACGAAAACGCAGCCGGCCGCACATCGCCCGTGACCACCTCGAATCGCGAGTCGACCTCCACTCCCTCCTGCCACGGGGCGCCCAGACGCACGGATGATGCGGCAATGCGCGCCGGCGTGCCCGTCTTGAGCCGGCCAAGCTGAAAGCCTGCGCGTGCGAGGCTTTGGCTGAGCCCGTCCGACGCTGGGTCGTCTGAACGTGACGGCAGAGGCAGCATTCGACCTGCCGGTCGCGATTCGAGACCAAGATGAATGTAGGCAGACAGAAAGGTGCCGGTTGCAAGCACCACTTGGCTGCAGCTGATCCTGTCGCCGTCATCAGTGGTGATGCCACGAACAACAGCCCTCGGTTGGTCTTGTGTAGAGTTGTGCGTCCAATCCAGCTGCAGTCCGTGCACTTTCGCCTCGTGGATGGTGAGGTTCGGATAGCCGTCGACGGCGCTCTGCATGTGCTTCCTGTACAACGTCCTATCGATCTGTGCCCTGGGGCCGTGTACAGCTGGACCTTTTGACCTGTTGAGCATGCGGTATTGGATGCCCGCCTTGTCCCCCACCACGCCGCAGAGGCCACCGAGCGCATCCACCTCGCGCACCAGCGTTCCCTTGCCCACCCCGCCCAGACTCGGATTGCAGCTCAGCTCGCCGATGCTCGCTTTGCTCGTGGTGACGAGCAGCGTGCGTGCGCCCGTGCGAGCAGAGCCCGTGGCGGCTTCGATCCCTGCGTGACCCGCACCTACGACGACCACATCAAAGTGCATGTCCGACCGACTCGGTCCCGCTTGGTCGCACGCTGTGGCCAATGTCCGACGCCATGCGCTGGCACGACCGCCGAAGGTGGCTGCATCGGTGGCAAGTCGGCCGGTGGTCCGGAGAAGCATCGAGACTTTGGGGCCGCTCGGATGCTGTAATGCAGATGATATCAGGTGGCAAAGTTGGAAGAAAGAGTTGAACCCTGGATTCGTAGCCCAAGTCGCACTTTTTTTTGGACATCGGAATTTTAAGGCTCACTTTCTTGCCCACTTTTTTCTCCACTTTCTTCCGCTCACAAAATGCTGCGGTGCGATTCGCGAGCGCGTTTTCCGCGCGCGATTCGACACATCAGCATTCATCTTCAGACAGACAAAGGGCGTATGACATGCATTGTTCAGTATGCGCTACAGAATGGAACGGGAAAGCATCTGCGAAAAAAAGTGACGAGGAGAAGAAATCGAAAACACGACCAATTGTTCAAGCAAGCTGCGCTCTGGCAACCAAGAAGCCTCGACGAGTCCAGCTCGTGAGTGGGTGCGCGGCGCGCTCGAGGTGGATTCAGCGTCGTCGCTGCGGCGTGAGGTCTTCGGTCTGGGCGCGAAGATGGCCGGCGCGCTTGAGGCGGTCAAATGCGGCGCGGTTCGAGGGGTCGTGGACGGGAGTTCGGATCATGGATGCGGGGCGCTGCGGCAACGGCGATCCTCGCATCGAGCCCCGTTCGGACGTCGGCGCCGATGCTGCCACGGGATGCGCTGCTCGGATCGGCAATCGCGAGGGAGTGGCGCCCTGTGGAGTGTTGGTCGAGATGCGACTGGCGCGGTCTTCACGAGCCTCCGACTTTGCCACAGCATCAGCCTCGTGCCTCAAGGGCTGCGTCGGAGTAGACGGCTCTTCCTCAACGGTAGGCACGGGCTTGCGCGAAGGGAACGCCTGGCTGGTCTTGATCGCACGCTCAGGCTGCGCGGCCTTGGCACCAATGCCCTCCAGCAGCACCTGCGCCCACAGCGGGTTGGGCGGCACCTCGTTGCCAATCACGTCGGAAATCACCTTGACCCACTGCGTCTTCTGCGCCTCGGTGTCGGCAAAGAAGGTGATGCGCTCGCCGTCCGCAAAGGTGATGCGGAAGGAGCGGTCCACGTGGTAGTTGGCATCCGAATCCTCTTCTTCGGCCAGCGTGGCACTCGTAGCATACGATGCCATGGTCCTCGACCTTCCCAGCGCCTGGCTGCCTGCCGACGGGAAGATCATCGAGCCTCCATTGACGTGGTTGCCAAGCTCCTCGATACACACCGCCTTGGACAGGTCGATCTTGACCGTGGGCTTCTTGGTGACCGCGTTGAAGCAGATCAGATACTGACCCTGCGCCTGCACGGGACGTCGGCGCCAGCTCACACAGTCGCCGCCGAGCTGCGTCAGTGTGCCTGCCTGCCAGGGGTCGGCACGGTGCCAGGCGGCATGCTGAATGCCCCGGATGCACTCGCCCAGATTCTCGGGCAGACCATCGCGAGGGATATTCGGCAGAGGGGGCAAGTAGAAGAGCTTGAGGCGCAACGTACCGCGCACCTTGTTGAGGTTCTGGCGGAAGTCTTGCGAGAGCATCGACACGTGTGTGCGCGACGCAATGCTCGACGGACCCGAGATGCTGCCCGTGGGGTTCGAGACGCCGTGCACGGGAAGATCGAGCACCATGCATCGCGCGTAGCACTGGCTGGCAACGCGCTCAAAGATGACGCCCGTGCGGCCAAAGGCGCCTTCGCGATTGATATAGGCGAGCATGGGCTCGGCACGTGCCGCCTGCGCTGCCATCTCGGCGGCTGCCTCGCGTTCCTGCTGCTCGCGCTTGGCCGCCTGCTTCTTGGGGCTGGTGAAGAATCGGCTGAGCCCCTTGAGCGTTGGGCTGCCATGCTCGCGTCTTGTGGGCGATGAGGGACGCTGCGGCTCCATTAGGTGCGCATCGCGCTGCACAACCAACGTCAAGCTGAACTCGAGGTTCTTATGCTGGATCAGCTCGAACTCCTGTCCAATGTTGCTCGTAACACGTCCCGGTCGCAGCGGCACGGAAGCCGTCTTGACCATGTGCAGACCATTGTCCAAGATGCAGTGGAACGACGTAGGGCGCGACGGCACAGGCAGATCCGTGGGCGTGAACGAGTCGACCATGACAAACACCTTGCCCGAAGCCTTGCGCGTGTTGGACGCCTCGCGCAGCTCGCGCATCTCCTTCTTGTAGTCGTTGATGTCGCTCGGCCTGCGCAGCTTCTTCCACGCCTTGCCGCTGTCGACGTCGCCTGCGGCGGTCGAGTGCGTCACCTTGTCGTCGATGCCTTGGAAGGCTCCGCGGTCGTTGACGTTGTAGTTCGACTCGCCCTTCTGATAGATGCGCGTGAGCTCCTTTTCCATATTGACCTGGAAGCCTCCGTCGATGGCGCGCTGCAGGCTCACGTCGAGCATGGCCTTGCTCTTGGCGAGATCGGCACTGATGCTCTGGCGCGTCGGAAGCTCGAGCTGCTCTTCGGGCGACTCGCTGATGGTCTCGGAGACAAGCGAGGTGCTGCCCGAGTCTTCGTCGCTCGGCTCGCTGGCAGAGGCGGCGGTGAAGACGGCGCGTGCGTCGCCCGTGCTCATGCTGCGCTTTCGACGGGCCTTGCCGTTCTTGCTGCGGCGACGAGCGATGATCTGCTCAGCCTGCTGCGCGGGAGTGAGATGCGTGGGTGCAGCGGCTGCTTGCTCGTTTTGTGGTGCGGACGGCTCCGCAAAGTCGGCAAACACTCGATCAGCCGAACCGGCATCGATATGGCCAAGTTGAGGGGCTGCGGCGTTGGCGTCGGTGGGGATCGTGGGCTCGCCAGCGAGCTCGACGGTCTCCTTGAGCTCTGAGCCCAGCAGGTCAAGCGGACTCGAACGCTGATCGAGTGGCAAGACGGGGCTCGGAGCGGGTGCGGGCTTGACTTCGGTCGCGACGGGCTCGACCATGAGCGGGCGAGGTGGCGCACTGGGTCGCGATGCGGCCATCGGCTTGGCTTGCACGGGCTCTGCGGCGAAACTCGAGGTTGCAGATGGTCCCGGTTCGCTGCCACGCGGCATGCGCTTCTGCTGGGAAGCGTTGGGCCTCGTCAGCTTGGCGTCAGCCGTAGCGGCTTGCACTGCTTGCTCGTCCGCTTGCTCGTCGAGCGGAGCATCCTGTGCCTGTGCCTGGTCTCGGTTGAGCTTCTGCATGGCGACGCGCTGAAGGATGGCATCGCGCGAGATGTGGGGTCGCATGCGCGGAGCGTCACGGCTGGCAGGCGGCTGAGCGGTGATGGGCGAAGGAGCGATCTCGGGCTGTGTTCGACTTCGGTTGAGGTCGTTGAAGAGCGAGGTGTGGTCGTCGGCTTCAAAGCTGATCGGACTCCAGGCTGGAAGCTGGGGCAGAGCGCCTGCATCGAGACGAGCTTCGGGCTCACTCTGCTGAGCTTGAGCAGTGAGAGGGCCGGGGAGGGCTTGGCGCGCACGCATGCTGGGGCTGCTGAGGATGTCGTCGCGGAGGAGTTCGTCCATCATGCTGTCTACGCGGTCGGCGGCGGAGAGACGAGCAAAGCTGTTTTCGCGCTCCGGGGAGAAGACGGGATCTTCCTGGCAGATCTCGCGACCAGCCATGGCTTCGTCAACCGGGAGGTCTTGCAGCTGCAGACTCGAGTCTCCGGGCGATGGGCTGGGCGGTCCTTCAACTGAGGAGGTCTCATGACTGTCGTGGGAGAGATCTGGCTCGCTAGCGTCATCCGAGAGGCCATGCGCATCGCCACCGTTGACCACCTGGAGTGGCCCCGGGGCGGAAGCGGATGCCGGATCGCTGGTCCAAAAGTCGGCGTCCTCGGCGTCAGTTGCAGTGTGGGGCTCGTCGGCATCCCGCAGGCTTTCGGTATCGAAGCTGCTCTCTTTGTCGAACTCCTGCACGTCGAGGATCTCGTCGAAGGTGACGGTCTTTCGGCGTTCCCTGCGCGTGGTGGCTGAGATGTCGGCGCGAGTGGCCTGGTCGGCGGAGGAGCTCTGTGGCGAGTCGTGCATGAAGCGTGGGCCGTGGAGGCGGTTGGACGTGAGCAGACCCTTTGTGGCTGCCGATGTGGATGGCGAAGCTGAAGCAAGACCACGCGAGGCGGCGGGTGGCGATCGAGGCGAAGCAAGCTCATCGGCGGGAGCGGGGTGCTGGCGGAAGACCGAGTTGCTGACGTAGTTGGACTCGTGGAGGCGGCCGAGGCTCTTTCTTGGGATCTTGCGCTGTGCGCCCTTGACGGGCATGGTGGGCGACAGGCTGAAGGGGTTGTTGTTCTCTGCATCGTCGGACTTTCTAGATGGAGAGTGGGTGGGCTTGGAAGTCGATGCCGAGACGCCAATGCCGAGCCCAACCGAGGGCGAGGGGAGCTGAGTGCGAGCGGCGGATGCGACGGGCGAGCTGGTGAGGGGGCTGCCACCGTCGATCTGCTTAAAGATGCTGTTGGAGACGAGGCCGTGGTTGCGGAGCGACTTGAAGTTCTGCGTCTGCTTCTTGGGGCTGTGCAGCGACGGATGTTCTTCGTGATCGTGGTGCTCGGGTGATGGCTGTGAGTAGGAGACGGTGGATGTGGGGCGATGTTTGGAGGTGCGCAGGGGCGACCAACCGTTGGAGCTGGCGCCCAAGATGGCGGCTGTGGTAGAAGGTGGGGTGGCGGCGACCATGTTGGTCGAGGTGCCAGCCTGGGAGGAGTAGTCGCTCATTGCGACGTTGGCTTGATGACGATGACAGGGTACGGTGTGAGTAGGTGTGCCGATGATGAAGGGGCGGTGATGGGGGTGTGGTTGGGGATCACGATGAGATGGAGGCTAGAAATGAAGAAAGCCAAAATGCACAACCGCTGCAAAGATCAAAGCCAAAGCTCATCAGCAGAGTGCGGAGAGTCACACAAGGAGCGAGCGTCGGTGTCAAAGCAGCCTGTCAAAAAGGGCCAACAGCAGCGGGCGCAGCAGTGTGTTTTGAGGCCAAAGCGCAGATTCTGACTGCTCTCGTGCCCACAGCGGACGGGTGTTGTTCAACATCTAAATTCTTGGCCGGGGCGCTGCCAAAATAACTCACCGCCGCCGCACCTGCCGCTCACCTGCATCCATGCATTCCCCCACCCGCGATGCTGCCCGCGTCCATTGCGGCCTTCATCTGTCCTTGCAAAGAGAGCCTTTGCGAGGTGTGAATCCCGCAGCCGGATATAGCTTTCAAGCTGCACGGACCTCCGCCTTTGCGCTTCTCCAAGCGAGCTTCCGAAACACTGTACGATGTCGGCGACCCAGATTCGCAAGCTTTCCCCCATCTATGCTGCGACGGGCCGAGCGTGGGAACTTGCGATCCCTTTGATGCTCATCCCCATCGCACAGCCTCGACAAGCTGCTCCTCGTTGGCAATCACATGCTTAAGCTCTCGCCGGCTTTCAACTTAAAAGGAAGAACCCTCCTACGCGCCATGACAGCCGCACGCGTCCGCCCAATTTCGCATCACGTGCCAACAAAGCGCCGTTCATTTTGGCTCCGCTTCGAAAATGCGCCCACAGCGGCAATGCAAATGAATCATTTTCTTAGGGTGTGTGCAACTTTAGCGCTCGTCCGGCGATGGCGAGCGAGGCACTCTCAAATCGCCGAGCGCATTGAACGACAGCGACCTCTCCGCGAAGCGTCCTGTCGCTCCTCGTGGTACCGATAGCCCGTCGTGCGTGGGCGATTCCAACACCAGGCTCGGAAACACCAGCTTGGGCTTGTCCATCTGCGAAAAGTGGTGATGCGTAGGCCCCATGACGCGGCTCGCCGGCTCCTTCTGGGGCGTTGACAGCACCAGCAGCCGCCGTCCACTGCTTTGCGATGAGGCGGCAAACGACTGTGACAGCGCCATACCAGCCTTGCCACCCAATGCACCAGACGCGTAGACGCTCGCGCTTCGCTCCTTGAGACTCGCCCCGCTGCTTTCGTCGAGTGTGCTGGCGTTGCTGCTGCGTGAGAAGACGCTGCCGCTGCGCGTACTCTTCTCTCGATCCAAGGTCACGCTGACGCTGCGTGCCAGACGCCGGCCCATGTCCACCTCTCGCCCCTGTCCCAGAACCATCGAACGTTTGGTCATCGGATTCCGCCTCGCCTTGCGCCCCGCCAGCTCCTTCTCCAGCACGCGCGACAGGCCTCCATTCGGCGGCGACCGACTCGGCGCCAGAGAACCTGTGCTTCGCATCGTCGGCGAACCCAAAGATCCCGTCCGCGCAACTTTGGTCGGACGCGCAGGCGTGCGCGATTGCAAAGACACAAAGCACTTGCTGCGAAACAACGAGCACTGCCTTGGCAGACTCGCTTCAAAGTGCGGCTCCACAACGCACGAGCAAAGCCACTGCGCATCGTCGAGCTCGTCCTCTTCCACCAGCTTGCGCACCGACGAGCCCAACAACACGCCTCGCCCACCGTTACCACCCGCGTGCTCGGTCTTGACGGCGTCACTCGAATCGTTGAGCAGGCTCTCGAGTTCGGTGTCGATGCCCGAAGCAACCTGCCGCAGGCATAGGATGTCGACAAGTGCTTCCAGACGCTTGCTCAGATGGTCCATGGCAAGAACCTCGCCACCCTGCATCTCGAGCACGTCCGCTTCGGCGCGATCCGCTTCGTCGTGCGACCACTCGCTCGTGTGGCGTCGTCGCACTTGGCTGTTCCACGCAAAGGCATCTTCGACGTCGCCTTGCGGCCGTGTGCCTCGCCACCGCTTCGCCTTCTCCAGCTTGCGCGATCGCTTTCGAGGCTGCTCCTTCCCACTCTTCCCCGCGTCGATGTCCGCTGCCGGTGCGTTGCTTGTTGCAGACGGCAGCGACATGCGCGACCGTGCCGTCTCGAGCGCCTTGGGCTCTTGCGAGACAATCTGCAGAAGGCTCAGTGTCACCAAGATCTGCAGTTGGATTCTGTGGAGCAAAAGGCAGGTCGTCAGCTGGGTGTGCATGGATAATCATTCTGCGACGAGGCGCGCTTACTCTCTACTCTCCATGGACGAGGTCCAACGCTCTCGAAGCGATCCCAATTCCGCATCCACTGCTTCTCTCGGCTTCGATCGCGGCACTGCACGCTCGACAGCACGCCTGCCCAGATCGATCTCGTAGTTCGAAAGTGCTTCCAAATTGGAATCGTGGCATGTGCTCTCGGATGCCTTGAGCAGGTTATCTGCAACAGCTCGGTGGCGACGTGTGATCGCGCTCCTCGACTTGATCAGCTGGCACAATCCAAGCACAATGTCGTCCAGCTCGTGAGACAGATGCAACCGGTCGATGCACTCGAGAAAGTGGCCCAGGCCGGTGTGGTGTTCGCCAAGCCAGAGACATTCGGCGTATCGATCAGACAGCGAGTCGCCGTTGCAAGCGCTCGTGTCTTTTTGCGAAGTCGATGCATGACTGGACGAGAACCACAGATCGCTGTCGGGCTGATCGAGGTGACATGCATAGGTGACGCCGAGCAGGGCGGATATTTGAGGTGTCGCAGATGGACCGACTGAGGCGCCGGTTGCGAGCACATCCGTTGCGGCCATCAATGTGTCGTGATGCCGCCGCCTTCGCCGAGAAGATGAGATTGGTGGTGGCAGAGCAAGGTGTGCTTCTACTGTACCGCGACAAAAGCTCTGCCCGCCGAAGGCCAAAAATGCAGCCCTCAAACCTCCACACATACACACACACACACACACACACACGCCATCCTGCAACGCGGTTTTCGCGCCTTCGACTCTGACGCGCCGCGATTCTACACACTGACTTCAAAAGTAACACTCCGCAAGCTGCTCGCACCGCGGCCTAGTCTCGGTCTGCATAGTCTGCACGTCGAGACCAAGTGTTGAAGCGATCGTCTACTTTAATACATGCTGCGGTGGCTAGAGTTAGAACTCCAACTCGATCGTCCAGTCCGACACAAGCGCGACGGCAGGGTCCTTGATCACCAGTTCCGAAGCCGTGTTGGCTCCAAGAGTGAAGGCGCCACCTTTGCCCGAGGCGCTCGTGCCGCTCTTCCAAGTCCATTCCACCACCGACGCTGCAGCGTCCTTCTGCACGCGCTTGCCCTGGATGTGCACCGCCTTGGGCTCGCGCTCCAAGCCAAGCACGACCACCTTGGACACTCGCACATCCTTGATGGATTGTGCATACGCGTTGGACTCGTCGTACGCCTGCAGCTGCTTGCTGTCGCCCAACACCAGCTCGGCATCGCCCATCTTGAGTGCAGACTCGTCGGTGCTACGCAGCACGTGCTTGCCCGGAGCCGTGTCGCGCGTCCACTCGAATCGGCGCCATGCAAATTGGCCCTCTTCAAACTCGTACGTCTGCCCGTCGTCCAGGTACAGGCTTCCTTCGGCGAGCACATTCGACGCTCCACTCTTGCCGAGTCGCCCCTCCTTGTCCAGAGCTACGACGAGCGTGAAAGGATCGGTACGTCCGAGCTCCGCCGCTCGCCGGGCACGCTCGCGAAGCGGAAGGATTGAGCCACCGCGGTGCAAGAGCGGCATCTGTTCCGTAAGCGGCGCGGCCACCGTGACGCTTCGTCCGCGCTCGCTGCCCTGGTACACCTCGTGCGTAAAGTAGTTGTAGTACGGTCGGTCTTCCGCCAGATAGATCGACACCGAGTCCACATCCTTGTCCACAGCGGGACGAACCAGCAGTCCCGAGTCGCCGATGTAGTACTGCGTGTCGATGGCGAATCCGTCCGGATCGTTGGGGAACATCAGGTACTGCGGTCGCAGCACCGGCATACCCGTCACGGCATTGTCCTTGAAGGCAGTGTACCACATGGGGAGCATCTTGTACCGCAGCTTGATGAGCTCTCGAACGGCGCTTCGCAGAGGCTCCTCGAGCAAGTACGGCTCGCGGCGCTTGGTGTCGATGTGTGCGTGGGCCCGGAAGAACGGCTCAAAGATGCCAGCCTGGTACCAGCGGACGAGCATGTCGGACGATGGGTTGCCAAAGAAGCCGCCAATGTCGGCACCGCAGAAGCTCATTCCACCAATGTTGTTGGCCAGGATCATGGGCACGCTCACGGCCAGATGCTCCCATGTGCCCAGATTGTCGCCGGTCCAGATCGCTCCGTACTTTTGAGTGCCGACCCACCAGGCGCGCGACAGGACGAAGGGCCTGCGTGGCTTGCCTCCTCCCAGGGAGCTGGGAAGCGAGAGCTCGCGGTCGCGCAAGCCACGCGCAGTCTGGTTGTGGAAGAGGATGCCGTTGATGTTGTGCAGATCGCGGTGCTCCCAGCCGCCGGCGTGGATGACGTCCTTGGGTGAAGTGACTTCGGGTCCATTGAAGATGGCTGGCTCGTTCATATCGTTCCACACAAACACGTTGCGCGCGTTGGCGCGGATCTTGCCTGCCAGCGCACTTCCCTTGAGTGTGAATTGATCGGCCCACCACTTCCAGCTGGCGGGCTCAAACATGTCGAGCCAGCTGGCGGAGCCGCTCCAGCACCAGCCTTCGTACTCGCCCTTGCCGTCCGAGTCCTTGACGAGCAGCTTCTTGTCCTGCGCTTCGGCGTAGAGCCAGTAGTCGCGCGTGCGCTTCAGATGCGGATCTATGATGACGACCAGCTTGCGGCCTTTGTCATCGAGAGCCTTGACCATCCCCTCGGGGTCCTTGAACGCCTTTTCGTCCCAAACGCCGTACATGTGGTCCTTGCTGTACTCGATGTCGAGCCACATGACGTCCATGGGGATGTCCTCGTCGTCGAACCTCTGACTCACATCTTTGACGTCGGAATCGGTGAGATAGTTCCAGCGGCACTGGTGGTAGCCGATGGCAAAGTACTGCGGCAGTACGGTTCGGCCCACGAGGCGGGTGAAGTGTGCCATGTTGGTCTTTGCGTCTGCGGATGTGAAGATGAAGAGGTCGAGGATGCCGGACTCGGAGAAGAAGTGCGAGTAGGATGTGGTGTCCGGAGACCTTTTGGAAGAGGTGGACTTGTGGAGATCGATCCAGGTCTCTGCACCGTTGAGCCAGAAGACGCTGACGGCGCGGTCCTTGCTCTGGGCGTGCAGGACGGGGACGCTGCCGTAGAGGCTCATGGGAGAATTGTGATCGTACTCGAACACGTCGGTGTTCATGAGACGATAGGGGTCGTCGAAACGGTCCTTCTCGTCGTCTGCAGCGGGGCGACCGACGGGATTTCGGGTGGATCGCAGCGAGAGCGGAGAGGCATGCTCGGGCAGGCCAAAGAGGTGGGTGTAGCCTGGGAAGGTCATGTCCAGGGCGAGCGCCTCGGGACCCTTTGGCTTGCTGTCACGGCGCGAGGCCCAGGTTTCTTCCCACTCGCCGTTGTCCTCCTTCTCGAAGCCTGCCCATTGGGAGACGAGCGACTCGGTGTACTGCGCAGAAGAGGGGGAGCTGAGGATGGAGCGCTTGTTGCGCTGGAATACGAGCTGATGTACCTCCTGGTCTTCCTGCTTGACGGTTGGGAAGGGCTCTGGCTTTTTGCGGAAGTGCTCGAGGTGCAAGAGACCGCGATCGTTGAGCACGACCTGGACCTCGCCGTCTCTGAGGATTTCGATTTTGAGCGGAGAGAATTGGAGCCTGAGCGAGCGCGAATGTTGCGGCCCAAAGTGGACTTGGAAGCCGTGCTTGTGCGAGTCGATGCGCGTGTCCGAAGGTGCCGAGGCCAAGTCGGGCAGCTGCTCGACTGCCCACTTGGCGGCCTCGTCGTAGCGTTTCCAGCCTCCGTAGCGCTCGCCCAGCTGGTCAGCGCGAACGCGAGCGGTTCCGTCCTTGAAGAAGGTGAGAGAGAGCTCGAACTGGATGTCGGGGTGCAGGGCCGAGGAGAGCGGAAGGTTGATGCTGGCGTTGGCGTGAACAAAGTTGGGTGTTTGGCTGGCGACCGAGTAGGGAGATGTGAAGGGCTCGTTGTGATCCTGCTGCCACTGCTCTACGTACTCGGATTGGCGGCGGATCCTGCGACAGAAGGACGAGTCGCGGCACTTTTTGAAGTCATGCTCTCGCACGGCCACGGCGCGATCCACCCAGAGGGTGGTGGCCAGCAGCAGGCAAGCCCACAGCAGGGTGCACGACGAGCGGCGCATGATGGACGTGAAGCGGTTGTCGTGCAGCGCTTCCTTCCGAGTAGCTTTCTGCCAGTGATTCCGAGGCAGTGAGGCAAGAGTTGGTGTGTTGGAAGCAACAGCTCGTGGAAGCGGCGGTCCGTGCCTCGCACCTTCTGCTGCTGCTGCTGCTGGCTCTCCAACACACTCTTTCCTCCAGTGAATGCGCACTCTCGCACGAAATGCCGCCTTGCAAGCCCGAATTCCGAGCCACGACGAGCTGGGATTGATTTTCGGACTGGAAGAAAGCTGTCGACTGGCCTGACCTGGAAAGTAGGAATTTGGACTGGAAAGACGAAAAGGACCCTGCGTCCGAGGTTCGCATCTATCTTTGGTCTTGCCCTCCAACATCACTCGCAGCATCCTCGACCAACTTCGCGTCAGGAACTCGCTCTCAATATGGTGCTCTACGTCATCGGTCTCGGTCTCGCCGACGAGAACGACATCACTCTCAAAGGCTTCGAGGCGGTCAAGTCCTCGGAGCGCATCTATCTCGAAAGCTACACCAGCATCCTCATGGTCCCCGGCTTCAAGGAACGCCTCGAGAAGCTCTATCAAAAGCAAGTCATCCTCGCGCATCGTGAAACCGTCGAACTCGAAGCAGAGTCAATACTCGAAGGCGCTGCCACCTCCAACATCGCCTTCCTCGTCGTCGGCGACCCGCTCTCCGCAACCACCCACACCGACCTCATCCTCCGGGCAAAGCACTCCTCGCCTCCCATCCCCGTCAAAATCATCCACAACGCCAGCATCATGACCGCCATCGGCTCCAGCGGTCTCGCCGGCTACAACTTCGGTCAGACCGTCAGCGTCCCCTTCTGGTCCGACGACTGGAAGCCAGACAGCTGGCTCGAGCGCATCGGCGAAAACCTCAACATCGGCCTCCACACCCTCGCCCTCTCCGACATCAAGGTGCGCGAACAAAGCGCAGAGGACATGAGCAGAGGCATCCTTCGATACCAAGACCCCCGCTACATGCTCATCCCACAGCTCATCTCCCAGATCCTCTCCGCAGCAAACTCGCAAAAGGCAGACTACCTCGACCCAAATCGCACCCTCGCCATCGCGCTTTGCAGGATGGGCTCCGAACAGGAGCGCATCGTTTCGGGCACTCTGCAGGAACTCCTCGATATGGCAAACCCCAGCCAAGAGGAAGCTCAGGCAGAGGAGGCAGAGGACGACGCAGACGAGCTCGCAAGCGAAGCTGACCTCGACAAGAGGCGTGCCGCTCGTGCCGAAGCACGCGCAAAGAGGGCCTTCGGAGAACCTCTGCACAGCCTCGTCATCGTCGGCAAACGCTTGCACCCTTTGGAGCGCGATTACGCTGCCAGCTATGCTTGCCCCGGCAGCAATTTCATCCAGGTCGCACAGGACGTCTACGGCTGCAAAGAATGAACTCACTCCGCCACGGTCAACAGTACGCTCTCATCACCGACTCATCCCGCTCAGCATCCTTGTCACACACATTCTCACCTCAGGTCAGGAATGGAGATCTTGAATTTGGCATTCCACTCTCTCCGCTCGGCCTAGACAGCGTTGAAACTGCGGATCGTGTCGGGCGTGCCACTCCGCCGGTCATTCGGCGAGTGCGGCGCCACAACATCCGGCGTGCGTGTTCCGAAAAGCCTTGAGAGCCCCGGCCTATGTGGCTTGTGATTGTTCCCTTGCGCAGAAGAAGGGCGTGGACTAGCGCGACGCTCGAATGCTTCTGTCCTACCTCCCGGCTTGGCGTTGCTGCCAGATGTAGAAGTTTTGCCATCGATCGTGCCCTGCCTAGCCCTACGAAGGCTCGAGCCGTTGCCGGTGCGACGCGGTAGAACTCTGTGCCATGCTCCTCCTTCCGATTCCGAGTCCGAGCTCGAAACGCGCCCGTCGGCCCACGCCGGTTTGGGCGGTTCTTCTCCCGCTCCGAAGGCTCGGCCTTTTGGCTGCGCCGCGATTGCAGAGGGACCTCGAGAAGACGCAACATCTTTCTGATCAGAATGAGGTTGCGCACCCGGCAAGGGCAGCGGGAAACCATTCGTCGTAAGTGCGGGTAATGAGCGCTTTGCTTCGATTGGCGGATGACCAAGGCGGAGCTCTCCGTGCATCAAAGTCGGCACATCAAGCACATGCTCCCTGGGCACCTGGCCGTGACTCCAGTCCTCGTCGGATAGGCACGCCGCATTCTCGGAAGCTTCCTCGTTCTCCGATCTTTCCGTCCAATCAGAAGACATGCCGGCAAGGTCATCAAAGACGGGGGCTTCAGGCTTTCGGTCCCGCGTAGGTGTGGTGTGGTCGCGAACTTGGCGATGATCCGTGTCTCGGTGGTGCGCCGTGATGAGCTTCTGCGCCCGCAAAGCTCGATGCGCATTGTCCCCTGGCGACTTGATCGATGCTCGCTGCATCTGCCGCCTTTGACCGTTTGGTGGGCCTTTATTTTCATTTGCCTGGGAATGTCGTGGCATTGATCTGGGCGGGGCGATCCTCGAGCGTCGGCGGTCCGCTTCCAGATCCAAAGCGTCGAGCGTATGCAAAAGCAGGATGAGGCGGCGCTTGGTTCGTGGATGCGAAAGCATGCCAATCATGCTTTCGCCTTGTGATCTGGACCGGTACACGGTATTCGCAGCCTTGGTGACTGGGTTTGCGCCCGATGCAGGCAGCGCCATCCTCGCAACAGAGCCTCTCGGTGGTCCCGGGGTCGACAAAACTGGAGCATGGTCGACCGCTGAGGTGCTGTTCAGCTCCTGCTGGCTCCGTCTCGCGGTGAGAGAGCGACCAGAGCCGGACGCGAGTCTTGCAGGGCTACGCTCCGGATCAGCCTTGTCCACAAGCGGAGTAGCGTAAGGTTGTAAAAGCCTGGCATCGCTCTTCCGCTCGCTACGAGGGGTCATCTTTTTCGGCGAGACAGGGACGGCAACCTGGAGCTCGCTCTTCCCCTCTCGCCTTCTGGAGGTGCGTCCGATCTTTGCGAGTCCTGAGTGCAGCAGTGGAGCCGCTCTAGAGCCTCTTGTGAGACCAACGAGGACGAAGACGATCAGGAGCATGACGAGCTGTGCGATGGACAAGCGCTTTTCCAAGAGCACTTCTTCGGCCAAGATCTGAACCTCGCGGAGCAGAGCTCGGCGTTCGGAATCGGCCTGTTGTCGATGCACATCGAATTCGAAGATTGCGCGTTGCAGGTCGACGTGTTGCCTTCTCTTGAGACTTTCGATCTGCTGCCAGTTGCTGCTGTTCAGCGCGCGAAGCATGTCTGACATGCGAAGCTCCTGTCGCTTCTCCATGCGTGCAAAGACCTCGCGGAGCATTTGTCCGCTGTGTTCGATGTAGCTGTGGCTCAGTGTGGCATTGGCTTCCAGCGCGTTGAGCCGTCGGTGGATCGCTCGATAGACAGACTCGCTCCCGGACTGAGGTGCTCCACCGGGACCGCCAGCGCGAGAGAAGGATGCTCGTCGGGCTCGTTCTTGCTCGCCTTCCACGTCTGCGCTAGTCGCGCCCGAAGGCAACTTCGCAGGCGCGGTGGCCGAGGATCCATCCATCTTTGCCAATGAATCACGATGAGTGGCCATGGCATCGCGTTGCCTTGAAGAAGCCGAGATGAGATTGTAGAAGGGCTTTGCATGACCTCGAGGTCGAGGGCATCGGTCCATGAGCTCGCTCTTGAAAGCAGGGTCCTCCTCGATTGCACATTGTCCTTGGATGTAGTCGTCGCTGGCCCCGCCCAGGTCGGGTGTACGGACGGAGACAGACTCTGATGGTGATTCCAGAGAGGTTTGCTGTGGCAAAGCTGGTGAGGGCTGAGCGTCGCGCTGTTGCGTGGAAGTGTCCAGCATCTCTGTTTCGCCAGCGAGGTGCGAAAAGCTTTGGTTCTGCATCTTGCGCTGGAATGCCTGCTCGTGCTTGCGCCACACGTCCTCGTCCTTGGCGGTCAGGTTGACGGCGTCCACAACCGGCGGAGGATCGCGGGGAAGGGCATCTTCAGGTGTGAGTGTAGCAGGGAGAGCATCGTCGACGAAAGGCTGCTCGTCAACGCCGGCGCCTGCGACTGGGTCGATCTCGCTAGGTTGCTCCTCGTAGCCTCGCTTCCATTCCTCCATCTCGGTGATACCGTAAACTCGAAGCAAGCTGACTGGGCAATAGTATTCGCTGCCGAAATGTTCGAGAAAGTCGATGCGGACGTAGCGAAAGAAGTCTTCGGATCGAGGCGCTGACTGTATGCGGAAGACTTGCTGGCCGCGGACGTTGCGGGCTCGAAAGACGCCGAGCTGCACCCAGTCGGATGCTCGGCCTGTCAGCTGGCGAGCAGCGGTGACGGTGAACTTTTTGAACATGTTGCTGAAAAACTCGTAGTTTGCCAGCACGAGGGTGTCGATCTTGATCTCCTCGCAGAGTTCGACGATGACAAACTGAGTGCTGCCCTTGCTCCGGCTGCTCCTATGCGGGCATGGCGACAACATGTATCGGTCCTTCTTTTCGCTCAGGATGGAGCTGGCGAACTTGGCTTCTGGATTGGTTCTGTGCACGACTGCGGCACAATCCAGAGATGCGAAGTTCCATCGATGCTTGAGTTTGGCGAGTTGTGCGCTCGTGCCGCTTGCGGCCACGCTGAGGCCAACGCGCGCAGGCTCGACTTTGTCGCTAATCGAACGAGCTGGGTCATCGGCGCCTTGCACGTCCGGACCTGGAGTCTCTGCTTTCTCTGCCGCAGTAGAAGCGTGGTCCGGGTTCGTACGGATGCTCTGTTGCCTTGCACCCGGCTCACTTGGCGTGACGCTCGTGTCCGAAATTCGCGTTGGCCCGCCACCGTCTCCATTTGAGGAGACGGTATGGTCTGAATCACTGCGCGTGCCGGCTTGCCGCGGCGTTGCACTTGGTCCATTCGAGGGTCGAACGGGCTGCTCTCGAACGGATTTTGCTTCGGCCGCTTCGCCGCGCTGAGGACTGTTGCGATCCGCAGAGTCTTGCTCAAGCCGCTGCTTCCATTCCTGGAAGCTGAGGAATGTGGCTTGGTCTTGCGCTGCCGACCATGCGTCGTATTCGCTCAGATTGAAAGCGCCGCGACCGTCTGCGGCTGGCTGGTTTGCGGTTGTGTTTGTATGGGTAGCACTTTCGGAGGCGTCGGCGATGTTGAGCTCGACCTTCTGTCCGGGCTGCGCGTTGGATGCTGGTTGCCACTCGTGCCTGCCGTCTCTCTGCCTCCAAAAACCCTCGTCTTCCGGACCAGGGTACTGCTGTGGAGGCCTTTCGGGGTTGTCTGCAGTTCTGTCGTTCGGCGGGGCCGAGGAGGATGCTGCATCGCCGAGCTCTGGCAGTCCTGACGCTGAGTCAGCATCGATGGCCGAGCCACGGATCACGATGGTTCCTGAGACAGCGTAGGTGGCACTGGGCGCCTTTCCGACAGAATGGACATCTGAGTCCGATCGGACGAGCGGCTCGACTTCCGGGACACTGCAAACGAGAAGATCGGCACTGACTTTGGGCGACGTTGCGCCCTCGCCCGATGCAGGGTCAGCGAGCGGGTTGCTGCAAACCTGTTGGAAAAAGTCGGTCGTCCTCCTGCATCCTCTCTCGATGCTCGAGTAGGATGTGAGGGAGTCCACTGGGGATGCTGTTGGCGCCGTCGTGCCAACGACCCGAGTGGCGGGATGCCGATTAGCATCGTGCTTCGGGGACTCGGGCTGTGAGCGGCGCGGCTCATCGTCCTTGTCCGCTCCTGAGTCGAGGAGAAATGCATGTGATAGAGCGATGAGGAATGCTGGCAGCACCAATGCCAGGAGCCAGGGAAGTTTGAAGAGCATGTCGACGGATGGACGAATCTCGCCGAACTTCAGTAATGCACTACAAGCAGTGCATCCTTGTCGCCGAAGCACTATGCGACGAAGGAGTTGCGCGATGTGGTGGCGACCTTGGTGCCGTGCAGAGTGAAGGTGGGGGCGCTGAGCGGTGATGGATGTGGGTCGAGGAGGCAGGAGGCTCGGAGGAGGCCTAGACGAGTGCCGAATCCATTCCTCTCCACACCGACGTGGAGGCCCACCCTGAAATTGCGGCCCTCCGAGATCCGAACTCGCGCACAGTGTCAAAATCAGTTGCGAGGACGGAAGCATGCGGTGTCTGCATCGTGTCGAGGCGGCAGGGCAATCTCTTGCGCTTGTGCGAACAGTATGTTCTTATTCATACTGACGTACGTTTCCTGCACCTCACCAAGCTCGCCAGCATGAACAGCGCAACCATACTACGTAAGTTAGCACAATGCCCTTTCGCGTTTCGTCAGGCTTCTCAATTGATGATTTGCAGATCGTCTGTGCTGGTCGTTGGCGCTTTAAATTCTTGATAAAGCCAGCCAGTTTGTGGGTCACAATTTCGATTTTTCAGTCGTGCCGGCAACCCGGCAGCCTGGTGCGCGCTGTCCACGGTTCATGACTCTAGCCATGATTTGTAGAATCCATCGTAAAAAATCCTGGCTCTTGTCATCGTTGAACAATCATTCTCGACTCAGTCATAATTTTTCTGGAAAAATGAAAATACATCCTGAATACGTACCCACCTCAAGAGCTCATTTTTTGAGTTCTGAGCACATCCTCCGCCGTGTTTTTTGATCGCGGATGTGCGAGCTTGATGCTGCGGACCCTCAAGACAGCAGGACAGCAGAGTTTGGCTAGACTTCAGCCAGAGTTCTTTAGTTCAGGACTACTTTAGTTCATGACTAACCCAGGCATCAAGTTAATCACGGTCCAACAAGACACTAACTTAACGACTGCATAGATACAATCCCTGCGCCCAGCAGAACCCCTTGTCATGGAAATGCATGGATTCATATCCTAACAAGTGGGGTGGGTGGCGACGAGCAGCCACCCATCAGCCACCCCGGGTGGCTGAGGGGTGGCTGATCAATAGAAGCCACCCCGGGTGGCTGATGGGTGGCTGCTCCTCGCCAGCTCGCGTTTTTTTAGGATATGATTCTTTCGTAGACACGAGGCCCAAGTCCTTTCGCCGTCTGTGCGAAACATGAAAATGATTTGAAAGCAACAATAAAACTCGAAGCCTTGTTAACGAATCATGAATGCTGGCCGTTGAATAACTTAATTAGCTTATTCCAAAGAACTGACTCAAGTCAGTCCTTATCAGACTGGTAAGGTCGTAGCCTCAGTATAAATTTACGTGCACAGGTTCCCTCGCAGCCCCTTCAGGCTTGCTGGAGGCTAAGGCCAATCATTCCGGATCAGAATGCCAGGTGGTTGGCCACCTCTCTACTCACAGCTTAGTCGACATAATTTTGCAAGTCTACAGGATTTCTTTAATCCAGCTGCCAGCAAAATCGTGAATCACGAATCATCTCCTGATGGAACGTAAAGCGGCGATGAGCAAGCAGATAAGCCATTCAGCTAGCAGCAGTCGAGTGACTGCTAAATCAGCTAGCAGCCTAACGCAATTTAAGCATCGATGCATAATGCAGTATTGGCAAGACTTGATGATGCAGAACAGAAAACAACGAGCTGCCGCACGCCGCGCACGCCCATCCGCAATGCGCCAGCCCTCATCTCTGAGGAGTTCTTTCATTCCGAACACCCGCTCCCACCGTCGGACGCCAACTCCGGACACTTCAAGGATATGTTTCTAAAGATTGAGCCTCTTAAAGAAGGTCTTGTGAGTAGAGCATTCTCCCGCCCCCACGCTTCGACTGCATCGGCCCACCACCATGGTCTTTTCTTTAAGAGCTGAGCTTTCGGCAAGCTGTTCCCCTTACCAACGCTCTCTTACACTCACTCGCGGATTCTCAATCATGCTCACAATCACTTTCTTTGTGCTGTTGAGTAAGTTATGCCGTCAACCATGGCCCTCATACGCCGGTTGGCAGAATCCCAGCCTGGGCAGACTTGCACCCGAGGACGAATCCCCCCATGCTGAAGACTACCCCGCTCCGGCACGTTGTCTCACTTTCCGCCGTTTCAAAACGCGAGCTGGCGAGGAGCAGCCACCCAGCAGCCACCCCGGGTGGCTTCTCGGGAGCAGCCACCCATCAGCCACCCAAGTGTGTGTGGGTGGCTGTGGGGTGGCTGATCTCAAACAGCCACCCGGGGTGGCTGCTGGGTGGCTGACCCTCGCCCCCCGCTTTTTAGGATATGACTGTCTGTTTCCAACCCAAATATCTTTCAAGCCCAGGACCCTGTGACGAACTCCCGTGACTGGGACCGCCTTAAAATGGATTCCTGGCATCCAAAAACAACTTCATCATAAATTTGATTCCCACCATGCTCCACTTTGGGTCAACTGATGTGTCGAAAGACAAGGATGAATGGTGAGAATCATGATTTGAAAACACAACTACTGACAAGTCCTCAACCAGGCATCGGGCCAGAACCACAATCAAGGATAAGTAGGTGCTCAGCACGACCGTCGGTCATCAGTCACGAAGAATCTTCAGCGGGTTGATCGAACTTCGGGCGTGCGATCGATCACGTTCATGTAACTTAACCTAATCTAAGTAAATATCAGACAGATCAATGAATTTTTTTCCTGCCTGAACCGCGATTTACTTCACTGCATGAGGTGGTAAACCCAGGATTGACCTAACTTAGCTCAAGAGGTTAACGAAATTTCATGATTCATGACTGGCCCTCAGTGTAGGCCGTCCGGAACCCTGTGTGGCTTGAGGCGGTCCACCTAATGTATGGTCGCTGAGATTTGTGACGACTTTACAAAATTATCACGAGTCATGAGACGAGGTGCACCCAAAGACACGCCGCTGCGCACCAATGATTCACAAATAAGTTATACGCGAGTGAATCGAGACTTTGTTTGTCTTGACAAATCTTGTGAACAGTCATGAATGGAAGATGGACAGAGTCTAGATGCATGACGGCTGGCATGAACAAAAAAAGTGCGAGATGTAAGACGAAGCCGACCTCTGAGCGGATCGTGGTGTTTGGCTTTGAGCAAGATGATCATGTTCCGTCGCCTGATACAAGGATTTGAACCATGCATGGCGGGGCACGCTCACACCTCACGCTCCGCGCTGCGTGTTCGAGCTTGCGAGACTCGTGTCATGCATGCATCGTGAATCATGAAGGACACCATGCATGTTTTCATCTGTCATTCATGTTGCACACGTCGGCACTCACGACTTACGACTCATGACGGTTCACGACTCATGACTCGGCATCAGGTTGATAGTATTCATTGATCATCATGCATGGTTCGTGTGTCGCACACACGAGGACAGACGGACACTCAATCGGCACGACGCTACGGTAAAAATTTATCCATTATGCATTCACGTTCTTTGGCTCCCAAGGTGATTATGAAAAGTTAAGTGCCTGTTGGGGCGAGCGGGATTGGCTACCATAGCATGGCCGGGCTGAACCCAAGTAACGCTTTGATAGACACAATTCCGACGCCGACGCCGACTGAGATGAGAAAAACGTGAACGAAAGCCCTTTTTTTGAGAAGTACAGTAAGAAGATCCGGCACGATTTACTTGTGTGCGTCATACGACTCGTCGGAGGTGTGCTCGCTGTCGTGAGAGACGCGCTTCATGCCGGCAAGCTCGTTGCTGACGCAGTTCTGCTTGTCGTTGAGCTTGCGGTTCTTGACGAGGAGGCCGAGGACGATGGGCGGGACCGAGAGGACGATGGAGACGATGAGGAGGATGTGGATGTAGTCGTTGTAGGCGTTGATGATGCCGGTCCTCTCTGGGGTTCCGATGGGGTAGGTGGTGAGGTACAGGGTGGGGCTGGCGTAGATCTTGGCACGCGTGGCAGCATCGAGCATGGGCAGGTACTTGTCGAGGTAGCCGGGGAGGACGTTGGTCTGGACGGCGCCGACGACGGCGTTGCCGCAAGCGCCTCCGATCTCGGTGAGAAGCAAGAAGTAGGCGGTGACGGTGGCGACGTCCTGGTGGCGGACGCTGACCTGGGCAGCGACCTGGAGGGTGACGCCGAGGAAGCCACCGCCGAGACCCTGGAGCACCTGCGGGAAGACGGCCTGAACGTTGGAGGAGCCGGCCTCGCGGTACTTGATCATGAGGCCGACGCCGACCATGCGGATGACGGCGCCGGAGATGAGGATCCACTTGTAGTTCTTGGTGCCGAGCGAGATGAAGCCTGCGGTGATGCCAAAGACCGTGAGGGCGAGCGACTGGCAGTTGGAGAAGTAGCCTGCGTCGATGAGGTTGTAGTCCATGACGATCATGGACCAGGTGTAGGCGGGGACCCAGGAGGTGTAGAAGCTGAAGAAGTCGAAGAAGCCGATGGCGGTGGCAAAGTGGACGTCCTTGTTGAGCCTCCAGCGACGGTTGAGGATGGGCTTGGGAGCGAAGAACTCCCAGATGCAGAAGCCGATGATCATGGAGCCGCCGAGGACGAGCATGGCGATGATCCAGCCGGTCTGCCATCCGTTGGTCTGGAGCTTGGCGAGGTTGAGGGGGAGGAGGAAGAGGAGGAAGCCGCCGCAGAAGAGGAAGAGGCCGAGGGTGTCGATGTCGACGAGAAAAGCCCAGATTGCGCTGCCGAGGGGCATGCTCTTGTAAGGGTGAGCGGGGATGAGGCCCTTCGCCTTTGCCCTCCTCTGGTTGACGAAGAGGGCGACGATGATGAAGGAAGCGGCGACGGGGGCGCAGATGGTGAAGAAGCCGGGGCCCCATCGCCAGTTGACGGTGACGATCTTCTGAGTGATCTGGGCGGCGGCCCAGAAGTTGAGGATGTAGGGAAGGCTGACAAGGCCGATGGAGACACCACGCCACTTGGTGGAGATGTAGTCGGCGAGGACGATCTGCTGCATGATCTGGACGCCGGTGTTGCCGATGGCGTAGAGGACGGTGCCGCCTGCGACGTCGCGGGTTGTCTGAGCGACGGCGACGATGATGAAGCCGAGGACCCAGAAGACGACGGAGATGATGTAGGCGGTTCCGCGACCGAAAACGTCTGCGAATTTCGCGATGGGGAACTTGCCGACGGCGATGAGGACGGCCTGTACGATGCTGATGGCGGTGTAGGCGGGGTAGCCGTTGAACTGCATGGTGGCAGCGGTCTGCCACGCGTACATAGTGTTGTTGTCGAGGCCGGCGAGGTAAGCGACGAGGGCGATGCCGAAGATGCCGACCCAGAGGGTCCAGTCGGCTACGCTGCGGCCGGCCTCTGCGGCGATGACGCCGATCTGCTTGTCATTGAGAGTTTCCTGGGACTCGGAGAAGGAGGACTCCTCCTCGGCGCGCTCGACAACGCCTGTAGGGTGCGACATGGTGAAGGCGCTACTGCAAAGCAGATGGAGCAGGGGGAAGGGAGGGGATGATGGAGGGAGGGGGGACGTATGGATGGGAGGGAGAATTTTTCACTTGATGGGCAAGGGGGAATGTGGACGTGCTTATCAGATCACGAGTTAAATAGGCAATGGGCAATCGGTCGAGGGCTGAATGACCAGAGGGAGAGAGCCACGAGAACGGCAAAATGAAGCGAGGAAGCGAGGGGATGGATGAGCTCGGGTTGTGGCTAGCCGAGGGATACGCATGTGGTGCTAGCGAGGCCGCGGTGTAGAAGCACGAGCGAAGAAGCGATGCGGGAAGAGCCGGATGAAACTTTTTTTTCTCTTGCCATGTTCACTTGTTCTCTTCTGCAGGCACAAGCGAAAGCCGCATGGCGTGCGGCATGCGAAGCGAGGAGGGGAGGAGGAGGAGGAGGAGGAAGTGGATTCACAGTGGGGAGCGGCGAGGCAGGGAGGACGAGCATGTGGAAGGGCAAGCCAAGAACTCGGAGAGCGAACTTCATGCGCTGCACGACGGGCGAACGAACTTGGTCGTCGGTGGCAAGGAGCAAATCAGATGGCAGCGAGAGAGCCTTGCGGTGGCGAGAGGAGCGCAGGAACAATGCGGTGGTGCAGAAGTTTGACACACAGATAGAGTAGTGTGGCTGCGAGTCCAGTATGACTTATGCGAGCGACGCTGACGACAAGGCTCGGTAGTCGAGCGGAGACAATGGACGATGGTGCAAGGGCACACCAGCAGGGAGGGAGAGGCAGCCGGAGCTGAGAGGGCCGGGCCAGGATGAACCGGAAACGGCGTGCGCTTTTCGATCAGATTGGTCGGATCAGATAACCAAAAGAAGAGAAAGAGAAAAAAAAAATTTGCCGAGCACGGCAGTTTGGCTCGAGCAGACTACAGTAGCGGTGGGGCATTCAAACTCAGACGGCCGCACTGGGGCCAAGGTAAAGGCGCCGAGAGGTTTCGAAGCTTCCACCGTGCATCCCTTCGCACCCAGTCGCACCCAATGAGATGAGCAGCCTGGCGTGCCAAGCCTTGTTGCTCCCGTCTCCGTTTGAAAACGTCCAAGTGGGTGTAGAGCGAGGTTGCGCCAGATCGGATCTGATAAAGAATCCTCCTTCCACCTCCCACCTCGCCCGAAGTTTTTTGGTTTGCTTCAAGTTGGTTTTATAATAGCTTTGGCTCGGAGCTATGTGACTGTTCCGTGCGTGCCATCCAATCCATCCAGTCACAACCGTGGTCGAATTTACGGCGAGCGTTGTCGACCTCGGTGGTTCTGACTCACGTGTGCGAGTGGTGGAGCCGCCAAGTCCGTGCACTTTGGCGGCTTCGCAACACGCGACCGATGCGCCTCTGGTCGCTTCGGTCCCGATCCATTCCGCCCTTTTTGCACAATCACATCGCACGCACGCACGGCTTCGGCGCGTTCGGCGCTTTCGGCGCAAGTCGGTCAGAACGACCAACGTGTGAACGATCAAAGCAAGGTTGGCATTACTCCCGCAGCGCGGCTTCGTTGAGCGCCTCGGCATGGCGCATGTTGAGTTGCATCTCGAGCGTCTCGCACTCGTCTTGCAATGCATCCCTCTCTTCTTGCAGCGCTCTGAACACACCCTGCGCCACGCCCTGTCGACTGTCCAAACGCTCCACTTCCCTGCGCAGCGAGTCGAGTCGCTCCGCACGTCCGCCCTCCTCGTCTCTGCGCAGCCGTGCAAACGTGTGCTGCGAGATGGCCGCCTCCTCCAACGCCTTGAACGTCTCCCTCGACGTTGCGCTCAGAGCCTCGCTCCTCGTCTTGTATCCTCCCAACACTTTGCCCAGCATCTTTTCGCCCTTGGACGCCTGCTGAGCTGCAGCTGCCATGCTGCTCCGCGCGTGCGACAGATCCTGCTCCAGCCTCGCCTTGTCGGTTCGTGAAGCTGCCCATCCGCGCTTGAGCGCTGCCTCGAGCGTCGCCGTGGTCTCGTCATCATCATCGAGCGATGCAGCAATCAGCCTCCGCAGCACCTCGTCGTTGGCGCCGGCGAATCCGAGCTGGCCCGCCAGTTCGGCACGCATCAGTTCGCGCGCGGCGGAGAGAGAGTCGTCCGAAACCGCCTGCAGCTCCACCGACTCGGGCTCAGGATGCTGACCGCCTGCGATGGGATGTACATGAACATCGTGATGCAAGAGAAATGCCGTTTCGCGCGCCACCATGAGCTCGACTCGTTCCGAGTATTTCGCCTCGACCTGTGCGATCGTCCGCGCCAGATCCACCTCGGCCGGTCGAGGCAGATTTCGGCGCACCACTTGACTGCGTCTTGCTTCTGCCCTGGCCTCCTCCTCGGCGGCCTCTCGCGCCATCCTGGCATCGCGTTCCGCTGCATCTTCTTGGCGCGTCGACGCATCGCCTTCCTGGTGCCCACTCGTGCTCGCCTCGGGCTCGTCGTCGTCGTCATCGACAACAATGTCGAAATCATTCTTGGGCGCGGGCAGCGACGAGAGTGCGTGGCGGAGGCTCGACTGAGCGAAGTTACGCGCACGTTTGAGGTCGCGCGGCGTCTCGGATCCGGCCCGACTGCGGTCCTCGAGGTTGAGCCCGAGGTTGTCGCGCAGCGGAGTCCTCAGAGGTGTGCTTCCACCGGCTCTATCAGCAGACGCGCTGCGCTCGTTTCGGAGCGTGTTGGTGAGGAGCGGGTTGGGGGTCTGCGGGACTGAAAGGCGCGTGCTTGAATCGCTGGCCGCCTGGGATCCATCTAGGTCGGCGTTGGCATCGCCCAGCAGCGGCGTCTGAGCTGCGGACATGAGGCGCAAATTCCTCGCCTCTCTCATGAGTGCATCCTCGTTCGCTGCGACCTGCGGTGTGCGCGCGGTTTGCGCCGAGTCGAGCGCCGAGTACTTTTCAAGCAGCCCGTCGGTCGCATCGCTCGAACCCTCCTCGACGAGCGAGCGCGCACGTTCACCCGCCTGGCCGATCTTGACGATGGCCTCCAGCTCGTCCTGACCCACTTGGGCGGCGGGGAGGTTGAGTTTGCGCCGCTTTGTGATCTGTTCGGCCTCCTTGAGCTTGCGGATCTGGTCTTCGTTGCGCACCGAGGCAGCCTGTTTGTTCTGCTTGCTCTTTTCGTCGGCTTCCCTCTGACGTTTGTTCTTTGAGCCGTCGTCGGGCCCGTTTCTGCTGTTGAGCTCCTGCAGCGTCTTGCCGACGGGCGCCGAGTAGGATTTGGAGGCCTCTGCGCTCGTGTCGTAGAATCCGGGCAGCGGCTTCTTCTCGAAGGGGATGTCTGCGTTGTAGTCGATGGCGCCCTTTTTGGGCTTCTGCTTCATCGTGATGCCGGCAGCCTTGAGCTCTCTGCGCTTCTGAAGCATGGCGAGACGGCGAGCCTCTTCGAGAGCGCGCTCACGAGCCTTGCGCTTTGCCTTTTTGCCCTGCGTGTTGGCGAGACGGGCACGCGCTTCGGAGAGCATCTCCTTTTCGTCCTCGTCCATGTCGATGGGATCGGGTCGTGCGGGCTTGGTTTCTGGATCCGGATCGATCTCACCGGGACGCAGTCGACGCACATCGTCTGCGGTCGGAACGGCCTCGCCAGTGCCTGTGAGTGCGAGGGAGCTGGTGCCGGGCTGATTGTCGTGCGCCTCGGCTTCATCGAGAAGTTTCTGGTATCGCTCGAGGCACTGGTTGGCGGTGCGTCCGACGAGGGGTGCGATGGTGCGCCATTGTGTAGGCATGAGCTTTGCGAGGTGCAAAAGCTTTTCGTCTTCTTCTCTGGACCATTCTGTCTTTTTGATGGATGGGTCGAGCCATTCGTACCAGCGCGCCTTGCACTGCTTGGGCGTCTTGCGCACGAGCAGCGACGAGATGCGCGCCCACTGGTTGACGCCATACTTGGAGATGGCGGCCTTGAGGATCTCATCCTCTGTATTCTTCCACACGCCGCCCTTGATGATGACGCGGACCATGGTGAAAGCTTGCCTGCGTGAAGGCGGTCCGGTTGCGGTGGTGCGGATGTAGTAACGAGAGAGTAGAGGATTGCGAGGTGGAGCTTCCAGGCGCGGTGGAGCGAAATCTCGAATCACGTGGATGCGAGAAAACAGTGGGCGTGCTTACATGCGCTTATGTCACCAGCTAACACTCGAATTCTGAATTTTTCGAGCGCGCCCGAGGTTTGGATGCACCCCAGAGCGTGGCGAAGACACGGAGGGTGCACCCTGTAACCTGGCTGAACGCGCATGGCCGGCCAATCAAGGATACGCCGCAGAGATGTGTTCGGATTGGTCTGCGTCGACGCCGAATCTCATTGTGCGATATTGTGGGCTCAGTCATCATTGGAGGTGAGTAGGTGTACTGTATGCTGAATGCTATGATATCGACGCTAAGCACGAGTGCGGGGGCCTTGCAGCGAAAATGTGTTCAGAGTGGGTGAGACAGTTGGGTGCAACAGAGGCGCGCGCGTGTGTTGAAGCTGCATTTCGGCCCACTCTGAGCCGCCGCGAAATTGCGAATTGCGAGCACGATATCAGAGGACAACGGACGAGGCGAGGCGAGGCGAGGCAAGGCTCGATTCTAGACAAGGCCGGTCTCGTAAGCAGTGAGTGCAGCCACTTTGCGTCACGATGCTGTACGGCGTGGTGCTCAGTTACAGCCTCGGTGATTCCGAGTGGATCGAGGCGCCCATAGCATGCCACAGAGAGAGTAAGGCGGCTCGGGGTGGCTGAGCGAGGGCCAAGCGTCGGTCTCCCCCGCCTCTCTCTATCTCTCTCTTTGGCGCGCAAGGAGAGTGACCGAGGGCGAGGGAAAAAGAGCGAAGAAGGGGAAAAAAGGGGGGGCCGATGGCGATCTGCAAGTCAACTCTGAAACCGACACCTCGGAAACTTGTTCAAATGCACGGCGTGGGCAAAAAGGATGCAAAATCGAGCGCTTGGGGCGCAGGGAGGCGAGGCGGCCTCTGCGCGTTCAAATGCAAGGTGCACCTCGAATTGAAATTGGCGACTATGGCGCGACTACAAACTGGGCTAATCGGAGCGCCTTAGCGTGCATCGCGCGACAGCCCTCTTCAGCCCTCTTTGACAGGGCGGTGCATTCAAACAGAAGCGCTCGACAACGCAATTTGCTGCAAAACCACACGGCGGCTGCCGCTGCAACTAAGCTCCTTTCAACGGGCCGACGGGAAGGCTGCGCTCCAAGTCAGGAGCAGAGCAGAGAGGCGCGACGGTACGTCTGAAACCTCGACAGGCAGACAGACAGGCAGACGTGCATTCGTCCCCTTTGTCACATCACATGGGCTCTGGGCTCAGCGCGCCATCATCCCCTGGCCTCCTCTCCCTCTTTCCCACCATCCCCGCTTCATCCTCCATCCTTCGTCGTGTCTTTTTCCCCTTTCTTCTCTTCCATCGCGTCCTCGCATCATTAGCATCACGTCGCGCGCCCGGTTCGCGCCTTCATTTCGTCCGCAACCTCCAACTTATCCTTACGTGTTGATCGACTGGTTCCATCATCACGCGCCACCATCTCCCACTTCCCATCTCAACTCGATCCGATCCGCTCTGGAGCACATTGTATCGCCTGTCACATCTGCTTTGTACGCTGGTAGTCAAAGCCCTTTCTAATCCTCGTATCACCATCACCGTCACGACACCATGATCAGCGCCTCGCCTTCGTTCTCCTCCCCAAACATCCCGCAAGGCTTCTCCGCAGCCACTTCCTCGCCTCAGCCTCCTTCCTGGAACGCCAACGACTCTCCTCACTCGCTCGCCATGTCCAACTCAACCATCGACCCGCACTTTTCCCCAGACCACATTGCTCCTCCCGGCTTCCACAACCCCATCGACGCTCCCTTTGGCGCTCACTTCCAGCCTCAAATCCACAACCACTGCGCTCCCGGCACCATCCTCATCCAACCCTCCATGTATGCCCCCCACGACCCGGCCCCCTTCTGGAAGCCCGACATGGTCAAACTCGAACCCGGCACCGACGTCTTCTCCACAGCCCACGTGGCCCCGCAATTCGCCTTCCCCGGCTCGCAGCCCATGATGGCAACCATGAGCCTCCCCGCCTACACAACCCATCCTATGGACAGGCGCTTCACCTTCTCGGACGCCGAATCCATTGGCTCCGTCCCTTCCCCCAGCTCCACTTCCGAGACTTCCACTCGTCCCGGCTCCGCCAAGAGGGGTGCCAAGCGCAAGCAATCCGCAGCCGACGCATCGCTCGACGCCGCTTCCGAACAGACCTCCGACGCCGCCTCCAAAGCTACCAAGAAGCAGTCGCGCACAAACGCTCAGCGACGTCCTCCCCCTTCCGCATCGCACGTCACCGAGGCTGGCAAGCCCTTCCCCGTCATCGACACTTCTGCAAAGCACTCCAGCCTCTTTGTGCCCCCCGACACCTCGGGCCTGACCAAGCGCGAGGCGCGTCTCGTAAAGAACCGCGCCGCCGCCTTCCTCTCCCGCCAGCGCAAGCGCGAACAGTTCGAAGAGATGGAGGTCAAGTGCAGGGGCATCTCCATGCTCGTATACCGCATGTGGGAGACCATCGCAGGCACCGACGCCCCCCTCGACCGCGTCGACGCAACCCCGCTCGCCGCAGTCCTCGCAAACGAAGAGCCCATGGCTCGTCTCTGCCTCGAAGAGGTCATCTCCAAGAAAGGCGCTTCCATCGCTCCCACCGCAGACGAGCTCGAAGGTTCCCCCGCTCCCGAGGCTCCCTCCGCTCGTCGTCCATCCGTCGTACCCACTCCGGCCGCTCACAAGAATGCCGACACCGCCTCTGCTGAGCTTGAGCGTGTCCGAGCCGATCTCGCTGCTTCCCACGAGCGCGAGAAGCAGCTCGCTCACCAACTCGACGCCATGCGCGCCAGTCTCGCAGCAGCCGCCATGCCCTTGGACAACAGCGTCGGCGTCGCCGGCTTCGAGTCCATCGACGTCACTGCCGCCCAATCCGGCCTGGCTTCGCGCTCCCAACCTTTCAAGGGCGTTCAGGGCGCAGAGCTTCCCCTTTTCGTCCCCGAGTCGCCCCTCTCCAAGTTCACCCACATGGATGCAGCCATGCCCGACGCAGCTCACGCCGCCTTCAGCCTGTCCAAGACCCCGACTCTGGCCACTTTTTCCGAGACCGCTATGCGCAACCGATCAGCGCATCAGCCCTTCGTCGCAGACAAGCTCCAAGGCTTCGGCATGGGCCTCGGTCTCGACTACAAGTTCCCTACCGCCTCGCTGCCCTCCTCGCCCTCCACAGCTTCGTCCTCGTCGTCGCACGACGTCCACCACGCGCGTCATCTCTCGCTCCCCTCCAACAGCCTCGCCACCGCCAAAGCACCAAGCACGTTGGCTTCGGTGCTGCTCCTCGCTGGCATGTCGTTGATGGGAGCTGGTCCCGCCGAGTCGGCCGCATCCGCAGCCCGACCCACTAGCCGCAAGCCTGCGCGGGTCGGCCGCAAGAAAATGCTCAAGGACGCTGCAGCGGCTGACCGTGCGGACGACAACGACGGCGAGCCCTCTTCGCACCTCTCGGACGACGACCTGCTCATGGAGATGGGTATCGACTCGGCTTCCATCTCCGAGGCTGACGACGACGATGACGACCAGCTTGACGACGATGCGATCAAGCACACGACTGCCACCGCGAGCAAAGCCACCGTCTCGGCACCTGCTCTGAGCTGCGCCTGATCTGCCAAGCAGCGCTCCTTTTCCCCCCTTTACGACCACAGCGCGCCTCGCCATGCGCTCTCACGACAGGAAGCCGAGTACAGCTTCAACGACCAAGTTCCTGTGTACCATCATGACCTTGCATCTCTCCCTCGTCTCTTTTTTGCCTGCCTTCGTCACGTTTCCGGAACTGTATTCTCACCCACCTCTCCCGCTTTCCACCCCGACCCGCATACATGCACGAGCATTTTCGCTGCCCGCGCGCGCCAAGGGCGTCCCCGACGAGCTGGTTCTCTTGCGGATGCGTTTGGCGCGCCATTTTGTGTTTCGATTTCTCCATCATCCCCCTTTCTTCGGCCGTGCAGGCGCTTCTGCGGGACCCCTCTACTGCGCGCTGCAGTATCGACCGGGGTCGCAGAATCGCGCCTGCACCTCCACGACTGGCCTTTTGTACATGATTCAAATCAACTTTTTGCTGCTCCTCTCAACTTTTGGTTCTCGCTTTTGAATGTGTGTGTCACGAGAAAGAGGTGATGGTTTCGGGCGTGAAGGTGAATGAATGCATTGCAACATCTCAGCTGGGGGAAAGGAAGGAGGAGAGTGCGAGAGGAAGTTCTACTCGTCGTCATCGTCGTCTTCGTCTTCGTCCTCGCTGACCTCTTCGCCCTTTTCCTTGAGTCTGGCCTTGTCCTTCTTGCGCTTTTGGGTGAGTTCCTCGAGGAGGACGAGGAGGTCTTCGTTCTCCTTTGCGATCTCGTCCTTCTCGGTGCGCAGCGTTTCGAGCTCCGCACCTCCCTCGCTCTTGGACGCGCCCTCGAGCGACTTGAGCTTGGCTTCGAGCTCCGTCTTCTCTTTCGTGAGCTTGTCGACTTGCGCGGCTTTGGATTCGAGCTCCTTCTTCTCCTTTGTAAGCTGGTCGAACGTCTTGACTTTGGCCTCGAGCTCCTTCTTCTCCTTCGTGAGCTGGTCAAGTTGCTTCGCCTTGGCCTCGAGCTGCTTGTTGTCCTTGGTCGACTTTTCCAGCTGCTTGACTTTGGCCTCGAGCTCCTTCTTCTGCTTCTCCACCGCACCGAGCGTCTGCACTTTCTTCTCCAGCTCCGCCTTCTCCTTCTCGACTTTGCCTAGGTCGGCGAGCTTCTTTTCGAGATCGTTCGCCTTGGCATCGGCAGCGTCGAGCGTCTTGAGCTTCTTCTCGAGCTCGGCCTTTTCTTGAGCCACCTTGTCGAGCGCTGCAAGCTGCGTCTCGAGCGCTGCGTGCTTCTGCGAAAGCTCCTCGAGCTGCTTGGTCTGGCCTTCCGCAGCAGTGTGCGACGCTTCGAGGTCGGAGATCTTCTTCTCGAGCGCAAGCTTTGCCTCGGCCTGCGTCTTCAGTTGGGCGATTTGTGCCGTGGCTGCCTCGAGCTCGGCTGCTTTGCCTTCCAACTCGGCCTTCTCGCGCAGCGCCTGGTCGAGCTTTGCCTGCAGCTCTTCACCGTTCGAAGTGGCGGCACTCGACGCCTTGAGCTCGGCCGCCTTGCTCTCCAACTCGGCCTTCTCGCGGAGTGCCTGGTCGAGCTTCTTCTGCAGCTCTCCCTCGCCTTGTGCTTGTGCTGGGGCACGATCAGCGGTGGACGCTTCGAGCGCGGCCACCTTCTCCTGCAGCGCTGCGATCTCGTCCGCACGCTTGGTCGCGAGCTCGCGCGCCTCGAGCAGATCCTTCATCGCGGTGTTGCTGCTGCCGCCCGCTTCGACGTCTTGCTTCTTCTTGAGCTCGTCGTGCGCCTTTTGCAGCGCGGCAAACTCCTTCTGCGACGGCTTGCCCGCCGAGATGCGCGCCATCTCCGAGGTGAGCTGCAGCACTTTGCCGTTACTGCTCTCCTCCCTGGCCTGGGTCTCTTGCAGCTGCGCGGCAACGGCGTCGTGACGCGTTTGGATGTCGGCCAGCGCTGCAGCTTGCGCGGACTTGAGCTGCTCCAGCTCGGTCTGTGCCGCCTGCAGCTGCGGCGCGTGCGAGGAAACCGTCGTCTCGGCCGTCTCAAGCTGGCTGCGAAGAGCCTCGATCTCCTTGGCGTGCTGCGCGGAAAGCTCTTCGATGCGCTTTTCCAGTACCTCGATCTCGCGCGCCTGCTTGGCGACTGTATCGCGCAGTGCCTCTGCCTGGCGCTGTGCGTCAAGCAGTTCAGCAGGCACCGCAGCCTGCGCTGCCGACGACGACGCCGGGTCCACCGTGATCGTCTTGGAGATCAGCGTCGAATTGGCGCGCCAGAACTCGACAAAGGACCAGTCGAACCACAGCCCGGCACGGCGGCGCTTGGACAGATGACCGAGCCCGTTAACTTCGAGATCCTTGTCCTGCGCTTCCTCGTCCGCCTTTTCCTTGTCTTCCGGCTTGGCTGGCTCAGCGCTTGCCGCAGAAGGGTCTGACGCTTTGGCTGCGGCAGCTGCAGCGGCAGCAGCAGCCGCGGCCGCGCGTGCTTCAGCCTGCTGCTTTGCGCGCAGCTCGTCGGCTTCAGCCTGCTCTTCGACGACGATGAGCTTCTCGAGCACGTCGGGCGTGACTTCCCTGAAGCGCACGTCGTCTGCGACGCGGCCGATGCGCACAGCGAACTGGTCGGCGCCGATCCTCGAGTGCAGAATCGGATGCATAGTCTCCCTCGTGACAGCAGCCTTTCCGGGGTCGGTGTCGAACTCGTATGCGACGCCAAGCAGGAATGCGGCAAGGCCTTGGATGAGCGGATCGACGCCCGAGGACTGCGCCACGGGCTGGATCACAGCTTGCAGCGTGGCGGACTCGGATAGGAAGTCGCGCACGCTGAGCGGCGACTCGAAGAGCCACACGGAGAGCAGCACGAGGTAGCCGATCATAATGCGCGTCCAGTCGGCCGCCGAGTAGGAAGCCGAGGAGACGGTTGCGCCCATAGCCGAGGCGCGCTCCTTCCTGACGGCGTCGGCGAGCTCGCGTTCGGAGAGCGTAAGGTTGCCGACGACGACCTGAATGAGCGAAGACGGCGCGTCGTCGTCGTCATCGTCGTCGTCTGCCGCAGCGTCTTGGTCGGCACGCGCGTTCCTGACGATGCTACCGTCCGGGTTGACGGCGATTGCACGAGCCGCCTTCTTGGCGGTCTCGCTGGAGCGGAGGAGGTAGGAGAAGAGCATGGCGGCCACAAGGTGCTTGTACGCATCCGCGTTCGCCGAGCTCGCATGCGTGGAAGGGTTCTGCAGGATGGCTTCGAGCAGCACCTTGCCTGCGGGGGCAGCCGAGGCTGCCGCACCGTCGTGCTTGTCGTCAGCGTCGGGCGCCATGCCATTGATGATGGCGAGGCGTGCGTCCATGTTGTCGGCGACGTAGGCGCGGAAGCAGGCGATGGCAGCCGCTCTGAATCCGAGCGCGCCCTTGGCGCCCGAAGTGCCGATGGCAGTGTCGACGAGGCACACCACCGCAGGCTTGGGTTCGGAACGGCTGAACGACACCTCGGGGACAGGCGGCTGAGCGGCGTGCTCGTGCTCACCGGACTGGCGCTCGAGCGCATCCGGAATAGGGGCGGACACGAGGGTGACGGGCTGGACGAGCAGAGTGGAGAGAAGGTCCTGGTTGGGACGCGAGGCCTGCATGAGCGAGGCGGCGACATGGAGCGCCTGTGCCTTGAGGCTGGCCGGTGCTGTGGAAGCGAGCGCCAGATCGAGCAGACACTTTGTCATGCCGCACTGGAGGAGCGCGCCCTGGTTGGCGCGTCGTCCATCTCCCTGGCCGCCGATGAGGAGCGCGGCGATGTCGAGCACGATCTTTGCGTTTGTCACCTTCTGCTGATCCCAGTCCTGGAAGCAGAACGCCTCGAGCTGGCGCGCGTACTCTTGCTCTGCGTGCTTGGATGCAAACTCGTTGTTCGGCGGGCCGGGGGGATAGAAGAGGAGCGGTGCGAGCATGGGGATGGAGAGCGTCTCGCGGAAGTAGTTCTGATTCGAGACGTTGTACCTGAGGAGAGCCTCGAGGCCTTCGAGAGCGTCCTGGACGATGACGCCGCCCTCGACCCTGCCTTCGGCAGCGCAGACGTCGAGGAGCTTCTCGAAGGCGCCCTCGAAGGCGACGAGCTTCTGGATGTCGGCGTTGCCATGGACGAGGTGCGGGAGGAGCAGCAGCGCTTCGTTGCGAACGATCTCTGCGGACGAGCCTGCGCCCTCTGCGAGACACTCGAGGATGGCGCCGCATCCGCCGGGAGCGACGAGCACGTGGTCCTGCACCCTGTGCGGACGGTTACGGAGGAGCGAGCCGAGGAGTTGGAGCGAAGCGAAGCGGGTGTAGAAGGCGCGATCGGGCGCAAGGAGGGGCAAGAGACAGTGTAGCGGACCTGGCTGTTCGAGGAAGACGTCGGTGTGCAGAAGCCCTGGGGGCGGCCCCTGTTCGTGGAGCTTTCGCTTTGGAGTCTGCTGGTTGTGGTTGGGATTGGATGCGGCACTGTCTGCTGATTGAACCTCGCAGAGAGTGATGCAGCACTCGATGAGCGCTCTCGCGGTGTCTTCATCCTTGGCGTCGCGCTGGAGCGAGGTGAGCAGGGCAGGGAGAGCATGCTCGCCGACGGCCCTGTTGTGATCACGGCTGAGACCCTTGAGTGCGAGGACGGCAGCTCTCCTGTCCTCGATGTCGATGCCGTTCTCATCTGCCTTTGCGAGACGGTCTGCGAGCGTCTGGACGGTGGAGATGGCGGACTGGTTGCCTCCGCCGGGTTTGGCGAGGTTGGAGTACTGCTGCCGCAGGATGTTGAAGCCGTGCAGCATGGTTGCGAACGGGCGCGGCTGCTGCAGCGAGACTCGATGGGCAGTGTTGAGTCACAAAAGGGTTTGTGTGAGAGATGATGGAGGTGGTGGTGGTGGTGGTGACGTGGTGGAAAGTCGGACACGTCGGCGTTGGAGTGTGAGAGGTGGGAATTGACAGCAAAGTGGCGCGTGCTTCTTTCCGCTCTCCGCTTTCCCGCCTCGCATGCTTCGCAGCCCGATATTTCACACTCCCACGCGCGGCATCGGCAAAAACAAATCGGGCGATGGGAGAAAGCAGAAGGAATACAGATTCGGGAGAGAGACATGTCTCGACAGCGACAGAAGCGCCTTTGCGCATTGGACCGGAGAGCCTAGCAGATGTGTATATACAGACGATGGATGAACGAGCAACAGAAACAAGAAGCACGACAGGAGCTGAATGGATGGAAGGACGCCTAGAAGTCCATGTCTGCGTTGGACGTGGTGCTATGCGCTGGCGAGCCGGGGATGACGGCCTGACGGAGACCGGACCTGTTTGCAAAGAGGGCGGTGGGCTTGGCCTTCATGTGGTGCTTGCGCTTGGCGAGGTTGAGCTTGGAGGTGACTGGGCTGAGCTGTGCGTCTGTGGGCGAGTAGAAGCTGTTGGCGGCGGCGGCGCGCGCGGCGAGGGGCGCGGTGGCCTTGCGGTGACCCTCTTCTTCGGTGAGGGCCGAGATCTTGCCGTCCTGCGCCTTGCGCTTGAGTACGACAAGCGAGTGGACCGTCTTGATGTCGTCGCCTGCGTTCGAGAGGCTGAGCACATGGTCGAGCACCATGGTGCGGTGGGGCAGCGACTCGGGCGTGACGAGCAGACGTTGACGCAGGGTGCGCTGCGAGTGGCTCGACAGCAGCTCGGCAAACTTGGCACGGATGCCGTTGGGTCCGACCACTACATCGCCGGTGGGGAGGGTGAGGATGGCCTCGTTGGCAAACATGGAGAAGCAGGCATCGCTGGGCGTGGCAGAGGTGTAGAGCTGGTGCGACGAGAACAACCAATGCAACAGAACCAGGGTCAGTCCACAAATCTGTTATGGTCGAGAGGCAGGTGGGGCGCACTACTCACCTCTTGGAGAGCGTTGAGGAGGTCAGCTTCGTCGTCCTTGGGCTGCCTCTCGGGGAGGAGCTTGGAGTGCTCGGGTGCGAGACCGGCGGCGTTGAGGCGGGTGTTGGATCCGTGGAACATACTTGAGGAAGGGCGGGCGAGGGCGATTGATGATCGGATGTTGGTGGTGGTGGTGTTGGTGGTGAGGAGATGCGTCGGGTGGGAGGACGTCGAGAGCTTCTGCTTGAGGAGTTGGTTGGTGTTGAAGAGAAAGAAGCAGCGGCGAGGGGAAACAGTTTTATTCCAGGCTGAGCGGGCGCTGCCCGTTGTAGATTCTATGGCCAACTGAAGGAGGACCCTGAAACGAGCTTGCCCGCAACTCCCTAAAAGAGGCTGCCAAGTGTGATTTCGAAGCTAGCAGCGTGATGTCATGCACAGCTGCTGCACGAAAGAGAGTGTGACACTGCCAATTTCGCCGTTGATCAACCTTCTACCCCGGCTTGGTCGGGTTCCTGCTCTCGCACGACTCACTTGATCCATCCATGAAGTTTGCTGTTCCTCCCTGCGCTCTCTGATTCCGCCTCTCCAGCGTCCTCGTATCTCCCCACCCTCATTCAACGAAGCCTCTTTCGGCGATGCTACTGAATCAAGTCAGGAGCTGCTGCAGCGATAACGTTCAGCGTCGGACTTTGACCCACAACACCTGCAATTCACAGAGGCGCGGCGCGGCGAGTCAGCGTCACGTGGATTTGGGTATGTTAGGGCGGCATACTCCCAACAAATCTAAATTTCAAATTTCGCACGGTCGCATGTCAGGTTCCGCGGCTGCGAATGTGGAGCATCTCGCCATGCTCAGGCCACCGTAGCTTAGCTCTAGCTTCACCACCATGCAGCGCGACGAGCTGGAGTCGCTCGTCGAGTGCTTACTTCCAGGCACGCGCGTCGCGCGCTCCACGCACCTCTCCGAGCTCTGGGCAGGCTACGGCCACATCTACCGCCTCACGCTCTCGCCGTCGCCGTCCCAAGATGCAACGTGCATAGTCAAGACCATCTGTCCGCCGCCCTCGGCCGGAGGCGAGCAGGACGAAGGCCATCTACGCAAGATGCTGTCCTACCGCGTCGAGGCCAACTTCTACCGCGACTTTTCGGCACGGCTGGCGTCTCCCGACGACGGGTGCCACATCCCCACGTTGCACGCTGCGTCTTCGTCCGACCATGAGGCACAGACGCTTGTGCTGGAGGACCTCGCGATCCGATTCCCCGTGCTGGCCGAAAGACGAGGCACACTCACCGATGCGCAGCTCAACAAGGCGCTGCAATGGCTTGCATCCTTCCACGCTCGGTCGTGGAACACCCAATCCTCCACCTTCTGTCCTCCACCATTGCAGGCTGATACATGGTCGGGTCGGGGGTTGTGGCAGCAAGGCGGGTACCACTATCTCGCCACACGTCGCGACGAGCTTTCCAACATCGAACCACGATCTCGCTGGGGCCAGCTTGGTCTACATGCCCAAAGCGATCTGCCTTCGATCGTCGATTGGTGCCTCAACAATCCGACCGACCGTTCGCGGTTGTGCCTGATCCACGGTGACGTCAAGGCGGCCAACATGGCCTTTTCGCGCGACACGCGCCACATGGCCATGTACGACTTCCAGTACGTAGGCATCGGACTCGGCGTGCAGGATCTCGCCAAGTTCCTCACCACCTCGATCCCCTCGCATCACCTCGCACGCGGCGGCGAAGAGGCCCTACTGCGCACCTACCACAAGGCTCTGCTCGACAGACTGCCCAAAGGCGCAGAGTACGAATTCGACGATTTCATGTACGACTGGCAGCTCGCCCTCGTCGCCTGGGTGCGCTTCTTGGCCGGCTGGAGCGGCGGCTTCTGGGGCAACGTCGACTGGCTCACCTCGCGCGTCGAGGCCATCCTCACCGACCCCAACTGGCTACACACCATCCGTCAGCGCTACCAAGCACACACTCAATCCTAGACATTCGATGAGAGACGACTGAAAAAAATTGCACGGGCCTGAAAGATTGTCAGTCCTTCCTCTTCTTCTTTGGCCTCTCGTCGCCCTCGTCGTAGCCGGCGTCATCGTCGTCGGACGACGCTTCGGATGGCGAGCCGCCGTCCGAGTCGGAATCGGCGGCAAAGTCTTCGTCCTCCTCGCTGTCTTCGTCGTCATCTGCGCCGCCCGCCGCGCCCATCTCCTCGTCGTCGTCGCTCAGCAGGCCCGCTGCCGCAGCCGCCGCCAGTCCACCCGTCTCCTCGGCCATCTCGTTCTTGATGCGCACCTTGCGCTCCGCAAGCCACGCCTTGAGCCGATCGAGCTCCTCGCGCGAAATGGACTGGAACGTATGATCCGTGCCGCCCTTGGTGCTGACGCGCAGATCGAACGTCTTGGACGACGCCACGGCTCCGCCGACACGCGAAAGGATGGCCTGGTGGATTTCCGAGTAGGGCACGTAGACCGGCTGCTTGGACACCCACAGCAGCGACTTTTCGAGCGGATACAGATTGCCGTCGGCCGCCTTGACGTTGCACTTGATGCTCGTCTGTCCAGACGACGACTCGAAATCCGTGGGCGTCGCCACCTTTTGGCCGGACAGCACCTTGAACATGTTGGTCACGATGCGGAACGTCGGCTCCTCGTACCGCTTCTTGAGCTTGCCGTCGTACTTTGTGGCGATCGTCTCGTCGTCGAGGTTGAGTTCGGCGTCCATCTCCTCCTCGCGCGGGAACTGCAGCACCAGGTACGGATAGCGCGTCTGACCCTGGCGGATGGGCGGGTCGAGGCCGATGACGAGCATCACGTGGATCTCGTCCGACTTGGGCAGCAGGAAGAGCTTGTTCATGGAGCTGTACAGGATCTTGTAGTCGTACGTCTTGCCGCGCAGTCGGATGAATGTGCTAAAGACGTCAATGTCGTAGCGACCACGCGGCGTGAGCACGAGCACCTCCTTGAACACGACGATCGAGTCGCCCGCCACCTGGCCGATGTCAGCCTTGGACTTGAGCGCCTCGTGGAACGCCTCTGCTGCGGTCTCCTCGTTGTTGTCGTCGTCATCGGCTGCGCTCGCTGCATCGCTGCCGTCGTCCTTGGCCGCCTGACCGGGCACGTAGAGACGCATCTCGACGAGCTGGTCTCCCTTGATGCGTCTGGACTTGGACGAGGAGCCATCGGTGGAGCCAGTGTTGGCACCGGGCTGCTGCTGCTCTGGGTTGAGGAACTCCATGGACACCTCTGTCTTTGCGATGTTGCTGTTGGCGAGATGCGCGAGCGGCAGTTCGAAGGCGAGCTTGTCGCGCACGAGGAACTGGACGTCGTGGTTGGTGATCTTTGCCTGGCCCCAGTTCCATCCGCGTGTGGAGACCTCCTTGGAGTCGAGGTTCTTGTTGAAGTACTGGCGGATGCTCGACGAGAGGCGCTCAAAGTCGTCGCGCACAAAGCCGTCGAAGTTGGTGCGTCGCGGGTTGGTCTGCGCCGAGGAGGGTGCATCGCGGTCCTTGACGAGGAATATGGAGAGCTGGTAGTTGCGTGCGACGCGGATCCACTGGAAGGAGGCCATGTGGTCGGCGGGGATGGTGATGGTGGTGCCTTCGCCCACGGAGGGTTTCCAGCCGAGACCGCCCTGCGACATCCTGAGCTTGCCCGGCGTGGTGTCGAGGCCGTGGAAGATGTTTTCCCACTGTGTTGTTCCCGACATGATGGCGAAGAATGCGAGAGGTGGTGGTGGTGGTCGTTGAAAGAGAAAGGCTGAGTCGCCAGGCAGTGAGCACCGACCACCACGACGAATTTGCTGCAGCTTCGCTTCTTCTGGCTGCTGCGCCTCAACGCGACACGAGAGTCCAAAGTGGCAGCCGATCGAGCGACACTCCGACTCTCTTTCGAGGCGCGCCTTGCAAAGGTCAAGTCGCGCTGCACTGCGCTGAACTGCGAATGTTCGGATGTCGGGAGAAGCGTACATTTCACCGTTGTTACATCAATAATATGTCACAAAGTCGGAAATCGATTTTCGAGGGCGAAAGCGATGTCCGCACGGATCACTGCCGGTCGGAGTGCGGAAGCTGCGCAGTGCATGGAGAGAGAGAGATGACCGCACAGCACAGCTGCAGTGCCCGACGTTGAGGAGGGAGAGGGGGGGGGAGAGAGCGAGACCGACAGGGCCGCGTGTGGCTCGAAATGTCTGACAGCGTCAGCCGAGGTGAGCGAGCATCACCCCCACTTCTTCCCTTTCCAACCCATCCATCCAAAGCTCTCTCGCTCCCCACGCCTCGCTCCTAGTATTCGAACATGAGTCGCTTCGTCCGACCGTCCAAGTACCGCCACGTCTACCCGAACGTGGGCAAGAAGGAGGCGTGCTACGAAAACGTCAAGGTCTCCAACAATGCGTGGGACACCAACCTGATCGCCGCCAACGGCAAGTACATCTCGATCAACTGGAATGCGTCGGGCGGTGGTGCCTTCGCCGTGATCCCCGTGAGCCGCTCGGGCAAGCTGCCGGACATCTACCCGCTCTGCCGCGGCCACACCGCCACCGTGCTCGACACGGCCTTCAGTCCGTTTGAGGACAACTTTGTCGCCTCCGCCTCCGACGACGGCACCATCGGGCTCTGGAAGGTGGACGACGCCGCGTTCGAGCAGCTCGACTGGTCCGACAAGGAGCGCGAGCGCAACGGCGGCGTCACGGACTTTGAGCCCCTCGCGCGCGTCTCGGCGGGCGGCCGCAAGGTGGGCCAGGTGGTGTGGCATCCCACCGCCTCCAACGTGCTGGCGGCAGCGACGGGCGACCACGTGGTGAAGCTGTTTGACGTCTCGCACGCCTCCACCGCCGCCTCTTCGCCCAGCATCAGCCTGCGCGGCTTTAGCGACACGATCCAGTCGCTCGACTGGGACTACACCGGCACCACGCTCATCGCCACCTCGCGCGACCGCAAGATCCGCACATTCGACCCGCGACAGGGCGAGAACCCGGTGCAGGTGGCCGACTCGCACGGCGGCATCAAGGGCGCGCGCGTGGTGTGGTGCGGCGACAAGCAGCGCGCCATCACCACCGGCTTTTCCAAGATGTCCGACCGTCAGATGTTCCTGTGGGACACGGCGAACCTCGCCGCCGGCCCGCTCAAGCAGGTGACGCTCGACTCGAGCAGCGGCATCATCATGCCCTTCTGGAGCGACAACAACATTGTCTTCCTCGCCGGCAAGGGCGACGGCAACATCCGCTACTACGAGCTCGAGAACGACGAGCTGCACTACCTCACCGAGTCCAAGTCGAGCGAGCCGCAGCGCGGGCTGACGTTTGTGTCGCGCCGCTTCCTCAACACGGACGAAAACGAGATTGCCAAGGCGTACAAGATTACGGGTACCACCATCCAGCCGGTGTCGTTCTGCGTGCCGCGCAAGGCCGAGTCGTTCCAGTCGGACATCTTCCCGCCTGCACCCAGCGCCGTCGCTGCGCTGTCGGCCAAGGACTTTTTCGAGGGCAAGCGCGCCCCGCCCAACCTTATCAGTCTGGAAACGGGCAAGGGTGTAAGCAGTGGCGCGAACGTTCCTGCTCCGACGCCCGCGGCTTCTGCTCCAGCACCAACACCCGCCGCTGCGCCAGTCTCCTCGCCAGCGCGTGCTGCTTCACCCGTCAAGGCGACGCCCGTTCGTGCCGCCTCACCTGTCAAGTCGGCGCCTGCACCTGCACCCGCTGCTGCGCCGGTGGAGGCCAAGAGCTTTGGCGCGGTGAAGCACGACTCCATCCCTCCCGCTGCAGCAGCTGGCGGTGCGAATGGCAGTGGCGCTTCGGGCGAGGTGGAGCGACTGTCGTCGCTGGTGGCGCAGCTGCGCACGCAGGTGGAGCAGCGCGATACGCGCATCCGCCATCTCGAGGCGGAAAACGAGACGCTCAAGACCAACCAGGCGCGCGCGCGCGAGGCTCTGCTCAACTCGCTCTAGATTCGCGCACCGCCTAGCAATGCACCAACCCATTCGCATACGCCCGAGTGTCCAGGGATGTTGTGCAGCGTGAGTGGAGAGGGGCGGGCCACCTTGGTTGGTGACGGTCGAGTGAGCGTTTGGGCGCGCATGAAAAGGTGTAGGAATTGAGCGATTGCATCTTTTGGAGTCGCAACGAGTTGGAGGATTGGATCAGTTCGCGTTAGGCGGTGTTTGGTTTGAAGAGTGTCTGCCTGTACCACTTGAGCTCGTCGATGCTGGCGTTGATGTCGAACAGCGCTCTGTGCGCCTGACCCTTAGACTGTTGTGGGTGCTTGTACAGCGCATCTTGACCGTACCACCTTTTGGCGAGCTCCTTGATGCTGCTAACATCGACGATGCGGTAATGCAGATGCTGTACCAGCTCTGGCATTTCCTTGACCAGAAATACCTTGTCGGCGTGGACTGTATTTCCTGCCAAACAGGCAGCGTTGGGTGTGGGGACTCTATCCCTCACATACGCTAGCAGGGCTGCACGCACCGAGGCATGTGGGTGCGACGAATCCGACTGACACTCTGCCGTCAAGCCCGACTCTCCATGCTGCCTCACGCACCTACACCAACCGAAATCATCATCAGTAAGCTTAAATTAGGGTTAGGAAGGGGGATGGTGGACATACCAGGCGTTCATATTATCCAGCACATCTTTCGGGGTTTTGATCACATAGCTCACTCCACCGTCGAGCGGGGTGAGGTCGCCATCGGTGATGATGCACGCCACTTCGAGCAGTTGGTCAGCCGTGGTGAGGCCAGTCATTTCGCAGTCGATCCACACCAGTGGTCCGTCCCCCGCATCCAATCGTCTCGTCGCCGGAGGAGGCGGGATAGGCGATAGCCCCTCTGCCTCCATCGTCGCCAAGGGTTCGAAGAGTGCGGTTAGCGCCGACCAGAGTCCAGCTTGCGGAGGCGAGGTGTGCAGGATGCGGATGCGAGTGCGTGGCCGCAAACGTGCAAGGTGGCGGAAAGGTTGCGCTCGAATCATACGCGGTGGTGGTGGAAAGGCCAGATGGGCGCAGTCGCAAGCAAGTGGTCTGCGCACGCCCCGACCAAAAAAAAATCAAAAACGCAGGGTCCACACCAACGCTTCAACGCTTCAACCCTCCACGTCTGTGCATCTTGACCGAGTTGGGTTACGGGGTGCTTAGGTTCGGGCGCACTGCAAGCTCGGCGCAACGCTTGCATCAACACTCGACGCCTAAGTCTCCCTTCACAAGCTTTAGAGTTGGCGCAAAACACACACACCAACTATCACCGTAAAGTAGGGTTTGACTTTTGCATTGCCGGCGTGCTATTCTGCGCTGGCATCGACATCGGCGTCTCGGGGCTGGAGTTTGGCCATCTGGCTCGGATGCACGGGGATCGGTTCGTGGAACGCCTCACTTTCGGGCTGCGATGCTGCGGTATGTGCTGCGGTACTCGCCCTCGGCTCCTCCTCGCTCTGCGTTTGTTCTGTCGCAGCTACTTTTGCACTTGCCCCGTTGCTCTTGGTTGCAGCATCCAATCTCGGCTGTGACAGCGGCTTGGTGACGCGCTGGGCGGCGTCGAGTTCTGCCAGATTGCGCTGGAGCACATCGAGCGACGTGCCCTCTCCCAGCACCTGCACCTCCTCTTCCCCCTCTGTGGTAGTATACGTCCAACGAATCGTGCCTTGGGCATCGGTGACTCTCCACCGGTCGTACTTGAGTGTGCCGACGACGTACGGTTTGAGCCTCAACCACGCCACCCTCACCTTTGTCGCAAGGATATCGCGATTGGCACGTAGACTCGCCGTGCCCTCGGGTTCCCAGTCCTCATCGTCTACCGGCGTTGCATTGCCCCTGGCGCGGCCGAACTTGGGACGGATTCCGGCTCCCTTTGCGTCTGCGAGCGCCGCATCGCCGTACGCACGCGCCAGCGCACGCGTGGCATACTCGAACTCGACGCACGCATCGCGGTAGAGCGTCTCCATCTCCCCCGCCGTCTGCGCATCCTTCTGAATATCGTTTTCGCCCTCGTCCGGTACGGGGTATTCGAAAGCCCAATCCATCTTTCCTCCTGGTATCGTCGATTGAGGCAGGTGCTTTGCAGGCACATGGTCGCTGAGCTCGTCCACCGACCACGTCAGGTGCACCTTGTCGCGCACCACCGGATCCAGCAGCGGCCTGAGGATGGACCAGATCGGCTTGAAGATCCACGGTGCGCCGTGCACGTACACCCTCGCCAAGGTTTCCGGGTAGAACGACTCCATGGTCTTGGCCATGAACAGCACGACGCTCCAGTCCATATTGCGAATGCCGAAATTGGACAGGTTGAAGATGACCACCTTGCGCTCGACGGGTGGGGGCATGAGCATCTGCAGCGTCTCCTGCATGAGGATCACGCCGCGCTTGAGCTCGTCCGCGGTCTGGTTGGACGAGTAGTGCGCACCGACCTCGATAAAGTACACCGGTTCGCCCGCTGCCGTCGCACCGTAGATGTACGACAGGCCATTGTTCATGATGTTGAATCCACCGCGTGTGCTTGTAAGCCCGAGCTCGGCATGCTTCATAATGGCGGATACGTTGTACTGGACGCGAAACGCACACGTTGCACCGATGATGGCGAGTGCCCGATCCACATCCCACTTGCGCGCGCGCAGACACCTTAGCATGTACGCATCCGGGTGTTCGCCCTTGACGATCGCCCAGAACTCTCTGCGCAGCGCCGCCCCACCATGCTGCAGCAGAAACGCCTGCATCTCTTTACTCTCCTCGAGGTGGCGCAGGTGTTCCTTGAGCCTATCATCCTTGGGTATCGCCGATGGGTCGAGTGCACCCGCATTGGCATCGAGGTTGTCGTGCGATGTCGAGGCGGACGACGCAGGTTCGGACGCGGTGGCTCTGTGCCTGCGACGTTGGTTGGTGCGACGGCTCGAGTCGGTGCTGGCGCGTGGATGTGGTTGCGCGATCGAGTCGGTCGAGTGCGACGAGATCTCGCACAGGCGCAGGAAGCGACGCCAGAGCTTGAACAGCGCGAGCGTCTGCGACGGCGTGAGGTTGGCACGGTACCCGGGCGAGTGGAGGTAGTCGACGGCGCTAGACTCGAGCATGTTTGCCATAAAAGTGGGGGATGGTCGAGATGATGGAGGAGAGGCTGTCGGCTGGCATTTGCGGCTTGGAATTGCAGTTGAGCGCCGCCTCTCAACCGCCATCCGCTCGGGCCAATTATTTATTTAAATAATCTTGCGCTCTCTCAGGCACAGCGCCGCTCGATTCGTATTTCTGCGCCAAAGAAGCTCAGTTGCGGGCGCAGCGCAGAGAGTGCCAAAATGCCCATCCACCAAAAATATAAAATGTGGAGAAAAGTTGGGCGCTTTTTCGGATTCCACGCGCCTTTTCTGAGCTGCTGGCTTTGGGCCCCTCTTTGAGAAGAATGCGCAAATCCAAAGGAAGCGCAAAAGAAAAAACCGGCAATCCGAGGTCCATAACCGAGGCCACACTTTGGCGGCTCCTTCTCCTTCTCCACCACCACCACCACCACCACTATCTCCTCTTCCAAGCCATGGCGTCGACAGCAGGTGGCATGGCTCGTCGTCAGCTGCGTCAGTTCATCCCGCGCACCACCGTCCTAGCCACGCCCACCCCCTCGTGCTCCTACCGCACTGCCGCTGCTGCTGCCACCAGGCCGTTCTCGTCGTCAGCACAGGCTCCCAGCTCGTGGCCCGCCGCGGCTTCACCCACGAGCGACATCAAGGGGAAGGCTCGAGCCGATGGGCCCATTGCAATCCCCGCACCACCACGCGCCAAGACCATCGCCGACATCCACGCACTCAAGCAGTCGGGCGTGCCCATCGTGTGTCTCACCGCGTATGACTACCCCACTGCGCTCTCCATCCGCGCGGCGCCCATCGATCTGTGCCTCGTGGGCGATTCGCTCGCCAACGTCGCGCTCGGCCACTCCTCGACGCAGCCGCTCTCGCTCCACGCCATGATCCACCACTGCCAGGCGGTGAGGCGCGCCATCGACGCTCCGCTCTTCTCCGCCCCCATCCCGGGTATCGATCTCCCGCCGCCGCCGCTCGTCATTGCCGATCTGCCCTTTGTCGCCACGCTCGGCTCACTCGACACCGTCGTTGCTGCCGTCGGCAAGTTGATCCAAGAATCGGGCATCGACGGCGTCAAGATCGAGGGCGAGCACGAGGCGATCCCGCTCATCCGGCACCTCACCCAGCGCGGCATTCCCGTCATGGGCCACGTCGGGCTGCAGCCACAGCGCATCGCGTCCACCTCGGGCTACCGCGTGCAGGGCAAGACCGCCTCGGACGCCAAGCACATCCTCGACGCCGCACTTGCCCTCCAGGCCGCAGGGTGCTTCAGCATGGTGCTCGAGTGCATCCCCACACGCCTGGGCGAGCACATTTCGCACGCGCTCGACATTCCCACCATCGGCATCGGCGCAGGCAACAAGACCGACGGCCAGATTCTCGTCATGAACGACGTGCTCGCCGACCTCACCAGTCCCGGTCATGTGCTGGCCGCACTTGCACCTGCGGAAGCACAGACCGAGAAGCAACACGCCGTCATGCCGGCGGCTAGCCCACTCGCGCCGGCACCGCCCAAGTTTGTGCGCAACTTTTGCGCTCCCGGCTCGATTGGCGCACTGCGCATCGCCGCGGTCCAGGCGTATGCACGCGCCGTCCGCGATCGCTCCTTTCCCAACGACCATGAGGCGTACAAGATCAAGTCGACCGAATGGGCCGCCTTCCTCCAGCTCACCTCCTAGACTGCACACTTGCGACAGTTGAATTGCAGCTTGGATTTCACGCCAGACGTGGCGGTGGTGATGATGATGAATATCGAGGCCGCGTGAATGTTCGTACCCAGTCTTCGTCGGTCTGGTTGCCACCGAACTGGATCTCGAATCCACCGAGAGCTGCGTTGGGATCCGTACCCCTGGGCACCAGGCCGCGCAAAGAGCTTCCGCCCTTGCCCGACGACGCTCGTGGCATCTCCCCGACCTCCTCTTCCCCACGCACAGTCGCAGTGTGTTCGGGCGGCAGTGCGAGATCCACGTCCGACTCCTGCTCTTCTTCATCCTCCTTCTTGACTGGGCTTGGTGTATCGCTGAGCGCCAACTTGGAGCACACCGGATGGGCGAGCCACTCTTGCCTCCACACCCTGCGCTGTGCGTCCGACGCCGCTTGCAACGCGCTCACATCCACACTGGCGGCAGATTGAGCGAGGACGTAACCCAAAGTGGCTTCGAGCGCCGCGATGTGTTGTTCGAGTTTCGGCCGCAGCCCTTGCGTGGGACCACGTTTGCGTTCCGGTCGCAGGTACGTGCAGCTGCGCTCGAGCTGCTTGCAAAACGTGCAGACGGGCAACTCGCCATCGCACCGGTCCTTTTTGAGGAAGCACTGGTCGCATGCCCGCGACACGCGCTTCCGCTTGCCTCCTCCTGCTTCCTTTGACGACGACATTGTGCGCAGCAGATGGTGGTGTTGAGTCTAGCCCCAATTTCCCTCGGACCGCACCGTGGTGTCATGTCGCCGAGAATCGCCCAAGTCCGACTTCCGAGCCGCGAGCCTTTTTTGGGCAACACACGACTCCTTTCGCGTGAAAGCCAAGTTGGACAGGCACCATCATCTTTGCGGCGACATGTCTTGGTATCGCGATCCTTCTCCCGTGGCTTCCGGCTACTGGGGTCCTATCACATCCACCCTCGTGTGGTGCGAGCGAAAGTACCGCTGGTCGTACTACGTTGCTGAGCCGATCAACACCGCCACCAACGTGTTCTTTATCGCGCTTTCGCTCTACGGCTTTCTCTCCTGCCGTCGTCAGGCACTGCCGCTTCGCTTTGCGCTGTGTCACCTGGGGGTGGCGTTGGTTGGGTTTGGATCGGCCTGGTTCCATGCTACGCTGCTGTATTCTACCCAGCTGCTGGACGAGTTGCCCATGATCTACACCTCGGCCCTGCTCACGTATTGCGTCTTCGAAACGGCGCCCTCGCATCTCAAACCGCGGTTTCGAATTCTGCTACCTTCGTCTCTCTTTGCTATGGTGGCATGGATTACCGCCGTGTATCTGCGCAATGGTAATCCGGTGTTTCACCAATGCGCATACGCCGCGATCCAAATCCTATCCACCTTGCGCGTCATCTCCCTCCTCACTGCCACACCCTCCCCCCTCACCTCCGCCGCGGGAAAGGCACGCAAGAAAGAGATTACGCGGTTATACCTCTTTGGCGCAGTGATCTTTCTCACCGGATTCGGCGTGTGGAACGTGGACAACATCTTTTGCGCCCAGCTGCGCGCCGCACGCCAATATGTAGGCTACCCCTGGGCCGTGTTTTTAGAGGGCCATGGTTGGTGGCACATCCTCACAGGCTACGGCGCATACTCGCTCATCACTGCGGGGTCGCTGCTCGCGCTGTGCTACAAGGAGGAGCCGGCCAACTTCGAGCTTACCAAGGCGGCGTTTCCCATCGTCAAGCGCGTCAAGCCGTACAGCCCTCCCAAAGCACGCAGAAAGATCACGCAGTAGACGCCATACACCGTGCACATCGAGGATCAAGATGGACAATGTATGTGGAACGCGCCTTGGCTTCTCAATCGACGCTGCCGTAGCGAGATGCAAGGTGTACAACTTGGCTCGTAGAAATCTCGAGCCATTCAAGTGAAGCCACACCTGCATATCGAGAAAAAAAAGGTGGATAACGTTACCAAGTACGAAGCTCAAGCCATAGAGACCGCCTCAATGCACACTGCCACGCCAAGATAGGTGAAACACAATTGCAACATTTGCAAAGCACATGGTGCGAAAGATTCAAGAGGCAAGGGTGAGGGGGTTTAGAGGGGACGCGCGAGCGAGCGGCGGTAGTGCTCGGGCTGCGGCTGCTCGTTGTTGCCGTGGTGGCCGTGGTGGTGGCCGTGGTGACCGTGGTGGCCGTGGTGCTTGGCGGCGGGGGCGCCGGGTGCGCCGGGCTGGGTGCCGGGAGCGTCGGCGTCCGAGTTGGCACCGTAAGAGCCGTAGGCGCCGCCACCGGGTGCGTTGGAGCCATCGGAGCCAGGAGCGCCAGCACCAGGGGCACCAGGAGCACCAGAGCCGTTAGCACCAGGAGCGTCAGAGCCAGGAGCGTCAGGAGAGCCGGCACCGGGAGCGCCAGAGCCGTTAGCGCCAGGAGCAGCACCGGCACCACCAGCACCAGGAGTGCGAGGAGCAGCGCCAAGGTCAGGAGGGCCCATGTCGATGTCACCAGAGCCAGCACCGCCAGCACCCGAACCAGCACCAGCACCGGCACCAGCGTTCGCACCGTACGACTCGTGAGAACCAGGGCCGCTAGCACCGGCACCGGCACCAGCACCAGCACCAGCACCAGCACCGGGAGCACCAGCACCAGCACCAGCACCGGCATCGCCACCAGCATTCGAGCCAGCACCAGCACCGTACGACTCGTCAGAACCAGGGCCAGACTTGGCATCATCGCCGCCCTTGGAGCCGTGGCCAAGATCGGAAGCCCTACCGTTGGCGATACCCGCCTGCTTCTTGCCCCACTTCTTGAAGACATCCACAATCGCCGCGAAAGCGGGCTTGGGCTTGCCCTGGGCATCAAACAGGAGGGGAGCGCCGACCTTGCCCTTGCCCACACCGGGGTCCTGCTGGGTGCCGAACCAGGTGTGCGAGTCCATCATGCCCCAGAAGGTCGCGCCGAACGCGCCACCCTCGAGAGCGGCCTGCATGAGGTTTCCGTACGTCTGGGCCTGCTTTTCGAGATCCTGCTGCGAGGGAGGAAGGTTGATGGGCACGTCGATCTCGGACAGCACCACAGGAATATCCTGCGAGGTCCAGCGGTGGATGGCATTGTACATGTCCTCGTACTTGTTATCCGGACCGATATGGAACTGTAAGCCCACCACATCCACAGGAACGCCCTGGGCAAGCCACTTCTTGATGGTCTTGAACGCAAAGGCCGACTTGGGGTTGTCATTTTCCATACCATACTCGTTGACGATGAGCTTCTGGTTAGGACACTGCTTCTTGACGAGCTTGAGCACCTCCATGTAACCCTCCTCTCCAATCACCTCAAAGTAGCCGTTGTTCTTGAATCCTTGGCCATCGTCACGGAAGACCTCGTTGAGCACATCGATGCCCCAAAAGTCGGTCTCCTTGACGATCTTGGCGCACAGCTTGTTGGTGACAAAGTCGGTGATGGTCTTCATCATGGCCTCCTTGCTGAAGCTCTGCTGCATCATCTTTTGGCTCGTCTCGGCGCCCCAGATGAGCGTGTGGTACTTCCACTTGAGCGCACCCTTGCCGTTGGCCTTGTCGGCCGCAGTGAGAAGCTCGGTCCAGGAATTTTCGTTTTCATAGACGAACTGCATCTTGAGCGAGTTACCGGGCGTAACGTAGGGCATGTACTTGAGCAGAGGAGCTGCGAGGGGGTCCTTGAGGTCCGGGTTGTCGATGGCCGAACCGACAAAGAAGCCCTCGGGGAGGTTCTTGACCAGCTCGTCACCCTTCATGCCCGACGCATCCGTCGCCCAGTGCTTCTGACCACCGGGAGCCGCAGCAGCAAGCGAGGCCTGCATAGGAGGTCCGCCGGCACCCGAGCCTCCGGGACCGAAGGGCGTGCCACCGGGAGCACGGTCGTTGTTGCCAGCCTGGCTACCCGCACCACCGGGTCCAAAGGGGGTACCGCCGGGCGTGCGGTCGTTGTTGTCGCGACGCACGAGCGACGCACGGTCCAGCCGCTGCATGTTGGAAGCTTTACCCAGCGCACCGCCAGCGGTGAGCATGAGGAGGAGCGCGAGCTTGGTGCCCACCATCTTTGCCGGAAGGACTCGTGGAGCGTTTAAAAAATGGGGATATGGGGGAAAAGGAAAAAGAGAAAGAAGTGTTGTGGTGAGAGAAGGAAAAGCCAGAGATCGACCAAGGGAGCGAGTTATATATCTCGATCTGGGAGAGGGTGTTGCATGCATGCGCAGTGCTATGCTGTTCCTTTCCATCTCTACGAGTGCGATGTGCACGGGGGAAAGGTCACACTGCAACCGAGGTGGCGCAGTCGAGGTGGGCTCGGGCGAGGCGCTGCAACATCTCATTTGGGATGGGCGTCGAGCCACCGCCACTCTGCATATGAATACTCGTGCAGCCACGTTACGTTTCACATCCCACCCACTCTGGGCTTGCTGCGTCAGGATGATCAACAGCGTGTGCACGCTGCACCGTGCACAGACGTCGAGCGTTGTAGAAAAAGGTGGGGGATTAGGCGCTGCTTGATGTGCCTGTGTTGCTGGGCGTCCAGAAATGAAGTGTGGGCGGATGTTGCTCGATTGCCGGGGAGCATGCTTACGTTGGCCGCTTTTCGCGATGGTGGGTTGACTCTTCACCAAATCTTCTGAGCAGCCTGTGCACACGCTTGCACGCTGCAGCAGTCTCCGAGCCTCGATGCTGCCTTCATCAGCCCACGCTGATCCGCTTGCGCCGGCGGAGGCCATCGTTGTCGTGCCTGCCAGATTGCCAAGTCAATTCGGTCTACGGACCAGCGGCTCAGCGTGTCTTGGTTCAGATGAAAGCTGAATCGATTGGAAACAGCGACTTCTGTCGGTGTCGAGCTGGCATCGCCATGTGTCGTTTGAACTGGCGAAGTGGTTTTTTGGGATGGACCTGCACCTGCACACCCGCACGCAGATCGCCGTTGTGGGCGCGATCGGCCTCTTGGCACAGTATCAGCGCAGCGGCATCTGCAGACAATATCCTCGTCCAGCAACGCAGGGAGAGCTGGCAGGCGGCGAAGGGCAGTCCAAGGTGGGCCGCTGATCTCAATCAAGAACGAGTGGGCTTTCCTAGCAGGGGCTGCAGTTGGCTGGGCGAGGTCGAGAAAAATTGACAAAGTGTTACGCCGCAATTTGAATACTCTGGCGTGTTTTGCAAAAGGAAAATCGGGCCGAAATTCGAGGGCGACATTCGCTACCCTCAACCCATCCGCGTTATCGGGTTGGCTTGGCTTGCGCCTAGGTTGGTGGTGGCAGGGGCCCCGAGTTGGCCCAGTTGGCCCAGAGTTGGCCTAGTTGGGCCAGTTGGGCCAGTTGGGCCAGAAGTACGGCAGTGAGGGGGCGCACCTGCAGCCTGGATTTTCTCCGCGTCATTTTTGCTATTCTCAGGGCAGCAACCCAGCCAGCCGGCGGCGGTCGCTGGCAGATTTCAGTCGGATTTGGCAAATCGCGCACTTTCCGAGCGCTCTTTCATGCACGTTCTCCTCTTCGCCTCTTCTCCTCCTCCTCGCCGCCTCTTCGCCTCACCTCCTACCATCACCACCATCGCGCGCCCTCTTCCGCTCACACACGTCATCATGAACGCCGTTCAATGACACACAAAGCTGTCCCTCTTGACAGCACGCGCACACCCTCACACTCCAATCTGAACCGCCGCCAACGCATACATCTTGGCCCACCATGCTCGAACGCATCGCCGCCGGTCCGCGCGCAGCCGCCGTCCGCGCCAGGTTCCGCTCGGCCGCGCGCTGGTGTGGCAAGAACCTCAACTTCTTCAGGGTGCATGTGCTCGTCTTCACCTTTGTGCCCCTCATCGCCGCCGCCATCTTCTACGCGTGCAACGGCGAGACGCACATCAACTTTATCGATGCCCTCTTCTGTTGCGTCTCGGCCATGACCGTCACCGGCCTCGTCACCATCAACATCAGCACCGCGAACGGCGGTCAGCAGGCCATCCTCTTCATCCTCATGTGCATCGGCAACATCTCGGCCGTCAGCGTCACCATGATCTGGATCCGCAGGCACTTTTTCCGTCGCAAGTTCGACCACGTCGTCCGCCGCAGCGCCAAAGTTCGCAAGCGCATGCACGACGTCGAGGAGCAGCAGCGCAGAGAACGTCGCCACAACATCGCCAAACTACAGCGCATGGTCGGCCTCAAGGCCTCCGACAGCGCAACCACCTTGGACGACACTGACGACGCCGACCGCACCGACTCCAGCTCCAGCGGCCACATCGAACTCCGTCGCATCGAAAAGAAGCAGTCCAAACCAAAACCAAAACGCAAGCCCCTGCGCGCAGACATGATCCGTCGCATCGACGGTCCCGCCTTTCTCATCAATTCGGCCGGTGACCCCTCCAACACGATCCCAGACCATCGCATCCTCGCCGGTCCACTCACATCCGAGCCTGCCACCGCCGCAGCAGCCGCCGCTGCTCAGCCAGGCGCAAGCATCCTTTCCACCACATCCGAGTCCGACCGAAGAGACGAGCCCGACGAGCCGGACCAGCAACATCCCAGCATTCGCATCTCGCTCCCGCACGATCCAAGCCAAGTCGCCGAGCCCGGCACAACAGACTCGGCTCCTCGCCGCAGACTCTCCATCCCACGCTTCAGCGGCCGTCACGATCCAGAGGCAGACAGCGACGAAGAGGCCGTGGCAGACGAAGACGCCCATGACATCGCCGACGCACCCATGCCGCAGTCGCCGCCGCTTCGCGCTCGCTTCCCCGACCACCCACCGCTCGGACGAGGCAGGCGCGTCTCCGACCCGCCCCAGTCGCACTTCCGTCGAGGCTCCGACACCGGCCTCATGGCCACCTACAATGCCCACGAGAAGCACGACATGTTCCCACGCGCCCAGACCGTCGAGTTCGCCGTGCCTAGCGACTACCGTTCTCCCGCCGAGTCGTCCGGCTATACCACGGGCACCCATTTCAACAGGCCCGGCGCCGGCATGCGTCAGCGCAACACCAACTTCAACCGCACCGTCACCGGAAGATCCTACGCCTCGGGCCGTACGGGCTACGGACGCGGCGTCCCCTTGGCACGCACCCAGACCTCGGCCAAGCAGCGTGGCCTCGGAGGATTCCCCACGCCGCTCGAGATCGCCGGTCTGGCCATCAAGAAGGCCATGCCCGGCGTCCAGGAGCGCTTCCAGAGGACCATGACCATGCCGCGCACCTCCACTTTCACCTCGGTGCGCTCTGGCGGTGGACTCACCGACGGCGGATCCAAGACGGCCCCCTATCTGTCGTTCGACGCGACGGTCACCGGCAACTCGCGCTTCCACGCGCTCACCGAGGCGCAGAGGGACGAACTCGGCGGTGTCGAGTACCGCGCACTCGATCTGCTCGCCAAGCTCATCCCGGCCTACTGGCTCATGATCAACCTCGGCATGATCACCATCGTGGCGCCGTACATCAACAGCGGTGCGTTTGCAAAGTACCGACCTGCGTTTGAGCAGCAGGGTGCGAACCGGCCCAACTACACGTGGTTCTGGTTCTTCAACGTGGTGTCGGCGTACACCAACACGGGCATGTCGCTCATCGACACGAGCATGACGCTCATGCAGGACGCCTACTTTCTGCTCATCCCCATGGCGTTTTTGATCCTGGCGGGCAATACGGGCTTTCCGATCGCGCTGCGGTTTTTTATTTGGATCGTGTCGCTGTGCGTGCCCAAGGGGTCGAGCGTGTACGAGACGCTGCGGTTTCTGCTGGACCATCCGCGTCGGTGCTTTGTCTACCTCTTTCCCTCGAGCCAGACGTGGTTCCTGGCCTTTGTGCTGGTGGTGTTCACCTCGATCGACTGGCTGGCGTTTCTGATCCTCGACATCAACAATCCGACGATCGAGTCGATCAAGCTCGACATCAGGGTTTTCGACGGGCTGTTTCAGTCGATCGCCGTGCGCGCCGCGGGGTTCACGGTGGTGAGCCTGCTGACGCTCGCTCCGGCGGTGCAGTTCTTGTACGTCGTCATGATGTACCTCTCGCCGTTCCCGCTTGCGCTGTCCGTGCGCAGCACCAACGTGTACGAGGAAAAGTCGCTCGGCGTGTACGGCGACGAACCGACGGACCCAGGTAACCTGCCGCAGGAGTCTGGCAATCCGAAAGTGTGGGGATCCTTTTTGGCGTCGCACGCACGTCGTCAGCTGGCATTCGACATTTGGTGGCTCGGCTTTGCGCTGTGGCTGGTATGCATCATCGAGCGCGACGATATCCAGGACCCCAACTCCAACGGCTGGTTCACCATCTTCAGCTGCCTCTTCGAGCTCACCTCGGCCTACGGCACTGTGGGCCTGAGTCTGGGTACGCCCTTCGATGCGTTCAGTTTGTCGGGTCGCTTCCACACGCTGTCCAAGCTGGTGGTGTGTGCGGTGATGATTCGCGGTCGCCACCGCGGGTTGCCTGTGGCGATCGACCGGGCTATTTTGTTGCCTTCGGAACTGGAGTTGGAGGATATGCTGGACGACGACGTGTCGCATCTGGACGAGTGGGAGCGCGATAGCACCTTTGTGGATCCTACGGCTCCAAGGCCTTCGATGAGCACCGAGGTGTACCACCAGCGCAGTGGCAGTACGGGCAGCGGAGGGGAGAACGGTATGTCGGCCGTGCAGCGTACGCAGTCTGGTGTATCGTTTGCCCTCGGCCCACGCACGCGCCGCGGGAGCGTTCCTCCAGGAGGCGAGTATGGATCTCTTTCGCCCAAGCAGCATGCGGAGGTGCACGAACCTCGCCGGAGCTTTACCATGACGTTGCCGCCGAGTGCCATGCCTTTGCACGCCTCGGCTGCAGGGGGCACGGGGATGGTGGCATCGCCGGGGCAGTTGACAGCGATCGACGAGATGCCAGCGGGTTTGACGCCGCTGAGCGAGAGTAGGGCGCAGACGCCTACGCGCGGCGACAAGCCGCCCAGCTTCCATTCCGAAGCCAGCACAAGCAGCAAGGGCAGCAAGGGCAAACAGCGGCTCGACGAGCATGAGACGCAGCTCGCTAGGCAGGCGGGCTCGTCTACGCCGCACGGCGTGCATGATCCGCTCACGGGTAGAGAGTAGCCACCGTCGTCGTTGAGTTCAAATAGGAATCGCATTCACGCCTCTGCAGATGGCTGTTTGGCAAAGTGTGCGAAGCGTGAAGAGAGGCAGCGCGTGAGGGCGATGCGAGCTGTCGGTGGTGGCGCAGAGAAGGATGCGACCTAGCATGTGCAGCGCTGCGTGGAGGCATGCAAGGTGGTGGAGTGAGGGCGAGTGGCGGACGTCGTGTATTTTGGGTTGGGGTATGGCTGCGCACATGCGGACAGTGCTAGCGGCAATGCATGGAATTGAAAGGAGCGGTCGATACAAGTACAAACATGAATGGTCGAGCAAGACAAACGTAGAGGATAAGGGCGAGTGTGTGTGTGTGGAGGACTAAGAAGACTCGGACTTGACCTTGTCCTTCTTCTTCCTATCCTTCTTGTCCTTCTTATCCTTCTTTTCCTTCTTGTCCTTCATTTCCTTTTCGGTTGAAGTGGCTTGATCCACTTGCTCCTCGTGGACCTTGGTCTGTGGTTCTTGCTGCGTCGATGGTTCGAGCACCTCCATTGGCGTCTCCATCTCTTCATCCACCGTCCCGGCGATCATGGCGGTAAATGCATCATAGTCGATCTTGCCGGCGAGGCCGTTCATGAGCCTTGTGAGTTGTGCCGCCACCACGCCGCCCGTGGAGCCGGCGGCGTCTTCGGACGCATTGTGCGTGCCCGTCCTTGCGGCGTACTGCGCGAGGAACGACGAGATGGATTCCGAGACTGCGGTGTGGTCCATCGACACCGGGGCATGCGCAAGCTCCAGTCGCAAAGGTAGGGGTAGTGCCGGCTCCATCGTTAAAGGATGGCAAGAAGATATATCGTGCGTGAGGTGAAGAGGAGGAGAACGTAAAATCTCAAAAAGTTCCACAAACCCGCACAAGCAGCGCAGCCGACTCCCGCGAAATTCAAGGCAGCTGCTTTGTAAGCCTGACAAAGACACCCCAGGGTCTCAGGACGCGCCCTCCGCCACGCCCAACACAACACACACACACACCGCCGCAAGAATGTCCAACTTGGCCCCGAGCTGCAATGCCCACCCAAGCCACTTCTTTGTCCCCACCTTCAGCAACCACCACCAGTCGTCTAACGAGACCAACGATCTCTACCGACTTGCCTTGCTTTTTGCTCGGCTGGGTTTTTTTTTCCTCTGGGCACATCCACAATGGCGGCGGATACGGCGCTCAACAACGCCACCTCTCTCGGTCTGGGCATGGTGATGGGCGGGAGCGAATCGGGCGTACTTCCGGGCACCTTCTCGTCCTACACCACCGCCCTGGGCCTTCACGATGCACTCCAGCACGACCCTCGCGCGCTCTGGTCGTCCTTCGCCATGATCATCGTCTCGGAAATCGGCGACAAAACCTTCCTGATCGCCGCGATCCTCGCCATGCGCCAGAGCCGTCTCGTCGTCTTCACGGGCGCCTTTGCCAGCCTAGCCGTCATGTCGGTGCTCTCCGCGCTTCTCGGCGTAATGTTCCCCTCACTCTTGCCAAAGAGCCTCACCAACCTCATGGCCGCCGCGCTCTTCCTCGTATTCGGCCTCAAGATGGTGCGCGATGGGTTGCAGATGAGCGGCGACGAGATGCAGGAAGAATGGCACGAGGCCGAACGCGAAATCGAACTCGAAAACACACACGAACTCGACACCCTCGAACAAGGCCACCCCACCCCCTCGCCCGCCGGCAAACGCGCAGGGGCGGTGGGGAATAGCCTGCGCGAAGGCACCAAGAACCTCTGCGGCCTCTGCTTCAGCCCCGTCTTCGCCCAAGCCTTCATCCTCACCTTTCTGGGAGAATGGGGCGACCGCTCCCAGATCGCAACCATCGCCCTCGCCGCAGCACACAACGTCACCCTCGTATGCATAGGCACCATCGCAGGCCACGCTTGCTGCACCTCCATGGCCGTCGTAGCCGGCAGCTGGCTCGCCACAAAGATCAGCGTCAAACACGTCACCCTCGGCGGCGCAACGCTTTTTTTGGTCTTTGCGGGTGTGTATGCCTTCGAGGCGTATAGCGAGCCGCGTGGCGCGTTGCAAGTGGAGAATGTGGTGCAGATGGCCAAACAGGCGGCGGGAGCATAGCAACCCCCATCTCGCATAGCAATAGACTTGTGCTTCTTCTTTTCTCACAAACAACCATGCCAGCGCCACACATGGAGGTGGATCGCACGAGCAATGTCGACGGGAGCATGAGAAAGACAAGCTAGATGGCCGCGCGCGTTACGCCGTCGAGCCCCAAGTCGTCGGAGGTCTCCACCGTAACGCCGTGCGCGCCCCGCCGAGGCGTGTTAAAGCTGAAAGTTGGGCCTTGCCGCGTTACCGCCCGGACGTGCGTTTGGGCGAGTTTCGAGGTGCAGCGTGCTGCAAATTTCGCACGTGTGTCACTTGGCGCGTCACAGCCGTGTGGAGCAAGGAAAGTGCGCTCCCGCTTTCACGCCCCGACGTCACCACCGCCCAAGCTCGCATGCAACCGTCGGCCTTGCCTTCTTCTCACCTTGCCTCTTCATCCCACCCTACCAACACTCTCGCCACTTGGCCCTTCGTCAGACCCTTGATCAACATGTCCAAAAAGTACGATGTGGTTGTATTCGGCGCCACGGGCTTTACGGGCCAGCTCGTGTGCAAGTACCTCCTCTCGCATCCGGAGCAGCGTCCGTGGGCCGTTGCCGGTCGCTCCGCCTCGCGTCTCGCCTCGCTGAAAAAGTCGCTCAACCTGCCCGACACTGTCGGCGTGATCGAGGCCGAGACGGCCAAGTACGAGACGCTTACTGCCATGACCTCGCAGGCACGCGTGCTCATCAACATCGTCGGCCCCTATCGTCCCTTCAACGCGCTCGCCGTCGTGCGCGCCTGCCTCGAGTCCTCGACGCACTACGTCGATCTCTCCGGCGAGACGGGCTTCAACTCGGACTGCATCAGCCAGTTTCACGCGGACGCCCAGGCCAAAGGCGTCGTCATCGCCAACAGCGTCGGCTTCGACTCGCTCCCCTTTGACCTCTCCACCTTCCTCGCCGCCCAGAAGGCCAAACAGCTCAGCGGCAAAGACGTCGCGCTGGTCGAGTGCGCCTACGAACTGCCCAAGGACCTCTCGGCAGGCACGCTCGCCAGCGCGGTTTCCATGGCTTCCGAAAAGCAGCAGATGTTCGCCGTGCGCGGCGACTGGCTCTCGCCCATCTCCAAGCCGCACAGTCTCGATTTCGCCAGCCCCGTGCGCTGGTTCGAGCAGCGCCGCAAGTGGGGTGCGCAAAACACCTTTTCCATCCACAACACGCGCACCGTCACACGCACCTGGGGCCTCCTCCAACACCACTCCTCCCCCTCGGCATACGGCTCCTCCTTCGCCTACAAGGAAGGCACCCTCCTCCCCAACAAAATCGTCGCATATGTGGTCGCCTACCTCGGCGTCGTCTCCATCTGGGTGCTCATGAACATCGCGCCCATCCGCGCCCTCATCGCGCGCTCCATGAAACCCAACTCCGGCCCCTCGGAGCACTCGCTCCACAACTCCAGGCTCCGCGTCGACACGCTCGCCACCGCCACCGACGGCACCAAGGCCCTCTGCAAGATGTCGGCCAAAGGTCATCCGGGCTACCTCCTCACCGCGCGCATGATCACCGAGGCTGCACTCACCATCCTCGCCACCAGCGACCGCGACCTCCCCGGCGTGAAAGGCGGCGTGCTCACCCCCGCCCTCCTCGGCGCCTCCACGCTCGCCGACCGCCTCGCCCAGTTCGCCCAGTTCGACATCCGCACCGAGGCGTACGAAGACGCAAAGACGCGCTGATGCAGTCGGTGAAGAAATGGTGATTCGTGCCCCGTTACAATGCGCATGTTGTGCGTCTGCGTCTGCGTGTGAGCGTGTGCGTATGGCAGCTAGAGCACCAGCTCGACCTCGAGACTGTAGTCCTCGACCTCTCTGAGCTGCTTGACCGCCTTAGTGCGCTCCGAGTCGTCCGTGTGAATCGGCGACGACCCCACTTCGTCCCTCTCCTCGTCGTCGTCACTCTTGGCCGTGGCCTTGGCCTTGGCCTTCGCTTTGGTCTTGCGCTTCGTCGCCGTCGCTCGCGTCGCTCGCGCCTTGGGCGTGGACTTGGACTTGGTGGCACGCCGACGCGGCGGGAGTAGCTTGACATAGTCGTCCATGCGCAGGTTGGCCGCCAAGGGCGACTCCTCCTCCTCCTCCTCGTTCTCGTCCTCGTCCTCTGACAAAGGTTTCTGGCGCGCTGCTTTCGTCGTCGCCTTGCGCTTGCGCGGCCCCTCCACCACCACTTCAACCTCCGACGACGACGATGACAGCGACGCGCGTTTGTTGCGCGCCGCCCCTTTCGTCGTGGGCTTGCGCTTGCTCTCGACGCTAGCTTCTGCGCTCTGCTTCTGATCCGCGTGCCGCTCCGAACGGCGCCGCGTCGTCACAGTGGCCGCACGCCGCTTGGCCTGCGGAGCTTCGTCATCTGAATCTTCCGCCGGTTGCCGTTCTTGCTCCACGCGCGTGGAGCGTCGCACGGGCGCTGGCTCAGGCGACATCTCGCTGTCCTCCTCTGCTGGCTGCCCTGCTGAATTTTGTTCGCCATCGCTGTCAGGCTCGCCGTCCGATGCTGGCTGCGAGCCCGGCGTCTCGTGACGCGCTGGTGCAAGTGGCGGGCTCGACATGCCCGCAAACGCCTGCTCCGCCAGCCGCCTATCGTCGCTCGTGTTGAACGGGTCCGTTGCAACAACTTCCGGCATCCATTGAGCCGAGCTGCTCTGTGTATACTGCGCGCCTTGTTCTTCGGGCTCGACCGACGCCTGCGCCCGCTTGCGGATCTTGCGCTCGGCACTGAAAAAGCCAAATTCGTCGCTCTCGTCGCTCGCCACGTTCTTCGCGCGATCCGCATCATCCTCGGCCTCCGTCGGCCACGAGTCTGCATTCGAGCCACCGGGAGACGAGGGGGCGCGCTGCGCCAGGTGGGCAGCCGGATCACGCCCCGCGGCTTTCCACGCCATCACCTTGGACACGCCGCGATCCTGGTAGTCGAGCAGCTGCTGTGCGGATTCGGTCAGCGGTGCGCGGCGTGCGACGCCCGGCGAGTCGGGCTGACTGCCATCCGATTCGACGAGGAACAGATCGTCCAACAGTGCGCCGGTGCCGCGAGAGCGCGCGCGCACCATCGGCGTCGAGTGCACCGGCTGCCCGCCCTCCAAAGCTTGCAATACTCCTGCGCGCTCGCGTGGCGGCGGTCTGATACTGGCAGATGCGCGAGCGGCGAGCGGAGGCAGATTCTCCTTGTCCGAGGATCCGTGTACTGTGGCCGAGCCTGCATCCGAGCCGCCTCCTTGCGAAGAGGGGTTCGGGTCTTGTGCCTCCTGCTGCTCGCGTGGCATGGGCAGCGTGTTCGAGTCGAAATACTCGAGATCGTCACTGTCGAGAGCCGGCGACACGCGGCTGAGCTCAGCATGTGTTGGTGCCGGTTTGGCCGTGCGACGCGCCGCCGCCTCGATCTGCGCCGAAAGTGAATCGCCCGCCGACGACTCACGAAGGTGCGAAGCCGACGGCACTTCGACGTGCGAGAAGGCGCGAGACTCAGTCCTGCTGACTTCTTGCACTGAGCCTCGGCTGAGAGTCCTCGCTCGAGCGAGGGTGCTCGGCTTGGCCTTGGTGTTTTGATCGGCGGCACTGCGCTTCGGTCGTATCGATGCAGTCCTTGACGCGGAAGCGCGCGATGTGGATTTGGCAGTCGCGGCCAACTGGGAAGCAGGCCGAGCCTTGCTCTTTGCTTGAGTCTGTTGGCTCTGCGGTGGTGCGTTGCGATCGCCCAGGGGTTGACGCTGCGTGCCGCTCGCCGCAGCTTCAGGTCGGCGCCCGGCCGCGACGTTCTTGATGTCGCTCAGGGCCTGTCGAATGTGAGACGCGTTTTCGTCGGATTGCAGGTGGAGCGAGCCCTTCACGGCGGACGACGACGACGACGGCGCGCGCGTTTTGGCTGTTCGGCCGCTTCCCACATTTCTCTCCTGCTGCCGCTTTGAAGAGCGTAGACTGACCATGTCGCTGTCCTGTAGCCCGAGCTCACTCTGGATAGGATGATTGGACTGGGATAGAACCCTGACAGCGCGTTGTATGCGTGAAAGATACGGCTCGTGTGGACTGCAATATTAGCTGAAAGGCTGCAGCGGTCGGGTGGGCGGAAGGCGGATGGATGGATGGTGGAGCTAAGGCAAGAGAGAGAGGAGGCCCAGGCGGTCGGTCGCATGTGTCATTCGCCAACAGAGTGTGGGCGAGGCTCAGTTCAGCAGACGGGCCTTTTGGGCAGCATTGATTTTTAAGGGGTTTTCGCAGGGTGGAGGCGGCCTGCAGGATGCTCGCAAAGCACACACACACCGAAGTCTCCGAGGGTCCAACACCTGCGACCTGCGACACGCCCACCCTCGCGCTTTACGCGATTTCTCAGCTTTTCCTGGTCGTGGGGGCTTGGCTCAGGTGCCTAAAAAATCGGCGGATCGGATCAGCCGAAATTACTACACGAAATCGGCGAAAGCGTGAAAGGCGGCATGGCATGTTGGCATGGCTCAAGCATTCGATGCAAATGACAAAAGCTGGGTTACTCGTCTTCCAGCAGGATCTCGACGTCGGTTGCAAAGACCTCGGAGAGCTCGCCCTGGAGGAGTTCGTGCAGCGTGGACGTTTCGCCCTCTTTGTGGCAGAACCACGTCTTGGAGTCGGCGTCGTAGTCGAACCTCTTGGGACCGCTGTGACGTGAAAAGAGAGCGACATGAAAGATGGGCGCAATAACAAGCAGGGTCAGCGGTGTGCTCGTTCGGGCAGTTGCGGCGCATGAGCAGGGCGTGGGCGGCCCATCACTTACCTCTTGGGGCTGGACAGCCAGATCTGCTTGTTGGGAGGCTGCTTGTTGATGACCCACGTCCCGTGCACGCCGCACCTGAGGTTCATGACGCCAGACTTTGTTGGGTGGAGGAGAGCAAGGGCTCAAAAGTTAGTGATGTGTGCCCAGAGCTGGATCCTGGTGATCGCATCGGATCAGCCGACGCGATCTCGGCGAGGTACTCACGGCGCATTCAATGTCCCATTCCGACGAGGGTGATCCGCGAGAGGTATCCTGCATGCCCGCTCGAGCCTCTTGCTCGAGCGCGTCGATGTCTGCATCCTCGAGCAGCGTCTCAAACGTCTCGGTGAGCGAGTCGATCGCCTGATTCGACAGCTTGTGGTACTCTCCATCGCTCAGCGGCGAGGCGCTGTACTTGGCGGTGGGTTGCGCCGCCACACTCGAGGAGTTGAAGGAACGAAGCAACGAAGGAATAGTGTGCGCTCTGGCCGGTATCGAGCGCGAGGATCGGCGCCAGGATTCGGAGGGGCCGAGGCGGAGAGCAGGCGTAGCGACCGTGCGTGGTGGGATCGATCGGAGCGCCGCCGATGGCAGCAGGCCGCGCTGGGTCGTGGTCCGAAGCATCATCGGCAGCTTCATGTCCGAGCTGCGTTCTTCCTTGGCTTGGCTCGATCGATCGCCAATGGAGGTCGACTTGAAGCAGCGTGATGTCGCAGTGAGTGTGGTTAAGCGTCGAAAGTCGAGGGTGAGCGCAGACATGGCGGCAGCCTTTTGGGGCGCTGTGTGTGTGGAGGCGCGCACTCGGCCGATTGGAAGAACAAGGCGTGACTCGCGCTATCTGCGAGTCAACGCCGGCAACCTAAATTTTGGCCGTTGCAAATCAGCCACACTTCCGAGCCGCCTTGCCAAAGCGCTGTCGGAAGTCGGTTACCAGATTGCACTTCACCTGCACCTTCAAGACAGCAGGCTCGCTCTTGTCAACCACGAGTCATTCCTGCCCACCGATCCATATAAGATAAAGGGCCACCCTCAGCCTCCACCGTCGCATCGTCCTTCCCACTCGCAACGAGAATAGCTGCACACACACGCCTCACCACCACCACCATGACGATCAAGGGCCTCAACGGCGAGGCCAACTCGGCAGCTGCCGCCCACAAGCCCGCCCACTTCAAGCTCGAGAACCTCATCCGCCCCAACATTCTATCGCTCGAGCCGTACCGCTGTGCACGCGATGACTACCAATCTGGCATCCTGCTCGATGCCAACGAGAACAGCCTCGGCCACTCGCTGCCGCCCAAGTCTGTCATCCCTCACAACCCGGGCACCTCGAATGGCGCCACACCCGTGCAGTCGAACGAGGCCGACGACCCGCTCTCGCTCAACCGATACCCGGATCCGGGCCTCTTTGGCATCAAGGAGTCGCTTGCACAGCTGCGTGGCGTTCCCAACGATGCCTTCGTCTTCCTCGGCGTAGGCAGCGACGAGGTGCTCGACCTCGTCCAGCGCGTCTGCTGCCGTCCCGGCAAGGACAAGATCCTCATCTGCCCACCCACCTACGGCATGTACAGCGTGTGCGCAGCCGTCAACGACCTCGAAGTCGTCAAGGTGCCACTCATCACCGAGGGTGGCAAGTTCGCTCTCGATGTGGAAGCGGTCAACAAGAAGCTCAGCGAAGACCCGGACATCAAGATCACCTTTATTTGCTCGCCAGGCAACCCCACCGGAACATTGATCCCGCCAACCGACGTCAAGAAGGTGCTCGACAACCCAGACTACAAGGGTCTTGTTGTGGTCGACGAGGCGTACATCGACTTTGCCGAGGAGGAGAAGGCAATGGGCAAGCGTGCTCAGGACGACGTGGTGAGCGCCGTCAGCCTCGTCCACGAATACCAGAACGTCATGGTCACACAGACGCTCTCCAAGGCATTCGGTCTCGCAGCCATTCGGTAAGCTTGCCCTCCTCAACATCATCAGTCGTCTATGTGCTTCCCCACTGACTGAACCTTCCTTCCATTTCTTCCTCACTGCATAGCCTGGGAATTGCATTTGCACAGCCGGCATTGGTGCAGATCATGAACAACACCAAGGCGCCGTACAACATCTCGTCGCCCACCGCCCACCTTGCCTCGTTAGCACTCTCGCCTCAGGGCATCGCCCAGATGCGTGAAAACGTCCAGACACTCATCCGCAACCGCGACCAGCTCATGGCCGACCTCAAGACCGTCCCCGGCACGGGCGCGATCCTTGGCGCCAACGAAGCCAACTTTGTGCTGGTGCAGATCCTGGATCTCCAGACACGCTCCAAGCCGGACAACGACGTGGCGCAGATGGTGTACAAGCGCATGGCCGAGGAGATGGGGCTGGTGGTGCGCAACCGTGCCAAGGACCTTGGCTGTGCTGGCTGCTTGAGAGTCACCGTGGGCACCGAGGCGGAGAACAAGCGCTGCATCGAGCTCATGAAGGGCCTCCTCGATGGTTCCAAGTGATGTTGTCGTCTAGATCACCGTGTTTGCAATGCAAGTTGGTGGGCATCATGATCGACCGTGTGGGATTCTAGTGTGAAAGAGCTAATCGAGCGGCGCAGTGGAGGGAGTGGCACCCAATCTGCCGCACGAGATGATCGTCGGCGAGTGGCGGGGAAAACGTGGAAATGACGGCGACTTGACTTTGGCTGCCTCCACCTCGCGAGCCCAGCATGCACTGACCTCTTTCCTCTCCCACAGCATCCGCCTTCTCTCTCCTTCGCACCACACCACCCTCTCTCATTCAAAATGACGTTCAGTACCAAGTCGAGCAACAAGGTGGCTGGGGGCCAGCTGACCAAGTACGCATTCACCTCTTCCGCGCTCGGCTCGCTCGAGACGCAGATCAACGTGTTTGTGCCCTCGTCCGCCTCATCCTCGCACAAAGTGCCAGTGCTCTACTACCTCTCCGGTCTCACGTGCACCGAGGACAACGCCGCTCAGAAGGGTGGCTTCTTCAACGCAGCCGAAGCCGCTCAGATTGCGCTCGTGTTTCCGGACACTTCCCCGCGCGGCGCCGGCGTCGACGGTGAAGATGAGAGCTACGACTTTGGCACCGGCGCTGGATTCTACCTGAACGCAACCAAGCAGCCCTGGAACAAGTGCTACAACATGTACAACTACATTGTCGACGAGCTGCCCAACAAGATCGCCTCGAGCGACCTTCCCATCGTAAGTCCATGTCCTACCTCCCAGTGTCCGACTGAGATGCTGACTTTTCTAACAGGACACGAGCCGAGCCTCGATCTTTGGCCACTCGATGGGCGGACATGGAGCGCTCACACTCTACCTCAAGAACCGCTCTGCCTATCGAAGCGCATCTGCCTTCTCGCCCATTTGCAACCCCACTGCCTGCCCCTGGGGCAAGAAGGCCTTCGAAGGATACCTCGCCTCGGGCCTCGAGGAAGGCAAGCAGTACGACGCTACGCTTCTGCTCGACCAGGCAGATGGTCAGCCCGACATCCTCATCGACTCGGGCACCGCAGACGACTTCTACAAGCAGGGCCAGCTCCTTCCCGAAAACTTTGAAAAGGTCGCAAAGAACAAGGGATTCAACAACGTCAGCGTCAGGCTCCAGGATGGATACGACCACAGCTACTACTTTATCTCCACCTTTGCCGAGGACCACATCAAGTTCCACGCAAAGCTCCTCAGCGCCTGAACCGCCGGACGCAAGACGCAAAGGACTAGCCTTCTTTCCGCACATTCAATGGAAATCAGGAGATTCTGACGAAAGCAGACGATGCGTGATGTAGTTGAGTTGTTGACGCGGGACAACTGCGGTGAGGAAAGCTTAGACCTTGAGTTTCGACGGCATCTGTGGGCGAAAGGAGCGCGCTTGCGTCTCGACCACCACCACTCGATGTGGCTTCGTCTGCATTCTGGCGAACAGCTTCAAGCCAAGCCCACAAAGCCACTCTGCTCGCCTTGTCTGGTTTTCAGTACAAGACTCGGTGGTGCAAGCATGCCTCGACTGAAGTGGGGCAGCCAGCGTCGAGCCACGCCTCGCCATGACTGCGCCTCCGGACATCCCCACACGTCTCTTCAGCCCCAGAGGAATTCTCCGGTCCTTGACGAGTCTCTGCCCGATAACGACGACAAGGTTGCTGCCGTGCTGCGCGCGGACGACGCTCAATCCCGCGCAGCCAGGTCCTCAGACAGCGACGAAGCCTTCAAAGTCAAATACGAAGCTGCTGCGTCTTTGTCCGAGGACGCCGATCGAGCCGGTGCCGCATTTCCCAAGGCGGACAAGCCAGCAGCGGCGATGCTGCTCCCGGCCGACGACTCAGCTCGTATACTCAAGTTCGAGGACTGCGACAAAGCAGCTGTATTTTCGTCCAAGGTCAAGGACGAATCTCCTGCATCGTTGTGCGAAGACAACGATCAAGCCGGTGCACTGCTGCCCGCGTACAACGACGAGGCCGCTACAGCGTCGTCCAAGACCGAAGACCAATTTCCTGGCTCATTGGCCGCGCGCGTCTCGACCCGGACGACGATGAGCCTGTCGACGATCTTGCACGTTCCACGCGAGGCAAGGTCAAACAACCAGCCAAGAAGCGCAAGCACCTCGACTATCGCAACCGCACACGCAGGAAGCGCAGCTCGAAGAAGACTTCGCACTCGTTCGGGCGCATCAATGGCCGCTTTGCCTCGGCCAGCCAGATCGTCGCTTGGGCTGCGACCGACGAGCAGCCGTGAATGCCATTCCTTCAGTACCCACGTGCGCCTGATATCAAGACTCGCTGTATCCAATTCCAGGCCGTGCTGAACCACGGCTGAGACCTCGAGGCGTGTGCTCGACAAGCTCATAGCTGTTTCTACAGTCTCACGGCGGCGTTGTGCGGCGTTGTGCGGTTAGATTGCGACACGAAACGGCATGATCTCAACGCTAGCAATCTGTCATGCAACTTGGACCCAGACAGGCAACATCACTTCGTGCAGCTCTCCACTCGTCAGCCTCATTGAGTCGAGGCGCAAAACCAGGAGGCTCAACGAAGCTACCCGCCTAATCGTGCTCATCACAGCAGCAAACTTCCGCGCAAAGCGAAGAGGCAAGATTGATCTTCGCCTCACTGCGTACACACATGCATCTCCAAGAGTGATCTCACCGACACTGTTGGACGTAAGATCCACTCACTATATGCACTGGCTGCGCTTGGCCGGACATTCGCGGTGCGACAGACGAGCCTGGGTCCCAGTTCAACCCCTCGCTACTGTGCCATCGCCGCCTGCTCGAGCTCACATGTGTACGATATGGTCGCCATACCCTCTTGGTGGTGCTCCGTGCAATCGACTTTAAGCCACCGCACTCTCAGCAGCCGTGTTTGGGATCGAGGCCAATCGGAGACACGGATGAGCATCGACGTGTAGAGACGCGCAACTGGGTGCAATCTAGGGATTCTCAGTTTGGGGACTGACTGCAATGAGACGAGTGCCTCAAAGATGCGCAGCTCCGCACACAATCAGACGGCCTTGTCGGGTCGAGGCCAAACGGGGGACAAGACTCGAAGTGTAGAGACACGCCAGTCAACCTCGGATGACCAAACAACGATGTACATCGCGTCGTGCTTTGCTCCCAGCAGCATCCGAGGGGTGAGGGGGCAAGAAAGGCAAGATTGAGCTTCGATGTGATTCTGTCAAATTACGCAAGTAGCTGCAATCCACCAAGGTGCCAGACGACGATGTTCACCTCGTCGTCCTTTGCTTGCAGCACCAAACCTTGGGGAATGGCGGGCAAGAATGAGTTCCGACTGGAAGCGTAAGAGACCCGCATCCCACCAGCCATCCGGAGCATTCTTACACTCACTCGACGTACGTTTCACGCGCTACACCCACTGGCTGCAACCAGACGAGTGCCCCACCACACATACAACCAGTTTTGCGGGGAGGCCAAAACCGGTTCGACGGAGACACGTCCGTACAATCTTGACTCGCAACCTCTAACGGCCGAACGCTGTCCCTTCCCTTCACGTGCATTCCTCTCATCAAACTTTCGGACACCGGGATAAAGAGGGCAAGGCAAGGTTGAGCTTCGACGGGATATGTACAGGCTCGGAACGCAACGGGGGGGGCGAGAGGGGGGTCGATGTCCAAATCGAAGAACTAGACTCGGGGGGGCGGGCGTTTTTCGCATCGTACGGAACGCAGGTGCACCATCACTTGGCACAACCTAGCGTTGGTCGAAAAAGGGGAAAGGGAAATCTTGTCGATCGTGTCGTTTTTTTGAAGAGATTTTGTTTTTGAAGAGGGGGAGAGTGCATAAAGCGGCACAGCAAAAGCTGCCACGCATAAGGTGAAAAGAGGAGGATGAGCGAGTGGCACTGCCGCGCCAAACGACGCGCAAAAGACGCCAGCGATAGATGCGCACGCGATCCGAACGAGACGAAAAACCACGACACGACGAGCCGTCTCCCGAGATGGATGTCAAAGGAAACCTGCCTAGGTCTATTAGCCGAGCCAAGAAGGGGGAACTTCCGCTAGAAGCCAGGAGAGAGAGAAAGATCCGAAGGAGCGAGAGAGACGACCAAACGCACCCACAGTCCTAGCAACGCGTGGGTGGCTGCTTGCAGCAACAGGCATGACGGCGTACAGCCATCACTCCCGAGCAGCGGCAACCTTTTCAAGGAGCTTGTCCTTGGGGGTTTTGAGGCCGTCGCCCTCGATCTTGCCGGCCAACTCCTCGATCTTCTCCTGCGACAGGTTCGCCGCCACCAGCAGATCCGCCACAAACGAGTAGATGGCGGGAATGTCGATGGAAGCATCGTCCAGGAACTCCATGTGCGGCTCGAAGCCCTTGAAGGCAGACTCCTCGTCCAGGTGACCATCCTCGCTGAGCTTGGCGAATAGCGCCGCCACGTTAGCCACGTCCTCCTTCTTCTTCTCGATGGCCGTGCCGACGATCTTGTCCACAAACTCGGCCTGTCGCGACGCAGGCAGCGTGTTGAAGGCCTCGACACCCTCGTTGACGTCCTTGATCTCGAGGAACTCCTTGATGTCGTTGGCGATCTTGCGCTTGGCCTCCTCGTCCGACATGTCCGAGGCCTTGCCAGCGTCCTCGTCGCCATCGTTCTCGCCCTCCTTGTCGTCGTCGGCGCCGGGAAGGGGCTTGGTGCGCGGTGCAAGGTTGAGCTTGGGACGCTGAGGCTCCTCGCTCGGCGCAGCATCGCCCTCGCCGGCCTGGTTGAGCAGCGAGAACATGTTGGTCTGCGAGCTGGTGCGCGTGGGAGGCTGGCTGCCGTCCTCGGAGCCCTTGCCCTGGTTCTTCCTGCCAAGCATGGTGGAAGGACCAAAGGAGAGAGGGCGTCCCGATGAGCCGCGCTCGATCTTGCCAAAGTGCGACAGGTCGCCGGCCTTGCCGGGACGCGGGGGAGGGGCGACACCGCCGACGGTGCTCCAGCCGTCCGGGCCGTTGTCGCGAGCCTGACCACGCTTGGATCCGCCGCGCGAGATGGGGCCGCCACGAGCGCGCATGGCGTTCTCGGCGTCCTGCTGCTGCTTCTGCCTCGCGGCATCGGCGTGAATCTGGGCGATGGTCTTGGGCGCCGAGTTGTCGTGTCGCGGCACCCACCTCGACTCGCGGAGCTCGATGACGTCCTTGAGCATGAATCGCATTCGCGAGTTGATCGACACCTCGTTCTTGGACATCTCGTTCATGCGCTGGAAGTAGATGTCCATGTGGCCGCGCGCCTTCTCCGAGTCGAGCAGCTTGCCGACGGTGGTCATGAGCTTGCAGAGCGACTCGATCTCCTCCTCCTCGGGGTCGGTGGCGTTGGCGAGCAGCTTCTTGATGCAGACGTGCATGATACGCTCTGTCAACATGCTAAGCTTGAACAGCTCACCAATGAAGCGCACAAGACCGAGACCACGTCGCTTGGCCTTCTGGGCCTCGTAGTACTCGTCGGAGAGCAGCTCGGCCTCCTTGGGTGCGTCCGAGGGCTTCTCGCCGCGCTCCTCGGCAGCCTTGGCCTCGGCCTCGGCCTTGTCGTTGCTGTCCTTCTTGGCCTTGTCCTCGGCCTCCTTGGACTTGGCAGCGGCGATGGCGGTGTCTCGCTGGGCCCAGCCACGCTCGAAGTCCTCCTGACAACGGTTGAGCAGGTACTTGCGGAAGAGCGAGCCGCCAACGACGGGCTTGCCGTCGGTGGTGCGCAGGCTCTCGTCCTTGACCTCGGGGCTGACCTCCTCCATGAGCTTTCGGCAGAGACGGGCGTACATCTCGGACCAGGCAGCCTCGTCGGTGGCCTTCTCGAAGATGAGCTGAATGACCTGTCGCAACGTGCGTCCGTCGTCCTCGGAGACCGACTTGTTGGCCCACTCGAGGATCTGGTTGGAGATCGAGTCGAACTTCTCGAGCGTGAGCTTGTTGAGCAGACCCTTGACCTTTCGCTGCACCATTTCGGGCGAGTCGGCCTTGACCTGGCTGGCACCTCGGCTCCATCGGTTCTCCGAGTTGGCGAGGGGCACGACCTGGTCGAGAGGGATGGTGGGACCGCCCTTCTCGGGAGGGTTGACCTGGGGACCGCGGCTCGAGTTGGGGTCGCGCTGGCGGCCACGGTTGCTCTTGGTGCGGCCACCGTTGGGGATGCCGGTGCCCATCATGTCACGCGAGGGCAGCGCAGTGCTGCCGCTTCCGGTGCGGGAAAGAGGTTGGGAGCGGGCGCCGGCGTTGAACGAGCCCATGGGGCCGAAAGCGCCCATGCCCGAGGCACGAGCACCGGAGGCGGCGGCGAAGCGCTCCTCGCTCGTCTTGGCGGGGTGGCTGAAGGAGCCGATGCCGCCCTTGCCGCCAAAGCCGGAGGAGCCGCTGATGCCGAGACCCTGGGCACGGCCGGGAGCGGCGGGAGGGCCCATGGCCGAGGCACGACGGTTGAGTCGGCCGGCGCCCATGCCGCCACTCTCCATGCCGATCGAGGCGAGCGGAGGCAGGTCGATGGGCTTCTCGGTGTAGACGCCCATGAACTGCATGAGGAAGTCTCGGTCGTAGCGGAACTTGCCTGGCTCGGCAGACTGGTTGAGCTCGGGCTTGGGCGAGTTGATGTTGGTGGGGTAGTTGACCTTGCTGAAGCTGTCGATGAACTTGGCAGCCACGAGCGAGGCCGAGGCGCCGGAAGAGGAGCCCTCCTCCTTGTCCTTGTTGGAAGACTGCGAGGGCGACGAAGCGGCGTCGGTGGTGGTGACGGTCTTCTTCTTCTTCTCGAGAGCCTCGCCGTCGAGCTTGATGCCGTTGCCGTTGGAAGCGGCGGCGGAGCCGATGGTGCTGAGAGGCTTGGCGGGCAGACCGGCAAAGCCGGGAGTGCCGGGCGTGCGAGGCGTCTGAGGAAGACCGGGGGTCTTGGGCGCATCCTGGCTGGAGGGAGGCACGGAAGAAGCTTCACGAGCCATGCGCTCGACGTCGGCGACGGAGCTGCGGGCGGCCTTCTCGGTGTCGATGGGCGCCGGCTTGGGCTTGGACTCATCGGAAGCAGTCTTGGTCTCGGCAGCGGCGTCCGCCTTGGACTTGGCCTCCTCCTCGGCCTTCTTGACCTCTTCAGCCTTGCGCTGAGCCTCCGCCTCGGCCTCAGCCTTGGCCTTGGCCTCTGCGTCGGCCTTCTCCTTTGCCTCGCGCTCCTTCTGCTCGGCTTCAGCCTTGGCCTTGGCCTTGGCCTTGGCCTTGGCCTCGGCTTCCTCGGCAGCCTTGCGCTCAGCGGCGGCCTTCTCTTCGG